TATTAAATCTAAATTTAATAAGCTAAATAAATAATATCTAGTAGTGTTAAAATATTTACTAATATTTTTTACTTTTATTTTATATACTAGTTTAATAATAGTAGGTAAAATTACAGTATTAAAACTTTTAAAAACTATAAGGGTTTTAGGTTTATTATCTTTACTGTAACTATTTTTTTTATCCTAATTATAATTTTTTTTCTTAGTACAGGAAATAACATATAATAAATAATTAATTATATTAATAGGGTCTGATAATAAAGTTATAAATATAACTTATAATATAGATATAGTAGAAGGTCTCTCTGGAGATAATTGATTAATAAGATGATTATTTTATTAGTCTTAAAATATTTAATTAATAAATAAAAATACTAAGATCTTAATAAATTTCTTAATAATACATTTTATAAAAGAATAATTAATATTTTAATTAAAAAGATATATAAATTAGTATTCTGGCAGAGGTAAAGAGGTTATAATAATAAATTAAGTATACTAAATAATATATATATTAATATTATTAATAAAACAAGATAATAAGATATAATAATATATATTAATTTAATAGACAACCTTAGTAAGCTATCTTAATATTAGAAATAATAAGACTAAGTAGAAAAGACTAAATAGAGAAGATTAATAAGGCTAAAAATAATAAATAATAATATAATATATCTAAGCTAGTTAAAAGACAAGTCTTTAAATATTATAAATTCCAGAAATAAAGCTGTTAAAAATAAAAAATAATAATATTAAGTAAATAATGTTAAATAAATAATTACTATGAATATAGAATAAGAAAAGATTCAAATAAAACTAGATATGTGTGGTAGCCTCCTACTGGATTGCAGATTTATGATGATTCAATTGATTGTTTGTTTAAAAATAACTAAGTCCTCCGCCTTGTGAAGGCGGGAGCTACGGAACACTGTTAACACCTGCAGTGTAGGATTACAGGATGTTGTAAAGACCACACCCGCAGAAGATGCAATAAAGAACAGTGCAACAAAAATAATAAAATATAATAATATATATTAATTTAATAAGCAAGCTCAGCAAGCTATTTTAACATTAGAAATAATAAGACTAAATAAAAAAGACTGAATAAAGAAGACTAATAAGACTAATAAAATTAAAAGTAATAAATAATAATATAATATACTTAAACTAATTAAAAGACAAGTTTTTAAATACTACGAACTCCGGGAATAAAGCTATTAAAAACAAAAAATAATAATATTAAACAGACAATGTTAAACAGATAATTATTATTAACATAAAATAAGAAAAAGTTTAAATAAAACTAGATATACTACTACGTAGTAGCCTCCTACTAGATCACAGAATTATAATAATTAAATTAATTATTTATTTAAAATAACTAAGTCCTCTGCCTTATAAAGGCAGGAGCTACGGAACACTGTTAAGACCTGCAGTGCAGGAATACAGGAGGCCATAGAGACTACAGCCGCAGAACATAAGAACAGTGCAACAAATATAGGTTATTATTTTCTTCGCCTACCTACAGGAGTAAAAAGGATCTTTTTATTTTTAAATAATAGTTAAAAAATAATTAAACCTAATTTTACCTATACATATTTAGAATAACGCGCTTACCTATAGGGTAGGAAGACTCTTATAGTATTATATTATTTTAAACTAGGGGTTAAGCTCCGGGCAGTATTATTATAAATATCTGTTATAAATTATATATTATTAATTATTCCTTTATTTGTCTTTTATATATTCCTTAATTTACGCCCTGGCGGTAGAGCAAAGATATTTTATATTAAATAAATATGTAGCTAATAGTCCTGAGAATATTTTATTTTATTATTTAATAGCCTACTTAATCATATTATCTACTATTTCATTATTAAGGATATTAAGATATATAAGAATTTAATAAAATACTATCTCTCTAAATCTCTTATATATATTATAATATTTAGTAAGTAACTTAATAATTTCCTATATTAGGTATTATCCTAAACTAAATCTTAAAAAAGAATCAAGTTACATAGGACCCCTTAATTATTAGTATAGACCTTTAAAGATCTGTATAAAAAGGGGTAATCCTAGGCTAATTAAAGGGCTAAAATAATCTTAATTAATTTTATAATAAGAATAGTGGCTTCCTACTTTATTTTTGTATAAGTTATAATCTAAATTTTATAATTATAAAAGATTAAAATAACTTTTACCTTTTATAAGCCTTCAGGAATCTATTTTATACCAGAGCTATTAGTATAAAAATAAATATATAATAAGTAAGTAGTTATTTAAATCTTATAGTAAATAGTAATAAGATTTTTTATAACTTTACTATATATTATTAGGGGCTGCCACTAAGAAATTATAAAGTAAAAAATATAAGTTTTTAAAATAATTAGGTTAATTTATACTTTTTTTAAGAGAATTATAATTATATATTTTATAATAATAATTAATAGTTAGCTGATCCCTGATTATTATACTTAATAACTAGTTAATTAATTATATAAACACAAGAAGGCGAGCTAGGTAAATACTTATAATTAGATTTACTTAAACTAAAGATACAGTGGTAAAAAGTATAGTTTTGTATTAAAAGTATCTATTTTTATTAATTTAAAATTCCTTAATATAACTTTTCCTATATATTATTCAATCTTTATTAAGACCTATAAATATTTATTAAAGACCTATATGCGGCTGTGGGTCTTAGGTAAATACTAGACTAAAATTATATAGATAATAATAAAGATTATACAGGCGATATATATATACCTATATTTTTTAATTAAAATACCCTAATTAAAGCCGCCTAGTGTACTAATTACTTTTAATACCTTAAAAATATAAGCCTTTATATATTTTATATAAAGCCTAAATAAAAGATCTTTATTAAGCTGCATCTTTAATAACTAAATAATCCGGGTAACTTATATTATTTAACTATTACCTAAACTTAAGGAAATAAACTGCTTAGGTTTTATGGATAAAGTCTAATATTTTAAAGTTTATTTAATAAAAAAAGTAAAAAAATAAGAAAAATAAAAAAAGTAAAAATAAATATCCTAATTATTATTCTTATTATTGATGGATTACTTATCTAGTAGGATCTTTTATTTATATATATTATATTTAAGGTAAGGTACTATTATAATAGGCTATATAATTATTATAAGGCCAAAAATACCTAAGATAAATTACCTAAAGCTCTTATATCTCTACTTTTTACACGGCCATATTAAGTAATAATAATAGATTATCTAGAATTTATCCGGGGTAAATACAAAGATATAAATAATTAATTATAATATATAAGTAAGCTAAAATTTTTATTTTAAGAAAATATAATTTTAGGCCTCTAAGTATGTTATAATAATTATAATAATATTATTAATATATTTAATACTTTATATATAATAGCTAACTATTATATCTATATTATAAAAGATATAAAAGATTAGAGATAGCAGGAACCTTTATAAGATCTTAATATTAATCTAGGCCTTAAAACAAATATATTTAAAAAGAATAAGTATAATATATTAATTTTAAAAAAAAGACTTAGTCTAATTAATAGTCTTTATTAGGAGGATATTATATTTATATAAATTATAGAATAATTAAAAGTAACATACATTATTAAAGGCCCTTAAAATATTAAAATAAAAAATTAATATTACTTTATTTTACTTTTATACAAAATAAATAATCTCTATAATTATATATAAAATTATATCAGTCTTATAGCTATACTAATCCCTAAAGTAGTTTAGCAGGAGTAATCTGTATTCTTTTATTAAATAATTAAATTATAAAGTAATAACACTCTCTAAGGTTTTATCTACTATATTTAATAAAATAATAAACAATATATCTTTAATATACTCTAATTAAGTTTTCTACTTTTTGTAAAATAATTATTCAGGACTCCCGAAAATAAATTAAATAATAATCTAAAATAAAATAGTACTAAAATAAGTCAGTTAATAAAAAAATAATTTTTATATAATATTTAGTTAAAACTTATAAAACCTAGTTTAAGATATTATTAAGCAACAATATTTTAAGCAGAATACACCATATGTTTAATATCCCTAGCCAATTGCTTTCACGCTGCCTTACCCTTAAGGCACCAAGGTATTCAACCTTATAGGTTAACAGGTAATGGGTATGGGTCCTGACCTTCTACCTGACCCGTGGGTTTGGGTCCTGACCTTGGACCCGTGACGGGTTTTGTCGAGGTCTAATAGAGACCAACTCCGCAGAACACCAGGGCGCCGGAGCGCTGCAACATTATTTATATTATTTATATTTATAAAAGAGGGTATTAAATAATTTTAGTATTTATAAATATCTAATTATTTTAATTTTTATATAATAAATTAATTTTTTAATAAATATTATAATTATAGTAGCTATAGATAAACTATAAAAATAATTTTCAATATAAATTAATCTTTAAAATAAAATAAAATAATTTTATTTTATATAAAAATATTAAAGCAGAAGTGTAAGATATTATACTAAATATTTAAACATAATTAATTTATTAAAGAAGAAATATTTATTATTAATACTTATTTTAATATAAAATATAAAATAATCAGACTGCTAAAGATTACAAGATTATTAAGGTATTTAAGAACTAATTTTTATAATAATATTATATATAAAAAGCCTTTTATTTAAAAAGACTACCTACTTAACCCTTAAAAGATTAAATAATTAATTTTATTTATTTTATATTTATTTTTTAATTTTTTATATCTTTTAATATATAATAAGCAGTTTACAGGTGTATTGCAGGTGTCCTGAACTCCTCGGCACATCCATCTAAGGGAACCAAGTGCCCGAACCAGAACCTTCGTGGCTGCCCCTTACACAATTCCTATACCGCAACACTTTCTAAAGAGACACCAGATTCTCCGGCTGCGAGCCTATCCAATCAGACATGCTTACAAGTATCTGTTGTTCCAAACCATTACCTCTAGTCCCATACAGGCATGCATTACCATCAAAAGTCTACCAACGATTGAAAAATTGTCCCAGGAGATTGAATAGTCTGCTCGCAGCACAAACAGCGACGGCGCCGCCTCAAATTGTTTTTTCGGGAATTCAGCCAACAGGTGTGCCGCATCTGGGCAATTACTTGGGTGCTTTGCGAGAATGGGTCCGACTGCAGAATTCTGCCCCAAAAGAAACTCACATGCTTTTTTCAATCGTTGATCTCCACGCATTAACGGTGCCCCAGGAAGCGCGACAGCTGAAAATCTGGAGAAGAGAGGGATTGGCGACGTTGCTCGCGGTGGGATTGGACCCCAACCGGGTAACCATATTCTATCAATCTGCTGTAAGGGATACTTTAAATCAAAGGTTCTTCAAGACACTTGCTGATCATAACCAGGTCCATGCTCACACTGAATTGCTCTGGATCCTAAGCACAGTAGCATCCATGGGATACTTATCACGGATGACCCAATGGAAGGTGAGCCCCTCAGTACCTGCAGTTCCTTTCATCAGAGTTGGAAAGAATGGTTTGTTGAAAGGTAGGTGGAGATTTGAAAGTATAATTTCATTAACACACCTCAGAGCAAACTTGACTTACCGGAAGACATAAGTTTGGAGCACTCAGCCGCAAGATCAAAACTACGCCTTGGGCTCTTCTCTTACCCCGTTTTGCAGGCGGCGGACATTCTCGTTCATAGGTTTGTATTCTATTTATGACCTAGGCTGCTTCTGGTACCAACATAACGCAGAGCCACACATGTTCCCGTAGGGGAGGACCAGAGACAGCATCTTGAATTTTCCCGATATACTGCAAACAGCTTCAATAAATCATATGGTCATGTTTTCCCAGCACCCGAAGCTTTCATATGTAAGGAAGCTTGCTCTGGATTGCCTACAGCTATTGCTAATACAAATGGATTGTTACTAGCACCTGCGAAGCGAGTGATGTCTCTAAAAGAACCGACCCTCAAGATGTCCAAATCACACGTCGATAAGCGCTCCCGAATTCTCCTCAATGACAGCCCTGAGGATATTCACAAAAAGATTAAATCTGCGCTCACGGATTCAGATGCTGGCGTGTCCTATGATCCAGTTCGACGACCCGGGGTCTCTAATCTATTAGAGATCCTTAGCCATTTTGACGGACGGTCATGCGAGGAGCTAGCTGCCGAGTATGGCTCATCAAGTATTCAATCACTCAAGGGTCATCTTGGAGACCAAATAAGCTACCATCTCCAGCCCATCCGAGAGAAGTATTCCTCGCTTATCGAAGACAAAACGAACCACCTGGATGTTGTAGCAGAGAAGGGTGCTCGAGCCGCCCGTGCTAATGCCGATGTAACTATGCGTCGAGTCCGAGAGGTTATGGGGCTGTAATGACCACGCTGACTGATGTATGTATCGCATTATGTGTCCTAGAGAGAACCAGGGGGTAAGTAGCATCTAATTTCTTTAAGGCTTTTCTCCTAGTACATGACTAACCTCACAAGTGTCGTCGTAAATAGTCATTCCAAGAGCTTGAATATTTGCGCTCGGTAAAGGGCCATCTCACTGCCGTCGGCGTAACTTTCACGCCCACCTTCATACGTACACATTTCCAGTTATGTTGATTTTTGATCCTGAAAAACAATTCTTTCCTACTGGGCACTATCAGAAGGCCTGCAAATGCAACCTTTGGAGTGTATCTAATAATAAACACCACGAAAGAGGCAAATGGTGCTCTTAGTATCTCAGCCACGAAGCTGTGAGAAGGTGCTGGCTGGCTTCTTATCCAAGTTTTGCAACTCCGGAATGACTCGGAACTTTTGGTGGGCAAGGTCCACCCAGAGACCAACCAAGGCTCAAAAGTAAAGTTGCGTCGCCAGACCATCTCCCTCCGGGGGTCTCTTGGTGCCGTTTGCAGCATCTATCCATGATGTCATTAATGCCATGCCCACTGGCGGGTAGATTGAATAGGAAGGAGAGGAGAAGGAAGGACGAAGAAAACTAGCAACCAGCCATACGAATAGTTGGTGACTATGCCTCATCACCTTCTCCCTTCATGTAAATGCATGGTCGTCAGACTGTAGAGTATGGCCATGTACGGAGTAAATACCTCAGTGGATGGTTCGGTGGTTCGGGCGGAGTAGGCGGAGACGTTAATTAATGTTATGGCGGCGCCCCACAAGTGATGACGACAGCAGCCTCTCTAGCTCCAACCATCCTTCTTCCATAGGGAAGAATATACATCAGTCACCCATATTTCTCTCTCTACTATATCAATGCCGGGGGTCACCCACAACAGGACATGTACGTCGTTGCATGCATACCCAAGCCAGCAGTCTTCTCCCGACCCCCTCTGTCCAGCACCTCTCATCCCCGTGGGAGAAAAGCTGTTGCGGACTGATTCCAAGGCCCTTTCTCTGCTGGGTTTATGATTATACCTGTGTTGGGATATTGCCAAGTCTTCTCTTCCCCTCCATTCACTCTCCCCCACACTCTCTGTACGCCTTTGCCGTCACCGTTGCAAAATAACAGCAGTTTGGTATTGAAGGATTTGTTGATCCCTTGTAGCGGCACAAGCAGGGAGGAAGTCTTATCGGAAGATGCCTATGTGGTTTCTTTTCCTCCTACCGATATTCCTCCTCTCCTCCCAGGGAACAGGCGCCTTAACTCTTCTTCGAAGGGATAACCCTTCCGTTGTGGCATTAGATATTCGCCGCAACGATGTCCTTGATCCAGTGTCCAGAGACCGGACAAGACGGAAGCGAGATAAAACAGTCAGTCAAAAACTAGACAATCAGGTCTGTTGATACACCTATGCCTCGTTGATATTTCTTTTTGGGTCGCCCGGCGTACCCGTAATTAGTGAATACGTCTTCTGATAAAGTGGATAGGAAACCCTCTATTTCAGCAACGTGACCCTTGGCTCACCCGAGCAAAACCTGCGTTTAGTTATTGATACCGGAAGTAGTGACCTGTGGTGTAACGCAGCAAACTCTACTCTCTGCTCCTCGGCAGATAAGCCTTGCAATGCATCTGGTTCCTATGATCCAAACTCGTCATCGTCTTATGGATACGTCTCATCTGATTTCAACATTACCTATGCGGACGGGACCGGCGCGGCGGGCGACTATGTTACCGATGTATTACACATAGGCAGCACGACTATAAAGGATTTTCAATTTGGAGTTGGCTATTCATCAAGCTCCACGGGTATGTCAAGTATTCTGGTGTCTTTCTCCGATCCATTTTGATATGATTGGTGTTCGCATGACTGGCCAATAACTGACAAGAATTTGCTTCCAGAGGGCGTCTTGGGTATAGGATATGTCTCGAACGAAGTCCAGGTGGGCCGTGCTGGCAAAGATCCCTACCCTAACCTCCCTCGCGCCATGGTCAGAAATGGCCTGATCAAGTCAAATGCCTACAGTCTTTGGCTTAACGATTTAGGTGCACACACCGGCTCGATCTTATTCGGAGGCGTCAACACAGAGAAGTATCGTGGGAAACTTGAGACGTTACCCATCCAAACCGTTAATGGTGATTATTCGGAATTTATAATTGCCCTAACCGGCGTTTCGTATACCACCGGATCAGATCATCATAGTTACTTGTCAGGGGCACTCCCTGCCGCTGTATTACTTGACTCTGGCAGTTCACTGACTTATCTCCCTAATGCCATTGTGCAAGACATCTATGATGATCTTGATGTTGTCTACGATCCATCCGGCGGTGTCGGCTATGTGCCGTGCAGTTTGGCACAGAAAGACATCAATATAACTTATACATTTTCAAAACCCAGCATCACCGTTGGCATTCACGAACTCGTCCTTGATGCCGGTGATCTTCAATTCCGGAATGGTGCCCGTGTTTGTGTTTTTGGGATTGTTCCTGCAGGTGAAAGCACCGCAGTTATGGGTGATACGTTTCTCCGGAGTGCATATGTCGTATACGACCTTGCCAACAATGAAATTTCCCTGGCCAATACCAACTTCAATTCAACTCAAGATCATATACTCGAGATTGGGGCAGGCGAAGGCTCTGTTCCTGGCGCAACCGAGGTCTCTGACCCTGTTACATCGGTTGTTGCCGATGACTCCGGGGCAAGGATTGGTGGACCGACTGGCAGCATATTTACTGAGGTGTCATCAGCAAGTAGCACAGGAGCGGCTGTCAGCGCTGAGCCAACGGACTCTCAAGCACTATTTGCCTTGGGAGCTGCGGCCATCGGATGCATAGTAGCCTTCTAGAGCTCTTTGCCCTACCTTCCCTGCAGTCTTGAATGCTATCCCTGCTGGATTCCCACTGTCTGAGGCATTGAAGTTGCATTAGTGATGATTTCTGGCTTCTATTTTCCTTTATTTTTTGTCCTTGGGCCTAGGGCTCTCGATAGGCGGTTTAACGATGATGATGCTACGCGAAGGTTGTTTTGAAGTGATGAGAGATGTGTCCGAATGAATCCGTCAGGAGTCACCATGCAAGATTTATTATAGCTATACAATGCAAAACTAAATATAATACTACTTAGTCATTATTTGGGCACCAATCGCCGATTCCTAGTAGCATAACGACCGCATATGGTCCGCCCCCCTCAATGAAAGAGCCCTCGCTTGACCACATGTCAACCGAAATGACCTGGTCACGTTGAGAACCACTCGCCATGTCTTTGCACATCACCGCCACCCGTTGAGCCTGGACGAGGCTCCCACATTCAAGAACCGTGAGCTTTGCTTGAACACCAAGTGCCAACCCGATAATATAGTGAAAGAAAATGTCCTCCTGTCGAATTGTGTCAATTGTCGAAGCTCGAGACATTGCTGGGGGAACCAATGCAAGGCTAGGCTCGAACATTCGCACGCTGCGCGCCGTAGTACCATCCCAGAAAGACACAGGCGCTATGTATGGCGGGTTTGCAACAACAACGTCGCAGCGCAGTTTCCCTTGACAAGAAAATGCAGATATCCCACGGAGTGCGTCCTCGACACTAGGGGTTCTCCCGTTACCTGGAAAAAGCACATTCCCTTCTCGGAAGTACACGTCTTGTCCTGCTCGTTCGGATATGGACCCTAATCGGAGATTGTGCAGAAGGTTGCTGTTGGCCAGGCCAATGGCAATTGGACTGACATCAATACCAACAATGGAGACCTGCTGTAAATAGCGAGAAAGAAGAGCGTGAAGAAGCAATGATATACATCCAGATCCTGTACAAAGATCCATGATGCGTATATGATCCTTCTTCGCGCTTTCCCCGGTATGCTGATTTGAGCGCGTTTTCTCCAATATTAACTTAGCCGTACGCATGGTGAATGTCTCTGTTTCTACCCTATGTTTCCAAAATAGTCAGAGACAGTACCATATAGTAAGTGGCATTCCAGATAGAAGACGGGCACAATGCCCGGTGCGCGCCGTGAGAGTGGGACTGGTTGTAGAATCACCTCGGAATCAACACTCCTCTTCGGCACAGAATCTCTAGGTCTCCAAAAGGTTGATCACCAAGAATGTACTGCAGAGGTACACCTCTTGACCGAGCGCGACACATTGACCATAATAGTTTCTTCCACCTCGGAATAGTAAGCCCATGCGTTGCCTTTTTCTTTGCTGATAGAACAGTGGCTCGTTCTGTCAGCCAGCGAAGTTCATTACGTGCAGATTCAATTGTGCGGCATTCACGCAGCAGGAGAGGAAGGAAAGGATGCTGCCGGTATGTCTTTGCAATGAAGGCACTGGAGAGCCGAGGCATTGGCGCACGATTGTGAGCATGGGCGGAATTGACCAGGATCCCCTATGGCCATCGAATTAGCTTGACTAGATATGGGAGAGCTGTGTTCGGACAGCAGCATACGAGAGATGAAGTTGAAATAGAACGGAGGTGCCGCGCCCACTTGAATGTTTCTTGGCAACCTCAAGTTCTAACGCGGCAAGGCGCAAAAGACCCGAGCTCTGCTCTCGCGATCGCGGATGACTTTTGAATTGTAGTCCGTACTACTAACTATCGAATATTTCACCTTCTCCACTTTCCATAGAGACTCTCATACCATGCTCTATGGATACGGTCTTTATCTGGCACCGGTATACGAGCCGGATCTACTTTCTTTGCACAGAAGAATCCCAACGACGCCTCCTACTTAGAACAGAACACGATACATACAATACAAATAGGCCAAGGAATGCCCAATGAAACAGCCCGCAGAAAACATTGTTGATACATGAGAAGAATGACAAGCAGAAATCACCGTCCACGAACTTCAGTCAGAGGACCCGTTCGAGTGAGTTGCTGATTACCTAGGACATCCGAGATATTTCCATGCCCTGCCTTGTCCCGCTGACCAAACGCCGATAAGTGAGGTTCTAGGGATTCCTCAACGGCAGAAACACGCCGGTCCATGTCTTTGACGATGTCTGCACCGAAGAGTTAGTTTCGAAAATATACGTATAGATGTAAAGGGTTGTTCGGATAAAATCACCGAGGCTTTCATGTTCCCAGACGTTCGCCTTCATGCCCACCCCATAGAACGCATGCTTGCGTAGGAAAGCCAGCCATACTTGTACAACATGGGGGTCTCCATCCTTGACCTGCAACAGGCGACGAAGCGTTATCCTTTCGAAGTTTTCCTGGCTCTTCTTGTGCACGAAATTACTTCGAGGGAACGTCCAGCGTTCAGTGATTCGCGGCAGAGGTACCGGTCCCGAGACAGGAAGTTTGAGATAGTATGCAGCACGCATTGCAAAGTCGGCGAAAAACTCTACATTTCGTACGCTGTAAGACCTTAATTGCAGATCGCAGACGGGAAGACCATATTCGGCTTGCTTTCGAAGCGGTCGTAGATATACAGCCTGGACACTTCGGGGTAACCGAGTTTTTTGACTTAGGCCATCCAAGCGATCGGCCCTAACTTTTCGGTGAGCAGGCCTATCGAACCCGGTTTCTTCGAATTTTGGGCTATACATAGCTACTCACCACTCTTTCGCAGGCCGTCCAGGTGCTGGCTCTAGTTTCTCGGCGCTAGGTACGTGGTTTCGAATTAGCAATCGTTCGGGATGTATTCGAAATGGATGGGTCCCCAACATCGTGGTGTTTTCAATGGGCTTCTGATGATGACCGGAACCGAGTTGAGCATCCAAGTTGGAGGTTGCTAGACAGCGACGAGATATAACGGATGGCTAATTTTTCCCCCAAGACAAAAAGTTAGCGGTTCACGTAATCCCAGGAGCGTACTTGGAATTTTTGAGATTTTACCTGATTTCCTCTACCAGCCTTCGATAGAAGGTGGAAATTCTTGGGGGTGAACATAATTGAATCACTGGTCGGCCTGGGGAAACCTTGGACAAGACCCGTTTTGTTGTATGCTTTGAGGCTATTTTCTTTTGCTCCTCCGGCCTTTACGTAAGCAAACTCGGTGCCTGTGTCACATGATAGGTTCATCCACCCCGCGTAAAGCTCGATTGAGATGGATTCTAGTATTGACTGCCATGTTTAGTTTGTCCAACCCGAACAAAAGTCTGCCGAATTTCGTGTGAACATGGCCCAGACGCAGAAAGGTCTTTCTCATTTCGAACGGGCCAATGAGGCCTGTTCCATGTTAAGAGAACGCCTGCCACTCCCTCTGCAGAGTCCGAAAGTTGCCATTGTCTGTGGCTCGGGACTGGGGGGTCTTGCCAACACAATACACCCCGAACTCCGCGCAGAGTTTGATTACGCTTCCATCCCTCATTTTCCTCGCCTTACAGGTGAGAATTAGACTATTCCTATCTTGTCTGAAAATTTTAGTTCTTACACACCGAAGTCGCCGGACATGCCGGAAAGCTTGTCTTTGGGCTTATCAATGGGCAGGTTCCTGCGGTCTTGATGGTCGGTCGTGCGCAGTAAGAACCCTTTTAACGACCCGACCCTGCGCATCGGATTCCAACATTCAAACTTTCTAGTTACTACGAGGGACACTCCATTGATCAAGTGACGTTTCCCATCCGAGTTTTTAAACTTCTGGGTGTTGATACCGTTATACGTGAGTTTTCACTTGTCACTGCAACCCTGACGTTCTTATTCTAACAGCCATAACTCAGTGACCAATGCCGCCGGGGGACTCAACCCAGATTACGCAGTCGGGGATATTGTGCTGCTCAACGATGTATGTCCGTGTCGGGTTTCGTTTCTTTTTCTTTTTTAACCTTCCAAATTCTAATATTTCTGCAGCACCTTTTCTTGGCTGGATTGGCAGGGACACACCCACTGCGAGGACCGAACGACGAGAAGTTTGGTCCCCGATTCCCTCCACTGTCCGATGCATATGATCTTGAACTTCGTCGCCATGCACACGGGATCTGGAAGGCGCTGTCGCAGTCGCAAAATAGGAGACTGCACGAGGGTGTGTACGCCTTCGTTGGAGGACCAAGGTAAGTCAGCCCTACACTACCTTCGTATTTACTAAATGCACACCCATTGCTGAGTATTGCAGCTATGAAACCAGGGCAGAGTGCCGTCTTCTCCATCAGCTAGGCGCAGATGTAGTCGGCATGTCGACTGTGCCGGAAATCGTGGTCGCTAGACACAGCGGTCTCAGGGTTCTTGCACTCAGTCTTGTGACAAATACCGCCGTCCTCTCGCCTGGTCCTCGTGGAGATGACAGTTTACTTCAAGGCAAAGACACCCAAGAGCTAGACGCCATCCTGCAAAAGGGGAAGGCAAACCATGAAGAAGTTCTTGAAGCGGGCCGTTCTGCCGCCATTGATATGCAGGTGAGCCTCCCCCAACCCCATCTCTTCATGTTTCTCTGTACGCTGATGATGACTCCAATTGCAGCGAATCGTCACTCAACTTGTATCAGATGTTTTCAAAGATTAGTATCAAACATTTCGGTGCACGAATCCTGAATAGCGAGGTCTTCGGGGCCTTTCGCGCAACCAGGTCTTTAAGGGACTTCCTTATAGCTGTTTGCCGCCTTGGCTTGTTGGCTTAGGCTATGTTGGAGGCGGAAAATATCGTGTTCTTCACTTGCCCCTCGTGCCTCTCTTGGCTCGCAGGTTTTTGTAATAAAGTCCCTTGCCACTCTTTTTAGTAGCTTGGATGTCTTCGTATTTCGACTCGAAACGGTGAGTTTTTCGTTCCGAGGCCAGTACTTCTTCCACGAAGGTCTTCTTCCTATCTCTCTTCGTAATACGACCGCTGAAGAACTCGCCCGGGCCTTCGATGATGGTTCCAACATGAGAATACTGGGGCGGTTGGACTTTCCCATTTTCCTTTTTATAATGCCGTTTGGGATCTAGCACAGACCGCATCCGTAGTATTTGGAGATCTCGCTTGAGTTCCGGCGTCAATTCTGTCTTGGGGAGATTAAACCAGTCGGCACCTGCAGTTTGTTTCTCCTAGGGGCGGGACAGAAAATTAGCCAATATCCACACTCTATTGTTTACGGTCATAGACACGTTGATAGATATGCTCAGAGTAACTATGAAACAAATAGCTCTCATTGGCACAGCGCAGTCCAGGACGGACTGGTGAAGCTGCATCAAGCGCTTACGCGAAAGAAATGTTTTCCTCATAGCATGCATGCAAAAAAAGGTCGTGTACACACTGCTTACCTTGTTTGCTTTGGCATTCTCTGCCACCGAACCCTTCCCTGGATGTGGTAAAGTAGAAGCGCTCTTCTTAATGTCACCGTTTATTCGAGAGGAATCAGTGGTTACGATGTCATCTTCTTGACGGACGTATAATTGCTGTACGTAACCAGGAGATAGTTGAGGAATTCTATCATCACAAGCATTGCCTTCATGTTAATCAAATGTGCAAGCTTCGGGATCAAGCGAGGGAAAATGAAGGTAGATGCGAAGGCACATCTAGATTGCACAGGAATTCACTTGACGCATACCTAGGCGAAGGGAGCTCTGGGTGTTTTGTAATTGGCGTTGGGTTTTGCGATCGTAGTCTGTTTTCCGCCTCGAGCAGGAGATGTTGTATGTTACTGTCTGTCAATTCCGCCTCGCTGGGCGGAGCAGTATCGGTTGAACTTTCTGCTTCCATTCCAGTAGACTTGAGAGAAGTAAATGAAGAGAATGGTAGGAAAGGGGCGGCACACGGGCAAGAGGAGAGGTATTTATAGTTGAAATACCCGTAAAGAACAGCAGAGAAGCCACTTTAATTGGGTACTCGGCTGCCCAAGAAAATTTTCTACTGTGGGGCGGAGTATTAATGTTCCTCGTGCGACGGCGCTCGAAGTCCTGATTGTCGAAGCTGACGGGGAATGCATCACATGATATTTATGTATGTGATGTACTGTACATGACTATGTATAATACCGTACCTACCTTAGGTAGTATTGTATGTACCTATGTAAGATGAGGGACGTAGATATATTACCATACATACAATACACTCCACAGATTATGTCGTGTAATTATTGTGTATTTGGTATTACAAGCTGTTCGCAATCCCCGCACGGTGTTTCTGCAAACGTCAGTTCGAGCTACGCATGTGCTTGGCGCGGTTTGTTGCGCGTTTCAACCTCAGTACCTGACTTCCATCAACGTCCCCCCCTCCTCAAACGATATCACGCACACGTTACTCGCCATATAAGCTACCAGTGCCCTCTATCCATCGAACTTGCTGATATTGGCGGTATCCATTTCCAGACTAGCTTTGTATGATCGCATCTCCTAACTTTCTCCATAGCGCCCTACTGCCAATGCGCCTCGCCATTTCCTCAGTATCACACCTCCCAACGAAGCTTTAATCATCGACCACGACCTATTTCCACCATGGAACAAGCCCAACAGAATGCTGGACAGCAGCAGGGTAGACAGCAACCGGTATACGATACTAGAAATGGCGGTCACTATGGTAGGCGTGCCTAGTCGTGGCCCCCCCTCCCCCCAAAAGTTTGATACTTGATTGACGTTGCCAAACGCAGGTGCCAGCGCAGCCGTATGATTATTCCTATCTAACTTGACTTGAAATTTGTTTGGGATAACCAATCATCGGCTGACTCTCTTTGAACCAGCTTTCTGCACAAGGCTACGCACCTGTAGCTGAGCTTTACACGGGTACCTGGGCAAATGTACGTGTAGTGAACATCAGGCAATGGGAGACAAGGCTTATTCTGAATAGGTCAATCAAGGCCTGCAAGCAACAGCCCGTGATATTTTGACAACTTATTGGCAGCACATCATCAATCATCTTGAGTCCGACAACCATGACTATAAAATCCACCAACTGCCGCTAGCCCGTATAAAGAAGGTCATGAAAGCTGATCCTGAAGTAAAAATGATATCCGCGGAGGCCCCGATTCTTTTTGCCAAAGGCTGCGACATTTTTATAACAGAACTGACCATGCGCGCGTGGATACACGCCGAAGACAACAAGAGACGCACCCTTCAGAGATCAGACATCGCAGCAGCCTTGTCCAAATCCGACATGTTTGATTTTCTTATTGATATAGTACCTCGGGAAGAGGCCACGTCGCACGCGAAGCGAACGAGCCAGACAGCGCCTGCTGGCTCTTCAGGATCTGCAGGGGCGAGCCAGCTGCCACCCCAGCATGGAGTTCAGCACCCCCCTCATCATTTGGCTCCTCCAGAGTATGGTCTGGGCCAACATGGTCTTCAAGACCAAGAATACCGACAACCAACTATGTATACGGGTGCAGTACAATCAGACCCGACTGCCGCTTATGGGCAACCGCAGTCCCAGATGTTTGAAGGGATGTACGCCGCCTATCCGCACATGCCACCTCAGCAGGTATGTTCTGTCTTTCTAGTTCCAGAAAATGGATGGCCCTTAGAGATCTTCGTTAACTCACTATGGCAATTCCAGTGAAATCTACGAATGTCCTAGTGACCCAATTTCAGATCCCACCCAGGGATTTTGACGGCGTTTTTGCTTGTTCGAATGGCTAGTGGAAATATTCTCGGTGTTAATAAACATATCTTAGTTATTTGGCATACCTTGCCCCAGTATATTAACCTAGTCACATACCCAATTCTACTTGTGCCTCGAACTAGATCTCTGCTTTGAGTTTCATTTGATCTAATGCAATTTCAAACCCCCTCGTGCCCCCTCTCCAATACATCATCATAGGTAAAGGTGTGAACCATATTCAAGTCTTCTTCCCAAATCTTGAAGACAGTGTTGTGAATTTGTCAGTTTTGACTGGACTTTGAACAGTACGTGTGACCCTTGACGAAATTTAGTAAAAGAAAACACAAAACAAAAAGATCCTATAACAATTAATGGGACTCACTTTTCTAGAAGCACTGGCCCATTTATCGCGTCTACGCGGCCATACTTTTTATTCCGAGTCGAAATATCGTAAAATTCATCGGTGTTCTCGGCTTGCATCAACTGCACGGTTTGCTGGAGTTCGTCAAGATTCTCTCGCAGAATAGGAACGTCGAGACCATCAACAAAATCATATAGATACTCGACGTCCTTTGCCAGCGCCATGACGCCATTGGGGTTGATTCTTTTCACATCTGCCGAAAGAGGCAGTGCCTAAGCCAAGGAATTAGCAACTCCTTGTGAAATTCGGTGTTGCTTATAAAAACATACCAGAATCATGTTCGCGGCATGGCTCAGGGCATCGAAGTAAATGAGCTCTTTGATTTCGGTTGGAAGGCCGAGTAACGTCGAGTTCATTATATTAGACAAGAAACGGGTCAGCGTTTGCATGTAATTGCTTGGCTCTACTGGCGAAGCTTGTGCCATCCAGTCATATTCCGCAGTTTCAATTAGGTCATCGATCTTGGAGTTCACGACCTCAAAAATACGTTTTTCCGCTGCCTTTTTATTGCTTTTGAACTTTTCCGTTGCCTTCAAGGTAACAGATCCACCAAGGCAATTCTGAGACCTTGCGGCTGCCAGAAGCAGTTCAAGCTCATGGCACGCAAGTTCAAAATGCTCCAGATTGATAAGTATTTGTACAATCTGTCCCAAATACTGGGATGCAAGACGTTCCACAAGCGTATTGCAAACTTGGTTTGAAAGTAATTCGTCGATAGCCTACAATAATTAGTAACCCCTGCTAGCCATTATCCACCGGAACTTACATCTTTCAACGTTTCGTCGATGACGTTTGGATGTGCAAAATCATCGTTCGCGAAGAAGTAAAACTGATTCAAAAAATTTCGAATATCAATGCAACAAAGTGGATACATTTGGGAGAATGGCAGGACGCATGGGAAGCTGGGGTAAAATGTCAGTATAGTAAAGGATTTGCAATGACTCAGGGCTGTACATTTGTTCTTCCCGTGGCTTCTCGGGGCTATACCAGCTGACGTTGAGGACTTTATCGAATTCTTCTACCGTTTGTATTGGCATAGGCATATAGTCGTCCGTGGACACAATCTCCACGAAGAGAAGGACACTCGTCAGTATAACGGCCGGGGGGGGGAGGATGAAACAATTTGAGTCGCAACTTACTTCTTGGAAGTCATCACTGAACCTCTTTTTCAGTAACTCGGCATATTGCCTAAATAAGACCAGAAGGAATTTATCGAAAACACCAACAGAGAAATCCCATGCCTATACTTGTAAAGACCCATCAGCCAACTGAATTAAATATCGAGCGTCATGATCGGTTTGACAGACATTCATCGTTTGCATAAACAGGGCAATGAGATTCTTTATCTTCAGCAGGTTTTCTGCATTGTCAACTTCAGGGAGCGCGCTGGATATCAGGCTCACGGCAGTCTGACACATTGAATCCCAGAGTTCATCTACCTTTTCACACCTATCAGTTTCATCGGGAGATTAGAGCAAGGTGGATCTGGGACTTACATCGACTGGCGACCTTAATTCTGGTACCCTTTTCATTGTAGACCGCTCAACAATTGCAAAACCCGCCATTTCCTCCAAAAGATTATGCAAGCTGGAGCCATCCTCGTCAACGAGCGTTATCATCGCTGGTATTAGTAGTTCTTTTTGACGACGTCGGGTGTTGGCATACTCGATGCAGAATTTATCCATATGGCCCAGGGACTGATGAATATGCAAACACTCAAATAACGGGGTGAAGTCAACCTGAAGCTCCTCGTTGTGTAAAAGATCATATTCCTCATGTTCATCAGAGACCAATTCAATTGCCGAGTTCAATCTGAACTGTCCTAGATATGACATCTTGTCCGCCCTCTCTTTCTGCCTTGTTTTTCGCAGGTCAGTGTGATATAAAGCGATCTCTCCTAGATATTGTGACATTTCGCGAATCCTGTAAAGCCAGGTATTCAAATCAGACATGACTGCTTCAGCTATAGCCCTCTGGGTTGCTGGAGCTGAACGCTGGATCATGTCCGCAATTTTATACTGACTCACACCCTTCAGATGAACATTCTGAAGCTCTTCGAGTGCGCGGAGGGCGGCATAGTGATTCTTCTTTGCTAGTAGGTCATGAACCTGATTTGCAAGGCGTAATACCTCCAGGCAGCCTTGAATGGCACGACATGTTTCATCAATATTCTGTCGGTGTTTTCGAGATTCGACCAAAGCCTTCTTCTGCTCGGCCAGTTTTTCGGTACTAGCTTGGATTGATTGGTTGAGGTCGAGTATCTCCGCGGTGAGAGTGACTGTGCCTTCCCGAATGCGGAGAAGCTGATTGACCGATGTCACAAACTCTTGATGATTGGTGTTGCAAATGGTTTCAATCTCGGTCTCCTTGTCGCTAGCAAAGCTCGCCAGGGACTGGAGTAGTTGTGGCGTTCTGTTACCCACGCTATATTCTCTAATGGAAGGGATCAATTGGTCGAGGTAGTCGGTGTCTGATGGGGATATGATGATCTCACCGGCCGTACGAATTAGCAGGTTGTGTCGGTGGTTTTCTCCTGGGTTCTCACCTGGTTCAGGATATAGGATGGATCATTGCGAGGAGCCATAGAAGGCATACTGGCGACCTAACTAGAATGTGAATAGGACCTTGGAGCTTCCGCCGAGCGGGTCGTCGGGTGGGATGGGTGCGATCAATAAGGGAGGGAGGAAAAGGAAAAAGACGCGCTAAGATTCTGGGAGAATGCAGGAGGGTTTTGAATTTGATGGCTCGGCCATGTAGAGATATTCATTTGAGGTAAAGTAATACCGCCTTGATAGGTGTCTTTGCCTGCTGAACGACGGGCTAAGATCCATGAGAGATGCCGTCGGCAATGTCCACGTACAGCGTATGGTACTGGTATTGCTATGTATAGATCTATAAGGTACTGTATATTACTCAGAGTATCTTACCTTACTTAGGTACTGATGTATGTTATGGCATGTACAGTACCTACCTAGGTACCTAAGGTACTTTAAGATACCTTGTATCAGTAAAGCACGTTACATACCTGAACCCCGTACAGATGGATGCATACCGTACATCTATCTGTGCATAAATACAGTATGTACATGTACCTAAGGTAAGTACCTTACCTGCCTTAAGACACACGCCTTTAATATTCTGTCACTTAGATTAACCAGGTATTTACTATATCCACCCATGTCGCCTGAGCTGGAGGTGCTGCTATACCACCAGAGTACAGATTATTATAATCGCGGGGTGTGTTCAAGGAAACCCAATTCATAGAGTAGGTAAGTTAAACTGCTGTCTGGCTACTGCGTCCTAAATGCTGGGAATAGGGTTCCAGCGTTGTGCGCAATTCTTAGAGATGAGATGACTCAGGAGAGTGATAGAAATTTTTCAAACATGCCAGCTGTGGCCTCATTTATTTCGAGCACCGTGCCCTCCATTCGATTTAGGTTGGCCTTGATTCGTTTTACCCTGAGCAGCAGTAGCGGGGAGCCAGCATAATCATATGTCGTGGGTGAGTTCAAGTTCCCAAGGATGAAAACCAGGCCCAGGAATTTGCGTCCTCGGAGTGAGTATCTTAAACTGGGGTCAAAGGCCCGGCCGGATTGGAGGACCGGATTTTGTGCGCTGTATGTAGACAGACGCTGCTTGGTCCTTGTCGGGGTCGGTTGTTGGAACAGGACCAAGAGATATGTACCAGGGCATTATGGGTTAAACCAGAGGCCTAATCCTCTCACCCAGAGTCGTGCCATAACAGAAGCAGTGCATAGGTAAGTATGGTCCATAGTAAGGTAGGCCTGCCTACAACCACCCAAATCACCACTCCTCGAATGTGTTTGTAATGTTTTCCCTCCTCCCCCCCTCCCTTACCCTCAATCCCCGGTCTCTCATTCTCCTCTCCACAATAGTCTGGCACTCCCTCGAATAAAGAATCCAACTTCATGCCCCCTAGTCAACATCATCTCTATAGTGCCATTTTCTCATATTCCAAGTCCTCGCCCTGTTGCGAGTTTATCTGCTATCTTTGAAACGCTTTTGCGTCTGTTTTTCGTCCAGCTATTTCTTGATCTAACTCCCAGTCCGCGGCCCTTTCCGCCATTCACCATACTTGTAGTTGAGTACGGAAAGACTTGTTCTTTCTTTTGCCTTGCAAAATGAGAGCAAATGATACTCGTGGCTTGAGCAGCCCATGCTCTACTGACGGGATAACATCTCCCAATGGATCACCGGATACCAGAATCACAGCTTTTTCACCCGAAGATGTACGGTCAAAAGCTCGTCCCGAATCCAGTGCTAGTGGCGCATTGAACGACCCTGGACTCCGGAAGATCTATTCAGTGTAAGAACATATGCTGAATACATGTCGTATCATCCCCTAACAGCAGGCAGGGCTACTGCTGATCCATTTCTGGTGTCAACTGGCTCCGCTAGCCGAATGCAACTCTCCCCAACTGCTGCGAGCTTTACGCCCACAGCGGCATCAGACACGGCGGATAGTGATAGTCAAGCTCGATTCGTTGCAAGTGCATTTGTCGCCGGCGCTGAAAGAGCCCACACGAGTTTCATTGATCAGACCGTGTCTGACCACGAGACTTTCGGTCCTGCCCAGAATACTAGGAAGAATAACCAATCCGGTATTATGCTCGATAGATTTGATGCCGAAAGACGTAGTCGCGCTCTCGTCATTGAGAATGTGTCCACAAATCTAACTTATATGGCACTGGCCGGATTCTTTAATGTAAGTTTATCCTCCTAGTACATGTACATCTCCCCAGAGGAGGAATTGGCCGATGAGGATGGTACGTATAAGACGTCACTAATTCTGCAAAAGCGCCGTGAATTCACAACATTGAAAGGGCCTGTTCTCACAGAGCTGAGCTCCATGGGGAAGGTATACGTCGCATTCACAGACAGTCGAGAGGCGAAGAAAGCCTTAGAGAAGATATACCTCCTTCGACCAGACTGGCGTGTGTTTCCCCTTACAGCTAGGGAATATGTGCAGCACCTGGAGCCGTCCCATCTCCCTCAAACCTCGGACTATGAAGGCCAATTGCTCATCACGGTTTACTATGATAGCCGGAATCCCAGTCTAAACCAACAGAGCGTGGCTCGCTCCATCGAGACACTCGCAGAGACATTTGGCGATATCAAGTTCTTCCATCTTTTGCCCAACGGACAAGAGAATATCGGACAATTTCATCTTGAATTTTTCAATACGCGCGATGCCGAGAACGTGATGACAACTCTGAATAAGACCTCTGTTGATGTAAGTTGAGCCGAAACCCGAAGCAATAGACTGAAGGGAACCAATTTCTAAACCTGAGTCGGAAAACAAAAGGACTGCGTTCTCGAAGTTTCGTATTTCAAGCCGGACACAGAGGGCTCTGCTTTTCTTTCTGCCGTGTCAAGCCCATCTCCTGGGAGGGATAACATCTCCAGAAGTGAGATATCGTCTAACAAAAATGCATCTTGGACTCCAAGTCGACCAAATCGAACACCTTACATGGAGCTTAGCCCAACGGGTCGCTCTACTGTACCCCCAGGTGAGCATGCCGATCTTATGGATTGGATGTCCAGGGCAGGGGAAAACGTCATGCCTTCACCCCGCCGTGAGATGAGCCAATACTCTGATCTACGTGTGGGCAACCAAAATGCTGTAGATACAGAACGCATCCGTCTTGGTCTGGATGTCCGAACTACAGTAGGCACCTGTCATTACCATCCTCGATGAACATGGCTAATAATTTGAAATCTAGATCATGCTCCGCAATATCCCGAACAAGATTGACCAGGTGATTGGAAGATACTAAGTTTGAAGGATGATCAGTTGAAAGCTGACCTGAGAAAAAGACTATGTTGAAGACCATTGTTGACGAGACAAGTCACGGAAAGTATGATTTTATGTACCTACGAATCGGTAAGAAAGAAACAGCGACTTTCTTTATCACGCTTTCCATCGAGGGCTAACACGAGCGAGGAAAGATTTCGCGAACAACTGCAAGTATGTTAAGTTTCAATGTCACCATGGTGTCTACCGTACTAACCATGATTGTAGTGTTGGCTATGCTTTCATAAACTTCGAAGACGTAAGTTGCATTGGACTTTTTTTGCCTCTCATTACTGACGTGATCTTTTAGCCAATCGACATTATTGATGTTAGTATTCATATTGTACGAATGCCTCAACGATGCACTTACCATGTCATGTGCTAGTTTGTTAATGTTCGAGCGGGGCGCACCTGGTATATTTTGCCTTGTCCTACGGAGTTGGCCAAGATGATGTTGATAATATGATACAGGAACTGCTTCAACAGTGACAAAGTAGCTGAAGTATCATATGCAAGTAAGTTTGGCTTCGCCTGTGGCTTGATTGCCATTATCTGAAAGACGAAATTAGCCATACAAGGTAAAGATTGCCTGGTGCAAAAGTTTCGAAATAGTTCGGTGATGTTGGAGCATCCATCTTTCCGCCCGAAAGTCAGTACAAGCATCCCTTCGGCAGTATCGAAAGCTGTTCACACCGAGACTGTAGATTTTCCATACTGGTACCGGATCTCTGGCTGGCACCGAGGATCGTTTCCCAGGGCCCGACAACCCTTCGAAGATGCGTCGCAGTATTGAAAATGCTGAGCATGTTGGTGAGCAAATACCCAAGCTACAAATTTTCAACTGAATGATGTATCTGAGACGCCCTGTACGATTTAGGTTTATTTGCTCCGCGAGTTGGACAGCAATATCGTGATGAGCAGCGCCGCCGTCGCTCACAATATGATCGCGGTACTACTGCTGCCGAAAGGGAAATTGTGTACGTCCGAACTCTTGCTCCCAAGCACACGTCTGGTCTGAATAGTGGCCTAAGAAGTGCCCCCTGCACTTACCCTGGAATGAAAATATGGTATGATCCTATTGCCGAGCGCGGCCCAAGGACCTCCTGACTTGCTGTATGACATCAAATCGCTCTCTTCACGACGAATCGCTCGTGGCAAAAGAAAAGGGGGGGGAGAAGAGGAAAGAAAAAGAGAGAGAAATAATGAGTGTGTGTAAGAAGATCATCTGTTCTGCCTAGACGATTTCCTGCTCGATGTTGCCCAATGTTGTGACCCTGTACTATACGATGATCCTTTCCAGGTTGAACCCCGAACGAGGATTTTCATTTGGCACCCGACTGTATCAACACCGTGAATTCATGGGAGCAAGTGATTCAAGTGCTGGACTGCTTGAATGTGATATCGCAGTTTGAGTCTATGTGTTGGCCTAGGTAGTCTCCGCTTGGAAGACTTTCTCTGTGAGATTTAGGTGTCCTTCCATCAGCTTCGGCTATCAGGTTCTAGAATTTCAAGGCAAATGGTCTAACCGACCCTGGCATCATCTAAACGAGCACAGTGTGATGTAGATACTACTAATCATATATGCATGCATGTAACTACGGTTTCTCCGGAATTAGGGCACGGGGTCGACCGTCAGTCTGACTCAGCATGGTCGCGCGCATAGTCAACTACTCCTACTCCGTACTCCGTCAGTACCTGCTAAGGTACCTATTATTATGAACCTGCTCAAACCGGGCAGCGAATCTCATTGGCATGCCGTGCATATGGATCACTGCCATCCTTTCCATCATAAACCTGGGGTAGCAGCATCGACCCAGAGCCATTGGTGATTTAACTCGGAGGTGGACATAGTGAACGGACTTAATCTTTTTCTCTTTCCTTTTTTCAACATCGAGTTTTTTTTTTTCCCCAGTGAAGGAACCCCCCCCCCCCGAGACTCAAGCCTTACAGAAATGGAATCAGAACCAATATTTGCTATCCATTCGACTCTACACCTAATTTTCCATCGAAACAAAAACCAGCACGGCAAGACAAAATGGTGGAAGTGGCTCTCCATCTTGAAGCGGGTTACTTTAAATCTTGCAAGATCTCTGAGATATGAGGCATCTCACAGCCATGCAAATGAGGCTTCTACCATATACAGGCAATACCTGGCAACAGATATCATGCCAAGATGTTACCTGTAAGTTTTGAAGGGGGGACTCGGGGCAAACATATTGTCAATTTCGTTGTTTTCTGACCCGTACAATCGGTCTCTCGATAGGGCCTTCTCGACTGTTGTTGCAGACGTGCAATTTTCCACAGTCGGCACAGTTCTTCTGGCCACATTGGCTCGTCTGGCGAAAGCAACGGGTATTGATAAAGACCTAAAGAACACATTCCGGGTAGACAAAGCCAGCAGAAGTAGAGCCCCATCCATCAGCCTTCAAAATGCGGAGGACCTAGGAGAAATTCTTTCTCGGAAGCCCCCATCTCCGCTGCCCAAAGAACCTGTTACCAAAGAGTCTGACGTGGCAAGGTCCGGCAGTATCTCCAAGATAGCGAACACGGCAGGTGGGCATACGAAGAAATCAAAGAAGCGGAAAAAGAAGGACGCTATTGATGACCTGTTTAATGGTTTGTTGTAGTGTTCTCGAATTTAATATATCTAAATGACCTCAGGTTCTAGCTTTACAACCTCTTTTCAGGTAACTTCATTCGCATTTTCTTGTTGTCTTTTGTCTCTCCCCATCCCTTCTCTTTCACTTTGTTCGTGGCTGCTTTAAGGGTAAAAACACCTTCATCATGTAACTACAGGGAAGGTGAGTTCCCCTAGCAAGTTCACAGCCATATGGTAAAGAATGGCCCAAACTGTGGTGTAAAGGTATTTGGGCGAAAAAACCGTCCAAATAAAGAGATGTGTTCTCAAGAATGTGCAGGCGGCCATGACCGAGAGCAACATCGTTGCCGTGTGGAATGTGAGGATCGTTACATGAGACTGCTTTTCTTTTCGAGACTGTTTTCTTCGGAGTAGCCAACTCGCCGATGTCCACCAAATCGGGCCAGCCCAATTGCCTATGAAGGTCAGGATACCGACGAACACAACATTGTAACTTCCAATGCCGTTATATGCGTTAGATAAGTCGACTGACGATATTGCATTAGAGCCCCCAAAGGCGAAATAAGTGGTATATTGCATGAGTATTGACATGATGGCCAGCTCGATTGGTGGCAGCTCCACCGAGCCCAGAATGATGAGTTGAATCCTGAAGATTAGAAAGATAGGGACATTGGCTATCCTCGACTGTGTCACAAGCAAGAGAGTTAAAGCTTCGTGAACAATGGTGCTCGGCCCTGATCCTAATTCTTTATCAGCATACGCCGCCATGGATCACAAACAACAACACCTTGACGTGCTTACCTTTCCGAGGTTGCGAGGGCCCCGACGTCTTCCGAAGGTACATCGCACCAGCCACGAGTAGGAATATTCCACAGTCGACAAATCTCGCATGCAAAACGAGCGGTATACCACCGACAAGCCTGGCCATGGGCTCTAGGACAGAGCCACTGAGCAATTCAAATGAATCCGATGCCACGGAGGCAAGTTTGAAAAGAAACGCTGCCACTACCACCACAAACACCATGACGGCCCACGTTACTGATCGAGAAAAGCCAGAAACAAGATGGAGGCAAACATCCACATATGTCAAAATCACCAAGGCCCACAGGATATGTGGATGGGAAGGTAAGAATGCGCGTGCAACGTCAGGTTCGGCAGCGAACTTTTGGCCAGTTTGGTTCCACCGTCGCAATATTCGGTGAGAAGCCGCCAGTCCAATAACACCAAGCTTGGCGAACAAGACGCCAGTTGATTTGTGTTGGGATTTATAGCCCCCGAGAGCAGCGCTAAAGGGTTTGGTATATAAAAAGAAGATCCACCCCACACATAACCAATACCAGAACTGCTGCTCTTCCTCGACATAGCTACTTGCAAACATCATACCGCCGTAGCTTGAGATGGCGAATAAGAGGAATGTCCCGGGACGTTTGTATTTGCAGAGAAGACCCTGAAGCGGGGCGAAGGACAGCCAGACAGCAACACCAGTAACACACATGCCTATGTGAAGACTTTTAATGTCATAATCACTGGCAGCGCTGCTCATCAAGGTTTGGGCACCTCTCAAAAATGACAAAAGGCTGGTCTCCGCATCGTCCCCGAAAGCGCCATCAGGAGCGAGCACACGAGACCAAGCGCATTGAACCTCCTCAATACCCTTTGACGGCTCAAGGCTGCACAACGGGGGCATCGATTCAGGTTTGAATGTGTGGCCTGGAAACGCTGCCTTGACTACTTGAAGCATTTGCTTGGAATTTTCCATGAGCATGTGAATTCGTTGTGATCCTGTTGTATGATTAGTAACGGGTGTCTTACTCGGGGAGGTAAATTGCTCGAGTAGAAGACAGGGGATCTTACTGCCGTGCCACATCTGCAGAAGCTCGGGAATGAATGTGCCCAAGTTATTCATGGGAACTGGGAGACCAAGAAGTCCAGCCAAAGTTGGTGTTATATCTGTCTGCTCAACGGTCCGATAATATTGTAAATCGCTGGCGGGTTCTGCTGGGCTTTCGTTGCGAATCCCCATCTTTTTGAACGCTGGTGATATGAAGAGCAATGCCGGCGAGGTTTCGGTTACAGATGAACCTCCATGGTTGCCTGCATCCGTCATCCCATGGTCTCCACAAACAACAAAGAGAGCAGATTTAAGGTGCTCTTCCCGTTCTAACGCTGTGTAGACCTGAGTGACAACCGAATCCATCTCCTGTTGCTTGGGTATCATAAATGGACTATAGTTGCGTCAGGATCGTTAGACGGGGTAGACCCGGGCCAAAACAAAGCCTTACCTTCTAGGGCCAGATTTATGTCCTATGTGATCCAACCCCAGATAGTGAAGGATGAGGGCGGACCAGTCGTTACGCAGAAGTTCATCTGGTATGTGGCGGGTCACATTGTTGTCTACTTCAGTAAAATCCTGCAAAATCACAATGAGCATGAGTCGACCAACGTCAGGGAAGCTTTAATTGCTACTGACCGACACAAAGAAACTTGTAGTTCCGTCGGCTCTGCTAAACATTCCCGGAAACAACTTCAACCAAGTGTCATCGCCATACATGACAAGCTTGTCACCATTGGCCTTTAGCTGCGTCAACCACGTGTCTTGGTGGGCAAGTGTGGATGAAGTGTCTGTTTCAGCGATGTTAAGAATCACATCCAAAAACGAGGGCACGGAGCCTGTCGTTATAGCCTTAAGTCGAGGCATTGTGACGGTAGGGGAGCTAGCATAAGCAGTGAAGGGCAGCGCAGCGCCGGCCCGAATCAAGCTAGGAAACATGCATGAGTTAGCCGGTCCGAAGACACAAAATCAGAGGGGAAAAAAAAAAAAAAAACGACTTACCCCTGGGTAAATGAAAATCCAGAGCTGTTCGAATAAACAAAGTCACTAGGAAAGAGGTTTAGTGAAACACTGGCATTTTACTACGGCGCAAAAAACCTTCCCTACCTGCGCAGTGCATCAATCACCATAAAGATGACTTTGTCGAACACTCTCGGTGGAATTTCATCTTTCCTCCTCCCCTCATGGCTTGCAAGTCCAGGTAGAAGAGGTTTGTAGGGGAAGAAGCCTGCGGAGAAGAAGATCACGGCTATAGGAATCAATACATTGGCGAGTAAGACCGCCGAGGATTGGGGGATGGCGTTCATCCCACGCTTATACCAAAATTGCATTTGAAGGCTCTGCGCTAATATTCATGGGGGATTCCGAGCCCGACATGCCTTGGCTTCGACACTCTTCATTTGACTGGGAAGGTATTCGTGTGAAAAGGAGCTTCCTGGGGATTATTGAAAATACTGCTAACTAACACCGCCTTCCGGATCCACAGCGGACTCCAGTTTCGCCCGCCCAGAGTGTCGTGCACGTTTCAATTCGATGTTAGCATGGCCCATGTGGTGATGGGCCGGCCCAGCTCGTCGAGCCTTATAGTCCCATTATCTGTCTGGCCTACGTGACCTATGTGGCGGGGTCACTTGGAGCCAAAGATCTTTTCTCCCGGAAACATATTGAAGTACCTTGGTATTGGTAAGACAAACACTGCAGACGCATTCACGCGTAGCAAGGTGTGTGCTGTTGTAGCACTTTTTGAATCAAAACTAGCACCGGACGCCTTATTTCCCCCCCCCCAATGTCATAGCATCTGCACCCCTTAATCACTTCCTCTTGGAACCTTTCTTGGCCTTGGATGGATGGGAGCGGAAGACAATTGATGAACGATTCTTTCGGTTGCTGTGGCGTTTGTGAATGCGGCCTGATTTGTGGGAACTTTTGGCGGACGGTTTATCAATATCCATGTCTAGAAGGGGTCAGCAATTCTGAACTGAAGCATCCACGTGCATATGGGGACGGAAAATATCAACCTTCACTTGGGTCGGATAATTTGACTTGCGCGGCGCCATCGTTGTCCTCTGCTTTTTGTAAGTTGACGATTGCAGACATGGCAGGACTTCCCCGGAGATAAAGAAACATACCCATTTCAGTGGTTTTGTTTTCCGCGTTTGAATCGTCCTGGGTGCTTGGCTTTGGCTGGGAAGCAAGCTCCTGAAGCTTTGCAGAAAGCCGTTCAGTCCGTGCATCCACTGCAGGACCAAAGACGGTGGCTCGCAATTTAGCCTTATTGCGCTTCGAAACGCTGGCCCTAACACTCTTTGCCATGGTCCTCCAGTTCAAACGGTAAGATGAGAGAAAGAATATGAGAGGACAGGTAGCAGTCAGGTTACAGAATCAATATCGGCCCAATGTCCAGTTTGTTCAAGAATAGAGAAGGAGGAATCTTCTTTGTGGCTTATGTGGTTTGCTCTGTCGATGTTCCCCAGGAAAAAAAAAAAAAAAAAAAAAAAAAAAAGATAACGGATGCTGATAAACCATTTCTTATGTCATCACTCACAGTCGGAGAACCTCACCTCCGCAATCATCATCTCCGGCTGAGGTAGGCCCTTTGCCTCAGCGCTTGACAAATTGGGCTCATGTGAACAGTCCTTGTCATTGCCTGTCACCGCAGATTTGGACTGTGGTTATCTACGAACTGTCTGAGCCAGAATCTGCCCGTCTGCCACCGTGCTACCAGCATCGAAACAGAAAGAAGGATTGAAATGTCGAACACAACTGCTGGAAATGGCACTTCCCTTCTGAATCACATATCCCGAGGTTATATTCACTGAAGACGGTCTGGAAAATTGTGACACCTTGACTTTCGCTCCTCTTGTTGCCTCTGACCTTGTTCAATCCTAATCACCATGGCATCTTTCGCCCAGGCACCAGAGCTTCAGAGCGTGGTGGCCCTGATAAAAACATTAACAAATGTACAGCTCAAAGACATTCTCAGGAATGAGGGACTCGCTGTCTCCGGGGTTAAGGCCTCGCTGCAGCTTCGGATCATTGACTGTGTGTTAAACCCACCTCATTCTCGATTTTACTGCCTCCATCTCCGGTGGTCTTGTTTTTTCTCTTTCTTTTTTTGCGGGAAACCCAGAAGTTCAATCCCACTCGCGTTGAATATATATTGACCATTTTGATTTAATCAGTTATTGAAAGGCTTTATCAGGGAGGCCAGAATGATCGCTACGATGGTTTGAGGAGATTCATATATGCAACAGCACATCGGCCATTACCAGGAGCTCCCCCAGCACAGCAACTACCTAACTCACAATACCAATCGCCCTCAGCTACGCCTTTGTCTACGTCGCATCGGCCATCCCCCCTCGGCTTTCCGATGTCAACCAATAGATTAAGTCCTGGTAAACGAAATCTGACCTTTTATCCCTCCAGAATCTAGACAGGTTCTCACATATATCTAGAGCGATTGAGTTTCAAGGAAAGCCCTTTCTACACGATAATAGAGCAGCTTACTCCCACGGTCGAGTGCAAAGGTATGTAGTTGATATTTCTTCTCCTTGTTGGCGTGCGATTGTAACTAACGCTTTGAAGTTCGCGAACAGACCAGGGATTATGTGGAACTCAAAGTTGTTCTTACACCACCTGTCATCACCCAACTGCAATCCGATCCTAATATACGGATAATGATCTATTGTGCCGCGGACACCGGTCTCAATCAGCCCACAAAATCAGACATTGCCTTTCCCCATCAGGTTGAGCTCAAGGCCAATCTTGATGAAGTGAAGGCGAATCTGCGAGGATTGAAAAATAAACCAGGTACAACGCAGCCTGCAGATGTGACAAATTATATCCGCAAGAAGCCAGGCTATTCCAACAATGTCGTTATGACCTATGCCTTGACACAAAAAGTAAGTATGAGGTTGGCATCGCCCATGTATACCTCCTTCCCTTCTCATATCGCAACCCATTTTGTCGTGTTTGAGATGTATGCCTGTGTTCTAATATCTTAGAATCAGAAGTTCTTTATTCGGGCCAATCTTGTACAACGCCATCCGGTGGAAGAGCTTGTGGCTGAATTGAAATCGAGGAAGACCATCTCTAGGGACCAAGTTCTGCGGGAGAGTATGAATTTACCCAATCCGCCGCGCATGAAGCTCACTAACGTTCAACAGTGAAAAGCAGGGCGGATGATACGGACATTGTTGCCACATCCAGCGTTATGTCATTAAAATGCCCTCTGTCCACTCTTCGAATCGAGGTGCCCTGTCGCTCTGTGAAATGTACGCATAATCAGTGCTTTGATGCATCGTCTTTCTTGCAATTACAAGAACAAGCACCAACCTGGTCATGTCCTGTTTGCTCCAAAGCGACGAGTTTTGAATCTCTACAAATTGATCAGTGAGTCAAATGTCCAGTACCTAGGATGGTCCAACTAACCCCTATAGGTATGTCGATGATATTCTCCACTCAACCTCGGGAGACGTCGAACAAATTGTCATAGAGCCAGATGGCACATGGTCAAGTCCTAAAGGCGACGAAAACGGGGCACCAGGTGGCGCTACCCCCGCAACAGACGACGACTACAACGAGGAAGAAGAGGACGATGACTTGATAGAAATCAAGGAACCCGGAATTCCAACTGTCAAACGGGAATCTCTTCCCAGTCGCAATCTAACCCTACAGCGGACCCCAGTTCAGTCGCGCGAACCTTCGACAGCATCATCCATAGCTCGCCCGTCTACGAATAAGCGCCCTGCAGCCCAGGTTATTGATCTTACCGGTAGTGATGATGATGACTCGCCCGTGAGGCCAGCTAAACGTCCAGCATTGGATGTGTTCAGCCGCTCTCTGCCGCGACAAGGCTTCCGCAGCTCGTACAGCGGGGGGACTGTCAATGGGAAGGTCAGCCCATATGGGAGCCAACATAGTCCCGAATCATCCGGTAGAATCGGTGGGTATGATGCATGATAACTGGTCACTTAAATCACTTGCATGGAGTTGCGGCGCTTTGTCCCCTTCCCTCCACCTCCTTCTCCCGATTTTTTTTATATCTAATTTGGGGGGTGTTGCGGCAGGGAAGGGGCCTGCTTGAATTTGGTCCAGGTTAAAAGCATGGGACACGAGAGTCCTCCAGGAGTTGCGGATGAAAGCGAATTCAGTGAATTCATTTATCTAATTTCGGTAGTCCTGCAGCGTAGGTGCTTATGTAGTACGGAGTAGGCATGCAATAATGTATCCTCCCTCATGGGGGTCTCGACCCACTTGGAGCGAATGATCAGATCCGCCTCTCCGCACCATTTATTTATTCATCCTCCGCCTTCAACGCATTCAACACACCTACCACGTCCCCCGTCCCTTCGCCTTCAGCACGCTATCGTCACCACCTCCGACAATATTGTCTTTCGGGATGTCCTTCGACGCATCCAGCTCGGCCGCCATTGTCGGCGAACCTAATGCACGTGTTCTGAACACGTCATGCCTCGACTTCCTTTTGATCGAGCTCGTGCCCATGGCCGAACGATTGACCAAGGAGCTCGCGGTAGAGGAGAAGCTCCTAGATGACGACGAGGTTCGAGAAACGACTTTCTTCCGCCTCGAGTCACTGGGCTATCGGGTTGGTCAGGGCCTTGCCGAGCGGTAAGCATCGCTCCTGTTGCGGTATCATTTCTTCTGCTCCCGGGGAAATGCGCGACGAGTGCCCGGCTTGTTGCTTTTTGTTCTTGAGTGACTGACCCCTCTGGGCCTTGCGCAGGTTCTCTCGAGACCGCCCGCGATTCACCGACAACCTTGACGTTATCAAATTCCTCTGCAAAGACCTATGGACCATTCTGTTCAGGAAGCAAATCGACAACTTGAAAACCAACCATCGGGTCCGTTTTATATATTTCATAAAACAAGCCGTTGCTCACTCGTGAGGGCAGGCTTGCTAGAAGCAGGTAATGCTGATCGATTCCTTTCCTTTTCTAGGGCGTGTATGTTTTGACCGATAATTCGTTCCGTCCGTTTTCGAGAATGAGCATGTCGGTGCGGAGCGAAGCCGTATCTATGGCTCAAGCGGTATGAAATGAATCACTCACCTGCACTGCCCACATGGGATTCTTCGCCCACGCTCTCTAACCGCGGCCCAGTATCTATGGTTTCCATGCGGTGTTATTCGCGGCGCGTTATCAAGTTTAGGCATCCACACCACGGTGCAAGCGGAGACGGCCGAACTCCCAGGGGCGACATTCCAAATCAAAACACTTCAACCCAAGCCTTGACCGAAAGACATGTTTTATTTCTCTCCACCGCGAGCACCGCCCACCCCTCCGCGAGTATCCTACGCCCGCCTCTTGCAAACTATCCGAGGAGGGGGAAGGAAAAGGGAGTGGGAGGGGGATTCATGGACCTTGAAAAGGGCTCCGAAGAGATGGCGGAGGGGAGCAGAACTAATCGGATAAGCTCGTGGGACATGCGCTCAAAGGTGTCATAACATGGGATCGCGGCCTCGCCGCCAGGCCTATGGGGACTAATTGCAGGTACGAAGAATGATTATTTATTTCAACTATGGGCCTGCGCTACTCTGCATTCGACAATCCGCCGACCGTCGTCCACAACATTTCACTCGACCTCACTTGTCGCATAACTTCAAAGCCTATCTTTCCGGGATCATAATGATTAGCAGGGTTCTTTCCATATCCTCGGGTTTTGTAAAGGGGCCACTGAAAAGGGGGGTTTTTTTTTCAGTGGAGAGAGTGCGCGAGCCAAAGTTCATCACCGACCGGTCAAGATAACCGCGGTGAATGAGAGGCAGGGATGGGCGTGTTTACTTTTGTGGTGGGTTCTGGATGAAGTTGATGCCCTTTTCAATATTGCCCTTCAGACCCTCCGTGCAAGCTCCAAGAAGCTTCTTCTCCTGTTCGGTCACGCCCTCGAGGACGTTGATTGCCTTCTCGGCGCCCTTAGACTATCTATAGTGTTAGCGTACCCGTCCACTCAACGAGGAAAAAAAATTGGTCCAGCTGATGAACGTACCCCGAGTTCTACATGAGTAGAGAAGAAGTCAACACCCGCTGCCTTGGCAATAGCTTCACCGCCGGGCACGCCGGGCAAATAGACAAAGGTGGGTTCGACGATGCCCTTCTCGCCCTTGAAAGCCTTGATGACACTCTCCGCAAACCTATGGTAGATTAGCATCCACGACTATCTTTCCTTTGACCACGAGGAATCAAACCTGAATCCGGCAAAGGCCATGGAAAGCGTGGCGGATCCTGCGCCATCCTTCGCCTTAACGACCTCATCGCCACCAAATTGGACACCTGAGGCGAACCGTTAGCTAAAGTGCCCGGCCTCGGAGCGCATGCGTGTGGAGTACCCACGTTTGACCAATGCATCGTACTTGTCTGCGGGGATCTGGAACGAGGGGGCGGTCTTGCTGAAAAGAGGAACAATGGTCTCGCCCGAGTGGCCGCCCACGACGGGGATCTGAACGGCGGAGGGGTTCTTCTGGCCCGAGAATTCTTGGGTAAAGGTCTCGGCACGGACAACATCCAATGTGGTAACACCAAACAGGCGCTGGGGGTCGAAAACGCCGGCCGCTTTGAGCACTTCCGCGGCAATCGGGACCGTAGAGTTGACGGGGTTTGAAATGATGAGGATGAAGGCTTTAGGAGCAAACTCAGCGATGCCCTTAACCAAGTCGCGTACGATTCCAGCGTTGACCTTGAAAAGGTCGTCACGGGTCATGCCCGGCTTCCCTGTGCCAAGTTAGATGGTGTCGCCACGGGTCGGGGGCGAGACGTGACGAACGAGGGATTCCAGCGGGGATGACAACCACATCGGTTCCGGTCAGTGCGTGCTTCAAGCCGTCATCCTTGGGCAAGAAGCCGGAGATTTTCTGCTCGGATTCGATCAGCATGGGACCGGCGTCCCTGGTGGCCCATAAGGGCTCACGGGGGAGACTGTTCCACATCCGAGGGCACGTACCGCAACGGAGGAGATATGAGAGAGGTCGGCAGCAACACCGGGAGTGTTGACCACATCGTAAAGAGCAAGCTCGTCAACCAGCGGGCACGTTTTCAGGAGGAGAGAAAGCGGCTACGGATCAGAGAGAGAAGGGTATTGTCAGCCATGGCAAGGCACGAGAATTCCCGGGGGGGTGGAGGGGTAAGGGAACAAACCTGGCCAATTCCGCCAGATGCTCCAAGAACAGCTAGCAAGCTATGTTAGCAGCCGGATAAGAGATACGGAACCAAGCGCACGGGCTGTTCTCACCAGCTTTCACCATGATGTCGGATGTGAATGTGAAGATCTCTGAGGTGGGATTAGCTATAGTTCGAGCAAGGTATTGATGAGAAGTGGAAGAGAATACTTGAAAGGTGATGAAAATTGAGGGGGGAAGAAGAGGGGAGGGAAAGGAAGGAAGTGGGGGGGGGGGGGGGGGGACGAGAGGGCGAGGAAGATCGAGAGGAGGGAGGGGTAAATGGAGGGGGCGCAACGGTGAACCAGTCCGGGCAAGTGGCTCACGGGGGGGTCAGGAGATCAGGAGATTGGATTGGGGAGGCACTCACTCCGCAGGAATTTCGGACTGGGAGGTTACGGAGAGAAGAAGCAACGCGAGGGGACGAGGCCCACCGTTATATACCTCTTACCTCCCTTGGCAGCTGCTACTCCGTACTACCCCGGCAGGTCCTGTAGTACCTACCGCATGAAGTACCTGGTACCCGGACGCCCGCCGCGCCGGTCCTGTACAGACCAAGTCCCCGGTACCTCGGGGTTCCAGATCACATGTGTGGGGGAGCTGTCAAAAAGAACGTCCTACGCTCTCTGCGACCCTCGAGGCACAATAACACTATCCTACGCGGTGATTCAACCTCCGCCTACGGCGACGATGACGATGAGAATTCCTGGAATCCCGGTGGTTTTCGTGCCCACCTTGAACGTCCATGACCGAGGATTCAGTCTCCCGAATTGGTCCTTGAATCGGGAAAAGGCGGATGATCAAAGATCCTACCGGGGCAAACAGTGGTAGTTCTGCCTACAGCTCTCGGCCCGACGAACGGCTATCGGAGCACATGGTGGCTACTGCATATCATCCGGACAAGGGCAACCTTTCGTTCTCTTTCCCCGGGATGGGAAGTCGGATAAGGCTTCCCCCGTGGACTAGTTATGGGCAAAGCACGCCGCTGGTTGCTTTGCTTTGCGTTCCTTCGTTCTGTCTGGATTTCCCTTGCCTTTTTTGGGTTTTTGAATTTTTGATTCTCTGCAGGGTTGGCCGGGCGGGCCGTAGTCCCGGTAGCAAATATTGCTAAATTACATGGACACTTCCTGCCCTTGCCCAGCACGGGCCTGTGCGTGCCCAGATCTTGTGATCTTATCTCCCAAGTTTTGTTCGTGTTTTCGTTCCAAACCCCCCAATCATTCCCGCTTCAATTGAAGTCTGGCATTTACTCAGACTCCTTCTCCGCGGCCTTCTTGGCCTGAGCGCCTCGGGGCTTCCGGGCGGGAGTCTCCTTCTTGGCCTTCTGTGCGCGGCGGATGGCACTCACGCGGGCAACGGCATCTTCGCGGATATCGCCGCGGTAGCCGTTCTTAGCGCTCTTGTCGGCAACACCCTTGTAGATCCTATGCGGAGGAGCGAGGCCCCGTCAGTCCCCACGTTCTCATATGACCCGGAGGGGCGATGTTCGCGGTTACTCACTTGCGGTTGGAGGCACCAGCGCCGTAGTTCACGGTGACCACATTCTTCGCGGGCTGCTGGGGGTTGCCGGGCTTCTTGGTGATGACGGAAACACCGTTGGTCTCAAAGGGCTGGACACCGATGGCCTGTTGTCGCGGTTAAAATTTCCCGTTTCTGAGGAAAAGCAGCCCCGGAGGACGAGAGAGAAAGTACCTTGTTGTTGGCATATCCAGCGTACTATAAACGATATCAAGGTTAGCCATTTCCCATCAACTGCCGCATTGGATTGGAGAATTGCGGATCAATGCGCCTATGGATTGGAGGTATGTACCTTGAAGGAGTGCTTGTTCTGCAGGTTCAGGGGGTCACGAGAGAACTGAGAACCACCACCGGAGTTGCGCTTGACCAGAAAAGAGTTCTGGTTGCCTGTTTAGGGTATCTCCAATTAGTCGGATTCGACCTGAGATTTTGAGAGACCGAGAGGGTTTTTGTAATTTTTTTGTGCTTCCCTCTCTCGCTCTCGCTCTGCGGTGGTTTGGCGGGGACATACGGGTGATCTGCCAGACGAGGTCGCTGGAAAAGTTCGTTCTTTCGGCGGCCATTGTGAATGTGTCTGTAGAACAGGGTGGACTGGGATTGGGAGACAGATCGAACGAGTTCTGGAGTATCCTGCGTCAGTTGTGTGTGCCAACGCCAAGAACGAGCGGCCGCCGGCCTCGCTAAGAGGGCCGCTTTGGGAATAGCCCCGCCCGTGCCGTTGATGCCTTGGCGGTCAGGCACCGAACCTCCGCTCCACATCTCGTGATGACGATGTCTGCCTGCGCCTTCAACTCTCCCTTCTCATCAATACGAATTCAATGTCCTGGATGCGGTGGGCGGTGGCAGTGTCCCCTGCCAGCTCAAGTTCTTGTTGATACACCAGCTAACTTCCGCCTTTCGCCCCCCGATTGCCAGCATCTGGAAAGATCTGGCCGCGTCCCTCGTTTGTCGCTCGATACAGTCCTTTAGATCATCTAGATACCCACCCCGACAGAGCCATGGCCTACTACCTTCTTTACTTCTTGACATTGTCCGTCGTGGTTTGTGGCACCGGTATGTTGCGCATATTCCGAGCCCTGAGACTTCGCAAGCGATAACAATCCTGACTCTTGTTTTTTCTTTTTCTTTTTAATTCTAGCACTCTACCTCACACGGGCGCGATGGTTGCCGTTGATCCCGGTGCCCGACTATATCTATCATCGTCTTCCTGCCAGTTTTGCCGGCGATCTAGAGGCCGGCTTGACGTCGTCGCAGTTTGACCTCTCAGCCAATATCGCCGATGGCGATGCCAGAGCGGGTCTCGATCGGAATGCCAAGCGAGAAGTGAGGAAAATCATGAAGCGTCAGAACGTCAATTTCGATGAAGCTCGTCGGATCTATACCGAACAACGATTCGCCAAAAACAATATAGGCCCTGATGGCCGGCCCCGAGATCCCAAGTTTGTGTCCTTTTCTTGATCAACGCCATCGTTGCGGCTCCTCCAACGTTCTCTCCCTTCGTTTCCCCCCTTTTCTTTTCCTTGGTGTTATCTTCTCTTTCCGGCGCTTCCCTGGAGGTTGCTCACAGATATTCGATGCTGATCACAACACCCTCCTCACTGTCCTTCTCGCTCATCTTTGGTCCGAAATGGCGGCTTTGGATCGGATTAGTCTCGAGTCGTTGCAATTGATCATATCTCCCTCCAACTGTTATAATAGAAACCGTGTTCATATAATACTGTTCCAGGTAGAAATCGCCGCGCGAGTAGAATTCCTCTGTCCTGCAGGGTATAACTAGACTCATAAGCCCCGAGAACAGGCCATTCCAGCCTAAACTATGAAGCACCGAGGTGGGAAATATTAGCTAAGTTATTACATGTGAGCTTTTTGGGTTACACCGATAATTGTTACATACATCGTATCAAAGGGGACTCCCGGGCGGAACTGCCACACACGTACACTGTTTGATTGCTGTAGACCAAAGACTCTCGCCAGAGTCGCATCATGGGAGGCCTCTCAGCGCCCCCGGCCATAACTGCCCTGCTGGAAGCCCGGAGGCAACGGCGGTGGCGCCACGGGAGCCCCCCCGGAGAGACCGAAACCGGGGGGAGCAAACCCGGGAGGGGGGCCGCTTGGGGTGGGAACGGGGCTTGCTGGCCCGGTGTATTATTGAAGCCCGGAGGTAGGAAGGCCTGCGGACCACCATAGCCTGCCTGAGATGGTGGAGGTCGCGCTGGCAAGCCTGGCGGGGGGTTGGCCAAAGAGGTGGGAACAGCGATGGGTCGGTTGGATTGCGGAGGTGGCACATTTTGAAAACCAACGTTTGGTGAAGCAACGGCTCTTCCCATACCTAGATCGGCCGGACCTGTGCTCAGCGGTCGAGAGTTATCACCGGTCGCCACCGCAGGAGCCATGGGAGTCCCCGGGCCCGAGAACTGCGGCGGTATCGACTGCGTTGGCGGATGGACGTTATGCTTGCGAGCTTGGGCGGCCAGCATTCGCTCGGCCTGGTCACCATGTCGCTCTCCCTTGCCATCCTTCTTGTAGGCATATTGTACCGAGACCTGTTTGTTCATGAGGTACTGGCCACTCATGTTGGCGATCGCAGCATCAGAAGACTCGAAGTCACTGAAGGAGACGAATCCATAGCCCTTCGATAGGTTGTTGTCATCTCGCGCAACCTGGGATCTGGTTAGCGATGGCTCGAGGGAATCTGCGATCGGAGGACATGACCGCATACCTTTGGTAAGGTAACCAAGCTCCCAAACCGGCCGAATGTATCAAAGAGAACTTGCTCGGTCACCATGGGGTCGAGGTTTCCGACAAAGAGCTCTGCGCCGATTTCCACCGACTTTTGCTTATCGGCCGATGCCTTGTTCACGCGTATAGGTTTCCCGTAGAGGCGGATGCCATTCATGATCCGCGACGCGTATTCGGCGTCCTCCTCACTGATAAACTCCACGAATCCATAGCCTTGATGGGACTGGGTGACTCGGTCTTTCGGTAGGTGAACGTTAACGATCCGTCCGGCCTGTAGCATCAACTCCCATACCAGGCTATCTGAAACCCGTTCATCGAGGTTGCCGATGTAGACAGTGGCCTCTTTATCTTGCTCCCTACGAAGCACCCGGCCGTCAGTTTTACCGGATCGCAAACAGAGGGAGGGGGGTTAACACACCAATGCCTTGCGCCGGACATCGTGGCGGCGTACTTGTCCACGGGATGTAGCGTAAGGAGATCAAGGATAGTACGGCGGGATTGAATTGACGGGTAGGAAAGCCCTGCACCTGGACACCGAGCAAATCAACCGACAGTCCGATGTATCGAGGGAGATATTTGCCCGAATTCAATGGGGAGGGGAGGGTTGGCGGAGAGGGATGCGAAAGCAAAGCGAGCGGAAGCTTTCTGCTATCGGCGGCTCTTTTTTTCCTTGGGGGGATTTTAGTCAACCAACCGACCCCGGAAAACTTTTGAGCAGTTGCGGCCGCGTCTTCGACTTCCGTCATCTCTCCAACACCAATCCTTCTTTTCGACCTCTTCTCCCCGGCGCCCCGAAAACTTGCAATTCCCGCCAAAATGGTCCAGTTCTCCGAGGAAACGAAAGTGAGTTTTCAGTTCGCTCTCGTCTCTCCCGCGCTGCCGCCATCGCCGCCTCGCTGACCGGTCTTCTTCTCTAGGAGCGCATTTCCAAGGTCATCGACGTATCCAGAGTCGCCATCCACTAGTGAGCCATCCCAGATCCGCCGGAGGAGGAGGACTGTCCGGAATCAATGTTCACTGACAACCTCACCCTGCCTAGTGGATATCTGCCTTTGATCGTCTATCTCGGTACGAGTTGCTCCTGCGGCATACGCACCGCACCTACTTGCGGGAGGTGTCCGGAGGCGGGTTCACCACTAACATCCTGGGCAGGCTACACTTACAGTGAACCTCGTCCGTCTTTGTTCAAGTAGGTCTTCCCTTGCGGGTTCCTATCTGCCCGCACGGCTGACTTACCATCGTTAGGCTGTTCTCGCCGCTTGCATAAAGGAAGTTGGAAGACGGGGGTTTGGGGTTAATGAGAATCAGCCTGTTTAAAGAGGGAGAAGCGAAGGGTTTGCCCTCGGGCTACGAATCTTTGGACCGGTCACACAGTTGAGATCTCGAGGATGGACCCTCGAGCACAGTGGACGTCCCACTAATGTATTTTTAAGTCGTATTCTATCCTCCTGTTTGTTTCTTTTTCCACCACGTCTTGAGTGATATCCGCGGGAGAATGAATGGTCTTTGATTGCATCTTCAGGACTAGAAATGGCGGTGGCGAAGAACCACCAGCTCAATGTAACCACATGTTCACCTTCCCTACGATCCCCGTGAGGGAGCTATTAGAGGTTAATCGAGGGCGACATGGTCCTTTCCAGTAAACAGGTTGTTCGGGAATTGCGCCAAGCGGAGTTGATCAAGTTTCTCCCGATCCCGCGGAAGGGAGAAAGATCAGTCAGTTAGTTTGCATTGGCCGCGCTTCGTCGTTTGGCAACTCGGCACTCCTCTTCCTCTTCTTCCTCCTCCTCCTCCTCCTCTTCCCCGTCTCCCCTCCTTCCTTTCCTCCTAATCCCGGTCAAACTTGGGACCCTTTGGAGAGCTCGACAGGTTCATGACTGGTCAGGATGGCTTGTCCTCGTCCTTGGTGGAGACCGTAGCAGGATTCACGGCCGGAATCGTTTCGACTCTTTGTCTGCATCCGCTGGATTTGGTCAAAACTCGACTCCAAGGTAAGCCAGCATACCCCCGGGGATTGTCAAACCTTCCTCCCGTTCACGCGAAACTCGTGCAGTCGATCGATCCTCGTCCTCTCGCCTGGGCGGCTCGCTCCGGGTGGTCCGCGGGATATTTCACCAGGAAGGCGGCATCACCGCATTCTATCGCGGGTTGACGCCCAACGTGATCGGGAATTCTACCAGCTGGGCGCTGTATTTTCTGTGCTACGGCAATGTCAAGGACTTGTTGCGGGCTTCTCGCCTGTCCTCGGGGCAGGAGCTGACGTCTTCCGATTATTTCCTTGCCTCGGGAACCGCCGGTACGTAAAAGGGTACTTCGCCAGACAGGCTACACAGCTGACTCGACCTCTCATTGCAGGCATGCTGACCTCTATCCTGACGAATCCGATCTGGGTGATCAAGACCCGGATGTTATCCACCGGTTCTCGAATGCCCGAGGCGTATGCCTCCTTCACTAGTGGCGCGGCACAAATCTATCGCTCGGAGGGTATCCCGGGTTTCTATAGGGGCCTTCTTCCGGCCCTTTTTGGCGTCAGCCATGGCGCCCTACAGTTCATGGCGTATGAGCAGCTGAAGTTGCGCCGGGCCCGCATGTATCACGTATCGATGCCCGGTGGTGACCATCCGACCGCCTCCCAGCGACGGGAGCTTGGTAACCTGGATCTTTTCGTGATCTCCAGCCTGTCCAAGATATGTGCCGGCTGCGTCACTTATCCTTATCAGCTCCTGCGCTCCCGACTGCAGACCTATGATGCCCATGTGGTGTACCGCGGAGTCTGGGATGCCGTTGTGCAGATCGGATCCAAGGAGGGGATCGCCGGCTTCTACAAGGGCCTGGGACCGAATCTGATTCGGGTGCTTCCAAGCACCTGGATGACCTTTCTGGTGTATGAGAACACCCGAGCTTATCTGCCCGGTCTCTTCTCCAAATGACAAATTGAAAAGGGAAAAACACACGCGGTGCTTGAAAAGGGGGCAGATGCGTTCCCTTTCCTGTGGCCCAGTTCCCTGCAACTAATATGATGCAAATGAACTTCATTCTGTGCTCGCAAAGTTTTCGCAAGCAACGGAGCTCTGCAACACGTATGTTCTCCGTGTTTGCTTCGAGATTCACTTTGGGGCCCTTATGGTGATGTGTAGATGTGCCCAATGAAATCGACAATCGCCAGATGGGCGAAGGAAAAAGAAAAAAGAAAGAAAAGAAAAACTGCTTCCGCTTCCCACCCTTTTCCCCGGGGATCATGAGTCTACCCAATCCTTAACACAAATCAAACGTGGTATCGTATAAACGCCATAGTTTAGCCCAACGCAGGCATCCCATCACAAAAGAAAGACAATGAATAGAGTGAAATGCGACCGTGGCGAGTCAATGCGCCTCTCTATCGATATAATAGGTCTCCGGGTCCTCCTCTTCGCTGCTAGAGCCACCAGTGTAGGTGGACGAGTCCTCAAAGCTGGGCCGTCGTGTTTTGTCACGACCGTCACCCGATCTCCTGCGGCTCTCGAACCCGGGGTCAGATTTGGACGCGGGCGAGATCCTCCGGTCTTTTCCGCGACCCTTGATTCCCTTGTTACTGTTCTTGTAGAGGGTGGCAAAATATTCCCAAAGCTTGCGGTCTTGTGCACTCATCGGCTCGGCTCCCGTCAACTGAGAGAATTTCGAGGTCAGGCCCTGCAACGTAGGGCCATGGAATTTGTTCTGATGGGACTGTCGATCTGGTTAGACTGAAACCCGACGAGCCATGACCTCCACAGAGTATCGCACCTTGAGGTTCCCAAGTTGAGTGAATTGCTTCCCACAGTCATCCAACAGGCAGGTGAAAGGCTTGGCATGCTCATGGGTGATCCTATGGGCTCGAACATTGCCCCGTTGGGCGAACCTTTTTTGGCATATGTCGCAAGAAAAGGGCTTTTCTCCCGTGTGCCGTCGCTGGTGAGTCTGGTGATCAAACATGACCCGGCGTTAGACAACGGATTCCTTCCCGATGATTGGCATTACGGGGTCCCTTACCTTCAAGTTCCCTAGCTGGGAGAAGCGCTGTCCGCATGAGGGCTCTTTGCAAATCTGAAGAAGGGGGAAACAAGACCGGTTAGCCACAGTCTTTCTCCTCTTTAGCAGGGTTGTCTGCCAGGTGCATCACTCTATCCACTCACAAAAGGCTTGTCTCCTGTGTGCGCCCTGGTATGGATGTCCAGGTGAGTCTTCTGTGCAAAGCTTTTCCCGCAGTTTGGCAGGGTGCAGATATATTTACGCTTCTTGACTGATCGAGGCGTGGGCTCGTCAACCCTCGTGATGCATCGTGGGTTGGTCGCTTGGGGGACTGAATATGGCTGGGGGAGCCCATTTATACCGCCGTGCGTGAGCTGCTGTAGTGGCGGTAACGACTGCGTGTTGGGCGCCGGAGCCCCGTTCTTTGACTGGATTGTCTTCATTAGCACATCGACCTGCGTCGAGAACTCAATCTCGGTGGCACTGGGGCTTTTGCCTCGTGCGGCTACTCCGTTGGTCGGAAGCTGAGTTATCGAAACCCGGTGAGGGCTTGAGCTTGCATCGGGTTTTACCAACGGGTCTCGCACTACTCGATTGACACCATTCTTTGCCGGCCGGATGTCTGGGATGGGCTGCATGGGCGGCGGCTCGGATGAGAGGCGCGCCGGCTGGGGGTTGACTGGCTGGTGACCCGGCACATAGAATTGTTGGTAGCCGGGATGAGGGTGTGGGTGGTGATGGTGGTTGAGGACGTGGTTGAAGCCGTAACCCGCCGAGGACGACTGGTGAAAGGGCAGCGGGAAGGACGTGGTCTGGCTGGGATAGAAGGAGAAGTTCTGGCCGAGGTTGGAGGCCATCATTCGACGAGGAGCAGCGCCCACCGGGTGGCCAGGAAATTCGTATGGCACTGGCTCTGCAGTTTCCATCTTCGCGACGTCCAAATTTCTCGAAACGGATACAAGAGCTGCAGCACTCCACCGACGAGGGGAGGCACTAAAAGGTGTCAGCCTTCACAGTGCTGTAGACCAGGAACGAGACACACTATACTCACGACGGTTTTCCGTGAAGCCTTACCTTCCACCCGCTTGCCTGCAGAGGCAACGAAATGAGACCCCGGGGAATGATAGAAGGCCCCGCTAGCAGAAGTAAATATATGGATACTAAATAGTCAAGGCCAGGCGCTTGGGAGCTTAGATCCCCCACAACTCGGAAGAGCACGAGGGCGTGTATGGATGTATGTATATATGAGTGTGTTTGTGTGTGTGTATGTATATAGGTATACGTGTATGTGTATGTGTATATATAATATGGGCAAAGGACGGACTCAAATGAGAAGCGAGGAGGGAGGGGAAGATGGAAAGGGAAGAAGAAAAAGGAAAGGGAAAAAGGCAGGCAGAGGAGGGAGAGGGGCGAGATGAACAGGCAGGAAAGGCTGAAAGAGAGGGAGGGTATTTGGGGATAATGATATTGATCTGACAATAACAATTGAGGGTCGACCAATAGAAACGACGGAATATACTTGGATCAAACTGCCTCACTGACGGGGTTCCCTGAATCTTCAAGCGGCGATCTAGAACTAGATATACTACCTGGGACTGGTTCCAATCGTTGGTCTCAGCCTCTTTGCGAGGAAGGATGAGTCCATAAGTCGAGGGTTTTTTTAAGAATAATCGAAATTCATTCACAGTTAATTCGCACAGCCCAAAAAAAAAAAGAAAAGAAAAGAAAATGGAAAAAAAAAAAAAAAAAAAAAAAAAAAAAAAAAACCAGAGCTAAGAATAATCATGATCTTCTCATTCATCATTCTGAATTCTACTTCTTCTATATTCCTGTCCCAGGACAGTGGAAGCGGCGGGGGTGGACAAGCGACAGGGATCCTGCGAGCTGAAGGCTTGTAGACCCGGCTCTCCGACAGGCTAAGTCGGTCCACGTCTGCCCGGTCCATGATGTACATCCGGCATGTAATATGATGAAATGAAACGGAATGAAACGGAGAGTATCCACTCACCCTCCCACTGCAGCTGACGGGCGGCCAAAGTACCAGTCCAAAAGGCCAAACAAAAGAAATGTGAGATCCGCGACCTTAATTCAACTCGTCGCATCCATGGCCTCGAGAGGAGGAGGAGGATCCTCTACATAATCTTCCGGTCATTGAATTACCTCCCTCGCCATGAGGGGAGGGAAACAGAAACCACATAATAAAATCGTAAAATAATGAAGTAATAAACCCATAAAATCAGATAATAATAATACCACGCAGTAAGAAGGATAACAATAATAGTAATAACAATAATAATAATAACCCCCCCCCTTTTTTTTTTTGCCCTCCCGCCCAACACGATGAAAATGGGGCGATGGATGGAGATGTTTGGCAGGGGTCTGAATGACTAGTGACGGGACTAGCAGTCGACTATATTGGCATCGCGAATTCCACCTCCGCCGACGGTCCCAATGGACGGACTGCTACTTTCCTACCTTAAGGAACGGGCCCAATCACGGCCCGCGCTGCACACAGTGCGATCGGGCTGACAATCCACGGAGTTATCGAGACGGACCACTGGGTTTCTTCATCTGGCTCAGCTCGCCCAGAAGCAGGTACGCATGCTCGCATTCTCGGGGATAATAGGAAGCCCCCAGGCGTCGGGGTCAAAATGATCCTCAATACGATTCTTTTCCAGGATCTCTTTTTCCTTCCCTCGCCATGATTTGCAAATCGGAACCCATCATCATCTGACCTCGCGGCGCAGGGGTGACGATGACCAAGAAAGAACCCCGGTCAATTCAATTCCGGACTGGTCGGTATCCTTGACCAACGATTACATTGGATTCCATCTTTTTTTTTTTTTTTTTTTTCACGTCCAAGACGGAGTATTGGAGTCGTCGACCGGGATCCCCTCGTCATTCACGCAGGCACCTGAACTGTTGGGACCCATTTCGAGGTCGAGCAAGGGGGGAAGAAGAGGGTGTGAAAAATAATAATAATAATAAATGAAAAATCAAAAAGAATGAAAGAACTAAGAGGGGCGCCTCGGGTGATTCCATCGCACGACAAGCGCCTTTTTTTTTTTATTAATTTTGTTTTTAACTGTGACCCGGGGGGGAGATCATCATCACCCAAATGGGCGTAGATCTTTTGAAACCGTGGCGTCTTCCGGGGACCAAGAATCAGCAGGGAACCCCTTCTCGACCGTGACAAGTCCCGAGTCCGATCAGCATCGCATTGTTTGCATGAGGGGAGCACCCTGCAGCAAAGGTTCTAGCTCACTCGATCGAGTGTAGAAGCACGTATGCGGTAATCGAGGCAGTGACTACTGTCAGTCGGTAGGGACAGACAGACAGACATACATACTAACGTGGTGGACGAAGGCAAGCCCAAGCCCTGCTGCAGCTCCGGAGTGGATGGCGATGCCCAGACTGGCTGCAGATGAGCTGCACAGGACCCGAGAACTCCGGAGCCGATGGGTCGAGAGATGTATACAGATATGGATATATATTTGAATATTTGAATACTTGACTATTTGAATATATGGATATATGGATATATGAATGAATATCCAATATGAATGGAGGGAGCGATGTGCCCTTCCCACGCGGAGAGATCTATCGCGGAGGAAGACAGAGAGACAGAGAGAGAGAAAGTCAGGCGGGCGATCGATAGTCACGCCGACCGGCGCCTTGGCAAAAGCGGCCTCACTCTCTCTGGCGGGTTTGGAACAGCCGCGACTGGCGACAAATCTCACCGATCGCTTTACCCACTCTGCAGTCATTTCTCTTTTCGCCCCCGACGGGTTTTCGATTTCGATTTCGATTTGTTTATTTTGGATTTTTGGATTGGGATTTTTCCAATCCATCCTGGTCATACATCACTAGTTCCCCCCCCCCCCCCCCCCCCCGTGGATCCTATCAGCCGTACCTGAGTCCCGCGTCAAGAATCCTCCCAATACGAAACCCCTGAGATTTATCTCATCGACCTGCTCGTTTCTCTTTGGCCGTGACGGGCCGGCCCTTCTTCAGCTGGGGTTCCGTCACGATACTGAACTCCGGACATATCACATCCCACCCTCATCGGGGTCTCGTCCAACCACACGTGGAAACAATAGAGCAGCCAGTATTCCTTAAGTATATCAACTCTCAAGCACGACGTATATACGTCGGAGGTCGAATAAAACCACCCTCCCTCCCCCGAGATAGTCGCCGAATCATGACATCGAAGGATCGTTGAGGACACAGTAGTGAACCATGCTCCCGGTGCATGTATATTCAGAAGAATGGAACCCCCAGATTCGGAGAATATTATATCGGTCTCCCGGTTCGTTCGTCGAGTAAGTCCCTCATACACAATTACGCATACCAGGACCGAGTCCGTCGCATTTCTCAGTAGCCGCCAATGGCCCCGGAAATTCCACCGCGGCTGACTGGTGCATGCATGCCAGCAGGAATGCTGAGTGAGATTTGGGCTAAAAATGGACGGGCTTCCCTCGTGATCGTCAGGGCGGAGGGGCGACGCAATCAGAAACCGGCCTCCCCAAATCAAGGATGCGAGGTGATAGATAGAATTCGATAGATCCAGTGGATTCCGTCGTACGTAAACCCAACGTAACCCGACGTCGTTCCCGACCGCCTGCCCATCCCGATCCCATTCTCCATGGCTACGGACTCCGGTGTGGATGATGTGATGCGTGCGGTGGCTCATTCGGCCCTTCGAACAAATTCATTCCCAGGCCAGCAGTACTAATAAAATAATAATAATCCTTTGACAGAGCAGGGGTTCCAAGTTACACATAGAAACAGTAGATCAAACCGCCAGATTATCCGTACAAGCATTCCGGTCCGGCACCTCGCGCTGCTCCGTCGGTCATTTGAACCGGCAATCTTCCCCTTCCTCGCCTGCCCGAGAGGTTGCATTCAATGCAGAGGGGGGAAACGGGGAATGGGGAACGAATGCGCTGCCTTCATTAACGCGGGAAATCCAGGGAAATCAAACTAACCGCGGCGTCGAACGGACACGGGAAACATAAACGAACGATACTAAACGAGGAACAATCACATTTGCGCCGAGATTCCCAGAAAACTGCTATGCCATCACCGTCCAGTGTACGTGGAGTATCTGGGAGCCAAGTAAGTAACGCCTTCGAATGACGGACAGACCACACAGCCCCGGACTTTCTCAGGGAGAGGGTACAGGAACATACCGCCAGATTCTTGCGCGCATGTCACCGCTGCCAGTCGCAAACAGATTGTTGGTGGGGCTGGGAGCAACCGAGATCACTGCGTGGCCGAGTTAGAAAACACTGTCCCTGGTCCGGGCGAGGGGGCGCGCGCGGGGGCTTACCGGAGTTTTTGTGTCCCTGAAGCATCATCTGGGCATTTCCGGTGATCGGGTCCCAGAACTGAACGCCTCGATCCTTAGAGCCACTCATCACCCAGTGACCGTCGGGAGTCAGACAGACACTGAGCACGAAGTCCTATCCAATCCAGTCAGCAGCCGTCAAACCATCTACCGGTTGTCTCCCCTAAGGTGGCAACTGGAGACCGACGTACCTTGTGACCCTCGAAGGTCCGGATGCATTTGCCACCCTTGGACGCGGTTCCGGGGTAGGCTCCGCGGGCAACGTTAAGCTCCCACAGCTTGATCGTTTTGTCGAGACTGCCACTGACAAGGTCCCGACCGTTGGGTGCAAATGCTACCGAGTAAACGCTGTCTTTGTGGCCATCCGGACTCTCAAGGCGCTCCACCAAGTATCCGGTCGTGGTATCCCAAACGCGAACGCTCTTATCAAGAGAACCGGCGGCAACGTAGTGACCGTCAGGGGACATGGCGACCGTGGTCACTCCGTCCTCGATGCTGAGTGTGTAGACAAGCTTCCCATCTAGGATATCCCAAAGACGTACGGTCTTGTCCCCACTGCCGGACGCGATGTAGCGGCCATTGCCGGCAAAGTCAAGGGAGTAAATGTCCTGCTCATGACCCGTGAAAATATGTTTGATAGTTCGAGCGGCAATATCCCACACCTAGTGTTTCCCCATCATTAGCTGCGTCACAAGGGTGCCAAAGAAACCGGAGAGGGGGGGAGAGATGACGACGTTAGGGGGCGTAAACGGTCATCAAAGGTGCGCTGCTGGCAGGGTGGACATGGACAATCGGGATGAAGAAGTGGGCTTCGAACTTACCCGAATTTGCTTATCCTCGGCACCAGTGGCGAGATACTTTCCGTCCGGGCTGAAGCAAACGCTACGGATGTAAAGATCTCCATTCTTGTCGACGTTCTCGTCTTGCAGGGTGGCGACGTTCTGACCAGTGGTGACGTCGAAAATTTGAGCGGAGCGGTTGCAGCCGGTAGCCAGGTATTTTCCATCGCGGCTGAAACGAACGCAGCAAACGACGCTGTCATGGACGAGATGGTGGACGAGCTCGACGTCCAGCACTCGCTGCACCTCGGGGTTGAAGACGGCATACCAGTCGGCCCCCTCTCGCTTCTGCGAAGCAGGCAAGTCATCGGGATTCCAGTTGGCCAGCATGTTTCCGGGACGTTCGCGCACGATAGCCTGGCTAGGAGGAGTAGGCCGCGCGAGCTGAGGGGACACGCGAGGGTCCGGGTAGGCCAGCTGGTGGGTTTGCTGGGGAGTTGCCGGTCCGGGAGGAGCGCGTCTTTTGCCGGGACCCGGGGAGGCGGTTGGGGGAGGAGGGGGTCCATAGCCTACAACACGATTGAAAGAGACGGGGTTAGAGCTTCCTAAAAGCAAACACAAACGCAGTCACAACATACCGTTCACAGCAGCGCCAGGCTGATATCCCCCAAAGGAGCTCTGCGGCGGTTGAGGGGCTCCTTGTTGAGCCGCGGGAGCAGGCTGTTGAAGGGTATGCTGGGGAGGCTGCTGATCCTGGGGAGGGGGAGGGGCAAGACCGGGACCACTACCTCCTTGGTTGGTCATAATCCCACCGAACAGATTGCTTGGGCCATGGCCCAGTGCGGGTGGAGGGGGCTGAGAAGGGCCAGCATGCGGTGCAGGACCGGGAATGTGAGACGAGACAGTTGGCACACCGCGCGACTCCAGCTCGTGTCGCAACACCCGAATTTCCGCTTCATAACTATTGAAAGGTAGGCCCCGGCGTCAGCATTCATCAATGAGAAAGGTCACTTACGCGGGAGATGGATAAGAGGAAACTGGAGGGGGAGGTACGCACTCTTGCTTCATTTTGATTTGTGCTTGTTCCAATTGGTAGACCTTTTGTCGAATCATCTCCATTTCCTGAAGTTGCCCAGTCACTGGCGAGGATAAAGTCAACACAGGATTGAATTATGGTTCTAAGGTCGTTGTCATGGTGGAGATGGCGCAAGCCCGGGAGAACAGTATCGGTTCTGCCATTTTCCAACCGGAGAAGGGACGGACTGGGAAAACGATGCACAAAAGTCGATTGGGGAGAGGCAACTTACATTGGTGCTCGAACTCGCCAGTACTTCTTGACTGGTTTTCAAACTCCTGGCGCAACTGGTCCAACAGCTCCGTCAGACGGGAGTTGGGCGCGGGAACCATCCCGCGATGTGCGTTGTACATTGCGCGTAAGACGTTCCGAGCCGATCTATTTGCTTCGAGGCAGCAAGAGGCACAGGGAAAGGGAGCAGATTGGCGGTAGCAAAGCCCTTCCGCGACCGGGGGGGGAAGAGCGATGGGGTTGAGGGTGAGTTGTTCGCGGCGAGAGGGCGAGACACGAACGACGGGGTTTTCAATTCGGCGACCGGACTGACCAGAGACGACAGAGACTGCTTTGATGGCAGGAAGGTCAACGCAGCCGCATCACAGCGCGCTCCGAAAAGGAACAACGGCAGCGAGCGAGTCGAAGGTGGCAGGTGGAGGCAATTAGACGAAAGCCCGGGAGAGTAGGCGATGGACGAATTGATGGGACCGATGGGAGGAAAGGATGGGATAGATAGACAGATCGATGACAGACACAAGAGCTCGAGCACAAGGTCGGGTTGGGCACTTCGATGGGGGCCGGGCGGCTGAAAGTTTGGCGCGAGAAGCGAGGCGATAGGCGAGAAGCGACCAGCGCGCCCCCCTTTTTTAGTTTGGCGGGGCTTCCCGAGCGACCGTTTGCAGGTTTTCTTTTTGGGCATTCTGTTCTTTTCTTTCTTTCTTTCTTTCTTTCTTTCTTGTCCCGGTACTCCGTAATTCCCGGACCTCCGATAGTAGAAAATATAACATTCATATATATAACATGTACTCCGTATCCATCCGCCGAAATGCAGGTACACACAATCCAATTGTTGGCCGCTCCCTGCAGAATTCCTTCCATAGACCATAGAAGACCGCTACAATGTCGACTGGCTATAGTACGCCCTGCGGATTAATTTCCCCTGATGATCTTACGTGGTTAAAAAAAAAAAAAAAAAAAAAAAAAAAACCCTCTCGCCTCAAGGGAGGATCGAAACTAATCAAACATCACGGCTGTGGTCGTTCCGCCTGGGGTGATTGGCTCTTATTCAGCCCGAAGTTCTGGAATCGTTCCTGATTTCTTCCCCCCTTCTTCATCTTCATCTTCCTTTGCTTTTCTTTTCTTCTCCCCTCCCCTCCCTCTCTCCTCTCCTACTCCTCACCTCCCCCTCAGCGCGCCATGGATATCGCCCTCGAGATCTGGGACACCTTCATTGGTGATCCTTTGTACGCCACGCTACTTCCACTTTCTCTGTCCTCCTCGGTCTCTTTCCCTGGTTTTACCAATGCTGCCAACAGCACGCTATCTTTCTTTGGCGCGTCTCAACCCTTCATTTACGAGCCCGCCACCCAATTGATTTACTTGGAACCGTCGAAGTATGCATACATGAGCGCGTGGCCCAGAAACAACATCTATCGCCAATTCTTGAGTTTCTTCCTGATCGTTTGGTATGTCGCATCTCCTTCACCTCGGTCCAAAACCGGTTGCTGACGTTGTCTCTTCAACGTAGGATCTTTGGTTTCATCACCTACTTTGTGTCTGCGACTCTTTCATACATCTTCATTTGGGATAAAACCACCGTCAAACATCCCAAATTCCTCAAAAACCAAATTCCCATGGAGATCGCGCAGACGATGGGCTCCATGCCTATCATGTCCTTGTTGACTGCGCCCTTTTTGGTCGCCGAGGTCCGGGGCTATGCGAAGCTTTACGATGGTTTCTCAGAGGAGCCATTCCCCTATTATAGTGTCCTGCAGTTCCCGTTGTTCATTGCCTTCACCGACCTTTGCATCTATTGGATCCATCGCGGCCTGCATCATCCGTTGATCTACAAGACCCTGCACAAGCCTCACCACAAGTGGATCATGCCTAGTCCGTATGCATCGCACGCATTCCACCCGCTGGATGGCTGGTCACAAAGCGTTCCCTATCACTTGTTTCCCTTCATTTTTCCTCTTCAAAAATTCGCCTACGTCCTTCTTTTCGGGTTCATCAACCTCTGGACAGTCTTGATTCATGACGGGGAATATGTCGCCAACAGCCCAGTCATAAATGGCGCGGCCTGCCACACGATGCACCATCTCTACTTCAACTACAATTACGGACAATTCACAACTCTCTGGGACCGCCTCGGAGGGAGTTACCGACAGCCGAACGAGGAACTCTTTCGCCGCGAGACGAAAATGGACGAGAAAGAATGGAAGCGACAAACCAAGGAAATGGAAACTATCCTCAAGGATGTTGAGGGCGACGATGACCGCAAATACCTGGCAGAGGAAGAAACCAAGAAAGACTTGTGATTCGGAGTTGGAGCTCCACGAAAGACAGCCCCTGGCGAGCCGATCGAAGCATTTCCCCCTCCCTTGTCCGACTCCCGGGGCTGGGAAAAAAAAAGGAAAGAAAGACCAAAAGAAAGATAAAACCTCGAGCATACTGACCTTTGTCTTTCAGAGAATATGGCTAGCTACGAGTCTCATTGTTTTCTGCTCTACTAAACTACTGTCTTACTGACTGTTGTATAACAAAATATTCTAGCACAGTGTCTAATATCCCCTCCCGCTTATTTGTTTTCCTCATTCTTACATTTGTTCTAATTTTTTTTCTCTCCAATTTCCTCTGCCAATGTGCTCGCACCTTGTTGATACTTCCTGGTCTGATGTCACAACAGATTGAGAGAATACCCCAGGACTTTAATTGGCCTCTTTTTTCTTCTTTTTCTGATCTTTACTATTTCTATTGTACATAAACATTTCGAACTTTTTTTATGATCTCCTTGGGTGGCTTTTGAAGCTAGCCATCTTGATGACCAAGAAAATTGTATCAAATTCAATCCAATGGAACATCCTTAGTATGTCTTGAGTGAGCTTAGAAGTCGGCGTTTCTTCCATACAGCAGCTAGTAGAAAATTTTGAGATTGAACAACTGCAAAGATTAAATTTGTGACAGTATCTCTCACGACTCCGTGGCAGCCCAGCCACGCTATTTGTTTGCCTTAATAGCTTTGGAATACATATATTCACATCTTCTTAGCCCCTACAATCAACGCCCCTGCGGATGGGGATCTTTCAAGAAGGGAACAGCATCGGGATGCGCTTGAGAAATTCACGACATGTCGACGGCTCCATCGGCCTCGGCAACATCCATGTCCCCATCAGCGGGTGCGCTAGCAGCGGCAACGTCTCCTGAAGGAAGTGCAGGTGCCTGGGTTCCAAGCGGAGTTGCCGAGATCATGGCTTCCGTGATGAATGATTCTTCGACGGCAGCCTTCCGTCGAAACACCCTCAGCCATCGAGTGCCCCATTGTCGGATGATTCCATCTTCCGGTAGGTCGCCACTTCCATCGCCCCGTTCCATTAGCTCGTCTTTGCTCCCTCCTGCGATGGAGACGACAGAATCCTCGATCACCTTGAAAAGAGCCTGCATGTCCGCTTTCTCACGGTTCAAAGTCTCGTCTAGGACGCTCAATTGTGGCTCATACAGGCCTGCCTGAACCCGTGCAGCAACGATCTGCCGGAGACGGTTGGTGACCTTCCCGACTGTGGCTGCAATCATCTCGAAGACGTGTGTCTTGGCCAGGATAGACCCTGCGTCTAGTTTGTCCACCAAAGCCCATTCGATGACCGAGAGTGGCGTCAGGATAGTATAATTCAGCAGCTTGTCGATTATGTTTATGCCGATGCCAGGCTGATCGGCCCAGTAGTCCATTACCGAAGAGATAATTTGGCGACGCGCGAGGGGGGACTTTGGTCCGATGGCCAGGAGTCGTTCTTTATTTCTCTCGATGCAAGACAAGACGTGCGAAAGAGATTTCGAGCCTACAAAGCAGATGGCCGTGACAAATGCGTCAGTTGAAGGAAGCATTGGAGCGTCAACGCCTAGCGACTGGGCTTGTTCCTCGATAGACGACATGACTGGCTGGATGTCCTCATCAGAAGCTTTCCGACGGATAAGCTGCATGAGCTCCCTCCCTTCGGTAGCATATGGCGTAGCTAAGGATGAGGAAAATATTGGTTAGCTTGCGACAAAAGGCCTTAAGATACAAATGCTAGAGTCCTACTCACTATCAAACGAGTACTTGAAATCGGGGGTGTCTTTCTCCTTTCCCTCTGGTATCAAATCTTGGTAAGGATCCGGAAGGGTCCCTCTAATGCGCTGAGCAAAGCTCAACCGAATCTCCTTATCGAGCGCCCCAGTGATGAAGGCCATTTTTGGATGGACCGACGGGAGTTCAAGGTCATCGATCCTAATGAGCGGTCAGTCTCTTGGCTAATTCAAAGCCTTGGTGGGAAAATACAAACCATTCGCTCCATTTCCACGTGAACCCGAAGTTGCTCAGATGATGAGAAAACCAATCCAAGAACCGATGGCTGAGATCAAGGTCGATGGTCTCCAGACTGCGGTACAAAAAGCGAATAGCACGCCCTAAGCTTGGGGCAATAGCAGCTGGTGCGATTTTACAGCATTCGGTGAGGACGGAGTGATAGTAGACAAGTTTATGCTCCGGTGAAGGTAGGTGAAACAGTTGGGAGAAAACGGCATCCACGGCAACGTCCTCTGGCTTCCACGTTGGTCGATCCCCGGGGATGTCCCGCAACCTGTCAAAAGGCGTGGCACGCTTCACAAACGTATGGGGCGTGAAGTAGCAGTCAACATCTATTAAAAACTTGGCTGTTGCAATGCGATTGAAGTCAAGGATATTGATGGTGTCGACCAGGGCGTCCCGCAACAATGACGAGGATATATCTGACGTGGGAGGGACGGTCTCGATATCCTGGTTGGAGTACACAGAAAAGTAGACTTCTGGGAAAATCGCCCTCGTTCCGTTCTTGACCGGGCTAGGAACGATTACTTGTGGGAAAGCATGCTTTGCCGCCGACTCGATCGAATCCTGATTCTCTTCTGCTTGAACTCCGTTCCAGGGACGAGGAAGGCACGCAAGTTCCCAGCCTCGGCTGGCCTCTTGCTGGAGCTGAGTCTGAAGCAAACTAATGACGCTTTGTATAGCGCCTGGTTGCCCATCCTCTGGACCAAAGGGGTTCACTAAATCGACAAGTGTGTGCGGGGTGGAGGCGATGATGTCTGTCTTCTCGAGAAGGGCAGTCGCTGAGGTTTCGCAGCCAGTTGCAGGAGATGCCATCACGTATGGGATCGTAAACAGGATTATCTTCACGAGCTCCAATCCAAGTAACTGCGCATCTCAAATGTCAACAAAGGCACACCATGCGCACTGTGGGCGGCATTCACTTACATCTTCGGACGAAGTTGTCTGAAGATCAACGGCGCGAGTGAACAGTTCCTCTAGGATTGGGAAGATACCGTCGCCTTCGAAGATGGGTTGCAGGCAGCCCAAGAAACGGAGAAGAAGCTTTGTCTCGCGCCAACCTCCTGCATTGACGTAGTTTTGTACAAGCTCCCCTGCTTTCTTTAGCACGTCGGAGGCAAGCTCTGATTTATGGACATTCGCAACGAGGATTATAGTAGCGATGAAAGGGATCTTCAGCGGTTGTTCAAGAACACTGACAGGAGAATCTTGTTAGCTTCTTGATACCTCAGCATTAAGCGAAGGGCTGCTCAAACGGACAGGTCAAGTGAGATATCAACAAATGTGTTTCTTAGCTCCTCGTCCTCGTAATTGTCTGCCACGCTTTTCGCGATGTTTACCGCATCATCCTCCACCCTTCTGGCTGCCTATAAAGAGAGCATGAGTGACAAGTCCCGCATTTTATGTAAACGCCGCCTAAGGATGTTCAGGGAGGTGTGGTATTCGTACAGATTCGGCTATGCTTAGCAGTTGCCGTCGAACCTTGACAACCAAGGGCTCCTCATACCTGCGCCGCTGGCGACGGTCGTAGTCATCGTCATCTAGGAAGATTCATGAGTTCTGATAGTCCATAGTAGGAGGATGGTATTTATAGAAGAGAGAGGGAGAGAGAGAGAGAGCGAAAGAATTGTCGAAGGATATGAAGTTGTAGGGCGTTCTTACCTCTGTAGCGCCTCTTGCGACCACCCCTAGGTCCATGATGACGACGTTCGTAGTCAGCCATTACTGGACCCTGTGCTCGTACAAGCTATATTATGCACGATTCGTACTCAAAAGTAAGAGCTGTAATGGAACTGGTGAATGCAACATACAATGTAGAGAGCTATAAGCTGGAAATGCCAATCAACCAACCGCGTTCATCTCAGAGTAAAAACACCGGGGAGCCCGGGAGGAGGGATCATCCGTCCCGTTGATTATATAAGGGAATCACAGGTCACTACTTAGCATCGGTTTACTGCCAATGCTCATTCTTCATCGATTCTGGGGTTTACCGATATATTTGTTGTTTTTCCTGGGTTCCGGAAGAAGCTTCAATTGGTTTTTCTTTTCAAACAATTCATCTTGATGTTATGCGGCCATTAAAGGCGGGAAACAGATGGTACGGAAGGAACATTGGAAGAGAAGACAAGGGGGGGAAGAGATGACCGGGGGACTCGGAGGAACGGTTTCTGCTTCATAGATAGTAGTAGACACAGACCAGAGTCATCAAACAGTGATTATACACACTAGCGAAGGGAAGTGATCCAGTATACTTCGTGGAGGGCTCTAAAATAGAGATCAAAGGTACAATTGATCAAAGGGAAAACAAAAAGAAAAGAAATGAAATGAAATGAAAGAGACGGGTCATGTTCTTTCGGACTTAGGAAACATATAGCTTCATCGCCGGCAAAGCTGAGATAAATATGATCACCAGAGTAAAATGGATAGAACTGGACATAACAGCAATAGGAATTATAACACGGAAGGGCAGGAAAAAAGAAGCATATGAGCAAGGAAAGGCACGGATGGGAAAATGAATGAATGCGCATACGGAAAAAATGGACAGAAGAGAAGCAGAAATAAAAGGAGACTCTAAAGCTGCAAGTCAGGGGATATGATCCTCCAGGCCTGCATTTCGAAGTATGCTCACAAGCACATCCATAATGTGCATTGAAGCAGAAGAAATCCTTATGATTTCTGACGCATTGATAGGTTATTCATCTTCCCATCCATGTCAATAACACTTGCACTGTCCATTTCCATGTTCCCCCCCTTTCAATTGAGATTTGAAGCTATGCAGGCTTGAACCCCGGAAGGTAGACTCACGCAATAAGGGTATCACTTTTCTCTCCTCTGAGCTGTCTCAAACACCTCAATAACTCCGGACAATGACATTGCATCACACTCTTAGCGTGAAAACATCACGATCCACGGTCTTTCCAAGAACTTTTCCAGTTGTGACAGGGGGGACTTCTTTCCTCCTAGATCTTTCCTTTCACAACCTTCCTTTTTTTTTCTTTTTTTTTTTTTCTTTCACCTTGTCTCTTTTGAGATTCTGGTTTTCTTACTCTTCAGTTTCTGTTTCACCTTGCTCCTTATTCCCACATAGAGAAGCCAGCCCGTGAATTTCTCTCCAAGAGAGTAGGGCTACAACCCAAAACCCTTCCCCAATGTTCTGAAATTGCCCGACGCATAAAGAGAACTTGTATGGCATGACATCAGATTGTTGCGCACACGAGCATGTAGCAGCGCTCTGAACAGGCATGTACTTCGTAAATATTGCACAACTTGACTCAATCAAGACGCGCTATCATTTCATCTTTCGTAAGGGGTGTGAAGTTATCGATGTCTAACCCACGAGCTTCAAGTGCGGGGCGGGCATGGGGAGGAACTAGTCGACTGTTCATCGCCGGAGCGATAGAGAGTTCTACAGCTTTGTCAGTATGTTGTTCTCTGTTCGTCCCCAAAAAAAAAAAAGGACCAGCAATCAAGATCGAATGGCAAAGAGAGATTTGGGTTAAACAGAACATACCATGTTTAGAGAAATCGAAGAGACTGGGAAGTTCCCTTGACGAGCTGTTGGGATGCCGGGAGTCAGGCAATTTAGTATTGGGGTCTCTGAGCTCGTCGAAAAATGGGTGGCACATGGCCTCGATAGCGGAAAGACGCTGGGTTGGCGTGTACTCCAACAGAGCGGAAATCAAGTCAATGGCCTCGTGGGGAGCTCGTCGAAAGACCTATAAGTTGAAATTAGCATCCGCCAATAATTGGGCAGTAATTCCAGACATACCTTATTGAAGGGATGTGGCTTGATCTGAGGGAACTTGTGCTCCATATAGTTGGGATTCATGGTGCGAATCTGCTCGCGAGTCGGTGTTCCCAGCACTTTGATGATCTCCACTAGCTGATCGATCCCCGACTCTCCCGGGAAGAGGGGTTGTCCAAGCATCAGCTCGGCCATTACACAGCCCGTGGACCATACGTCTGCCAGCTGTTAGTTCTCTGCGATCGACTGTCCTCGGGGGTCCGGCAGTTACCAATCTTCGTGGTATAGTTAGTTGCGCCAAAAATTAGCTCCGGAGCACGATAGTAACGGGAGCAGATGTATGACACGTTGGGCTCATTTTCGACTAGTATCTTGGCGGAACCGAAATCGCAGAGCTTCAGAATACCACTGTTTGGGTCGAGCAACAAGTTTTGGGGTTTGATGTCGCGGTGGCAGATGCCCTGAGAGTGAATATATGCCAGGGAGCGAAACAGCTGGTAAATGTAAAGTTTGACTTCTAGCATGGGCATGGTCGTTTTCAGTTTGTTGAAATAGCGCGAGGCCCGATACACCGTCTCCGGAACGTATTCAAGGACAAGGTTCAAGTACACTTCGTCCTTCTAGAATAACGAGAAAATGCGGTTAGTGACGACGACAGTGGTTTAAAGGGATTGGAAGAAGGTGGTGCATACGCGCTCGCCATTGGAATAGTAAAAGGCCTTCAGCTCAACTATGTTGGGATGGCGCACAATCCGCATGATCTGTAGCTCACGATTCTGAAGGACAGTCAGTTAAGGAAACATGTGCATCATGGAGAGCGGCGGGCGAAAGGCATACCTTGAAACGCTTGTCTTGAAGAACTCGTTTAATGGCAGCGTCCTCGCCGCCGGGCATCATCTTGGTTTGGAAAACCACTCCGAATGACCCATTGCCGACGATCTTACATTGTGAGTAGGAGATCTCTTTCGTTTCCCCGGTCAGTCCATCTTGGACTTTTTCTCGGACGACCTCTGTGTGGTCCACAAGAGCAGAACAAGTCAGTATTGGAGACTCGGCAGTACAATTAGAGCAATAGAATCAAGCGAGGGAGATTATTGCTTACCACCCATGCGCAAGCTCGAGAACATCCCAGGCCTATTCTGTGACATCACGGACGTCTGGCGAATATGAGAACAGGCGTCAAGTCGGGCAGCGCTATCGGGAGAAGGGAGGACTGCGGTTCAACAGTGAGTGGCGGGAAGAGACGTTGAAGCAAGGCGTGAGGTCCGTTTTGGGCGGAGTGTCGTCGGTGGAGCACTGGGATGGAGGGGTGCTCTAAGATGGGCGGAATATCCGAATAGCGAATGTTGAGTGGAGGTGCGCGTGAGATGAAAGGTTGAGAAGCGGACTTGTGGACGGGCGAATCGTAGGAAGGAGGGCTTAGATCAAGGGCCAATGGACTCGGATAGTGCCAAGAGTACAAAAGCAGATCAGACCAGGCCGACCGACGCAAGTTTGCAACAAGACGAGTGAAAGGTAGTCCTCTGATGAGGTGATGGGAAGAGGGAAGGAAGGGGGGGGGTGGGGGGGGGAGAGAGAGGAATGGGAAAATTGAATAAAACGAAATAAATTCCAGAGCAGTTAACTCAAAAGAGATGGAGAAATGCTCACGCCGTAGTCCGTACCAATGTGGCAGGGGGGGGTGTGGGCGGGTGGAGGAAATTCCAGGAAAGGCGGTTGAGCGGGTAGAAAGTGAGAGAGTGGTGGTAATAGAGGGATGGGATGGTCGGGAGGAGACTTGAGAGGGAGAGAGCGAGCAGGTGACGTTGATGGAGCGACGAAGCCCGAACACGCGAGGGCTGCAGGAACGCGGGAATAAAGCACCGGGAGGAGAGGAAAGATGGCAAGGAACACATGAGCCCGCTCCGGTCAAATAAGAGATGATAAGCTGAAGTCTTCCGGTCTGTCTCATCCTTTTTTCTTTTTCTTTTGGTCACCTTCATCTTATATATATATTCTTTTCTTCCAAAAAAAATAAAAAGGGAACGTCCGCCTTACACTGTAGAAAGTGGTGTGAGGTAATCCTTCTTCCCTTTGACTCTTCAAAGCCATCCTGAGTCTTCATTACCCCCTCCTTATGTTTCTTTTTGAAGAATCAAAAACCAAACAGTATGATTATAGGTTAGATATTACATAACCTAACTGTACAAGATCTGTTCTAACCATAGGTAGGATTGCTGTCAGGGATTACATTTTCTTGTAACAGGTAGGTACCTACCTATGTACACTGTAATTTGCAGGAAAAATAAACTTGCACGGTTATAAGAACAGATGCTGTACAGTTACCTGCCGGATCGTGGTCGATCAAGAGGGGCCTAGTATCTAATAAGAATGATGTCTTGGCTCATATTGTGTAGTACCAAGTGACCTGCCTAGGTAAAGGCCTGTGGCAGTGTCCAACAAGAATTGTGGATGATGACAGTCTCGTGGCTTACAGCCCAGGTGTGTAGGAGCTACCAACCTACTTACCTACCTGTCGACACTCCGTAAGGACTGTAATCGTTAATGATCCATGATGGGATATTTCAGATATTTTTTAATGCATTAACAGCAACTAAATTTTTCAGTAAATAGAAATAGCCAGTAGTAGAATAACTACACACTTAAAATATGGCATGCAGATATTGTAACAGGAGGAAGCTGCCCGGTGCTCTGTACAAGGCTTAGGTAAGATACCTACCTGCTGTCTGTTATGTTACGTTGTATGTATATATAAATACATGTATTGGTAAAATACTGGTTACAAGAAGTAGGTAAGGACCCTAAGGTACCTACCTACCTAAATGAGGATAATTGTATTACAGAAAAATACTCCCTTACTCATTTTTCCAATATTCAACAGCATCCATAGATAAATAATGGCAAATTTGCCTCATGCCAAACTATAGAAATAGGCCAGACTTGCTCTTATCTATTTATCCAGGTCCTCCTAAGTACTGCGCCATAGCAATACAGTTTCAAGAAATACCTAGGTGCACAGTGGTAAGTAATGCCGAGTGGGTACCTATGTAGGTATTCATTCACCTCTGATCTTACCAAGGTCTAACCAGTACAGTATCTCCGGTGGTACCGCGGTGCTTACTCCGTACTCCATACCTGCGGTAACTACCTAAGAAGTGGGTAACTCCTAGGCAAGGTAGTACATACCTAGGTACATAAGTACTCCGGAGTAGGGTAGGTAGCTGTTGGGTGTCAAGTGACCAGCTATAATTTCTGATACAGGCCGTTCTATTGGCTAGCTACTCTGCCACTTACGTATAACACTTGGGTTGCTTTTAGGTGCTCGCAGAACCAAGCTTACACTGACTACAGGGTTGAAGGTAGGTAGAAATCCCATCTATTTAATTACAACAGGCTAACATGTCTAAATGATATACCTACGTCAAGATACTTAAGCTGGTAGGTCTATTACTTGTTGAAGGATCTGCCACCGTGTACTAGGTGTGGTTTATTATACCAGACATGTGTTAACAAACCAGCAAAGTTAAATAAGCCTTATGCAGCTATATGCTGTACTCTGCAGTGCCATAATTCCTGACACATTTAGCTATAGTCTAGATCATTATCTGGTCTGTACATTGATTGTAAACCAATATTCTGGGTCTACCTGCTCAAGGATGACTACAGACAAACAGCCTACAGAGGTACTATGCTGGCTCTGTGCTCTGCGGTTGACAATAACAAAGTAGGGCCTTTTTTCAACAATTAGTACGGAGTATTCGAAGGGTTGAATCACTTATGTAGGGTCTTGGGCAATTCTTTGATTCAAATGATGTATCTCAGCTGACACAGCTCCATTCGGAAATGTATCCACTCTGGTTTCTCCCGTTTTGGGCGCTGTACAGAGTATGTACCTGTATGTACATACCTAGAAGATACCAGGCAGGGGGTGGGCATGTATGTAAGCTCAAAGCTGAGCACTGTCATCTGTATTATATTTAACTCCTGTTTGTTAGGTACCTAGGTAAGTAATTAGGTCCGGTAGGGATTTTTTTTTTGTTTTAAAACCTCAGGATCACGAGATGTTGCTTTATACTTGTCTTTAACTTCTAAGTCTATAGCTGATCAACTTGCTCTACCTGGTCTTTAGACTGAAACATATTCTTGAATTCACGTGGAAGTTGCTGTACTGCTTAGCCACTTGGTACGTCTACGCAGTACATCCAGGGCCCTGCGGACCCCGGGCCCGAGCAGCATCAGCAGATCCCACTTCCCGAGCCTTCTTCCCTTCATGTGACCCGATTTTGCCTCTAGGAAAGTGCTTGGGGCATTAGAACCCAACAGGCGCCATCCCTCATCTATCGGTAGCCTATCACCTGCGTTATATTATTGCGTGGGAATTGACAAGGTGCTTTGGGTTAAAGCAAGCTGTAGGCGCCATGCGGTATCTGTCGGTATGCTCACACTAGGTAGATCAGAATGGCACAGACTGTACGGAGTATGGAGTAGAAATGCCTTCTTCCAGAGGCTCAGGCAAAAAGGATAAAAACTTAAGATGTACCCATTGTCTACCACCTACCTAAATACTACTCCGTAACAGAATAACAGTTGTTGGCAGTGCCCCCCATGTTTTTAGACCATACCAACCTGTGTATTACCTACCTACATGCATACAATCGGTATCAGTATCATGGGTATTGATACAAAAAGTGTAAGGCCCCTCTATACAATAGGAGTAGGTACCTAAGTGATTACCTAAGGTACCTAGACCACAGACTGAAATTTACGGAAGGTACTAGGTACTTAGGTGCTAAAAAAAAAAAAAAAACCCCCAAGCATCAGGTCACCTCGCCCTTTCAATTTCTTACACCATACCTAGGGAGCTTTGCACCGGATACTCAACTGCTAATAGATGGGATAGATTTCCACCGAGCCCATGAATGACCATGCATTTACAAAGTAGGTACGGTGTCTGATGTATACTCTGTCGGCAGGTATAATGGTTGCATTAATAGGTACTGTGGAGCCAACTCAGATACACAAAATAATAGGAGCCGAGTTCTCCCAATTATTTCTCTGGTACCCCGTAAGAAGGGTGGAAACTTGGTTGGAAAGCCCCTCCTTTTTCCAGCTGCCCCCCCACTCCCAAGAGACCAAAGAGAGGGAGGGAGAACGAGAGAAAGAGGAAGCTGCATGCCACGATGCCTGAGCCCTAGAAAGGAAATTCATTCGGGGAGTGATGTCATGGTGGGCCCGAGATCACAGGACCACTGGCTGGTGGGACACCAATCTTCAACCACGGTTCTCCGTGGAAGTGCGAGAATAAGTTGCACTCCGTCGATGCTCCCCTACCAGCTGCGGGGGGGGGGAAATGCAGGACGGTTCATGCGACGACTCAATAAAGGCTGATTACTCAGTCTTGAGGGTTGGGAAATCCATCCTACAGAGCATGATAGTTCGTTCCCATAGGTATCTAGGTACCTGTAGTATGTACAAGTCTCTTGAATGATGACCTTTATCTTACTTCAGAGTAGTTATTACGAAGTCGGGCGTGGAATCATGGGCCAAACCCCGGTCCACTGCGTGGAGAACAACGTGCAGCAGCAGCGTGTATCGGATTTACTGAGTATTGGTAGGAGGTACCTGAAGTAAGGTTGGCACGAAGTACGGTCCGGTCGCATTATTATTGATGGCGATGGGGTGCTTCATATCTTCTCCAAAATCCCAGCAGAAACCACACAAAGTTCGAAGGGTTGAAAGTAATGTACGCAGTAAGAGTCCAAACTCGAGGAATGAGCCCCATGGCTCCGCTTCGATTGCTGCATTTACGGAATACGGAGCACAGCGCCTTTTTTTTTTTTTTTTTTTTTTTTTTGGCTCGACTTTATTCGACCAAACGCAACGAGCTCGGTTAGAAGGAGCCTTGCTAAGGATTTAGCGTGGCGGGCTAAGTTGAAAGGACGGACTTGTACCGGAGTAGACATGTTTTTGGTTTCTTCCAAGTCACCACAGCCGACTTTTTTTCATCTCCAGTCTACTCCGGAGTATAAGCGTAGAACCATCACCTACAAGAACCCCTTTCATAGCCCTTGTCCCAGTGTTGTTGCATACCTACCTGCTGCTCGGCAAGTCATACCTATAAACAGCCGGAGCCATACAAATTTGCTCTGCAGTGCAGGCAGTCAAGCATGGACATGAGTTCAGCATATGGGGCCATGCCCATATGGAAGGAATGAAAGATTGGTGGCAGAGATGTGTCAAAGCCGCAAAGAGCGGCAAGGCCTCTCTTCCACTTTTTTCCGACCTTCATATTTTTGGCAGAGCGCTTGTTACATAAGTTCATGCTTGTTTTGGTATGCCTGTACCCTCTACGAAAACCCACAATAATCAAAACATGTTTTACATTGCCCATCTATGATGCATAGCAAATAGTAACAGCTCCCTGAAAATGTCCCCATCCGTGTTTCGCAGTCATACAGATCAGCCAAGAGGGTTGGAGATGACGATGTGACAATAGGGACAAAGGTAGATGATAATAGATGATTCCCTAAGAATAGAATAATATGAAAGGGAACAAAGAAATTCAGACCAAGCCAGAGATGGATCTATACAAAAGGTGGTTTCCATGGCGCCAAACAACTGCCTTCCTGGACCAGCAAACCGCATTCATGGTAACAAACCGGGATAACGCACCATTTTCCAAACATACATAGGGGGAGTGAAGTGTTAATAAAACAAAGGGGTGAAAATGTATAAAGCCGGGTGAACTGGATTAGCCGCAACTATGTTTTGCGTGAGTTTAGAACGGAGGAGGAATCATGCCCTGCGCCTCGATCTTATCTTGCTGCTCCATCAGTTCCTCACCGGCGATCTCGAGGGACACAGCAAGGCCAAGCTTAGCCGATTGCTACAAGGAGGATGCGTCAGTAATTAGGTCTACCGGCACCACGTGTGCGAAATGACGACGCTGGGAAACCAGACTCACCTTAGCTTGATCTATCTCGCCAGCAAAAGTCAAGGCAATGGGCATCGCTATCCGCTTCTCGAGAAGGCAGCTGACCTTTCCGGCACTGTCGACCTGAGCCCGGAAGGTGGATGCCCGGAAGTCGTACTTAGCACCGATAGCAGTCGTGCCATCCTTGCTAGGTCCACCCATCAGGGCGGCGGCGGCATTGGGAGCAAATTGAAGGTTCATGTCAACGCCGGCTTCAACACGCTCGGAGAGCTTCCTCCAGTAAGAGGCCGTGAAGACTCCCTGGGCCTGGAGTTGGGCGCTGGCAATCCAGTCGCTGGTCTTGTACCGGGCGCTGTAAGAGAGCGCTGTTTCCGGGCGAGTGGTCATACCCTGACGCTGCCAGATCGCCTCAAAACCAAGGGCCAAACTGGGGGTGACCGACTGAAGGTAGCTGCCCACGAAAATTCCGGTGAGACCTCCATCCAAGAAGGACGGGTTGAACGCTTTCAAGGAGGCCGAAAAGTCATCGCCAGTATAATCGTTATCAATCTGCATCAGACCCTGGCTAGCACCGGCCATGATTTGAGTGTTCGTCTTGGTGACAAGCTTGGGACACCAACGGTAGTTGCCGACAGCAGCAAGCGCACCGTCACTTCCGAAGTTACCTTGCATGAAAACCTTTTTGAAACCGCGGGATTCAACTCTTAGCTTCCATAGCAAAAGGCTGCGAGAAAACAGCAGCTTAGGACGACTGAAGTACCCACCTTTGGACTCCCATACATGGCCGAGAAAGCATACGGCGGCAGGTTCCCCGACGAACCCATGGAGAACGCATGCGAGACCCGGAACAAAGGAGACATGCCGAAAACCTTGGTCAGATCTGCCCGGAGGCCCGTGAACATAAAGTTGGACAATAGAACCTCCTTTTGCACCTCTCTGGCGATGTTATCCACGGTTCCTGGGTTGGGTAGGCCAAGAGCCGCCCTTCGCTCTGAAAACGAACTGTATGCATCCTTGAGGGCAGCGGCGACGGAATTGTCCGTCAAGAACGAAGGGGGTGTGAGATGGTCGGCCATTGCGGCTTGTTCGAAGGAAATTGCTTGTTGGTGATGAAGGACGCGAAGTATATAGGAGTGGTCGTCGTCACACGAGCTTTGGGAAGCGCTCGGCCTTGCGTCAGGAACAAAAGGATTAAAGACCAGGCTTTGGAAGTAAATAGAGGAAGGGTCAAGAAAAACAAAGTAACGCGGGGCGTTACTAGAGGAAGGTCGAGCTGAAGGGTCGTGTCTGGCGTGCTCTGGTCAAGGGACGACGCTGGGGAGACAAAACAGACACCAGGGCAGTTGACAGACTTGCAGTCGGATCTGAAAAAAAGTCACTTTTGCTTTTCCGCCCGGCCTGCGTCTTGGGTGCCTGCGCGCCGCCCGAGGCGACTAAGCCGCTTCGGGTCTAGCCGACATCGGGCGAGGATGACGATGATGATATCCAACAAGGAATCTACTTTACTCCGTACCTAGTCGGCGAGACAGGCTTCTGATATATTCCGTACCATCCTACGCACCGTCAGTCCTCTCATGGCGTTCCCGCGTCGCTTCTGATCGTTGGACGGGGGTATATATGCTGACCTATCGTTCTTGCGGTCATTAGGTATCTAGATATTACTACTCCAACTGCCTCCGCCGTACCGTACCTGCCGACGAGGAATCCCTCCTTTTGCTACCTTACGCATTCGTGTCCCTGCGCTCTCATAATCGAAGCACTGGGCGTCTGATTTATCGTCGACGCCTCATCCTGGTTCTTCTCGCGACCGGCCTTTCTTCACCATGGATACTTTATTGTAAGCCTTGTTCGACGACATTCGCTTCGGCCCTACCGTTTCTATGCCTTCCCTCCCCTGGGCCCCGCTGGCTGTCGCGAAGAGGGTGAACCTCTGTTGACCAGGTCCGAGACTGCTATCATCGTTTTCGCTGCTGCAGAACCCACTATCATACCGAGGTGCAGGGTCCGTGAACTGACTTTGGCTACTAGAACGGCGGACATTGTGGCCAATTCCCCACGATTTCGTCGGAAATCCTCGACTTTCGTCGATGCAATCCATGACTTGCCTGAGAAGGCGGATCTCGCCCCGGCTCAGCTGTATAGCACGGAGTCTGGTAGACTTTTTCACTCAGGTCGAATCGTTATCATCACCGTAGGCCTACCCGCGAGGGGCAAGACGTTCGTTCGACCCAAACTGGCCGCGTGGATTCATGGTTATCGCTAACCCGCCCCTCCTACCTTAGCCATATGTCAGTAGCTTTGGCACGCTACCTTAGATGGTACGTCGGCTATCTCGTTACCCATCACTGTTTCGATGCTTCTCCTGGGCTGATTGAATTGTAGGCTAGGTGTTAAAACTAGGATCTTCCACCTCGGAGATTACAGACGCGCTACAATTCCCTTCGGACAAGACATTCCGGATGATTACTTTTTTGTCAATGGCAAGTGGTAGCAGCTCTCCTTTCTTGCTGGGCGGCTTGGGATCGAACTCGTGCCAGGACATTTTCATCCATTGCCTTGCGTTTTTCCCTCTTCGTTTCTTTTCTCGAAGTCCACTAACACACTGCAGCATCTGCATCTTCTGTCCTTCTACGGCAAAAAATTGTAAAAAGATGCCGAGAAGACATTTACCAGTTTTTGAATGATGAAAACGGGCAGATAGCAATCTATGATGCAGTCAATCCACTGGCTTCCGGTCGACGATCTCTGGCGAAGGAATTTGCAAAGCATGACATCGAGGTTTGTGAACATGCATTGTTGCCCCACTGGAATTGGTGTATTGATGCTTACATACTCCGGTTGAAGACTCTATTTATTGAGTCATGGTGTGACGATGAGCGCATCATCGAAGAGAATGTCCGCAGGGTGAAAATATCTTCGCCCGATGTGAGTAGGGCCTCTTCACAACTTGTTGTTTATGGCCCCTGACCATCGCTAGTACGTCGCATGGAGCTCTGAGGATGCAGTAAAGCATTATTTGACCCGCATTACTGCCCGAATCCCACAATTTCAGACCATGGAGGAAAAAGATCTGAATTATATCAAAGTAGAAGACCTGTACGAGGCTGCGCAATTTCTATGCTAACCATGAAGCAGATGATCAATGCTGGGGAAAGATTGATCGTTAACAACCGGAGTTTCGGCTACCTTTCTCACAGAATCGTTTTCTATCTTCTTAACCTCCACATCAAATCGAGACACACATACTTCGCGCGTGTGAGTAGATTTAGATCGGTCTAGACGCATGATGTTGCTGATTTCTGACCTCTGATCCCAGGCTGGTGTTTCGCTAGAAGCCGGCTCATACAAAGCCGATGCTTCGCTATCCGAGCAAGGGGAAGACTATGCGAAGAGAATGACGGAGTGTTTGATCAAGCACAGGGAAGATGAGATGCAGACAATGATTGATCAAGGAGAAATCGATTGTGGACTCAAACCCCTGACGGTCTGGACGTCCACAAGACGGAGAACCATCGAGACTGCACAGTATCTCCACGAGACTGGGTACAAGGTTCGACAAAGATCGCAATTGAGCCAATTGAATCCCGGTGTTTGTGAAAAGATGTCGGAGCAAAAGATTCGCGAAGAATACCCCGACGAGGTTGCAAAACACGAACTTGACCCCTACCACCACAGGTACCCTCGAGCTGAAGTGAGTTATCTGTGTCCTTTGTAATGTTACCGTTTCCAAAGATTGACCACTCCTGTGCTAGTCATACCACGATTTAGCCGTGCGCCTCGAGCCCGTTATCTTGGAGCTCGAACGTGAGCAGAACGATCTTCTCATTATTGCTCATGAGAGCGTCTTGAGGGTTCTGTATGGATACCTCATGGCGTGCAACGCAGCTGATATTCCATTTTTAGAGTTTCCACGTGATGAGATAATTGAGGTGCGAGATACATTTTTTTCCAACCAATGCACGGTTTGACTGATCCAAATTCGCAGATCATCCCTGAGAGCTACCAAAATGAGGCGCGTAGGATTCATATTCCCGGGCTGCCGAAGGAAATTATTCCGGGCTCGCCGGAGGACATCAAAATTCCCGTGCCCTCTAGTGAAGTGACTACTCCTCTGGTCGGTGGTATAGGCAGCCCGAAGGAAGGCCTTTCGACCCCGCAAAGTGGTCTCCGGACTCCTCGCGAGCCTGAAAGGATTTCGCAACAGCATGTCGAAGACGTTGTCTAGACCCGAGCACTAGATAGTACTGAGCGAGTGGCATAGAACGTGACTGGAGTTTCCTTCTGATACAGTCAAACCCTTGGAATTGATGGTCGCATGTGCAGAGTATCGGCGTTACGCTAGCCTCCGTGCAATGTAGAAACAAACACAATATTATCTCCTTGTTGAAGCTCGTACTTTTCCTCGCCTTCCAGTTCCCAATCGGCATCATTGATGAGAACAAGGATCCCGGGTCGCCTGACACCAAGAGATTAGCACAGATTCGGCTCTCTATTTCTCCCCGACGTACACATTATCTTCTAGGATGAACAGTTCCTTCCGCTGGTCTTTCATGACGTTCTCGACTAGGTATCCGAGGAGAAAAGTGATATTGGGCCGGATACCGTCATCAAGTCGAGCCGGCAAAGTAAGGTTGTGCTTGCGTATATTTGAGAAAAGAATCTCTAGGCCACCACTGTCGTGAAGGTAGACGAGGTGGAAAGAGCATCAGTGACCAGTCAAAACTTGAGGGTTGGAGATGCTCGGACGAACGTGAACTCCACAGTGATGGAGATAGAACCAGGCGCCTCGTGTTGCGAGGCAGAAGAGGCGGCCATGATTTCCAAGGCAATCGAATCCGGGGTCCCAGCTCAAGCTCAGACGACAAGGGGGAAAAGCTGATGGAGGGAGGGGTTTTATTCTCTCGAGGGGAAAATTGGCCCGCTTATCGATAAGCTCCAATCAAGTTGGTTGCGGCACAAAAAGTCCGCCCTCCATTTTCTCCAGACTCGGTGACGACTGCTCCTCTTGACCCCCACACGACCAGCGGCCCTGGAAGACCAGATCCTCGTTTTTGATCTACCCCCAATAGGGCTTCAAAGTGGGCTTCATGGTGTCCATTACGGCCGACTACGTCAGTGTTGGCGGCAACAGACACCCCGCCGCCGCGGACTGGGATGTGCAGACGGGCGTGCTCGCCTTCGGTGCAGACAACAATGTCGCTTTGTGGGATCCAAGGGTATGAACGCTTGCGGAAGCCACCCAGCTTATGCTCCTGGGTATCATGAATATAGGGTCTAATCTTGCAAATAGGAAAGCTCGCTTCGTGGAGTCTATGCTCTTCTCGTCGGCCATACCGACAAGGTCAGCGCCGTGCGCTTTTACACCTGTCCCACCACGGGCGAGAAATTCCTTCTGACCGGCTCCGTGGATCGTACATTACGGCTCTGGAGGGCGGAATCCGACGACAGACGCCAATTCTCGCTGGCACACACTTTGGAGGGCCATACAGGCTCGGTCAATACCATTGCCGTTGCTGACGGCACGGACATTGTCGCGTCGGGAGCGGCGGATGGAAGTGTCAAACTGTGGAGGATTGCCTCCCGGGAAGGATGCCAAAGCGAACTGCTCCAGACCATATCTTTGAAACCACGGTTCTTTCCCTTGGCCTTAGCATTGGCTCGGCTTCAGACCGACGCGAATGACGGCCCTTTTGTGTTGGCAGTTGCGGGAACCACGAATGTCATTCAGCTCTATGTGGCCGAGAGCACTCTTGCCGGCTCTGACATGAAACTCTCCGCTGTTTTGTCTGGCCACGAGGCCTGGGTGCGCTCTCTGTCATTTACTCCTGACAAGAATAGTAAGGTCGGCGACCTTTTGCTTGCTTCTGCGAGCCAGGACAAATACATCCGACTGTGGAGATTCCATCGGGGTCTAATAACCTCGTCCTTACCACAGAATGATGAAGAAACCATGATAGCGGGCCTTGAACCGACTTTATCAAATAAGGCGCACCAACTACAGGCAGCGGGGTCGACATACTCTGTCACATTTGAAGCGCTTTTGTTCGGAAACGAAGACTGGATTTACACCACCGCGTGGAACCCGAACAGTGACCGCCAGCAACTTCTATCTGCTTCTGCGGATAATACATTGACCATCTGGGAACAAGATTTGGTTTCCGGAGTTTGGATTTCCGCTGAAAGGATGGGTGAGATCAGTGTGCAGAAAGGATCCACTACTGCTACGGGGAGCACCGGTGGGTTCTGGATCGGTCTCTGGGCCCCGGATGGCAAGGGTGTTGTCAGTCTCGGTCGCACAGGTAGCTGGAGGCTATGGAGCTACGACGAGACAGCCGATGTTTGGTTGCAGTCATTGGGCATCACAGGGCATGTTCGATCAGTGAACGGTGTGCAGTGGGAGTCCACTGGAGGGTATCTGATGTCGACCAGTGCCGACCAAACAACGAGGCTTCATGCCCAGTGGTTACGAGATGGCTCTAGTTCATGGCATGAATTTTCTCGGCCGCAGATTCATGGATATGATCTGAATTGTATTGACACTTTGGGACCGGCACGGTTTGTGTCGGGTGCAGATGAGAAACTCCTACGGGTTTTCAACGAACCCAAACCCGTCGCCCAAATGCTGGGGAAGCTTTCTGGATTTCAGCCACTAAATGACGACGAGCTCCCAGATACGGCGCAGATCCCAGTTCTGGGCCTATCAAACCAAGCTTTAGGTGACGAGGCTCCAGTGGATGTAGAAGGAAATGGCCCGGATGGCCCAGAGATGGTACATTCTCAAGCAAATCAAGCGCTCCTAGCAGATTCGGATCGACCTCCCCTGGAGGATCAACTGGCTCGACATACATTGTGGCCCGAGCATGAAAAACTTTACGGTCACGGGTACGAAATATCAGCGGTGGTCGCCAGCCATGACCGTACCCTCATCGCGACTGCCTGCAAAGCGAGCTCAATAGACCACGCGGTCATTCGCTTGTATTCTACCTCTGACTGGCACGAGATCCGACCTTCTCTCGCAGCTCACACCTTGACGATCACAAGTCTTTCCTTTTCTAATGATGATCGGTATCTTCTTAGTGTTGGAAGGGACCGCCAATGGGCGGTCTTTTGCCGGAGCGATCAAGACCCGTCCACCTTCGCACTGCTGGCATCCAACCCGAAGGGACATTCTAGGATGATCTTAGATGCCGCTTGGGCTCCAGCCATCGATAGCCCCATCTTTGCGACGGCGGGCCGAGACAAGTCGGTCAAGCTCTGGCAGAGGGAAGAAGACACGTTTGTGTGCAGGTCGGCAGTATCGCTGAAAACTTCCATCAGCGCCATCTCGTTCTATCCCCAAATGCAGTCGAACTCATTCATCCTTGCGTCAGGAGAGGACAGTGGTGAGGTATCCATATATCAAATTGCTGTTGACAGCCTTGAGCCCAAGCATTTGATAAGCGTTGATCGACGCCTGAGTCCCTCGAAGACCATCACACAACTGGCTTGGCGACCTTATACACAGACCGATGAAAAGGCGGGTCAACGTAAGTTTGAGCTTGCTGTTGCGAGCGAGGACACCTCGACGCGTGTATATGCTATTTCCAACATCTTCTGATCAAGAAGGTGGTCGGTATGAAAAAATAAAAAACGAAAAAATGGGAAATATCGCTAGATACAAATGTTGAAAAACTCCTGGAATGTTGAATATATCCACCCGATCTAAATGCAAACGAAACCGTTTATGCCGTGAACCCCGTTCATGCAGATCATGTCAGTATTGTTGAAGTGAATCATTGTTGAATGACGCCTAAAGAGGCAAACTCCGGAGAAAGATGCGCATATTTAATTGCGCTTTTCAAACCCATACCCTCCTTTCCCTTCGAGCGATTCGTAGGTCTTGCCTTGGCCATGTCGCCCATTCCTGGGCCCCCGGGCTTTCAGATCCTCCCTCAGCCACTTGAGGACAAGCTCACCGAGTTGGCTATTCTGTGAGGTCTCCGGGACCTCGCCCTGGAATTTTTCCATTGGACCCCACTGCCGTACATTTCCCAAGTGCATATGCACGAGGTGGGTTGGCCAGTGGGACAGGTTATCGAGAATATGCGTAGCATAGACAATAGTGCACGGTCTCGTCTCGGTCTCACGCTTGAGAAAAGCGAGGAAATTGCTTCGCGAAAGGAGGTCCAGGTCCACGGTGATCTCATCTAGAAGCAACACCTGCCAGGGCCGGAGTAAGCCCATGGCCAGTTGCACGCGACGCCGCTCCCCATCGGACACAGTATGCATGCGCCAATTGAGATCGATGTCAAGGATGTCTACTAGTTCGTCTCGTCGCTCGGGGTAGGCGTTCCCGCCGACAGAGGCCAACAGCGTGGGAATATCAATGTCGGAGCGGACGATGCCGTTGAGAACCCACTCCATCCCAAGGTATGTCACCCCTTCGAGACCATCCTTGAAAGGATCCTTGCCCCCGACAAAGATTGTGTCCTTCGGAGCGAGACGCTTACCCGCCAGCAAGCGGAGCAGAGTGGTTTTGCCGGCGCCGTTGGCTGCCATTCTGTTAATGATGCCCAGAGTCTTGGTCATACAGCGCGGTGACTTCTCTTACCTCCAATGAGTAGCGTCCGACTGCCCGAAGGAACCTGCAGGCCCACATTCGTCAAACCAGATGACCCATCCTGGAATTGGTAGGACAGGTTTTGGACGTGAACCGAGGGCGCTGGGTAATCGGCCATTTGGACTGGACGGAATCAGGTGAGCAGAAGGCAGAGCGAAATGAGCGACAGCAAGAAACAGACCCAACCGACGTATTTATACTCAAGAACGGAGTGACTCAGAGAACAGAGAAAAGTGGCTAACTAGCAAAAGATTGAAGGATGCGACCGTCGATAAGGAGACGCACCGCACCGCCTTTCCCGATCAGGGCGGAAAATTTCCCCTCCTCCCCATCTTCCTTCTTTTCTATTGCTGCACCGAGGTTCCGCAAACCATGGGGTCCTTGATCTAGCCCCCTCAGTCCTAGATTTCCTAGAGATCAAGATGCCAGGTACCTTTCATTCGGGATTCCGATGCGCCAGTTTTTTCGCTATCTCTATCCTATCAAGGGCTTGTCGATAATGGAGCCTTTGATAACTGTTGTGGGTGCCACTGGCACTGGCAAATCCAAGGTAAGTGAGACGGGTTGGTAGCGGCGCTATTGTTTCTCTCTCTCTCTCTCTCTCTTTCCCCCTAGAAGAGCATCAAAACTGACAATTGCAGATAGCTTGCAGTGGACCTCGCCTCTCGCTTCAATGGTGAGATCATCAATGGGGATGCGATGCAGATGTATCGCGGTCTTCCCATCATTACGAACCAGATTCCGGTCGAGGAGCGCAACGGCATTCCCCATCACCTAATCGATTGTATCGGACTGGGAGAAGAGCCGTGGCGAGTGGGCTTGTTTAAGAACGAGTGCCTTCGACTGATCCGGGACATACATTCGCGGGGGAAGCTTCCGATCCTGGTGGGGGGCACCCATTACTATACGCAAGCAGTACTGTTGAAGGATCAGCTCGTTGGCGAGCCCTCGGCTGATCAGGATGTGGATGTGGAAGCCCCTGACGAAATGGCGGCGCTCGCTGCCAAATGGCCAATCCTCGATGCGCACCCCGATGCGGTGTTGCAGAAACTAAGGGAGGTCGACCCGGTTATGGCCGATCGCTGGCATCCAAATGAGACTCGCAAAATTCGTCGGTCTTTAGAAATCTACTTCCAGACGGGAAAGCGCGCATCGGAGGTTTATGCCGAGCAGAAGCGCTTGAAGCAAGCCGTGTCCGATGCTAAGTCTCGAGACGATGCGCAACAGCTACGCTTCCCGACAATGATATTTTGGGTCCATTCAGATAGGAATGTGTTGAACTCTCGGCTCAACAACCGGGTGGATGCTATGATGGAACAAGGTCTAATGACGGAAGCAGAGCAGATGTTCGAACATCTCAGGCAGAAAAACAAGCAAGACACCACCTTTGACTCTACGCGTGGAGTATGGATTGCGATTGGATTCAAGGAGTTGGCACCTTACTTTGAAGCATTATATGGCGGTCTTTCCAACGAGGCCGAACTCCAAAAACTGAAGGATTCCTGCATTGAGCTAATCAAGATTGCAACGCGTCAATATTCGGCATCTCAGATCAAGTGGATTCGAAACAAGCTATGGGAAACCCTAGCTGAGGCTGGGATGGCACATCGTCTTTTCCTGCTGGATAGCACCGATGTTGAAAATTGGGAGAAGTGCATCACCGAACCATCCGAGCATCTCGTTCAATCTTTGCTCCGGGACGAGCCTACCCCGGACCCCAAGTCTTTCTCAGAATTGGCAAGCAAAACGCTGGGTGCAAAGGAGGCACAATTGCTGAAGGGGCCTCGACCTGAGGCGAAATGTATCAGATGTGACGTTTGCAACAAGACCATGACCGATGAAGCGCAATGGGAAATCCACATCAACGGACAGGTCCATAGAAGAACCCTGAAACATGCCGCAAAAAAGGCGGAGCAGCTGCGGAAAAAGCAGGACAATCTGGAAGAGGGGGAGACAACCCCCCCACGGACAGGTGAACAAGGCTTTTTTTCAGTTAACCCAGTTGCGTCTTCTGCATCGCACAGTTCCATGGAAATCCCTAAGCACCGGAGCACCAGAAAGTAGAGTCTCTGTTTTTCTCAAACGTTATCCTCACTATTATACATTCGCAGTTATGCAAGCTAGTAAAAGATAGCTTTATACATATCAAAGAACCGAGTACCATCGTCTAGCATGCAACTATCTAAATCACATGCACTATGGTCCGGACGCAGCCGCCTAGAAAAGGATCCTTCGTCATCACCTTTGATGTAATGTAACCCATGCCTGCGTCACAAATCATATGCTAGTGGCATGGTATTGATGTCGATGCTTGAAATGCCACGCCATGAGTCAACGCGAAGCAACTGGAATTAGTCACGACTAGGACTTGCGCGTAGCTTTTCCTTCGCGAATCAGGTGCATTCCCAGTATGGGTTCAAGGATGACACTCGTTGGCCTGAAAGCCTTTAGAGAGTCAACAGCCAAAGAGCGTATCAGCCAGGGTTTGATCAAGACGAGGATCGCCAATTCGAAAACGAGGAAGAAAGAATATCGCCCGTCCCGCTTTCTTCGGTCTTGAAAACTTCGATAACGGAGGACTTTTCAAGCTTTCGAATTCTCCAGGTTCCTTCTTCGCAGATCGTTGATTTTAGCCCTGGTACATATACATTAGCCGATTGTTGAACGGACCGAGAATACCAATATTGAGAATGAGGGGGCTATTCATACAGTCAAGAAATGCAGCAGCAAAGTTGATGCAAATGTTACCATCCCATGTTCCTTTCCCCATCTTCTTGACCTTGCCGGGTAAGCTTGCCGTGTCAAGTTCCTCTAGCCGGTGGACAATGCCTTGTTGGTCACGGAATCCCACGATGATCTTCGGAACGCCAAGTAGAAAAGATTGAGCCCAGAACTTCAGGAGTTTTCGCTCATATTTGATCATATCTCGGTCATTCTTGATCTCGGCTGAGGTCTTAAGCTCCACCCAGTTGATCGGATCTTCTTTGCGGTCAGGTTTGGAATCCCAAACTAGCACGTAAGGTTAGAAGGCATGACCAGATGATCTGATAACAACCGAAAAGAGCAACTGGGGTTCGTTCTTGTTTTATCTTTTAACATACCGGCATCAACCTCGCCACCAATCACTAGCCGGGCACTACCAATACCTGTCCGGACGACAGAGCAATATTGCGCATTGTTGTTCACGATCAGCTCCTCACGAGACTCAATCTTGTCGCGAGGAGTCGCGTCCCAAGGCTGATCGAGAAGAGAAAGGGTCTCAAATTTATAACCTACACTTGTCAGTGGGGAAAACATAGCCGGTATAGGGTATATGCATTACCCCAGTAGGCCATCATCTCCTGAGAGGGCATTCCCGGAGGCATTCTTTGAGTGTGCTGCAACCGTTTTTGGTGGTTTTTGTAGGCATTGTTTTCTTCGATAAAACTGGCGCCTGTCAGAGCCGTTTATGGCTGGCATGGTAAGCTTTGAGGCCTACGTACATTGTTCCCTAACATTTGAGGGTCAGCCGTATGTACCATGAATCCGAACACAGGGGGGCATTCACCTGGAAACATGTCGCGTTCATTTCCCATCTACAACTGTGAGTTAGGCAATGGCGCCAAACAGTCAAACAGTAGAGGCCACTCACCCGTTCATCGTATCAAACGGAGCGGTCAAGATCTAGGCAACGTTGCAAACGTATTAGGGGAAGACTTCCACATGGGTCCGGGCGACTGTTCGGTTACTGACCTTGGTCATCATGCCTCTCCAGGTGATGACGTCGGCCTCGCATTTCTTCCCCGTGTCCTTTTCGACAGCAAGAATTGTACCCAGAAGGGCATCTAGATGCTCATCGGCCGAATCATCCAGTTTTTGGAAGCTTTCAAAGCCACGATTTAAATCCGCCGGAAGACGCGGTGGATAATAGTACCGCAGGGACGGCTCTCCGAGATGAAACTGATGTTCATCGTCATACGAAAAGCAAGCGATTTCCTAGAAGATGGTTACATCGGGTCTGCACACCAACGTATGCGCGCCAAGAGAGAGAGAGAGAGAGAGAGAGAGAGAGAAAGGAAGAAAGATGAGCGCACCCTGGGACGTCGGATAGAGGTGCTGGAGCCGTAGAATCGGCCAATGGGCTGGATATCAAAAACCTTACGGTCCATTATGAATCAGTCAATTCTTGGGTAAGGTCGCGCGCATTGGCTGGTCAACTGTGTCCGTAAATCAAGAAAATGCCTTCGGACTGGTCGGGTGAGAATCAGGGATCTTGATGGTAAGTGGGTGGAGGAGGATGAGAAGTAAGTAGAGTCGCAAGTATTCAGGCCGAGCCAAGAGCCGTTCGTCCATCATCAATCGATCTTCTGGCCCTTCCCTCCTCCCCCACCACTTTTTCGACAAGTGCAACAACCACCACGATCCCATTTTGACTCCCCCTCCTATTTCTTTTTGACTATCTTATTTGGGAGCTCTCGCGGGGAGCCTAGAAATCACGATGACTTCGCGTATCGACAAGACTATTGCCCGTCAACGAGAAAAGTGAATCCTCCGTATTTGTGCCGGGCTAGCCCTCACTCTTCTGCTGGGGTTTAAATCAATGCGTGAAGAACCAATACTAACCTTTTGGTTATGTCCTCTCTAGAATCGCTTCCGGGGCTTACTACGAAGCGCATCAACAACTGCGTGTCATCGCCGCGCGATACATCAAGCAAGCAAATTACGATGCTGCCGCGGAGCTTCTGGCTGGCGGTGCGACCGCTCTCCTGAGAGCCGGATCTCAGCAAGGTGCATCCGCCAGTGGAGGAGATCTCGCCATTATGCTGGTTGTCGAAGTGTACACCAAGGCAGGCTGGGAAATCGTGGGAGGGGATAATGATACAGACGGCCGTGCTCGGAAAAGTTGATCTCGATGCTCCCTGCATGCGAAACTTGACTGACGACGATTCTTCATGACAGAGCGCCTTGTCGAGATCCTTCACGAGTTTCCTCCCGAGGAACCCACCCGCAAGCGATTCATCCAGGAGCTAATCGGCTGGAGTGGACGGTTTGGGCCTTTGGAGAGAGGAGACCCGGAATTGCATCATGCTGCCGGATCAGTTTACGCCGAAGGTCCGTATATTCTGGGTACACCAAATATCCATTCCTAATTATAATCTGCAGACCATGAACCGTACGAGGCCGAGAAGCATCTCATCCTCGGAACGTCTGAATCCGCCGAAACGCTGGCAAAGCTTGAGTATGAATGGTACACCAACGATGAACCGCATACTGCCGCGATCTATGCATCACGCGCAGTGTTTCCGTACATTCTAACGGGTAACCTGCGCAATGCCAACAAAGCCCTTCTTATCTTTACATCGCGGCTTTCTTCCTCCAATCCCGCTCTTGGCTCGCAAGGGATTAGCAGTGCGAGTTCCGATGTCCGAGTCTTCCCCGCGCTCCCATTGCTAAATTTCCTGAATATGCTACTCCTCACGATCCAGCGTGGTAGCGCAGACCTTTTCAAGCAGCTCACTGCACACTACGCGGCACAGATCCAAGAGGTGGGTATATGGGACGACGCATTAGCCCAGATTGGAGAGCAGTATTTTGCGATCAAAATTCCCCGGCAAGGCAACCCGCTGTTAGATATGATGGGCAGCATGTTGTTTGGAGGAGGTCAGGAGGGCACGGGGGGTCGGAGAGTACAAGGAGGCCGGGGACAATCGAGAAAGGTCGAGGCGCCGCCGGCGAATCCGGAGCTCGATTAGACAAGTTGCGGTTTCCGTACCATGTGATACGCAGGAGGTTTCGGAGCTTTGCGGACGAGGATGCAGTTTGCCCGCATGCGCCGCTATCAGAGCCCTGCGTCGCTTTCTGGTTCGTACATCCAATTGTCTTCGTCCAACGCGGCTACTTTATTCCGGAGGCTTTGGTGGATGAGGGTTAGAATTTCTTTTTAAGAATCAGCTTCGAGGCTCCAGTTGACCGACACGGAAGGCAAAGTTGTTTCGACTACAACTGACGAAAAACACTTAGATAGTACTTACCAGCCGGTTCACTGCTCAGTTGTCTGTTGCGGCTTCGGCACATCATTTCCACCAAAGTTGCCTCAATCTCTGGATTTCGAGTGGGATCACAATTAGCATCAACTGACTCCTGAGAAGGGGGCCATTGAGGTCCGCAGCGTACTCTTTTTTTCCCGTTCACTCATGCCTGCCTGCGCCGTAGGATCGGTACCTCTGGCCCCAGGGCCTCCGGACATGCCCCCACCCTCGACACCCTCCATCTCATCTTCACCTTCCTGTCCAGCAATCGGCGGAAGAACGGGGATGTCGAGCTTGTAGCCGCCGTTCTTGTCCCGAGTCACAATTTCTCCATTGTCGACTGGGCCCGAGCTGAGAGACGAGGTAGATTCAGACGCAGCGGACGATAGCATGTGCGAGGAAAGACCGGAGACACCGTGGTTAGCTGCGCTGCCAGTAAGTTGCACCGAGGCATTCGAAGGGGCGGCAGACACTGGCCGTCGACTCAGATGGTGATGGAAAATATTGCGGCGGACGGAGGTTGCTCCCATTGCGGTAGGGGGTAGTTCACGCAAGTGATTGGCCCGGATCCTGTTGACGGATGTATCGAGCGAGATAAGGATATTGCAATATCATACGATGTTAGAGCGACGCCTATGGGATTGAGTTGGAGATGAGAGGATGGGAAGAGAAGAAGGTGCGGATGTATGTAAGATAGTAAGATAGAAGGTAGGTAGCCCGGTAAGGTAAGATTGTAAGACGGTAAGGCCTGTACCGAGGCGCAGTAATGTAATATACATACATACAGTACAGTATACAGACGGAGATCTCTGTTATTTACACTCCGGAAAGTGGTAACTTGCGTCATGTCCCGTAAAGGAGAATTCATCCCAATCGGGCCAAATCCACGGGAGCTCGACGCGTCGGTTTTCGCGTCCTTCTCGACATCGGCCTCGCTATTTCGTCAACTCCCCGCCCCTGCGCATCCCAAGTCGTTATCATGGCCCAAGCCGAATCTTCCGCCAGTGCTGCCCGCAATGGCCTCAAAGCTGTCACAACGGGAGCTCCACCCGACTACGAGCTGCCTTGGTATGCATATAACCAACCCTCTCGACTCCAACCCGGTGAAGCCTAGCTCTAACGGCCAGCTCCCCACAGGGTCGAGAAATATCGCCCCGTCTTTCTCGATGACATCGTCGGAAACACAGAGACAATCGAACGTTTGAATATTATCGCGAAAGATGGGAACATGCCTCATGTTATCATCTCGGGAATGCCGGGTATCGGAAAGACGACTTCGATACTGTGTTTGGCGAGACAATTGTTGGGTGACGCATATAAGGAGGCGGTGTTGGAATTGAATGCCAGTGACGAGAGAGGTATTTGACTGGAGGATTTTCTCTAGAGATCTGGGAGGCCCTCGGCGTCTGACAAGCTATCCAGGTATCGATGTGGTCCGCAACAGGATCAAGGGATTTGCTCAGAAGAAGGTCACTCTGTCACCAGGCCGTCACAAGATTGTTATACTTGACGAAGCCGATAGGTATGTATACAGAGCCTGGTATCCCCTAACTTATCCTGACCGTGTCCAACCGTATCCTCTAGTATGACGCCGGGTGCCCAACAAGCGCTCCGGCGAACGATGGAGATCTATTCGTCTACCACACGATTCGCGTTCGCCTGCAACCAGTCCAATAAAATCATCGAGCCTATTCAGTCGCGATGTGCTATCCTCCGCTATGCCCGGTTGACGGACACCCAGGTTGTCAAGCGGTTAAAGCAAGTTTGCGAGGCCGAAAAGGTGGAGCATACGGAAGATGGCATTGCCGCCTTGGTGTTCAGTGCCGAGGGAGACATGCGCCAAGCGATCAACAACCTCCAGAGTACATGGTCTGGCTTCGGGTTTGTTAGCGGAGACAATGTGTTCCGGGTGGTTGACAGCCCCCATCCTATCAAGGTGCAGGCGATGATCAAGGCCTGCTGGGAGGGCAAGGTGGATGCTGCCTTGGAATCCCTGAACGAGCTATGGTATGTTGTGTGGCCAATGACTACAGTGGTGTTCCAACAACTGTTCTAACTTCCCTATAGGAACCTAGGATACTCTTCTCATGATATCATCAGTACCATGTTTCGAGTCACCAAGACTATCCCGACTCTGTCGGAGCATTCCAAGCTAGAGTTCATCCGAGAGATCGGGTTTACGCATATGCGCATCTTAGATGGTGTACAATCCTTGCTTCAATTGAGCGGCTGCATATCGAAACTCTGCAAGATCAACATGAAACCCCAGCTATTCGAGCCTCCGAAGGCCTAAGAAACGAACCAAAAAAGCGAAAATGAAACGACATCTCTTTCCTGGCATATCATTTGGTTGGTGTTTTTTAGGCGTTTGGATAGCACAGGCAAAAATGGTCCATGATTTTTTATTTCCAATGTGGGAATTATATAGAGTTACTAGGCGCCACCATTCCCGAACGAATGTGCCGGGTATCATCGCATTCATCGCATTCAAATTAGGTGGGCTGGTATAAATGACACCATAGCTGATACAGCTGAAGGGGGAGGGCACAAGTTAGTTTTGCTAGTGATAGAAACCGAGCCCATGGCATGTTCTGCTATCATTTCTCCAACGCAGGAGCAGACGGCATTCTCGCGCCCTCCGGCGGTTTGTTTTTGGTCTTGAAATCATCACACATTTGCTCCATAGTCACCCATTCCACACCCTCATGCTTGTTGATATGCTCGATAATCCTAAATGCGAATCAGCACCCCCCTAAGAAAAACCATCATCAACCATCACGATCGGACGGTGGCTCACCTCTCGTGCATGAGAAGAACATGTGGGCGACCCGACACATCCGGGTGGATGGTCATGGGGAAGACAAACTCGTCATATTCTCGATAAAAGTAGTCAAAGTGGTCCTGAGCTTTTGATCAGCTTCAGACCAACGGGAGAGAGGTATCTAGACTGGGAATTTGGACAAACCTTCCAGATATCCTCGATATCTCTTGGGTTTACCCATCCGTGGCTGTTGGGAGCCGACTTGATAAACATCATCGGAGGCAGATCATCAATGTACCAGTTGCCCGGAATTTCTACCAACCCAGTTTCTTGGCCGCGATTCAACGGTTTCATCCATGTTTCCGCCTTCTGGCTGTAATCGATCTTCGTCCAGGTGTCTCCCGTACGGAGCCAATACATCTGGCAATCATGGTGAGACATGGAGTGGTCGTATTCGACCCCATAGGAAAGCAAGAGGTCCGTCATCTCTTTGCTCGTTTCCCACCATGGTGCAACCATACCACGAGGTGGCTTGCCGCAAAAGTCCAGGAGCATGCGATAGGTCTTATCGAGGATGTCCCGCTGCTGCTCGATCGTCATGTCTGCCGGATTCTCGTGGCTGTATCCGTGCAATCCAATCTCATGGCCGGCGTCCCGGATCTTTGCGCATTCTTCCGGGAAGGTCTCCAGGGAATGGCCAGGAATGAACCACGTTGCTTTGATGTCGTATTTCTGGAACATCTTCAGAAGACGCATGGTGCCAATGTGGCCGGCAAACAAGCCTACCAGTGGAATCAGTGTTGGGCCTCTCTCTAATGTATGCGGCGAGCAAGCTCACCTCGACTGATGTCATTGGCGCTGTCCTCGCCGCCGTATGATCCCAGCCAACCGGCCACGGCGTCGATGTCGACGCCGTAACTGACCAAGACTCGTTTCTTGCCCATGGTTCTTCTCTTCCGGCTGATGAACGGTTTGGGGGTTGACAGGGAGATTTCAAGCTGCCATATACCTAGTATAAATATCCCTGCTCACGGTCGAAGAGTGGGGAAGTCCGGTGACGATAAGCACATGGCTTATCATCCGGATAATCCCTGACTAAAGCATCCTCCGCTTATCACCACGGATTAACTCCAACTCTCCAACCTAGGCTCTTGATTGTTACTCCAACTTCCCAAGTGGAGGGCTGCATGCCCCCCACCCCAAGAACCGAAAAGTGGGGGAATACCTACAGAGTACTATCGGAGTACGTCGCAGTAAGTACTCCTTGGAGAACCCCGAAGATCAATGGCAACGAATGGATTCATTGAGTTCAGTATCTACCATTCTTTTTGCTTAGTCCTGCTCATTGCCCTCTCCAAATCCTCTCGATAGCGCCCGCAGCTCCCAACACCTTCTCTTCATTGAGCTTCGGCCCGATAATCTGTACCCCAATCGGGTGACCCTCCATGGCCTTTACATCATATAGACTCCAATTCCAGGCGTCGAGCTCGTTTCGTGGTTGATATGGCTCCTCCGGAAGGTCGTCCACCCCTAGTCTCACCTGGTCAACGGGAAGAGTGACCGCGGGGTAGTCGAGCAGATTCCAAATTTTCGTGTATCCAACCCATCGCACCCCACGATGGGGAATCGCCGAGTGCGGCATGGTGGGGGACAAGAGGATATCAACCGGTTGTCCCAACGCAGATCGCGTCGCATTCCACTTGTCGAGGTATTTTTTCTGCAGTGCGATCTTCTGCTTATTGAGTTGCCAGTAGTCATAGACTGAAATGGCCTCCCCTCGCTTGACGAGTGCTTCCACGTGGGGTATGAGTGGCTCTCCGGCTACATCAACGTCGCGACGAATGTCTTCACAGCCATCGACCGTATAGTAACGATCCATCAGCCGGATATATTCCAGGTGATCTGACGCATCCCAGGTAAGTACCTCATGACCCGCGGCTTTCAACTTCACGGTTAACTCTCGGAGCGCCCTTTCGATAGGGGGGTGGATTTTGACCACGCCGTCATCCAGAATCAAGCCAATTACCATGGGCCGACTTTGTATGGACTGGAAAACCCCTTCGTTCCATTCTAGAGGAGCACATCGGGGATCCAATTCCCAAGGTCTGGCATTCGCGATCAACCGACTTACGTAGCATATAGAAGACAGATCCCGAGCCATTGGCCCTACAGCTGAAGGAACATGTTCCTGTCCTTCTGTGGAGACCGGAACCCCGTAGTATGGAAGTCTACCGCTCTGCTCCCCAGGTTACTATGGTGTCTCGGGATTTGAGGCCAGACCCTCTAGGAGGAGGCGGGTTCGAAGTGAGCAGAGAGAGAGGGGGGGGGACGAGGCACTCACACTAGGTTTGAAGCCGTACAAGCCCATGATGCTCTGAGGAATCCTGATACTGCCACCTATATCCGTTCCCAGACCTAGAAGAGAGCCATGCAAGGCCAGGAGAACACTTTCTCCCCCGGTCGAGCCGCCCGGCGTGAATTCCGGATTTCGCGGGTTGACGGTCAGTCCCCATAGAGGATTCTCCGTTTCTGCCCACTTAACACAGGATCAGATTCATACTCCAGTGGGAATAGGATCGTTCAGAGGATGGCATACCATGATGCTCTGCGGCAGATTCGACTTAGCCAGAACCACTGCACCCATGCTTTTTAGCATCTGAATGAGAACAGCATCTTCTGCAGCGGGAGCAAAGGAGCGTCCCACATAGCCTAGAGTACTATCGACTCCTTTGACATTAAACTGGTCTTTGACCGTGAGTGGGATGCCGTGGAGCGGTCCCTTGAGTTGGCCGGTCTCTCGGAAGTCGCGATCCAATGCTCGAGCCTGAGCCAAAGCATCTCCAAAGATCACTTCTGTGATACAGTTGGTCTATCGATGCCCTGCCGTGGTTAATACGTGTTCATCGGTGAAGCATACCCTTCCATGACTCTTACCAGTTGGTGCGCGACCACTGCCCTGGATTCCAACATTCGTTAGTTCAATCCACTCCAAGCGGGCAATTGGCTCACCAAGAAGGATGGCATGGACGGTTGGTACCTTTTGATGTAAGCCCGCACCACCTGCTCGGCGGTGAATTTGGTCAGCCTTAACTGCTCCAGCAAAGAGGCTATATTGTCAATCTCCGTGATCTCCTGGGAAAGAGGATCGTCCCAGAGACATGAGCGATCCTGCACCCGGGGGACCTGAGGGGGTCGTTGGTCCACATTCAAGGTCATATAAGGCTTCAACGCCTGGTCGCGCTGGGATCGTTTCTTGGAAACGGTCTGCGCCCATGATTGAAGGCTACCCATTTTTTTTTTTTAAAAAAATATTTTATTCTGCGTTGCTGGCGACCGGATTGAGTTGAACGGATTTTGTAAGGTACGGGGTAGACGAATCAATAGTATGTATGTACCTACCTTAAGTAGGGCACGAAGGAGGGGGTTAGAGATAAGACTAGGGAGTAGGTATGAATATGAATCGGGAATTGCGAGATAAGAGAGGTACCTGGCAGTACCTTCCTGTCTAGTACTATAGGTCTCCGTACGATACTGGATACCGCGTACATCTCCGTACATACGGACGTACCATACGGACCGTCGGACAGACAGACTCCCGTAACGCGGGGCCTCCACGGCCGTCCCTTCCTTTTTTTTTTTTTTTTTTTTTTTTTCCCTTTTTTTCGGGCCCGGCTTCCCCTGCCTTTTTTTCCCTTCTCCAGATCTTCTTCTTCAACTCGGTTCGGTCCTGCAGAACTATTGGCCTTATTCTCCATCTTGAACTCTTAAGACACATCTCAAGCTCCACGTCTCGCTTCCGCCTAGTGTGGACCGGTTCGCGTCACTCGAGTCCACCTATATAATAGCCAGCCCAATTGATTCGTTCTGAATTAAATTATGCCAGCATGAACCCGACCTCGGATGCCGCCGTGCCAACCCCGGCGGGAGCCATTCGCTCAGATTCCCGAAGGAAGACGTCGGGGACTATCGCGAAAAGAGCGTGCGACCAATGCAAATTCCGCAAGATTAAGGCAAGCAGATGCCCTCCGTCTCTTTTGGCCCCTCCTTCTTTGCCATCCAATAGTGGGGGTGAAAACCGGGCCATGCTGTATGCTAACCTAGTCAGTACCGCTTAACAGTGTAGTCTTTCGCACCCATGCAAAGCCTGCGTGTCCATGGGCTTTGATTGTACCTTTTTCCAGCCACAGAAGAAACGGGGTCCTACCGGACAGTGAGTTTTTCGAATCACTTGAGCCTTGTCGCTGCTCGATGTGCGAGTTCTTTCTTAACCTCCAATGTCATTGAAAAAGCCGCGTATCGCAAATCCGGCAGCAACAGACCCATGTGCCGGCCAAAAGCCCGCGCACTCGGGCCGCGCCTCAATCGTTTCCCACTGCTTTTCCGTATCAAACCGAGGCCCCGTTGCCGGAGGGAGACCAACTCGGTGCGGTTCCTTCCATGCAAGAGGCCACGCCATGGCATATGCCGGGTGAAGCTCATCTGTCCGTCGGCCTTGCGCCTCCTCATGCCCCTCCCCTTGCGCCGGGATGGGCGGCGGATGCCGCCTCGGTTGATTCTCATAGCAATAGCGGAATCAGTTGGAACGAGAGGAATGACGTAGAGTATTGGCTGCCGGACAATCTGCATGCTCAGATGCCAATGTTTGATTTCCCCGGTAGTAATATCTACCTGAAAACGTCTCTGCCGTCTATCATCCAGAGCGAGGCGGATCCGGCGGGATTGCCTCAGCCAGTCGAATCTTCGAGCATTCCCGTGTCGAGCGTCGGGCCCCCTCCAGTCGAATCAACTGGCCTGAAGACAGTATGGCCCCCTTCCATAGTCGAAGCCAACATGATACCATGGATCGACGTCTACTTCGACCGCTTGCATCCGACATTGCCCGTTTTGAATCGGTCGTCCCTGTTCGTCCGAATGTTGTCCCAGGAGCACCGGAGGAACCCGCAGTTCGGCTCGATGTTACTGGCGTTGTGCGCCTTTTCCCTAACCCAGCCAATTGAGATAGATGAACGCCCTACCTCTCAATCTCGGGCAGACCAGGCGAGATTGATGATGAACGAGGCCACCAAGATGCGGAGCTGTTCCGATTTCGGGGAGCACCCGACTATCGAGGCTGTCCTAACGAGCTTCTTCCTCTTCGGCTGCCTCTTCGGTAGCAACCAGCATAATGCTGCGTGGCTCCGGTTGCGAGAGGCTCTCGACCTTGCGGCCACTCTGGGGCTAAACAACCCTGATTCATATCGGGAGCTTTCTAGCGAAGAGAAAGGCCAACGCTTGCGAACCTACCTGGTCTTATCCATCACGGAGAGGTATGGTATTTGAGGCCCGCCCCGAATTTTGCGCTCCGATCTAACTTGCTTTCCAAAACAAAGAGCGTACGCGCTGCAGCGCAGACACCCCATAACCTTCTGGGGAAAGCCAGGCTTTAGTATGCGCTCGGTTCATGACTTTATCCACAACGCCACTCATAGTCTTGTGTCGGGTATCATTGTCCACAATGAAAAAGACGCCAAAGGCATGATGGGGCTAGCCCGTTTGATGGAGCTGTTTGATGCAGTTGATGAAGACGTCGTGGATTGCTGGAATCGACGATGCAGCATAAATGCTGGGTATTGCGAAAGACTTACTGAGCAGAAGGCCCTAGGCATCCACCAAAATCTGAGCCGTGTCAGTGAATCAGAAAGATATAAGGGGTACGACTGGTTTGAGCGCAGCAAGTCCTCCTCAGGTGGCTCTCAAGGTGCTTATCCAGCAATGGGTCTGCGGGAGACCCAATGCGCCGATGTCTTTATCACCAAAAAGTGGCTCCAAAATCGTGTATGGGTTCTATGTTCTGCACACGGACTCTTGAAGCCTACATCTGACCATGAAGAGCTCTGTTTTGTCTATGCGGTTTCCATTGCCAAGGACACGCTGAAAATTTGTCAGTCGTTGCGCCTTAGCTCCATGGAGGCCCATGGAATTGGCCTTGTGAGTGTTGGACACCATCGGAGATTACGCCTTCCCCAAGCTTACGGAACCAGGTTGAAAAGCTGTATGATATCGCTCTCAGTGCCATTGGTGTTTCGTCCAGCGCTCGATTGCCCGGAGGAAATGGATTAGTTCTTGGCCCCGTCATCGAAAATGCTCCTGGCCCCGAGAATTCGTCCACGAATTTCTCAGAGTCGACATCGCAATCCACACGCGCTACCTCGTTATCACACTCCCTTGCAGAGGATTTCCTATTACTGCTGAGCAGCCTTCGCGGCGGAAACCACCCATTTCTGGAAAAGTACAAGACATTCTTGAGAACTTCGCATACCGACGACAAAGCAAACACGAGCTGGACTCCCCAATAAAGCATGTCGCACCTATTCTCGAATCTGTTCAATTTTTGCCACTTCGCTCCCCTAATTTCGTCTTGACCTTCTTTCTGCCGCTCTCGTTCTTGCAGGCGAAGCACGGTCAAAAAGGTTGGATTTGTTTGCGGATATACGAGATACACATATTTACATGGATGAGAATCAAACCGATATAGCCGGCATATCTCGAGCTACCGGGGATAGGGATTTGTGTCTATTAGGTTGATAATATACATACACGCCAAGGACGAGAGATATGTCCTAAGGCCTAGGACACGGACTGCTCGAACCACTACGGTCTGCCCGTGTGAAGAAATTCTTGCCCGTCCGGGCCCGTTCTGAAGTTTGATACCTTCGCCATTTCCACGCCGGCACTTTAGCATCATACATCTCGTCGATTTCCGCAAAGGTCCGATCTTTGGTTTCGGGCATGGAGAAGTAGGTAAATATTAGAATGCACAACATGCACCCGGCAAATACAAGGTAGGCCCTGGCTCCCAGATTTGCTGTGTCGGCTGTCGTTAGTTGTGGGACGACGAGCGTAGTGATCACGGCGGTGGTTTGCGCACACGCAATTGTATAGGCCATGGTGTGGTGGCGGAGCTTGGGAGTTGCGATTTCCGAGGGCATCAGACTGGACAAGGACGCGAACGAGGAGGCCCAGAAGAAATTGAACACGAAGGACAAGGCTGCAATTGCCAGGGCCGACTGCGGGTCGCCTCGGTTGAACGCTAGCCCTCCTGCCACGGCGTCGATGATGAACAGGACGCACATTCCTACCAAAGCGGTTGGACGACGTCCACTGCGGTCGATCACGAAAGGTGCGGCAATGGTGCCAGCAAGTGTGCAACATGACGCAATCACGGTCAGAGTGAAGGGGTCCTTGATCCCCATCTCGACGAGAAACACCGTGCTGTATGTCGTAGACAGGATCACGCCAGATATCTGGTTCAAGGAGTAGAAGGAGCCGGCGGTTAGGGTTCGCTGAAGGTGTTGCCGGGTGAAGATCTCCCAGAAGTCGCCACTGGCTCGCAGCTCTCGCTCGGTCTGTTCGCTGTGCTTAATGATGCTAAGCTCTTCCTCCACCCTCTGCTCGCCAAACCCGCGCAGCTTTTGCAGGTTCGTCCGGGCCTGGTCCATCCGACCTTTGGCTACCAGCCACTGGGGACTCTCCGGGAGAGGCAGTGTGCAGACGAAGAGAAACCCGGGCACGGCGGATTGAACCGCCAAGGGGATCAGATAGGACTTCCTGCCGCCTAGCTTTTGGGTGGCGAACACCACGATTGTTCCTATCAACCCGGCCATCACATTCAAGATGTTGATTATCGAAACGCTTCGGCCTCTCATGGAGGCGGGAACTACCTAGCAGACCAAACAAGCTCAGTGATGCCGAACGACGCCTTCGAGGTAAGCTGGGGGAGGGAGTGGCCATATTCTCACCTCGGACAAGTACAAGGGGACGGTGCCATTGGCGATGCCCATGGCGATGGCGTTCACGAATCGACCGGAAACGAAGGCTGCCAGGTTGGGTGCAAACAGTTGAATTAGTCCGCCGCCGATGGAGATGGCATATGCTATCAGCACGGGGGGTTTGCGACCCAGGCGGAAGTTCAGAGGAGAAGCGGCTAGGCCTCCAAAGATCGAGCCAACTAGTGGAACGGAGAAGATGATGGTCTGATTGCGAGCTGTCATGGAGTATACGCCCGTTGCAGGATTGAGGCCTTGGTACCGGTCCACCTAGGTCCAGCGTAGTGTTTCTCAATCAGCTCCCGCACGAACCGCCGGGACCAGGAAACTCACAAAGGGTTCCAGCGCCGCCACGGGCGATATGACCTTGTCATCGAAGCCAAACAAGAACGACGCCGCCCCGAAGACCACGCAAGCCAGCATCAACGCGAGATTGACGGCGGCCTTTCCTGACGACGCATGGGTTTCGGGAGGGAAGTCCACATGTTGCACGTCGGTTGACTTACTATGCATGACCAGATGGAAGTCGAATCTGGGATGGCCCTCGGGGGGAGGAGAACCAAAGGGAATCGATCACTCCCGCATCTCTCGGAAGATTCCACGTCATTTCGTGGGTGGAGCTGAGGAATAGGATTCCCCGGATTGATTACGGAGTAGGTCGCTCTCCCCAGGAAATGTCTCACCGGCGTCGGCGAAGGGTATCGCATACGACCATACAGAGACATCATGTCCTTCCCCCTGATTCACCCGGCCCGCATTGACTCCTTCGCTGCCTAATTTTGGGCCACGAGGGATTCGTTTCTCCGAGGATCCCCCGGAATCGCCATCGCAGTGAAACACGCAAGCCTACGGCAGACCTCTTGCTTCGAATCGCATTCTTTGATGACCGTTCATGACTATTAATTATATGTGGATCACTAGATTTCATATACCCATCCCACCCATTCGTGATTATAAACACTCTTCCGCTTCTATTAAAACACATGTCGAAAAGGAACAAAACAACCCAACCTCCCCCTGGCGCGGGACGACAACCGCCTGTCCCTTGCGATATCTACGCCCGAATACACCGGACCAATGCAAAAAAAAAAAAAAAAAAAAAAGGTCGTCTCAACCTCCGGAGAACTAGAAATGATAGGTTTTGGCGAGGGAGTGATGGAGGAAGTAAGAAAGAAATAGGTGCGGCAGAAGAGTGTGCATAAGAATCCAAGCCAAGCTAGGACGTCCTGCTGGCTAGTGGATTATCGCGATCGCCAGAATCTCCACCCCGGCAACGCTTTGCGGCCATCTCGCTGGTAGATGCGCCAGAAGTAAACCGGTACTCCAGCGATGATGAAGGCCACAACAATCAGGGTCTGCAGGGGCTCTGCAATGACCGCCCTGCTAAGAAGGAACAAGCTAACGCAGCAGAAGATGATCGGATTGGAGATCCACGTTTTGTAGGGGCGCTCCAGATGCGGCTCTCGGATCCTCAGAACGATGAGGCCGAGCACGGTGAGGAAGTAGAAGGTATAGCCGGCCACGCCGTAAAAGGTGACCAGGGTCCTGAATTCACCCACAACGACGTAAACGAGCGTGAGCGCGCTGTTCAAGGCCATCGCGTAAATCGGGGTGTAACCGATCCGGGTGCCCTCCCCGAAGATGCGCGCGAGGAATTTGCCAGCGCACGACCGGCGCTGCAGTCGGCCGCTGGTGGGTGAATCCCGAGTCCACAAGTGGCCAAACACCGACGGCAGATAACCTTCCTTGCCGGCAGCGTAGACCAACCGTCCGCTCGTGAAAATCGTCGCGTTGAGGGCGCCAAAACAACTCGCCGAGACGATTAGTGCAAACACCAGAGCCCCGACGGACCCAAAGACCTTGTCGCCGAACTGAACGACCACCGTGTTGCTCGCCTCGATGGTCGAATGGGGTAGAACCAGAAAATACGAGATATTGGCGAGTAAATAGCTGAGGATGACCAGCGGCATCGTCGTGTGAATGACACGAGGAAGGTCACGGTTGGGATTCTTGAATTCTCCCGTCACATAGTTTGTCTGCACATCGTTAGTCCGTTGAGTCAGACAGCAGGGACGCGGCCGATGCTGAAGAGGATGGTAAAACGCACATTGTCCCAGCCGTCAAAGGCCCAGAGGCCTGCATACAGCGCAAGCGCCCACGCCGACACATCCACACTTGTACCCTTAAACCAGCCGGATTTCCACTCTTCACTCGCACTCCCGCTTGACGAAAGCCCAGTGATAGCCACAACGATGCCGATAACGGTGACCCCGAGCAAGGCGATGAATTTGAAGAACATGAGAACGTCGCCGAGGCGGGTGGCCACTCGGGTCGAGGCGCAGTTCAACAGGGTGACCACGAAGACACCTCCCACGGCGACGGCCTTGTTGATCCAGGGGTTGACCTGTTCGACCTCCGCCCCAACCACGGCACGAACAACGTATTCCCCAAATATGATGGCGATAATGGCCGCGCTGCCAGGCTTCAGAACGAGGACAGCACACCAGGTGAAGAGGAACCCCGCCAACTCCCCGAAGATCTTAGAAAGGTATACCTGGGAGCCACCGTTCAGCGGAATCGCGCCTCCTAGCTCCGCGTAGCTGGCCGCTCCCGTCCATGCCAGTAAGCCGGCAACCACCCAGGCAATAAGCGATGCGCCCGGAGAGCCCGCATTGACATTGACCTGACTGGGGGACGAGAAGATCCCGGAGCCGATGATCAAACCAACGACCAGAGAAAGCCCATTCAGATAGGTCAAGGTCTTGTTTCTTTCCAAGGAGCCATCGGCGACCCCGGCCTCTCTATCTAGCGCAGATGGGGCACCCAAGGGAGCATAACCGCCGGTGGTCTGCGACAAAGGAAAGAGCGTTCTCCCGAAATCGAAAGCGGACGATACCGAATATGAGCGGGCCGACCTGGGTCGGCCGGACTCGAAAGTGGTGTGCTGATGGGAATTCGATAGAGGATCCTCGTCCTCGAGGGAGAGCTTGCGCGAAGATGAAATGCCGGAGGGGGAGGAAGAGCGGGAGGATCCAGCACCGGGATCGGGGGAGGAAGCGAGCGAAGCAAGTTCTAGTGAGTCGCGCGGGGCACGATGATGGTCTGGCCGGCTTTCAGCATTGGAAAAGGGCAAACGGGACATGGCGATCTGGTTCTAAAAGGAGGGAAGGGGGGCGAAATGACATGCGAGCAGGTCAGAGATCGTAGACAAGAGGGCCCATCCCATCGAACGGTGGACGAGCGAAAGTGAAAGGAGAAAGGAAGGGAGAGCGTGTCCGTCCGCCGGAGGGTCCCAAGCGAGCCAGCAGTGAGAAAGGCGGAGGTTGAAGCAGAAGGAGAGACGAAGCAGGCGAAATAACAATGGAAGAAGGAGAGATGACGATCGGTCCCAATGGGGCTTAGCGGCTTCCCGTGCGTCGGCGGTCCTTTTTTGCCTTCGTTCTCCGCAAACCTTCATCTTCTTTCTCTCTCTCCTCGAGGATTCCGGCTCTGTCGGCCTTGTGTTGATCATGAAGCCTCGCCCTTCCTTTTTGGTGCATTCGCCATGCTCCACGGTTACCTCCCTCTCTCGCCCGCAACGTCGCTTTGCTGCGTCTGCCCCGTCATTTCCGCCGCCGCCGCCGCCGCCTCGGCGTCGATGGATGCGACTCGCGCTCGTGAGTATTGCAGCGGCGGGTGCCGGTGCGTATATCAGGTCCCAGCAAACCTCCGGCTCATCAACCACGTTAAATCCAACCCGGTTCACTCCATACTACCTTGAGTCGAAAGAACCGGTCTCGTCATCGGGGAGCGTCTTCACGCTGAGGCCGCCACACCCGGATGAGAGCAACCGCGCCGTCTACGACGAAGCTTGGAGGACGGGGGTATGGAGCGTCATGTTTAAGCAGCCACAGTTGCAGATTGGAAGGGACTACACCCCACTCCCGTCAGTATCAACTGGCGAAGAGGAGGACGTATTGCGGTTCTTCATCCGTAGAGACCCCTTTGGCGAAGTATCCCGGTATCTGCATAGTCTGGACGTAGGGACTCCCATTGAAATACGGGGACCGCGGATTGAGTGTCCGGTGCCTTCCGACACTCAGCAGGTGTTGTTTATCGCCGGAGGGACCGGCATTGCCCCTGCCCTCCAGGCCGGATATACGCTGCTTCGCCGCACCAGCAGTACTCACAAGCCTCGAATCCACATTCTGTGGGCTAATCGCCGCCGGGAGGATTGCGCCGGCGGAATCAACGATACCACCACGACAACCAAACCTGAACGGTCTTGGTTCTCAGGGATTTCCCTTTCGAAAAGCTCAACCCCTAACCCTGTTTCTCCTCCCAACTCTACCTCGTCCGCTTCTACTACTCTTGTCTCGCCCATGGTTCGGGAGTTGGAGGCTCTCAAATCCCAGTATCCGGGGCAGGTCACGGTGGACTATTTTGTCGACGAGGAAAATGCATTTATCGGGAAAAACGCAATCCTGGAACTCACGAAGTCGGCTTCATCCTCCGGCGGGTCTCCGCCACGCAACATGATTCTGGTGTCGGGACCGGAGGGGTTCATCAGCTACATGGCCGGCCCTAAGCTGTGGGCACAAGGCATGGAGCTGCAGGGGCCGCTGGATGGGATCATCCGAGAGCTTGACCTGAAAGACTGGGCAGTGTGGAAGCTATGATTGATGGCTTCTAGAGGCGACGACTGTAGGATCACATAGACGCGCGTGTGTACATTATTATCTTCCATCCCATTAGTTTAGCGAGCAAGAGCAGGGGGCTGGGACGAAGTTCCGGTGTCTAGTGGAGCTAGCTTGCGACGGCCATGTAACCGGGTAAATGCGCATATCATGACAACGGACGCATCGAGCTGGGTAGCATCCCGGTGATCGGGTTCAGCTTGAGCCACGAGGTTTCCTCCGAACAGACGCCGAGGGCCAGACTCTGGCGTCCGGAGAAGGCCACATTGAGATCCAGAAAGAGGAGAATAGTCCTTGGTGGACTGCCGAAGTGAGAACGCCTTTGAAGCGTAAAGCGATGACGACCCTTCCCGACGTCCTTGGACTCATTGGGCGCTTTGTCGATAAATCAGCATCCTGGTCTAGACAAATGCATTGAGAAACGTGCCTTCTTCCGTGGTTTTTTTAGATGACTCTTCGCTGCGATACACCTGACCGCGAGGCCTCTCGAATCGGCCAATGGCAGAGCCGTATTCGTGAGTCACCCTCGACATCGCCACGATTGTCTGCATCCAAGTGAGCAAAGGGCGGAGGATCCCGTCGAATGCGAGCTGAAGCCGGCGGGTGGATGCCTGGTGCATCATGTGGCCGACCTCACTTTGCTTCTTATTGTCCTTGATTTCCCGGTCGATGTCTGGAATTACCTGTGCGGTCCATTGAATAAATACTATACACATCCAAGTTAGACTCAATTTCCAGAGATTTCCCAATGTCCCTCATGAACGGTTATTCCAATTCGTCCAATCGTCCTATCCAACGATTACTTTCCTACAATTCATCTCCAGTTCGGCCTCGACCGGACAGCTGACTAGTACTGCGAGCCATTGACGCACATACCCTTACTCGAGATCGGGCAATCTCTTCAGTCGATCCGGGCCCCCCATTGAAGTAATCGGTCCAGCAAGAACACGCATTCAGTTCTCCTAGCTCTAGCTTGCGGCGTCCATCGTCTTTTATTGATGCAGGGTCGAGGCGGCTACAACGACCTGTACGACGAAGACGCGTGAGACCAAGGCGATGTCTGGGACGAGCCGTCTGTAGAAGAAACAATGGAGCGTCGGCTTTTCAGGCGGAATCAGCGTCGCGGATCCTGTGGCTGCGTTGGGCTGATCCAGTGCGAGCGGCCTATTTTCCAACGCAGAACCTTGCCGCAAACACGCTGTCAGTCATGATACAAGACCCTCCCCGGTTGCGATATCACTTACTTTTCGAAAACGACGCCCAAAACGTCCTCCACATCTCCACTCTCCCCTTTACCGGTGATCTTCGCAAGCGCGTCGGCCGCGGACCGCAAATGCTCCGCCGCTGTGACAATATCCACGTCCGTCTCTACAGGGCTGAGATGGTGATGGAAACCACCGGACGTCGGCGGTGTTTGGGCCTCGGAAGTCTGGGCCAAGAAGTCGTCTAAATGTTGCATGCATCTTTGTAAATTAGAGCTTTGTCGATGTGTCACTCCCAGAGAATCTTCCCAATACGACATGTCATACTGTCCAGTATCGTCCCCTTCAATGCCCAACGGAGAGGCAATCTCCTCGAATGTTGAGATCAGCCCCCGAAGAAAGCCCTGCAGTTGGCCCGGATCGGCCTTCTCTCCCGGCAACTCCTCTTGGGCTTCTCGACAGGAGATGCCAAACATGCGCGTGCGCGGCACCGCCGGAAAAAGGGTGGCGAGCGTGGCGGCCAGTGGAGATGGCAGTTGATCAGCGCGGTCGGCCGCTGGTAATCGGTCGCATTTGTTGACGGCAATGACGAGACATTTGCCAGCCTGCGCACAATCATTGGCTGCGTCGATGACTTCTTGGTCTGCGGAAACGCGGTATGGTGCAGCGCCGTTGGCGCTTGCCTCCAAGGAGACCACCACTATAACCACCTCAGACTCCAGCGCGCGAGCTTTAGCGCGACGAATTCCTTCTTTTTCAACGGCTCCGATGACAACTGAGTCCTGACCCGCCGTATTGCCGTGCTCGGATCTGATGCCCGCCATGTCGCCAAGCTTACAATACCAACCGCTCAGGTCGACACCGACATCTACGATATCACGGGTGGTGCCTTCTTCCGTGCTGACGATGGCCGCCTCCTTGCCCACAATTCGGTTGAGTAGAGAGCTTTTGCCGGCATTGGGTGCACCCAGCAAGGCAACCTTGATTCCGTGGCGTAACAATTCGCCCTTGGACGCATTCTGGATATGGAGCGCAATCTGGACTCGCAACGCACGCACCTGCGACGCGACGGAGAGAATTAACTCATCAGACGATTCGTCGAAGTGCTGATCCTCGGAAAAGTCAATCAACGCCTCGAGCTCGCCACGCCCGTAGAGTAGCTGCCGTCGCCATTGCTCGTACCGCTTAGACAGGGCATCACTGGTCCCTCGGACGGCAAGACGGCGCTGCTGTTCGGTGTCTGCAGTCAGTGTCTCGCCTAACGCTTCGACCTGTGGAAGATCCATCCGGCCATTCAAGAAAGCCCGCCGAGTGAACTCGCCAGGTTCCGCGTACCGGATGAGAGAGTCCGATCGGCTTGTGTTGGTAATCGCGGTCAAGACCGCTTTGACGATTGCGGGTCCACCGTGAAGATGAAGTTCAAGGACATCCTCTCCGGTGACTGTTTTGGGTCCCGGGAAATAAAGAACCAAAGCCCCCGCGTCCAGGACGCTGTTGTTGGAAGTAAGGTCTCCTAAGGGGTCGTACAGCGTGCGCACTGCCGCAACCCGTGGCCGCGGAAGTGGTGCCTTAGGACATAGATTACGATAGATCTAAATGGGATTATTATCATAAGGAAGCAACCTATGGCAGGCTATCTGGGGCATACCTGAACACAGCCGGGACCAGAAGCCCGCACCACGGCGATAGCAGCGCGACCGGGCGCAGTTGACAGGACGTATATGGTCGAGTCTCCATCTAAAATGAACCGAGTGGGAGTCGAGGCGGAGAATTGCCGATGCCATGGGATAAAAGAAGGGACATGGTTGCGGACGATACCAGATCTATTCGGAGCCAATGCGGAGGAACAGCTGCTCGCTGGCGGGCGAAAGGGGATCACCCTCCGCAGACTGCGGAGCGCGGGTGCTCGCATGCGCAAGACTGGCACCGATGAAAGAGCAGAGAGAAGGTGTTCGGCGGAGATGCGCTCAAAGAATACCTCCCAAGGACGATCAAGTCGAGGGAAAAGAGTTGAAGCAGATGCCCCGGGAGCCTCTGATTGGCCTCTTTTCACGTGATTTTCGCACATCACGTGCACGATATACAGGCTTCAGTTGGACGGGGACTGTTCTGTGAAGACAATGTCGACTACGTGACCGCAAGCAGAGAGCAGAAATATGGAAAGTAGATGGATGTATGCAGGATATACCAATCACAGGAGCGTCCCTTCGCCACGCCCGCGCACCGAAAGACGCCGCCCAATTCTCTCCACCACGTGTATAATGACAAACGACAATGCAGCCAGAAGGGATTTATGTACAGAACAGAAAGAGAAAAAAGAGGGTAAAAACAGAAACAGGATCCAAAGGAAGTGTTTGAAAGCATGAGTTATTGCAGCATCAAACTGAATGCCAACAAACGTCGAATGAAATTTGATAAGGAAAAACTGAAGAGTAGGGAAGATCGTGATACTGCGCTGGCTAAGAATGTGTTCACGAGGAGCACAAGAAAAGGTCGACGAAGAGTGGATCAAATCGAAAGAACGAAGGGGGAGAAACACGAAAAAAGAAAAGAAAAGAGAGAGAGAGAGAGAGAGAGAGAAGAGAAAGAAAGAAAGAACGAACCAACGAACGAACGAAAGAAAATGGAAAGGGAAAACGAAGGGTATGCCAGGCAAATCGCCGCTGAGGCAGAAAGGATATTATACACTTAACCACATAGTCAATGTTTCCGAGACGACATCAGTAAGGTCTATCAAACATTAAATTAGGGAGAACGAGGGGGTTTATGAGGAATGGGGGAGGAGACAAAGAACAGGTACATCAGTCCGAGGGCTCCATGGACCTGTCAAGGGGCGCATCGGTGGAGTCGTCGTCGCCGCCATTGCTGCCCGGAGAGCGGAGGTGCTGGTCGGCCGTAGGAGAAACGACGATAGCCGGGGTCAGAGGTGGTTGAGAGGCATCATCCTCTGCTGGAGGGGGACTGGAGGGGATTGTTTCGGTATGCTCCATTGAATCCGTCGGAGGGGGTGACGTCGGTTCGGCGGTGGCGGACAGAACTGAGCCATCAGCGCTGTCTTTACTTCCACTGGTGGCGCCATTCCGCCTCCGTAACCTGCGTTTGCGTCGTTCTTCCTCCGCGGTTTCTCGCCGTCTTCGCGTGCGCTCCCCATCGGCATTGTCTCTTAGACCCTGCAACATGCTGGCGGCACGATCTGCCACGTCCTCGCTCTCGGACACCTGGGACTCCTTGCCAATCGAACCCGAATCGGATTCCGGGACGGCAGGACTCAGGAGTCCAGGGTCGGCGACATCGGTATCGTTGTTGTTGTCTGCGGTATTGCTGGAGCCTTCCTCCGCGTTATTCTTCTCAGCATCCGCGCCATCAGACCCAGAGATATCCGGAATCTTCTGTCCCGAGGCGACCCGAACCTGGTGCCGCTCCTTCAGCCTTGCACGACGGCGGCGGTCACGTTGGTCCCTGGCCTGAGGTGCTGCAGCTCGCAGCTTCTCCAGGAGCGAATCCATGGCGCCGCTTGTGGCTGGTGACTGGGGCGCTTCGCTAACAGAGCTGGCACTGTTCGCCAGGCCAGCATTGATTCGTTTGCGAGCCAGGGACGCTTCGGTCCGCTTCCGAGACTCCTCCAAAGTCATGTTCTTTTCCCTTGATTTCTACCAAGAGTACATTTGTGGTTAGTTAAGAGTCGTTAGAGCGCCAGGACTGAGGCGTATAGGGACGCAGCTTACCTTCCATTCCAGCAAGAACGCCGCCAGCTTAGCGAAAAAGTCTCGTCGGGCACCCTCGTCCGCATTGTCCTCGCCATAGAAGACCATGATATCATCATATGCTTTGATCATCTCATCCAGGTAGAGCTGCATTTGTTCGGCTTTTCGTCGCGCGTCCTTCATACTGCGCTGGACGACCTGGCTGACACGATCCTGTGGGTGGAATTTCTTGGGATCACTGAGATTGCCCGCGTCCAAACTTGCCTGCACATTCTTGATGTTGTCAATGTACTTCTTGGCATCCGTTCGCAGCTGGTCAACATTAAGCTTCTGAATCGCAACGACGCCGTTGATCTCATCAGCGAAGCCTTCCCATTCGGGGTACTGGTTGCGAACGATTCGCTCCACAAGATCCGCAAATGTCGTTTCGTTTTTGTCGTCTTTGACCATCCCGAGGCGTGCAAGAGAACCCAGTTTGAATCCCTGGGCCTGCTTGTTGGCGTCGTTCATGAAATTACCGATGTCTAGAATAAGACCCAGAACATTCATCAGGGACACCGAGTCCCTCAGGGATTCACTGACGCTGACGATTTGCTGAAGCTTTGAGGAGATGTGCTCATAGTCCGGCTCGAAGGAGCGGGTTAAAGCAAGGGCACGCATTCGGGCCTTCCAATAGTGGTGCAATTCAAAGGCAGTGTACAGATAAATCTGGTCCTCTCGGGTCAATTCGCTCGGGTCTTGCTCTCGCTCGGAACTGGCAGCATCCGGGCCGGTCCAATCTCGGCTGTACGGTGCCATCAGCTTCGAGATATTCTCCGGGATCGTGCACATTTCATCCCGCTGAAAGAAGTCCATGACAACCATGTTGTCGAGGATATCGGCGTCGCAGTGGATGACCATCCGCACGACATCGTCTGCAGGGTATTGTGAGAATTTTGCCAACGCGATCTGGAAGGTCTTAGACAACTCATTTGAAATGATTTGCTTTTTGTCTTTGCGTTGTTTGGATGCTGCGCCACCCCCGAAGATCTTGGTTTCCTTGGCCATGAACAGCCTCTCGACTTCATCCAACACACCCCGTTTAGCCAGCTCGGTGTATTTCTCCTCCTTCGCCTCGGGGGTCGCGGCATGTGAGGCCCACACAGTCACCTGCGGAGCATCAACCTTGTCCCAATGGAGTGCCTTGAGTTTCTTCTTAGGCCGGATAGACGGCATGGCAGCTGAGGGCTTGGAGGGAAGACCCTGCGAAGCCATGTAATTGGCTCTCCAGCCCCCAACAGAGGCGCCAGGAGGGGGTGGTGGCGGAGGGGCCCCGAACGAGGCTCCGGGGGGAGGTGGAGGAGGCGGAGGCATGAGGCCCCCAGCTCCGGGGGGAGGTGGCGGCGGAGGGGGAGGAGGGATCCCGACACCCGCTCCGGGGGGCGGAGGAGGCGGCGGAGGCGGCGGAGGGGGAGGGATAGCCCCAGGTAGTCCGGGCGGAGGCGGAGGCGGCGGAGGAGGCGGCGGTGGAGGAGCTGCAGCTGTTGGCTGAGCTTTCTCGGCGGCTTCATCATCTTTGCCTTCACCACCGGCCTCTCCCACCTGGGCCTCGGCACCATCAGGTGGTCGGGAAACGGCGTTGTTCGGATCCCCTTCCTCGGAATCGAATTTGGGCACCTTGGAGGTGATCTCCCCGAGGAGACCCGTCGCTTGAGCGGGATTCATTCGGGGTCGCTGGAGATCCACGAGGCGCGCCTTCTCGTAGATCACTTCTCCATTGTCATCGACCTGCAGGTCCTCGCCAGCGACATCGCCGTCCGCTCCCGGAGCATGGCTTCTCTTGCGGTAGGCGGATCCCAAAGCGCTGCTGTCGAGATTCCGGCGAGCGTGTTCCTCGAATTCCTCGTTCGGCCCCGGTTCTCCGTCCATCTGTTCTCGCAATTCACGCAGTCGGTCCGAAGGCCCGTGCTGCCCCCAAACCTTGCCTTCCAGTTTGAACTGGGTTTTGGTCCGTTCCAGCTGCATTTCTAGCCGGCCCAGAAGCTTCTCGCGGTCCAATATCCCCCTCATCTGGGAGGGATCGTCTTCTGCCAGATTGCTCTTCTTGGCATTCGAGGCAGCTATGTCCTGGGCATCTCGAAGCATCAGATACAACTCCCGGGTTTCCAGTTCGTTGCGCTGCAGCTCCTGTGCGCGTAGTCTCTGCACGTCCGCCAGCTCGGCTTTGACCATCTCGTTCTGCCTCGACTGCAATTCTATTATACCAGTTTGCTCGTCGATTTGCTTCTGCAGCTTCTTCACCAGGCCATCTGCACCCAGCTCAATCTGCGCCTTCATCTCATCACGTTCGGCAATCGCGGCCTCCGCAATTTGACGGGCTTCGAGAGACTCATCATACACCTGCCTTGCCTCTGCATCCGTGTGCAGCCGGTCTAGAAGGCTTTGCACAGTAAACGTCAATCCCTGCCGGAAATCAAGATCGGGTAGCCGTCGGTCCATGGCAACGTAGCTGAGCATGGCGTCCACAAGTTGGTACATTCGGAGGCCATCTTCACCGGAATTCTCTCGGATCAAGAGCATGTGTTGCATGGCCGAGAGGAAATAGTCATGCGCCCGAGTTCCGTTGATCTTAGATGCGATGGCGTCGGTGATTTGCAGCGGGTCACTCATGTCCTTCACCTCGCCCTCGATACTATCCTTCATGCTGCTGCCCTCCCGTTGGAGAAGGTCTTCATAATCGATAGCTTCGTTCTCCCGGAAACGTTCGATCTGCTTGTCGATAACCTCATATTGGAACCCTTCCATCTTTGTCAAAAGACGCTTGATGCCACAGGAGATGAATTGCGCGCGGATGTGACATCGTAGCTGCACGTCATTCTCTTGCGCATCGACCAGCATATTGATGAGGAGCATTGTAGAGACAGCGTATTCCATGAGGAGGTTCTCCATTCCAATTCCACCACTTCGGTACTCCTCGCTGGCGCCGACTAAACTACCCATCTTCCCGCGGCCATCGATCGTGACCTCGACGATGCGCATCCAAGCGTCGAAGCGGCCAGTTTCGCCATGGTGGTTCTTGACATGGTCCATAGCCTGGAGAACTTTCTGGTGGCCATGCCCTTCGGCCCAGTGACAAAGGAATGTCAACACTTCGCTGACCAACTTCCTCGTGTTCAATCGTGGTGACAGCAGTGAGCTCACGAGCGCGACGATAACTTGCTGGTGAGACAAAGCATCGTCCGCACCGTACTTGTTGTTCATCAGGGCCTTCAGACATTTCACAATATCGTATTCTCGATCCAGATCCTTGTCCCCTGTTGGGGGAGCAGGGACAGGGCCCGACGCCTTTCGGCGATTAATCTTTGCAAGAACATTTGTCAGGGCTATCTGCCCCTGTGACTCGACAAAAGCCTTTACCCAGCTAATCGGTTGCGTTCTAAGACTGACACTTAAACTTGCCAGCTGTTTCGAGGTAATAGAGTCGTCCATAACTTTCTTTACGTACCACTCCGGACTCCCCTCTTCATCCGCCCGCTCCAGAATGCCGGATGGGCCGTCATGGCCGTGAGTTTGGCGTGCGTTCTGCCTCCGCTTCTGCTCTCCTTGCAGTTCCGTGAGCCGGTCCTGGTGGACAAGGGTCCATTTCTTCGAAGCCGGGTACGAGAGCATTTGCCGTTTGGCTTGTTCGGGGAGATTTTGCCAGCCTCGCTTCTGCATCAGCTCGAGGAAAAGCTGGTCAACCACGCGGTCATCTCGCGGTCGACTCAGGTATTGTTCAGGGTTACTCGGTCTCGGCTGGGGCGCCGGCTGAGCTAACTGCCAGGCCATTTGTGCGTTGGATAGGCGGTTGGAGTTCCCGTTGGGAAAGTAAGTGTTGCGGTCCGCCGAATGCGAGGTTGTGAGCGTGCGCGAAGATCCGTCTGAAGAGAAATAGCTTGAGCCTCTCGTGTTGGAGGAGAGCGACGAATGGACGCTGGCTTGGTCCAAAGACATCCTTGAATTCGAGGAAGAATCCACCGTCGACGACGAATTGTGGCTGAATCCAACGTTCGTGGAAGAGCTTCCTGGTCGTCCCCACTGCTGATATCGTGTTCCTCTGTCTCCCGTCGAGCTCCCAGACATCGTTACGTTCGAGGCATGCGGTGGTGGACGCGGCCCGGTGGGGTGCGAGTACTGATTGGTATCTCGGACGGCTGACGGGTTCCAGGCTGGATATTGGTGAAAATCTCCTCCACCTTTCGCGAGATGGTGTGGCGACGGCTCCTTTCGTGGCGACGTCTCGGCTTTGGAGAGATAATCGACCGGGATGGGCGACTTGGTATCGGCGGGTAGGCTCTCAAAGGGGATAGAGGTGATCACGCCGGCTGTCATTGAAAGTCCGGCCGGATCGACTTCGTGAGGATAATCAACCGACTGGACGGACGACCGTTTCGAGTGTCGGGACGAACGGGATCCGGCCGCACTCCCCGGGGGCGCGAGACTCTCGAATCCTCCGCTGCCGTCATATCGATCCTCTGCCGGTCGTTCCTTATGCAACTTCCTCCCGAAAAACGATTTGCCAGCCGAGGTTTGTCTCGATTTGTCAGGTGCGGACGTGGTGGTTGGCATCTTGACGGGCGTCGCTGGGGGGATGCAGGGCGCAGCATGAGCGTTGTCCACTACCCCGAGCTCTTTTGTTTGTCGCCAGTCAGGTCTATTCCCAGGAGAATGATCAGCCCCCACTCGTAGTTATGGTTTGCTTCACTCGCGCTCCGTCAAATCACAGGGATAAAGTCTTCCCGCTCCACGCGACCTGGTGTCGTTGACACTCGTGGCCAGCAGCACTAGTGAATACCCGCTGCGGAGCGGCGTTAAAACGGGAGAGGGGAGGGGGGGGGGGGGGGGGGCAGGGAAATCAATGCCCTTTTTTTTTTCCATCACCCCGATGAAAGAAAGAGCGAGAGAGTGAAGGAAATCCAGGGCCATACGCACCGTGCAGGCAGATCGCAGATGACCTAACGATCGGTATCGATTTCCAGAAGGCCGAGCCTGGTATGAAGCACGGCCATTCAATAATGGGCAATCACGGGTTTAGGGGGCGACAAGCGGCTCTAGAACGCCGCCCAGCACGTGATCCAGTCGCCCGTCGGGCGCTTGCGTCACGTGGCCGGTCTCCGGTCGGGTGTGGCCAGGAGACCAGGACGACAGGAGTGGCCAGGTACAGTTCCCTAGTCGGTCCTCGCAGACGGTGTATTTCTCCGTAATGCTGCACATCCTCCCCGTGAGGATTCTCTCCCTCTGCAAGTGAGCGAGTCGTTATCATGGCGGAGATCACGTGGCGCAGCATTGTCTGCCTGCCAGATCTACTACTACGACGGACTGGCTGAGCCACCACGGCTTCATCTTCTTCCACCCCCCTCCAATTAAGTCTGTCCGGTCGGATTCCCTCTTGAACCGGCTTTTTTTTTCCCGGGCATTCGTTCCCGTGGGTTAATTCTCGGGACCCTTTGATTCCTTTGCAAGCGTTGTCTTGCTTGGGTCGTAACGAATCGACATCTACGGAAACCCTAGGTAGCTAGGCCCGGTACAAAATGGGCTCTGCATTCAGTTTTGCCAAGGTACGTCCTTCGCCGTCGGAATTCCTGCATCTCTCTAGGCATTTCTTCAAGCATGCGCCGCTAATCTTTACCGCGCATTCCGCCAGACCATTGTCATTCCCGCCGTCATCTCCCTGGCGCTCTATCTTCTCCTGTCGTTTTTGATCATCCCGGTCTTCCGTCGCTATCAGCAGCGCTATTCGCAATATCTCCCCTTGCACGCGATTTCGGCGCATACCTCCACACTCCGGGATCGCATCGCCGATACGATGATGCGGTTCTTTCTGCCGGCATCCTGGCGACAGCAGGCCCACTTCGAGGACCACAACGACAACATCAGCATACTCGACGAGGAGGGGGAGCTTATGATCGGCATGGGTATGGACCCCGCGAGAAGGGAGGCGCTGGAACGGCGGCGGAGTACGGCTGCCGAGCCTGAGAGCCGGCTCAGTCGCGAGCTCGAGCAGGGTTTCATGGACGACAGCGACGAGGACGAGACTCCAGGCAACCGCCGCTGAAATGGCGTGTGTCACTGACTCACTTACCCACCCTGTGTATATATAATATGTGTCTTTAGTTCGGTGTTTGGGTTGCAAACAATAGACAGGCGACGCCTTCGAATCTGCTCTCTTTAATGCACATCTGTACTCTGCGGGATTTATCATTAAGTTCTTTTCTTGGCGGGTCCAGAGATCCTGTACCTATTTGCTACGAAATAGGTAGGCACGGTTTAATCTAATCTTGATGTTGTCAATTGAATGACCTGTTTGGCCCGGACAAGAGCATAGGTTCTCCTGCATTTCACACATGTTGATACCTAAATCTACAAAACCCGGGAGCAATTCACTTTTGAATCTGGCCGAAAGATATATTTATCACAACTACTTAAATTTCAACGGTGCCTATTCCGGAGGTTAGCCGTTATTATAACACCTGTGTTGTCTTAATAAATAGGGATGGAATTTAAGGAAGCGTGTGTTTTTTAAATTTGTAGATTTGTCAGGTATCATAAGTGATCAATTGCGGAATGCCTTTTTCCCTTGAAATGGTCCCTCAGACAATAAAACATGCGCCAGAACAGAAAGAAAAGTAAATACATTGAATCATTCATTCAATCATGTCGACCGAAAGTCTAAGCCTTGTTGCGCTGACCGTAGGCCTTGGTGACGTAGTCTCCGTCGCGGACGATCAGGTCCTCGATCTTGTAGTCGTGACGACCGGTGAAGTAGCTCTCGAGGATGGCCTTGGTACCGTTGGCGTAGCGGATCTGGGCATCGATCGAGGTACCGGACATGTGAGGCACCATGGCGTTGCCACCGCCCCAAGGGTGCTGGGCATAGCGGAGCGGGTGGTCCTGAGGAGCGGGCTGGGGGAACCAGACGTCACCGCCGTAGCCTCTCAAGTGACCCGACTTGACGGCTTCAGCAACGTCCTCCTTGACGACAATGGCACCACGGGCAGTGTTGATGAGCCAAGAGCCTGGATAAACAACGTTAGTCCCGATACATCATTCACTAGAGGATGTGGGCTGCCATCTACGGCAGCGCCACGACTAGGGACTTACCCTTCTTCATCTTGGAGATGAGGTCCTTGTTGAACAGACCCCGGGTCTTCTCGTGCAAGGGGCAGTTGATGGTCACGACATCACACTGGGCAAGCATCTCCTCGAGGTTCTCGACGCGGCGGCAGCCAATCTCCTTCTCGACCTCGGGGCTCAGGGGCTGGTAGTCGTAGTAGAGCAGCTCCTTGCAGTCGAAGGGCTTCAGGCGACGCAAGACACGCTCGCCAATGCGGCCGACGGCGACGGTTCCGACAACCTTGTTCTCCAGGTCGTACTCATTCTTGGCCACGGCGGCGACGTCCCACTCTCCGCGGGCGATCTGCTCATGGGCGGGAACAAAGTTACGGACCAAGGTCAGGATGGTCATGACAACGTGCTCCGCGACGGAGACCACGTTGCAGCCAGTGACTTCGGCGACGGTGATCCCGCCGTTGGTCTTGTTGGCAGCGTTCAGGTCGACATGGTCGGAGCCAACACCGGCAGTGACGGCGATCTTCAGGTTCTTGGCCTTGGCCAGACGCTCGGCGGTCAGATAGCCGGGGTGGAATCTATATTCCTTGGGTCAGCTTTGCCGAGGGACGAAGGGGAAAGCAGGAGTCCACGGACGGTGTGGTGATGATGACTTCGGCGTCCACCAGCTCCTTCTCGAAGGTCGAGTTCTCGCCCTCCTTGTCGGAGGTGGTGACCAGCGTGTGACCCTGGTCTTCCAACCACTTCCTCAGACCGAGCTCGTTCTCGGTGGTTCCCAGCAGACCAGGCTGCTGTTTGGCGTGTTCACCGCCCTAGCAAGGTGATGTCAGTGCCTGCAGAAGTCCAAGTCGATGATCGGGGACTTACGTCATAGAGGACCATAAGAATTTTACCCTGTAAGCTCGCAGAGGCGGTTAGCGTTCGTGCACCAGCAACAGAATTGGCCCCGGGGAGCGCCCGGAAAGGGCTTCCAGTCGGCCTCAGGGATGATCCCTTCGCAGACAGGAGCGAGGTGGCAGGCCGCCGCAGCTGGCGGGAAAAAGAGCGCATAAATACCATTTTGAGTGAGAGAGGTAGAGACAAGTATCAATTGACTGTTGAGAGAAGGGAGTCAAGTGTGGGAGTCGAGGATGAGCTCTGGCAAGCGGATTAGCATGATATTTAAGCCCCAGAGTCCGGGGGTTGCATAAACGCCAATTGGCGACGTTAATTGGAGAAAGGCCAGGAAAGCTTGACGTCGAGCGGGGAGAGGAGAATGAGGCAGCCAGGCAAGGTGGAGAACGGCGCGAGGACTTTCTTACCGAATGCGGGATGCAGGAGATTGCGAGAGAGAGACAGGGAGGGAGAGTGAGGATGATGATGTTGATGAGGAGCAGAAAGAACGTTCCCAAGCCCGGGGAAAATCGCCCAATAAATAGCTCAACTACGCGGGGTCCATCGTCTACACTTTTCCGTTCATCCAGTGACGGGATACTGGATACTACTGGGTTCCACTGGACATTGGACGCCACTACGAGCTCGTATCACCGCTTAGGGGCGGGAATCGGAATACTGGGAAATTCGATTTCGGAGGTGGGAAGGGAGCGAGTTGAGTGGATGAGGAGAGCAGGAGAGCAGGAGAGGAGAGGGGAGGAGAGGGGAGGAGAGAGAGAGAGAGAGAGAGAGAGGTTCTCCGCACGCGGGACTCGGATGGTGCGACTGGGATGGACGGATGAATGGGGCCACGGGCCATGCAGCATGGATTCCAGAGACAAACTTGGATATCTTCCCTTCTGAGGACCACCAGAGCTTCGGCCGGTGCGGGGCGGGCGCTTACGTACACCAGATGAGGGGATCTTCTGCTCTCTGGTTGTTTTCCCCGTATGCCCTCCGTTGTGCGAAGTAGATGCCGTCGTTGTACGGAGTGCACAGTAAAAACATACCTACCCAGGAACACGACTCGGAACTCTGAGTTATCGAGTACGCAGTATGCACATGCTGAGGAGGAGCTCGCACCTAGTAACTAGTAACTCCTGCGTAGTAACTACTCCGATCTACCGTGGTTTCCCCTCGTGCGGGGAATGAGGGGATCGACTCCCGAGAATGCTTGACTGCGGCTGGTCTCAGGAGGTGGATAACGGATTCCCCTCCGACCAGCCGATCTCGGGTTGGATTCGTCGCGAGTGGTGCCATTTAAAGCACCCACCAGAACCGGGCAGTTCAGCTTGACGTCCAGGTGGTCCGACTTTCAGCCGTGCTTTCGCCGAGACCGACAATCGCAGCTCCGGTCGCCCATGAGGGGAAATCCTCCCCCGCCCTTGTTTCCCCCTTTGTTTGTGGGGGGTGGTTTTCCTCGGAGATGGGCTGGTCAGATGAGAATGGATGAACGGTGCTGGCATTCATCATTTGGAGCACGGTCTCCCCCTCCACTCGCGATCTGGATTATTCCAAGGCATTCGGCGGACGTTGCGCGAGGTCGCCACGCTATGGTCTCTATGATACATGTCGATTTTCTACAATTCCAAAATCTAGCTGGTCGTACTTGCGTCGGCGCTAGAAGACAATGTTGACCAATTTTCCGCCCTGGACGACGATCACCCGCCTTCGTTTTTCCCAGTCGTTTCTCTCCCGCAGCCAAACCCGCCCTTCGTCGGTTTCCAGGACGCGGGACATGATCCAGTCCTGTTCGTCCGTTGCAACCCCAGCCTTCCCGCTGGGCTCGGCGACCGTGGTGGGTGACAATCGCCGGGGGATGGTGACGGTGAACCGCAGCTTGCCGTTGATCTGGACGGCCACGACTTGACCGCCGCGTGCTGACAACGCGTCGGCCTGTTGAGAGCTCAACGGAGGCGTTGGCCAGCCACAGTCAAACACCGCCGGCACGTGAGCTCGGTCGGCAGTCTCGGCACGCGCCATCGAATCGTGCAGGATTTCCCAGCACTCGGACGCCAGCGCCGGGGCCACGGGCGCCAACAGTCGCAGAAGAGAGGAGGTGCACAGATAGGAGATTTGGGGGGAGGTGGGGCTCGACGACACCAGCGAGTTCGTGAGCTTGGTCAGATCGGAGATGACGGTGTTGAGTCCGTAGGGGTTGTTTTCGATGCAGTTGGTGACGGAGACAATGGTCCGATGGGTCGAAAGCACCGCGGTGGCGTCACCGTCGCTGAGACCCTGCAAACTGTGGGGAAGGGGGTCGGCATGGCCAGAGTCTGTCCGCAGGCTGCCTGGGTTCAGGGCATACCTCGACGATATCATGCTGCGTTGCGTATCCTGCACGACCTTCCACAATCGACCGAACCAACGCTCGATGCCCACAATCTTCGTTTCGTCCCATTCGAGGACCTCGCTAACGGGTGCAGAGAAGAGTACGTGGGCGCGAGTGGCATCCGCGCCATATTTCAGGGCACACGAGGTCGGATCCACGCCGTTGTGCTTGCTCTTCGACATTTTCTCGAAAGATACGTTGGGCGAGACCTGGGTGCCCTTGATGACCGGTTTGTCCGGGCTTGAAAGATCCACCTCGGAGGGAAGTAAAAACCGACCGGTGGAAGGCTCGGAATACGTCTTGCCATGGACCATACCCTGGGAGAGGAGCGTCTTGAACGGTTCAGAGGGCGCGGCAAGATTGCCCGTTCGAGCCAGCTCCGGGAACAGCTCGGATTGAGAGAGAAACTTGTAGATAAAGCGAGCGTAGAGCAGGTGCAGGATGGCATGCTCGACTCCGCCAATGTATACGTCCACTGGTCGCACAGATGAGGGCGAAAACGGCTGTTCCTTGTTGGCCGCGTCGAGGAACCGAAGGTAATACCATGACGAGTCGACGAACGTATCCATGGTATCGGTATCCCGCTTGGCAGGACCCTTGCAGCTTGGGCATTCGGTGTGCATCCACTCATCGGATGATTCGAGAGGGTTGCCCTTCTTTCCTTTCAGCCAGTCGCCACCTATCTTGGGCAATTCAACGGGAAGCTGGTCATCCGGCACGGGCACAGGCCCGCACTCACCACAGTGGATGATGGGGATTGGCGCGCCCCAATAACGCTGTCTACTGATGAGCCAGTCTCTCAGCCTCCACTGTTCCACGGAGTCGCCGTGGGCGACGCTTCGAAGATCTTTGACAATCTGTTCGCCGGCTTCGCGGGAAGAAAGGCCATGGTATTTACCACATCGCGATGTAAGATAGCCCTCCTGGGTGAAAGCCTTTGCGTCGCTTGCGGGCGCGACGTTTTCGTCCGGAGCACGATCGGTTCCAACCGAGCGCTCTGGTCCGATAACGATCGGGATACTTTCGGGATTCACATTCTCCCTGAAGAATGCCAGGTCCCTGGCATCATGACCCGGAACTCCCATCACGGCCCCTTCACCGTAGTCGCTGAGAACATAGGGCGCCGCGAAGACGGGCAATTCACGAGTGATATAAGGACATTCCTTGTCGATAATACGCAACGGATGAGACGCAGTGACGTTGGTCAGCTTGTAGCCTGCTTTGGAGTCAGGGGGCAGCGACGCCGCTCGGTCTAGGAACTCCCGCAACGCTGCGTCCTTCTCCGCCGAGGCTTGGACGATGGGGTGATTCAAAGAAACGGCGAGGTATTCGACCCCGTAGAGCGTGTCTGGTCGTGTAGTGAAAACGTTCAGGTTTGCCCCGGTGCCTTCATCCGTGGTAGCAACAGGGAACTTAACCCTTGCTCCGTGTGATTTCCCCAACCAATTGCGCTGCATTGAGAGTACGCGATCTGGCCACCCGCCCGCCAGAGAGTCCAGATCATTCAAAAGCGCCTCCTTAAAGGCGGTAATGCGGAAGAACCATTGTTTGAGCTTCAGCTGCTCAACCTTCGCGCCAGAGCGCCATGAGAACCCATTGGCATCCACCTAAATCGAAATGTTCAGTCCCATGTTTTGAGCATGCCACTTGGAGGCACAGCACATACTTGTTCGTTCGCCAGCACTGTCTTGTCGACAGGATCATAATTGACAAGCGCCTCTGACTGGTACGCAAGGTCCTTCTTGTAGAGCATGAGGAATATCCGCTGCGTATGTTCGTAAAACTCGGGGGCGCACGTTGCTAGCTCCTAAAATGCTCCAATGATACACGTTAGCGTCACGAGTCTGATGAAAACGCTCGTGCAATGCGCCAGCGGATTGCATACCCTATCCCAATTGAAGGAGGTTGAGATACTCCGGAGCTGCTCCTTCATCCTGGATATATTGTCTCTGGTCCACTCCGCCGGATCGATTCCTCGCTCAATGGCCGCATTCTCCGCCGGAAGTCCAAAGGCGTCCCAGCCCATTGGATGCAGAACATCATGACCGCGCATTCGGTAAAAGCGCGCCAGAACATCCGAGATTGTGTACACACGCAAATGACCCATATGGAGCGTGCCAGACGGATACGGGAACATTGACAAAATATAGGACTTCGGTCGGTCATCGGGGGCGTGGGCCTGGCCAGCAGCATTGGAAGAAGGCGCATGTTGCCCACTCGAATGCCATTTGGCCTGCCATTTCTTATCGATCGCTAGTAAATCGAGTTTTCCGAGGGAAGTGCCCGCGGGAGCCGGAGACTTCGTCGTCGCAAAACGAGCAAAGGCATGGAGTGATGAAGGACGATAACCGCATCCCCGTCGTGCTGGCGCAAGAAGCGTCCGGGTCGAGTTTAGTTGGAGGCGGGTAAGGGATTGCATGTCGGCAGTCAAATCATGCTGTCATGGAGAGAAATACACCGAGAAACAAAAGCCATTGAGGGGCGTGCTCGAATTGCAAAGTGGTGGCGGTCGCCGTTTGGAGGAATCGGTTTGAATCAACATCCATAATTCTTGCTGGTTGAGGTCATACGGCCGTTAGTCCCGATGTGGACTAGCTATGGTGCCTGGCCCGTCAGGCATCAATTGATGCCGAATGTCTCTGTTCGGTGGCGCAACTTACTTCGGTTTATTATAACTTTATAAGGCACTCGAGGGACCTGAGCAATTGCGCCTCATTGAATGAATAGTGCCATCTCTAAACACCTGTTGCTATTTGGTAACTTGCTGGACTGAGGATTCTCGTGTTTAGTGGAAATTTAACTAACTGGTAATTATATATCTAGCAACTAGTAGGTATCTCCTGCATGGTAGCTAGTAAAGAAAGATTGATAGATACGACTTTGATAGGTGTGCAATATCCACCAACAGTTATCCCATTGTGTCTTCGGTGCTTATTTTCATGTCAATTCCACATAAGATGCGGAGGCTTGTACGTTCGTGATCCAGAATCTACATAGACCAAGTAACCTTACTTTCGGCAAACAAATATAGTACACTCCCCATGTGAGAGAAATTGACATCCCTTTTTATTTCCTCCCGTATTTTCTATAGTCTAAGGATACCCCCATTTCGATCGATTCCACCCCGGAAATGGTCCACTACCACCTTGCCACCTAAGATGGTCTCTTCCACTACCCCCTGCACATGCTTGGGTTCAATGCGCCCATACCAGATGCCCTTGCCCGCCAGCGGGTGCAGCGTCGAAGAACCTTCCAAGAGCATTCCGGGAGGAATATATACAATCACATTTCCGGCGTATTTATGCCCACCGATATGGCTGATGAGTCCAATGTGGGCGTGTTCAGGGCTGTCGATTACGTGGCTGTTACTACCCGCCGACGTGAACCCCTTCGTCAGCAGAACGCGACGGAATTCCTCTTCAAGGGCTGGTGCCATGAGGCCGCATCGCATGTCACGGCCGCCATGGCCGCATATCAAGACCACGGGGGACATCTGAAGATCGACAGCGCCCGAGAACTCGGATGCTAGATCAGGCTTGCGAGTTAATTCCACCCGCCGGGATTCTGGAAGAGAGTCCGCCATCGCGTTGAGCTTCTGAGGAAGGAGAAAGGCACGGACAAAGGTCGAAAGGTCCGTCCCTGTCCCCGACGATTCCGCCACGTGGACGGGAATAGATGGGAAATATTTGAAAGAAGGGAACAAAAAGGCCGACGCAGAGGACGAGGTACCCTCTGAAGCTGGAGGTGGAGAGAAGGAAGAATTGCTAACCAAGACATTATTGAATGGCTTGAGATTGTCAGTCCTATGTCGATGTCCATACTTAAATCCAATCGCATGCCGGGAACGAAAAAGCAACTCACGTCGGCATAACGCCCCCCACGACCCATAAGACGCTTCAAGCCCCTTGCCATTTCCCCCCAGCCCTGATCCTTCCCATCATCTTCAATGCGACTTGTCCAATCTCCTTGTCCGGTACAGATGAGGATCTGTTGTGCATAGGCCGCCATCGTTCCGTTCAATGGTTGATCACGGTCAATTGGTAGCCCCTCGGGCATTGACGGGGTCGGGGGGCATGTACATGTTGATTCGGGACATGATTCCGTCACGGGAAACGGGGGAGGTATATCCAAAGGGATTCGTCGAGGCGCTGACCAGTATGCGGTGGTTGAGATAAAGCGGGATTTTAACGACGTTCTGCTGCACCCGATTTTGGGTAAACAGCAGAGTGTGGGGCGCAGATTCATGGATTGTAGATCGCCACCCCTTCAGAAAGAGCAGAATATGAAGTCGTTCGCCAGTAGAAGTTTACACTGCAAACAACGCGGCCAATCTCTGGAAGGATGCGCATTTGATATCGCGATATATGCCGGCGAAAAACGAACCCCGAGTCTCCGGGACGGACTCGGAGATAACGGAGTTTGACCGGATTGGTAATCCCGTGCTCCGTCGGCTCGTACATTTTCGGTAGGATGTTTATCCTCTGCCTTTCTGGTTCGGAGTATGGATAACTACGTACGGAGTAAGTAGCAAGCAGACCCTCAAGGTGGGCAAGACAATGGTTTAAGATGGAAAATAATCACAATGGTCAGTTGCTTATTCTACCGGGTAGAGAAAGCTATACATATTATACTTCATTATCATTATTCTCGCGGGCAAGCGTCCAGACCAACAGCAAACATCTTCCCGCCTGCCGTAACGACGAAGTCCCCAAATCACCAGGGCACACCGATGTTGATTCGGAGATTGAAGGAGTCGACACATCAAGTGTCGTAAATGTTCGGCAAAATCAATGAAAAGCCGAAGCGAGGGCTGTTCTCGTATAAACCACATGGAAAATATATCTTCCCACCAGCACGACCTTTTTTTCTGGCCGGGAAGGGGTTGGATCATTTAGGTGCGAAAGAAATCAAAGCATTATTAGAGTCAGTCAAAGGCCACAACGTATAATAGAAGCCAACGGCACCCCCTACTAGAAGGGCATAGTACGCAACGCTCCATCCAACACCAAGTTGGCTATACTCATACGCGGTAGGCCGGTCCGGATCTTCTTTACCTTTCACCAGAGGCGGACCGATGGGTACTCCAGCCTCAACCCTGCCCCATAAACGAGGAAGACCACACCAGTTGCAGAATGTGTGGGCAAGGATAGCAGATGGGAGAGATCCGGTTCGGAGGTAAAGGAAGGTAGCATACCAACCAAAGATTGTAGTGTAGCTGAATTGGAAGACAGACCGGAACATTGCCGCGATGATCGAGGTGTCAGGGTGAGTCAGACGAAACTCATAGAAATGATGTACATGGGCAATCCCAAAATAGAGAGGGGCCATGAAAACGATACGGCCCGCAGAGACTCTGGCAAGTAGATGGAGAGGCACGATGGCCGAACGGAACATGATCTCCTCGGTGATGGGACCCTGGAACTTGCAATTAGCGGAAATAGAACCGATTCCGGACCTATGGAACCAGCTTACAGCGACATAGTTTCTCCATCCGATCCAGCCCCGAAGTGTTTCGGAAACTCTACGGCCCCTGACCCAGTCCCTCCATTCACCTTCGGCGATTCCCCGTTCGAATAGAGGCCCGACAAAGAGGATGGCCGTCAAGACCAGGGAGCGAACAACCTCCAGGAAACCGACGGGCCACCATCCGAGGAGTTTGAGAGCCTCCGAAACGGGGGCATTATCTTTGACGATGATCAACCAGAAAACGGCCAAGGTGCTGATGACGCAGGAAGAAGTCACGGCCCTGATTCTAGCCCGGATAACCGATGGGGCATCTCGGCTAAGGGTAGGAGATGGCCGAGTGGTGGAAGAAACATAGAACGGGGCCACATAGATCAGGGTTAGAAGGATCTAGAAAAAGGCTAGTTAGTGGGTGCTGCTATTAGACGGAAACGATGATGACGATTGTTTCCCCCTTCCGTTATCCACAAAAGGAGAAGGACGAAAGAAGAAAAAAAAAAAAAAAAATCGGTTCAGCTGCCCGAGAAGGGTGCAACCCCTTTTGCTTTCCCTGGCCGTGGGAAACGGAATTACGATGACGCTATTTTTATAGCTGCCTGCGCGCTAGGGCCAGAGGAAATAAAACCTACCGAAAAACAAGCGGCCGCCTGGACCGAAATGACCGGTTCATCTGAAGCCAACGGTTAGAAGTAGACGAGAGTCATTTCCGAGCTTCCAGGCCTACCGTAATGTTTCGAGTACAAAGATTTGAGACGCGCCAGGATATTGACGGGCGCCATGGCTTTCGGAAGTAGGTATTTGGTTCGCGTTCAATAGTAATCCTGGCCGGGGTTGGAAGTACGGTGGGTTAAGAATAACAATGAAGAGACGGAATCGCGGGATGTACGGAGTCAACGGGATGAAAATAGGGGACCCGGCCTAGTGGTCGTCGTTGGAGACTAGAGAGAACGAACCCAACGATGATCTTCCTGGAGGCTGATGAGGACGACGACAAAGAAAAAGAACCAACGCGGTTAGTCCGAGCCGTCTTGCTGCCTGATTCCGCAGGCATGATAAACCAGGCACTTAGTCAGGGGTCACGAGACCGGCCTTCCCTTCCCTTCTCTTCCCTTCCTTTCCGTCCGGGGAGTTTTCTATCTATCGCATACAGCCATCATTCTACTACTTCCTTAGTCCAGGAGCATAGCTAGTAAATCGCTATTTCATAATCTTCTAGAGACCCCTTATCTATCGACTCCCTGCCTAGTCCAATAGCCTCCTGAACCTTGAATATTTCTTACAGCGTATAATATTCAATGATGATGATGATGATGATGATGATAATGATACTTTGTACTAACACGCACCACGCACCATGCACCATGCAAATGCAGCGACATGATGATTTCCTCTCAGTTTCCGTTCCAAGGATTAAGCAACGATGGTAACTCATGCGTCCGAAGGGAATGACAGACTCCACTTCTGCTGAGTTGGCAGCCTTGGGGTGATCCTGAACGGGGGTCACCTCGAGTTGTCACTCGAATTTCAGCCCAGTAATTGGGCTGTGTAAACGGGGGGAAAACCAATGAGATGGTCTGGAATCGTTGACCTACTCTATTTCCCTCAGCCACATCACCTGAGTGGAACGATCTTTGGTTCATTTCCGCCATCCCTCGAGGTCTCGAACTCCACCGTTGAGACCGGTCACAAATCCGACCGACATCCTCGTGGAGACCGTCGGGTGGACAAGACCCAGAAATAATCAATAATGTGATAAAAATGATGGGAATATGCAACAAAGTACGGCGTACTCCGTCCAGAGCAGTACTTCGAGTACGGACGCGCATCCCACATGCACCTGGGAGGGACCTTGCATCCTCGCTCGGTTTTTAGTCGCTCTCAATCTAACCGCCGGCCCAATCTCGTGCAGGGAGTCTTGCTTGCTGTGCGGAGTCCCTTGAAATCTCCTCAGCATTAGACTGAGGGGTATATCCTAGATGATCGAACCCCTGGCCAATGTTCGCTCGATCTTGTCCTCCGCAAATTGAGGGGAATCGGATCACCATCCAGCGGGAGGAGCCCTTTTTCATCTCCTGTGTGGAGCACAATGTCGGACGACTGGCATAACGCATCGCGCAGATGGGTGTTATTAGAGCCCGAAGATCATGTCTGGGATCGTAATCAGGATAATGGCGAGAGAGACTTCGGGTGCAAAATGCCAATCGTCCAGGCGGCCTCCTCGCAGGCTAAGCAGCCTTTCCACGCATGGCGAAGGGCACATCTTCCCGGAATAAGCGACGAACTGCAGGACAATCTTCCCCCCCTTTCATCCTCCGCCAATCGACCGGTTTCAAACCACGCTCTACCGGTCTAGAGCGTGCAGGCTGCATGCCCCTGGATGGATTTAGTTCCTGGCCCCGAGCTCAGGCCAACAGCGCTCACCGCCGCTAAGCAACGGAATGCCGCTGGAAAGTATCCTTAAATATTACGGCGAGGCCCGGCTTGCATACTGGTTCGTTTCAGATTTTGGCTTCTGCGCTTCCAGTCGTTCTGCTTTTTGTCGCTCTTTTAGAAACGTTTTTTGGTGCTTTCTGGTCTCGGGCTTGACGCTCTTTCCTCCTTTCGCGCTTTTCAGTTCTGCTTCGTCGGTCGACATGACTCGCTGACCCAAATAACCCTGACGATTTCTCTGCCGTCGGATCCACGCTCATTTGCCGTTGTTGTCGCTCATTTGACGCCGTTTGTGTCGAGGCATTCTTTATTGCATCACAGGAATTATAGACCACAACAAAACAACAAAAGTTGTTGATCCGTTTCCTTCATAGACTATACTTCTTCCGGTTCTCTGTTTTGATTTTTGTGGTTTTGATTTTACTTCTTCTTCCCTCATTCACCACACCATCCTGGCCCGGGCAGCCATTCATCGATGATCGTTTATCACTTCTAGTTTCGATTCTTGCTAATCTCGGGCCCTTTTTTTTTTTTTTTTTTTTTTTTTTTAAACAACCCGAACACCCTCCATTGGGGGTATTTCTCTCCCCACTTTGCCCAAGATTCTCGCCGTCGGTGTCTACTTATAATGAACTAATTTTCGATTGAACATCATGCGCTCATCGGAACCTTCAGCTAGCTCGTCTCCCAGACGGAAGGCTCTTCATGAGCGAACGCCTTCTCAGACGAATGAGACGTCACCACCCGAATCTCTGCGAGTTGTCAGTGATAAACACAGCGATCCGTCGGACGAAGACGATATCTACACGGCCACACCGTATCCGACCAAGCCGGAGCATATTCTCTTACCACGACCAGGGAAAGGACACGAGTTCATTCCGGACTCTAGGTTCCATGTTGACGAGGCGCCCCACGAATCTACCGGTACTCTGTCCACAGATATCAGCCATGTTGGTGACAGCAGTTTGATTGAACACTCTATTGGCGATCCATGGGACTTGTCCTCAACATTTGACGCCGCGAACACACCGTCCCAGGTATGGGAAGATGATCCCAGCTCAAGCAAATCGTCTTTCCCCGAGCCGAATCTTCCGGAGCACAAGTCAATCGATCGCCGGTCCGATGAGGACTCCGTCGCCGCGTATTCAGACGAGGATCCGATCGCGCTACCTGCAGCAATCCCGACTATTAAAACTGTTGCTTCCGATCTCTCCTCCCGACAGCCATCTCACCCAGAGAACGCAACCTCGAGTAACTCTAGTCCTAACGTTGTTCCCATCGGACCGCCCTCCAGTCCCAATTTTGTTGCGCTTGATAGCTCGAGTTTGAACTTCGTTCCTCTTGGTGCTTCTTCAAACCCCGACTCCGGTTCTCGCTCCAACTCATTATCTTCTCTCAACTCTTTGGGAACCGTGATTCGGTATGCCGGGGCTGCCCCGTGGGCGCACGGCTCCTCTTCGGAGCAGTCAAGCTCGCGATCGCATTCCTTCCGATCCAACCCGGCTCATCCGTATGTGCCATCAGTGCGATCAAGCTCGGCGCGACTTCGCGAGAGGAGTCATTCTCGATCCGCTACCTCGTCTCGAAGTGATCCGCCCACCGATGTCCAAGGGATTGTGGACGGTGGCCTCTTTATCCAGTATCCCACGATTCGCGAGCCGTCATCTTCAAGCTCGAGGGTTGATGTGACCAATGTGTCGGACTCGTCAAATCAGAACCAACAAGAACCTATGGCGGACCATTCATCTGATCGCTTCAAATCTCATCTGTCAACCGTTACATCCCGGTGGTCCGCCGAGTATGACTCGAGGTCCCCTACTCCGGCCGATGAACCCATCGAAGGTTCACAGGAGCCATCAAGGCCCACAGCAGCCGTTGTCCGCCAAAAACCCACGTCATCATCGCTGTGGCTTGTAAGCGATGTGGACAACGAGCACATGGACAACGTCGCCAATCTTCCGGCCCGCGCCAAGCACTCACGATTCCACCCCAGCCTTTCTTCGGCATCAAGGCAAAGTAGCATGCGGAGCACTACGCGACCGCCTACTTCCTTTCACTTCCTGCCGACTTGGGCCCGGATGTACTATGGTGATGGACAAACTGTCAACTCCGCCCTGTCCCTAGTGGATGGCGCCCGTCCACCCTCAGCACGTCCTGCATCTTCCAAACCCAACACGTTCGAACGAATGTCTGCTGCTGTGAATCGACAAAGGACTCGCACCAACGAGACTCGCCAAAGCATACAGTGGCGAGCGCCGGATCCGCGTGATCCTAGGAGCCACTGGCTACGGAGGCCGGAGGATGAGGAGCGGCCCGGGAGCTCTCGGCAGCAATTGCGGCACAGCTGGTCTCCTCACCTGTTCCCTGATCGACGTGCCATTCGACAGCGAGGCAGCGCCTGGGGCGCTCCATCTTTGGATTCCAGGACAGAGCCCCTATTTGGGCGCAGGAACATTCAAGTTTGGTCCTTCTGCCTGGGGTTTGTTTTCCCGTTTGGTAAACCTCCCCCCCCCCCCCCCCCCCCCACTGAGATGGCAATAGGAGAACCCGTCGCTGACCCATTGATAGCCTGGCTTATCGCAGCGTTTCTGCCTTTGCCGCCCAAGCCGGAAATGACGGAGGAGGAACAAAGTGAACCTGAGCTCGAAGCGGCCCTTCGGATGCGGCTTCTTGATCTTGAGCGTAGACGGCACGAAAATGCGAGATGGTGGAGGAACCTCAACCGATGGATGATTCCCGTCGGTCTGGTGATCATCGTTATCGTTGTAAGTTTGACTTGAGCCCCTGATCTTTCCAGGTCCCCGCATCTGGAGCTAACTTTCCATAGATTGTACTGGCTGTGGTCGGCACAAAGGTGGGCTTCTAACTTGTGCACTGCTGGTTTTCTACACTACCGCCTGCAGCAAATGCTTTTATTGTTTTCCCTTTCTACTCGACTGGATTGATTTTCTGCCTCGATTTTCTTGTGTCCCATGATGGTGGACTCCTTCGCCTATACCCTCTTTCGTCCCACGCCTCTTATACCTTGGTTTATTATTTCCCCCATCCTCGCTTTTGCGATCATTTGTTGTATTATTTCATAACCACTCGACACGACGACACGACATGATGTATATAATGTCTTTTTATTTCCTTTTTTCTTTCTATTTCTTTTGTTCCTGGCCTTGATTACCATTGGTCCTATGAGTCAGGGCATGTTTTCCATGATGGATCATCCCCGAACATTCAATCGATGGGGCCAGTGATCAGTCAAGGTCCACGACACATTATGGATATATGCCATTTCCCCCCTTCCCCTTGTACCTATGAACCAATTCTCTGGGCAATTTACCTGTGACCAGAACATTATATATACAGAAATACATATTTATCCCCCCCCCCCACCTTTTTTGATTGGCTTGCACATATATTCCTCTGGTAATCATTATTGAAGCTATATAACTCGAGTGTCTTAAGCAAAGTAGCATCGTGACGAAAACCGCCTCGTCTCCTGAGGCTCTCGGGTTTTCGAACAACTATATTATCAAACATTAAAAACTGGAAGCCATCCAAAGTGCATCACCAAGGACACTGAAGTTGATCTTGAGCAGTCAATCAACATTGCCAACCTCCAATAATCGTCTCTTATTCCCCCCCTCTTCTTCTGCATGTTCTGCTTATACCCGCCGCCCACTAGAACTTTCGACCAATCTTACTTTCCACCGCAGCCTTCAGCTCTTCACCGATAGGCATGTTGACGGTACTTCCGCGCCGCCGTCTGGATTCGATCTCAGCCCGAATTTCTTGCACAGCATCGTCGAATTCTTGTATCGCATCGCTTGGGAGTCCCAGGGTGGGCTGGTGCATGCTTTCGGTGCTAGAAGTGCGCGTCATCTGAGGCTTATTGCGGACTTTGAGCTTTTGGATGAGGTAGCCTTTGGCGGGACTGGCGAAGAATGCTAACGACGCGGCGTTACCAATGATGCCGTAGAAATACACACTTCGCCAGACACCGATAGAGGTCTTGAAAGAGAGGAAGATAAAGGGCATGACGGTGAACGAAAGAGTGATCTGCGTCACCAGCCAGCTAACAATATCATAGTATCGCTTGTATGGGCCTGGCTTTTGACCATCTGGAGAAAGGAAAAAAGGTCGAACATAGCGGCGGAAGTCTGTGCGGGTTCGTCAGCAGGGAATCGTGTGATTGGAAAATCAAGAAAGCATACTCTTGGCCCCAGTTTGAATGAATGATCCCAGAACGAAGGTCAGATAGTATCCAGGATAGAACCCATGCCAAAATGCGCTGGTCGCAAAGGTGGCTAGGCTAGCACGGAAGCCTGGCTTTTTGCCCTTGGGCGTCACCCGCAGATAAACATAATTTCGGAGCCAGTGATTGGTGTTCTTGTTCCAGCTCCCGAGATAGCCATGGGAATTCTGAGCCGTTTCAAGCGCCCATGGATCAATGTTCTCTAACCGGTTCCAGAAAACCTTACCCGTCTTTGGGTCAAAACCGTTGTATCCCATCCCCGACAGGATGCAGGCCCCCTCTGTTAGGGACCACACTCCGTAGTACTTCAGTCGGGCAGTAAAACCGAGCATGTGTAGAATCCAAACCCGACGGATAAAGTTGTATTCCATGAACTGCCGCCCAAGGACCACCTCCTGGTTATACACGGATCCCAGTTGCAGGAAAGCCAATATCCACCCCAATCCCATCAGAGCTTTCTTAGTCGCAGGGGTACCACTGCGGGGAATCTTGCGCTTCTTTCGAGTCGGAGGCACCTTTGATGGGTCTGTGCCCGGAGGCACATCGAAAAGAGTGGTATCGATCCACCGGCGATAATCGACATACTCGAACGAGGGGCCGCCGAAGAGGGAGGGGAAGAACAAGACGTATCCAAGATAGTCCAGAACGCCCGGGAATTTCGTGATGGCGGCATATTTCTGGGGGTCTGAAAGCTGGTCCTGAGGTAGCCGGCCATCATGAACGTTCCAGCAGAAGGAGGTAAGCTTCATGACGAGTACCATCTGGGCACCCGTGATGTCGACCACCTGACCGTCGTCGAGGATTTGCCGGTAGATATGGCTGATGGACATATGACCCATCAAGAAGATGAATCCAATCCACGGCATCAGCGACCCGTCAATATAGTATGTAATGGCATATACAGCGGCCGCACTGTAGGACAGCGTCCTTAGACCATCCCAGAGGTCAAACAAGCCCACGAGATAGAATAACGACACCGCGATGATGAATGCATTCTTTTTCCAGGGCTGGGAATCGGGGATTCTCTTCAGCAGCCCCGCCAACGGGTAAGAGAGCAGGAAAGAGGCGATGAGTTTCACTATTGCGAAAATGAGCCATCAGCGGTCTGAGGCCGTCGTGCTATCGCGGGATTGGGTGGGAGCGCATACACTCATCAACGGAGGCTCCTGTGAGAGCTGCGGGATAGTCGAAGACTACGTGGTTTCGGAATTCGCATCAGTACAGTTGAATCAGGGCGATGGAGTGCTCTTCAGGAAGCTCGCTTGGGGGCTCACGGAGATTGATATATGGCAGCATGGTGGGCGAGTGCGGCCGGGTCAGGGCGTAAAGCAAGCAAAGGGAGAGAAACAAAGATAGAAAACGAGAAGAGGGGTCACGGGGCTGGGATGTAGAGCTTCGTCCTGGACGACATTTGGGGAGACGGAGACGAGGACAAGGGCAAGGATCGAAGGACAGGAGGAGGAAGAAAAAGAAGAAGAGAAGAAGAAAAGGCGGCGACCAGCGGTTTCTCAACAAAATGCAGCATCACATGTCATCGTGCTTGGCGGTCCCGCTTCTTGTCCGCGTCTCCCTCCGTCTCTCTCACCTCCACCCGCCCATCTCTCCACTACTCTTGTTAACCCCCCCCTTTTATTCACTCGCGCACCTCTTCGACAGCTCGTGACTGCCTCCGCGCCCGTCGGCGCTGTTCAACCTTCATAATGGACGTCGTTGCGGCGGTTTCGGGGTACATCTCCAAGATGGTCACCGCGGGGGATCCCTCCGCGTCGGGGACTGCATCGTCAACCAAGATGAAGATCTTGCTTCTGGACAGTGAGACAGTGGGAGACGCGCTTCTTGGATTTGACCGGGAAGAGCCCCATCGGCTAACGTGCGCTTGATAGGTACCGATTGTATCCACAGCCATCACCCAATCTGCCCTCCTGAACCATGACGTGTATTTAATTGATCGACTGGATAATGCGGCGCGAGAGCGAATGCGACACTTACGATGCCTTTGTTTTGTGCGCCCATCCCCGACCTCTATCCAGTTCCTCATCGACGAACTGCGCGAGCCAAAATACGGCGAATACTACATCTACCTCAGCAACATCATCCGTAAATCATCGCTCGAACGACTGGCGGAAGCCGACAGCCACGAGGTTGTTCGCGTCGTTCAGGAGCATTTTGCCGATTTCCTCGTCATCAATCCGGATCTCTGTTCCTTCAATCTGGGATTCCCCCAACAGCGACTATGGAGTCACTCCCCAGACCTGTGGAATGCGGATGCGTTGCAACGAGCCACGGACGGAGTGATTGCCATGCTGTTATCTTTAAAGAAGAACCCGCTGATTCGCTACGAGAAGAATAGTCTTCTAGCCAAGAAGCTAGCGACCGAGGTCCGCTACCAATTGACTCAGGAGGAGCAGCTATTCAACTTTCGCAAGACCGATACCCCGCCTATTTTGCTGATTCTAGACCGTCGCGATGATCCAATCACGCCTTTGCTCACTCAGTGGACGTATCAAGCAATGGTCCATGAATTAATGGGCATTCACAACGGACGGGTGGACCTGCGAGACGTACCAGAGATCCGGCCCGAGCTGCGGGAGATCGTTCTTTCGCAAGATCAGGACCCATTCTTCAAGAAAAACATGTACCAGAACTTTGGAGACCTGGGCCAAAACATCAAAGAATATGTGGAACAGTACCAGGTGAAGACCCAGAACACCATGAACATCGAGTCGATTGCGGATATGAAGCGCTTTGTGGAAGATTATCCCGAGTTCCGCAAGCTCTCGGGCAACGTGAGCAAACACGTCACTCTCGTGGGAGAACTCAGTCGACGAGTCGGCGAGGATGATCTGCTGGACGCAAGCGAGCTGGAGCAGAGCCTGGCTTGCAATGAAAATCACGCCAATGACCTGAAGGTAAGTTGGAGATACCCAACCTCGCCGGACAGCCCCACTCACTGTCCTTCTGAAGAATCTCCAAAGAATTATCCAACTGCCCAACGTACCCGCCGAGAACAAGCTGCGCTTGGTGGCCTTGTACGCCATCCGATACGAGAAACAACCGAACAACGCCCTCCCCGTCCTGCTGGACTTGATGGTCACGGCAGGCAATGTTCCCTCCTACAAGGTCAACATAATCCCGAAATTGCTCGCGTACCATCACTCTCTACAAGCGCCTCCGGTCGCCGGCGGCTTTTCGGATCTATTTGAGTCGACTTCTTTCTTTTCCGGGGCCCGGGATCGTTTCAAGGGACTCAAGGGAGTCGAAAATGTCTACACGCAACACTCACCCCGGATGGAAGCGACGCTACAGAATCTCATCAAGGGCCGACTGAAAGAGCTCCAGTACCCTTTCCTCGAGGGTGGAGGTCACATCCGGGACAAGCCCCAGGACATCGTTATATTCATGGTCGGTGGAGCGACGTATGAGGAGGCCAAGATGGTAGCCCAGGTCAACGCCAGCTCGCCCGGAGTGCGAGTGGTACTTGGAGGTACGACCATCCACAACAGCACGAGTTTCCTGGAGGAAGTCGACAACGCTGTGAGCGGATGGCCGGAGCCTGGTCCCTCGACTGCCGCTGGACGGCTTCGAAGGGAGGTTGAGCGGTAGATCTCTGAACAGTAGTCGATCTCTATCCTCTTCAAACCCTATAATATACGTACCCACAATGGCATGACTAGGTACTTGAATAGATCCTGGAAACCTGGAGAACACAGTAGACGATCCTAGATTGATCATGGTTCACTAGTCACTTATGGTTATACTCATGGAATTAGATAATCCTCGGCGGTGAGACCCCGGATTTTCCCATTGCGGAGATTCCTCTGCGGCCGACTTCAACCTCGACTCCATCCGTCCTGAACCTGCCGCAGCTTTCAAGCCTGAAGTCTCGATTTTGATGGAGCCCAACGCCTCGTCGCCTTCGGGCTCCGGGGCGCGAGAGCCAAAGCTCCTTCTTCCTTCGACCACCGACCCACCAGGCCCCCAGAATCCCCCGAAGCCGCTTGTGTGGTTGGTATGATAACCCCCCCAGCTCAGATCCATGGAACACGGGCATGGCGTTCTGACTTGCTGCTCATTGTGATAGATTTTCGGCGCCACTGGCCACATGGGCCGCTCGTTGGTCAAGACCGCTCTATCCCGGGATGATTTTGTCGCCGCGGTTGGGCGCACCTTCGAGAATAGCCCCGAGTACATGAAGAAGTTGGAAGAGGAGCATGAAAACTGCCTGGGTCTCTTGTGTGATGTACGGGCTCGCGAGACAGTGCAGCGAGTTATCGAGCGCACCATCGAGCGGTTTGGTCGCATTGATATCATCGCCAACTGCGCCGGATACGGAGTAATCGGCGCATGCGAAGACCAAGATGAGTATGACATCCGCGACCAATTCGAGACCAATTTCACCGGCACGCTGAACATGATTCAACTCTCATTACCGCACTTCCGTGAGCGAAGGACCGGCCGCTACTTGATCTTCAGCTCGACGTCGGGCGCCTTGGGAGTGCCGGGGTTAGGCCCTTACTGCGCCTCGAAATACGCGGTTGAAGGGCTCATGGAGAGTATGCTTTACGAAGTGGACAGCTTCAACATCAAGACCACTCTCGTCGAGCCTGGTCATATGCGCCGTGACGATGTCGGAGACCTGGTGTCAGACCCCGTCGCTGCGCTGACGGCCACTAATCCCGATCTCGACCTCGCATCGCCTCTACCGTTGTACGGTCACTTCCTCGTCAAACCGCCGAGCGAGCCGTACAACACGGCCACCTCCCCTACGGCGCATGCAAAGCGCATGTTGATGTGGCTAGGCGATAAGCAACCTGCGAGTGCTGTCAAAGCCGCTAATCTGGTCTGGCAGCTGGGACACTGTTCCTATCCACCGCTTCGCCTTATTCTGGGAACCTACGCCGTCGAGAGCATCCGAGATCGGCTGAAATGCATCATCGAGGAGATCGAGGACTGGAAATACCTCAGCTTTCCCCAGGGAGAGCAGCAAGGTCCTTCGCCTGTGAAGGACCAGTCTTCGGGCTCCAACCTCCACGAAAGAGAAGGTGATGCGGCCACCTGAGCCAATGATGTATGCCGGCTGTAAGCCGACTGTCTCTCAACACACTGGGGACTTTCTCCTTCGGGTTCCGTTGAATTTCCCGGGAATCCTCGGATAGCCCAGTACATGATCCGTGCAGGAGCTTGCAGAGCAGCACCATGAGCCACGCGCTCTTCTTCCTGCGCCTATCGTGACCCTTTGGTGTTAGTATAACCTTTCTCGCGCCTATTGAGGTCGGAATTCCATCATCCAATTACTAGACTAGCAGGAATTTGCAATGCCTGCACGTGGTTGATTGAGATCGAGGCTTATAAAACATTCAATTGACGTCCTGTGGGTATATACAAACCACCAGAATCTGATAAGGTTGTCTATATGTTTCTGCGAGACAAATGCCTTTAAGTTCGGTCTATTTACACCTCCTCTAGACGAGTTTGTCACGGCATCGTAAATGAAGCTCGCTTAGGATGACCGCCAACTTCACTCCGTATTCTTCACAACAGACATCATAACATTCATGAGAATCATAAATTCCTCTTCCGCCACGAAGATCCCTCGTGATGCAGCCGTGTCATATATACTGTACCGAAAAAAATTGGCACGAGAGCCCATCGGTCCCGTCGTCAATTAAGATGCCACAAGTCGAGAGTCCAAACCTTCATCAGGTGAGATTTACGCGTGCGCATCCATAATGCACGTCTCCTTAGCATGCCAGATGCGCCGCTTCTTAGCGACATCTGCTCCGAATGTATCCTTGATAGGCAGGTCATCATCATGGAAGGTGTGTGGTACTGGAAGAGAGTTCCGGTTCCCATTCAAAGGTTTCAGGAGTCGTACTTCCTCCACGGTGGCTCCAAATTCATACTCGCCCCTACTGAGGACAGTCACCCCGATTGTGGCAGACGTACTCTCACCACTATGTATGACAGGCAAGACCTGCTGCAACATACCGGTCCATGCGAGACGTCGCGATAGATCGAGGGCAATATTGCTAGGCTGGTGGCGAAGACTCGGTTGGAGTCGCAGGAGTGGGTGAATAGATCTCGAGGAGCGGTTGCGGATGGTGACAGTAAGATTCATCATCTCATCAGTCTGGACCAGGTATTTTGACCGTCCAGTTTGGGTGACACTGTCTTTTTCGTCGGCGGATGTGTTTTCCGCAAAGGACGGGCGCAATGAAAAGGTCATGTCAACATCGTCGAGCCGGAAAGCATCCACCATTCTTGCGTTAAAGCGCAAGTTCCTCAGGTCAATCGTCCCCTGGCGCCCGATAGGGCTCTCCTTCCAGGAACCGCTCACTCGCTTGAGAAGCTCCTCTCTATACCAGAAGGCCTCGCGTGATGCTGCCTCACCCTCAAATGTAAGCTTGTTGGCACTTACAACAAACTGTCTCTTGACTCCCGTATTAAGGAGCGGTATCGAAGCATGAGGATTGTCGAGGTGAACACGAGGTAGGACAAGAACAAAACGAGACAGCTGGCCGGGCTGAAGTTCTCCAAACACAGAATATCGGTCATCCTTTGCGCCGGATTCATCCGGTTCTTGCATTGGAGAGGTCACTGGCTGCTCGCTCACCTGTAGCGTCACCGATAAGGGATTCGGCCAAGCATTGCGGAGGTCAAGAAGCAAGATGCAGTGTTCCGGCCCATAAGCGCCTTGAACGAGGTGAGAGAGCACCGGAGAGAAAGAATTATCGTCCGTCAGATGCGAGGACGGAGCAAGGTGTGTCTGAGCAGTCTCCGTTTTGAAGTCGGCATCTTGACTATTCCACCATGCAAAGTCCGCACTGAAGGGTAGTATGTCACAGCGGGCCACTTCAATACTGGCATTTACTGTAACGGTGAGCGGCACGAATAATTGTCGAGTATAAAACACATCCGGTAGCTCCACGTGAGAAGATCCAACGCAGGAATAATCAATCTGCACTGTAGTGTCTTGCAGGCCAGCTTTCCCAATGATGTCAATGGTGAATGTGGCGCTTTGACCTGCAGGTATGGTGTGATCACCTGGATTCAAACCTTCTCGGCGCCATTGCAAAGCCGGCTTGGATAACTTGAGCTCGAGCTCATAAACTTCGACTGGCAATAGATCTTTATTGCCTAAGGCCGACTGGATCTGCCTCGTTGTGGAATCTTGGAAAGTAAAAAGTATGAAGTCGAGAGAACATGATGACGTGTTCCGTAGTGTTATCTTGAAGGAACTGAGCTCGCCTTCCAATACCATCACTGCAGATTGCGATAGTGAGAGAGATTCAATGACAAGAGACGGCTGTTGGCCGATCACTTTGACATCGCAGGACGAGGTTTCAGGCCCCTTTTTGGGAAGCGGTTTCCCATCTTTCGACGTCGTTGAGCTCCAGGAGAGAGGGCGGTCCATCGAGGGCTTCTTGGCCGCCAATCCAATCCGTTTGAATTTCTGTTCGGCTTCTGGTCTCCACCAATTTTGGAAGATGGGAAATTTTCGTTCTCTGCAATGCCGAACCTTAACAATGCAGCCGGTGATGTTCACTTTGCCCTCCTCATGAGCCATTCCAAAGACGGTGACTTGTTGCAGGCAGAGTGGAGGCAGAATTATCCATTCGGCCACAGCATCAAATGGCGCACCTTCGCCATCAAGCCGGAGTCTTTCGATCTCTATCTCAAACTCATAAGGGTTTTGAAGAGTGACTTGGAATGCGGCATGTTCCCCAGCAACGATAAGGAGCTCCGAGGCCTTGTTGTTTGCCTTGGAGAAAGGATTGTACAAGAATGGGTCCTTTGTTGACTTTTCTTTGTTCACGGTCACCGCATCAAGCTCTGGTCTGGATCGGCGAACTGGTTTCTTGGGGTCTGGTAAAGGTAGCATTTGGATTCCACGGACCAAGAAATCGTCCCAATATTCCGCCTCAAGACCCGATGCCCCTAACTTGTTGGCTGCGCCAACCGTGCGCTTAATGTTGTTCAGAAGGCGAACCTGCTCGTCGTGGGGCAAGTACGGAGGTGTGTATTGTTTTTCAGTAAGCATGAGATCTCCACGGATGGTTTGAAGCAATTCCACGGTAAAGCGGAGGACACCGCCGAAATCTGGGAGAGCTTCACACGAATTTATGCAGGCTCTAAGAACGTCAACTTTCAGGTTCAGATCGCCATATTTATCTAGGACGGTATGCCTAAAGGATCGCTCAACAATTGAGGCGACTGAATCATATTCAGGAACCGGCTCCGGAGCGCTGGCTCTTGAAGAGCGGGTGCTCTCCCATTCATAGAACGAGGAAGGCTGCACCCCGTAGATCTCCCCTATCGAGGCAAGAAGAGAACGCACGCTTTCTTCCATGTTCCCGGGACCGACATCAAGGGCGTTGATATCAAAGGCGGTCTCACTCAGAGAAGCTAGGCCGGCGGCAGGATGAATGCCTACTTCGGCTGCGCCGATTTTACGAGCCTGAACAAGTGTCGGCACCATGATCGACAAAAGCTCTCTCAAAATGAAGGCCTTCTTCCTTGGTAGATCCAGGGTGTTCAAAACGGAGACGACCCCTATTATTATAGGTATAGAGTCTGTTGCCGGTAGATCTGACCCAGGAGACAGTGGCAGAGCACGAAAAAGAAAGTTTGCAATTTCAGATTTGCGCAGAATGACCAGCCCACGGGGACGTTCGGGCCGGAGCAAGGGAACCAGAGGCTCATTTGTGACAATATGTTTCAAAGCATTATCGTCCAGGGCACCATCACGAATGCGCGCAGCCACCAGTATTCTCGCCAAGCGGATCACTGTTTCCGAGAAAACGAGTTGAGGCAGAGGTTCGTCGGTGATGTTCGCTGCACGGTTATAGAGGTTCATTATATTATTAGACAGATCCGGTAGGAGATTTGACAAATTCTGAAGGGAAACCACACGATTCCCGGGCGTGGATTGCCCTGAGCCTGAGTCCAGGTTGAAGGATGATTTCGAGGACTTATCGGCCACAGGATAGCAGATGGGAGGGATCTACTGAGTGATTAGTGGTTGTTGAAGAGGCCACGGAAGCGACACGAGGGCGAGGACAGAACGCATTGCATACCTGGAAGTCCAGTCCTGCCCAGCCAAACATTAATAGACACAGGAGAATGGACTCAAGGGCTTTGGCATGCCATACGTAATCACTGCTTGCGCGAGCATTCGATGCCGCATCGACGAGCTCCTTTAAAGCGTCTGGCCATCGCCCGGCCTGAAGGAAAAGTGTCCCCACGACGACGCCAGTACGCCCTTTGATACGGTTCTTGGTCCGATCTGTAGCACTCATGCTGCTCACAGACATTCGGTCACGACTATGTTCCTTAGATGAGGGTAGGGAGTTAGGTTTCCCAAACGTGCTAGCACGGTTTGAAAGCTGTATAGACCGTGTAATTTCGTCAAAAGTCGTCGGGGTCTCATAGTCGCTGGGAGCAGGAGAGCTCTGGCTAGAGCTGACAGGGGTTTCAGATGTACCGTTCGGTTTGGAGGGAAGGTGCGCAGGCATGGTCATACGATGAAACAACCTATCCGTAGGACGTGGGCGTAGATCCGGACCTCTTTGTGGGCCCCAAGAGGAGGCCTTAGGCGACTCGATCGAAGGTATGTTCTGTATGGTTTTTGCGAACTCGTCCAATTCCGAAAGTAGCAGCGAGGTGATATCGCACAAGACAGTCTTCATCGTAGTTGCCTTGGACGCCTCAGGCCTTGGGACCCATAGAATGTCGTCCGGTCCATTCGAGAGCTTGTCAACTCCCTGATAATCAAAGATAAGGAGCTGATGCACCAAGGCCCTTGTGTGTCTCTCCCGAACGACCTCCAGCTCCTGTTGAAGCTGGCCCAGTTCAGCGGGGGAGGGAAGCTCGCCGACTTGTTCTGTTTTATCACCATCCTCTTGGTCCTTCAGTTCTGCTCCATCGGCAATCGCAATGACAACGAGGGGTTCGCGAAAGACCTCAAAGGGGAACAGCTCAAGATGCGACGTCGGGGGCACGGAGAAGGAAAGGTCGTAGAGAATCATGCCCGTAGGAAATGCTAATGGCGAGAACATATCTACCGCGACGATCAGTCAATTACTTGTTACGGCTTAATGCATGGGCATCAAGCTTCCCAACACCCTCCGTTCCAAGAAGAGTGCGTTGGTGCTTACTTCGATTGGGTCGCGCATCCGGACTAATATCCCCTAAGCGAACGACATTTTCGGCCTGAAGCCTTGCGGCGAAGCTCAAAAACCGCGAGCGTTTGATTTTTCCAACCGGCAGCAGCAGCGCCCTAAGGCGCACTGGCGCAATAGGGGACAGAGGGTCAACACCCATCCTGTCATCGGCAAGGATGCGGAGCGGAGACAGTCGGCGAACTGCTCAGGACTGCTTCCCAGGGGTGCCCGAGGTCCTGGAAATCATGCGAGGAAGGAAACGGAGAACCAAAATGAAAACGAAGGCTAGTCGAGGAACCGGGACTGGACAAACAGCAAAAGCCCCAACCAAGTCGACGGACTGGCAGGGAGCAAATGGTGGTTGATGCGGTTCGTCTCGTCTAGTCCAAGTGTCGCCTTACATAAGCCGCCCGATAAGCCGATAAACATCGCTGGTTCTCCGCTCTTCTCCGTCGTCAACAGCAGCAGCATCGAGTCATGATGACCGTGTTGTGTGGTTTTCTGGCTCTTGGTTTCTCTAGATCTCTTCTTGGCATTCGTTTCTAAGTTTCTGAGCGTGTTTTCTTTTTTCTTGTTTCTTTCCCAGCCCGTGGGATTCCTACTGTTGACGTACTGTCTACTACGAACGTTGCCTGGCTCACCGGAGTTCTTTAGTCTGACCCAAATTTGGGGTCTTGTCTTGCACTGAGAAGCGAAGACTTGCATACACAATATTTCGTTATCGGAGCAGAGCTGGCGTCGCAAGATGGCACCGAATCTGGACTTTAATGCGCTGAAGGCGCGCACGATGGGCTCGGGGAACGACGAGGAGGCTGTCACGGTGGACACAAGGGGGTTGATCTCCAAGGTCCTGGCTCGATATTCCGGCAAATGGTATACAGGAGACCCTAGGCAGGCAGGAAGTGGAGAAGGAGGACGCTGACTTGGCACGAATAGGACGGTTCTACGAGAGATGATCCAAAACGCCGCCGATGCGAACGCAACTAAAGTCACGATCAAATTTGAGACCCTACCATCTACAACTGTTCCTTTACCATCCCAAGCCGACGATACGACACTACTCAAGCATACAATCTCCCATCACACTTTGAAGCGTCTCTTGGTTTCAAACAACGGTCTTCCGTTCAGCGAAAAAGACTGGGCACGACTAAAACGAATCGCAGATGGAAATCCCGACGAGACAAAGATCGGCGCGTTCGGAGTTGGTTTCTACAGTGTTTTCGATGACTGCGAAGAGCCGTTTGTATCGTCTGGAACAGACGCGATGGCATTCTATTGGAAAGGGAATGCGCTCTTTACCCGCCGATTACAATTAGACGACACCTCGAATCCTGAAACGACATTCGTCCTGGATTATCGCAATGACACATCCCCCATCCCGTCTCTCATGCAGTTATGTCAATTTTTGTCCAGCAGCCTGACATTTGTCAGTCTTGAAAGCATAGAGTTATGGCTAGATGACTGGAATCTATTGAAACTCACAAAAAAGACTGCCCCAAGCGTCAGTCTTGCTATTCCACGGGACATCGAGACAAAGACACCTCAAGGCCTGATGAAGATCATGAATGTCAAGCGAGAAGTCGCGCAAGTCGATGCCTCTTGGATGCGAGTTGTTGAATGGAACCCGAATGCCAGCGTGTTTCGCGAGGGCCTCAGGGATACGGCAGGCTCTCTGCGGACCTTTTTCTCGCGGCTTACCGGTCAAAATACCCCAGAGAAGCCTGCGAAGCCCGAAACCCCGGAGCTAGTCAATAGCACCGAGGACTTGAGCGGTAGTTCAACGGCCTCGGTCTTCTTACACATAAACACCGCAAGCCTTCAATCTTCTATTAGTCAGTCTCTGAGCAACGAGCTCGAGCGAGCTACTCGAAAGCCTCCGCCCAAAAGTTCAACGCTTGCCGTGCTGACTCCGTCATACGATACAAGCGTTGCGTCTGGGCTGGCAGGGTCCCAGTCAGAGGTTCTTGCCTCTATCCTTCCATCTAAGGCTGGACGAGTCTTTATAGGCTTTCCCACGCAGCAAACCACGGGTCTTAACGCGCATATATCTGCTCCGTCCGTAATTCCAACTGTTGAGCGCGAAAGCATAGATCTCAACACTCGCTACATAAGCAAGTGGAACCTGGAAATGCTGAGGGCGGCGGGGATTGTCTGTCGAATTGCTTGGTCCGCAGAAATGGCTTCGATAAAGTCCAAGGTCCAATCCTCGAAGACCTCCAAAATTCGCAAGGAAGATGTCGTTGGCGTGCTACCCGAGGCTATTCACACCGCTAACCAATTTGTCTTCCGCGAGTCAACGCCGTCTTCGCTTCTAGGACAAACGATCGAGGATTCATTCTGGACATGTAATAAGAATGCTTCAATAGATGTGCTATCGACATGTGGTGTTATTCAAAGCCACCAGGCGCGGATAGCCCCCAAGGATCTTAGCTTTATGGATTCCATTCCTGTTTTGCCAGATGAATTCGTCAGCGGTGCGAAAGACTTTGTCAGAAAGCTGACCGATTTTGGACTGGTGACAGACGTCACTGTATCTGATATCAAGCGGGAATTGGAAGCCAGCACGCTGCGATCAAATCAGGTTGTTGAGTTTCTTTCCTGGCTGGGTCGAAGAGCTGCTTCAGGACATCTTGATTCTGTCTCCGTGCAGAGCCTGTTGAGTGTCGCAGTGGCAAATGACGAAGACAGCAGCGGCAATACAATACGGTTAATCGTTTTTGCAGATATAAACAGCTACCTGAGTCCCCAGAAGATACCCGTCGATATGCCCGTGGCGCCGTCTGTGATACCTTTCAAGTATACGAAGTCTCTCGGAAAACTAGAACTGGAAGCCTTCGGCTGGGTAGAGCTTCAGATAGTCCCCTGGCTTCGCTGGCTGGTCACCAATGCGGCGAATCGGAACGTTCTTGCGGTGGAGCAAGATATTACGCAGACGCCGTCGTTCTCTGCGAAGGTTCTGCCCATTCTTTCGAAACACTGGGAGCCATTGAGTCAACCCTCCAAACAAAATGTGGTCAACTTACTGCAACCGCACACAGTAATTCCCACGAGGCTCGGTATGAAACAGCCAGCGGAAACCTATTTCTCTTCCGTGCGGTTGTTTGATGACCTCCCAGTGGTGCATGGTCTCAACAGTGTGAAGGAAAAGTTTTTGGCGGCCCTTGGAGTGCGGAAAACGGTCGAGTTGGGTGTGATTTTTGAGCGTCTCTTGGACATCTCTGAACCATCCGAAGGTGCTGGTCACGGCAGAGAAAAATGGAGCCATGTTGACCTCATTCGTTATCTGGCGTCTGTCCGTGATGACATCCCTGCAAATGATATCAAGAGACTCCGGAACACCAGTATCTGCACTTCCGAGCTTGGTGGCAACTCTAGCGACTCGAAACCTTCTGCTCGCCGGCGCTACAAAATCTTCGAGCTCTTTGAGCCCAAGGATTCTTTCAGAGCACTCGGGTTACCTGTACTTGAGTGGCCCGGAAGATATCAGGCTACTAGCAGCGAAGGGAAATTTTTGACCATGCTAGGCTTGAGAAGCTTCCCGTCAGCTCCCGAATTGGTGCAGATAATGGCACAGGCAGCGGCGAATAATAACTGGCTTCTCCACGGAAAGGCAATGTCGTACTACATCTCCGAGTATCACAACAACGGCTACGCAACCTTTGACTGTGGTGCCGTCAATGTTCCATTTCTACCAGTTGAAGGAACTAGCGTTCTCAGTGTTCCAAGCAAATGCTTTACTGACGAAGGTGCTACCTTGCTGGGATTCCGAATCTTACGTCAAGACCTCCATGCTCATTCTTCGAAACTTGGAGTCAAGCAGCACCCTGCCCTCACAGAATGCCTGGACTTTGTGCTACGCCAGCCCCCATCCACGAAGCGAGATGCGAGGGTACTGTTCAAATACCTGGCTGGGCGCGTGTCTGAGCTCAGCGCGCGGGACATAGATCGCGTCAGCAATGCAAGGATAGTCCCCATCTCAACCAAGGACGTGGGTGAGAAAGACTCGAACCCGCGGCGCGTGGCACCCAGACTTTGCTATCTCGGGCAGGGTGAAGACTACCGGGAAATCTTCGACTTCGTTGATTTCGGACAGGAGGCCAATTTCTTCTTGATGGCAGTTGGGTCAAAGCGGGAGCCGACAAAGACCGAGCTCGCACAAATGCTCGTCAGAGAGCCTGCTAGAATATCGTCTGCATTGCAAAGTTCGGAGAAGTACCTCAAACTGCTCCGAACACTGGCGGAGAATGTATCTGTGCTGAAAAGAGACCGAGAACTCTTTAGCGAGATGAAACGATCCGCCTTCCTTTTTGCTAGTCGAGATATCTCATCTCTAGCCCAGGAAAAGGACCGGAAAATGGCCACCCATGGATCCGACGACGATGAGGAGGAGGAACAAAGCATCAAAGAGTGGAAGTTGACTGCTGCAAGAGACGCCGTCGTGGTTGATGATTTCCAGAGTTTCAACCTATTCAAAGAACATATCCTGGCGGCACCGCAAGAAGAAGCGCTCGAGAACTTTTACATTGCACTGGGGGCGACGCCGCTAAGCAGCCTCGTTGAAAAGCAAGCACATTGCGGTTCAATTGCCACCGACCAGCAGCCAGCAGCCAAATTAAAGAAGCTGGTCAATGAACGCTGCCGGCTCTTTCTTCATGATCAGCCCGCCGACTCTACCCGCCACGATGTTCGATGGCTCGATAAGAATCTTCAGGTACAGGTGGCACACTCTATCTCACTCACCCGTTCCCTCCGGGGACGTCGCGTTTCCCATACGCAGAAACGTAGTGCCATCATCACCCAGCCTGCCGGATCCTGGTGCTTATGGGTTTGTCCCGGCAAATTGAATCTCTACGAGATCAGCCAGGCCCTCGTGCATCTTATCCTTGTTCGTCCGAAGCTTCATTCAATTCTTACCCTAGAGATGTTAATGAAGACCGATTTGCTGGAGCTCAAGGCGCGTGGATACAACGTGGAGCGCATTCTCAAGCAAAAGGCCCACGAAGCACGCATGGCCGAAGATCGGCGCCAGAAAGAACTGGAGGAGGAGCGACAACGGCTTCAGGAGAGAGAGGCTGCATGGGCGCAAGAACGCGCCGAAGCCCAGACCCGGACTCGACGACAGAGCGAGGAAAAACCGCCATCTCTGATGCCGGGCGACTTTCCAGACTCCCCATCCAGTAAAGAAATCACCGGCCCCAGCGGGCCACCGGACAGCTCGGAGGCTGGCCAGGACCGGCGCCCTCGAGGGCTCTTCGCCAACTGGAGTAAACGCCTCGGACTGGAGGGCGGGCGATCGAGCTGGAATCCCCTGAACAGCGAGCCATCTCAGCCGGCGCCTTCGGAGGCCTCGAATACCTCGAATACCTCGACGCCTCCTCCGCCTCCATATTCGCCGGAGGACCCGCAGAAGTCGCGCCCTGAGCAACCGGTCACCGTCAGCTCACCGCATCGCTTACAGAACGAGCTGCTGTCAGCAGTCCAAGCCTGTCGGCCTCACGGATCGTCGGGGCTCTATAGCCGGCCCGAGACGAACCAGATCACCGAATCCAAGTCCTACTGTGACGAGCGACCGAGTCATGATTTGGAATTCGTAGCGACTCTTCCCTGTGGGATGAATGTGCTCTTCGTGAAGACCCTGCCCGACCGGTCGAACTTTTTGGCCCAGAACAGCACCGGCATCAACGTGTTCGCCGCGACTCTGATCGAATGCGCGGGCATCTTCTCTCTGCGCGCGAACAGTCTCAGTATTTTCTACGATCCCGGCGGAAAGACGATTGCCTTCAACCGAGGGGGCAGCATCTTCTGCAATTACTTCTACTTCCAGCAGCTACACGAGAAAGAGTTGCTCCAGAGCTCGACCGCCGACCGCAGCGACGCCCTGGTGTACTGGTGGGTGATACTCTGTCACGAACTCGCCCACAATCTGGTGGGCGACCACAGCTCTGCCCACAGTTTCTACACGTACGGTGAACCCCTGCTCCCCTTGATGGATCGACGCTTGTTGCTGACGCACTCTACAGGGAAGGATTCGTTGCGCAATACTTTCCCAAGATCGCCACGAAGCTGGCCGCGGGCAACGTATCGACTGCAGCCCCCAGCGGTTAATATGAAGACGGCATATTTGTTGCTTGATGTTGGAGGTTCTAAGGGTGTTGTGTACATATAGAGAGATGGATTGACCACTGTTAGGCCTATTTATGCTATTGAGTTTCAGCTTAATGAGTTGAGGGATTTTCTTCTTCTTTTCTTTTCCTCCCCCCCTCTTTTTTCTCCTCTTTTTCTATTTTTTGGCCCCTTTGGATCTCCCCTGGTGATGTTGGATGTAATGCCAAAATGCAACTATTGAAGCAGCCAAGCTTTGCCCTCCCGTTGCCTGCCGTTCCGCCGCCGCGATTTTTCTTCTCCTCTTCTCTCCCTTCCTCGTTGACCCCGCAGACTGCATTCCTCTCTTTCGCTCTTCGTTCTTTCTTTTTTTTTCTTTATTTATCTGTCGCCCGAAGTCGCTGCTTGGATATATTTTACGTCTTTCTTTCTTCTTTCTCTCGTTCCTCAGCTGCACCATGCGGGTCTAAACGCGACAAGAGAAAAGCTTTGTGACTACTCTGCCAAGTGGAACCGTCGCCACCTCCACGCTCTCGGGCTGGTCCAGATAACGTTCTCCCATGGCCTGTTCAGTCGCCTCTTTACTGTGAATGGCTGAAAGGGTTTTCATTTTTTCCTCTTTGATTATTCCGAGAATTCTTTTTTGCCCGGGACGCAAAAGCATTCATTCAAATCCCAATCTCCCGGGCTCCCCACGTGGGCTTCACTGTTGAAGGCGCAAGCTTGCTTCCTGGATATCTATCTAGATATGGCTCCTTTACTAGGTCATGATGAGTCCTCCCTGTCCACAGGGCTGGGATCTCGCAAAAACATCCTCTATGTTGATGCCTATGACTCGTTTTCTTACAATGTTGTGGCCATGCTGGAAGAAGTGTTGAGCGTGAAGGTGACGGTCATGATGATTGACTCGCAATGGCCCGATGGGAACATGGCCGAATATCTCCAACGCTTCGAAGCGGTGGTCCTGGGTCCAGGACCCGGTGATCCAAACGTCCCGGCAGACATCGGGATCATGAATGATATATGGAACTTGCGCGACGCTGACATCCTACCCGTCCTAGGCATTTGCCTTGGATTTCAAAGCCTCTGTCTTCATCATGGTCTCTCTATCGGCCGGTTGCCGTATCCACTCCACGGTCAGGTCCGTCAGATTGCCACGACGCAGGAGGATATCTTCACGGATTGCCAGGATGTGGAGGTCACTCTGTATCATTCGTTGTACGCGAAATGGGACGGCTCGCCCTCGAACGACGGCATCGAAGAAAAGAAGCCTAGCTCCGCCGACTTGAAATTCTTAGCATGGCTGTTTGTTGAGGGAGACGACTCTCGTTCAAGGACGCAAATCCCCATGGCTACGCGCCATAAGAGCAAGCCGTTCTGGGGAGTGCAATTCCATCCGGAATCATGCAAGTCAGATCGCCAAGTCTGCAGCAGGCTTCTGAAGAGATGGTGGGAGATGGCTCTCAGCCACAACAAACAGAATGGACGCAGGGTTTACGGGACTCTTTCGGGTAATATTGTTCAGCCGTCGAGTGGAATCGCCTCCCTTCCAGATATTGCTTCTACGATGCTGAACTGGAGTGCGTCCACCTCTGAACATGCTGCCTTTCGCACCCTTCCGGCTGGAAAATTGGATGCAGAGATGATTTGCGAGAAATTAAATGCGCCAGATTCGCCAACGGTCTTATTCCAGTCTAACGATAGATTCAGTGTCATTTCGGTACCGAGCCCGTCTAGCTGGAGGCTAGAGTTTTATACCCAAACCGAGAAGTTGATGTTGGAACAGCTGCCGGATCCCTCTTGCCCTCGTCGTTCCTCAGAACAGAAAGGGGCAGTGGTGGAAAGGAAGCTGCCCGTCACTCAGCTGTGGGATCTCCTCAGATATTTGATGGAGATGAAAAAGGTTCGGTTGGGTGATCGGACGGTTCCATTTTGGGGAGGTTTCCTGGGTTATTTTTCGTACGAACTTGGGCTTGCTTGTCTCGCTCGACCGAAGAATCACGATTTAGAAAGAGATCACACAGGGCAAACCGACTTCTCAGGTGAAGACCCTGCGGATGTCAGCCTACTATGGACGGAAAGAAGCATTGTTTTTGATAAGGAGACGAGTCAGATCACTATACAATCGACACGAAAAGATGACGAGGTCCCCACAGGTTGGCTCGACGAAACCCTGCAAATGCTGAGGGATAGTTCTCCGGTGGAAACATCTGCGACATCCGCCGCCGTCACTGATGAGTCGGAGTTTCTGGACTCCATTCTCCGGCAGGCTGTGATTCAGTATCCGAACCAACACATTTATCAAGACAAAGTCGATGCTTGCAAGGCCGAGCTGGAGGCTGGCGAGTCATACGAATTATGTCTGAGCTGCGAAACATCCGTCAAGCTGCCTGCCCTCTCCACTGAGAGTGGCCGTGCGGTATTCCCGTGGAAACTGTACAAGCGACTGCGGCGGTACAATCCCGCAGCATTCAGCGGTTATGCAAGACTGGGTAGAGCCAGAATCGTGAGCAGCAGCCCCGAATGTTTCCTCAATTGGGATCGAACATCCACACTCGAAATGAAGCCCATGAAAGGCACTGTCCGAAAGTCCGAAGAGATGACGTTGGAGAAGGCCAAAGAGATCCTCGGATCGACCAAGGAGATGGCGGAGAACTTGATGATTGCAGACCTGATCCGCCATGACCTTTACGGTATCTGCGGCTCCGGAGGTGTTCGTGTGGAAAAGCTCCTCGAAGTGGAAGATCACGGACGGGTCTATCAAATGATTACACACGTCAAAGGAACCGTCGACCCCAGCCGGCCGGGGTTCACCGTGCGCGACAAGCCACAGATCCAGTCTTCGAACATGTCCGTTCACGGGCTTACCACCTTGCAGAGATGTCTTCCTCCCGGCTCCATGACGGGGGCCCCCAAGGAACGATCATGCATGCACCTCTCTTCAATCGAAAACCGCAAGCGGGGCATCTACTCTGGGGTCATGGGCTTCCTTGACCTGGGAGGCGGAGGCAGCTTTTCGGTCCTCATCCGCACCGCCTTCACCTGTGCTGATGACCAGAGCGACGAGCAGCGGTGGCGGATTGGCGCCGGTGGCGCCGTGACTGTCCTGAGTAGCGCGCAGGGCGAGTGGGACGAAATGCTGACCAAACTTCGAACGGTCTGTGGCATCTTCGCGCCCTTGCATCCGTAAAGGGATCTGATATGCAGTGTTTATTCTTTTGTTCAGCCCAGGCTTTTTCCGCGCAACGCTTTTCAACAGTTGCGTACTCGACATGTATCTTGAGATTAAGCATAGACGGCATACAGTCGGATTCAACATATTAGCGATATGGTTTTGAAATCGGGCGTTTGTTGGATTAGATTCTAGAGCAAGACATATATACATATACACCAGCAGGTCACATCGTATGTTTCTCTCTCTCTCTCTGGGTGGTTCTTGTAGTTCGACTTGGGCGGGATGCGGAGGTGCAAACCAGCCAAACACCTCGAAGCTCCGCGGAGAGGCGCTTTGCTTTGTCTTGGTCTCTTTGCTCCCTCGTCTTTTTTTGCCCCAATCCCACCTTAACCACCCCCCGAATCCGCCCTTTCAGTCCCACTCCGGACGCAGGCTGCTCCTATGGCGGGGAATCATGATGCCTCCATGGAGGAGATCCTCTGGCGATCGCCGCCGCATGTCCAGATGATGGGGGGTTATCTCCACTCGAATAACAGTATGATCAACCCTCTTGGCCGGCTTCCTATGCGCATTGCACTGATACAAGGGATCTCTGACTTCCTGGTGCACAGTTCTCTTCTACTTTGCCGAATCGCCGTTCTTCGATCCCACCTCCAACAATGCGTCCCTGGCTATCCAGGCGAATTACAACGAAGCCTTGCGCCATTTTGTGGAAACTCGGGATGCATTTGAAGCGCGGTTGAAAACCATGCAGGGCTTGGAATTCGTCGTCGCCTATGACCCGTTGCAAGCGGCAGCACAGTCTGACACTCAGTTCGCCCACGAGCCGTCCAACGTTTGGGTGATTCGGAAACAAACGAGGCAAAAGCGTGCCGGTCTCGAGGACGACGTTGTTATCCTCTCGACCTACTTTGTGATGGGTGACTGTATCTACATGGCTCCATCGGTGGCCAGCGTTGTGGGAAATCGCATTGTACGTGTGCTACGCCTAAGCCAGCGCTTGCTTGCCTAGCTAACCAGGACCAGCTATCCTCCGTCACCTCTCTCACGAGTCTCCTCAAGACTGCATCCACACTACCAACGTTCACGCCGTCTCACGGACACACTTACCTTCCGCCCGTACCCAAGTCTACCGACCCTGGAGTGCCTTCTCAACAAAGCAAAGAGAACACGCCTCTGCCCGAGGCCGATCCTAACAAGAACCCGCTTGTGGGCGGCCAAGCCAGCAATGCCAGCTCGGGGCTCCAAGACACGATCACCCTGGCAGAGTCGTTCGCTCTCCTCTCCCAGTTCGGAGACGAGTTCATGGATGAGAGTCCCTTGGTTGGAGAACCGGGGTCGTTCATCCTGTCCAAATCCGGGGATGCCGACCGACTCGGGGCGCCCAAGCCCTCGTCGAACATCAGCCGTCCAAGTAGTGTACCAGGAAGAGCTGTGACGCCACAAGTCAAGGTGGACACGCCGGGGAAACTCCCAGACAAGGCCACCATGGGGGCGACTGGCTCGGAGGAGAGTGGTAAATTGCGCAAAAAGAAGACCAAAGCTGGCAGCTGAATGCACCGCTAGTGAGATACTTATTGTTAATGAATGATACCCTGAGCGAAGAAGGAATAAAGGTTTGGAATGCCAGAGCATGACATGACGTCGTCCGTTGCGGGCCACGCGGACGGAGTCTTCCGGGTTCAGGCCCAAGTAGCGAAAGGAATGCTCATTCTGGATGTCGGCACCTTCCACCGTATCTATATAATATGCATGCCGCATGGAGGCCCGGTAGAGGAAGCTGCCAGCCGAATTGAAGGTCGGGCAGCTCGAAGATGAGTCATTGGACTGGCATGCAGTTGGTATTTGAGTCCCCGTTGGTTCCTTCTCTTCCTCGGTTCCCTCCTCGATCCAAGTACAGACCTACTTAGCCATTCTCCATTTCTACCATTTGCTCCCTGGACGATTCCATTGAACTGAACCGGTGCAAGATGGCGACTCCCCAGCACGAGAAGCCCGCCGTGGTGTGTGTTTTGTAAGTTTCTGCCTTCCCTTTCGTCCCTCCCCGCCTTCGGTCTTTTGTCTTTTATCTTTGGTCTTTTGTCTTTTGTCCTCTCCCAGCGCGTGGTGCCCCTCCACCACTACCCTCGATCATCCAAGAGGTTCCTCAATCGAGTGACTAACACTTCTCAACGTACAGCTGTGGCTCCGTAGCCGGCAATGACCCCGCTCACATGGAGACTGCCCGCGCTCTGGCGCGCGACTTCCACCGGAACAACGTCCACCTTGTCTACGGCGGCGGGACGCGGGGCCTGATGGGCGAGGTGGCGCGGACGCTGGTGTCGCTCTCGGGCCCGCAGGCCGTGCACGGCGTCATTCCACGAGCGCTGGTGCGTGTCGAGGAAGGATACGACCAGAAGAAGAGCGACGATGCGACGACGATGACCGGCGGCAAGGAGGCCGAGCGGGTGCTCACGGGCTCGGAGTCGTCGCTACAGGAGTCCGAGTTCGGCATCACGACGATCGTCGCCGACATGCACACGCGCAAGCGCCTGATGGCGACCAAGGTGCGCGAGGGAGGTCCCGGGTCCGGCTTCGTCTCGCTGGCCGGCGGCTTCGGCACTATCGAGGAGGTGATGGAGATGACCACTTGGAACCAGCTCGGCATTCACCAGATGCCGGTCGTCTTGCTCAACATCAACGGGTACTGGGACGGCTTGCTGACCTGGGTCAAGAACGCCGTCCGCGAGGGCTACATTGGGGAGGCGAACGGTGATATCCTGGTCGAGGCGAAGACCGTCGCCGAGGTGTGGCCGCGACTGATTGGGTACCAGGTCAGCAATGGCAGGATGCAGCTGGACTGGACCGATGAGTGAATATCTGGACAACGGCGTTGCGTTTTTACAATGCGGGTTTGTCCCGCCATAGACAGCATCATCTGATAAAGCTAGAAATAAAGAGACTTTCAATAAATTTATGCCAATTGGTGACATCCGCGACAGGCAGAAAAGGGATCGATCACCCATGCCCAACATAGACAGCTAGATTGGGGGAAAGGGAAAAAAAAAAAAAAAGAAACACACACAAAAGGATTCAGGATTCGTAAGCTACGGACATGTATTTAAATCTTTATGAGTCAACCTCCATCGTCGCCTCGCCTTCTTTCGTCTCGCTCGAATCCGACTGCTCCAGGGCCTCCAGGAGCGGTAGCAGTTTTTGACCCTCGTATAGCTTGAAGCTCTCGATCTTTCCCGTGGCCCCCTCTCCTGCAAGACCAACCACGCCGACGGAGGTGTTGTCGATCGTCAGCTCCTTATCCTGGGATAGGGTTTCCTTGAGCGCCCGTAGGCCGTGAGTGATCAGCTCGTCGCGGGAGCTGCCGGAGATCTGGTCCAGGTTGCGCTCCAGGTAAGTCCGGGCCATCTGGGACCGAGCCCCGATGGCGCACGCCACCATCTCGTGGATCATGCCCGACGGTTGGAACTCGAACAGATGGGGCCCGGCCTCGTCAACTCCAGCCACGAGCAGACCAACGCCGTAGGGTCGCTTTCCGTACTGCTGGGTGTTTGTTTGGGCGCGGTCGGCAATCTGGGTGACGATGCGGTCCACGGGGATGGGCCGACCGTAGGTCATTCGAGAGCCGAGAGACTGCTGTTTCATGTAGTTGGAAAGCACGCGGGCGTCGGAGGCCAAGCCGGCAATCGCAATGCCCATATGAGAGTCGACTTCGATGATCTTCTTCTGGTACGAGGAGAGCTCTTCGGCATTTCGCTAGAGGGGAGGGGACCGGCATCAGCGTTCTTTGCTCTTATTCTTTGCGAAATGCTCGAAATGCTTTCTTCTTTTCAGGCGGCCGAAGCACTATCATAGCCATCGACGAGTTGATTCTGATCAATTTACTCACCTTCAAGCCAACCAGGACCGAATGTGTCTTGTTGACCAATCCCACCACGACGGAACCCTGCTTGACTGCTTCCTGTGCATACTCTACTTGAAATATCCGACCCTGGGGGGAGCTGTCACGAATAGTGCAGAACGCACAGGCAATTAGCTAGCTGGTTGGGAAGCTGGGGAGCAGAGGGCGGAAGGAGCTAGATAGGATCATACAAGGTGACGGCGTCGTTGTCGTAGTTGTTCCTGAACATGGCGACGGATGAGGACACAGAAGAGAAGAGCTGGAGGGCGGTTCAGAGCAACGAATGATCTCGTATTAGGCGGGGTGGAGGATAGAAAGGCAGGACGATGGACGGGGGAAGAGGTGCGACGCAGCTGGAGGTGAGCAGGCAGAGAGCGACTGACGTGCCTTCCGCTCGCTGTAATTACGTTACGGCCGGTCAGCTGCCTTAGTGCCTTGATGCCTCGGTGCCTGCGTGTCTGGCTGCCGTGTTGCCCTGGCGCCTGAGGCTGACCTCGCGGCAACTTCCCGCCAAACGTCACTCCTCCTACGTATGTCTGACTGACTACAACTTACTACCGCTGCCTTCCTCTTGATCCTCCATGCAGACGGGTCGCTGCATTCGCATCCGGATCACCTCTGTTGTTGCCACTGCTGTGTGAAACGGATTCTTCTGTGTCATTGTCTCCTCCCAAGCTTCTACTACCTTTATTAGCTATCGTTGGACCTCGACGGCCCTTGGATTCCCGCAGTCATGACGGCCGGACTCAAAACGATCATCGCGCTTTCATTCGTATGCACCTTCCAGTCGGTGTCTTTGTCAACACACATCAGTGGCTAACGCCTGTTTGTCTCTTGGATTAGGTCCTTGCCATTGGTTTCCTTCTCGTCATCCTCTCATCCGCCCTGTGGCACAACTTCTTGCCGTTGATTGTCGTCGCAACCTACGTCGTCGCGCCCCTTCCCAACTGGATCTGTTCGCGATGTGCCAATCCGGATGATTTCATGGACAGCTCCGGCAATGCGGCAGCTGACTTTGGCCGTTTCCTTACGGGCTTCCTGGTGTTGATGGGTATTGGTAAGTTCACCCGGAATTGCCGGCGGTAGGCCTCGACAGCATGGGCGCATTGCATTTTGCATTCGATGCCATGGCATCGGCCCAAACCAGCTGCTTCTGGAGTTTCTTCCATCTTCAATCTTGATCCGTCATTGCCCATGCTAATCCCACGTTTGCCGCAGCTCTGCCCGCTGTCTTGGCCCACAGCGGAGCTATCGAGGTTCCCGCGATGGTCATGTCGATTCTTGGAGGTCTTTTGATTTATGGGACCATCATTAGTTTTTCGATGTTTTTCCAGGAACAGGAGGAATTCTGATTTGCGATGGGAGGGAAGACAGTCGACTCAGGAGGCCCGAGAGTGTTCTGGAACTCTCTCACCGGTCATCTCTTTTCCGTGGATTATTGACATCCAACCTTTCTTTCCCCTTAACGCTAGCCCTTATATCTATATTTATGGAACAATGATCCCTTTTACGAGCCTGCCATTTGCTATGATCTATTCTCGGAGTTCTGCATACTTCCTTCTATGAGCTCCATCCAGCCTTTTTGATGTTTGTTTTCTTGTTCGGCGGCGCAATGGCATGTACCAGTAACCACAGCAATGCGATAAGAGCAAGTTGGCGATATGATATTCGGGGTTGTCCTGTCTTGCTGCCCCTCAAGTGCTGGTGTGACCGAATGCGTTTCCGCCGGCCGCGTATGGCATCACGTGATTCCGCGCCCGCCTTTTCCCTCGCCGGCGCGTCATGGAAGTTCCTTTGGTCAAGAACTCTGTCGCTCGCGTCGGCCTTTGCCCCTGCGATCGTATAAATTGCCTGCCGGAAAATGTGAGTGTGAGATCAATGACTATATTACGATGAATGTCTGGTCTGGAGCCCTTGTGCTAGACAGCGAGTCCCAACTCCCAGGTAAGGTCTCACGCGACAGTCCAAGGGTTGATCGAGTGCCGGGCTAACTGACAACCCCAGGTCTACAGCTCATCGACCGATCTTCCAGTTGGCAATCGGATTTTTCAAGGGATTGCACCCTCAGTTTCCGATGTTTTGTAAATCCCGCGTTAATACCACTATATGCGAGAGTTGGCCCGAGCCTAGAATTGCATACGACTGACCTTCAAACGTCCCAATGGCTGAAAGGAAAGCTTCTAGGCGGAGTCTGGCTAGAGGAGGAGGATTTGGATAAATTTCAAGCTGTCCAGTGTCCTGTAGGTTTCCTTGTCAGTATCGGTAGCAGTGCACACGCGAAAGCTTCAGCGTCGACCACGACGGATCTACTGGTTCACGGCGCCTTATCAAGCTCGGCATCATTCGGGCGACCTCCAACTCCGCCTGGATCATCCTCCCCAGCCTCTCGTGAACCAGCTCCCTCGATCATTCGACAGGAGCTGCGGATCTATGCCACGCCGCTGTCCGCCTCTCTCGTCTCCAAAGCACAATGTCTTCCGTCTCCGGATCAGACGGGGGTGTTGGCTGGAGACGGGCGATCAGCTGAATTTCTTCCTGACATCCGATCCCCAAGCCCTAAACGCAAGCGAGTTGCAACCCTTTTTGAAACGGTTGCGCAACACCACCGACAGGTACGACAGAAGGGTGGCCAGGCCGTGTCCCAATTGATGGCGCACTCGGTCTCCCAGTCTTCTCAACAACCACACACCCGTCGAGTTAAAGAGGAGTCTGAAGAAACCAATGGTCTAGCGTTGGATCGCATCGCATCGCAGCGGTCACGTTCCCTCTCGGTCGGGACGAATCTGCTCGCTGGCAAGCCTTTGGAGCCTCGGGCGGAACATCTTCGACCAAGCAGTAACCGGAGCCACGCGCGTGAATTCCCTTCGCGGAGGAATACGCCAAATCCGTTTGTCGAGTCCATCGCCAAAGAAAAGAGAGACTCGTCGCCGGCATTGCTATCTTTTGAAGGGAAACGGAAACCTTTGTCGATTCCAAAGAATGCCGAGGCCATCATTTTGGACAACAAGAATACCATCACACGCACTATTCTAACATGTATGCGGTTATACGGATACAACCGGGCCTCATCCCGCTTTGGGGCCTCGAGCAAAAACGCCCCGGAGACGATTACTTCCCATAGAGAAGACAGGGATTCTCGGTTGACCACGGATGGCATTCCATTGCCCACGTCCGCCCCTGGTACGGACGAAGATGAATTCAAGGCAATGTACCATGCGACCTACCGCGCCTCCACCTTTGCACTGCGAAAATACCTGAAAGAACCACTCCCCGATGGCGACCAGTCGAAGATCTTGCCGTCGTTGTTGGACAAGGGGAAGGCGATGAACTATATCGATGAATTCCTGCGACTGTTCTGCGAGGAAAACTAATACTGTCTGGCACAGCTAAATGCGACATGACTTTACGAATCAGAGAGGTGACTAAAAATACAACAAGTAACTAGTGAATATATGGCCGGTTCCCTTTGATCATAAGCCCTGCCTGTAGGATCGTTGTCTAGAAGTAGGTAGTTAACGGAAGATGCCGAGTGATGACGCAGTGAATCGTCCCCGTGATGCGGCGGGTGGTTTTTCCGAACGCCGGAGGACCGGCTGCATCATTCCATTCCTCATTCATAAGTAATGCTGGCTTGCGCCCTGACAGCTGCTGCTAAACCCGACCGATTCTCTCGACCACATCTCAGGCTTCATCTCAACCTGCCACCCTCCCAAGCCTTCCGGAGACATCAAGCCGCAATGGAAGTTTCTAACAACCGCCTGTTCCGCTGGTCCAAGCCTGAGTGGCTCAACAACTCCACCGTTCGCAATGCGGGCGTCTATACTTCGGGTGCCTTGGTAAGCTTATCAGCTCCCTCGAAAGTATCGTTGAAGATCAACCTCCCGCTAATCTGACAACGTATTCAGTTTTCTCTAGGTCTCTTCTTCCTTGTCGACGCCGCCGCCTTTTCCCACAGCTCCCTGAATGGCTCGTCCGTGCACGTCAAGTTCGTGGACTGGATTCCTGGAATCTGCTCCGCCCTGGGCATGCTGGTGATCAATTCCATCGAGAAGTCGCGTCTGCAGGCCGACAGCTTTAGCTATAGTGGAAGTGGAGTCGCCTGGAAGGCGCGCTTTGTGCTCTTCCTTGGGTTCGCACTTCTGGCAGGAGGTTTGGCTGGCAGTGTGGTAGGTGCCCCCTTCTCCCTCCCCTCTTTTGCCTTCCGGACTCTGCTTGGCCGGGAGAACAGCAATTGATGATGAGATCTAACCCCTCGCGCTATGATCCGCAGACCGTCATGGTTCTCAAGTACCTCATCAAACAATACCCGCTGCAGACCCTCTACTTTGGCATTGCCAATGTTGTTGCCAACGGACTCATCATGCTGAGGTAAATCCACTCGCTCCCTCGCTCTTTCTAAACGCGACGGTCTCAAACTGACGTTCAACCCTCTCCCCCTACAGTTCGGTTGTCCTGTGGGTGTCCCAGAACATAGAAGATGACTTCACCTACAACCTTGCGTTGTGAGTGGGTTGACTCACGTTACGCCTGCCTCTATTGTTACGAGATTTCCTTATGATTGGCTCTTTTGTGTGGTCTTTTTGTCCTATTTGTTGTCGCCGATGGCATTTCTAGAGATTGGTCGGGGCCCTTCGTCTGTTACGCTCTCTAGATCCACCCCCTAGCCATCGGTAGAATTTCTAGTCAAATATCAAAACGAGCGTGTTGACTTATTCTCGAGGCGAGTGTAATTGAGGGGATTGGAAAGGCAAGGGCTGGGACTAGAATCCGTAGTCAAGTCTGCGGTGGGGAGCAGACCATGCAAGGTACCAACTTTAAAGGCAGTAATCTACGTGGGTGCTGTGGGATATGTATGTGTACCGTGCGGCACTCAAACTTACGCACGACAGGTGCATCATGTAGGCAACTTATAAATTGTTGTATCTTCGTCTATTTTAGATACTCGAAGTAGACATGTTCTTCCTGCTCGAGGGCGCCACTGAAGTGACAACCCCCAATGATATGTCGTCTAATTAGACATGCGCGAACGCCAGGATTTCAAATGGGAAGGCTGCTTCCCTAATGGCAGCCTATCGCGGCATACCGGAATTCACAGCGTCACTACCGGCCGTCTCAGGTCAACCCCTCCCCAAACCATCACCGGGCCAGATGTGGCTGCTTTGTGGTTGGCAGTAAACGGACGGATCTGCCTGTATCCTTCGACGGACTTGTGCTCCCACCCCGGACGGGATTGTTCTGGGTGGTCTATGGCACCACGCCGAGGCATCGAAAGTCAACGAACCCTATATATTCAAGATGACCATTTACGCCGACGTTTGGACCGGGTGGGCTCGCAGTTTGTCCATGATCGCATCCACAGCCTCCATATCTCCGGCGTCAACCTTCTCCCGGGAATATCCTTCGGGAAGATGCTTCACGGCATCATCCATGGCGGGCTGGTAGTTGCGAACGGCGGAGGAAATGGCGTAGACGGCCTTCTTGCGGGTGGCGGGGTTGGAATCCGAGGTAGCAATGGAGATGAGGGTGGGCATGGCGTTTAAAACGAGGAGCTATAGAGATCGGTAAGGGTCAGCTCTGTGCTTTATACACTGGAGGGGGGAATGACACCAGGGCGAATGCGTACCTTATCCTGAGCCTTTTCGTTGTTCTGCACGGCCGTTCCTACGCACCAGGCCGCCATGCGTCTCATATCGGCCTCGTCGTGTCGGAGCAATTCGACCAGCGGCGTCCACAAGCCCAGCGGCTCCATGTTGTTGGCATTGTCGATTCCCTCGAGCAGCTGCTCGAAATTGTCGAAGGCGATCATCTTGTTTTCCAGGTCGACCTCGTCCGAGTGCAGAGCTTCCATGGCGGCTTTCATCAGATCGGCATCGGAGGGGCCACCAAGGAGAGTCGAGATCATCTCGGGGGTGAGACCACGAGAGGGGTCCGTTGCGCCGTTGGTGGGCGCATTGGGATCGGAGGGGTTGGTGGAGTTTTGGATGCTCCATTTCAGGAGACCGTTCATGTTGGCGTCCATGATGATTCGAGATTATTGCGGGTGGGTTCTGGTTTGGGGTAGAATGAAACAGAGTTGAGATGCAAAAGAAGCCGTGTAGAAGCCGTATGCAGAGTGGTAAGTTGATCGGGTGCGAAGAGGGCGGACTGGTGGATCACCGGAGAGAAATATTTAATTGGGCTGGCCCTTCTCAAAACAGAAGGCGGAAGGACGCCTCTCGATGATTCATGCGGCTGCCAGGGCTTTCCACCACGTTCCATGCCCGGTCCAGATGGACCTGTGCGGCGAGGATGGTGTCCTCGGGGTCTCATACACAGCAGTGGCTCCAGATGGGAAGAATGCACCTCTTCATGGACCCTGCCCACTACAATTACGGTCGGTTCAGCCGGTGAGAATGAGAACGAGTACGAGCAGGTCGGTCGAGCGATTACATAAGACCGCCGACGACGAATACCCCGCCATGCGGTCAACCCCGCCATGACTGTCAAGTGGAAGACGGCATCGAAGCGCGAGATCAACCCAGGACATTCAGGCGAATTGCCCGACGGGGTTGTCATTATTGGGTGCCCAATGGACGGGCAGCCTTGGAAGAAGATTGACGATAGTCGCAGTAATCGAGGCTTGGGCTGGGATTATTTTTGGTCTCGAGCGAAAAGGCGGTAAGCGTCACGGCCTTACCGTACGTATACCGACAGCCCGCCGGGTCTTCTGCCAACGAACGCCTATCTCGACTCTCGACTCTCGACTCTCTCTACCTCAGTCTGGCTCTGATTTTCTGTCGCTCCGGTACTTTCGATCCCCTGGCCAGGCAGGTTTCAGGCATCCCACCCCCCCTGGCTTTGTCGCGAGGACGGAAGGATGAGGATGGATGGGGGCTAGGGGATTCCGGGCGCCTGGAAGCGTGTCTGGGCGCTTCTAGGGGAGAATAGTCTGGTTCAGTGACGGCCGATGGACCCTGAGTTCAACAATGGGCTTGAACCATTCGCAGATAACCGCCCTGAGATCCGGATTTGCCCCACGAGGCATGCGCAATTGCATTGTGCCATCATCTCCAAGGACATCTCGACGGGAATCATTCTGCCTGAGAGGCAACCGCGGCAGCGATCACTCGTCGGGGGAAGGAGCGAGACGAACAGGCAGAGAGCTTTCCAGGAGCATCATAGCGAACCATGGCATGGCATACGGAGGAGGACGCGTAGGGTCGAGACGTCTTCCACGGAGCCTTCCACAGCCCAGGAGACGACGGCCATCGAAGATCGCTGCCTAGCAGCGTTTAAATAGCAGCCTCACGTCGAGGATCTCATCAGCTCCCATTCCAGCAGTTCCAACTTCAATCCCAAATCCAATCCGTACGAAACCCCCAAATCTTGGTAATTGTGAGGTGGCGGTGACAGCGGGCCCGCGGACCCGACCACACACTTCGCAGCACTACCAGACCGGACTCCACCCGCCTTCTCCTTTTTCCCCCTTAACCGGCGAACTCGTTGGTTCCTTGGGTTTTAGGCCATTCCCTTCCGGGGCCCAGCTCGCTCTCTCCACCCCCCCAGCACTTACTGCCACTTCCAACCACCGCCGGCCTCCCTTTCTCTCTCTCCCCTTCTCTCTCCCTCTCCCTCTCTCTCTCTCTCCCTTCCCCTTCTTCTACCTCAACCTCCCGTCCATTCCATCCTTTCCCAACCACATCGTCCTTGTGATCCTCCTTCCCTCCTCTATCTTTCTCTCCTCCCGTCTCCGTTGAGATCACCTCTGCCCTCTTTTCTTTTCGCTTCGTAGTTCATTTAATTCTATCTCCGTCACCATGGAAGGTAAGGTTTCCTGCCACCTCAGCGCCTTGCATCTCGCTTGCTTCCCTTCCCCTCCTGCTCCCCCCTCCCCTCTCCCCCATCCGCCTGGTTACACCATCGCTAACGATCTGATTTCGCCCGTACAGAGGAAGTTGCCGCTCTCGTTATTGACAATGGGTATGTCTGACAATTTCTCGATGGTTTTGGTTTTTTTTTTCTTTTTCGTTTTTGATGATACTTGTCCTTGCTTGCGTGTCCCGCCTCCATCATCCGAGAAGGGAAAAACACACACAACGACGTCGGCTCCGGTCGCGATGATCAGATCATCCGCTGTCCGCGCCGACGTTGCTGCTTCATCTGTCTGCCAGCGCCGAGAACGATGAAGATCCCCCCAATTTGCGATTTTTGCCTCTGTGGCGCTGTTTGGATGGCCATGCTGACGATTCCCGCGTAGTTCGGGTATGTGCAAGGCCGGTTTCGCCGGTGACGATGCTCCCCGAGCTGTTTTCCGTAAGTCAACCCGTACCCCCTCACTTGGTGGATTTGAATCTCGCGTCCCTGTCACCTGTCATCCCTTTCTTGTGGGATTTTAGAGACGACAGTCCTGGGATCGCGGGATACCTCATCTCCGGGGACAATCGAGCTTGATCTGCTCGTGCGCCCACAAATCATACGATGGGATCCTTGAACTGACCTGAAACCACAGCTTCCATTGTCGGTCGTCCCCGTCACCATGGGTAATTATTTCCCCCGCCTTGCTACAAGGCTCCCTCGTGTGAACCGGGATTCTGGCTGCTAACGCCCGAGTAGTATCATGATTGGTATGGGTCAGAAGGACTCGTATGTCGGTGACGAGGCACAGTCGAAGCGTGGTATCCTCACCCTCAGATATCCCATCGAGCACGGTGTCGTGACGAACTGGGATGATATGGAGAAGATCTGGCACCACACCTTCTACAACGAGCTCCGTGTCGCTCCCGAGGAGCACCCCGTCCTCTTGACTGAGGCCCCCATCAACCCCAAGTCCAACCGTGAGAAGATGACCCAGATCGTCTTCGAGACCTTCAACGCCCCCGCCTTCTACGTCTCCATCCAGGCCGTCCTGTCCCTGTACGCCTCCGGTCGTACCACTGGTATCGTGCTTGACTCTGGTGACGGTGTCACTCACGTCGTCCCCATCTACGAGGGTTTCGCCCTTCCCCACGCCATCTCGCGTGTTGACATGGCTGGTCGTGACTTGACCGACTACCTCATGAAGATCTTGGCCGAGCGCGGTTACACCTTCTCCACCACCGCTGAGCGTGAAATTGTCCGTGACATCAAGGAGAAGCTTTGCTACGTCGCTCTCGACTTCGAGCAGGAGATCCAGACCGCTTCCCAGAGCTCCACCCTCGAGAAGTCCTACGAGCTTCCCGACGGCCAGGTCATCACCATCGGCAACGAGCGTTTCCGTGCTCCCGAGGCTCTCTTCCAGCCTAGCGTCCTGGGTCTGGAAAGCGGTGGTATCCACGTCACTACCTTCAACTCCATCATGAAGTGTGATGTCGACGTCCGTAAGGATCTCTACGGCAACATCGTCATGGTATTTATTCTTCCCTTGCCCTGGTGGCCCGGCATTTCCGGCTAACTCTTTAACTCCAGTCTGGTGGTACTACCATGTACCCTGGTATCTCCGACCGTATGCAGAAGGAAATCACCGCCCTGGCGCCCTCGTCCATGAAGGTCAAGATCATCGCTCCTCCCGAGCGTAAATACTCCGTCTGGATCGGTGGTTCCATCCTGGCCTCCCTGTCCACCTTCCAGCAGATGTGGATCTCCAAGCAGGAATACGACGAGAGCGGTCCCTCGATCGTTCACCGCAAGTGCTTCTAAGGTACGGCTTCACGTGTACCCCTTGGCTCTTTGGGACGGGGCGTAAACTAACTGGATCCCACAGCTCGTGCGCGTGATTCGATTCGTTTGTCGTATTTTCCTGATGTATTAAAAGACTGAAACGGAGGCAATGGTGACTAGCGGGCCTTCTCTGACTCGCACTAGGAGGAAAGATCGCCTGAAAAAGGAACTTTTATTTTAGCTGTGAAATAGAGACGGTTTATCTTGAAACGCATGTCGCTCGGCACAATTCTGCCCGGCAGCCAATTGCTGGTTGGGGGATTGAAGAGTATTCAGGCGAGGGTTGTACATGGGATTGTGGACAGTGCGGTGAAAGCTCTCTTTCATATAGTTCTACGCTCATGTTTGAATTCCTTTTTTTCCGTGTTGGACCTTTTCTTTGAAATTCTCCCTCCTCGGGCTGGGGTTTTGAAGCCTTTTTTTTTTTTTTTTACAACCAAAAAATGCCGCCGATTTATTTCTTGTGCCCCGTTCCGATCCAGGCGTGATTCTCACATTACATCGAACTCCCCATAACGCCTCGTCGCCGCAGCATACAATCCGTAGACCAACCATGATGTCATCGGGGTCCAGACCACCCGGTGCAGCTACGACGGTGCCTTCCCCTTCTGGACGCGAGGCTTCACCTTCCGGCGTGATGTGTAATGATCAGCTGACCGTAATTTATACGAAGTGGTATGTATGTATCATTGCTTTTCTTCGCCTTCTAGCGGTCTTCTAGTTTCATCCATCGTCGCACATATTGCAAGGAGCCGGCAACCCCAGCAAGTCAAATAAACCAACAGTTTAAATCAAATCAACAGAGGGTAAAGGTATGTCATGAATTCTGGAAATGGGGTAAAAAAAAGAAAAGGAAAAGAAAAGGAAAAGAAAAGGAAAAGAAAAGGAGAGCAGAGATAAAAGACATATATCAGAGACCGCGAATGAGGCTCTTGAATAACTGCCTTTAAGCATCCCATGTCTCCAATCCGGTCAGGACACATCCTTCTTCGCCTTCCTTCTTGGTCTTCAGTTCGCCGATCTCGTACACCGTCTCGCCCTCCTTCTGCAGGAGCTCCTGGACGGCGGCTGCAGATCCCTTCTCGACTGCAATGATCATGCCCACACCGCAGTTGAACGCGCGCGCCATCTCGGTGGCCGAGACATTGCCGTTCTTCTTCAGCCAGGAGAAGACGGGAGGAAGTTGCCAGGCGGCGGCGTTGATGTGCGCGGCCAGTGTTGACGGAAGCATACGGGGCACGTTGTCGGCCAGACCACCTCCCGTGATGTGAGCGAGACCCTTGATGGCGGAAGAGGAGGATGAGGACGAAGAGGGAATCGAAAGTGCTTTCAGGAGGGGCTTGACATAAATGCGGGTGGGGGTGAGGAGCGCGCGTCCGAGAGACAGGGGCTCCGTCGAGGCGGACAAAGGCATCGAAAACGGAGCAGGATCATTGTAGCTCAGTCCGGACCGTTCGACGATCTTACGGACTAGCGAGTATCCGTTGGAATGAGGACCGGAGGAGGCCAGGGCAAGCAGAACGTCGCCGTCCTTCATGGCGGCAGTCTCGGGCAGAATGGCGCGGGCGTTGTCGCCGGTGGTGTTGATGGCGCCCACAGCGGCGCCGACGGCATCGTATGTGTCCTCGATGAAAAGGCCGGGCATCTCGGCAGTCTCGCCACCGATGAGGGCGCAGCCGGCCTGAGCACAGCCGTTGGCGACGCCAGTAACGAAGGCAGATGCCGTGTTGACATCCAGCTTGCCGCAGGAATAGCAGTCGAGGAAGAAGAGGGGCTCGGCGCCCTGGACAACCAGGTCGTTCACGTTCATGGCGACGAGATCAATACCCACGGTGTCGTGGACGCCCACCGCATGAGCGATTTTGAGCTTGGTGCCGACACCGTCGATGGCTCCAATCAGCGTGGGAGAGTGCGGGTGGTACGCAGAGTTGGCTGCGGCGAGAGAGAAGAGGCCTCCAAAGCCACCAATCACTGCATCGGTGCCCGGGCGCTTGGTCTTCGCGACGGAGCTCTTGATCTTGTTGACCAGGTCATTGCCGGCGTCGATGGACACACCAGCAGATGCGTAGGTAAGCGACTGCTGCTGGGATGCAACAGCATCTCGTTGTCTGAAGGCACGGTGCGCGATGTCCTTGCGGTAGAACATGTCCTCGAAATGGATCGTGGAGACGCCGACGTAACTCTTCCGCACAGCTTCTTCGAGGGATGATGCAGTAGCAGTGGCCGCAATAACTCGGCCACCCGATGTTTGCAGCTCGCTACCAACGAGAGTGGTTCCCGCATGGAAGATTAGAGTGCCTTCGGGCGCAGGGTCCAGGGTGATCGCCTTTCCTTTAGCATAAGATCCCGGGTAACCCCCAGCCACAGCGATCACAGTAGTAGAGAAGTTTGGTTTCACGTTGATAGAGACACCGTCCAGCCAGTGTTCCGTACAAGCCACCATGATCTCCGCCAAGTCGGTATCGTCGCTCAACAAAGGCAGAAGCGTTTGGGTTTCCGGGTCTCCACCACGAACGTTGTATTCAAGCACCTTGGGACCGTTCTTGGTCATCATGAGACCGGTGAAAAGAATTCCCACGAAGGGGAAACCTTGAGGGAAGTCAGCCCTATAGCTCCGGCGGAGGAGGTCAGTGTGGGTTAGACAGAGAGTACTGACCGTCTCTTCTCATGCCGTCAACGGAGGGCTGCACAATTGTGCGGTCAATCTCCGCCAAAACCTCCTTGGAAGAGATGGGCGTGGGAGCGTAACAGCCCATGCCACCGGTGTTAGGACCCTGGTCGCCATCGAAGATACGCTTGTGGTCCTGTGCCGCGGGGAGAGAGCGGATGGTGTAACCATCACTGAAGGTGAGGACACTCAGCTCGTCACCTTCGAGATACTCTTCAATGACAACTTCGTTGCCCGCCTCGCCGAACTGATGATCGAGCATCATTTCACGGAGGGCTTGGTGGGCCTCCTCCTTCGTCGCGGGAATAATGACACCCTTACCACCAGCCAATCCATCGGCTTTGATGACAACATTGTGGGAGACGGAATCGAGGTACTGACGGGCAGGTTCGTATTCGTAGAAGTTCTCGTAGACAGCCGTGGGGATGCTATGGCGTTTCATGAAGTCTTTGGAAAAGGTCTTGGAACCTTCCATGCGGGCCGCCGCCTTGGACGGGCCGAAACACCTGATGCCAACTAAGGACGAGGTTAGGGGAGACGAGTCGACGAGAAAGCGGGGAAAGGTTGGTGACTTCACACACCTGCTTGGAAGTATCCTTGAATGCCGTCGACGAGAGGGGCTTCGGGTCCCGGGACGACGAGGTTGACGCCGTTCTTTTGAGCGAAAGCCACCAGGCCGGGGTAGTCATCACCCTTGACATTGGCATTGGCGATCTTGCTAGAGGCACCCAGGCCCGTACCACCATTGCCCGGAGCGACGTAGACGATCTCGACTCGGGGGGACTGACTCAATTTCCAGGCGAAAGCATGTTCACGGCCGCCGTTGCCGACGATGAGCACGCGCAATTGATCTTGAGACATCTTTTCGGATGTCGTGGTCTCGAGAAAACCTGCGGGAGATCAATGAGACCGAGAAGCAAAGTCCGATGAGGGAAGAGGGCAGGGAATAGGATAGGATGGCTTGTTGCCCCTCATGATTCATCGACGCTGGAACCTCCGATCTCGACGTCGCAGTGGGGGACAAGAAGAACAGAAAATCGGAAATGGACAAGATGCACGAAATACTCACCTCACACGAGAGTTAACCAGAGATCCGACTGCACAGAAGATGGGGATGGAAGGGACTTGAGAAGGACGGAGAGCTTGGAACCCCTCCAAAGACGAGAGGGAATCGCGGGCCTTTTTTTTTTTTTTTTTTTTATGCTTTTTCTGGCGGGGCGCTCTTGTCCCTCCCCCCTCCGACCCCGGATTTGGATTCCTCCTTACACACAGTCTCCCCTACCGGTGGGATTGATGTTGACTACGCCTCCATTCATCATGAGGATTTTCTCTCGGGTATCCTGAGGCTGTTGTGTCCATGAGAAAGTCTCCGCCTGGGGAGAGAGGTATACCTGGTGGCCGGATTCCTCGTATAGATTGGACAAGCATCGTGCACCGGTGACACCCAGGCACTCAGGCACCCAGGCATCTTTACCGGGACGATACCGGATTACCTGCAGCGCCCGATACGGCGGGCGGTGGGTAATTGACGATGCCTGGGCGGTGAGAGGCGCTGGGCAGAAAAATAAGAAACTGCGCCGAAGCGCCAAAGAAAGGAAAGGAAAACACTTCATCCATCGCGTTCCCCAGTTTCAGTCCCTCCGTCGCTCCCCATCAATTGGCCTGATCACGTCCGCCTGCTCTCCCGAACACCGTCCGGAAACATCTGGCCTGAATGTTCCGGGCCTCTCTGCGGTCTATCGCAGGCCCTCTCCGTGAACATGTCTGCTTCTCCTGTTTAGCCCAAGGCCTCCGGGGTCGCAACAATGCACTGCGCCCCTTCTATAGCACAGCAGTGTCGCTGTCTTCGGGCCCCGACAAGCAGCCTATCCCGGAGTCAGAATCCAATAAAGTAAGCCTTTCCGGTCGTTTGCTCTCTACTGTAGGCGCATCTTTTAGCTCCTACAACAGAGCGCCGTTGCATACCGTGCACCGCAAATCTCGCTTCTATGTCCCGAAATATCAATTCACTGACCTCAATTGATGCTCAGGGGTCCCCGGAGGAACCAGAAAAGCCTTCAGAGAAACCAAAGAGGTCTCCAAGGAGACCAAGGAGGCCTCGAAAGAAACCAGAGAAGATCCAGCCTCCAAAACATGCCAAACCTCGCGATACCGAAAAGGACGCCTCTTCCTCCACGAGGAGTGAACAAGAGGATGATAAGTCGGGGGAGCAGTCCCCAAAGCCGGCAGGTTCTGGCGAGAAAAGCCCGAGGCGAAAAGCGAGCTCGAAACCGTCCGAAGTCCCAAAGGACGCAGAACCACGGGATGCAGAAAAGAAGCCCATGAGTCCTGTAAGTACAACTGTTGTAGGCGGGCAATGAAAAGTCGTCCTAGTCGAGACTAATCAATCGTCGCTTCAGCCCAAAATCACCAGAGTTACTCCGTCAACTCCGTCGAAGGGCAGCCCGCCCTTTTCGGTATTCATGAGCATCCCCGGCCGCAAAGAGGGTGGCACAATTAATTCCAAAGACTTCGCTCTCAAGCGTACGTTCTGCCCGAGTTCTATTCGTCTGGTCTGGGTTCTCGCTAACCTTGCCTAGCCCTGGATGTTGAGACACCGCCGGTGCCGCGATTGTCCTTTGGCCTGGAAAGAGTCCTGTTCAAGTAGGTTTGGCCCCTTCATACTTCCCCTTCGCCGACTAACGCGGCCGAACCAGTCCCGGCGTCTACCAACTCCGCGATCCCCGGTCTCGCGTCTACAACTTTGATCCTTATCTGGGTTCAATTATGCCCGTCACCGAATTCGATTTTGCTTCTTTGAAGGACTATATCACGTCCTCCAAGGACAACAGCTTACGAAATATCGCCCAAAAAGAGAAAAAGAAGTATATCGGTTCTTCGTCGAGCATGACTTCCTCGCTCTCGCACTTTCATTATCTTCTCTCGGCCTGGAGAGGAACTGACATCCGCACCTTGTCTCAAGAATTCCCGGACAAACTGCGGACTTTTACTCGGCTGCTTCGCGCCCCTTCGGCCATGTTCCTGAAATACCAGGATGGAGTCTATGCCATCGATGCGGACAAGGAGTTCGACTCGGCAAATATTCTTATGAATCTAGGAAAGTCTATGGAAAAGCTTCTTACGCTGCCCAAGGAAGAATTTGAGCGCTATCGACGATCCAGCGAGAACAAGATCTCCCCGGAGGAGGAGCAAGCTGTACCAGAGTCATATCATTACTCTACTCTGGGCGATTTCGTCATGCGATCCCAGCTAGATGCTTACGACCCAAGGCTTCCGGGAACCGGAATGTTCGACTTGAAGACTCGGGCTGTCGTGTCTATCCGAATGGATGCACAGAACTTCGAGCACGGCCTTGGCTACGAGATCCGAGACCGCTACGGCGCGTTCGAATCGTACGAGCGGGAGTTCTACGACATGATCCGGGCTGCCTTCCTCAAATACTCCCTGCAAGTGCGGATCGGCCGAATGGACGGTATCTTTGTGGCATTCCACAACATCCAGCGTATCTTCGGGTTCCAGTACGTGAGCCTGCCCGAGATGGATCTTACGCTGCATGGCCAAAAAGACACATCCCTGGGTGACCACGAATTCCGGCTCAGTGTCTCGTTGTGGAACAAGGTCCTCGACAAGGTCACCTCTAGATTCCCCAAGCAATCTGTCCGCCTCCACTTTGAGACCCGGGACTCCGTCAATGCCCCATTCATGTATATCTTCGCCGAGCCCGTGACCGACGAGGAGATCCATGCCATCCAGACCAAGAACCAGAAGGAGATCGATGCCTATCAGCAACGTATTCTCGACCTTGCCCCGCGTGAGGATAGCGCGTCCACCCCCAGCCAGGACGGCAGTCAAGACGCTTCCCCGCCTCCCACCAACCAGACGACGGAGGAGCAGTCAGACGTGATGGAGGACGAGGGACGTCACTATGATTCCTCAGCGCCGCCGGACGAGTCGTTCCTTTCCGACATGCAGAAGCAAGCCGAAGAGGGCGACAGCGATAAAGCGTCGCTCGACAACGGCAAAGAGCTCCTCGCCATGAGCCTGATGGTCCGAAACAAGGTCAACGACAAATACGTGACCCGGCCCTCTGGCTTCACCGAGAAGGACGACTGGTTCGTCGAGTACGGCCTCAGCGAGATCGAGGGAGCACACGCCCACGATCTATATAAAGCGTGCCAGCAGCGACGGGCCAAGGCCCTCGCCGGTCGTGGAGAGGACGAAACGGAAGTCGCAGCCAATGTATATATTCGAAAGCTGCGAGAGATCACCAAAGCCGGCCGGGTCTTCCGGGCGAAAGAAGATATGAAAGACAAGCAGGACGGTATCGTCGTTCTGAACGAAGTGGATTAAGAAGAGTGAGTGAGTCAATTAGGAGAGGGAAAAATGAAAGCGTGCCTTTTTTTTTTTTTTTGCTCCGTTTTCTTTCTCGTTTTCTTATGCATGGCATTCATCAATACATGATCTTTCTTATAGATACTTTTTTGTGTCTTCTCGTGTACTATAATACAGTTATTGTCTTTGCCTTTTTTTTTTTCGTGTTGCGTTTGCTCTTGTTAAAACCTGGGACCAATCCAAGTGTTGGGGCTGTTCCTGGTTACTTACTACTATCTTATTGAGTTGGGTATTTTGCAGGACACAAGGGGAATCACGGATCACAGATGGGCAAAATACCGAGGAGTTTGGACTTGAATGGGGGCGATTGTATTTTTAGAAGTAGATATCCGATACTTGATCTTTTCCATGTTAGAATCCTTCCTATCTACTCAACATAAAAAATAAACACTCGAGACGACATCCGCAAGACACAACAAGTCATGGATTTCTATATCATTAACAATTAAGACAAGACATTGAATTGAGATAAAACAGCCGCTCCTAGTTAGCAATCAATCAGTGTTTCACAACGGACGGAGAAATAGAAGATGAAAATGAAAACAAGAAGCACGTAAACCCAGCAGATTTTACATATGTTCAAAAGAGATCGTTGACTCCAGAGGGCAGGTGTACCAAGATAGGGGGAGGAGCTATCGGTTAAATTCCTGTAAGAAATGCTCCAAACACACACAGATCAGGACACAAACAAAGACACACAGTAGACACAGAGAAAACGCCGCCAGTTCCAAAATTTCCATGCGCCACACCAAATCACACAAATGCCAAACCAAATGATCTTTTGCTCCTGGAATGATCGAATAATTGCTGGATTGAATTTGCCTTTCCCGAGGCAAAGAGGATAACATGTGAACCGGAGAGAAAAAGGAAAGAAAAAAAAAAAAAAGAATACAAAACAGATGAGGTATTTGACGGGCTTTGACCCAAGAGCTATGAGAACGCCATTCAGTTGAGATGAGGAGTAAATTCACACCCAATAAGAGGATAAGGAAGGAGAGGTAGGTTGGTTGTTAGTTGCGACGGAGAGAGAAAAAAAAAGTAGGGAATGACAACACTCATAATGAGCATGCTTTTCTTGTTGCTTGAACGAAGGAAAATTGATATCATGTTCTCCCGGTGGAGGAAACGACACGGTCTAAAAGGAGAGGAAGGCGTCTGTTCGACTAGCGAAGTGGAGTTTCAATGGTGGTAGTCGTTATACAAAATCATGAATCATTGGGTAGAGGTAGTCAAGTCCTCGAGCTTAAACCCTTGATAAACCGAGTCGGGTGACGGGTTCATGGATGAAAGAATAAGGCGAGGAGAACTAGCGAAAATCGCCCAGATCGAGATGAGGTGGCGCCCATTCCAGCTTCGGGGGTCGGTCGTTTGAGACGCACACGGCTCCGGAGTTCATCTTCTCCATTCTGCGGCGCTCCTTCGACGCACTTCCGCTCAGAAAGCCTCGTAGAGCCGACGACGCTGTTCCGTATGCACTGCGGGCACTCGAGGCCGTGCCGGCACTAGTAGAAGCGGTACTGGAGCTGCGAGCGCTGCGGACGCTGCTAGATTTGTTGACAATTGACGGGATGGCCGGAACTGGCACGGCCAGGCGCGAAGAACCAGCGGTCGAGCCCCCATACTCCGGCGGCAGGATTTGTGGCCCAGGGGCAAATTCAGGGAATGAGAAAGGTGCCGTTTGCGGTCGTTTCTGGAGTTCGGCCTCTAGACTGCCGTCCGCATCAAGGCATTGGAAGATCTCCAAGTGATTCTTCTTACTGGTTGGAGGCATTTCGGTAGGACTCAGGTCAGGTGAGGGCTGCGTTTTGGTGTTGATGGGCGTTGGTTTCTTCGTCGTCATCGTCGGAATCTCATTGGTAGACACGGCGACATCGAGTTTGAGACCGTCCAGCATCGTCCCAAGACTCGTGGCGGTGGCAGGGCGTCCGTCGCTGGAAGTATCGTCACCCTTAGGGATCGGAGTGTCATCCTCTATGCCATGGGCCACGTTGTAGTTTCGGAAAAGATACCGACGAAGACGAGCAACCTCGACGTCCCACTTCCGGCCTAGGGATTCCAGGATCACCTCGATGTCATAAGTCAATAACGGCGAGGCCTCGGCGGATGAAGCCAGATTCGAGGGTACTGAGACCCCCGATCGCAGCTGGCCAGGGCCATGTGAGCCTTTCCCCAGCTTATTCCCGCCGGTCACACCTTTCACATTCATGGCGGCGTGCAACGAGCGGCGAAGGGAGCTCGTGGTGGACCCTTGTTGAGCACTCAGGTCCCGCTTGACGCTTTCGATTTCGCGGCGCACCTTGTCGAGCGACTTAGTGCGGTCTCGATCCATGTAGGAGAGGCTCAGAAGCGACTCGTTCCGCTGGAGGCCATTGATCAGGACCGTAAACGACTGGAGATTGATGTCATTGTTTTCACAATGCACCTCCCGGAGGCAGGTGTTCTCCTCCAGCACAGATGCCAGGGTGTTCGCACCCTGCAACCCAAGTTTTTGGTGCTCAATCTTCAGCACTTTCAGCGACTTGTTCTTTTTCAGACCAGTCAGTGCCAGGTTGAGACCAATGCCAAATCGCGCGACATCCAGGTGGGCGCTTTCCCCGCTGATGTCCAGATCCTCTAGCGTCTCGTTCTCTTCGAACATCCGCTGCAGAGACTTGCAGGTCTCGGGACCTGCATCATACGGGAGCGACGCCTTCGAGATGTCGAGGTACTTCAAGGTTCGATTTTTGCGCAACGCTTCCGCCAGTTCCTGGAATTGCTCCTCCTTCTTGAAATCAATCATCCGCATCGACAAATGCGACGGCGTGTTGTCTCGGGCGATGGCGCTGAAAAGATACGAACAGCCCTGGTCAAGTCGGTTCTCGTTCACGTGGAGGTGGAAGTTGCGCGACTTCTCCAGGGCGGCGATGGAGTGCAGGAAAATGGCGACATCTTGACCGCTCAGCCCGCACTGGTCGAGTTTGAGGACGCGGAGATTTCGGGAGCGTTCGCTGGCCAGGTAAGTGGCGATCGAGTCGACGGTCTCCCTGTTCACTGCGGTGCGACTCAATGACAGCTCCTCGAGGCGCCAGTTGAACAGGGTCTCCGCGGTAATCAACGGTTCCGGGCCCGACATCCGGGATATTCGGGAGAGGTCCAGCTTCCTGATCTGGCCGAAGTAGCCCAGGTACTGCTGCAGTAAATCAGGGTTTAATCGACCCTGGACGCCGGAGATGTTGACCGCCTCCAGCGTCGATGCCTGACTGACGGTGGTGGAAAGCAGCAGATCGAGATCGTGAACGGACAGGCCGCAGTTGCCGACTTCCAACGCCCGGAGATGGCTGCCGCGCTGGGAGGCCGCATCGACCAGGTAATCGAGGTCGGAGTCTCCCAGTTTGATGCCATTGAGAACGATCCAATCCACACTCGTCAACTCCCGGCGACAGATGGGGAAGATGGCCTCGGGGATCCCGCAGCCGGGATCATGGCTTTCGCTGTCGGATTTGGGAGTGCGGCTCAGAGTGTAGGAAAAGTCGAGGCGTCGAAGCCATTTGCTCTTGAGCGTCAGGGCGCGAACTTCCTGCGAGAGGACCGACAGGTTTTCCTGGCCGGTGATGTGGATCGGGGCGCCGGCGCGACTGAGAAGCATGTCCGTGTCAAATCCGTGCAGATCGTGGACGCCTTGAAGCGCGTCCAAACACACGCCGCTGAACGAAATGGTGCGGAACGATTCGTTGTATCGGAGGGCGCGCATCACCGCGATCAATTCCAGGGCGGAGTATTTCTGGCGGCGCGACGTTGCCGGAGGCAGCAGTCGAAAGCAGGGGGCATCCTCGCATTGCACATCGATCGTATACCGGATGTTGGAGGTGTCGATATCGAAGCTGGCCGAGTAGGCGACAAGGGTCCGATCGAAACATCCGTAGTCCTCCTCCAAGTCCACCGGCGGGAAGTTGCATTCGTTGTCAAAATCGCGAGGCACGATGAATTCGTACGGCTGTCGGATCCAGAGAGGTCGCAGGAATTCCGTCTGCTGCCTTATCCAGAAGGCGATTTCGAGGGAATGTACGGAAGCCAGGAACACCGAAAACGATTTGCGAAGAGGAACCCTATTCCCAACAATTAGTTTTCACCGCAGCCCCCAAACAACAGAAGAAAGGCGGGGGAAAGCGAGAGGGGTCCAAATTACCGAAATGTCAGATGTAGGCTGTCGTCTCCCCATTCCATGGACAAACAGGTGAGGTTCATCAGTCCGAACGAGGTGGCGGTGTCGAGATCTGTCAGCGACACCACCGAATTGCGGTTGCCAACCTTGTGCAGGGGGATGAGGTGCAGCTTGTGGGAGCCCAATGCGAGATAGCAGCCGGTGGGGGAGAGCTTGGTGAGATCCTCCGACGAAGCCCGCGTCGGGGACTTGCTCGAAGCCATTTGAATAACGCGGAACATGCGAAACGTTTCGGGGTCGTAGTCTCGTTCGTACTCCAGCATCCTGACGACGCATTCCACGGACCTCCGATCAAAGGGGAGAGGTTCGGCCTGCCGGATCAGTTCCGCTGCCGAGCGGATTCCCACCATCCACAAGCTCAGCTCCTGAAAGTCGGGGGTCTGCATCTGGATGAAGGTCGTCTTTTGGGTGCGTTCGTCCAGGTAGGCGACCTCCACCGTCGACGAGGGCCGGCCATCGTCTAGCATGTACACGGCGACGATGCTGTTGAGCGGAATGCCGGCGGAGGCGTCCGCCGGGGCGGAAAGCGGATCCTGCAGCGAACTAATCGACGCGATGGATTGGCGGTTCCCCGCCGCGCGGGCAAAGGAAGGTGGGATCGAAGGGTACATGTCGGCGGCCTTGGCCTGGTTCTTGAATCGGACGAGATGGGTGTCGGTCAGGACCAAGTACTGGCTTTTCTTCCTCCACATGCCTCCCGTCGTCTGGATCTCGCCATGATGTAGGATCATGGAGCCGATGCCCTGGCGCTGGTCGACATCGTCGTCGTCGACGGACGACCCCTTGGAGCGCCCCAGCGACGGGTCGTCATCGTCGAGGGAGTGCAGCGACCGCAGCGACCCGAAGACGGAGGCACGCTTCTTCTGCATCGATTTGCGTCGAGGTCGGGCCTCCGGGGGAGGCATCGCCATGGAAGCGATACAGGTGGATTCGGAGTCGGCGGTTCCGGGGCGGCGAGGGCCAGGATTCCTGGGCGGGCTAGCATTGCGGCCAAAGAAGCCGGAATTGCGTCGGGGCTTTTTCTTTAGCACATTGGCGTCGTCCGACGGAGATCGATCATGGGCTGGAGGACCGGATAGGGGCGAGTTTGCCGACGGACTGAACATGCTCAGGCTTTTTCTCCGCTCTTTCTTCCCCAGATTGTCGGCCATGACGAGGAGGGGAGGAGGGAGGGCGGAGAATTTAGGGGGGGGGGGTAGGAAAAGAGGCCGAGAGGACGAAACGAAAGAGACAGGGGGAGGGATCTAGAGCGAGAGGGAGGAGCGAGAGCAAGAGATTGCGAAAAGTCGAAGGACAAAAAAAAAAAAAAAAAAGGTCCAGAAAAGGAGAGAATGAGTATGAAGAAAAAAAAAGACTATAAACAGAGAGCGAGAGTAACAAGTGGGAAAGAGAGAGGGAGGAGGAGAGGGGCGGGTATCACATCGACGACTTGGGAGTCGCTTCTCACTAAAGCGAGACAAGAAAAGAGCGGCTGCCGTTAGCTATGATCACCATACGATAACAGTGGAATGACATGCTGCGAGACAGTCCAGGAGATCGGGAGGCAGACGTGCTGACTAGCGAAGTCGCCAGGTGGAGCCGCCGGGGGGGAGTAAACAAATAAGAGGCGACAGGGCCGGGAGGGGGGCAAAGATGGAAGGGAAGGGAAGTGGAACATACAGCGCAGCGTCAGGATGCCATGGAGGGGATTGATGGAGAGGGAGAGGGAGAGGGAGAGGGAGAGGGAGAGAATGGATGGAGATGGAGATGGAGGGGAGGAGGAGAGAGGAGAGGGACGGGAGAAAAGGAAACGACCAGAATTAATGAAAGTGGAGAGAGAAGGAGGAAAGGGTCGAGGCCGACCGGATCAGGCAGGCGTGAGGCCGAACGCAACGGACGAGAATCCGGAGAAATGAGATCGGGGAATTGGCGATTCGTGGATGATGTCAGTTGACTGCGAGTGTTCATTCAGTACGAAAGACTCGAGGCAGAGTCTAGAGTCTAGAGTCTAGAGTCTAAAGTCTAGAGTCTAGAGCATATACTCCGTAGTCGAGAGCAGTTCCTATACTGGCCTCACTCATACATCCGCAATAACTCGACCCAAGAACTGATTCCGTCTGCGGCCATGGAACCGCCTCAACATGACAAGGTCCATGTTTCGGTGGCAAACACTAAACTCCTTTCATCCAATTCCAGGATCGACGGATTCTCCACCCAAAAAAAAAAAAAAAAGGGAGCAGGTTCTTTTTCCGTCGTACGTACTCCCTGGAACTACTCCCACTAGTAGTAGTAGCTGATGTTGAACCCTTGGAGCCCCCCCCCCCCCCCCCCCCGATCGGAGCCGTGAAACAAACTAAGCCTCGTCCTTTAAAAATAAACATCGCAGTTTCATCGTCCAATGGCCTTGTTTTTGCGCCTGGCAAATTTACAGTCGTGCCTCCTACCGAGGTTGAACTTCCTAACTTCCTACCGTCCTACCGTACTACGGACCATCCCGACCGTCCCAGTGGTTCCGATTCCGATTCTGATTCCTATTCCTATTCTTATTCCTTGGAGATCGATGCTCGCTCCGCCTGCACTCGTTCCGCCCGCTTGACCTTGCGGATCAGGTTGATGTAGTCGTTGACGCGCCTCTCCGCCCAGATGCACCCGCCCAGCGTCATGGCCGCAATCTGGAGGAACACCTTGAACTGCGGCGTCAACCCGCGGTAGACGCGCGAGGCCGGGGACAGCCAGTCCGAGAACCCCTCGAGAGGACGGTGGAAGAGTCGGTTCTGCAGGAATTCCTTGGAGAAAGGGGACGGGCGATGCGACGAGGGACTAGCGGATGGCGCCGGTGGCGTCGCCGACGGAGAGAACTTGAAGGGATGCGGCAGGATCATGATCATATGGGCGAGGATCGAAACGGAGCCGAACTGATGTCACCACGGCCTCGTCAGTAGTCAAATTGGAAAGATCGTAGGCAATCAATCGTGTCCCTGAACGATGATCGCAAAGGACCGACGTACCCGGAACGCCCCCGTCAGAAACCCGCGCACCGCCTCGGAAGTGATCTCCTCGGGGGGCTCGATGTCCCCTTTATGACTGGACGGGGGTGGCATCGTGGCAAAATGGGGGGTGATCAGGAAGGAGAGAGACGATTGATTCAATAATCATTAATATTACGGAGACCGGAGGATTGGAGAAGGACGCTCGTCCGGATCAACTCGCCCTCCGAAGTCCGGTAGAACGAAAGAGCGAAAAAAAAGGACGTCTTCATCGTTCGTCTATTACCAATCATTGCGCCTGGCTCATTCGCCCTCCATTGGACATCGATCTTGCCTGCAATTGAGGTTCTTGATCACATTGAAAAAACCACGGAACACCTTGAGGCGAAAAGAAAAAAAAAAAAATAGAAAAAACACCACCACCTACCCATCTCACAATGCCCCTCACCCAGCGAACCGCGACGATCTCGCGCGTCACCAACGAGACCAAGATCCAAGTCTCGCTCTCCCTGGACGGAGGCGTGCTCCCTCCCTACGATGCCTCCGAACACTTCCCCGCCCCCGAAGACCCCCAGGAAGCCGAGGCCGCGAAGCGTGGCATCGTCCCTCCCAAGGATGCGGGGCACGCCACCCAGTTCACCGCGACGCAGCAGATCACCGTGAGCACGGGGATCGGATTCCTGGACCACATGCTGCATGCGCTGGCGAAGCACTCCGGAATGAGTCTGGCCGTGCGGGCCAAGGGCGATCTGTACAGTGCGTCGTCGTAATGCTCCCTGACTTGACCTGACAAACGGTGACTGACGCTGTGATTGTTATCCCTGCAGTTGACGACCACCATACCACCGAAGACACCTTCCTCGCCGTCGGAGAGGCCTTCACCAAGGCCCTGGGCGCCCGCCAATCGCTGGCCCGCTTCGGTCGCGGCGATGCGCCCCTCGACGAGGCCCTGTCGTGGGCCGTCATCGACCTGTCCAGCCGCCCCTGGGCCGTCATCAACATCGGTTTCCGCCGCGAGAAGATCGGCGACCTGAGCACCGAGATGATCACCCACGGTCTGCAGAGTTTCGCCCAGGCCGCCGGCGTGACGCTGCACGTGGGCTGCACCTACGGCGACAACGACCACCACCGCGCCGAGAGTGCCTTCAAGGCGCTGGCTGTGGCCATCCGCACCGCCTGTGCTCGACGAGTGGCCGGCGAAGTTGGAGCGGGTGATGTGGTCAGCACCAAGGGAGTGTTGTAAATAACGACCAGTTAAAAACGGGAAGCGATGCGGAATGGGGCCAAACCAAAGACCACTCACGCAGTCTATGATGATGTTCTATTATATCCAAGGAAGAAACGAAGTTACGATGGTACGGGCGGCTCTCAACCAAGACCAACCTCAAAAACAGAATGGATAGACTCAAATTCGAAGAAGAAGAATACATTCCTCTACTCCCTCATTCCCTTTCCGCTCAAAGCAACACCGAAAAAGAATGTCATCTCCCCGAGAAAAAGAAGAAGAGGAAAAGAAGAAAAGAAGAAAGAGAAAAAAAAAAAAAAGTCAAGACCCGACAAAACACAGCGAGGGGATATCTTTCTAATCAAAGTCTAGGCACTTGCTCCCAACGCCTCAACCGCGCGGGTCCAGTAATCCCGGCGGGCCTCGTTGGCATCAGTACCCACGCAGCCGCTTATAAAGCTGGCCCAGCCCTCCTCTGAGCCGGTCTGCAGCTGGGTTCGCACGTCTGGCGTGCACTGGGTGGTGAGGAACCAGGCACCGGAGCCGAAGTCGTACTCCTCGTTCGCGACCAAAGCATCGAGGAGTCCGGCCGGGTCGGAGGCGAGGGCAGCCGCTTGGTCGGCGATGCCGGGGAGGGACGCCGCATATTGCGAGTTGAATGCAGGCGATTGCATGTTCCGAGCTGCAGGGGGGTGCCACCCCTCTACGTTAGCCACTGACTGCAGATATCGATATGGAAGAGAAAGGGGAAGAAGGCATATGTGGGTAACGACAAGGCAAAAGAAAAGAAAAGAAAAGAAACAAAGACAAAAACATACTTCCTTGTCCGATGTTGACCTGGTTCCGGCTGTACTTGAAGTCTCCGCTTTCCATGGCCATCAGACCGATCACTGCGGCCTGCTCGGCAGGGGAGGTGACCTGGTAGGTCTCGAAGGACTTGGCGATGTTCAGCGCCGCCTGCTCGGAGGTCGCGCACTCGCCGGGGGCCGGGGCACCGTCGCAGGTGTTGGAGGTGGGCGCGATGGCCTCGATTTGCTGGGCCGTGAGCTGGACATCACGAGCCTGGATGGTAGAGGCCGACGCGGTGCCAGCCAGCAAGGGCACGGAGAGCGCCAGCAGGGCGTTGGTGATCTGGCTGGATCTCATTGTGGAGGGGATAGAAGGAGATAAAAGAGAAGAAGAAGAGAGAGAGAGAGATAGAAAAGGAGAGTCTTTGTGTGTAAAAGAGTGGGGTATTGAAGGAATCTCAGCTACTGCCGCTGCTTTTGATCAGTCACAAGTATTCAGAAGGACGGAGAGGGAAGATCTTGAGGGCTCTTATATGGTCTCCAGGGACCGGAGATTCCGTTGATATCCATTCCCCTTTCCTCCACATACTTGGGGGCGGAAGGAAGAATGCAACACCGTCCCAATGGGCATCAAAACAACGCACAGTAGCAGGAGGTAGCCCTGGAACGAGAATCAAACGACATACTTGACTGTCAGACCAACAGTGCTTGTTTCGCCCTTCCAGACGTTCATTGGTCCCGGTGGATGCGACTAGGAAGCGACTTAAATTAGCCGTAGACGCAGTTATTGGGCCGGATCTCACGATGCCCTCGTCGATGGAACCCTGCCTTACTGCAAGCAGTCTAGACCCGGGCGCATCTCGAACAGAGAGCTAACGGAGCTGTCCAACACACAAATCACGCCGTTCCAACCTGTTGGCTGGCTGGCCCCTTAATCTATTAGGCCCTCATTCTCAAACAATGAAGAATCTCTCTGCAGAACAAGCCCGGATCCTGAATGGATGAAAAGGCCCCATTCCCAAACGCACCGAACGCCTCCAACTACCGACACCAACTCTCGGTCGTGCCAGATGCCCGTATGGCCCCTTGGGGCCTTCGAGTGATTGGGCTCTTTGTTCGCTCCACTAACCTGTCCCCGGTTATTGCGTAGCATCGAGTGGCATCTGTCTATCTTTAGTCCTACTCCATCGCAAGGGAGTCAAAAGAGGTTGGCGTTACACGCTCCTATTCGGTTCATTCGATTGGCACAAGTAATAATTATTATTTTCATTCAGCGAGTCCAGCTGGCTCCCGACGTCTGGGGCTGGAACGGCCGTAAGGGATTCCGTCTACCCAAGTTGATGGCAAGTCTATGTATGTATGAAAAGGAAAAGAAGAAAAGGGGGCAAGCGGGAGGATGAAGACAAGGACAAGGTAGGGCATGAAGAAGATAGAATCAAAAGACAAGGGAGAAAGGAACAATCAGACAAAAAAAGTTAAAGGGTTGTAGATGGAAAAGTGAAAAGGGACAAGATTGGGAAAGTGATGCCTCGCCGGCCACCTCCCATACAGATCAAAGGTATTTTGTCAAGAACATGCTCAAAGCAACCAGTTGCTCCCCAGAAGCGCTGCGGTCAAAATCGGGTTCCCAAAAACTCCTTACATGCACACCAGATTGAAACAGAATCTCGGGCGAAAACAGAGACAGCCCCGCGTGGGATGTCCGAGGAAAACAAGCCGACAAACGGATTGGGTCTAAAGTCGTTTCAAAGCCAGAGAAAAGAAAAGCAAAAATACACACAAGTACAACAAACACGACGATAGACTCCGCTTAGTCACGTCGGCTGTAAAGTTCGTAAGATGTTTCGGTGGGTCCCGCTTCTTCGTCTTCTTTGAAGCTGACTCGACGAAGCAGCGTGGGCATCGCCCGTCGAGACCGGCGCGAAGGGGACGAGAGCCCGGGCACTGTCAGGAAGGCCGGCACTTTGGAGTATCGGTAGCGATACTTGGAGCTCAAGAGCATCATTCGGCCGTAGCTCCACCACAGGCAGAATCCCACGGCGCCAGCGAGAAAGAAGCCGCAGAATGTGAGGAAAACCCAGTGCTGACCCATCCAAAAGATCAACCGGGCATCCTTACCATGCCAGCTGTTGCCAACGTGGTGGGTAAAGAAGCTCCACGAGTACTTGTTGTATTCCTCCTGCATGAGAATCCGGACTCGAGATGCCTCGCTCGGCATTTCCTGCATGTATTCCTTCCAGATCACCGAGAGGAACAGAGGGCCGGTCGAGTACATAACCGTGATGTATGGCAACAACCAGCTGCGATCGTAGGATTGCAGCAATTCGATCACGCGCAGAAAGAATGGATGCTGGGGAACGGAGCCCATGGCGTCATTGGAGATACCCGTCGGCACGGTGCGACGCACCCAGGCGGGATATGCGAGCAAAGGGTCAAGGCGACGGTTACAGCCCTGCGAAAATCAAGTCAGCGGGAATTGCGCGCGGAGAGGTAGGCTGATAACAAAACACGTACGTCATCAAGATCGATGTAAGTTCCGCCATAATGCGCCAACACAAAATAACGGATGGAGTCCGCGCGCTGAATAGGGTACTTGTAGCCGTCGAAAGTGTCGAGGAACCACGGGTATTCATTGGCGATGAAATCACGTGCCTTCTCGTTGGTCCAAAGCTACAGAACAAAGGCCACGCGTTAGTGGAGGCATTTTCAGCCAAAGGGAGGAAAATTCACGTACAATGTATTCGTAGTCTGGATGTAGATCAATGCAGCTTTGCTGGGCCTCCCTCCACACTTCGGGGATTGTTTCGTTCTTGTAAGTTTGGTGGATAATCTTGGGAATGACCTGCGGGCGCTGCTCGATCAAGCTCGAGTTCGGCGAGGGAAGCTCCGCGCGGTGGATTGCATCGGCCGAGGCATCTTCCACGAGCAAGGATAGCAGAGTGAAAACACTGCGGACTAGGAAGGAGAGAATAAGGAGGTTGACGAGGATGAAGATTAACACGCCTCTCCGCATCGTGAGGGGTACTGTCGAAATCGAATTCTGTTTCAAATGGTATGGGCAATGCAAAAAGCTTGAGGATGGCAGATCGACGTTGGGTCCGAACACGAGGTGGTGCAATTGAAGCTGGTTGATCTCGCGCAAGGAAGTGAGGCGCAACAGATGCGGTGGAACAGCGAATTCCGCTTGAGAACAACACGCGGAAAAAGAAGCCTATTGACGGCAACGAGGTCCTCCAATCACGCACGTATCTGCTCGAGCACGGGGATGGATCTGGCGCGACCACGAAAAGCAGTCGAGGGAGACAAGGTTCAAGTGAGAGTCTGTCAATTCTTTTGCTGATTGTCTCTTTTCAGTTGTTCGGGTCTCCCCTGTTTTGGTTTCTGGGGTGATGAATCCGCTCTGGAGCCCGAAGAAAGCAACCGGGACTCGAGTCGACGACAGAACGAGGAAAGAACTGGCGCCAGGAGGTTTTGACCAAAGCGGCACAATGGACAATAATTTAAGGAATGGACCACCTTCCAAAGGATGGGAAAGGGAGGGCGGGGGGGGATGGGGCGATGAAGAATAGAGGCGGATGGTAATTAAAAGCGCTTCAAGAGAAGGATAGTAATAGTAATTGGCAAAAAAGGAATGAAGAGGGTTAGTCGATTTTTTTAATCGAAAATCAAAAAAGATTAATAAATGGGGAAAATAAATAAATAGAACGAAAAATAAAGAGGCCAGAGGCAGAGAGGGACGAAGAAAAGAGAGACGGGGAAGGGAAAGCGAGAAAGGGACAGATAGGGACTAAGAAGGAGCGAACGACGCCTTAGCAACCACGCAGAGGCATCAACTAAAAATGAGCGGCGGAGATCAGTTGGGGGAGGTACTCCGTACAGTTGAGGGAGTGAATGGCAATAGGAGGTGTAAAAAAAAGAAAATGAAAAAAGAAAAAAAGAAAAGGGAAAAAAAAGGTGTATGGAAAAGGGAAGGAGAAACAAAAAGCAGAAAGGCGGCGAAGCGTCAACAACGGTCCATGGTTTAGGCGGGCGACCCGTCACAGGCCAAAGCCAGACAAAGGCAAAAAGGGAGGGGGGAAGAAGGGAAGAAGGGGGCGCCTGGAGAGTCGAGTGGGGAGACCGAGGCGCCGGCGTGGGTCCAGGACAGGACATGTTTGGAGAAGGTTTAGACCGGAGCCAAGGCTAAGCCTCCGCCACTACGACGGCCAGTCACTGGGCCGCAGTAGTTTATTAGCCGAGCCCCCGCTAGTCCGCTTCGGGTTATTCGTTATTTTATAATTTTGTTACTGCGCAGCCATCAAACGTCGGTTGACAGCCCTCAACGCTTGGTGGTGTGGCAACCTCGCCCGATCTGTAGCGTCTATGGGCATGTGTGATACGCGACAGATGGCGTGGGATGCTGAACCAGACCACCACCCCCAGAGTCGATTTGGTGGTTGATTATTTCCAGCCTCCCTCTGTGGCGCTTCCGTCTCCGCTGACTAAGGAAAGGATTAGCGTGATTGGCGTTGGTAGCGTGGGGCCAAGGTTAAAAAAAATAAAAAAAAAAATCGGCCACCCAAGAACACTAATAATTAACCAGCAGAAAAGCCCCCCATTCCCCTAAAAAGGTCCCAGGCTAGGAAGAAAACAGATAAAAAGTGGCTACCGATCCATACCGCAGAGGGGTGATTACGCAGTTCGACGTTCCCCTCTACCGCGGCGTCTCTGCCAATAACGGATGTTTGATGCTCACCCACGGACGTGGATACAGGAACCATGTTATCATCGTGCACACTGTCCTGTGGTTTTTATGTTGCCTGATATGCACGGTATCGGCTGAGGTCATCGCCTTGCCAGGCTGCCGAGTATTGGGAGTACCTAGGCACAGTAGGTATGTTCAGTCTGCACTCCGTATGGAGCATGGAGGTGAAGATGATCGGTCTTTTCGATAATTGAAATTGTTGGGAATAGCTTAATCTTAATACCACACACCCCTGAGCAACCAACAAACTACTGCGTACCGCTTCTCGCGACTCTAGTACCTGCTAATGGGGACCGGGGGATTGTTAGTTTCAGACCCCAGGGACGTTTTACGGTCGACGGTTTATTTAGCTGCTCGTATTTGGGCCCGTACCAAGAAAGCCTTACTTCCTTCGGCGTGTCAGTGTCAGGGTGCTCGTAATCGTACTCGTCCATACTTGGTTGAAACATGAAACGGACAAGGAGTCTCACTCGAAGTTTCTGGAGCTCCTGTAATTTACCGGGCGGGGGATGGTAACAGGCCAGTATTGTACGGCGGTAGCTCACCCACGAAGTGGTAAGGGTAGGTACAGTAGGTACGCAGTACTTTGTGATAATAATAAGACTCTCGCAGTAGAGTACATTAGTTCCTGCAGCAAACCGAGTCATTCACGCTGGGAGTACCTACTCCGTAGGTACGTACTACAGTATTACTAGGTATTCTGTATGGCCTCCGCGGAGGTAGTTGTTTGGGACTGGAACCCTTCATTCACGCCAACGATTGGCCAATTCTGGGCGCGCGGCGTTTTGCCTGAGGCAGCAGAACTCTCCACGGCCGAATGGGGAAAACCGACCCTTTCTAGGTAGTATGTACTTCGTGAGCGTACTCCGTATACAGCGCAGCACAGAACGATGGAGAACGGAGAACTACGCTACTCCGTAGTCAGGACTCAGGACTCTACTCTGGTCTCTGGAGCAAAAGTTCCTGGGCACATTCTCATGCTCCATTCCCGCCAAACCGGAGTGGAAACTAGAACCGAGGGTGTAGCTACGAGTACGGTTTCCCAGACGGTGTCACGGTGGGTTTCCGAGTCTTCCACCGGGTGTTCTTTGAACTTTCTTTGTCCGTTGGAACCGAGATATCAGATGGATGGGTTCGATAGTTCGATTATTCTTCGAGCTTCCGAGTGGGCGTGGGGACAGCTTCGACGGGGCGTGCTCCCACCGCATGATGGGACGAAAATAACAATGGTGCTGACTGAAGTTTCATGCACGTTGACCTACCGTGCTCTCCGATCGTGCAACCGCAGTCTGCAGGCTCAGCCACCGGTCCACCGGCCGGGATGCCCTGAAATAGGACGAGCGAGTGTCTACGCAGGACGGAGTAGTGGTTGGTAGGTAACCTTAAAATTCCGGAGGAGGGAGGGCAGACGACCCAAACGAGTACGACCAAGAGCGCCCCGGCACATGGCGACCCACCACGGAGATCCAATCACCGAGTGCCGATGCCTGCGACCCACCCGCATGGCGGTGCATTTTCATTTTCATTTAATAATTTCAATCAGTTATGCAGCGTCCATGCATGTCGCTTTCGCAACGCCCCACCGTCCAGATCCTCGTTCGCCCATTCGTATCCTCGTCTGTCAGACGCGTGGATGGCCTTCTGTTTCATCGTTTGACCAGAGTCGCGTCAAAAGAGAAACACTAACGCTTACGATAAGAAGTGGTCAGTGACGTCCGATCGGTCCCCCGGCATCGAACGCCCCGTCCTACTCGACTTCCCTGAGATCCAATCTTGTCGCCCGGCTGAAGTCGAAGTGGCTGGTCTGCCGTTGACGTCAAATTGTCGCGTGTGATCGTCTCTCTCATCGTCAGCCAAGACCCTCCTCTCCCCTTTGCACCAGCCATGTTCTTCTTGAGCCCTGTCTGCCTGCCATGAATTACCCACCCCCACAGCCCAGAGGATATCCTTGGTTCCCAGCCCAGGCAACGGTGATCCCTTTTGCCGAGATAGGGAACTTATCGGCCAACGACAAATGATCATGGGAGAAACGCCACGTTGACCATCCCAGCGACTCGGGCCACGCAAGATGATGTATGCCGTTGCGGTACTCGGGCACGGAACCCAAGGGGATTGGCCCAGTGCAGTGCGACCAGAAAATCCTAGCCACCGTTTTTTAATACAACATCCTAGCCCAGTGGCGCCCACGCAGCTACGTTCGCATCCTTGGTGTCGAGTGCATTCAGCATGCTGGGGATGACGTCGCGTCAACGGAGCGACGAGGGTGGGACGGTGCACCGACAACCTCCAAGCCATTGCGGGGTGGCAGCAGATCGTCATGGGAGCAGGCATCATCCTTTCGTGCTGCTAAATCGAACTGGGCTGAGCAGAGAAATCCAACGGGCTGAATCGATATCCACCCGTGCATCGGTACGATGGAACGATTGGTCTATCGCGGAAATAAATAGAATTAAGGTAAGATGGAGTCTAAAAAAAAAATCGCTCCTTCGGTAATTCCCATGACATGTGCCAACAAAAAAAGCCCTCACGGGCGGTCACAAGGTAATGATAAAAGTGACCGAAAGTAGTTGCCTCTAACCATAGCCACTCCTTCTATGTTCTTCCTCCATCCACCCTTTGCAGTTCGTACTGGCCTTGGCTTGGCGAGAAGTCCTTCCAAATATGACGCGATAACCAATAAATTCATCCTGGTTCTTCCCACCACTCCTTATGCTGGATCGCAATGTTGTAGGATGTTGTAGGCTGAGTCGAACCACGCATTCTGCTCGTCGGGATTTCTTCCCCATGGAAAGCAAGAGCACGCAGTGAAGGCTGACCAGAGCGTAGGCCAGATCTCAAAGTAGACGAGTCTTCGCGTCCCCGTGTTTAAGACGCTAGATCGCACATTCATGTTCTGTTCTGTTCGGTTCTGAACTCGGGAACCCCTTCTGGATGTATACGCAGCTGTTAAAGAAAGGGAAAGGCCCCTTAAATTGTGTAGGCGGGTTTGCGTTTCCGATATGACTGACTGGCACGAGGTAGATGTAAGGGGGTAAAATGATGCACGGGAATAGAGTTCATCGAACTTCAGGCGCCGCAGCAGCCGCCAGGTCACGGTTAAAGTTCGCGGTGTCGGTTCCTCGCGCATCGCCGGTGCCGGCCCTGGATTCGAAAAAGCGCATCCACCACCCGGGAGGATCAAGAGGACGGTGACCGCCATGGAGGGACGGGTAGACATCGTTGAAGAAATACCAGACGTGTCCAACCACGACGCCGCAGATCTCATCCTTAGGCACAATGCCGTGGACGACCAGGCTGAATGCCATCAACACCCAGGGGAGATATGGGGCCGTGAAGACCAACATGCCAAGGAAGCTAAGGCGAGTATCGGGGTTTCGGCGACTCCAAATGTAGACCAAGCTCGAGGACAAGGCAGTGCCTAGGAACGGGAGGGACAAAAAGGGCGACAGCATTAATAAGGAGGTCATGGCGTAGAAAAGCAGCCACGAGAAATGGGCCGGCGAGCGACCTGACGTCTCCTCTAGCAGGCGCGAATACCGCTGGAGGAAGAAGACGTGGAAAAGTAAATCAAGATTCAGCGGACCGAAGTATAAAAAGGTGGTCAGCAATCGCCAATACTGCCGGATGGTTAGCTTTCTGCCTCCTTCATGTCTACTGCAAGGCTCAGGTGAGGCCTACTTGGGATTTGACATAGACTGCGCGAAAGCTGTAAAACAGCTGGAAAGGAGTTAGGATATGGCACTGCACCAGGACGGACGTAGCCACGGTCGCCACCGTCCACCATCGAGTCACGGGAGGCATCTCGTAGAACCATTGTTCCAGGGGGAACTGCCCGGCCTGTCCCCCGTTACCCCAGATGGCGGCCATTCCGTCGGTATCTAGTAGATAGGAGCTGCGGGCCGCCAAACAGACGACGATCAATCGAATCGCGCGAGCTAATCAACGATATGGGTGCGATCCAGGTCGGAGGAGGGGTAAGGCTGCGAGATTGGCGCTGCGGGGACAGACGAAGGACGAGGACTGTTCTGTATCACCAATTCACCATGCAGAGAGTCAGGAACAAGAGACAACAACCCCGGGAGGAGTTGAAGGTGGCCTTTTCCGCTTTGGGCCCGCCGATGTCATGTCCGTCTCACGTGCCCTGACGCGCGCTTCGGCGGGGACACGCGCCACGCGCCCTCAATCCGGAGTAGCTTCAGTCGCATGCCGGCTGGAGCTCTCTCCCAGCCACCTGGAATTTCTTTTCCCCTCTCTTTCCCCCCCTGGGTGGTTCTCTCCAGACAAGTTCTCTTCTGCATGCCGACGGCGTGTCTCTAACGGCCTTCCCAGCTGGAATTGGACGGTCAATTCGATCGCAACCCACTACCAAACCACAAGGAGCATCGTCGATCCGAGCGTTCTCCACCCGCCGGAAATAAACAACAGAGTCTTCGTCCATCCCCGTTAGGAGAGAGTGATCCAATCTTCATTCAAAACCGATTGAATCACGCGCGAAGTCGCATAGTCGCTTACTCACCAACTCGCTCCAATCCAATTTGTATCATATCGCAACAAAAACACAGTCGCCATGCCCCCAAAGACAGGACGCGGTCGCAAGATATCTTCGGCCCCTCGAGAGAAGACTAGCGCTGGTCGCGTGGAAAAAGAGAGCGCTGCAGGCCCCTCCAAGGCCGCTGCTTCGCCGTCGACCCGAGGTGGGCGCAAATCGAGGGGAGGCAAGCGACCGGCCGCGTCGCCGCGGAAGTCCGATGTCCAACGTACGTGCTACGCTACCCACCCATATCCAATGCTCGCTCTCCAACGAACACCTGTATTAACGCGTCCTCGCAGCCGGTGACCCCACCCCGCAAGGCCGTAGCCGTCGCTACAAGCCCGGAACTGTCGCCCTGAAGGAAATCCGCAAATACCAGCGCACCTATGATCTCCTTATCCAGAAGCTCCCCTTCGCCCGACTTGTGCGCGAGGTTGCGCTGGAGCTCCTCCCCGCCGACGTGGGCTCCGAGCTGCGCTGGCAGTCGCATGCCATCCAGGCCCTCCAGGAAGCTGCAGAGGCTTTCCTTGTCCACTTGTTCGAAGACACGAATCTGTGCGCCATCCACGCGAAGCGTGTCACCATCATGCAGAAGGATATTCAACTTGCTCGGAGAATCCGTGGTGTCTGGGGTGGATTGGGCTAATTCTCACCTCCTGACGGTGACTGCCAGTCATAAGAAGTGGGACAAATCAAAAAACGAAAGAAAAAAAAAAAAAAACATCATTATACAAGAGGGCAGGGGAGGGCACCAGCCAGCTATGAAGTGCAACACGGGAAAGACTCCAGTTCACAGGAAATCGTTGAAAGTCTAATAACATACTGCAATTCCATCAGTTCATTCTGGAATCTCGCCCACTCACACCCTTTGCTGTCTTTATACCTAACCCCGAGGGATCTCACTGAAATGGCTTGTTGATTTGGCGCATGGGGTACTGGCGTATGGGGGAAAGAACGGAGTTCGGTTAACAAGGGGGATTTGATTCAAATCTCTGCTTTTTATTGCGGTTTTATGGCCTGATGATCTATCTGTGTCTGTCTGGTTGGCTGTTTAATTCTTTTCATGTCATTGATTCCTTTCGTTCTTTTTCCTCCCTAATGGTTATTTTGTAAGAGCAGTATATTTATGTATGTTTTACCACTGCTATACAATATACAATAAATGTCAGTCGGGCTATCTCTATGGGTGCATGAATCTGCGAGATTGTTCTTGGAGAGACTTGAGATTGTATTCCCGTGGCTTTGGGTGGAGTTGATGCAAGGACTGGATATCTCAATGCGAAAATACGGACCAAAGAACAGGTTTGTCGGTCGATGGGAATCATGAAGGGCTGTAAATCATAGTGGACGGGTACACTATATTTATCCTACAGGCTCTCAGTTCCACCCGAAGATCTTAATTGGCATAACTACTATTACAGGTAGATGTATAAACAAAAGATCTGATGGGGGAAAAGAAAAAAAAAAAAAAAAGAGTCTAAAAGAAACTTTCCATTACACCCTTCCGCCGAACCTATTTCCACATGTAAATAGCAATTGCGCCACCCTACACCGTAGACACGAAGATGGTATCATGAACTGAAGCCCTATAGACACACACCAGTACAGGGAAAAGAGAAAAGGATCAGAAGAAAACCAGAGGAAGATAGAAGGAAAGGAAAGCAAAAAAAGAGAAGAGAGAAAACGAAAGGCCACAATCAAGTGGATCTTTTCAAGGCCGGTGACAATCCCATCATCACCCGATGGCCTTCATCACGCACTCCCATGGCCTCCTCGTTCTTTCCTTGTCGCTCAAGGGTCTCGGCCAGCATTTCGTCGGTGACACTGACCCAGAGCCGGTCGTTGGCTTTCTTCGCCATTGCGCGACCTGCGCGGGCGCTCTTCTCGGCCTGCTCGCCGACCACACCTCGGAAGTACTTCCAGCTCATGAATGTTAGGGTCATGCAGGTTATCTGGCTGTTGCTGATAGCTGTGGCCGATTGCAAGGCCTGTTGCAAGAACTGCTTCGTCTGGATGGTTGAGTCTGTTTGGATAGTTGCGCAGACAAGATAATAAGCGGCTTGGATGTACTTGTTAGGGCTACCTTTGCAGAATGACTCCACAGCGGACAGGATGGTCGGGAGTTGGAAGTGGGAAGGGTGAGTTGGCTCGCGAATGATAAGGACCGTGTTGAGAGAGGCGAGGATGGCAAGGTCTCGACAAGGGTCATTGCGTGCGGTCTTGCTTGGGAATGATGCCAGGGAGAGGGTCGGTGACTGGAACGATCCAAGTGCGGTCTTCAGATCCCCCGTAGCTTGCGCAATCGTACCGCCCGCGTACTCCATCAAGCACTGGATTGTATTAGGAAGGCCTTCGCCCAGCTTGTGCGCTTCCTGTCGTAGCTCATTCAATGTCTTATTTGCCAGATCCCAGTCCGTGCGGCCACATGCAAGGAATACCTGCTGGAGAAGTAGGTTGCAGTACAAGGTTCTGCGCCATTCAACGCGTCTATTTGCGCTGACCATTGATTCGGTGATATCTTGTGGCGATTTAAAGCTCCCTATAGTTGATAGTGAGAATCTCTCCTAGTGGGAATATGCCGGGCAAAAAGTAACCAACCTTGAATCATGCGTATTCCTTCCTGGAGGAACTTTTCCGCCTTGCGACCATCATGAGAATTCTTGCAGCTGAGGGTCACGGAACTGAGGAAATAGCAAAGCGCATAGAGATCATGCTGCGGCAGCCAGTTGAAGCTCAAAAGCAGAGTGCCGCTTTGAACCTGTAAAATGTCGCCTGTGTCGATAGAAGAGGGGCCCGCCGATTTGCCGTTCAGAGGAATAGAAAATGACCCGTCAGGCCGCCAGTTTGGATCATTTAACCTCTCATCCATCATGTCTTGCAGGATTTTCAGCTTTTGAGCGGCTTGGTTGATATCGTATTCGAGAAGGCTGCAGCAAATGTCGACCATTTGAACCAGCGTGGTCAATTGTGGTATCTGACGCAGCTCATCGTTGAGTTGGTGACTTCGTGCGATCGCCACGGCTCGTTGTGCCTGCTCGATGGAGTCGAAATTGGTCCCCTGCTGCAGGTGGGCTAAGGCCTCGATTACGGCCGACATCGAGGAAACGGCTTTGTCACCATGGCGATTGGCCATGTTCGCAATCTTATGAAGATGGTGCATCGCAGAGACCGAATCTTGATGGGAGAGAGATGACAATGAGAGAGACACTCGGAGAAAGCGGAATGCGTATTCCCAGGCAGAATGGCGATACCTTGATCGGTCAGCATACAGTTTGGTCCACAAAGCTGGGATGCAACTTACGCTTCTACGTCCTGGATCATCCCATCGACGGCTTTCAACGATGCTTTCGGGTTGGTCTTGTGCAGCATCCGTGCCAAAAGATGCTGCATACTATACTTGAGATCTAACATGCGGTTCTACGTCTCCGTAAGTTTGTCTGAAATCTAGAATGAGTCGGAAGTAGATTCGTAGCGTGACTCACCCGTTCACACAAATCAATCTGTCCCAAAAAGAAAACTTCCATTAGTAAATGACCAAGTTTGGGGGGGGGGTAGGCAAATCTGGGGTCAGTTGAACGTACCCCCTTACTCAAGGCGGTTTCTGCCTCAAGGTCGTTTTCCGTCTCTTCAAACAAGATGCGTGAATACCGCAGCCGTACAAGGGCCTCGACGCGTGGCTGCAACCTCCAATTCTGTAAGGCAACCAGACAAGATTAGCCTGAGGCGTGCAATATCAGGTCGAACCAGCAAGAGAGCCAACTAACCTTGAGCACGGCCTCTAGGCAACCGAGACCGGAGGCGACTAGTTTATAATATTCCTCCACTTCCATCTCACGCCTCATCAATGCGACTGTCGTCCCGTGACCGTGGGCTGCGTTGAGATACTCATCGGCCATGGCCAGTAGCAATACCTGGTAATCTATGGCAGACTTGGCCGGCTTCTGTGCAGGTTGCGAGGCTGCAGGTCGCGGCGTTTGTTTCTTGGGGGGCGACTTTGGCATTTTTTGCTGCACGTCCGGGGAAGGTGCCGGGATTAACACTTGAGGGATGAGCTTCGGCGACGGCGCTGGGGGGTTTGCGGCAATTGGCTTCGGCCTCGTTGCTGCCGGGGGATTGGATGGAGGCTGAGGGGCATTCCCAAAGGGTTGACTGGCCTGGTTGGCGCTGGGAGTGGTATGGTACGTTGCTTGGGGTGTAGCAGTGGTGGAGAGTGCCGGTGAATTGGTTGTTGGCTGAGGCGCAACAGCGGCAGTCGAGAGCGCCGGTGAATTGGTGCTACTCGGAGCGGACACTGCCGGAGGTCCTCCATACTGAGGGGGTGTACGGGTAGAGAAGGAAGACGAGATCGAAGGCAGCGGCTGCTGGAAGATATCGGATGGATTCACATATTGGGGTGGTTGCTGCTGCTGTTGCTGCTGCGGAGGCGGTGGTTGTGGCGGCGGCTGGGGTTGGGAGGGCGGTTGCTGGGGCTGTTGATTGTAGGGCTGCGCATAAGGAGAGTATGTCGGGATCATAACCTGGGGATAGACCATCGGCTTGCCATAGGGGTATGGCGAGGCGGTTGAGGGGGCATTGTTATACAGTAGCTGCTGCGGTTGGATGGTCTGCTGGTGCGGCGGGAGATTGGGGGGCTGCTGCAGGTACTGCGAGGGATACTGGCCGTTATGTGCTGAATAGTTCATCGCCCCAGGATGCAGATGATGCTCATGAGCCTCTTGCACTCTGCGTCTCCTGGGAATCGTGGAAAAGCGCTGGCGTGGGACTCAAACGAGGTGAATTGTTGCGCTTCGACCGTCCGATCGTCGCCCTTTTCCGTTTCCGTTTCGGACCGGAGAAACCCGCGGGCGGTCAGCAGCTGAGTCAGCTATACACTGTGCATTCACTGGTTATACTCTGTGCATCTACTCCTTCTACGGCGGAGGACATACGACATCTAAATAAGTCTAGAATTCTCCACCAAAACAGATGGCTCATACAAGAAATACAATAAATCAAGGTCATTCTCATCAACAAAGCAGCAGTACACATTAACCCAACAGAACATAACTCCATATATCCGTCTGATCGCCAATAATAACACCTCTAACAGAAATGCCGAGCTAAGACTGTTGTCTGAAACCATACATCTATAAAATCACCGACACGGTCAGATCATATTGATCGAAGAATACAGCTGATTCATCGATGGATCCTGAATCCCGTTGTCGAGGATATCCATGCCTAAGTTGGGAGCGTTGTTGAGTGGTGGGTGCTCGCGGACGGTCCACGGGCAGAGCTCACTGCAATTGTCCACATCGATTAGATTCTCGGCGGGGTGGATTCGTTGTGCAGCCCACGTCTGATCGGGTATGGGAGATGTGCCCCCGAGGCGTCGTTCCGTCCAGAAGTAGTACGTGGCTTGTCCTGATTCTTGATGGACCCGCAACGGCTGTTTGCGAGGACATTTCAAGGTGGAATTGCAGGTGTTGCAGATGGAAATCCGTTTGCAGGAGGTACAGAAGCTGTCGAACTGGCGACAGATAGTCGTTTGACAGACGCTGGACAGCCACAGATCGACCGATCGATGGGCACATCCAAACCGAGGTGTCATGTATTCTTCTTTTCCTAGCTGCCCGGATCCCGTAGAGAGGTGATATTCCGTTTTGATCAAGAGCTGATCGTCCTCGACGAGTTCGGGGAATATGTCGACTTTCAACCGAGTCGTCCCATAGTTCTCAGTACAAGAGTGCCAGCAGAAGCGTTCATGGACCCCGGGTCCAAATTGAACTTCCAATGCTGCCACCGACTTGCGGCGCATTTGAAGGAGGTTAATCAGGTCCATCTTGTCGGCGAAAGTCAACTTCTTGCATGGACACAGATCGACGATGCCACCGAGAGAGCCTAGGTTACAGGCACGCTCCTCGGGCTTTTTCTTCAGCTCTCTCGAGGGGAACGAGGTTCGTGGATGAAGCTTGAGGCATTTTGAACAAGCGCGCCATCTGCTGGTTTCGAGCAGGTTGATGAACTGCCAGCGTGGGGTGACAAAGTTATGTCCATTGCGATAGTGATGGAACAACGGCGCAAAATCTCGGTTGAAGTGGAGGGATTTCGAATCCAGAATAGGAGCGAAGATGGCGTAGAGGCGTTTACAGGTAAGGGCCAGACAAGCCTCGGGCAAGACTGGCAGATGCGAAACGATCTCCAAAAGTAATTCGGTGGGCAACTCAAGGAGGTGGCATCGTCTGGAGGATTGGCCCTCCGCGCTCTGCTCCTCGTCCTGATTCCGTACCCAGCGGTTCATTTTGGAGATGACCTTGAACTTCTGTCCCGCGCGACGCAGCCCATAGGCCATGTCGATTGGGAACTTGGAGGATTGGCCACGAAAGGGGTTGGACAAGGCCTTTTCCAACTGCTTCCAACGCCTCGAGGCCTTCGAATTGTCGTCTTTGATGGACTGACAGAAACTCATGGGTGAAAAGAGAACCAGCTTGTTGCCTGCTGGCTCTGGGGCTGCATGGTGTATACAAATACTATGGGAGGGCACACACCGCGTGACAAGGGAGTATCATTGGGAAAGAGGGAAACCAAAAGGTTAAAGGAGAGAGGACTTTGGGGGGCTGAAGTAGTATTTCCCAGAAGATGGGCAGAGTCTTGCACGCAAACGGAGCACGCGCCAGGGTCACAGCGCTGTTGATGTTATCAGCATTACCTACAGACCCGATGGGCGTCGCAGTCGCAGTCAGTTTCTTTGACAGGGAGCTAAAAACAACTCGCTTTGACTTTGGACCGGGTGCATGGGTGCCGCATCCATCCAATGCCGGTCTTGCAATTCTTCACGTCGAGGTTAAGAAAGTGGATTCTCCATCCAGCACGGCATCCTCGAGCATCGACGTCCATGTAGATGTCCTTCCGCATCCGGAGGACAAGTGCCGCATCAGGCGGCGACCAGCAAACGGCCTGCACGCGATCCACGGAAATGGGAATGGGTCATGGCTGCTGATGGTTCGGGCTGCGAGGGAGGATGACTGGACTTGCCCACTGGATCCTTCCTGGCCGTGAATGCCGTCAAGTGACTCGTTCCACGGGGCCCATGACGTGGGAGAGCCTGAGGCTGACACCATCGCTGACTGAGCGGTCGCTTAGGTAATCGGACAGCGCAGTCGATTCAGGCTGAAGCGGAGAATATACATATATATGGAATTGATCTAGATTTTGGGTATTTCTAGAGCACTTCCGGAGTTTTAAAGCGATTACAAGCCTCATTACCGCCATAACTGTAGCGCAGTAGCTGGCGTATCGCTGCTGCTGCCACTACTGCATCGTACGGCTCGCTGTCCGATCACCACTAACATGCGTTCTTCAGGAACAACGTCCTTTAGTCAGTCAAAAAGAACGATAAAAGCTCCAAATACTGCCCAGTAAATAGAAGAAGTTGCAATGAAGCGCCTCTCAAATCCATTCCACACCCTTTCGGTCTGATATAGTTGCGATTACATAAGGATCCGATGATTATGTCATGGATTCCCGATCGGGAGATGCCGAGGCACATGCGATCTGACTTGTTTGTCGATGCTGAAGGTTGACAAAGGAAACCTGGAAGTAAGGACGTCCGAATCGCCGTGCCTCATCTTCTCGCTTCCCTCTCTTTCTCGGACTCTCGAAGAGGGGGATCCTTTGCCATCCTCGCTCCATAGCCAACACTGCGTTGACTGATGGCTTCCGCAGAAATCTCAACCGATATCTTCGGCGCTTTGCCTATTTCGCTCCTGCTCTCAGGGCTGCTCGCAATGGGCTTGTTCTCCTGGATTCGACCGAGTGGACGGGTCTCATTCTTCCATTCCAAAGACAACAACCTGTTGTTGGCGAAAAAGGCCGGCAAGTCCGGTGCTAAAGACCAGATAACGCTGACGGATCTTTGTCGGACTGCCACTCCGTCGAAATGCGATCTGAACCCATTTCTCTTCAACGGTCATTTGCAGACGGCCTGGACAACGGTGAAGCATGATCCCGTTCCGGTGTACTACAGGCGTCGGGTTTTTGAAGCCGATAACCCGACCTTCAGCGGGCATTTCGCCATGGATTTTGTGGTAGATCCGTATACGCCTCCCAAGGACGGCCCTCTCATGGATGAGGAGAGGAAATACACGCAGCCTTCAGGCCTGCCGGAGCGTACCTCATTTTTCTCCGAGGACGAGTTCTCTGCCCTGCCCTCCGAGGATACGAAGCCTATGCTGGTGGTTCTTCATGGCCTTAGCGGTGGTTCCCATGAGATCTACTTGCGCCACATTGTTGCGCCCCTGGTTGCGGATAAGAGCTGGGAAGCCTGCGTGGTCAACTCCAGAGGCTGTGCTCAAACCAAGATCACAACCGGTGTACTCTATAATGCGCGTGCCACATGGGACGTTCGCCAGGCCGTGAAATGGCTGCGCAAGACATTCCCAAACCGGCCTCTATTTGGCATCGGGTTCTCCCTCGGTGCCAATATTCTTACCAACGTAAGTTACTTCCCGTGTGTTTGGGGAATTCATTCTAATAAACAGGCGCAATAGTACCTGGGCGAGGAAGGTGAGGCCTGCCAATTGAAAGCCGCCGTAATCTGCGCGAGCCCGTGGAACCTGGAAATCAGCTCCGTCAATCTGCAAAGTAGCTGGATCGGGCTTGAGGTATACAGCAAGGTCATGGGTACTAGCATGAAGCAACTTTTTGAACAGTAGGGTCTCCAATCATTGATTCTTTGTCCCTGCTGTTTGACTAACACTGAGTGTTGTCAGGCATGTGGAGGAAGTCTCGAAGAATCCTCGGATCGACGTTGAAACAGTGCGGAAGATTAAGTACTTGCATGAGTTTGATCGGTAGGCAATCACTAAAAAGCATGTCGAAGCTTTCTTGGGGCCTCTCACTTATCTCTCGCTACTACCAGGGCTTTACAATGCGCACTCTGGGGCTACCCCACGGAGGGTGCCTATTATCGCGATGCCACCTCCACGGATTCAATGCTTAACATCAAGATCCCATTCTTCGCTGTCCAAGCCGAGGATGATCCGGTGAGCAACAAACAAGACCTACTGGCAGCCCGCACCGTATTCTAACTTTGACAGATTGCCTCCGTCAATGCTCTCCCGTTCCAGGAGATCCAGCAAACCCCTTACGGTGTCATGATGACTACATCTTGGGGTGGCCATCTCGGATGGTTTGAGCTGGGGGGTGACAGATGGTTTGTTAAGCCGGTCAGTTCCCAACTACCCTCTGCTGTCCTATCCCTATACTAAAGGCTCTGACCAGGTAACCAATTTCCTGAATCTAATGGCCAAGGAAGTCGACCACGAAACCCCGTTTGTGGTCCAGAACCCAGAGAACGTCCCCGGTCATATCCAGAGCCACCCGGGACCCGGCAAAGACCTCGACACGGCACCCAAGCCGCACTTCAATCCTGTCCACCGCAAACTAGGATTGAACCTCTTCCCATCTAATTAGAACTTCTTCACCCCAGCGGTAAATATCTCACGGACTTCAGATTGGACCCTAGGATTCATGATGCAGCGATATTCGTCATGAGTTCTCATTCATGTCACTGTTCAAAAGCATAGACCAGGTGGAAACGCCAGACCCCTTCTAAATACATAGACTTGGTATAGACAGAATTAACTTTTGTTTTTACATAAACTTTAAGCAAATGAAACGCTCTTCTTCTTCCCCTTAGGCTTAGACTTTGAAGCCGAGTCGTCGGCTTTGGGAGCGGCCTTGGGCTTCGGGTCAGAATCGCCCTTGCGCTTCCGGTTCTGGCGAATTGACTGTTTGGCATCCTCCTGTTTTCATATCGTTAGCTCACCGAGATGTTGTGTGGAAGTCGACAGGGCGCAATCCATATACGCACCAGCTTCGATTTCTTCTGCGCCTGTCTGGCCTCGGCCTCCTTCTTCCTCGCCTCCCGGATTTCCTCCAATTGGCGCGCCTTCATGAGTTTCGACTCGATTTGACCTTCTTTCTCAGCATTCACCATGGCCAGAATAGTCGCCATACCCTCCTACAAATAGATAGTCGTATTAGCACCGCGTTCTTGCGCGCCGAAACCAACGAACGCACCTGATCATCAACGAAAGTCTTTCCCTTCTTCTTCCCCTTCGGCTTCACCACTCCGACCGGCGTAATCGTATTCAGCTTGGGCAGATCCAATTCGGCTTCCGAGTATTGCTTCTTCTTGGTCTTCTTCAACAGCGACGGTTCCGTGCGGGCCTTCGACTTGACTTCCTTTGGCGGCGGGCGCTTGACATTTTTCTTGCTGATCTTGGTTCCCGATGAGAGCGGCTTGCTCGTTTTCGAATCGCCTCCAGACGAGGACTTTCCCTTCGCCGAAGGTTTGGTCGGCGCCATAGTTACTGCTGTTGCGGGCGGAGGAAATCAAAGGTGGAAGATATTCAGGATGTTCAAGGCGAGCGACCAGGAAGATGGTAGGAACAAAAAAGAGGGGAAGGATGGCGTCGATTCCCTTCTCAAGACTCACGGCCGCAGTACAAAATGAAGAAAAACCAAGCCGAAAAACCAGATCCCACGTATGATCGAGGATCGAGGACGCCCGAAAAATCGCAACTGGAGCGCAACAGACGGAAGAAATTTTTTGGAACAGGCAGGCGGTGAAGGAGACGCTCTGCCCGCGACTCGCATCGTCACGCTAACCCAGACGGAAGCCGAAAGGAACGTCGACTTTCCTTCTCTCCAGCGGTCTTCTTCCCTCGTCTCCCCCCCTCCTCCTCCTCCACCAGTCCTCCCCAGTTGCCCAATCCACACCGGCGTGGTCTCAACTCGATCGCCATGACTATCAATCCCACCTTCCTCGCGCAGCGCACGCGCTCCTGTATGTCCCTCAATCCCGTGCTGCCAGCCTCCCCCGGCGTGGTCCGACCTTTAGAAATTGCCGCGATGTCAATGGACGAGAACCCAGAGCTAATTGCACCTCGCTCCCAACAGCCGCCAACTGGGGTGATGCCAGATATCGTGTCCTCAAGTCCTACCGTGAATGGCTGAGAGCGGTTAGTGACCCAAATTCCTTGATCGCGGGACGGTCCCTGTGGTCATTCGATCGGACCTGAGATATGTCATATCATTCCCAATGGCCTTCTGGGGTTGGAATTCGACACCGAAATGGAACCCCTCGCTGCGGCTCTATTCAAAACAAGCAGCAGGACGATTGTTGACCTATGAAACTCGAACTATAGTCCCCGGAGATCCAGACCATGTACTCCTTGAACATCCCCGTGTCCGCCATTCGCACCAAGATCCGCCAGGAGTTCGAGAAGCACCGCTACGTTAAGCAGCTGGGCGTTGTCGACGTGCTGCTGTACCAGAGCCACGCCGAGTTCCAGGTGAGCTAGACCTTCCGCTTCGCTGAGAACATTGCATGCCGGTGCAATGGCTCGGTGTTATCCCATCGGAAAGGAATGTGAGAGAGAGAGCCCCATTCTAACTCGTCCCTCCCATCCAGGAAACCCTCAACTTCTGGAAGCAGCTGTCACACGTCATGAAGTACTTCCGGCCAGAGGAGGAGCCCGGTGCGCGTCTACCTCCCAACTTCATCTCGGGCTTCTTGGAAGGCCGCAACTAAAATGAATCTGTGTTGTACTTCTTTTTTTTTATTTCCCTTTTTCGTTTTTTTTTTTCTCTCCCATTGAACCTCCACATGTCCCGGGGACTGGGACGATAGAAAGTGCTATGTAAATATTGTCGGTCTAGCTAACGTCAGCTTTTTCTTTTTTATCTCCGTTTTATAGTAAAATTGGTGGATCTGTAGATGTAGATGGGCCATGGCAATCTGCGATTGCAGAGGGCTGTCTAAGATATTTGTTATTGATGCTTGGGCACAAGAGAGGACACGCTTGCTGTAGAGCGCCATTTGTGTATTTGTATAGATCTGGTCTCACATGATCTTCGAGCAGGTGCGCAGCCATGCAGCGCATTGTACTCCGTATAGGGTTAGATATTAATGGCAATAGTGGGATGTAACCTCCAAGCCTTCTATATTTCATTCGGGTGTTTTGTTGGGTAGTAGAGCATGAAAGCTCTCGCCGACAATGGTCAGCCCTACTCCCGCAGATCCCAAAATATACAAGCAAGTACCACCTAAAAACGCAACCCCAAGACACACGCAACGTAAATCAACGTAAACCGACTAAACGGAAAATATTCTATAATCCCCAATGCTAAGTTGCTGACCGGGCACACAAATGCTCAACCCATAACAGGAACCGACTAAATATACACAACGCCATATACACAAGAACGGGCGACTTTTTTTCAAACGAAGAAAAGCAAAAGAAAAAAAAAGAAAGGAGAAGTAACCGCCTCCGCTACGAGGTCATCCGGTCCGCCTCGGTGGCATTGAAGGTATCGCGCGCAGTGGTGAACTTGTCCGTCACGACATCACACAGGTCCATCAGGGAGTCTAGGCCCTTTTCCAGCGCCTCCACGGCGGTCGTCGATTCTGGCGAGAGCGAGTCAGCATGGGACGTACGGTCATTCATCGAATCAAGGAAGTCCATACCGTAGGTCTGGATTCGGAGGTTCATTTTCGTCTCGGAAGGATGAGGGATGGTGTATCCGCAGAATTCAACCTCGGGGCTGCGAAAAGTATCGATGTCAGCGCATGTCAGCGGCATACGGGGTTATATCGCAGCCTGTCCGTCGCGATAGCAGAAGGGAGGTGAAGGGCCGGCCGGCCTGCATACTTCTTCATGATCGTATAACGGAGGGCGTTTCCCAATGTATGGCCCTCGCCCTCGAACTGGAAGGAAGCGGCGGTTTCGGTGGCACCCGGGAGCTGCTAGACGTTAGCAAGGACTGCCGACGATAGATGGGCAGGATGAGATCCTGGATATGCATGCGACGCACCACGACGATCCGCTTCTCCTCCATCTCCAACACCTCGTCCTGCTCGTACTGGTCCTCCGGGGCGGCGGCGTCCATCATGGACTGGTCCTGGTCTTGAGAGTGCACGGAGGAGGGCATGGTTGCGCAGCAATTAGGCTCCGAAGTGGGAGGGGGTTATCGCAGCGGGAAATTCGAGACTCGGAGGGCGGAAAGTAGAATGGACGACTGAATGCAAATCCCGTCGCAAAGCTCGCGCGGAGGGGGAAAAAGTTGAAAAACGGTTATCGATAGACGTCTGACCGCCTTCGGAGGTCTTGGCTGTTCTTCTACGCTTGACAGAGCCTGAGGCATCCAGCCCGGTCGCCAGATGCGACACTGGATTGGATGGTTACTCCATGCATCTCTCCTTTCTCGTTCATCCTCGCTCAGGCATTCCTGCCCGATGTGTTTTCTCCAGGTCATGTATGCCATGGCACCTGCACCCGGTCCATCATTCAACAATGGTTTGAATGCTATTGAGTGACTAGCACCCCGGAGTGAATCTGTTATTCGGGTATCTAGGCGGTCGGGGGTTTTTTCCCTCGGATCTGTGGTATATACCTACGCGTGTATATATACCCAGTTCAGTGAATGGCCTGGGCTCTGATGGAGTGGGAAAATCAACCCAGGCCGTAAACTCTTCAATTGGAAAGTCAATTTTTTTTTTTTTTTTTTTTTTTTTTTTTTTTTTTTTTTTTGGATGGGAGGTACTCCTGAATCACCTGCCGATTGTCACCACTAGCTTGCAGGATTATATTATGTATCATTTCTCTTCCCTTCCCCGTCCAGTGTTTTTGCAATTATTGCAATCCGGCACCTAATCCAGGCACTCAACATCCTAAAAGAAAATGAACACAGGATATTATATGTTGGTAAAACAGGAACAGACCAGAAATGAGGGTGGCCCGTAGAATTGGAGCATAGTTTTCTGCCTTGTCAGCAATGTGGCAATAATGAGTCGGTGTTCATCTGTATGATTGATTTATGGTTCAATTCCAATGAGCATGATGTTGTTAGCCATACTCCATAACACAAAATCTTCCGAAACTGGTCATCAATTCGCCTCTATAGCTCAGTGGTAGAGCGCTTGACGTAAGCAACCCCGATTCTACTGGCCAATTCGAATATTTACTAACAAATCATCAGTTGTACCTTGATATGAGATCAAGAGGTCCGTGGTTCAATCCCGCGTGGAGGCACTTGTTTTTTCTTTTTTCTTTACCCTACTCCCGCGCTCATTTACCACTGAATATCAACAGCCTACTTTACCGGGCACCAACAATGCCATAAATAGGCCGTATAATACTCAGTGTTCGAATCAGATGTGACTAAGGAAATGAGATAAACCAATGAGATAAACCAATCTAGCACTCGGCCTTATCCTAGTACTCAATAAATAGCAACCCGAGACCGACCCATTGTCTAGGGAGTACTCCGTAAGGGTAAGGTATGGACGAGAGCGTTGCATCAACTGATGACGACCCCAAACGATCGATATGAAGATCCAATTTCCCCATGACGGGCAGAGACGCCAAGGAGGGGATTAAGAATACTCCGTCGCACGAGGGATGCAAAGAATAGAATCAAAGACAGCTGAGCTACTAGCTTGCCGGGAAGCTTCGCGCGTTAACATTGCGATCGGCCAGGACCAGCTCGCTTGACGCAAAGACCACCCTTCCGTCCACATGGGAGATGATAATTTAACGTACGGAGTATAAAGATTATTCTTAGCAACTCGTCCGTGCAGAATGCCGTTTTTGAACCTTACGGAGTACTACTTCATACGTCGATGGGTAAGTCAGAGGTCGTCAATCCCACGGGTCAGATAGGAGCAGATTGTCTAAACTACGGAGGAGTAGTAATATTATTGAGCCAGGGGATGAATTGCAGCCCTACCCAGCGTCCGCTCGGTACGAGTCACTCGGCTGGAATCATTTCGCACCGATGCATGGTTCATGGTGAAAACCAGAGCTCCTCGTGGTCCTGGCCATTTACACCGTGCAGCAGATGTACATCCACGGAACTTAAAATCGATAATTTCAGGGCGACCCATAAACTAGTGGTTCGTCTCAGTCCGTGGCAGGGATTGCTTGAAACCCAATTTGCAAGGAACACGCGTGGGCCAGGCAATTAATTAAACGAGCATCATTTCAATCTGGCTCTGGCGATGATTGACCCCGTCGTGCTCCCTCTCGGCTGCTAAGATGATGGAAGGGGAATTAAGATGAGCAATTTCCCAACGGCCTCCTCTGATGACGGCTCGGATTACGGTCCATTCGATCGGATCAAATCACCTTTCCCACCCCCTGGACATTGGCGCTGCAACCCCGACCAGGATGGTTGGATGATTCTCCCGTCCGAGTGATGCAGGTCGCAGTGTTTGGTATCGTCCTGGCCTGGACTGCCCCGGAGATACCTCGTTAGGTAGATTTAGGTAGATTATCGGCATGAATTAATTAGGTCTCCAGCCCTCTCTTGGCCCGCGGACGCTCGGATGCCAAAGAATTATGGTTTAGTCTGTAACGTTAGAATCGGCGGCCACGGTGTGAAATAGATGACCGTTTGGATCGATGCGGTTCCGTGACTCGCGAGAATGAATTAATCTTGCTGACTCGGTTTGGGTAGGCCTTGACTCTTGGGATAGCTTGGCGATGCGACCGACCTGCGCCCGACGTGGGCAGACCAGCGGTTTTGGATGGGACGAGGCCTCTCCGGAGGAACTCGCATAGTGGGATCCCGTCATCCGGCATCCCAATAATCCATGCTTGATAATCGTAAAGTGATATGCATCCCTTATCCACCCGAGGATTCAGTCGTGATCGTTGCTCACGTCAAAAGACCAGAATTTATTGCCTGACCCGCATCGATCCACTTTTCCGCGCGACGAGGAAGATCGATGCATCGTGCGAAGGGAGGGGAGATAATACGATATTACTTCTCGTTGTGTACTTTTTTTTGGTGGGTTTTGGGGGGAGGAGGGGGGGCCGGAACGATTTGGCCCCGACACGCGAGCGATCTGATTTTACTGAATTTGGGGGGAGACTTTGATAAGGATGACAAATGGCATTTCCAGACCCTACGTATACGGAGTAATATCATATCATGTTGAGTATATTACTTCTTACTCCGTACGACTGCATACTGCGTACTCCGTATCATCGACGATCTACGAGAACTGCGTGACACCGGGAGGGGCGTCATCCATCGGGAGAGAAGGGACTATTGTTTCCAGTTCCCACCGGTCGTCGCAGTGCCAGCGACCCAACATACTCCGTAGAACTTTGGCCGAGCTCGGCAGGAAGGGTTCTGAGCGTTCTGGTCAATTGTGAGATCCTCCGTATGGCATCCTCTCGACTCGACGCATAGATGATAGTGAATGGCGCTAAGTCGGCGAGTGTCACAAAAGTGTCACATCGTCGGGCGGGCAGAAAGTCAGAAACCGCCCATGTCTCAGCGCGGGCCAATCACGGCGTGGCGCTGCTCCACCGCGTCGAACTTTCTTACTTTTCAGGAGTTTCGGATTTGATTATTTTATTTTGGGGTTTTTGTTTCATTACGCTGTATACTCCGTCCTCAGCTTCATTCATCCCGGATGGCATCGACTGCGCTGTTCGCTGCCACCCACTCCTCCTGCCGGGAGTTTCTCCGCTGCCCTGATTGATTGGCTTTTCCGTCTCCATTCTTTGTCCCACGCCTTCGTTTCTGTTCGGCCTCTCCTCCCTTGCCATACAATTCATCGTACTAATAATCCTCCCCTCCTCCCATCGACTCCCGTCAGCGCTTTCCCTCTCTTTCCTTTGTCTTTTTTTTCTTTTTCTTTTCTTTTTTTCCCCTTCCCTTTCCCCTCTTCTCCCTTTCCTCTCTCTCTCTCTCTCTCTCACTCTCTTACTCTCTCTCCCTCCCCCTCCCTCCATCTCTCCTTGCGCGCTGCCTGCGTGTCACCGATCCTGACATTAACGAGATCCCGGTCCATTTCGCTCGCTTGTTCGCTCTGGATCGTTCTGCCAGTCTGACCGACCTCTCAGCGTTGTCACACTGCCGCCAGCCAGCCTTAGTTAACCGCTTGTTCCAAGTATCCGACCACGCCTTGTCACAGCTGTCGGACCAACGAATTCGCCTGCTCGCTTTTCTGTTGGTTCTCCTGCGTCCTCCCTGCGTTGGGGTTTTTATTTCTGTTTCTAATCCTTTCTCTGCTTGATTTCCGCAGAACCAAAGGATCATCAAGAAAATAAAAAGGAATATCCTATTCTTTACCCACTTTTTCCAAGCTGTTCCTCCCCCTCCTCCAGATAGCCGCCCTCCGCCGCGCTCTGTGACCCGCGCGCGCCTTTTGATTCGGTCTCGCCCTCCCATTCCGACCGGAGGTCTGGTACCAGAGAAGCTTGATACCTGATCTGCCACAGACCCTTTGGCGTTTGCTGCACCTCCCACCAACCTCTGGGTGGCACAGTAAGACAGCGACTTGAGAAAGGGTTTATATACGGGGCTGTGTGAGACAACCCAGTGCTGTGCATGCAGGACGACTGGTGGCTTTCACATCGACCGACCATTGTCCTCTCCGATCACCTACACCACTTTGCGAGCTGATCATCTATCAAGGAGTGCTTGTACTCCACTCCCTTCCCTCACCCGCCTTTGTTCCCTCATAGCCAGTTCTACATTCTTCTTCTCTTTGGTTGCCATTATGTCGACCGCCGTTGCGTCTGCCACCGCTGCTCCGTTGGCTTCTCCGCACATCAACCACGATCGAAGTCCGAAAAATTGCCCAACGCTGGCCCCCATGAATTCCGGCAATCAGCCTAGCACCACCCCGCCTCGGCCGTCGGGTGCGTCTCGAGATGGTTCTTCGACCAAAAGCTCTCCCTCCGGGAAGAAGCAAACGTCTCCTTCGTAAGCCCTCATCCCCCCTGGCCCGGTTTTGAAGATGGCACTGCAGGTGAAAGAGACCTAACTAACGACCTTTTTTTTCTCTCTCTCGTAATAGTTCACAGAACGGAAGCAACCCTCCTAAAGTGATCGTCAAGAAAGAACCACCCTCGTCTCCGGCGATGCAAACGCACACTCGTCCCCGACCCCGGAAACTAGACCTTTCCACCAGTCTTCCGACTTCCGGAGGCCTGTCAGCTCGCCCTCCAGGCGGTCCCATGACCGCTCGAGATGGACTTACTATGCAAACCGTCGGTATTGCTTGTTTGTCACCCGGGTTCCAGACCCACGATCCCATCATGAGAGAACAGCTTCAGCGGAGTTTGTCCGTACGAGACCAGCAGAGGTCAATTATCGAGTCGCGGCTGAACAAGTCCGCTAAGGATGACGGCCCGGATGGTGTGAAACCGTCCGAGTCTGCGTTCGGAATCCCCAAGACCGCTTCCTCCAAGAGGAGGCCTCCCGGCTTGTCAATCGTTCCTCCGTCTGCCGCCCAGTTCGCCAACGAACGTGTCGTTCAATCCGCTCCGCTGAATCAAACCTTCACGGGAAGGCATCAGGCTCAGCCGTTGACCCGCCATCTGGTCAACCAGAGCCCTACACTGGGCTCGACCTCTCACATCCATCATGTTCCTGCCACTCAAACGAACAACCGTCTTCCACCACTTTCCGATGTCTTCGGATCTGACGCATTGGGCTCCCGTGACCGAGAGGCAAATCGCCCTCCCTATTATCAAGGTGCATCCGGCTCGAATTCATCCCAATCAAATAATCTGCCTCCCATGCCGTCCCCTAGAATCCCCGCTAGTGCTACGCAGGCCTCCAACCGGCCTCGAGAATATCGCTCCGCCGAAGAAGCCGTCCAAGAGCTATCGGGTGGCCGGGAGGAGCTGTTGCCGCGTATCGTCCACTACGGAGGCCATCAGCCCCCGACTCCGCCGTCGCCGCGTATCGGCAACGGTCCAAAGTCCGCTATGGCCCAGCCGGATGCTCGGCCTATGACGAACGCCCACGCTCCCCCACCGCCTCAGCCAACGGCGTATCCATCGGAGGGCACTGCTCGCCGTCGCCCTCGCAGTGAATATGAGCAGGACAACGGAAGTCCCCCCTTGGGCCATGGCCCCGAGCCACACTACCGACCCAATCCGGCTTTGGCCTCGGGCGCAGGCGCCACGTATGGACCTTTCGGAGCAGGAAGAGACTCACCCGAAACCCAGCGGAGAAAGAAAGAGGAGTTTTTGGGCCTGTGTGCAAGAGCCTGGGATTTGTTCCACTCTTGAGCGCCCTCCTTCCTCCCCCGAATAGCATTCTTGCAGAATCTGCGTCGGGGTAAATAAATTGAACCCGGCTTTAACTGAATGGCACCAACAATGCCGAAGGCTTGCAATATGCAATTTAACGGTACTTTGGCAGTCTGATATTCTCCCGAGGATGGAGGAACATTTGCCTGGCATTTGAACATGATGGATATGCACAAACACCAAAAAAACCATGACTTATCTATATGAATGGCATGAACAGTATCTTCTGAGTCTGGAAGGACTATTGTTTATGTTTCTACTTTGGTCATTTTCTTTCTTCTCCCTCCGCTCGTTCACTCACTCACTCATTCCTTCTTTGCTAGCTTTTCCTTTACTTATACCATCTGTGGCCGGAAGCTGAGATTGGCTTCGTCGGTCCTGCTCAACAAGGTGCTAGGCGTTTCTGGTTCGGGTTTCCCAGTATTTTCAAACATCACGTCTCCAAGAATTATGTCGATATTTGCTTTTAGGGTTGTTTTGTTCTGTTCTTCCCTCCGCACATTATTTTCGGCAGATTCTATGTTTTTTGACAGTTTTCGATTTTCGACTTTATATTGTTGTCTGTTTTTTTATATCGAGGATACCATTTATTTGATTGCTTTCAGTTTTTGACATAACATCTTTTATTGGACGATTGTGGATGACTGTCCCAACAATTTTTCTGGAGATTCATATTCTTATCTTTTTTCTCTCTTTTTTCTCCCTATTTCTTTCTTTTATTTTCCTCATACCTTTCTCTTTTCCCGGTACGAGTTCAACTATAATTTTTTTTTGGAAAGTTGGGATGATTTTTAGTTCGAAGATCATTAATATCAGGCTCCTTCCTCGATTACCGGTGGACCTTCTATTCTTCAAAATTGAGTGCCTATATGTTTTCCATAAGAAGCGTGCGAGTGCGCCAATCACCGAACCAATTTAGAACCGGTATTCCTTTGGGATGTCGTGATATTGGGGTATTTCAACATGGAACCTGAGCGAAGGAAATTATCTACACAACTTTCAACTATTCTAGGCCATTCTCCGGCGTTTTCTGCCTTCTCCATCGTCACCATCACCCATGCCTCTTCGTTCCATGGGCATCTCCTTCCGCTCCTTGGAAGCCATCTTCTTTCGTCGTCTCTCCAGAGCCTTCGCCCGATCCTTGGAGTTCATGTCCTCGTACTTCTTGAGTAGAACCTGCTTCTTCAGGTCCGACTTCTTCATGTAATAAGGATTGCTCTTCTTTCCTTCGCTGATGAGTTGTTTCTCTCGTTTCTTATGGTCGGCCATGACCTCCTTCTCGCGCTTCTTATTCTCCATCGCTCGTAGACGATCGGACGTAGACCGAATGGTGCGCTTCAATTCCTCCTTTTCGTTCACATTCTTGGTCTTCGCAAGCTGCTCTTTCAATGCTTTAAGTTCATTGGCACGGTATTCATCCAGGAATCCGTACGCCTTTTCGGCGGCTTCTGAGTTTGACCGACTACTTGAGCTCATGACTGTCGGATCAAATCGCGGATCTCGTGACTTGGGGATAGATGGTGGTTCAACGATCGTTCGCTTGCGGGAAACGGCATGCTTGGACGACTGGACCATTGGGGCATGTTTGGAGGAGCGCGATGCTTTCTTCTCGGCATCTTTCAATGCTTGTCGTTTTTGCTCACGTGCCTCGAGGATTCGAGCTCGAATGTCGTCCAGCGGCGATGAAGCGGAAGGTTCCTCGGTCGATTTAGACGGTTTGGAGTGGCGCTTGCTGTTCGAGCCCATAGAAGCTTGTGCTTTGGCAAGGGCGCCGAACGATATGTTGTTGAGAGAGGCTCGTACGTCTTCGTTTCCATCATCGTCGTCTTCGCTTTCGTCCTCGTCCGCCTCGTCTTCGTTTGCGCTGTCCGACTGGGAATCTTGAGCCTGATAGAATTAGCCAACTATGCGGTTTGTACAATGAAGAATTCGGGGTCCAAACCAGATCGTCGACCCCCTCGGAGTCATCTTCGCTCCCATTTTCCGAGTCTGATGCCTCCGAGCCCTCATTCTGGACCCCGGTCTCGGATGGCGCTTCGTCGGAGTAGTCATCTTCGTCATCCTCCGGTCTAGCCCGCACGCGGCGATTCAGGAGATCGGAGATAGCCATGATTTCAGGATCGCACTCCGACAGGTCCAGTTAGGGTTCAGAAGAATGCGACGAGGAGAACTGCGGCGGTGAAGTCGGAGTGGAAAAAAATTCGCGAATACTGCCGTCAATTGGGGCGGTGAGGAGGGCGGGTTTTCTCCCGGTGGCCGATCTCGACCGTTTTGGTTTGCGATTCGATTGCTTTTTGCCATCCGTCGTTTCGTCTTTGCTCCTGAGCCGCTGTCCTTCTTCTTCTGCTGATCGCTTTCGCGCATCCTTTTGGGATGTCCGTCCCATCCTGTCTTTTCGTTGCATTCACTCGTTCGACTTTGACCGGGCCAGCTGCTGCATCCTGTTGTCGCATATCTCACGGTGGAGGGGCCTCCAAGGTACGTACTTACAGACGGGAATCAACGCCCATTGCTCGATCAGGTTGGCCAATCACTGACCATTTTAGTTGATCTCTGTCTATTCGGCGACTTCTAAATCATCAACCGACCCCCTATCGCTCCCCCAGTCTAAGTCAAAGCAACAGCCTACAATTTCAAGTTCGGGCGCGAGTCAATCTTCAGGTCCAGAAATGGGGTTCCAAGGAGGCCCGAAGGAGAGTTTCTCCAGGGTAGGAGATCGACCGGGAAACATTGAATCATATGACGGGGTCAATGGCAATGCTTCGAGAACGTCATGGCGACCATACCGGGGGCGTTGGAACCCAAAATCGGCTCCTAATCGGCAATCGGACAAAAGCGCTTCCAACACTCCTGAGAAAGCGAACGCTGGGAACTCGCGTAGGAATCGCAAAGCGCGCAAGAATCAAGGCCAAAGCTTGAATCCGGAAGCACAGGCATACGGGTCTCAGATGGAGCAGCCGTTCGGTTTCCCCGGGTTGCAATCATCGTCGCAAGCCTTTCCGTCTCAGATGGCTTCCAACAACTCGGGAACAGCTCCAGAGTACCCGCTGAATCTTCCAAATATCAACACCATGCCACCATTCCCGGGCTTTCCAGGCGCTCCGGACGTTTTTAATGGCCAGAGGTTTCAGTTTCCGCCTCTAAACCCATCAGACCAGCAGCAACAGTACCAATCATCTTTCAACGCCCCATCATGGAATGACATGAACAACTCGACGAATCTACTCCCACCGCTGATGCCTTCTCCGGCGTTCATGATGAATATGGGTTTGCAAGATCCGGCACTGACAGGGCCCATGTTCAACGGCTTCCCTTTCCTCCCCTTTGATCCCATGGCCCTCGCATCTGCTGGTTCCACGGGAGGGTTTCCAGCGATGCCAGAGATCCCACCAGAACAGCATTCGAAGAACATCCAGAAGAAAAAATCACAATCAAAACCCCTTCGCACTCCTTCGCCAAGTCAAGGATATCTCTCGCAGTCGTCTCTACCACCCACAGCATCCCAATCTCCCCAGCCCCTACTCATCATTCTTGACCTGAACGGCACGCTCATCTACCGAAAACATCGGCGTTTACCCCCATCATTCATCAGGCGAGCCGGGCTAGATAACTTTCTTAACACATTGCTAAGAGACTACAAAGTCATGATATGGTCCAGCTCCCAGCCGGAAACCGTCAACGCCGTTTGCGAAAAGCTCTTCCCGGGCGACAAGCGAAAGGCCCTCGTGGCCGAATGGGGCCGAGACAAGTTCAATCTCCCGACAGATCAATATCGCGCCAAAATCCAGGTCTACAAAACGTTGGAAACGGTCTGGGCGGACCCGAAGGTCCAAGCCTCCTACCCAAGCTCCCAGGGCAACAAATCCCGCTGGGATCAAACTAACACCATCTTGATCGACGACAGCAAACTCAAGGCAGCCAGCGAGCCGCATAACATCCTTGAGATCCCCGAGTTCACCAACGCCCCCGACGATCCCTCGATCTTCCCCAAGGTTCTTCGCGTCCTCGAGATCCTCGCAAAACACGACGACGCCAGCAAAGTCCTCCGCGACTGGCAGTCCAAGTTATCCGGAAAGACCAATATCCTCGACCTCCCCTTCAACGGCGACACCATTGACTTCCGTTTGCTCAACACCACCACCTCTTCCTCCTTCTCATCCACCCAGAACAACTCTCAACCCCAACCACCCCTTCCTCCGCCAACCGGCCCCGAAGCAGCCGCCCAAGCCCGCAAAGAGCGCCGCAAGGTCCGCAAACAAGAACGCAAGGCGCGCCAGAAGGAGCGAAAATCCCGCAGCACGGACGACGCAAAGCCCGTCCCGCTCGCCGTAGCAGGAGCAGCAGCAACAACAACCGCTACGACTTCATCATCCACCGAGGTCGACCGTCCCACTCCGTCCGCGCGCTCGCCGTCCCCTGCGACGTCGACCGAGTCCGAGAATTTCCTTCTAGATCGATTAGAGGAGTCGTTGAATGTTTAGACGGCGTGCATTGCTTACTGGCATTTGGGATCTACTCTGTCCGTGCATTTGAAATGTTTGCCCGTCTGTTTGTTAGTTGGGTTTGGTTGGATTGGTAGGTTTGATTCATACGGGTCCGCCTGTAGTTAGTTTTGATTTGAGGGATTTTGTTATCCATAGACTATGCATACACTATTCAATAGATACCCCAAGAATTTTTGACTGTGGTGCGGGTTGTATTTGTTTTGTAAGTAGCTGAGTAGATACATATTTGTAAGTACTGCCATATATATCCAATATAGATCCAGGGGGAAGGTACATACAAGGAAGAATCACATAAAGAAGCTACATGTTACGAAGAGGAGAATATTAATATTTAGATGGCAAAGCATCAATCAAGTGCTTGCTGCTGGTTGTATTGCTATGAGCTAGCTACTGCATCATCCAACATCTCAAATCGTAAGCGTGACGTGATATCAAAATTTTTGGTAAAAAAAAAAAAGCTTCGAAGAATGAAAACACGTAAACCGTTCCACGTGGACAGCGTAGACATTAAGGCGGGAGGAGGCAAGGCAGAAGAGCGGACAGGCGGGGGGATGTCAAAACGTCCAACCCAGCTGACCGGGAACACTTTTCACCTTAAAGAGAGGTAGGGTGGCGTGGTTTTCATGGAGCCGGGTCTCATCTGGAAGCTCACCCGACTAGAAAGTAGGTCAGGTTGACAGGGAAATTGTCTGGAGTTCCGACGGAGTCATTTATTTGAAGACGTGGCCATCAACCCAGGGGTATTCCTTGTCGTTGATGGTGACGGAGGTGTCCCAGGCCCACATGTCCTCGATGTACTTGCGGTCCTCATCCTTGGAGGGGTCGAGCTTCTCGAAGTTGTAGCTCTCCCAGTCGGGGGCAACATCGAAAGCAGGGGCGTGCTCCTGGCCACGGACCAAGAAGACACCACGGATGATGCAGTCGTAGTTGGTACCGAAGACGGACTGAGCACCGAAGAGGTACTTGCGAGAGCCCTCAAGACGAGCGTGGAAGCCACCTGAAGGGAGAAGAATCAGTATCAGGATCGTAGCAGACAGGGGTAAAGAACAAAACACATACCGATCAGGTTGTTGGCCATGAAGGTGAGCTTGAGCTCGTTGTCGTACTTGTAGTCGACACGCCACAAGGAGTACTCCTCGGGCTTGTAGTTCTGCCAGAACCAGGGGAGGGAGGTGGGGCGAGTGTCCTCGTTAGAGTAGAAACGCTTCCAGTCGTCGAGGACGAACTCGGGCTTGCCAAGAGCCTCAAGGGGGTGCTTGGCCTTCTTGGGGGCCTCCTCAGCGGGCTTCTCAGCGGCGGGGGCGGCGGGGGCAGCCTCCTTCTTGGGCTTCTCCTCCTTCTTGGGAGCGGTGTACTTGATGATCTCGTCAACAAGGACGGGCTTCTCAACAACAGCCTTGAAAGCGGGCTGGTTGATGATGGTCTGGTACCATCTGGCGATGGCGGGGTTCTCGGAGCGGAAGGTCTTGTCCAAGACGGTGGCGAAGGCCCGGGTGAGGAGGGCGGCAGCGAAGAAATCGGCCAGGGTGATACGCTCACCAACAAGGTAGGTGTTGGCAGTGAGGTGGGTGTTGAGAACGGAGAGGTTCTTCAGGGCAGCCTTGGAAGCCTCGTCGACGTTCTTCTTGTTGTAGGCGTCCAGACCCATCAAGGGGCGGTACCAGGCACCGAAGCGGGGGAGGACCTCGGCGTTGACATAGGACAACCAGCGGAGGATGGAAGCATAGTCCTGCTTGGTCTTACCCAAGAGGGTGGTCTTCTCGTTCTGGGAGGTCACTGGGCGGCAATTAGCTCATCGCGTCGAGAAATGAAACCATATCAACACATGTGGAGAAAGGGTTGAAAAAAAAATCGAAAGCGACTTGAAAATTTTCCGCCCCCAAAGCGGGGTAACAAAGAAAATTTGGTTCAGAGGTGTAAATTATCAACACTGTTTGTTCTGCCAGGGATAACTAGTAATAAAAAAATTGCTCATCATAGAAGACGCTGATTGTGTGTGTGTATGTATTATGAAAAAGAAATGCGTTGCAATGGCTTACCGTAGACGGCGATGGCAATGGCCTCGGAGAGAGTGTAGCCATTGGCACCCTCGAAAGCAGGGATCTTGCCCAGGGGGCTGAGCTTGGTGTACTCGGCCGACTTGTTGAAGTCAGCAGCAGAGTTCGCCTGGGTGTTAACCAACTCCAACTCAACGTCGTTGGCCTTGGCCGCGACGAGGATGGCGATGGTGCGACCGTTGTCCTGAGGGGGGATGTCAAATTAGCCAACCGATAACCCAGAAGAAAGACAGATGCATCTGGACTGTCAACAGAGACAGAGGACAGGGGGGCAAGACATACAGGCAGACCGTAGAGCTTTCCGAAGGCCATTGTGAAGGATGATGGATGGGGAGGGGAAGAGGGAGAGAAGAAGGGAGGAAGAAAGTCGAGGGGTTTCAACGAAATTTTGTGCGAATCAGACGGAGTCGGCGCCGGAGGAACGTTTGCTCGTCCACGTGACTGCGCGAAAAACCTCAGGGCCGCCCGGATTCGGCATCGCCGCCTCCAGCCCATTTGAGCTGCCGTCGCTTCGAGTCCCGTCCTCCCTGGCCCGCTGCCGTCTCTCCTGTTTTTCTCGATTCCTCCCGCCCAAGCCCAGGTCTTTTGCCCATCCGGCATCTCGCGCCATGGCCTGGCAAACGCCCAATTGCATCGTGCAGGCGATGCAATCCGTCCGCCGGACGGCTCACTTGCGGCCTGTCCTCCGGGCCCCGAAGCTGGCCTCCCCGACCCTGCTTCACCACCAAAGAAACGTCCGCGGCTATGCCATGGAGGTTGCGCCCGCTCCCGAGATCGACCTGGAGACGTTCAGAGCGCGGCCGGCCCGGATTGTTCCTGCCTCGGCCGCCTACTTCTCCGGCAGTCCTAGATTCATCGATCACCTGCTGCGATTAGAACACATGTTGGCCAAGTCTGCGGCCATCCCGACGGTATCCCCGGCCGACGCCCCTCGGAAGGCATGGCTCAAGCTGCCTCAATTCCGCGACTTTGTCGGCGAGAACGTGCCCACGAAGAAATACAAGCACCTCGTGAAGATCTTGCAACGGCTCAACCGGATCGACCCCATGGTGATCCCGACGGAAGTGAGGACCACGCTGGATTCGTTCGTTCGCCCGGGTAACCCCTACGCGAACAAGCCACTTCCGCCGACGGTGGACGAGATGGGCCGGGCCCGGGGCCGAGGAAAGCGAAAGGAATCGTCGGCCGTCGTTCATCTGGTCGAGGGAGAAGGAGAGATTCTGGTGAACGGGAAGAACCTGCTCGAGGTCTTCCCTCGGGTGCATGACCGGGAGAGTGCGACGTGGCCCTTGAGATGTACCTCGAGACTGGATAAGTACAACGTGTGGGCGACCGTCCGCGGAGGAGGAGTTACTGGACAGGCCGAGGCTATTACGCTGGCGCTGGGACGCGCACTGATGGTTCAGGAGCCTGCGTTGAAGCCCGTCCTGCGGCAAGGTACGTTCTCCTTTCGTTTCTTTTTCTTTCTCATCCACCCGTTCCGTTGCTAACTATTCCCCTAATAGCCGGCGTCATCACGGTGGATGCCCGTCGCGTGGAAAGAAAGAAGGCCGGCCATCTCAAGGCCCGCAAGAAGCCCGCCTGGGTCAAGCGTTAAAGTCGGTCTTGGGTCGATCTTCTGGGGTTGGTGCCCCCCCCCCTATTCTGTGTATCCCTTGTGTTTCCTTTCCCTCTCCCTGTATTATTTTGATGTACCCTTGTGATTCTCGACGACTGTATATCCTGTATTGCGAGCATCCCTTTCCAGATGTCATGGTCGTTTCAAAGTACGACACTGCATGGTCTCGGCGACAAGCATGTAACTATTGGCGTTAATTCATCCAAATCAATTTGTCGTATTGGACCAATTATTGGGTATCACGAAGTCTCGGAGACGATTCATTGGACGAACCGAGCGAATTCAGGCCGCCTGGACGCTGCGGGGGTCAAAAGCTCCTCGGTCCATTTCCTGAAGCCCGGGGGAGTCGACAATAAGACCGGACGAGCGGTCCAGACTATTTGATTCTATCGATGGCCAAGGAGTACCCGTTACACAAGCAAGGCCAGTAGGTATACGCTATGGCGCACTAGTTCCTCGAGCAGTTCGTCGGGCTTTCAGCAAATACGATGTCAAAGCCAAAATGAATATAACAAAGAAGCAAGTAATAAAGTCAAAATCCGACCCGTACGTACGCGCATCCAGCAGAGTCAGCGTACGAATCACCGGGAGTGATGGGGTTACACCGTTGCAGACTATGCAAGCTTGTAAGAACCGACGCAGCGAACACCAAGAGGGAATGCTAATGATGATGATAATAAATTATAGTACTAATAATCAACAGGGATTAGACAACCAGAACCTGTCCTGATGACAGTGACTCAGATCAGTCACCAATGTAGGAGTTCACCGAGAGAGTCCGAAAACTTCAGGGAACTTCAGGGCGGGCTTTGCCTGATATGCCACGGTATAGGCACCACGCTACATGGAATTCCGGATGTCCCGTGGCAGTGGAGCAAACGAGCTCCCTCCCCTGACCAAAGAACGGGCATAGATGGCGAGGGGACCGTCCGTCGATTCCCCAGGACTTCTCCAATCGTTCCCCAGTCTCCTGAAAGGGACGCAGTGGCATACGCGGACGCTCCCGGCGCCGCTCGGACCCGGTCATATGGATTTGATAGCCACGGGGCTTCGACCGGGCGCGAGGAGCACGGGTTGTGCATTGGGGGAGTCTGCAGAAGACCGGTTGACACGCCAGTCCGTTCAGGGGTTGTTGTCAACAGGGCAGACGACACCTTGTTGGAGGGCCGTGGCAGACGTAATTGATATATGACCAACCCCGTTGCTGGGGAGACATACCCCGACACTGAACAAAGCAGTCGGGGCTGCAAAAGTACATGCACCTCGTGTAATCCGAAATGATTTGCCCGCAGAGCGAGAGGAAATCTTTTGGAATCCACGGGAAAAGAAAACGTGCCACAAGCGTGAACGAGCGGCCGTCCACGAGTGACTAAGACATGGAACCGGGGAATTTTTCCAGAGAAGCGCCACCAGCGAGATCACTTGCTATAGTTAGCCTGAAGGGAGTGGAAGTTGGAGGGCGTGTGGTTCCGGTGACCCAAGTTTGACATATCCGACATGACCCACCGATATCCCTGGCCTCTAGGGGTCGATCTGGTTGCAGGACATGTAGGGATGTTTCGGCGTCGACAGCTGTGGTGAGCCAGACGGATTGGCAATCATCCTACAGGGGACCCTCCAGTCATCTCCGGGGCGGACTGGGATGACGGAGACCCGTCGATTGGGTGACGGAAGCCCCGGTGGAGCGTTAACCGCGCTGCGCACTCAAGATTTGGACCACGAGGATTGATTCGGAGACCCATTGGATCAGATGCGCCCTCCTGAGGGGATTGAGCTCGCCTCCTCGAGATGGAGGACCGGGGGGGAGACAGGACCCGGGATGGGCACTCGTGTTCTGTATGACCTGTCGAGACGCGACAGACGGAACCTCGCAATGGGAAGCCGAGGAGGCATGATGTCAGGACGGCGGCGATGATGATCATAATAGGGCAACGATATAGACCGAAGGGGCGAGGGCAGGAACAGAGCAAACCGGGTCGTCCCGATCGAGCCAAGCAGCACGAGCAGAGGCTGCAGACACTGCATCGACAGATTAAAAATGACGGGTCCAATATCCAGGCATGATCCGATCGCGATCCCGATGCATTCATTCGCATGGGCCAAATTAGCGATTGATTAAAATGGATGTGCAGCGATTCCGTCCGCCGCCAGTGTTGCAACCAAGACGATTAGCGTGAGGCTGTAACCGCCTCACTTTTGATTTGTTTTTATTTGTCTCATTTGAAACCGTGGCAGGGTTGAGCAATGGATTTTGCGGGACCAGAGGTCAGAAAGGCGGAGGTCAGACCGATGATTCCAAATCCACGGGCCTCGATTGCACCCACAGCATCGGGGCGGCTCCAGGCGAATGACGGCGGAATGCAGACGCCGATCGTCGTGAGGGATGAAGTGTTGACAGAAAGCCGGGACGAAAGGATTGGGCGAGTGTCCGGGGGCGTGGATTAGCTCTTCCGGGTGGATCGCGGACTCTGACTAAAAGACAGAGTCAAGACAAAAAGGGCCAAAAGGTGGATCTGCCTGTGAGAAGGCCGGATTGGCCCGACGCGAATCCCAGCTGGCCGGAAGGTGTGAGACTAGCCAGGCACATCGAAGCACCTATCCTAGTACTAGATACTAGATACTACGCAGTAGATACGAGATACTAGATACTGGATACTGGATACTACCTACTGGATCCCGGAATTGGGGCCAGTGGATCCCTTCAGCCCATCGCATGGTCTGCCATCCGTCGCCTCATTTCGAACTGCATCCTCAAGCAGGAGGAACCCGTTCCGGCTGAATGGTTCGTCAATCCCTCAGGATCGCCTGGACGCGATGGGAGATCGGCGTTCTCGGGCTTTCCAGGCGCCTGGAAAGCGTCGAGGTTGGAATAGGCATTGATTGGCCCGAGGACGAGCCATGGAACGCAGGCGTCAACCTAATCCTGTAGACATTCTCCATGTGTATACTCCGTGCAAGACGAAGGACGAGGCACTAGACCCAAGCAGCATCTCCTCCGTCTCTAGTCTCGGAAGTGGATATTCGCCAGAATTATCTATCAAGTCGAGGAATGGAGGTTCAGGCGTCAATCCCAAGAGGGAAACAGGAAAAAGAAAAGAAAAAAAGGATTGGAGAGGCGTCCATTGTTCTGCCTGTATTTTGTTATTTTATTTCTTTTCTTTTTTTCCTTTTCCTTCTTCCTTTCCCTGTCTCCGTCTGTCTCTCTCTCTCCGCCGCCTGTTCTTTTTTTATTTTATTTTCTTTTCCCTTCCTTTTTCTTTTCTTTTTTCCATTTTATTTTCTATTCGTTTTATTTTATTTTATTTTCTTCCTTGTTTCCGTCCCTCCATCCTTCTTCTGGGTCGACGGTGGGGAGAAGGACGAGAAGGATGATGATAACTCGTCCAAAGCCCTCGTTTGCTCTCTCTCGAACACTCGACGATGTCATTCATCCTCTCCATCCTCTTCTCTTCTCCATCCCGACAGGCTGATCTGCCCCTCCATCCGTCAATACTCAATAGTTGCCTTTCCCCCCCGGGAGATCGTCGAATCCTGTTTGCGCCTGGTATAAGTATTGCCCCCCCAAGCCCTCATTCTCGTCCGGACTCTATCGCTGCCTTGTCTCGCTCCCCACTTGCTGTCTCGTCGGTCATGATTGATTCCCAATAAGAACTTTGGGCTGCAATTCGGAGCATAAGCCATTGGACCTGCTGAAACGTATGAAAGGGAAACATCGGTGACCCCCAATCAACTTGCAACCCGACGCTCTCTAGTCTGGTTTGAATTTCTTTTCTTTTTCGCCTTCATTCGTCGCCATCTTTCTTTATTACCTCATCTCCTTTTTTTGAGATCGACCGGGATCCTCTGGGTCCGCCTCTCCAATCGTCGGTTTTCGGGAAGCGTTGGAGAAGGATTGCGGTGCTTTAAGTATATCCTGTCCCTTTTTTTTCCCCCCTCGTCGCTCTGTGTGCGCGCATTTGTTTGCCTCCGTTTCTTTCTTTCTTTCTCTCTCCCTCGCCCTCTCCTTCCTTCTGTTTTCTGGATTCTTTCGCTATTTGCGTCGGTCCCTCCATTGCCTCCGACTGTTGTTCTCTTTCCCTGTGTTTCTTTTCTTTTCTTTTCTTTTTTTTTGATGTCTGACCCGTGCCCCTCCATCTATACCCCTCCATCGTCATCCTTTGAATGTCTTCGGGACTAACCTTCCCTACCCACCCTTAGATCGCACGTTCTAGATTGGTACCGGGGTTCTTGTACAAATCGTGATTCCGTGGGACCTATAGGCGCGCCTAAGCCTACGAGCACTGCTGGCTAAGATCTCAATCCCTGTCCGCCTGTACTCCGACAGAAAGGAAACAGAAGGCTACACGCAGGGCCAAAGCTTTTCCAGAAAACACATCCAAGAAAAAAAAAAAAAAAAAAAAAAGACCCGGTGACATTAAAACAATATTCTTTTCGAATAAATCCCACGAACAAGGTCTTCTTCCCCCCTTAACCTTATCTCCCTCTTCCCTCCCCCCGGATACGTCCCACTCCCGCCAAACTGGAACCATACGCAAGTCCGCCGCTCTCCCCTCCGGCGCATTGGTCCCTTGATCCCAACCGCGTGTGTAGGGACGCTCTGTGGGACCGGCTGGGTGGTATGGATGGCGATACCCGTCGTCTGAAGCAACATGAACAGGCACAGTTTGCGACGCGGGCAGGAATGGCCCGTCGTGCGGTCTCGCGACCCTCCGGGGCCGCGGCGGATCGATTCAGGCAGGCGGCCCTTCAACCGACACGTGGAGATGCGCCGTCCCAGGCGACGGGGCGCGGACGGATGCCCACATACCTAGATTACGGATACCCCGACGGTGCCTTTCCAGGCGGCTCGCTGCAGGGTGACGAGTTACAGCCGTATGCGCCGACGTTGCGCGACCAACAGCGTCAGCCGGTGCAGCAGCCGTCGTTCGCCGGCTACGAGTCCGAGATGGTCTACAACCTCAACCAACAGGGCCCGACGCAGTCGCCGTACGAGGTCGTGCCACCCTACCCGACACGGCAATCTGCAGCGATGGACGCGCTCTCCTCGCAATTCGCCGTTCCACAGTATTATAATGAGCCGACTGGAGCCGGCGTTCCGGCCGTGGGCTCGCCCTACCTGGCCTCGCAGCTGCCGCTGGCTGCTTATAACCAGCCGGGCCCCATTGGTCGCTCCGGCTCGACGCAGCCCTTTCCCGCAACCATGGCCGACATGACCCCGGTGGGCACGACCGGACGCCTGGAGCCGTCGCCGCCGTCGCAGTTGCAGTCGCAGACCCAGCAGCAGCAGCCGCCGCCGCCGTCATCGCAGGGCGCAGGCGGCGAATCCTTCGGCCATCCGAACGAGTCGTATGGGCAGTTCCATCAGGCATTGCGAGAGATCTTCAAGGACACGCGTGCCGGCCGATTGGTAGAGGCTAGTCGATCACTCGTGAATATCTCCGAGTGGCTTGTGACTAATGCGCGGGAACTGGGTATGTTTCGCCCTTAGCGTTTGTCTAATTCTTCCTTAATCTTGATTATTTACCCACTCCCCTCTGCCCCTAAAAAAAAAGCACCGACCCTTACACTACATGCATAGTGGCCAATGCCCGCCAGTCCTGCTGGTTGTTATTTGTTCATAAATTAAATCCCGAGCACCTGGATGAGGCTAATCTCGGGATCCGTACCCTGCTCCGGAACAGGCATCTTACGCGACGATCAAGTGCTTTATGCCGACCGACTCCAACTCTGGAATGACTTCAACATCTGTTGGCTGGCCGTCTGCCAGAAACAAAAGGACCTGACGCAGGAGCTGCTGCAGACGGGCCGCCAACCGCCCCGGACCAACCTCTTGACCAGCGAGGTCATGGAAACGCTCGGCAAGGATCTCATTTCGTTATGCGATCGAATGGAGCAGCACGGCTTGGTGGATTACCAAATGGGAATCTGGGAGGAAGAGATCCTCTGTGGTAAGGTCTATTCCCTCCGTACTCTGTAGGGTCCCCGGACGACGTGGTCGCCCAACTAACAGACACTCTCTAGTTCTAAGTCAATGCCTGGACCTCATGGAAAGCCGACCCGAAGTCCTCCGTCCCCAGGCGATTCCCGTGCCTGCTACGGCAACCTCGCGATCGTGAGGATTCATGCATCTCAATGCATGGGGATTATTGGGGTCCGTTGCCTGACAAGAGGGTACAGACCGTACTTTTTTTTCTTGTTTCGCGGTTGGGCCACTGCTCAGTTGCAACCTAACGCAGGAACTAATTTAGTTCCGAACCTCCTGGGAGGACCAGACCAAAACTATCGACTACTAGATCCCTGCGGCTGCGTGCCTACCATCATCTCTCTTTTTCTTTTTGCTTTTTTTCTTTCTTTTTCTTTTTTTTCCCCTTGCCCCTCTTGGCCCCTTTTCATTCTGAGGGCTTTTTTTTTTATTTGGCGGGCTTTAATCAAGTTGCTTAGCGTCATGAGACATCACCAACTTGTACACCTACATTAGGGTTATCCACTCCGATGGGCTGTGATTGAACCTGCAGATGCCTTCGGTCTGTTCGGGACAAAACATCCACTCCCCTTCCTCGTGACGATGCTGAAAACAGAAAGAGAAAAGAAAAAAGAAAAAAGAGCCACTAGAGGAAAAGGAAAGAGAAAAAAAATAGGGGGAGAACAAAAGAAAACCCGTCAGACGGCCACTATTGGCGTTCTTCCAAGTTCTCTGGCAAATGGCGTTGGCGGCGCCTTCTGGGGCTGGAATATACCGGAGGGCGCTTTTTTCCTGGGGATTTTTTGCATCACGCGTTACGCAACAAGCTTGGGCGAGGGGGCGTATATTCGGGCGAACCTACCGGACATAGATCTTATGCTTTTTTTTTTGTCTTTTCTGTCCTTTCCTTTTTCCCTTTTTTTCTTCCCCTCGATCAGTGCGGCTGACACCCTCACTGGAGACTGCGAGAAGAACGACAGTTCCCCAATTCCAGTTTCCAGGATCAGGGTCGGCATACGTGCATGACCCAAGCGGTCGGGCTGACGCGGGCTGATCGCCGGCAATCCCCGATTTTTATTTTTATTTTTATTTTGCCTTCTTTCCTTGGTTCTGGCTGAGGGTTCCCCGCGAAGGATGAAGGTGCCTTCCTCGTGTCGTGAGGCGTGACTGGTGCCGATCCTGCAATCGATCGGATTCAATGCATCGACTTTGATGTCATCGCCGGACTGACTTGGTCTTGGACTGGGTCTGCAAGGAACCAGAAATGGATGTGGGATTTGGGAATGACTATATGTGACGTGATGGACATGTACGATAATTTCCTTTCTTTCTTTTTTTTAGATACTTTTCTCTAGTCTCTTTTTTTTTTTTGCCACAATTACGAGATACCCGTGTTGCAGGAGAAACCAGTGCTTTGTTAGTAGGGGGAGTAGATGTTGGGGTTTAAGAATACTACATTCATTGTAGAGACCAGTTTTGTTGGAATTCCAGGACATGTACAGCCTAATTACTACCAGTAGATTATTTGATCCCACCAAGAACAGAAAGTCAGCTCCGAAGCCCATCCGAGTAAGACTTTATATATCACATCACCTCAGCCCGACCCCAAAGACACCCACGCCCACGTTGAGTCGAGCGACCAGGTACTGGGGAAATACTAAATCGTGCTGCAGGACGCCACTAACACCACTATATTAGCGAAAACCAACCAGTAGCTTCCAAATGGTCGCAATTCATCCCAACTACTCCGTAGGAAGTCCATCTCTATACAATCGACGCTAAGCCCAAACAAGACAAGGCCGGGGATAAGCATCCCCTCTCCTGTGGCAGGCGGTCGAAAGGTGCAGAACACCGATAGCAGAGAAGAGATAACACTTGATAGTGATATATCTGGATGGGTTGAACATCAAGGTGGCGGATTATTTTAAGATGGTGAAGATGGAGTGACGGTGGTATGTTATTCTATTTCTTCTTTCTCAGTTTCTCAAGTGGTGTTGTAATGTTCCTGTCTAATTGGGAGAAACTGTAGGGTTCCACGGACTGGGAGTATATAGCAAGGGGAAGAGAGAGAGAGACGAGATGTGTGATTTCTCGAGATTGTAAATATTTGATAGGCTAGGTTATGTGCAGAATATAAGCAAGTAGGTAGGTGGGTAGATAAGTGTCATGCTAATTGCCAGGTCTGTCAATGCCTGTGACAATCATTCATCAAGCAAGCAAGCAGGATCACGAGTAGAATAAAAGAAACAGTCAAAAGCACCCTCTTTAAACTACATGTCCGTAGGTGGTAGGTCATCATCGCTATCATAATCATATCAAGGTCGAAATAGTAGATCAAATCGATCACAGTCGGGGAAAGTCGATCCGGTCGAGGCTAGTTCCGGAGCCGCGAGAGCGAATACAGAAACAACCCGACAGAAGCGAAGAGCAAAGCGGGAAAAAGAAGGGGCTAGATTTGGCCTGCTCAAAAAGATCAGCATCACTCAATATCCCCGCAATCAAAGACCAGGGACCGGGAGGCAACATACTCAACGTCATACTCAGACTAACGTCCGTATTCTCCACCATGTCGGTGAACTCCTCGAAGCTGATCTTGCCATCCTGATCCTTGTCGGCCTCCATGATCGTCTTGTCGACGATCTGCTGTAGCTGCACGTCCTTGAGGTTATTGCCGACCATCATCTTCAGCACGATGAACAGCTCGCCGTTGGAGATGTATCCGTCCCGGTCGATGTCGTACACCTTGAACGCGAACCGCAGCTTCTCCTCTTTGTTGCCCTTGGAGCTGAATGCTGATAGACCCGACACGAACTCTTGGAAGTCGACATCACCGCCGCCGTCTTCGTCGAAAATGGCGATCATCCTGCGAGAGGTAGGGGTGTTAGGTGCTGAGTCTTGCTTGGGTATGTGTGTATGCCAATGGCTCCAGTCGGTCGAGATTCTTTTTCCTCCGCATCGCTCTCTGCGCTCCTTATCTGACCTTCCTCTCCGCCGAGGCTCGGGAGCGGGCCTTCACCCGGGTGAATTGATTTCCGACGTACCTCGTTGCGAGCGGGTTGGATGACACCTGCGGAAGGGAAAGGAATTCGTCGCGATCAATGGTACCCGAGCTGTCCTGTCGGAAAGAATAAGTCCAAGTCCGGGAACCCTCCTACGAACGATGTCAATGCGTACTTTGTCCAGCTTCATGAAGCGCTTGCGAAGTCGGTCCACCTCGTCGCGGTCGACTGGGAGAATGAGCAGAGTCAGCGCGACCGGGTCACATCGCCGGCCGAACGGGGAGGAACTCACAGTTGGACGCCGAAACAATGTTGTCGAACAGCTGCGACGTTCCGACCGAGCCTCGTCGTCGGCGCGCATCGTAGAGGGCGGCGGCGTTGGGCCCACCGGACGGGTCCATGGCGGCGGGGATGGGACGGGGACGAGGCGAGGAGAAAGAAGGGAGGGGAAGGGATGGGGGTTCGTTCAGGCAACGGAAGGGGGGGTGGTATGGAGGAGGTGGAGGGAGACAACAACATCGCAGCCGCCAAGGGCAGCGACGGAGCAGCAATTTGATATCGGCCAGCCCCGCACTAACCGGAAACGGACAGGCAAGCGAACCCCTGAGGCCGTGCGCGGCTCCAAAACAGGCCACCGCCGGGTGACATTGCAACGTCAACCCAACCGCTGGCGCTGAGACGACGAGATTTCCGCCGTCAATATCTCCCCCCTTTCCATCGATTCTCATCAAGAAATTACATCTACGCGATCTCGCATGATCAGACCTATCCGGCGATACTAATTTTATCCCCCCTCGCCCATGGTTGCCGCCTAAAACGCGCCCCGAAGTTCGCATGACTAGGTACGGGGGAATGGGGAGGACGCGCCCGAAAAAGCTCACCTCCAAGGCCTCAATCCCCATAGTTCGAGAACAGGACATAGATGTCATTGAGGACGAAGTCCAAAATGCCCTACAACAGATCGAAACCGGTGTTGAGAAGGCGGAGGAGTCCGTAAGTCTTCCTCCCCCCGAATCGGCTTGGCCATCCCTGCACGTATCACGTGACATCATCACGACCTCCGCCCGTCGTGAAAATTTCGCACCCCCAGATAGGGACCCCCCCAACTTGGCACCGACTAACGCGATCTCCATAGGAATTCCATCTGCAAGTCGCGATAAGCGCAACTGCCCAAGGAAAAGTAAATGAAGCCCATATCCCGACGCCGGAGACGCTCCTCAGTAATCTCCGATATGACGAGCTTTACCCTCCTACTTTCTCGCAGCCCGCGACGTACATCCGCTTCTCCTCCACCGTCGAGGATTGTTGCGGATGTGCATACAACATGACCGATGAGGATGATGTCTTCCTCAAGATCATGAACCAAAAGCGGAATGCTGGCGAACCGCCATGCACCGAGGACCAATTTGAGGAAGTGATGAACTTCTTCGAAGAGACCACGCAGACCAAGCAACCATTTGCTGCTGTAGATAACCCTCCTGTCCTGAGCTTTGCAGACATGCAGGAGTCCATGGACGCAGCCGTAGAGGACAGCGTAAAGCAATTCGCCAAGGACATATACGAGCATTGGAAGTCAAGGAGGATGAGCGACGGCAACCGGTCTCTCGTGTCAAACCTCAAGGCAAGTACTCGATTTCAAATCGAGACCGCGGGGTCAAACCCGACATGCAAATTTCATGCGCTAACCCTTTCGCACAGTTTGAAACCGGGCAAGATACTGATGACTCTGACCCATATGTCTGCTTCCGTAGGCGGGAAGTTCGCCAGATCCGCAAGACCCGTGGTAGAGATGCCCAGAGTGCCGATAAACTGAGGAGACTCAGGAAAGAGTTGGAAGACGCTCGGCAGTTGGTCGCTTTGGTGCGCCAGCGCGAGGTGGCAAGGAAGGAAATGCTTGCAGTTGAGAAGCAAGTTTTCCTGCAACGGTCCGAAGTCAAGGAGATGAAGAGGAAACTCAACATCAAGGATGATGATGAGGACCTCATCAACCAGAAGGTAAGCGTGGAACCATGGCCATCGTCGTACTGCAAGGATACTGATCTCTATGATAGCCCAAGAAGAAGCCGGCAGAAGTGCCAGCAGCGCAGCGTCCCGCACCTCAACTTCGGATGCCGCCAAAGGCCAGCACCCAAGTTACGGAGGATTTGCAGCTCTTGGAGGATGTTCAAGCAGACAAAGAGAACGAGATCCTGCGCGATATCAAGCAGAACATCTCGAAGCACGTCAAGTGGAACGAGGGCTATTTGGACCTCACCACGGTGCCTCTTTCGCCATCTCCGGAAAGGACGTTCGACGCTGCTTTTCGGCCGGCGATTACCACACAACTGCCAACCCCTCCATCATCCGATTCGTCAGAGAATATGTCGGGTTCAGCTTTAGATACCTTCAATTCCTTAGCCTTCCGGGATAATTTCGCTCCTCATGCCATGGAGTTGAGCGACGACACGAGCAAGATGCCTGCGTTCAGGAGACGTATCGGGCGTGGCGGACGCTTGTGGATTGACCGTCGAAACTTCGCGTCGCGCTGTAGAGCAGAGATGGATCCTTGGAAAGCCGATCGATTCAAATATGACCAAGAGGATTCGGACGAGGAGCCAGAGTATGAACGCGATCCGTACGACATCCAACTTATGCAACATCGAGCCATGATCGTGGCCAAAGCCCGGGATCAAGCAGCTCAAGCACATGCGCAGGCGCAGGCTCAAGCCCAAGCCCAAGCCCAGGCCCAGGCCCAAGCACAGGCCCAAGCACAGCAGCGGCGAATGCAAGCTGAACAATCAGCGAATAATCCGCCAAACATGGGACAGACAATGGGATCAAATCCCGGGCCTGGTGCCGTTGCCCCTGTAGCCGAGACATGAGCTGGGCTTTTCTTTTCTCTCTCCTCTTTATCCCCCCTTTTATTCTTTTAATCCCCTGCACCACCTTTTTTTCACCTTTTCTCACCCCGCATTTGACAGGCGTTCTTCAAGCTTGTTTTTTTTTTTCTCACGGACCCCTTGTACTTTTACACCCTCGACACACTGATCGTGAGATGCCTCTGAAAGTTTCTTCGATTCCAACCCCATACCCACATATTCACCTGCTCCCTGAGCATTGTGAAGCAAACCAAAAATTTCAGGATAATGTCGCAGATGGATGCTTTTTCTTTTTCTCATGACATGACCCTGTTATGCCGCTGTTAGTGTACATAGTGACCTGCTCTTTTGTTTCTCTCTCGACGCCGATCAGTCGATAGACTCTTGTATGGATAGCGAAGCTATGAAGTCAGCAACGAAATAAACAAAAATCTAATATCCGATACAAACGAGAAGAAGAATCAAAGAAGTAATTGTTCTTATCATGCCCGAGGGATCAAAAAGCAACGCCTGCTGTAGATAGGTTCAGGATTTCAGAGCCTTGCTCATTCTGGATTCATCGTTGTCGCCATTAGCAGCCCGTTTCTGGGCCGAACCCCCGCCATTCTGCGACGAGCTTGCAAGGAAGTTGCTAATCAAGGTGAATAGATCCTGCAAGATTTGCTTCTCACCCAGACGGACCTGGATCGCCATTCTGCCCCGACGAGCCGATTCTTCGGAAAGGCCAGGCGCCCCGGAATGGGCCAATTGGGCCAAGAGCTCCTCATCCTGTGCAATTGTCGTGCCATACTGCGATTGCTTCAACTGGATGGTTTTCTGAAAGATGGCTCCTTCCGCAGGGCCAAAGGCGGGCTTTGGAGGCTTGCTCTTGGACTTGTACTGCTCCAATTGATCGGCTGGGAGAGTCAATGTCCTGAGCAGCAAAGCAAGTTCATCCGAAACGATGTTATCAATTGAATCATTCGGCGACAGCCTGGGAACGATGTATCCATCGTCGAGAAGTTCCAAATATTCAAGAAGTTCGAGCTGCGACCACATGTTAGTGCCTAAGAAATAGATCCCTGGAGGAGTGAGGAGAGAATGATTACCGGAGGCTGCTCCTCGGCATCGGCATTGGCCAAGCCAGCAGCTTCACAAATGAGCTCCAATGGTAGCTCTACGACGTCGTAACCAGCGTAGTTATCCGTGACATAACCGTAGCGTCTGAGGAGATCAGCACGTGGGATTTCCCCATAATCGTTGAAAATCTCAGCCCCAGGACTGATGGGTTTGATGGCTTTCATGACAAGAGCACCTTCCTCCTGGAAAAGACGGGCCTGGAATAACGGTGTCTATGTGAGCATGTGTTGGGGCAAGACAAAAATTGTGGGGGCTCACGTTGTTTTGGTCTGCATTCGCGTTTAGGAGATCCGCCAACGGAACCATAGCCTTGGGCAGAAGGTCCTCATCGTCCGTCATATAACCACCTTCTCCATCGTCCTCCTCCTCTTCCTCCTCTGGCTTCTCGATATCAAAGGCGTAGGCCATGATGAGGGATCCCATTACGTGGGCGAGGTTGAGAAGGACTTGGGTGCCGGCATCACCATCGTAAGAGGAAACCCCGTCAATCGGAGGGAAAAGAAACGGATTTGCGCGCACGATGGGGGCGATGGTCTGGAGGATGGATTTTTCGGCACCTTCCTTTCCGATTTTGTCAAGGATGGAACTGCCCTGGAGCTCTTGCAGCTCGGAGGTGGACCAGAACATCAATGTGTCGAATTTTCGAGGCAGCACTTTGAAGTACGGGGCCCAGGCGGACCGTTCACCGAGCAGAAACTCGTAGATCATGACGAGCATGAGAGACAGCCATGGCCCCAGCTCTTCCAAGTTCTGGGGGAGCCGATCCTTCAGCTGGGAATTCTGGGTCGACAGAATGAGATCGCGCGGGATGGTAAAAAGCTCTTCACCTTCGGCAATGTCGGCCTGGGCGACTGTAGAAGCCACGATCGACGATTAGAGGGCGGCTTTCAGACACACTCGCACACACGGAGGGAACAACTTTGAGGTTGTGGAACGAATCGACCAGGACGAGTCGTCGTCGTTTGGGAATAGGGACGTACCGACGCCTCTACCGGCAGCCTGAGATCTCAGATCCGCAAGACGGATTTTAGGGTTGATCTGGACGCCCTGCTTGCCAGCCAGCCAATGCAGAAACTGATCGGACTGGCTCTGAAAATGATCAGGATCCGGGAAATGAGCCGTGGAGGACATAGCGTCGTGAGGAGGGCGGTAGAGGAGAGAGAGAACAATGAATAAGGATCAGAGCACAAACAAGCGACAGTCATGCGACTGGCACGGGGCTCTCAGGGGGGACAAAGGGGACCGGGAGTAGACAAGGCCGCACAAGCGAGCAAAGACGGATTGTCGTGGGAAAGCAATAATAAAGCAAAGTGGGTTTGGATGAATGGGAGGGTCGTGAGGGAGAGGACTAACTAGTCACCAGCTAACTAGAGGCTGCCGTAGTAATCAGCGGCCCGCATTGGCTTGACGCTCGGATAAACGCGGTGGCCGCGCCCTTCGACCCCTCCATCAACCATGGCGACTCCCATCTGCCCGTCTCGTCCTGCGCCTGAGCACTCGCCAGTCTCGAAGAGGAGAAAATTAACCCGGAAAGACGCCATGATCGCCATCGGAATGGAGGGCTCCGCCAACAAGCTGGGCGTGGGCATTATGTTGCATCCCGAGGATGGCAGCCCCCCGCAGGTCCTGGCGAACATCCGCCACACTTATGTCTCTCCGCCCGGCGAGGGCTTTCTTCCCAAGGATACCGCCCGTCATCATCGGTCTTGGGTGGTGAAGCTGGTCAAGAAGGCGCTCAAGGAGGCTCGTCTGTCTGTCCGCGATGTGGATTGTATTTGTTACACGAAAGGCCCCGGCATGGGTGCCCCTCTTCAGAGTGTCGCGATTGCCGCCCGCATGCTGAGTTTGCTCTGGGGCAAGGAATTGGTGGGTGTGAATCACTGCGTTGGACGTATGTATAGCCCGGAAATTCATGGGGTTCCGTAATGAGGTCCCCTTGTTGTAATGGAGGGGGAAAAAAGAAAGAAAAAAGGCTTCCCGATTTGTAGCACTAACGGTCCCTGTACAGATATTGAGATGGGTAGACTCATCACCGGCTCCACCAACCCGGTCGTCCTCTATGTGTCTGGAGGAAACACACAAGTGATCGCATACAGCTCGCAACGATACCGCATTTTCGGCGAGACTTTGGACATCGCGGTAGGCAACTGTCTGGACCGATTTGCGCGAACGTTACACATCTCCAACGACCCGGCGCCGGGTTATAACATTGAACAACTGGCGAAGAAGGGACAACAACTGGTTGACTTGCCATACACAGTGAAGGGCATGGACTGCTCCTTCTCAGGGATATTGGCGGCGGTCGATGGGTTGGCCGCAACGTATGGGCTAGGCGGAGAAGAGAAACAGGGCGACGGGAACTCGCAAGATTCCGATCGACCAACCCGTGAGGATCTTTGCTTTTCGCTTCAGGAGACAATCTTCTCCATGCTGGTTGAAATCACGGAGCGCGCAATGGCGCACGTCGGCTCGAAGGAGGTCCTCATCGTTGGCGGTGTCGGCTGCAACGAACGACTACAAGAGATGATGGGGATCATGGCTCGAGATCGAGGAGGCAGTGTGCACGCGACGGATGAGAGGTTTTGCATTGACAATGGTATTATGATCGCGCAGGCTGGCATGCTTGCCTACAAGACCGGCTTTACGACGCCTCTGAAAGATTCCACCTGCACGCAGCGCTTCCGGACCGATGATGTGTTTGTCAAATGGCGAGATTAGCCTTGTTATTTGGCTGTTCATTATTTCAAAAAGCAAATACCAAAATTTAGAAGGCAAACAATGTAAACTTTGCCAATGACATTGGATATAATATGCACTAGCGTGATAGTTCAACATGGAACTAAATGACAAACAGAAATAACAAGGCTAAACCGATTTTCGACTGCCATGAAATTCTCATCGCTAATCCAGCATTTCTTGAAGCTCCACGACAGGAACAACAGACCAAATAAAAGAATCTCCAAATTCCATGAACGGCTTGGGATCTACTCCAGCCACCGTGGGTGGTCAAATCACAACAGATTTTGTCCGTTCATTTGCGAAACGCTCCATTTGCCAAGGTGGCAACCTGGCAACCTGGCATAGGGCGGCACTCGCAAAAGCAAAGCAAGTTTGCCCTTATCAACAAAGATCCAGAGCAGGAAACGGCCCGAAGGGTTGCGGAGGGTCTCTTGCAAGGGCCATCGAGATGTATATGTAGGCGAGAAAGAAAAGAAAAGAAAAGAACGAGTAAACTAATGTCCAATGGCACCTGTACACCATGTGCTAACCTGTAATGTCTCCTGTCGGCTTGTAGAGAATTGTCGTCACGTACTGTGAATGATCCTATTAGCAAGTGTTTTGAATGACATGAACTCAAGCTGCAACGGCCTACCTTGCGCTTGTATCTGGTCGTTACGCTCGTCGCCAGAACATCGTTCTTGATGCTGCTTGTGGCGAGATGATTGAGGACCGTGTGATTGGGATAGTTCAGAACGCTGCTGTCGTCCTTCATCGGCGTGGTGCCGTTTAGGATGGATTTTCCTAGGAACAGAGGAAGGCTTGGCGGAGTGGGCGCTTCGCCGATAATGTTGACGGCCTGCTGATAAGCGGGAGTTTCTTGGGTTTCATCCTCCCTGTCCAAGTCGACGAGAAATTGCGGAAGAATGCCGCGGAAGTCGCCCATCGGAATCTCCTCGGGCTCCTCCTTTTCGGCCTGGTCTGCTACGGCGGATTCATCCTGCGATGCTCCCACCGGATCCGAAGGAGCTTGAGGTGGGTGAATCCCCGGAGTCGCCGCATTCCGCGATTGCTTGTCGCTATGACTCCGCGCTCGGTTCATATCGTCCGCGCTCACTTCAACGTAGTTGACCAGGTGGTTCGTGAAGTCCACCGCGGTCGGGAGGTTATCCGACGCTCTCATTTCGCCATCTACAATGAATTTCAAATGATGTGTCCCCGGGCGAAGATTCAATTTCGCCGACAAGACGCCGGAGGGATTTTCGCTGTTTCAAACATTCTTTTAGTACCGGCACCTGTGAGCATTTTTACAGTGTGAAGGGGATACATACCCTCTGTGCAGACGGAATTTCTTTTCCCAGTTGACAAAGGTTCCGGTGACATAGACCTTGTCTCCAGGAGCAGTCCATTCTATTATCGTGGGCACGGCGCGACCCACACCAGTGCTAGCATTAGGGCCGAGGTCGTCCAGCATTTCATCGTCATCGGCAATCGTGCTGCTCAAATTCGATTCTCTCGGACCGGCGCCCTGCTCTAATAGCGGGTCGGAGGGAGGCGATCCCATATATGAATCGTCCGGCCCAATGATGGGCGACCCGGGCGTAGTCGTCGCATCGCCGATCGGTAGGGGCATTCGAGGCGGACGCTGAAGATGCGTGGACGCACTGTAATAGGTATTGTGAGGCGGAGCAGACGGCCCTACGGGTGGATAGGGATCACGCCTGGCGGCAGCACGAGAAACTGGAACCTGCACGGGGTTCGACGGATCGGGGGAGGCGATGTCCTTGGAACGAGACTGGGGCTTCTTTGAATCGGGAACATTTCGTGGGGTTGAATCTGGAGGATTGCGAGATTGCAGACGTTGTTGTGCCGGAGCTTGGGTTTGTGACGTTGAGTGCCCCGTTGCATTTTCTTTTGAGGCGGAGGGGTCGACCGCGGTCGCCTTGAAGGTACCGGATGACGCATTGAGCGACGGTTGGCGCGTTACTTTCTTTTCTGCAGAGGCCGGGGGCGTTGAAGGGCTTGAAGCCGACGGAATTTCTCCGATAGGGCCCTTGGAGGGGTTGTTGCCCATCTGGAGAGGAACGACCGCGAGGGCGCGAAAGACGGGGGAAGGGTGAGGAGGGGGAGAAAAGTCGGAACCGGATGGGAACGTCGGCGGGATTCAAAATGCCAGCATTAGAGGATCAAACCCGCGAAGGTGATGGAAGCAGGGGCGGAAGTGATAGAAGAGCAGAAGAACCCAAACAGAAGACGGGGTGGGGGGCAGAAGCCAGTGACAGTTGAGGATGACGACGATGTCGGCGACCCCAGAATGATGAGAGTCTGGCCCAGACGGTTTCCGCTGCTAGGGCTTAGGGCTCCGAGGAGCCGCGATGCCCGACCGGTCTCTCCGGGATAACTCGCCCGCCGTTCGGACTACCGATGGATACCGTCGAGGTCAAGGATCAGGCATGGCGCAGGAGTCACCAGGAGAAGAACCCGTCCCAGCATCTTCGTTTTCCATCTGGATCTCGTCGATCTCGTCAACTGGCGACCCCCACGAATCCCCGGCAGAACCCCGATCGGGACTAGCGCCATTGGTCTGACCGCCAACGCCAGGCCCACCGCCAAACCCTCCTCTCTGGTGGATGTCGAGGGTGAACTCACGATCATGGATAGACTCCATTCTGTTCGTGGTCAGACGCTTCCAGCGATGCCTCTCCACAGGTCACCGTCATGCTGATCGTTGAAAAAAACCAAAAGGCCTCCAAGTGCTTGGGATGGCGGCACTCTGGAGCTCTGGTTCTGCCGGGACTGACCGCCCACGAAGCTCCGCAGTCCGAGGCATCAACAGGCATCCGCTCTCTCCTTGGGAGCACCAGCGAACACCGCACTCACTCTACAGAGTAGAAGCCATGCTGACTTGAAGTTGGTGCCGGATTTCACCCCCCGCAATGGCCTGGCTATCAGCAATATCCACGGCGCTATCTCTGACAACCTATCCCATCACCTATCTCGCCTACTTTGGATATGGCGTCTTGCGACTCCTAGTAAACTTACTGATTGGCCTGGCCCGGTATCCTCTGGGATTGGCTCTTCTCCCATTCAGGATCTTGGCCCAATTCGAGGTTAGCCAAACCAATTCCGTCTCCTACTGCAGCGTTCGTGACAGTGATAGCTTATTCCCTTCCCAGGCCATTCTCATCTGGATAACGACAGCCGGGTGCATTGGTCTAGTTCTTGGAATTCTGTTGTATGCCACCACGCACTACACAGTCGAATTGTTCAATCAATGGGTGGGGCTCGTCGTCCCTCACTCCCCCATGCGCCTAGAATATGACGCCCTGAACCCCGAGTCTGGCACGGTAGTGAAGAGATCAGATACCTCGGATATAGTCAATGACTTTCGTCTGAAATGGGGCGCAGAGAAGAACCCTGGACTTCGCGGTCGGGGTGCGAGTGGACCGTCGGCATCTACTATTCTGGAAGTGGACGATGAATCCAGCTCGGCATACTTTGAGGAATAAAGACGTCGTGGTGTCGCAACATCGCAGATAGACCAGAGAATGCATTCGGTTGACCAAGGAGTGGATGGCTGGCCATTAGAGGGTGGCCGTATCGACTACTTGATCATGTCGATGCTATTAAACGGATAGCAGACTAGAATTGTAGGGTAGGACAACACATGGTTGACTTGAAAATTGCCGACGAAATGAAAGAAGTAATGATGATAATAATAAATGAACCCTAATAAAGAGAAGACAAACGAAATTAAATGAAAGGGCAAATAAGATTAGCGACGTCATTAGCGACGGCGACGAGATCCGCGGCGAACACGAAAGGCCCCCGACTCGTTTCATCATCACCGGATACACGTGGAGATCGTCATCCTGCCCTTCGTTTCCTCGTCTTGCGCATCACCCTCCCTCGCTTATCGATCTCCTCCCTTTCGTTGACAGCTGTCGCACTCCAACTCTCGGACTTGCATATCGTTTCTCCGCCGACCATATGCTTGCGCGTCCTTGACCCGAGAGCTTTTGCTCGACCCTTGCGACTCTCATCAACCTTTTACGAGCATCGATCCTGTCATTATTTTGAGCCGACGCGCCCCTCGGCAAGTCAATTGAGATCGCATCTGGTCGTTATCGTCATCCGTGCGATTTCTTCGGTCGCGCTACTATCGCCCTCATTCTCCCACCAGTTCTTTTTTGACCATGTTTCTTCCTCGACCACTTTCGCGCGTCCGAACGTTACTGCTGGCATTGATTCTCGCATCGATATTAACCTGGTCCGCGAGGAATTGGCGGCAGCAGTTGGTTTCACAAGCGACCGTCTCTACGGATGGGACGTCGTCACCATCTAACCCCCAAAATGCAGTTTGGCAAGATATCCAGGGTCACATTCGTTTCTGGCGCCATCTCCAGCACCTCCTGGCCGTCAACGAGCCGAAAGGCGAGCCGCCACTGCGATTAGGCTCGGCGCCGTCCATCCGATTCGAAGAGGCCAATCCGGATGATCGTCCGGAGATGCTGGACATGTTGCCGGAGGACGTGGAGGCGATGAAGGAGGCGCATGGCGTGTTTGTCGAGGAGATCAAGAAGAATCCGCCACAGCTGCATTATGCGCCCAATACGAGGGGGCTGGTTTCCACGGCAGGAGGCTCATATCTGCCGGTCTTGGTGATCTCACTAAGAATGCTGCGGAAGACCGGCTCCGAGCTGCCAGTCGAGGTGTTTCTCGCGGATGAGGAAGAATACGAAGACTATATCTGCGATGTGGTCCTGCCGTCTCTTAATGCGCGCTGTGTGGTCCTCTCTCATATCTTGGACGCGGTTCCCAAGATCATGGAGATCCAGAAATACCAGTTCAAGCTGTTTGCCATGTTGTTTTCCTCCTTCGAGGAGATCCTGTTCCTCGATGCCGACGCGTTCCCGCTGCGGCAACCGGAATCCTTGTTCACCAGCGAACCATTCAAATCCAAGAACATGGTCACCTGGCCCGATTTCTGGGCCTCCACCGTGTCGTCATATTACTATGAGATCGCATCGCAGCCGATCCCCGAAAAGGCCATCCGACAGTCCAGCGAGTCCGGCGAGGTGCTGCTCTCGAAGAAAACCCACCTGAAGTCCCTCCTTCTCAGCACCTATTACAATTTCTGGGGCCCCGATCTCTACTACGCCCTGCTTTCGCAAGGCGCCGCGGGAGAGGGCGACAAGGAGACCTTCGTCGCGGCGGCCCTGGCTCTTGAAGAACCCTACTACCAAGTGTCCGAGCCCATTTGCGCCATCGGCCACCGCATCGAGGGCGGCATGGCCGGCTCCGCGATGGTCCAATTCGACCCGGTCGAGGATTATGCGTTAACGCAGAAGGGCGAGTGGCGCGTGCATGGCTCCAAGGCGCCCGCGCCTCGCGCCTTCTTCATCCACGCCAACTTCCCCAAATTCAACCCGGCCACGGTCTTCGAAAACCAGGCCGTCAATCCGGCCTTCGACGAGAGTGGCAGTTACACGCGCGCGTGGACCATCCCCGAGAACGTGATCGAAGAATTCGGCACGGACGTGGAACGACAGTTCTGGAAGGAGATTCTTTGGACGGCCTGCGAACTGGAAACCAAGTTCAAGTCGTGGGATGGTCGCAGTGGTATCTGCAAAGGGGTCAAGAAGTACTGGAACGCTATGTTCCTGGATCCCAAATCTGAAAACTAAGACTCAGCTCTTATGGACACATTTACCAAGGCTGTTTGCTTTGTGGCAACGCCAAAGAATTTGACGACTACGCCTCCTTACCTTCTCATTAACACTATACCCTACCATCGGCGAACTCAACTCTCGCCCCTTTGGTTACCTATTCGTTCGATACCAATCCATGTGATATGTTATTGGGACCCACCGAATTTTGTCGCCCGCCTTCTTCGCTTGGTTTCCAGCGAAAGAAAGGGTCAAAGGGCAGGCAAATCAACCAGATAAACTGCATCCACATCATCACTGCATGAACAACACTCTGTATGAACAACTCATCATGGCGGGTCCCATGATGTTTGATGACGTTTGTTATGCGTTGACGATGTATTTGTTCCAAGCAACTGCAAGCAGGCTGTCTTTGTCCTTGTGATTTGTTCAATGTTTCTGTTATTTTTTGCCCTATTCCTGTTGGAGATTGACTTCTTGTCTTATTATTGCCATTTTTTTGTATGTATATAATATAATGCCTTTATATTCGTACATATTCTATATAATAATTTACAGGGAGATGACTTTGACTTTTCCTTCGCCGCCAATATAATAATAACACATGGAGTGGAAATAATGATCCAACTGATCCGGCATCTTGCTCGTTCGAGCTATTGGCTGTTCTCTCTTTCACTCTATTGAGATCCAGCACCGACCCCAGACGCATCGGCTTTCTTCATGGCGTCCGCAAACAGGTCCTTGCAGCGCACTTGGCTTCCCAGCCGTGCGCAGAGCAGAAAAGCGCCGCTCAGTTTCCGGTGCAGACTGTACGTCTCCTCCGGCGGAGGCGCCAGCCGCTCGTGGATCATGACAGGGATGAGGCCGCGGACCCGGTCGGTGATGGTCTGGTTGCTGAAGTTGTAGACGTCGGGGGAGGAATTCATGAAGGGCTCGGCCAGCGTGAGGATCGACGTCACGTGGGCGTCCACCATGGCCTTCGACTCGTGGCCGGTCAGATAGCCCAGCTCGATGGACAGGCGATGGCAGGTCTCGCGGTCGTCGCGGGAGGCGGCCAGCAGTGTTTGGATGTATTTGGTGATGAACTCGTCGGGATACTCGCGCGAGGCGCCGAAGTCGAGGAGCTCCAGGCGGTTGGTTTTCGCGTTGTAGAGGAAGTTGGTCCAGTTGGGGTCCGTCTGCATGTATTTGAACTCGGCGATCTCTCGCAGGCAGAGGCGCAGGATCTGCGTCCCGATCCAGTTGCGCTGCTCCTGGCTGAAATCCTGGATCTTGGTGACGGCGATACCCTCCAGGCGCTCCATGGTCAGGACATGTCGGCCGGAAGCCTCGGGGATGATTTCGGGCACGAGGAAAACGGAATCATCCTGGAGGAGATCCCTGAAGCGGTTGCCACATTCGGCCTCTCGAATGTAGTCGCATTCCCAGGCGAGTTCGGTTCGGGCGTTGGCGATGGTCTTGTCCAGATAGAGACCTCGAGGGAGAAGACGAGATGCCGTGAGCAGGAGAGACAGGTTGTTCAGATCGGAGTCAATGGAGTCCGCTACGCCGGGGTATTGTACCTTCACCGCGACGGGCTGGCCGGTCTTCTTGAGCACGGCCCCATGGACTTGGCCTATCGAAGCGGCAGCCATGGGAACTTCATCGAATGAGGAGTACAGGTCGCGCCAGTTAGGTCCTAAGTTGTCGGCCAAGACCTTGTCGCGCTGAGAGGCAGGCATGTAGTCTGCCCGGTCTTGGACCCGTTGGAGGACAATGTTGATCGACTCCGGAAGCATTTTGGAGTCTATAGAAGGTCAGTCATATAGGATTAGGTCGTTCCGAGCTGCACACGAACCTTGGAAGCTCAGCATCTGTCCCAGCTTAAGCGCCGCGCCGCGCATCTTGGAGAGCTTGGCCACCAGTCGCTCCATGTTTCCAGCACTAAACATAAGCGACCCAGTGCTGTCCTCTTTGCTTCCAGAAACCCTCCTCAGTCCCTCACCAACAGCGCCGAACGCCATTGACGTTGCCAGTCCGCCATACTGCCATAGTCTTCCCAGCCGTGACGAGGGAATTCGCGATTCGACCATCTTATAATTCTCACGTGATCTGGGTTGTTCTGCTGCAGTTGCCGGCGTTGCCTGTCCCCAGGATGTCAATGTACATGCTTGCTTCTCGATCGATTATATTCTACGCACCTTTGGGATAGCTGAAGCTATTTCCTCTGAAACGCGGGCCCCCGGCAGGCCCTTTGCGCTTGCCGCAGGTTTCTTGGAAAGCATCCTGGCAACTCTTGGGCTGTGGAAGATCTCGCTCATCATTTCCTCCGGAATCTCATCCTTTTCCGCACTAGGCTTCTCGGGACCGGCAGACGAGTGAAAAACGTCTGCATTGATCTCGTTCTGAACATTACGTTGGGTATCACTGGCGTTCTTGGGCAACTTGACCCGAGGAAGTCCCGATAGCTCCGGCGTCGACTCCTGAGATGGCTTGTAATATGTTTCCTGCTGCGTGCTGATGTCCACCTGACTCGTCCCGTCCCTCACCGTGTGTTCAGCGGCCGTGGAAGGAATCTGCGTCTCCGATTGTCGCTGCAACCTCCTTGCTTCTTCCGGGGAAAGTGATGCAGCGGCGTGCGATTGCTCGTATCCTGAACGGGGCGCGTCGGCGGATTGGGATTTCGGCGAAAGGTCAGACGGATGGGGCTCGTTGAATCGCTTCGCCAGCGCGGCTGCTGCCTGCGCAGTTATGATCAGGCCGTCGGCCTGGGCTTTAATGCCTTTGGTGAGCGAGGAAGTCCTGGTGAAGATGTCTAGCTGGTGTTGGCGCACCGCGAGGCGCTTGCCAGCCACGGACTTGGCGACATTGAGCAGCTGGATGGCGTCCAGCAGACGCTTTCCCGACATCGTTCACGAGATGGTAACTGGCTAGTGGAGGCGCATGCCGACTTGGAGGATGATGTCGCCTCGGCCAAGTGCGCAATGCAAGTCCCGAAGCCGGTCGCCGAGACCCGTTTTTCTGCCGGACCACACCGCCCGATCGGGCATCGCCGATCTGTTATCGGCGAAACTCTTAATTAAAAAAACAATAGATAAGACCGTCGCCCCCGTTGTCGGCCGCTGTCGCCTTCTTCTCGTTCTACCATGCTGCCTCGTCCTCTTCCCCAGATAATGTCTCAATGCCTGGGAAAACGAACCTAGATGACTTGGAGAAAGAGGTCGCAGACCTCGAGTATCGTCTACACAATGCCAGAACCCGTTTAACCCTGGCCTCCGGGCCACGGGAAAGTGGCGAATCGTCCTCCTACTTGCCGCTCCCTGCCGGTAAGTGAAATTCAGGATCAGAATCGAAGCCGTGAGGGCTATTGGGATCCCTGGAAACTGACTGAAGACTGCCTGCTTTTAGATGCTGTGCCATTAGTCCCAACTCACGCACTGCTGCTGCTGTCCGATTCTGCCCTCCCACTGGGCTCCTTCGCATACTCCAGCGGTCTGGAATCTTATCTCGCGCACAACAAGCCACTGCCTCGTTCGGTCACACCGCTCGCATCCTTCCACCGCTTTTTGAAACTCTCCATGGCCTCAATGGCCAGTACTTCTCTTCCGTACGTGCTCGCCGGGTTCCGGGACCCCGAGGAGCTGGAAACCCTCGATAACGACCTGGATGCGTCGACTCCTTGCGTGGTGGCGCAGCGAGCGAGCGTCGCCCAGGGGCGCGCACTGATTGGTGTCTGGGAGCGCGCTTTTCGAGGCACGTACGCCTCGGGGCCGTTCCTAGCGGGGCCTGCAGCGGCGCAAGCGGTGAAGGCCATCGAGTCTTTCGCGGATGCGCTCAAGTCCTCGCTGGGCGATGCGAATGAACTCGGCCCCAAGGGACATATTGCGCCGCTCTGGGGCGTCGTGTGTCTGGCCATGGGCATGGACGCTCACCAGACGGCGTATGTGTTCATGCTGAACCACGCCAAGGCGGTTCTCAGCGCGGCAGTCCGAGCGTCTGTCATGGGCCCGTACCAGGCGCAGAATGTGTTGGCGAGCAAGCACTTGCAGGACATGATCTTAGATCGCATCGACCGGGAGTGGGAGACGCCGGTCGAGGACGCGGGCCAGGTGGTGCCCCCGTTAGATCTGTGGGTGGGTCGACATGAGCTTTTATATAGTAGAATTTTTAATTCATAATAACACAAGGTCTATACCAATATAATGGTTGCTTTGAAGGTGACAAGAAAAAAGAAAACAAGGCCATCGTTGGCGGCGTGACTCCATAATATCGATGCATTCATCATCCTTCCTCGTCCATCAGCTCCAAGCTAATCCTACACTTCATGCCTTATAGTTCCCACACACAGAATACCACTGAAAACACTCGATGTTGGTATCCAAAACGAATCCCACTTCCAGCAAGAAAAAGGCGAAAGTTAGATGATAAAAACAGAACAAAACCCAAATGGGAACCTGGATGCCAGAACATCCGCCATAGTATGCAAAGAGAACCTCTGCTCAAGAGAACAAGTCGAACGCCGGCCCTTCTGGAAATCCTATCCTGCTAAACCGCAAGCAGCAAAACACCGCACCATGAACCTTTTTTCCATGATTTAGGGGGATGAAAGGGGGGATAAAAGAAATGAAAATGACGAAAATAAAATGAAGTAAAAAGAAAATGGATGGGGTAGAAAGGGAAAAGGAAAAAGGAAAAAGGAAAAAAAAAGGAGAAAAAAGTAAAAAAAAAAAGAAGAGAAAAGAAGTCAGGAAAACGGCAGGGGGAAATGAAAAACTATGGTACACGAAGACGTAAAAGGCCATTCATTGACAATGGTCCGAAATCACAGGGTAATATGCATGTAATCGTTGTTCCCAAAGGATTTGTTGCAATTGGGACACTTTCGAGACCGAGAAGTGAGGCGTTCTTCGACACATTCCTTGCAGAAGACATGACCGCATGTCTTGATTGCGGTGTTCTTGAAGTTTCGGCGACACACTGTACAAAGAGCAAGAGTCTTGGGCATTCATGTCAGTGCCATGTGTATACATGCGGACGGAGTACGGAACTTACTCTGAGCATCTCATATTCAGAAGATGAGTTTCCAAGACTCTTATTCTTCCAGTTATCCAAACTCTTCTTGGTATCCGCGAGTGTTACTTTCAGGCCCTCGACCTCTGTTTCGGCTTGACGACAGGCGCTTGAGGCGTTGGCCAGAGTTGTGTCTTTGGATACGGACAAGGCCTTCAGTTCTGTAATTTGTCCCTTGAGACCGTCCATAACGATGCCGTTCTCCGTGATCTGCTGCTGTGCACCGTGGTACTTGCTAGCCATCGAGTGCAGGGCCTCCTTGGTTTCGCTGACCTGCTTCTCCATGTTTGCCAGCAAAGAACGGGTAGCTGCTTCCGATTCCTTCAGTTGCGAGACAATATCCGAACTCTTCGCGTTTTGCATTCGTAATGTCCGGACTTCCATCTCTCGCGCTTCCTTACTCTTCATGGCAGCGAAGTATTTCTGATCGGCCTTGGATTTCTCGGCTGACAACCGAGCCACTTTTTCTTCTAGGGTGCTGAGATCCGCAACTTTCTGCGAAGCCAACGAGGAGTATTTCTTGCACGCCGTTTGCATGGCCGCAAGTTCGGTGTTGAGCATGGCGTATTGGCGCTCCAAATTCTGGTATTTGGCACGGAGTTCTTCTATCGGGGGTTCGCCGGCCTCCGCCTGCTCCACTCTCGCCTTCTCGACCTGCAACCGCAATCGTTCCACCTCCGATTCCAACGACGCAATGCGAGCATTCCCGGCCTCTGCCAATTCCTGAATCTTGATGGACGCGGTCTTCTCCTGTTCCTGGGAGGCCTTGCGCATCTGCTGGTCGGCCAGGAGTTCATCACGTGCGTTCCGTATGCGAGCCAAGTCGGTCTCGGCCCGCATCAACTGGGCCTCCTTCTCCGCGATCACATTCTGCGTTTCCTCGTCCACTTGGTTGCGGTAGGCGGTTCGTTCCGATCGTAATTTCACGGCCTCTTCCCGCAGCTGCACGTTGGTGGCCTCGAGGTGATTGATGCGCTTGATCACGTCGTCGTACTGGGACCGCAAATGCTTAAACAAATCCGTGTGCGCGTAATCGTCGTCCGTGAGTTTGGTACGCTAAAACCCACGAGGTTAGTCAGCCATCGCCAGGCACGAGTAACCGAACCCACCTTGATATTCAAGTCGGTCATTTGACTGAGCAAATTCGCGTTTTCCGCCTCCAGCTTCTGGATCTGCTCTTTCTGCTTTTCGGAAATGGCGGAGAGTTTCCTGTGGTGGGTTTCATCCAGTTCGGGGCTTCGATCACCCCCGGGCGTCGCGCCATTTGCGGGCGACTGTTCCTCTCGAGCGGCGGACGCACTCCCGTCGCCTCCGGGTCGCTGAGCGCCAAAAATGTACTGCTTCTCCAACTTGGCCACGGTCAAACTCCGTGCGCGATCGAGTTTCTTCTCGGCCACCATGTATCGTAAAGACGCCTCTTCCAGGCTCTCTTCCAGCTGCTGCTTTTCCGAGAGTGCCTTTTCAAGCTCGGCGATGGTCGTCTTCTCTTCTCCCAGTTTCTTGGCCAGTTGGTTTTGCAATTCGGACACATCGGGCGATACCTTGGGCAAAGTAGAAAGAAAACGTGAGATCACGTCGCGGATATCATCTGAACGGGCCTTGAGATGCCTCTCAAAATTCTCGGAATCATCGAATAGCAAGGAGCTTTGGAAACTGGGCCGCCCTGAAGATCCATGTTAGAAACGACTATTCCGGCAAAGGGTAATGACGATCGGCGAAAATTCCACCCACCCTTGTTCTCTTCCGGTGTCCCCAGGAGGATGTTGATCTCATCAATCAACTGGTTTCGTCGGATGTTAGAATATGGACTTCGATATATACGTATATACACATATACATGTATGCATACATGTATTATGTATCCAGGAGGACATGTCGACTCACCTGTTTATACCACGAGTCGATAACACGGAGATGTTCGTTATGGTAGGTGGTAGCCTTGGACATCTGGCTCAGCTTTGTCTCCAGGGAGACCTTCTCACGCTTGTACTCCTGCATCTGTCGCCATATCGCATCCTTTTGAAATCGCTGTTCATGAAAGAAAAGAAAATGAAGTCAATAAAAACTGCCCTTCTGAAAATCGCCGCAGTGGGTTCTGCGCTCAAATATGATTTAGAGAATCCCTGGGATAATGACCCCCCCAAATGGATAGGGAAGGGGGAGACTCACCTCTAAATCGTCCTTCCAGGGCATGTCAGCGTCAGGGTGCGGCTTGCCACCACCATTGACAGAAGTCGCTTGCTTCTTCAACGGTGGTGCCGATTCATTGTTCTCATGCGTGGCGGCTCTCTTCCGGTCTTCCATCTTGACAAAACCGGACTCGGGAGATGCGACGGGGGATGCTTCGGCGGCCGGCATCAGTGGCTAGAAAGGCATGCGTAGGATAAAGCCGTCTCCACTGAGCAGCAAGAAGCCGGGAGCAGAGACCGCAACAGACTCCGACCGTAAAAGAGGACAGGGTGTAGAGATGGGGAGGTGGGAGAGGTTGAGATAAGCAAGACTTGGATGGAAGCCAGGAGGATTTTCGGCCTGCGAGTTAGCGTCGCCCTAGCCGGCCACGTGACCGCGCCCACTTTCCCCGGGGGTTCACGCCGCATCTAGACTTTTGCTCTTCGACTCTTCTGCTCTTACGGACTGACGATCCCCATCAGCGATGACCCTCCGTCACAATGAAGTCCTTCTCTAGCTCTGCCATCAGTAGGTGCTCCCCCCCTTCTGTCTCCCCCTCCGCGCTAACCTCTCCCCGTCGTGCAGATAAGTCGGGCAAGAAATTTGCCCCCAAGGCGCCCGTCCGACGCGCTGCGCCAGCTCCTCCTCGACGTCCCAGCGTTGCATCTCAGCCCTCGGCTTCACAGACTCCTCAGCCTGTGACCGAGACAGCCACCCCCGAACCCGCTTCGACAGCTCCGATCGCGGAATCTTCCGCTCCTGTCGAGACAGCAACCCCCGAGCCGTCGGCGACTCAGACGGCCAATGTGAAGCCATCTTCGTCGGCACCTGCGACGGCCATCCCGATCCCTCGCCCGACAAAAAGGCCTTCCGTTTCTGCAGCGACTCCCGCTATCTCTCATGAGGCTCCCGCGCCTTCTCAGCCGTCTCAGCCGACTCAATCGACTCAACCCTCCCAGCCCTCTCAGCCTTCCCCGCCCCCGCCTAGCGCCTCTCCTATAAACCCCACCCCGCTGCCTTCGGTGACAGATGCAGCTGAGAAACAGATTCGGAACGATGCTCCTGTGAACGAGCCTGAACAATCCGATAGCCCTAATGACCGCGGAAGATCCTTAGCGCCCGAGTCGCGCAGTGTTTCCGTTTCCGAAGCACCTACGGAAATTCGACCCGTAAAACGCGCCAAAACTACGTCAGACAATGAGCCCGCGACCACTACGGAGACACGGCCTTCGATTGAGACACCCCAGCTCATTACACCACCCGCAACGCAGACCCCGGCGGCAGAGTCTACGACGGAAAGCCAGGATAACTCCGAACCACCTGCTGCTACCGAACCGACCCGGAAGACTACGAAACCAAGGAAAAGAAAGGCACCTAAGGATGAAAGCACCGCGACAAAAACAAGGGAGAAAAAACCACGGGCCCGCAAGCAGCGCGAACCGACTCCCGAGGGCTCTGAACAAGTTGAGATCGCTCCAGCAGTTATCAAAATGTCGGAACTGTGCAAGGATCTGCGCACGGGAAAGAAGTCTAAACGAGAGACCGAACTTCGCAAGCTAGAACAGGCCGAGCAGGAACGCAAGCAGGCGGCGCAACAGGAAGGTGCAGAAGAAGAGCCGCCTGCAGTTAAAGAGAAGGAAAATGCCAGCGAGCCTCCAGTACTGGAGAGCGGGGGTGATCAATCCCAATCTGGCCCAGTGATGAGAATTGTGAATGGAGAAATTGTGCTCGATACTTCATCTCTGCAGGTTGACCGGCACGCTGCAGCAGCGAAGAGCTATGGAGACTTGGAGGATGTGGTGGAGAATTCGTTTACGCGCAAGATCAATCAGTCTACCTACGGAAAGCGCACGAAAACCGAATCTTGGGACGAGGACTTGACGGATCTTTTTTACCGAGGACTGCGCATGTTCGGCACGGATTTTATGATGATTAGCAAGCTATTCCCTGGAAGGTCTAGACGCCAGATCAAGTTGAAATTCAACAAAGAAGAACGCCGTGACCCCGGCCGCATCAAAGACACTCTCCTGGGTCCGCGGGAAACATTCGATATCCACACTTATTCGGAGATGACCAACACGATCTACGACGACCCAAAGATTATCCAGCAGGAACTGGATGAAGAAAAGAAAGCCATCGAAGAACAACATGCAAAAGAAAAACAGGCCCAGCAAGAACTTCTCCACAACCCAGATGGCCCGAACGAAGGGGCCACCGACCCTGACAAGCCTAACACTGGGCCTACCAAGGGAAAACGCAAGAGGCAAGCTAAGGACATGGGTGGTGCACAGGAGGAGATCCTGGGCACGATCGATGATTTCCCCTGATTTCGACCTGCGAACTTGACTTGATTTGGATTTAGCATACTTTTAATGAGATAACTACCGGGGTAGTAGGTGTTATTGGCGTTGCTGATGTATACACTCGATTGCTTTAATTGGCACGGTGGGTTGGGTAGGAGTTTTCATTTCTTTTTCATGGGGTTGGCTTTGAGTTATATTACTACTACGATTATATCCTGCAGTGGCTTGCGACGTTGGATCTGCCTTGTGTTTGCAAAATCGTCGCCACTCGGGCTTATGAGGTATTCCCTGAGAATCCTCCATTCCCATACAGGTGTTTCATTCCACCAGTGGGTCAGGTTTTAGATATAGGATGCAATGACAATGTCTGAGTTGAGATTCTTATCTGCGCCTGGTTGATCCAAACCCAGTACTTGTGGTAGTAGTATCAGAGAATCGATACGAAGGCGACCGAGAGCTGCCTTCTCCTGGGTCATACGACTCATTCCGTCGTCTGGATGGCGGCGAGTGTCGCCGTGAAGAATTGTAAGCGCTTCGCCTTCCATACTCGTAACCAGCTGCGCCACCTCCCAACGCGCCGGTCCAAAAGCCAGGTCTCCATCCACGAGAGCTATCAGAATGACTGCTATACGGCGGCGGAGGATCATAGAACGGGCCTCCTCCTCCCCCTCCTCCACCGCCACCGCCATCACCACCAAATCCACCCCAGCCACGGCCAGGTGTTCGACGTCTCCGATCACCTTGAGCACCGAAGCATGCATCGAGCATGACAATCAAGACCCAAGCGACAAATCCATAGAATAGCACGCTCCCTATTACCGACAACGCCTTCTGCCACTTATGTCGCGCAATGCCCTCGGACCAATTGTCGTCGTGTTTTCGTCCGAACTTTTTCTCACCCAGGTCCGTCAAGAGTAGCCGGTATTCGACGCCACAGCTTCCTTTCAAAACCCATGGGTCGTCCGCATTCCGGTATCCCTCACAGATCACGTCCGTTGAGCCTAGTTTCAACTCGGGTGGTAGCGAGGCGGTACAGGTCCACTGAACGTCTTCTTCGTCATAGTCGTGGCCGGCATTGGTGCAACGCATTATTTCAATGGGATACGAGTCGCATATACGCTTGGAGGGTCCAACACATTGTAATTGGGGAATTGGAGACACGCGACGAGAGGAGGTGAGTCGATCTCCCCGAAGCGTCAAAGTCTGGACTTGAGAGAGTAGAATGGCTTTGTTGCCTGGTGGCCTTTGCGATGCGCCGTCATATGAGAGTACGACAGCTGGAAGCAGAGCTAGGAGAAGCTGTAGATGGGCTGGAAGATGCATGGTTAGTGAGTGGCTAGGCGTTAGCTTCCAAGGACCATCGCAGGCTAGAGATGCTGTCGAGGTGAAGAAGGACGAAGGACGAGGAAGGCGATCAGGACAGGTCGATTTAAGTCCCGATCAGGCAGGTCGGCGCTAGTCCGCATTGGGCGGCTCCAACTTTCTTTGCGATTTATTAATCTTCGACCGATTGTCCTTCTCCAACATCCCGTGGGGCCCGTAAATTCAGCTTCGGGCGTGGCAATGGGTTAAGCTCTCCTGTCGACTGATACCGCGCCGGAAAATGAATTTCCAGCAACGTACGATCAAGTTTCTTTTTTGGTCTTTATGAGCTCTTGACTGACGAACTGCCAGCTGAACCCTCGCCCGTCCCGGCTCAGTCCTCGTACGTCACTCGGTTCAAATCCCCTTTGTCGTGTCGCCGAAGTTAATGGAATGCCTTAGGTTGTCATTTACGCAGGGATTCCTCCTCGGACAGCTCTCCGTTGTACTGTTGATTGGTGCTTTTATCAAGTTCTTCATCTTCGGCGAAGCACCGCCTCCACCGTCTCGCGGCCTCCGCTCCGCAACACATCGTCGCTCTAATTCGATCTATACCATTTCACCGAACGATGGAGCTGGTGCCTCCAGATCATTAAGAGAAAAGCCCTCGACCTCCAACGTCCTTCGTCCTGTCCCTTCCTCGTCAACCAACACTCGCTCCATCCTTCGAAAGACCTACTACAGCGCCATTCCTACAAATCCTCTGAAACATGGCCGTCATAGGGTCCATCACTCCTCCCATCAACCGGAATCATTGGATTGGTTCAATGTTCTGATTGCCCAAACCATCGCCCAGTACCGACAAACCGCGTATCTTCTAAAAGATTCGCCTACGTCATCGATTCTTAGCTCGTTAACAGCGGCGTTGAACAATCCCGAAAAGAAACCTGCATTCATAGACAAGATCGCGGTCACGGATATATCTCTTGGGGAGGAGTTTCCGATTTTCAGCAATTGTCGCATTATTGCGGTGGATGACCCCAATTCCGACGGTGGGAGGCTCCAGGCATTGATGGATGTTGACTTGAGTGATGACAACCTCTCGATTGCAATTGAAACCTCCTTGTTGTTGAACTACCCCAAACCATGCTCCGCAATCCTCCCAGTGGCCCTATCCATATCAGTTGTTCGCTTCTCTGGGACATTATGCATATCTCTTGTGCCCGCATCTACGCCTCCCCTCGACACCCCATCTCCATCGCCTCCCCCCCCTGCCGACGCAAACGGCCGGCCCGGAAATAGTTCGAAGAGAGCCGACCCTCGGTCCTCCAATGCACAAGGGGGCGATCCAGAGGAGGGTCCACAGAAGACCGGAACCCCGAAGAGCAATGTCGCGTTTTCATTTCTCCCGGATTACCGGCTTGATCTTTCCGTGCGCTCACTTATCGGCTCGCGTAGCAGACTCCAAGATGTGCCGAAGGTGGCTCAATTGGTCGAGGCTCGAGTCCATGCCTGGTTCGAAGAACGAGTCGTTGAACCCCGGGTGCAGGTGGTAGGGCTACCGGACCTATGGCCTCGGATGGGCAGAACAGGAGTCCGGACAGGCGAGGACTCGGAGACTGGCTCCAACGGAGCATCTCGGTCCGCCATGTCGGCCGACATGGGCAACCCTCTTCGGGACGATGAAAGCGACCGAGAACCAGAGGGCCTTCGGTACCGAGGAGGGCTGGGAACGCGGCCGCCATTTGACAGCGCTTCACGCTCCAGCAGCTTCAACGTTGAAACCGGAGGGTTCCGAAGTCACAGTATGACTCGCGAGCACAGTGCCGGGGGCATGAGTGATCCATTCCATATGCCGGGCTCGATGCCCGACGGTGCGATCGCAAACTAAGGCACCTTGGTGTTTGCATAATATCCAAGGGCCGGTTCTGAAGTCTATATAACGATTTAAAGAGAATTTGAGCTTCGAAATGAATCTTATTATGTAACACAAAGGTGGTCATTTTAAGTATGAAATGAAAAGTGTGTCATAATATCATCGCCTTGATATATACAAAATCATTGGGATCAGTCCCGTCATTCAAACAAAAACAAAATCAACCAAATAGGTGATACGAGGGCATCAATGCACAACATTGTAACCTGTTCATAGTCACTGACCCGCCAATCATCGCATATATTAACTAGTTTGCAGCAACAGCGGGAGTAGAAAGAGTCCCGAGATACGTCTTGCGATGCTTGTTGTCATCAACCTCGTCGCTACGGTTCAGGGGCGTCCACTTAGGCTCCTCCTGGAAGAGACGCATAGCCTTAACATACTATCAAGAGTATTCCATATCAGCAACCTTCCATCCAACCATCCCACCAATGTCTCTAGGGGGAAAAACTCACGTTCTTGTCATCCGTCGTGAAACGATGGTAAATACCAGCCGGAAGGATAATCAGATCATCCTTGGACAGCCTGATGCGCACCCACTCGTCCTCCTGGCCGCGGACGTCGAAGTAGCCCTCGCCGTCGCGGATGTACCGGATCTCCTCGTCCTCGTGGAGATGCTCGGCAAAGAACATCTTCACCTTTGACTCGTACACGTCGCCCATGGTCTGGGGCGAGACGGTCACCTCGTCGCGGTTCTTGTATCCGCGCTCCGCGGCCAGGGCATCCACGATGTCAATGGTAGGGCAGTGGCGGTAGAGGACGCCCAGGTTGGCGAGGTAGGATTCGGAGACGGGACGACCGGAGTCGTGGGGCTCGCGCTGGTCGCCCTGTTTTACGAATTGAATCAGCGATTTGCGGTTGGTACTAGATTATGGGATACTCGGGCTACATGGTTGGCAGGGACCACTTGAACTTACCGGCTTGTTATCGTACCAGTATGCCTTCATGGTGGATGGTATCGCTTGGAGCTGATCGCAAGGGCTAGAGTTTGATGATAGAAGAGACAGAAATGGGCGCTTCAGAAGGCGAGGGGAGATATAGAGCCGAAAAAAAGACCCGCGGGGTTGCGAGAATGAGAAAATGCTGCCCCGCAATTGGTTCTTCGGCGATTGCGCAAGAGTCGCGCAGATTACGTCAGCCATGCCACCGGCCAGCGTCACCGCCTTCGGAGTTAAGCCCGGGCATTAGTGCTCGGTCACGTGGCGCGGAAGAACCGCGGACTTTTTTCTTTTTTGTTTTCGCGCGACTCCGACGGATGATTACTCGCATACCTCCTGCTGTAGGACAACTTCGTTTGGTTTTCCCGCCCAGGATCCCATCATGCTGGCCTTTCGATCACGGTCAGTGGCTCTTTTCCCACGGAGCTACTCCGTGCGTCCTCGGGTGACGAGGACTTTTCGTGGCTTGGCCACCGTTGCCGAGGGTGCTCAGTATGTTGATCTTCTTTCTGGTTTACCAGACCGCTTACCGCCGTATCGGGAAGTACTAACATCCTGTCTGCGATAGACCCTACGATGTCGTCGTCATTGGTGGTGGGCATGCCGGCTCAGAAGCCTGTGCTGCGGCAGCTCGCTCCGGCGCCCGCACGGCGCTAATCACCCCGTCGCTCTCCAACATAGGTGTATGCTCGTGTAACCCGAGTTTTGGAGGAATTGGCAAGGGCACAATGATCCGGGAGGTGGATGCTATGGACGGCGTTGCAGGGCGCATCATCGACAAAGCCGGCATAATGTTCCGGTTCCTCAACCGATCCAAGGGTCCCGCTGTCTGGGGGCCGCGCGCCCAGATCGATCGTGACCTGTACAAAGGATACATGCAGGAGGAGCTTCAGCAGACGGACGGGCTGAGCATTCTGGAAGGGAAAGTGGCGGATATCGTGATTTCGACAGATGGGATGGAAAACAATTCGGGGCCGGCGCAGGGCAAGATCGTTGGTGTCAAACTCGAAACCGGGGAAGTCATCCCGACTGGCCGGGTGGTTATCACGACCGGGACTTTCTTGGGCGGAGAGATCCATATTGGCCTCAAGGCATTCCCTTCGGGCCGTATCGGCGAAGCTGCTACTTTTGGGCTGAGCAAATCTCTCCGCGAAGCTGGCTTCCAACTTGGTCGGCTCAAGACCGGAACTCCGCCGCGACTGGACATGAAAACGATCGATTTCAAGCCGTTGGAAATTCACGAAGGAGAGTCGCCTCCGCAGCCGTTCTCGTATCTGAACAAAAGAGTGCAGGTGGACACAGAAGATCAGCTTCCTTGTTGGATCACGCGAACAAATGAAGCCACCCACGACATTGTCCGGGCCAACCTGGACAAATCGGTGCATATCCGCGAAACAGTCAAGGGGCCGAGATACTGTCCTTCTTTGGAGTCGAAGATCATCCGGTTCCATCAGAAGAATGCCCATCTGATCTGGCTGGAACCGGAAGGGTTCGCGCCCAATGAGGTGATATATCCGAACGGAATCTCCATGACCATTCCGGAGGATGCTCAACTTGCCATGTTGCGGACAATCCGTGGTCTTGAGAATGTCCACATGCTCCAGCCAGGCTACGGCGTGGAATACGATTATATCGACCCTCGCAATCTCTGGCCCACTCTCGAAACCAAATTGATCAGCGGTCTTTACCTTGCTGGACAAATCAACGGCACCACTGGTTACGAGGAAGCCGCTGGACAAGGAATCATCGCTGGTGCAAATGCCGGCCTGGCCGCCCAGGACCGAGCACCGCTCACCCTCAGCCGGGCAGACGGGTTCATCGGCATCATGATTGACGACCTCATCACCAAGGGTGTGTCTGAGCCCTACCGCATGTTCACAACCCGCAGCGAATACCGCATCACGACTCGGTCCGACAACGCCGACCTGCGTTTAACGGGCAAGGCGTTCAAGGCGGGTATCGTCTCGGACAAGCGCTGGCAGCATTTCCGCGACATTGAAGCGCAAATCAAAGAGCTCACGGCTCTCCTTAACAACACCAAAAAGACCGCCCACGGATGGAACCGCCTCGGCTTCGAAACTCGCCTCGACTCTTCCTTCCGCTCAGCCCTGGACCTTCTCTATGTCAAGAACATCACCCTCGACTCGTTGATCCCCCACATCGACTCGCCCTCCGGAACCACTTACACTGCTTCCTCCTTTGCCTCCGAGATCAAAGCCCGCGTCGCAATCGAAAAGCACTATGAGCACATGGCCGCGCGCCAGGAGGCCCACGCCCGAAAGTTCCTGCAGGATGAAGGACTTCTTCTCCCTGCTGATATGGATTTCCAGCAGGTCCACGGTCTCAGTAGCGAAGAGAAGCAGGCTCTTGAGCGCGCCCGACCTGTCAGCGTCGGCATGGCGCGGCGCATTGAAGGTGTCACCCCAGTCGGAGCTCTGCTATTACTTCCGTATGCACGGAGGGACACTCCCGTGGCTCCCGAGCCTGTGACAGAGCTTGATGCCGACACCGAGAACCTTGAAGTCGCTCCAGACACTCAGCTGGGCACTTGAGAGAACGAGGGTATAGAAACATATCTCTTTTCCTCTCCTCTTCTCTCTTCGTTAAGACTAATAACCATGCATCTTACGGCGAACTTGTACGACTATCGATTATTTTGGCTCTTTTTGTGGGATTTCAAATAAGGATCAGCTCACGGCGCATCAGGAAAGGGAAGGGAACCCAGCATGGAGTCAGTCGATTTCAGAACGACGTACTCATCCAGACTCGCCAGGGGCTTTGTATCATACTAATCATGTATATTCTTCGGTTCTTTCTCATTTGCACTGAACATACTAGGAATCTCCCGGTCTATATTTTCATTTATATTAGCGAATTAAACTTAGAGAAGGGCCAACTACGTTCAAACAAGACACTGCATCTCATCCAAGGAGAAAAGAGAATCCTAAGGTAGAAAGAAAGAGATCAGATACGCTTTCCTGGTTTGACAATCATCCGATCAGTATGCTATGCTGGGTGTGCCGTGGCAGTCTATATACACATGGTACTGTACAACTCGGACTCGATAATCTATGAAGACTTTTTGTTCGCGCTGGCTCTGGCAATGCGCTTCTGGATTTCTTCCTTGGTGAGAATTTTCACGGCATTTCGGGAGAAGACGTAGCTCAGGCCGGACCAGAGGGTCGTTGCGGCAACGAGGTACCTGGATCGTCAGTATCTTAAGGATTTGAAAGGGAAAAAAGAAGACAACAACAGCAGCAGAGAAGAGAGAAAGGTGGTGAGCAAAAAAAAAAAACAAAAACATACAACAGCCGGGATTCGCTGGTGGTCACCCACCCAACTACTAACCGGCCGGCGTGAGGCTTAAGTACGGCTGAGCGGACGGGAAGCCCTGTTCTCCTCACCCTGTGGTCGTATGTGCTTGATAACACTGAACAGTGGCTTATACCGCCCGCCTGCTCATATGTGGTCCTTGCTAAAAATGCAAACCACAGCAAGCAAGGAAGGGAAACACGTGCTTTTGAACGCAGGAAACCATGAGAAATTGTACTTACTGGAAAGCGGTCATTGCCTCCTTCAGGTGCCATGCATCAAGGAATGCCTCCGGAACCACAGGCATAGCGATGGCACTGCCAACAAGCAGAAGCTGCAGGGCCGTGTTGATCTTCGAGATTTCCGTGGGCTTCACTTCTGCAGATGGCAAAGAGAAGTCCCAGTACCGGGCCATGGTCTTGGGTGGCGGAAGAGAGATCCAGCGATAATATATAGCAGACAAGGCGAGACCAATGTCTCGACCTAGGATGATGACCGCAAGCCAAACTAAGAGGTCCCTGTTAGCGTAGCATGAGAGTTGGCCGAAGAGTACAACGCACCAGGGATGGACCCATTGACTGCCAAACAAGCGACACCGATGGTCATCAGTAATTTATCAGCCATTGGGTCGATGATCGTGCCGACTACCGTCTGGAGGTTATAGCGCCGTGCAATATAACCATCAACGAGATCTGTGATGCCAGCATATGCAAAGAGACCCAGTGCTGCCGCATGGTGGTCGTGTACCAAAAAGTACCCCACTAAGGGAGCAGCGACCAAACGAGAGAAAGTGAGAATGTTGGGCACGGTGTAGATGTTCTCATGGGTGGTGGGTCGCGGTATCCTGGAGAGAATTGGCGACTTTTTGGGGTCTGGTTTAGAGCTGGACCCAATTAGTTGTGAGAACCCCAATGTGCCGAGGAGCATTTCGTATGAGCTCGTTTTTTTCGTATAGTACACGACGGCATATATAAAACAGTCGAAGTCGAGACAGAAAACAAAAAGAAGCCTGAATACTCACCCACTAGGAGCCTGCTGATCCGATTCCTTCTTATCCTCCAACAGCATCTTCTGCTGATGAAATCCCTGTACCCAAGGGGATAATGCCCCGGTGCAGGTCAATGCGTTCTTCGCCAATGGTCTGATATTTTGTCAATACCATTCTAGTTCACAATTCCAATACCGATGAAAAGAACATACCGGTGCTGCAAGGAGCGCGAAGGTCTAGCTAATGTAAACATCGAAGAGTAGCATGACTCAACTGGCCGAACCCCTTGCCAACTTGTCCGCACGGCAGAGCCATGGGCAATGGGGATGGATTTCATCCCATTTAATAGGCGGGGACAATATTGCCCGGATGCGCGGATAGGCGCTACAAGAAACGGACTCGAGACCATGGTGAACCTTGGCCGCATTAATTCAAAACGGAATGAATGGGCAGCTTAGAATGACGTCGATAGAAAAAGCAACGAGGCGTAACGTGAGCTGTACTGTGCCGAGATGCAAGTGATCATCTCATGAGCCGCTGGCAAGGTGCTGGAAATGAAAAACAGATGAGAAGATAGTGGCAGGACTTCTTTTCTGTCTGTTGCAGTAGCCAGAAGAGAAGGAAAGTATGAATCGATGATGGCCTAAGCTACCCCAAGTGCTGTAGATGTCAATATAACCGAGGGGACCAAATTCTCCGACTTGCGAATAGCCGAACTGCAGAGGTCTTTTGAGCTAGGAAAGACGCAAGTAGCAGATGAGTCAGGCAACTGCCATCCACAGAGGAATGCAATTGAGCCCGACGAGTGGCCGAGGACGAAGGGACTATGAAATGCAAAGAGAAGAAGATAAACCGACCAATCGAGACCACTCGAGACCCCGTGATTCGGGGACGGCGTTAACGGAACATCCTTCTTCCGAGCGTATCACGTGACATTACACACCGTCACATGCCGCGCCATGGCTGCCTGTTCTGTCAGGCCCGCCATGGATGCTTCTTCGGCAGACGATTTACGATCCAACTATAAATAAGCATAATGACCCAAGCCACACGCGTGGGGATGATGCATAATCCATGGAAGACCATCGCAAGATCTGGCCGGTTTCATCATGGTCTGCTACCATCGACATTCCCCCACTGCGCTACTGCGGATGATCAGCGTAATGACTAGCATCACACCCCTGGTCAGAAAACCATGAATCGCATCACCAGCCATCGAGAGAAAGGAGAAAATCCCCCAAACCGACAAATCAGAGGACTGAGACAGAAAAAGGCAGTAGACAGACGCAGCTGACGGCGCGATTCACCAGGTCGGCGCCGCCTCGACTCATACTCCTGTCATCCTCATCTGACTTCTGGCGGCTCGCCTCACCTGATAAGAGCAGCGCAGATGTCCCCAACTTGCTGTCGTCATCATAGAAATCGCTCCCATAAGTGATGGCTTCCCTGACACAACCTCACGTTATGGATTTCGTCAATCTCCTCGCTCTCGATTCAATATAGGATGTGGTTCTCGTCAACCACGCCGCCATGGGAACCACGCCGGATGATAGTGACAGCACCGAGTCCTCATCCGCCTCCAAAAGACTCACCATGGCCATGGTGACAATCGATCGCCCATCAGTTGCGCCTCCAGTGAGGGTTCCCGCTCCACCCGCGTCCGATCCTCCATCCTCCAGACGACCCAGCACCTCGCCCGGCAACTCGGAGGTGATTGCAGACCCCAATATCGCCAACCCTCGTCTCCTAACCAACCGAGCCTGTATCTACGAACGCCGATTACCAGGCGATGCCTACATCACCGCTCATGTGCAGCGCCTGCAGCATGGCTTCTACGCCAGCTCGGCCGTCTCCGACCATGACTCCGATCACGTTGACTTCCTTGGCATCAATTTCGTCTTCCACTCGCCCAACACCATGACGCATCGCTTCAAAGCAGCCACCATCCGCGCTTCCATCCACAGCAGTCGCGACAAATCCTTGTCCTCTGCCCCTGCGACCCGGAAGCCCTCCCGACGCTCCAGCTGCTCGCACGACCACCGCACTCCTCCGCGCCCCCGCAACCCGCGCTTCCTGAAACACGCACCGCACCTCCTCTACGGCGCCATGTCGCCGGAGACCCTGCAATGGAACTACAGCCTCGCGGGATCGATCGGGGTAGCCCAGTTACCACTGATGGCCAGCCTGTCGCCGTCCGGGGGCATGAACGGTCGATATCGGCGGTACGAGATGATGCGGATCCAAGGATCGGTGCGATCGCTGAAGAGCCCGCGCGGGCACAAATTCGACGTCGAGGCCGGCGAGATCGTCTGGACGCTCGAGGAAAACAGTCTGCAGCGATCGGGCCTGCCGCGCGAGTTCACGTTCGCCATGCTGATCCAGAAACCACACGCCGACAGCCGCGTGCGATTCAGCCTCGACATCGACCCCGTGCTGCAATTCGGCTGCTGCACCTACCCCGGCTGGTGGCTGGACATCCCCAAGTATCAACCCGCGCCTCGGCGACCGCTCGACTTTCGAATCCAGGTCGGCCAGCGGTTCGAGCCCATCACGTCCTCGAAGGGATTCAACTTTGCGACCCTCGAAAGCTCCTTCGACGACTACGTGCACATGCCCGGCCGGAAGTTCTCTTCTATGGTAAGTCACTGCAGAACCCAACCCAGCCTAGCCCCGTCCCCAGCAGGACAGGTCCCTGATGTTCCGCGAAACAACTCTGCAGATCTCCCCCGACGGCGGCGGAGTACCCCAGGATGACAACGAGATCCGGCGCGACGTCACGCGCGATCTCAGCATGGTCGAGCCGGTGCGAGGGCCTGCTCGACCTCCCTACTCCATCGAAGCGGGCCAGCTGCCCCTGGCCGCTGCATTCCCCGGTAAAATCCCTGTCAACCAGGCTCTCGTGCCGATGGTGCCTGGATTTGACCCGGGGTCGTTTTCCATTCGAGTTTTGCTGGACGACAAGGACGACGACAAGGAGAGCAACTAACCCGTCCTGTCAGACTTGGACTTGACCATCAGAGTTGATTTTTCATTCCCATCACCTAAATCACCCCGACAGACAGACAGACAGACTATCAGAAACATCCATGCCCATCCCCATCTCCACCAGCATCAACGTCAAACAATGACCACTAGCCTTCACTTGTACCTGTACCTATATCTATTAGCACACCCTTCATTTCAGCGAATGACCAGTTAGCATTAAATCAATTTGAATAGTTAATTCTCATGCACACACTGTCCTCACCATTCACCACTCACTACTGCTGAGATCGAAGAATTCCCATCGGTAGATCACCGCGGTGGACCCTCCCCATCCGATCCCGGGGATCGGTCCACCTCCAGAATGATCTGCAGGATCAATATCTACTACCCACCATGTAGGTACACTACCTACCTAACGATCTATCAATCGATGACAATTATACCGGTATAGAAAAGAAAGAACTCCTTAGAAATATACCCACCCAGTCACTCATCCATGGAGCTGTCGGGAAAGAAAAAAAAAAAGTGCACTCCACCGGATCGCGGGAGTGATGTAGTATCGGGCCCAACTCCACCACAACCACAACCTCAACAAATACTCCGTCCGTTCCAGACGGGTCCGATCAGGTTACGGTGACATCAGGGACGGATTGAAAGATCATAGAATGAAGGAGCAGTTGGAAAGATGGAGTTACCCCGGTCGCAGAATAATCAATTGATCCCCGATCTTGTAATCGATCATGTAGAAATTGCTGCTAAACTAGCGAACTACCAGCCAGCGAAAGATGAGATGGAGTGCCATGGTACCTCAGCACGAGCCCATTGATAAAGACAGAACAAAAAAATCCGGAGTAACAGCAAGACAGGTAAAACTAAGGCCGAAGAGAGTGGTAATATAACGAATGAAAAGAGAACCTGGAAACCTGGGGGACAAAAGTCCTCCCACAGACAACATGCAATGAAAAAAACCGACAATAGAATTCGCATCAAACCAAGGCCAGTGGGCCTAAACATCAACTTTCCTGATGGGTATCCCAGACCAAAGTCCACGGCTTTCCTCCCGTATTTAACAAACTGTAAGGATATGACGATTGCAAAGTGAAAAGAAAAGCAGAACAAAAGCGATAACGATAAAGATAATCAGATAGCCGCCCCAGACCGTGCCACCCAAACCGACCCATTTCTCATAATCACATTAAAGCGACACGCACGAAAGAAAGAAAGAAAGAAGAAAAAAAGAATCGTTCCCATGAGAATAAAAAAAGAGAAAAGAGAAAAGAAAAAAAAAAAAGGACGACGGCAGGGGAATAGATGTTGGTAGGGTCATCGTAATCATCGTTGCGAAAACAGGAAGACGTTGCGTTGCAAGAAATAGAAAAAGCCACCAACATCTCCTCTAAGAGCACGGTTTCATCGAGTAATCAGCCACAGAATGTATGTATAGTCTATTTCCCAGGTTGCCGCCGTTTCGAAGAGTGAAAACATATGTGAGAAGCAAAGTAAACGAGTGAGAAGAATTGAATAGAAGAAGAGGAAAATAAAAAAGAAAGAAAGAAAGAAGAGCGATAAAAGGGTATTTTATACTTGTGGCTGAGCCGGAGCTGCCGTGGTCCAGGTAGAAACTGGGTAAGTGGCATGAGCCGCCGGATTGGTGGCGTTCACATAATACTGGCTCCTGTCACCGTAATAAGGGGTGGGGATTGTATTCGACTCCCGACGCGGAATGCTGGAATCAAACGCAGCCATGCTGCGCTGGTCAAAGGACGGATGCGACGAGGCATCCAGTTGACTTGCCAGACTGAAACTGCCGCCGCGCGAAAAGGTGGCAGGAGTCGACGGATCGATTGGAGAGGTAGCCTCGGTGGCCACGCTTCGAGAAGAGATCGAGGATCGGTAAGCCGACGGGCTGTGATCCGACTGGGAGCGATTCCGGTCACTCAAAGAGCTCGACATGGCCGTATTGATTCCCGAGGGGATTGAGGAAGACAGGGGATTCTGGCCGAGCGGATCAAACCCGGTGCTGTATTGCGTAGGGGCCCGGAAGTGCGGGTAATCGTCCGGCTTATGCGGAATCTGAGTAGGAGGCGTAGGCGTAGGGAGGTACGAATTGGGGGCCTGTACCGAGGGGAGCGTCCCTACCATGGAATATCCAGTGATAGGTGCCGACTGCGGTGGGTGAGTGGCAGTGTACGGTGCTGGCTGCATGTAAAAGTCCGGATGAGCATTCGGGATGCCGTATCCTGGGGGTGCCACCATCTGAGTACGATAGCCATATAGAGCATGAGACGGGTCGTTTGGATTCTCCAGCGTTCCCGTTTCCAGGTCGTCGATAGGAGCCCGAAAGCTTTGCTTCTGCGTCAATTCCATCCGAGGTCGGACAAAGCGTAGTTCATTGTGTATGGACGGCGGGCTCAAGTTCCCATGTACCACATCGTTCACACTGTAGTATGAGACCAGGTGATGCGTCACGCCCGAAACGGTCACGCTCATCGTCTTTTTGACCAACCCGGAATCCTTGAAGCCGTATGAGTCTACCAGAGAGCCGACCAATGCGCGTTCCATGTCACTCTGCTGCGATCGTTCCCCAAACGCGCCCGTCGTCGGGGGAGAGAAGGCGTGCGCGTTGCTGTCATGTCGGGGATAGGGCTCCCCCGGTCTCGTCGGAGGGACCGGGCGTCGATTGGCTTTCTTCATCGCCCGCTTCTTCTCGCCCGGCGGGAAGGGCTTTTCGAGCTCTCGGTAGACGAGAAAATTGCCCAGGATTCGACTCGGGCTCCAAGTCACGCCGTCCGTCCATCGCTTGATGCCCGACGAGTTTTCCTCGTAGATGAAGACGGTGCCGCTGCGGACCAGCTGGGCGCGTTCCCGATCATGAGGCCGACGGGGCACATGATGAAGCACACCGGTCAAACACGCCTCGAACAAGATCAGAGCGTCCTGCGTCGTTGCGACATAGCCATAATACGTCGGCTCCAACATTGACGGCGTCCCGTTGACCATCGTGGTGATTGTTGCTGTTGTTGTTGTTTTTTTTTTGTTTGCGGGCTTGAACTTTAGTCGAAAGGGGTCAGAGAGGTAAAATCAATCAGAGTTAAGACCGTCGCCGATCAAGGTTTCCCAGCAACGCGGCAGCTTAAGACACGCAGATTGAATCCCAACACGCAGGGGCCAGGAGGGAAAATCGCACGTGTGCACACAGACAAGAGGGAACAAAGTAGTCGCAGCCGCCCAGAACGTGAACACCAAGAGAAAAGAAATCGGCGAATGGATTGGACTGGCAGCGAGACGAAGCGAGGATTAAAGAAAAATAAAATAAGAACCGGGAGGGGGAGGCAAATAACCTCACAGGAAAGAGGGAGCCTCCCGAGGGTAGAGTCGAGAGGATGACAGGTTGAGGAAAAGCTCACGGAGGGCGTGAACCAAAGGACAGGGTCGATGGTGGGAGTTTAAACCCCCCGTCGTCAAGAGTTTAAGATTACCCAGTCTTGGGCGCCCGGATCGACAGGCAAGCACGGGCCCGTTCTTTCCCAAATCTTCGTTGAGGGACAGGTTGGATCTGGAGAGAGAATCGCCTGGCCCTAGTCGAAGGCTGGGTCGACTGGAGCTCTAGTTCCACGGATGGCGATCGGATCGTATGGGTTATTGGGTTGACTAGACGCCTCAACCACAGGAAAGCTGCGGTAATTCCCAAGCTTCAGAAACTTGCCTGACTTGAAGAGCAGCCGCCCGACTGTTGGAAGCAGGTATAGGGAAACGCAATAAAAAAAGAAAAGAAGAGCAAAGAAAAAGAAAAGGTTCGAGACAAGAAGTCAATCAATCAAGTTGACGATCCACGATGAGAGACAGAGGCAAGAGAGAGAGAGACCAGCTCAGCTTACGGATGAGCTGTTCGGTGCCTGTTTCGGAGGAGGAATGTAAGCCGATTTATCCACACGGGGATTGACGACAGCCACCGGTGCCATACGAGGTGGGAGGAAAGACAGAGATCAAAGGAATGAAACACGATGGAGATGGAGATGGAAATGGAAAAGATATTAAACGTCACCAGAAGGAGAAAAGGGCCCAAGAAAAAAAAAGAAAAAGAAAAAGAAAAAGAGGTAAATAATAATAAATTAGGAAGCTTCACATCGACTCCTGCAGGGTTGCTTTTCTGAAAAAGTAAGGTAGGTATTGTAATTTGTAAGCCCTGTTTTATTTTGTATTCTTTTTTTTTCCCGGCCTTTTTTTTTTTTCTTTTTTTTCTTTTTTTTTTCTGCTTTTGCCCTTTTCGACAAGATATGCTTCGATATGAATGATTTTCTCTTTGGGGGCAGAGGGTAGGGGAAAATCAATCAGAATAAAATAATAGTAATAATAATAATCATAAGCCCCTTTCCTGATGATGATGATCGAGGGAGCCGATTAATTACTATTATTATGATTATTTTAATAATAGATTTTTTTCCCTTCCCCAAGGACCAAAAAAAAAAAAAAAAAAAAAAAAGGAAAACAAAAAGAAGGAATGGACGAAAGGGCAGGGAGTGCGGGTTGCAGGGAAAAAAGGGCGACGAGAGAGCGACAAGCGCAGCGACAGCGAGAAGGCGAGCCAAAAGGCCCAAAGCCAGACCGTGAAGAGCGACCGGCGCAGGCGGGGCGACCCAGGGTGGCAGGCCCGAGCAGCGCGACGAGAGGGCCCGACGGCAGAAAATGAGGATGGGATGGGATGGGTGGGTGCAACTAGTGATTCCAAGGAGCAGGGCAACGCCGGAACTCGACGGTGGATCTCCATCCATGAGGCCGTCGCGGACCCATCCTGTCCTTTCATGCATTCCAATGGAAAGCTGAAAATGGTCTGGAGGCAACGTCGATTTCGGGTGATTTTAGGGGGACTGGGGAACGTCACAACTTTTCTCCCTCCCCAGCAGGATTATATCATGCCTCGGGCCAGGCGAAGAGAAGGGCAGAGAAGGAAAAAAAAAAAAAAAAAAAAAAAAAACATCTCCAAGCTTCAACCTTTACACTTCAAACTTCATAGAGAAACAGGTAATGGAAATCACTGGATGGACTTACTGAAGAAACCAAAATCCAAAGAGCCAGTGGGGATGACAGAAGCAGGTACCCCGTTTCACTTTTTGCTGGGGGGTGATTTTTTTCGTTTCCTTTTTTGGTTTCTCTGGGTTTTGGAATTGCTGGTAACTACCTAACCTTAGTACGGTAGTAATGACGTTCTCTATTTTTGCGTTTTTTTTTCTTTCGTCTGAATCGTTCTTCCGATATAGTTTGTAGTTGGTTCCTTTCTGGCTGAAGGTCCTCCGGAACTCGTTCAGAACTCTTCAGGAAACACTGACAGCATTCGGCGCGTCCAGGTAATCCGATCTATGCAGTCGTCTGAATTCAGAAAGGAGGGGAAGAGGGGCAGTTTCATCGAAAAATTGACCCGCGGGGGAGTCTAGCTTTGGAGAGCGCGATGCTTAGCAGGCGTGTCCCGGGTCGAGGGGAGGAGTTTGACGGGCGAAACGAGCGGCCAGCATCCAGCAGGAGATCAGATTGAGTTTGCGGAGGGGAAAAGAAACTGGCAGGAGAGAAGCAAGGCGGGCGTGGTGGGATGCTTAAAAAGAAGGGAGGAGGAACTGGCGGGAATTAGAAGCGGGGGAAGGGGGAATCGCACGCTGGACGATGGGGATGGGCGAGGGTAATGGTGACGGCGACGGCGAGGACGAGAGTCCTAACGATGATGGGATTATGAGGCTTCAGGAAATAAGCGATGGAATGGAATGCCTCCCGGTATGGATGTATTTGTATACTGGCGTGTACACGCTGGACGGGCTGGCATGGGCATGGGTATGGATCCCCAAGACTCGTGGCCGCCGGCGAGAAGGGCCGAAGCAAACGAGCTGGTCCGGCGTAGGTAATAATAAGGATGAAGCCAAAGGCAGCTAAGCGGTTTTACTAGTTTAGCTGGATAGTCTACTCCGTCCGTCATGGCGATATCAGAGATTCTCAAGAGCACATGGTGTTGATTTTAGTGCCAGTATTTTAAACTACTCCAGTGGACTCTGGTAGGTACGGAATCGTCATCGGCCTGGTGCCATGGATGTCCAGGGGCGTGACAGTATCGGTGGGGCGTTTTTATTGGCAATCCATCCACCAGGGTGGTCGTTTCTTTTCTTTTCTTTTTTCTTTTTTTTGTTTTTTGAGAATTTGTTTTTCCGGTTGGGCAAATAATAATTACTGTACTCCGTATATCAAAAAAGAGAAACCGGAGAAGGAGGGGGCTGTGTGGTCACTAGGGACTGTTTACTCCGGAGTTGGTGAGCCTGCGAAAAGGGTCCTTTTTTGGGAGGGACCAAATTAAAAACAATCAAAATAATAATCAAAATAATAAATATAAGAAGACGAAAAGGCCAATGAATGCTGCTCGATCTATCCAGTATCAACACTGGCTTACGGAGTAGATTTTAACTCTCCACCTTACAGATGGGGAAGCATATCTCAGAAGCTCCAGAAACTATATCGCTGGATCTAATCAGTGGTGGTTCTTTCTTTCAACGTAGCCCTTCCCAAGTCCTCTAGCTCCGTTCTTGCCCCAGTCTCCCTGATTTCCTGGCCACTTGATCGGTAAAAGTTCCTCCATCTTCACATTCAACACGATACCATTCTAGGGACCCCGAACCACAGTAGCGCGCCTACGCCACCGACCCGTACAGAGACCGTAACTCCGTGCGGCGGTCCGCCTCGCGATGCCCACGGGTCCCAGACTGACTCCCCCCCAAAGAAAAGGACCCAGCGCCTTTGAACGGGGACTTGGAAGAACTTGGACATGGACTTGACTTGATTCACCCTGACCGGACTTGCACCTGAACGTGAACCTGGGCGTGAACTGAACTGAACTTGACCGATTGAGGGGTTGCCTGCAGGGTGGAGCCCCCCCCTCCAAGCCCATCCAACCACGGCTGCGCCCCTGACGAAGAATTGGCGGCAAAAGATGATGTGCACCGGTCATCAAGTCTCGGGCAGCCCCAGCCCACACTAAATTCCTTAGTCCCAGGTTCCAGCTCGACTGCCCCCCCTCCTCCTCCCATTCATTCATCCACTCGGTCATTCCTCGCTCTCGACCTTTGGTTGATCAAATCATCGTCCTTGAATAACCGGGAGGCGGTCATTTGCTGGACCGGTCCTGACCTTTTCGTTCGTCTTGCCTACTACGGAGGACTACCTTATTCATTCCATTCTCTATTCTCTATTCTCGTCGTAAATAATACATGGGAACCAGAAAGTAGAATACTCGAATTATATCCCTCAGGTCCTTGGTCCATGCGTTTGCCATCTACTCCGTACCCTCGTTTGGGTTCGATGTGACTTTTCTTTAATTTAAATTTAATCTATAGCCTATGTATATCCCGTACACGTAGATTAAACCCATCAGCCGAGAAGGAAAATGATTTTCAAAAAAAAAATGTTGAGTCAACGGTCGCCTAAATGCTCGGATTTGCAATCGCAATCTAATAGTGACGGGATGTTATTATTATTACTAGTATTATTGCATAGTGCAATGCGGGCCAAGAAGCCCATTGGTTCCAGAGAAAGAAAAGCCTGGAGTACGGAGGAGAAGGGAAGAGGGAAAAAAAAAGAAAAAAGAAAAAGAAAAAGAAAATACGCTGTAAAAAAAATAATAACAAGAGGGATAGGGCAAGGCGCGAATGACATAACAGAACTACTAGTCGCAGTAGTTAAAGAGGAACTAGACGCTAGACAAACGATGGACTGTACGGCGAATGTTTTAGACCCTACGCAAGACTCCGTAGTAGTACAGAGATGGAGGAGCTCAGTCCAGGCTAGTCGAGTCCACCCGCCTCGAGATCGGGAATTCTTGGAGCGGACGAGAATAGGCGACTTCTGATAGTGGTCGAACCAATTTTCTGACTCCGTGTTGTTGTGGTCACTGGGGAGGAATCAAGACCGGAACCCCAATCGGGCAAAACGCGGTCCGAGCTCGACAGGACTCGCCGTGTCATGTCCAGTCCAGTCCAGTCCAGTCCGTTGACAGCCAGAATCAGAACGAGGCAGACACTGGCGGAGAAGGTCTTGGGACCTTTGGAATCTTTGGACCTGGCGAACCGTGATCCCGTTGGTCATTGACGGATGAAATATGTCGTCCGGCGGTCAGTCGTCGTCGTCATCGTCGTCATCCACCACAACAACGCCCTCCGTGGTCCGGATAGACAGAAGGATGATCGCGGGCCTTCGTCAGCTTCCAGAAAAACCGGTGACACCGCAAATGAGGGTCTGTGACGAGTAGACGGGATCATTGACTTGCGACCAGGTGCCCGACGGCACAGGGGGACTGTGCGTTTGCATTATTATTTCCTGGCTCGCCATGGCTTTTTTTTTTTTTTTCTCTCTCTCAGTCTGATTCCGCTGTCTTCCGTCCCGTTGATCGGAATGCCAATGTGCAATGAATGTGATTACGAAGGGGGGGAAGGGGAAAGAGAAAAAAAAAAAAACAAAAACAAAAAAAACCTGGCATTTTCTCCCATCTCCCATTCTTCCAGTGGTCGGACGTGCCGAAGCGGTCCTTCCCTTTCCCTTCGCCCTTCGCTCTTTCCCCCGCGGTGGCCAGTGCTAAACAGTTTACCCGCTCGAGGTCCGTGCAGTTGGCTGGTCCGGATGCTGGCAGCCTCCCCAGGAAGTGGAATGATAGACGCCAGAGTTTCGAATGGCACCGCGGGAAGTATATCTACTTTATACCCTAGGGGTTAAGATGGGGGCGTGAAGTATAATTTATATATAGAATACAAGCAGAAGGGAAAAAAAAGGTTATCGCTATTGTTCCCCGCAAATTTAATCAGAGGGGAATTGGGTGAGAGGGCCTACGGAATCTAAGGTTTCCTAGGGCTGTTTTTTTCTTTTCTTTTTCTTTTCCTTCTGCCTAGGCGAAAAAAAAAAAAAGAAAAGAAAAGAAATCGCCCAAAGTGAACTAAATTAAAACCAAACTCTTGTCAGGGTGCAGGGGTGCCATTCTCTTCTAAGCTTATATTGGACACTTACGGCGAAACCTTCGCGGGAGATCCTCCGTAGATCCAGGCCATGGCAACTGGTGTCCTGGTTCCTCCGAATTGACTTCCTCCGGCCCAGTGGCGAAATCGGTTAACCCTGGTCAAGGTTCTGGGGCCAAACGAGACAGGTCAACCGGATCCCTTTTTCCTTAGATCACAGGAGGCTCGACAGGCAATTGTACATGTGACTGGCCTTTTTTAGCTCGGACTGTTCTTTCCGAGCACATGAAATGATTATTTATTTATTTTTGCCTGAAGGACCCCCCCGTGAAAGGCTATTCCAGTCCGATTGGCAGGTCCCGACAAAGTGGGTGAACAGTAGACGATCTCAGTTGGCGCGTGCTTGTCGAAACTTAATTTCTCCATGGAAAGAACTGCCCGGGTTGGAAAGGTTTACTTCGGTCAATCCGTCTAACGGCATTGAAGGATGATCGGTGATCGGGGGAGTCGTGGGAGATCTAGATGACCGCGTTTCTTGTGTAAGTCCACCGGTGTCCAGACGCAGTCAAACCGGTCTGGAGGTGAGCAGCTCGAAGGGTGACGGCGTATGTGAAGATTCCCCCTCCCTCCAATCCCATGCCGCGGTCAGGGTACACAAATCACCCAGGTAAACGAGAAGAATGGCCCATCAGGTGATATCATGTTCCCAACACGCGGCGCGTCATGCAGAGAATTCCCAATCTGTCTTCCAAACGCCCGGGTCGCTCGAAGGCCAAGCGACCTCGAATCTTCGTATCGGGCCATGTAGTACGGAGGTATACCGAAGGACAATCTATCTAACTTTCTTTTAGAACCTGATTTCTGCCGAATGGAATCGACGTAAGGCGCGGCCCTTATATTGCATGCAGCTGCAAAAACCAGGGTGTGGACGGTGGAAGGGCCTTTTGTTTATTGGCACTGCATGCATATCACATAGTCTGCTGGTCAAGTGAGAACGGCATATGCAATGTTGTTACAGGGATTAGCCCTCGGACAAGGTTCTGCCACATAGGCAGGTCGAAGATCTGCACTCGCGACAGAACTCTATGGGATCTGCAGGGGGGAGAAAAAGGGAAACGCAGGACTGATGCTTGAGATTGAATTTGCGGAGAAGGGGAGGCGGAAGGGGGAAGAGACTGGAGGGGCAGGAGGGACGTTCGTCACAGCGATGCGTGAGATTATTGCTTCCCTTCGCCACCGTTGGCTTGAATCCTTTCCGTGTTCCAGGTCGACAGCACGGCGACTGGAAGTCCGTAGTCCGTCCGCATTGTACGATGGCTGCTCGTACGCCTCAACGTTCGCAGTGAATTGCCCTTTTCTGCTGACCACCGGACCGGCTCACAGCCACCTAGTAAGCGAAGCGTGACTCTTGGTCGGAACACTTTTGGACCACGAGTGTACGGAGTCGAAGCAGACGAACCAATCGATAGTCGAGTCTTGGTGCAATTTCCCCATTCGGAGAGAAAAGACGATCCCGTTGTACGCTTCGATCGCCTTTTGCTGACTACCTTACCTTACTCCCCTGACCACCATCGACGGCGGGCCCGAGAATCATCGGCGAGGGAGAGAGCGAGAGAGAGAAAGAGAGAGAGGGAAAGAGCCAAGAGACAGCGAATTGGCTCTTTCTGTGTCCGCGTCTACGTCTTGTGTCTCGTCTGCTGTCTTGTCTTGTGTCTTGCCCACCGATGACCGGGAGCCCTTCGTATCCGAGAAGGAAGGAGACCATTTCCTACCATTTCCTCCTTCCTATCACGATTGAAGCCCTTTCTCTTGAGTGGGCGATGGGATGATCTCCACCGCAATAATAATCACCATCGTTTCGAAAGTCCGTTATTCCCGACGCTGCCCTTTTTTTGCGTCCACCCCTCTTTAATTTCGACGCGTCTTGGTGATTTGCTCAGCCTCGACAGTCTCCAGTGGCGCCACGGACGGTGAACCGTAGACTTGGGCCAGGACCGGCAGGCCACGCTAAGACACTAGTTTCGATAGGGAGAGTAGAGTGCTGATTCCTTTTTTTTCCCTCCCTCCTCTGGGTCGCATCCCTTGGGGCGACAGTGGCAGACGCCATGTGGACGGTGATTGGGGGTTGCACATCGGGGATTGACGAAGTGGAACCGGAAGTCCCAAGGATGGAGGGGCGCCTTGGCCATTAGGTAAGCGGCTAAACCGCGATCAGAAGGAGCGACAGGAGGGCGACTTTCTCTCCCAGTCAGCGAGCAGAAATCCCGCATGGACTTGACAGGGTCAACCTGATCGAACCCGACGATCATCGCGCCCAAGAATGTCGAACCCAAGACGGGCTAGACCGGGGCGACGTAAAGCAGACACGAGTTCCTTTGCACCGCGCTAGTATGGACTAGTACTAGGCCAGTACTACTGTACAGTCGATCATTGTATTTTTTTTATTGGATTTCATCTATTGCGATTTATTTAATTATTTCATCGTGTTGCTGATGTTCCGGAGTACGCAGGGTTAGCAGCAGACAAAGACGACGGAGAGTATTCCAAGTTCCGAGCACGACCGACGATATCCTCAGGGTGGGTTGAAACCAAAGGGCTATGACCTCGTCACCAAGGATAAGGAACCAGTCCATGCAGGGTACGGTGCATCATACAAGTCTCCTCTGCAACTCCCAACGCAGGCGGCTCATTCGAGTAATCCCAGCAGTCGAGTAGCGAGGTCTCAATATTCGGGCGATGGAGTGTCTTATTCGTTTTGTCCTCCGGCGATGATATCAAGCAAGGCCTGGTGGTGCGACGGCCGCCCGATTGGCCGGGTTGTCGCCCATCTGCGTTTGCGGGTGACTCTGGGCAGTGTCCGGTGGTGTGTACATGCGACGAAGAGGGTGTGGTTTTTGGCGCCGTTCAGGCACTGCCCAGACTCCGAAGGGGGCGGCGGAGGTTGGCCACGCACTCCAGAGAGGCCGTGGACAATCCATCCGACAAACGACGGTGATAGGTTCCCGAGCATGCTAGTCTGCATGGACTAGTCCTGTACGCCGCGCCACAGGCTCGTGTAGTGATATGATTTGGTCATGGCCCCCAAACCCAAAGGGGGGAGAGGGTCAAACCTGGGGGGAAGAAGAATTCCTCCGTATCAGAGTCTAGCGAGGGCTGGAAATTGCATCGACGGGCCCGAAACAGAAGCATTCAAATGAAGCCGCAACATGGGAAATCAATCAATAAGCCCATCTTCTGCCCCTTCCAGTAAAAGGCAGCGACCAGCCAAGAAAAGCAGTGGGAGTCGTCGATACGGGACCTTGGTCCGTCCGAAAATCGGGGCGGCGGCAGCGAATGCGAGGCCTGGAAACAAGTGGGAATCTCCTCCTGGACTCGTCTGAGGGACCGGCCGAGACGACGAGGATTTTCCGCAGGCGAATGAGAGGCACGATCATGCTAATCATTCCCCTCCCAGGATCGGTCGAGGGCAGCCAGATTCTGGCACCCTAAATCCATCGAGGCTCCACCGCCAGCAAATAGTTCCGGATGGCGCTGGAATTAAGCATCGGTGCTTGGTTGATGCGGAGAAAAATCCCAAGGGCTACTTCCCGACTAGTCAAAGCCCGATAAAACGGCCATGAAACGGAACAGAGCGATGATCGGCTCGCAATCCTTGCTCAGTTGGTGACGGAAGATCAGGATACGGAGAAGACTGCTCCCCGGTCGTGGCTCCGAATCCACGGATCTCGTTTGACTTGGATGCGTACCGCGTAGGTCCCGGTCGACCGGCTGCTGATAATGTCTGCTGCTGAGCCATCGGAGATGTCCATGGCTCGGTCGAGGCAGGCTGCATGGGAATTGAGACCCGTCAATGAGAGCATGCATGGTGGACGCAAGGCTTGCGACGGTATATCCTCGACGCGCTCGTCTCCCCACATTCTCGAGATAAGCAAATGAGGAAAGTGTAAGTCGGAAGAATCCTTCTGGTCCAAATGATCGATCAGACTTGTCGTGACTTGTCAGATAAAAACCCTCCTAAAGTGACCTGTCGAACGCCGGTAACCCCTTTTTTTTTTTCTTTCTGGTCATGTTTCACCACCTCGAGCAAATGACAATTTCATGTGAAATGGAACAATAGTGCTGTCTGTGCAACCTACGCAAGCTGTCGAGTGTAGAGTCTGTACTCCCGTACATCCATCGTCAATAGTACTCCGTAATAATCTTCGGATTGTTCCACGGACGATCCTGCGACGTCGCGAGATCTCCCCCTCGCCTATGCCTACGGAGTGGTTGATGTACCCCGTGCATGCAAACGATCCTTTGATACCCAACCAACCCGGTGTAATGCCCCATGTAATATCCTCATCAGCTCCTACGAAGGATCTCCGACCATCTCAGCCTCCTCTCCATGTGGTCTTCGGCATGGCTATTGACCGCTAATCTGCGACGGCGCTTGGCTTCGGCCCCTCCTGGGAAGTCATCCATCATTCCTGCCTCATGACAAGTTTGAGGTCACCACTACTAAACTCCGTGCTATACTAGTCCTCAATATTAATCTATCAAATACCACTACGCCATAAGGGCCGGCCTAGCGGCGTCGAATACGCCGTAATGCATGGTTGATCTCGTTTATGAATCGCTCGCTAGACTCAATCCTATCTAGTGCTTGCGACGATTTCCGACCCGTTGTTGCAGGAGGACAAAGGACCGGACCGGACTGGACTTGGACTGTCTGACGCAGCAGCGGATTGTCCAAGATGAAATCTTCTCATCTCGTTGATCTGGACGGACTTTGCCTCATCCTTCAGCTGGCGAACGTAGGGCGCTAGTGAGCAATCCTTCGCCTCTTCGGGGGCTTTTTGCCTTTGTCATGCTCCAGGCTAGCGACCGACTTGGTGTTCACACCCTTGTCTAGATCAACTCTGTTGGGCTTCTAGATCTTTTCCAATTTTAACCCTCGTCGAAGGAAGGCTCTTGGTCAGGATGGCGATCGCCATCTACCTAACTACCCAGCTGAACTTCCGCAGAAGGACTCCCTCCGTAACTGACCAGTTAATCAACTAAACTAGACCGAACCAGAGTACGGATGCACTAACGTAGTGCCGTCCTAGTGGTAGGCATCAAGAATAAAATGGACTGAAAATAAAAATTAAAACCAAGGGGAAAAAAAACCTCCTTTGCCCCTTGCTTGCTACGCTCAGTTGTGCTGTGTATGTACTCCGTACGCGGTAGATTGATCGCCTCTCCCCCACTCCATCGATTATCCACCTTTAATATACATACATATCATTACCAAAAAAAAAACTAATTCTTTTTCCCCCTTTAACGGTTTAGTTGGTATGAGGCCTGAGCCGCCGAGGAAAAGTCTTCCATGCAAGAGAGCTTTCCCGGCGTGTAATCTATCGAAAAAACGGAGCAGAGATGAGGTGACGACTGACGACTGACGACCAAAATAAACGATGGAAAAGCAAGGGGGGCTTCAAAACAAACCCAAACAGGGAATTGGAAAAATCAGAAGAAAAAAAATTAAAAAAAATCTGCCATCCCCCACAATTTGACAGGGATTCATTTCGCACTATTTTAAATATTCTCATGGGAGTTTTTTCCTCTGTCAAGCAAAGACAGAGAGGGAGGAAGGAGAAAAAAAAAAAAAAAAAAAAAAAAAAAAAAACGTGGCACTGGCGTCTGCGCGTGTCTCAACATGATTACTTTTGCGGAAATTTCTTCGACATGGCCAGCTTGTGCGGCGTCATCGACATCGTTTAATTGATTGGTTTTCGTCATTCTCAGCGTCTGGAGGCTGGATATGCTCCTTGTTCATTATTATTTGTAGGGACACCCACGGAGTAGTAGATGTTATTAATGCGATGGATTCATTATTATCCATCACTCGTCACGTCTCTCTTGGCGTATTTCCAGCCCGTCTCCACGTCCACGTCCACGCCGCGAGGGACTCGCGAGAAAGGAGGACCAGCCACGGAGCATTGCTTTCCCTGGGATGTTCGACCGTACTATTGTCGATAGTCTACCGGTTACACGCCGATTGGGAGCTGGTACTGGTAGGGACCATCTAGATTCAGTACGGAGTTAGGCGATACTGAACAGCAGTTACACGGCAGCCACGGCAGCCTGGGGGGCGGGAAACAGAGCTACTGGCCTGGACTGGGCTGGAGTCTGGAATCTGGGATCTGGAGGTTATGCCGTTGAGGCTAGATGGGACTCCTGGGGCGATGGACCAGGTAGGAAGGTGTACTCAGGGACTGTGTACGCAGTAGATTCGTGTGAGAGTGTGGGATGCCGAGGAGACTAGAAGACTAGAGGCCAGAAGCTAGAGGCGAGAGGTTAGAGGTTAGAGAAAGCAGGCAACTAGACTACCCTAAATTCTAGGGGCAAATACGGGGTACCTCATTGAGACTAGGGAGCCCAGGGCCTTCAGGTTGCCCGGTACAAGTGGTAAGGCGTAATACCTGGTGAAGACGCGGATCTGCACAGCTGCTGCAAGGTGATGACATGGTACTGCAACTAAGTGGGCCATGGGGGATGGCGATGGTTGAGTTGGGCTTTTCTACTTGCTGGGGGAGTTTTACTTTCCAAGAAAGACCGGGGGTGTTGGAATGCCAAAGGGACAAAGGAAAATAAAAATTAAAAATCAAAATTTTAAGAGAGAGAGAAAGAAAGGGACCGATGACAAGGATTGTGGAATGTGTAGACTATTGCTCTGGTTTGATGCGGTGGTTCCAGATGACGAACACCGTCCGGTGCACAGCCTGGATAGAGTAATTGTTCTTACGCTCTTGGCTATCATCCTCTGTCGATCCTCGTCCGAGATCCCCTACGTCGATAGATCTGGAAGTAAGATCCGGGAGAGAGTAATCCCTGTCGCGAAAGAATGGCATGATCGTTGTCCGTAGTTGGTCTACTAGAGAGATATATTTAGAGATCACAATTAAGCGAGGTGAACTAGATAGGGAGCTGAGGTTGAGAACTCGGAAGCCCCTGAGCCCGAGCTAGCAATCCTTAGCTCTTGGGCGTCGTAAACATGGCAACTGAAACATGGCAGAAATGTCTCAGTTTATTTATACTTTCGGGTTATTGGGATTAGTTGGTCGGGCAAAAACCGTTACTGTCTCAGCTGCCCAGGAATGAAAGGCGCTTTGGCGAAGCTGAAACTACGGAGTATGTATGGCTTGATATTGCGCCAGTTCAATTTGAGAATGATAATATTGACATGGACGTGGTCGGTCTCGTAAGCGCCATTCCTCATTACGAACCCATAGAATACAGAAAGCAGAAGAGACCGTGAATATGAGATTGGGCGTAATGTCTTCTATCAAGAAACATCAGCCCATCAACCCATCAGCGGAAAGCCATTATACGCATCCGGCCACATAGTGAAGGGATCAAAATCATCCATCATGAGAGCGTCTTGGAAGTAGCTATCACTGTTGTCCTCAACAGACCATGACAGAAAGTCCCCCTGCAAGTTTCCTGGTGGCTGCAAGGAGCCGCTGAGCTTTGACGAGTGTTGTGGTTGAGAGATAGAGGACTCCTCTGATCTCAATGCATTGGGGTTTGTTGTACTTTCAGAAATACTACCGTCCTGGGGCGTTTCTTGTTGATGAAGATTCCGTCGGACCTTGACCTTCCCGAGGAGAGGCACCTGTAGAGTAAGGTCTTGCGGATGAGCAGGACCTTCTTGCTGAAGTAATTGGTGCAGGGAATTGATAGTCGTGACACAGGTGTGAGCAAAACGAGCGCCTGTGGTGTCATGAGATCGTTCAGTCATGAGCTTTGTGACTTCCTGGACCGTCCTGCCCGTCTTCGCCTTGTGTGCACAGAAACCCAATCGGTCGGAGGGCGAGGAGTTGTGTGATATGAGAAGAAGGACCACAGTTGTAACGAACACCTGGAGATCTAGGACCCGCGTACAAAAAAGTCCAGGTGGGAGTGTTCCACGAAGGAACCGGTATAGGCGCGCTGCTGACTCGCATGCATTCATGCATACCAGGCGGCTGTAGAAATACTCCTCGCCGATGTCTTGCCGCATTACGAATGGCAAATGCGCTCGCACCGTAACACTGTTATGGATAAACTGCACCATATGGTCTGGTTTTACCTGCGGCTCCCCGTCTAGTGCCCACCATTGCTTGGGGGTCTGTGATGCCAGGGACTTGAGCTCTCCGATGAGTGCTAGCGTAGAGCTGTAGAATCCGGGGCCTGAGTCTGGTGGCATGTTGAGATCATCCAGCTGTTGAACCTTTGCAGCGATATCTGTCAATCGGCTGAGATACACGCGGGGCTGGACGACGCCATCAACCACAAGTGCCTGCGCCTTCGCTTGGGGATGTCGTCGAGTATCGGGAGGAAGGTTGATGACCAGCCCAAGTAGTCCGTTTGCAGAAATAAGTGAGTCCCAGAGCTGAGCCTTGTGATGTTGTGCCTCATTGTCTTCTGTCCCGATAACCCGGCCGTGCTGGATTGCTTGAGAAGCTTTGGGAAGTCCCATGATCTCTGCAATCGCAACGATGTGTCGCAGACGCACCCATGCCTTCCGGAAGTTCCCTTGGCTTATCTGGCTGTCAATTGTCAATAAACAATAGGGATAAAAGGCAAGGAAGGATATACCCACAGTCGAAAGAAATGCATAGCCATGCTAATCCCAGACATGGTGCTCACCAACCTATCGTGGGGCATAATAGTGGTTTCCACTGCATCAGAAACCGCTCGACAGAACTTTGACCATTCGTAGGATTTTTGAAGCTGAATATCGTTATCATTGTCCGGTTCTTGCGTTTGTTGACCTGTAAGAGCGACGGTGAGCAGCCACGATGCAAGGCTAATCGGATCCACATCCGGTTTGTTCATGCCTTCGAGGCTTTCGCAGATTTCTTGTGGAGACATGATAGCCCCTGGTTGGGGGAACATGGCGTATATGAGAGGAAGCCATTGTGATGCGGACTGTGCAATGTTTAAAATCTCGCGCTTAGGCGGGATCAACCTCTGAAGAGCCCGTCTCGCTTGGTTGTATAGATGCGAAGAAGCCTTGGGCCTGCGCTCCTGAGAGTGTCCATTTTGTTGCTGAGGGTCCACGCTAAGCCAGTCGTTGTGGAATAGAGATCGAAGATGCGCCGGTTGATCCGCAGCCTCGAAATCCGAGCCGGCATCCAGGTCGTCCGAACTCAATATCGGCTCAACAGCTGGGTCTGGAGCAGTTGATCGATTCCCAGGATTTATTTCCGCATCATGGACAAACTTGGTCAGGTTCGCAACCTTTGACTCCAATTGGGCTATCCGATACCGCGAGGGGAGCCTCTTGGACTGCCCCGAACGAGGAGTAAATGTCTGCGCAATGCAAGTTGAGCCTCGCTCTTCGCAGCGCCGGCAGATTGGGGCCTCCTCAGAGAGCCGAATGCAGCGAACCTTGCGTCGTCTGCCTGCCTTGCGAGATCAGGTCCACTGGGCCTTTAATAGGGCACCGGTGCTGGGTAGGTCCGCCCACTTACACTCGGTACAGCTTTTCGTGCCCTTCCTAACCCTCTGTTGATCCAAACTGCTCAACATGGCTAGTGAGTGTAACCCCGGGGGATTATGTCCGACCGATCGGGGCTTTCGGATGAAGTTGATGGTGCGGCAGATGCAGGGAGGGAATGTTGGACGTTGTCAGCGCGGACGAGGTTCGGTCCGCGGACGAAAAGATGTCCGAGCGGCGGCCGTTGTCGCCGACTCCAATAGATTCATCCACCAACTATCACCCACAAATCTTTGCTGGTCTCGTCGCTCGGTCTTCGCGAGAATGGAGATCACCGACAGCTCGCTGTATCGGATTTTAAACTCGTATTCGACAGATTTCTCCACCATGGATTCTGCTACATATAAACAATCGCCCTGCTGGTACCTGGGCCATCCCAGATGAAACCACACTCAATCGAAAAAACCACAGCAAAACCATTATTCTCCAAAAATATCAACAATGTTCTCATCGTTACAATCGCGATCAGGGGGTCCGTATGCCTCCACCACAGCCAGTCTTGGAGAGCTGCCCTCGATCACCCCCGACATTCCAGTCAGCGCGGTGTTCATCGCCATCTTCATCGCATTTGCTGCAACAAACATGACGATCTTGCAGGTAAACCTTCGCAGAAACCACAAGTTTGTGTTATCGGGGGCAATGTTCGGTTTCTCCATGGCCCGGATTACCACACTCGTTCTGCGCATCGTGTGGGCGAGCCGACAGCACAATGTCCGACTTGCAATTGCGGCTGGAATTTTCGTGAATGCCGGCATTCTGGTCATCTATATCGTCAACTTCATTCTTTCGCAAAGAATCCTCCGAGCAAAGCAGCCGCACGTCGGGTGGAACCCAATCTATCGAGTCCTCTGCAAAGTCCTGTACTTTGGCATCTTCGCAGCCCTTGTCATGGTGATCGCGGCTATGGTGGTATCAGTGTACACGCTGAACCCTCATACCAAGACCATCTGTCGCGACATCCAACTCGCCGCCCTCACTTACTTCCTCGTCTTCTCCTGCCTCCCGTTCCTCCATGTCGCCGTGACATTCTGGCTACCAAGATCCCAAGACGAAGAAACATTCGGGGAGGGCAGCATGGGCGCCAAAACAATCATCGTGCTTCTATCGACAGGCCTGTGCGTTTTCAACGCCGGATTCAAGGCCGGAGTCAACTGGAGTCCTCTGCGTCCTATAACCAGTCCCGGTTGGTTCGACTCGAAGGCCAGCTTTTACGTCTTCATCTTTGTATTTGAGGTCCTTATCCTCTGCCTTTTGACGTTCAGCCGCATCGATAAGCGATTCTTCGTTCCGAACGGCTGCAAGGGCCCTGGCGATTACACCCAACTCCGAGAAAAAAGCTCTAAGGCGGATGGGGATGACTCGGGGAGCCAAGAGGCTTAAAAGATGCTTATTGGCACACGGGATTGTTTATAGATTATGATCACGATTGCTCTGTTTTACAGATACCACACCTCGCTCTACATTTCCGCGCTACTAGAATACTATTAATCTTAATGTCAAGTAAAAAGACTTTGCAATTGATATATGTATTGAAGCTGCTCATCTAACACTTCATTGTAATCGACAAGCCAACTTTACATGCCTCGAAATCGTATATATAAAATTCCACTGAATGTATCACAGCATGCGTAGAGCCGGCGCCAGCGGAGTTTAGCGCGCATGATGCATTGTAACCAGCTACAAGAGCTATTGCGCTGTGCTACACATGTGCATGTTTTTTATCGCATACCTTGAAACGATGTAAGGAGGTATTCAACTGCGAGCCATGGTTTCAGCAACTATAGATCTCGGAGGCGGGGGAAAGATAAGAAGGTCACATAGATTTGTGATTTTAATGCTCGCTGGAAATATTATTAAAAGAGCAAGACCAATTCCAAAATAGTGATAATAGTATATATAAGAATCAGTGTTCCCTTCGCTAATGTTTGACTACAACAGGCCCAGTACGTCTTGGACGCCTATCAAGCCAAGATAAGGACTCATAGATTTGCTTAGCTCGGTGGAGCTATCTGTCTTGTCTTTCCTTTATGATTGCGGGATAGCTTTAATATGAAGAACGTAAAGTTAGCTTTAGGTGATAAATGTATTTAAATGCCACTAAGAACACTTCTTCATACACTACTCTACCTCGGACCCATAACAGGAGACTATATAGTTAGGATTGGAGCTCGAAGTTGCGGACTGACCACACGGATCAAAGCTACCCAGAGAAAAAGCAAATCCTTAGCTGCGTCATAGCAAACATCATTCCTACCAGCTGCCAGGTCATACGGACGCTTTGCGCATTCTAACACGCGGGTTTGTCCACCTGCAGATAAGTTGGGCATTGGAGAGATGACCTGATACAATAACGTGGTTCAAGTCATCATGTGTGTTGCTCGGTTATCTGACAGTCGGTTTAGGATAATATGGTGGTCGTAATGTTGATAGTTGGCTCTACGAATTATGATATTGCCTGCGAAGCATGATAGAATGTTTAGGTCTTTCCATTTAGATAGATGTTTCAGATGTAGATAGCTGTAGAATGGCAGGTTAATTATTGACTGGAGAGGAATATCGGATATAATAGAATCATGCTTCTATAGAATTGTTATGGGAATCGCAAAACGCAAAAACTCGAAGTGCGTATTCTGCATTGATGAACGGTATCATTGTAACAAGGTTGGGAAGGAATTCGTGTTATTATCTGCTTGTCTCAAGGATCTGATGTGGTAATTTCATAGGATCATGAGAGGGTCATTAATCGATAAAAGTTTGATCTGGGAGATGACTTGCGAGTAAGAGCCATATGCAAAGGCAGCACACACCGACCATGTACCGCAAAGAAATCCTCGCAAACGCGGCCATCTATTTTTACAACGGCAGTCACCTACATGTATAAGAGTCAATTGCGCGCGCCAAGGAGAGTAATTGATGTAAAGACGAAACCCCGTGCGATCTGTGTGTCAGACCGATATTTCCAGTCGGATATACGGCAAGGCGCAAATTCTCTCTAAGCGGAATATGCGGCGAGGCCAGAAAGCAAACAAGTCAGACAAACTGAACCCGAACGAGCGCCGAGGCGTTGATATACTTCAGAGTCGAAGGAGCCAGTGAGAAGACCAGCTCCGATCCTCGGGTGCAGCGGTCGATGCGACGGAAGAACGGGATCGGCGAAGGGCAAATTGAACAGGGAGCGGTGTGATTCGGGAGCCCTAATTCCCCCCACCCCCGGCGCATCAGATTGATTAGCAGCAAAGGACCTCTGGGTTCTGTCAGAAATCAGAATGATCCATCAGGTTTGTCGCGCCACGTATCAAGACTCCAGAGCCCGTCGGCACGAAAACGGCGCATCCGTGATCATGGGGCAGATTTCGACGGGACGGCTCATTCTGATAACCCGAGGAGCCGTGCGAGAGCCAAGTGCCGAGTGCCAATGAGCGCAGTATCAGCGGTTCAGCATGGATGCCTGAGAGTGCTCCGCGTGCATAAGTGGCCGGGGATGAGTGGAGCCTGGGGACACCGTCGACAGATCTGGGTCGCCAGATTTCTTTTCATTGATTGAGGCCCAGCTGACATTTGACTCATTCGTCTCTCGGTCAGATAGCTAGAAGTAGACACTGGATCTGGGGCGGCCATTGGCGGCGATCGGGCCGACTGGATGGGGGCTGATTAATCGCTAGATAGTGCGTAGTGACGAGTTGGCTAGAAGGTTAGCTGGCTAGGCATCACGAGGGATGAGAAATCCAAATGCGGCGGAGGTCAGTGCGGGCGAGATAAAGTACATACTGCGTGCATGGGTAGGAGAAAGAAAAGCAAAGTGAAGGCGGAAGAATGACAGGGAAGGGCATCTCCCGAGTCAGGAGTGGACAACGTCCCGGGCGGCGGCTGACTCGGGGCGAGATTGCCACGGTCGCCGTTGGGACGTCGGAGACTTTTGTTTTTGGTTTTTATCAGGCTCCGAGGGACGGGGCCAACGGTAGTAATCTTGAGCAAATCAACCCAATGGTTCGTATTTGGCGGACTACGGAGCAGTCGATTATCAAGGTACTCCGCCGCGGCGGACATACACTGAGGAGGACTATGAGTTACTATGAGTTACTGCGTAGTTCTCACTTCCGAGGTCCGTTGATGACGAGCGACTCCACCTGCGCAACTCGGAGTTCCGCTTGGGCACCGGACTTGATTGATGATCAATTCTCCCTCATTCTGGCCCCTTCGGAGTTCTGTCGATGCTCGTATTCGATGGAGTTATCCTCTCATTGTTGTATTCCATACCCCATAGTCTCCGTAAGAACTAGGAAGTAGGAAGTAGGAAGTAAAAGTAAAAGAAAAAGAAAAAGAAAAAGAAAAAGAAAAGGGCCGGATTGCGTATTAGTCAGCCGCAGTCACGGGCAGATGCCTCAGGCCGCCGTGAGATCCTCCGTCTCGAGAGTCCCGCAAGACCTTCTCTTCCGTCGTCTTCTTCTTCTTCCGCTGACCATCGCGGCGCCTTCATGCATAAGCAGCTCCCCCGACCACCGCCGGTTCCAAGGCTTATCTCCGTCTTGGCCGACTTATTGGACGCAACTGGCGGGACCAAAGGATCGGGAACAACCGATCGTTGTCTCGTCTGAGTCAATTCGACTCATTGCCCACCGCGGCTCCACCCAAGCTCCCTCTTAGTTTCGCGTCTCGCTTGTCTTTGGTCGTCCATAATCTTGCGGCTGATCCACAGTTCGGCTGTCGACCACTGGACGGATGGTAAGCTGGCTCTCTCGCCCCTCTGATTGATCGGTTTATTCCGTCTCGGCTCTGCCTGCTCTGCCAAACCTGACAAATCCACAGATTTTTCCGTTCTTGCCTTCCGGACTTAATAATGAAGAAACGCCGTTCTATGCCCATGATGCAATGGCCGGGCTTTTATAAAGCTTCCTGTGTCGCTCGTCTGCTGGCCCCCTCCTGCTCTTTCTTGCTTCGCGTTCCGCCTGCGTTGTCGTTGTTGTATATCCGACCCTCTCCCCTCTCTCAGAAAGACCCTTATCAACGCTTCGGCTTATCTTAATTCAACCTAATCCCCTATATTTTTCTTCTTCTTTCCTTATCTGTATATATTGATATACATACATACATACTACTTCGGATTTTCTTCTTCCGTCCTATTTTCCGAGACAACCTCGACCTGTCTGTGGTTTCTCGTTATACCTAATATCTATTATCTAGTATATCAATTCCCGGAAACTGGCAAGAGATAAGAACCCTCCGTCACGATATGGCTGACGGACCTCGTCAGCCAGAGGTTCCGACCAGCGGTCCGGCGGCGGCGGCGCAGGACGAACCTCAGTACAACCATGCCGTGGCCTCGGACAACACCATCTCGTCCTCCTCGACCAGTGTGACCGATCTGTCGGTCGAGGGACGATGGGGCGAGCAGGATCAGGGCGATCCTGTCTCCCGCCGAAGTGCCATTGAGGATTTCGAGGAAATGAGGCGAGAATTGACTCGGCTCAGTCTGCACCGAACCCGATCAACCACCAAGGCTCGTCGACCAAGCCAGCCCCGGGATGAAGAAAAGGCCTTTGACGAGGCCTCGTCCGCCGCGGACGAAGAATTCCGCGGTGGATTCGATCTCAGCGAGTTTTTGATGGGCGGCCATCTTGAGCGGCGCACGACTGTCGGCGAACCTGCCAAGAAAGTCGGCGTGGTGTTCAAGAACGTGACCGTGAAGGGCATCCAGACCGGCGCTTCGTTCGTTCGGACCCTGCCCGATGCTGTCGTCGGCACGTTCGGACCCGATTTGTACAAGCTCGTGACCAATTTCATCCCGCAGCTTCATTTTGGCAAGCATCCTCCGGTTCGAGATCTGCTTCACGATTTTAGTGGAGCCGTCCGGGAAGGTGAAATGATGCTGGTGCTGGGTAGACCGGGTGCCGGTTGTTCGACCTTCCTGAAGACCATTGCAAATGACCGCAATGCGTTCGCCGGCGTGGAGGGTGATATTAACTATGGTGGCCTCTCCTCGGAGGAGCAGAACAAGCATTTCCGGGGTGAGGTCAACTATAATCAGGAGGACGACCAGCATTTCCCGAACCTGACCGTCTGGCAGACGTTGAAGTTCTCCTTGATCAACAAAACCAAGAAGCATGACAAGTCTAGCATCCCGGTCATCATCGAAGCCCTGCTGAAGATGTTCGGTATCACCCACACGAAGAACACTCTCGTGGGTAACGAGTATGTCCGCGGTGTGTCCGGTGGTGAGAGGAAGCGTGTCAGTATTGCCGAAACGCTGGCCACCAAATCTTCTGTTGTCTGCTGGGACAACTCCACCAGAGGTTTGGATGCCAGCACCGCTTTGGATTACGCCAAGTCCCTCCGTATCATGACCGATGTCAGCAAACGGACTACCCTTGTTACTTTGTACCAGGCCGGAGAAAGTATCTACGAGCTGATGGACAAAGTCATGGTCATCGACTCCGGACGTATGCTCTACCAAGGGCCTGCCAACGAGGCGAGACAGTACTTCGTCAATCTTGGTTTCTATTGCCCCGACCAGTCTACCACCGCTGATTTCCTCACCTCCCTCTGCGACCCGAATGCCCGCCAGTTCCAACCCGGCCGCGAAGCGTCAACGCCCAAGACCGCGGAAGAGCTGGAGTCAATCTTCAAGCAGAGTAACGCGTACAAGCAAATCTGGAACGACGTTTGTGATTACGAAAAACGACTGCAAGACACCAACCAGGAAGACACTCGCCGCTTCCAGAAGACGGTTGCTCAGTCTAAGAGTAAGACTGTTTCGAAGAAGTCCAGTTACACCGTCTCCATCGTCCAGCAAGTCGCAGCCTGTGTGCGACGTGAGTTTTGGTTGCTGTGGGGTGACAAAACATCTCTCTACACGAAGTACTTTATCATCATTTCTAACGGTCTCATTGTCTCGTCTCTGTTCTACGGTGAATCTATGGATACCAGCGGCGCGTTCTCGCGTGGTGGTGCACTTTTCTTCTCCATTCTCTTCTTGGGTTGGTTGCAACTGACGGAGCTGATGCCTGCTGTTTCCGGTCGTGCAATTGTTGCTCGCCACAAGGATTATGCCTTTTATCGTCCGTCTGCTGTCGCGATCGCCCGAGTCGTCGTGGATTTCCCGGCCATCTTCTGCATGGTCGTACCTTTCACGATCATCGTCTATTTTATGACCGGGCTCGACGTGAGTGCGTCCAAGTTCTTCATTTACTTCCTCTTTGTGTACACGACTACGTTCTGCATCACCTCGCTGTATCGCATGTTTGCGGCGCTTTCCCCGACTATCGACGATGCTGTCCGATTCAGTGGTATCGCCTTGAACGTGTTGATTCTCTTCGTTGGTTATGTGATTCCGAAACAAAGCCTCATTGACGGGTCGATTTGGTTCGGATGGCTCTTCTATGTGAACCCTCTCTCATATAGTTACGAGTCGGTTCTGGCCAACGAATTCGCCGATCGTACCATGGAATGCGCACCCTCGCAGTTGGTTCCCCAGGGTCCAGGGGTGGACCCAAGATACCAAGGCTGTGCTCTCACGGGATCTCGGCTTGGAGAAACGTCTGTTGGCGGATCTCAGTACCTGGATACAACCTTCCAATTCACCCGACACCACCTGTGGCGCAACTTCGGTGTTGTCATTGCCTTCACCGTGCTCTACCTGTTGGTGACCGTTCTTGCCGCCGAATTCCTGTCCTTCGTTGGCGGCGGCGGCGGCGCGTTGGTCTTCAAGCGGTCTAAGCGTGCCAAGCAGCTGAGGTCTCAGAACACCAAGGAAAGTGATGAAGAGGGTGCCAAAAATGCCGGAGACAACGCTGCCTTGTCCCGCGGGGAGGCGAATTCTTCCGGAGCTGCCGCCGATACCTTCAACCGTATCTCCTCCAGTGATCGGGTTTTCACCTGGTCCAATGTCGAATACACTGTGCCGTACGGCGGTGGAACTAGGAAACTCTTGAACGGGGTGAACGGATATGCGAAGCCAGGGCTTATGATCGCTCTGATGGGTGCTTCTGGAGCTGGTAAGACGACGCTTCTCAACACCTTGGCTCAGCGTCAGAAGATGGGCGTTGTCACTGGTGACATGCTTGTCGATGGCCACCCTCTTGGAGCGGATTTCCAAAGAGGCACTGGTTTCTGTGAGCAGATGGACCTTCACGACAATACATCCACCATTCGAGAAGCCCTTGAATTCTCGGCAATCCTCCGTCAAGATCGAAACACCCCCCGGGAGGAGAAGCTTGATTACGTGAACCAGATCATCGACCTTCTGGAATTGGAAGACATCCAGGATGCTATCATTGGTTCTCTCAATGTCGAACAGAAAAAGCGAGTTACCATCGGTGTTGAATTGGCGGCTAAGCCCAGCCTTCTCTTGTTTTTGGACGAGCCCACCAGTGGTCTCGACAGTCAAGCAGCTTTCTCCATCGTGAGGTTCCTGAAGAAACTCTCCCAGGCGGGACAGGCTATTGTGTGCACCATTCATCAGCCCTCGTCCATGCTTATTCAACAGTTCGACATGATCCTGGCCCTGAACCCCGGAGGAAACACCTTTTACTTTGGTCCTGTCGGACCCGAGGGTCGTGATGTGATCAAATACTTTGCGAATCGTGGTGTTGTTTGTCCCCCGACGAAGAACGTTGCTGAGTTCATCCTTGAAACGGCAGCCAAGGCGACCAAGAAGGATGGGAAGGCTCTGGACTGGAACGAGGAATGGAGGAACTCTGACCAAAATCGCCGAATCTTGGACGAAATCCAGCACATCAGGGAAGAGCGCAGCAAGATTCCTATCGCCGAAAAGGGCGTTCAATACGAGTTCGCCGCTCCGACCTGGACTCAAACTGTTCTTCTTACCGAGCGAATTTTCAGGCAGTACTGGAGAGATCCATCGTACTACTATGGAAAGTTATTCGTCAGTGTCATCATTGGTATCTTCAACGGATTTGTGAGTGGCTCTTTTCATTTCTTACCCATTCTTTCGTGCGCATTGCTAACTTCACCATAGACTTTCTGGATGCTCGATGATTCCATGGCCAGCATGCAGAACCGCATGTTCTCGATCTTCTTGATCATTCTGATTCCTCCCATTGTCCTGAACAGTATTGTGCCCAAGTTCTACATCAACCGAGCCCTCTGGGAAGCCCGTGAGTACCCCAGTCGAATCTACGGCTGGTTCGCTTTCTGCACGGCCAACGTCGTCTGTGAGATTCCGATGGCGATTATCTCCGGTCTTGTATACTGGCTGCTGTGGTACTACCCAGTTGGATTCCCCACCGACTCGAGCAGTGCCGGATACGTGTTCCTCATGTCCATGCTCTTCTTCTTGTTCCAGGCTAGCTGGGGACAGTGGATCTGTGCCTTTGCGCCGTCATTCACTGTCATCTCTAACGTAAGCCTATCTTATCCCCTGAGCCTTGCAGTCAAATACTCACACTCAAATCTTAACAGGTTCTCCCCTTCTTCTTCGTCATGGTCAACTTGTTCAACGGTATTGTTCGTCCTTACAGCGACTACCCGGTCTTCTGGAAGTACTGGATGTACTACGTCAACCCGGTCACCTGGTGGCTTCGCGGTGTCATCTCCAGTGTGTTCCCCGCGGTCGAAATCAACTGCACTTCCACGGAAACGACCCACTTCGACCCGCCTCCCGGCTCAACTTGCGGTGACTACGCCAACGATTTCGTCAAGAACATCGCCGGCGCCGGATACTTGCTTGATCCCAACGCCACTTCGGACTGCCAGTATTGCCCGTTCCGCGACGGCGTGGAATACATGCATACGCTGAACGTCCACGACGGAGATAAGTGGCGCTGCTTCGGTATCTTCTTGGCCTTCGTGATCATCAACTGGGCCCTGGTTTACTTCTTCATCTACACCGTTCGTGTCCGGGGCTGGTCCTTTGGTCTTGGATACCTCTTTGGCGGTCTCGGCGCGATCATCAACGGTGTGAAGGGCCTGTTTACCTCCAAGAAGTCCGAGAAGGCCCAGGAGTAAAAGAATACCAGGCCTGATGAAATTATACTTTATTCTGGCTCGCTCCGTCGTTCTTCCTGTTCCCCAAGCTTGTGGGGATCAGAATTTGAATAACATGACGGCGGCCAGAATTATAAAAAGAAAAATATAATATATGGAATATTGCAAGGAAGGCATAAAAAGTGATTGGCGCATTTTCAACCAGCAAAATAGACAGCGTTTGTTTTGGGATTGACAGAGTGTTTTTTGGATTCACCATATTCCCATTGATGTCAACTTATTATTAATGTCATTTCAGATCATATCTTCTTAGATAGTTCAACCAATCTGGATCCAATTGATTGTTCTCTACCCAACCCATTGCCTCAGAGTTAGAAGTCCATATTGTACCACGGTTTGCGATCCGCCCCGTAACGCGCGCCAGGAAGCTCCATCGGCACCGGGACGCATCCTTTGAAAACATCCAAGCTAGTCGACGACTCAAAATCGACGGGAGGACCGGTTTCCTTGCTCTCTTCTTTGTCCATCTTGCTCGAAGACTCGGAGGATGTCTCGTCGGGATCGATACCGGTTTCGTCCTTCTGTCCCGCAGACTCAGTCGCTGCGGCGTTGCGGTCCTGTTTCTTGTGAATGATCGGTACGAGGACACCGCATTCCCAGTTGCGACAGTTCAGTTTGGGTTGCTTTGTCGATCGGTCTTGGACGAGACGGCCCCTGTTTTATTGCGTGGTTTCATGGGTCAGAGGTTTGTCTCTGCGAAGTAAGGGGTAGAATTATGGGGAGGCGAAGGGATGAATGACTGCTCACCAGGCACTTTCAGAGAGATTGGCACTTCCCACATACGCCCACGCGCGGCATTCAGTGTCGTCTTTCATTGGGATGGGCTCATCCGGTCTGACGTACAAAAGCTGCACGAATCATCAGCGTACATAAACCAAACATTCGTAACAGTCAATCATTTCACCGAGAATTTCTTACCTTGTTGTGCATCAACAGACCGAATCTCTTGCTCTCGCAGTCGCGAAGAACCTGGCGCGGAAACTTGGGGCCTTCGTACCACTTCGACGAGAAGCAAATGGTGCCGGCATTTTGTGGACCGCCGCGCGATGCCTTAATGACTTCCTGAGAGGGGTAGTAGACTCGGATGCGATCCTTGCATTCCTCGGCGGTGTTCTTCTGGATCAGCTTGGTTGGGTCGGTGAAGTTTTTCGCGGGGAACGATTTGGCGTTTCGGAGTGTTAACTCGGTGGATCCGTCGTCACCTTCGGGTGGTTGTTAATTGGGACGGGTCTTGGTTGGGGGTATTTGTATGTCGGACGAGACTTGCCTTGTGCGGCGAGGTATAGGGATCTCAGGAATTCATGGGTTAAGGAGCCCAGGGATGAAGTCTATGTGCATTAGTAGCACACTCGGCATGTTGAACTTATCTGGACACCTACTACAAAATCAATGTTCAATGACCTAGACGTTTGCAGGCTCAACTCGGTCACTGCGCGACCCAGGCCGCAATGACCCGTTCTTTTCCATGCATTTCCTGTATGAGAGCCACCGCTAGGTTACGTTAGTTGCATTTTCCTGGTTTACTCTCATCAGGAGAGAGCTTACATGGTATGGACAAATGCAATTTTTTCAGTTTGGCTGAAATCAAAACTGTCAAGCTTAGAAATGATATTTTCGTGCAGTGTGCTGGCTTTTAAGAAGTAGACCAAATTTTCATAAAAGGCAGTTGTTGGTTTTTCGGGAGCATTATCGACTCTTTTGGGAAGATCTATCAAAAACACGGACTGTTTCTTTTGTTAGTCACTTAAAATTCAGAAAGAGGGCCCAGATGTATCTTACATTTTCCATGACGCCTCCCTTCTCACCCCAGTCAAAGGGAGTCAAGTTGGCTGTCGGGACCACGACCCGGAGATAGGTCTTGTGGAACAGCAACATCAACTTGGAGTGCATGCAGTTCACTTGCGGTTCCATAGGAGGGAAGCATAATCTGAGATTAGTCATGGCTTTTGTTTCCGACTCGTATTGACGCTTCTGTTTCCAGAGATATGGTTAATCCCATTGATAACCGGAAGCAAAAACGCGAAATAACCTACTGTCGAATCCTCTTTGGCCTGCATCATCAGCAAGAATCGAGAGTTTCTCGTGTCAAGTTTGGAAAAAAGCCAATCCATATCCCACATAAAGGAACTCAGAACAGCTAGTTCGAGGCCCGCCTTCTGAAAAACTTCTTCGATTTTGATATCGTCGCCAAGACGCGGACTGGAATATGACCATGTTTTCTTGACCACACCGGTAGGGAACTGGACTGACGGCTGGGGAGAGGGTATGTTGGGCTCTGGACGCGAGGCTTGTGGTTTAGAAGAAGGATCAATGATATCCGATATTCTATCAAGGTCCTTTTTCATTTGAATTTTCGGAGAGGTCTGGACTTTCAGCTGCTTCGTCTCGCGTTCATCAAATGACGAGGTATCGTCTGGTTTCCGTTTTGCTAGGCGCGCGAGACGCTCCTGCTCCATCTGCTTCCGATCCAAGCCAAGCACACCCATAGGTTTTGATATGTTTTGCTCGTTCGATGAGACCTGGGGTTTTTGAGACCCGCCTGTTTTCGATGCCTGTTCATTGTCGGAAATGTACAGTGGGGCCTCTGGCGAGCCTTGATCATGTGTGAAATCTTGCTTGGATAACTCGATTGCTCTCCGTAAATCTTCATCGTCGTCGTCGTCATACCCGTCACCGGGCTCACCATTTGATTCGGCATCTGTGTCAATGCCAATCACGGGGTTTGACTTGGGGTGAGTGGGTGCAACATCATCGTCATCCGTATCGGCAGTCAAATCAACAATGTCGCCTGAGCTATCATTGCGGCGGTTTTGTGAGCCAGAGCTATAAAACTCTCTCAAGGAGGCAGCAATAGCTTGTCTGATATCACGATCGTTTTGATCATCAGCACCTGAGTCAGACATGGTGCCTCGAAAAAGCGAAGAAGGAAAGAAAGAAAAGGAGGGGATGTAATAAAGAAGGTTGAAAGAGTTTGTAGTGAAAGAAAGCTATGAGAAGAGTGAGGCTTGGAGCTTGTCAAACTTTGTTCGAATCAGTCAGCCTTGCTTTTTGGAAATTCATTCATCCTTGAGGCAGTTCCAAATACCTCTTCTGAGCAAGTATTCAGGCGGAGCCGCTTGCTATGTTTATTATGCGACCCCACTGAAATAAATGAGCTCAAGTGAGGGGTTTGTCACCTACATCAGACATAGGCAGCAATTTTGGTATTGGTCAGAACCAGGGTTAATTTCGAGATCGCCGTAAGCACCGACGAGTGAAGGACGATGGATGGAAGTGAGATGTTGACAGTACCATCAAGTGCGAGGAGTATATATGTTGCGCATCACGTGGGGGGACAGATCACGTGGCTGATGACCTAGACTCCGTTGTTCTTCCCGTCCCGCACTTGCTTTCCTCTCCATCTCTCTAGGAGTCCGTTGGAGTCATTGCAACCTTCTGTCATTGTTCTTATCCCGTTCAACTAAATCACAAGAGAGAAAAACAAACATTCAACAGACTTGTCATCATGGCCGATTCCTTCAACCTTGACTCCTTTCAGGAATCGCTGAATCTTCCATACCCTGCTGCCACCAGACAGGCTTCTGGCGTCGTAAATGGGATTCAAACCAATGTCATGTGTGTGAGCTTCAGTGACAGAATCTTGGTGACTGTCTCACAGAAAGGTCGGCTGGGCCATTGGGTATGTCTTCCTTCCACAACAATATGCTCCTCCTTTCAACTAACAAAATCGCCAAGTTACATGTTCCGCTGGAGAATCACAATCCTGGAACAGAGGGGTTTCACACAATCTCAGATGCTTCAGATGATAGCTTATTGCCGATGAGTAGCTTGACTGCCACCTCGCTACTGGGAGGCCGGATTCCTAGTCATGAAACCATCGGTCAGCTCTATGCTCGTCAAATTGGAAGTGCCATTGTGACCAAGACACCCAACGAAAACCGGCTTCTTGTTGTTGGACTCGGTCTGGAAGCCGCCGAGCCAAACAGGGATGTTTTCTTTGCGATCATCGATCTCGTGCTCCAATGTCTCTAAACGAGACTCAAGCCAAAAAACAAAATAAGAGCGGCCGGAAAACTTACAGATCCAAATTGCGAATCCTGATCCCTGGTATCTTGTCTTGGGTCTCTCGATCCTCACGGTTTGGATTTTCAGGCCATGCACGAGTCGACACAGTTCCTGTCGCTCCTCCTCATTGAACCCCCTAAACCGCAACTGTCCAAGAAACTCGAAGGCACCGCTGAACAAGGCCTTCACCAAGTCCTTTTCATTGAAGCCTGGGATGTTCCAATTGTCAGTCACGACAATTGTCAAAGAATAGACCTTCAGAGGCTCTCCCATTCTCAACGTTGTGATGAACTCAGAGAACGCCCAGCGGCGCTGCAAGGCAGTTTTGAAATCTTCTGATCCAAGCAAGAAAAGGATGGTTTTAAAAGATCTCTTCCACACGGAGGGAATAGTACGGCAAGGGTACTCGAGGTACTTATGATGGGTCACGCAGCGACAGCATCTAAGTGGTCTAGGCACGCGCCGAAAGAAATCCGCGGAGAACGAGCCATAGGTCCTGAGGAAAAGTGTGCGGTAACTCAGGGAATGATAAAGCGCAATGGATGCTTCGTGATAGATGACATGGCAAGTTCTGAGGAGGGCCAGTTTCGCCAATCTAGTACGCTTGAGTCTGCCGATCTCGATGGCGCTGTCGTCATGGATGAACAAGGTCTCATAGATCTGAAATCTGACCTGGATGGGCAGCCAAAAGAGCCTGCAGCGCAGGTTTCGATCGCCGAGAATCAGAGGCTTTCTAACCAATTGGCATGCCTCGGAAACAACTGTGTAATGATAGCTGGGCTTGGCGTCGTGTTTCACCAATCGAGTTTTGTTGGGATCTTCTTTGTCGTGCTCTTCTTGGTGAAACAGAACCGTGACTCTATCTCGCCCCATCGCATTAGCAGCAGGGATCATTATATCAGGCCTTCTATCAATAACTCACCCAGGATTGGAGGGATCAAGGCGCCTATACGGGGGAGCCGTTTCCTCTGCTCTCTCTGCGACATCCTTCGTGCCTTTTTCTTTATCTTCTTCCTCTCTGGCATCTTCCTGGACACTCTTGGCATCTTGAACATTTCCCTGGGTAACGGTCTCTTGGGCCATCTCTGGAGTATCCTTTACCGCATCCTCTTTCAGGACCGGAGGACCCTCTGCCTGAGACATGTCACTCATTTTTTTAAGAGAAGATAATCACCAGTCCACACGAATCATGGGACAGTGGTTTAGAAGGGGCTGTCACATGAGGATGTGAGGAAGGATATGAGGATGCGTTGGTCAGACAAATGTGGGTGAAAGGATGAATAGGGGGGCCTGCGCTCAGAACTACATGCGCTCAGAACTACACATATAATATACCCGGCCGATTTAAGTTAGTACAATCCCTTGACTGCTGCTGCCTCTTCATCATATTCAATCAAATGCCATAAGGCTTCTTACTTGCTATAGTTCATAAAGTCCATTAACTAGCAGATAGGGTTCCTGATCGGGTAATGCAAGAATACTAAGCTGCCGTGATTCAAAAACTATAGGACATTAAGGAATCTACATATACACATATTCTAGCCAAAGGATCCTCTACCGAGATTCACACCCTCATAGTCCCAAGTAGAACAGTTCATTGTTTGTTATGCGAGAAATCCTGATGTGCCGGGCGGTGAGGATGGCTTCACCGCCTTCCAGCAGAATCGCTTCGCCGCCTGATTTTTTTCATTTCCTCCGCCTTCATCAGTGACGAACAAATCTCTGTTCTACGGTCCTCTCTGGAATCTGCGGCTTTTGTCTTCGGCTAGAGACAGAGGTTTCTGGACTGCTTATCACCATGCCCAAATTTGTACCCCGTCAGCGAAAGCAAAAGCACAAACAAAATGCTGCAACGACGAGCACTCCGGTAGACACCAATGCCGCGGAGGTATTGCCCGCCTCAAAAAGCGACAAGGAAGCAAAGAGGCAGCAGCTGAGAGATGAATTGCGATCACAACATACCACCATCTCCTCGAAGAAACAGAAGCGCTTGGACAAATACATTGTAAGCGCATTGCTTGGACGAACTGGATTAAATTGCGTTCTTCTCACTGACAACCGACCAGGAAAATAAACTCAAGAAAGAAGAGAACCTCGAGCTACTCAAGAAACTTGCAAAATCCAAGACCGACACCTCGGCATTGCAGAGCTCTAAAGAACTGGGCAAACGCAAAAGACATGATGAGAACGACAGACCCTCGGCACCGACAGCTGCCCATGAACGAGGTCCCCTGCTAGAGCAGTCAGACGATGACTCTGATGATGGGCAACCCCCATCCGGAGTAACAGACGCTGGAAATATCCCTAGACCGGCAGGGCCACTTGGTAGCGGTCTCAAACGTCCTCTTGAATTAGGCCCAGATGGTTTCCCGGTCCTCAAAAAGAGAAAGCAGGCCCCCAAAGCAAAACAGCCGGTAGTGGTTACGCAAGAGGTGCCATGGGAAGGGTTTGGTTCCGATGACGAGGAGGATCAGGATGATGAATCGGCATCTGATCCGGATGATGAGGATGAGGATGAGGACGATAACTCCGAAGAGTCAGCGACAGATGCCTCTGAGGAAGATGATAGTGAAGACGACGACGATGATGAAGAGGATGATGATGATGATGATGAAGATGATGAACCGAAGCCTCGTCAATCTGCTTTCAAATCCTGGGCAAGGCAGCAAATCAATGAAGCCGCCGGATTTCAACCTACGACAGGTCCCATTGTTCACGAGGATGTACCAATTCGCCCTGAATCCGAAAAGCCTGCTCAGAATTCCGTTTATCAAGAGGAGCCGCTGCCCCCAGAGCTTCAGGTAACCCAGGGTAACCCGTACAGGAAGGCATTCAGTGTTCCGGTCGAGCGTACGGAGGAAATGCAGACTGCACGTTTGGGGCTACCGATTGTGGGCGAAGAACAGAAAATCATGGAAGCAATCTATAACAATTCTTCCATTGTGATATGGGGAGCTACTGGTAGTGGAAAGACCACCCAGCTACCGCAATTCCTGTTTGAGGCCGGTTTCGGAAACCCTGATAGCCCCAACCCCGGCATGATTGCAGTGACACAGCCTCGAAGAGTTGCTGCTGTCAGTATGGCGAAACGAGTTGGTGATGAACTGGGTTCGTTTTCCGACCAGGTTTCTTACCAGATTCGGTTCGAAAGCACCGTGTCCAAGAAGACGGCAATCAAGTTCATGACCGACGGTATTCTTATCCGAGAGATTGCCGAAGACTTTTCTCTGAGCAAATATTCCATCATTGTGATTGATGAAGCCCACGAGCGGAGCGTTAATACTGACATTCTCATCGGAATGGTCAGCCGCATAGTCGACCTGCGGAAAAACATGAGCGAAGAGGACCCAACAGTGAAACCTCTCAAGCTTGTGGTTATGTCGGCGACTCTGCGCATCTCTGATTTCACACAGAATGCCAGTCTCTTCCGTCAGGGAGCACCGCCCCTGGTGCAGGCGGAGGGCCGACAGTACCCTGTCACCGTGCACTTTTCCAGGCGGACCCACCGCGATTATGTCGAGGAAGTGTTCCGAAAGGTCTCGAGGGGCCACCGGAAGCTGCCTCCTGGAGGTATGCTGGTGTTTTTGACCGGACAGAACGAGATCAGACACCTCTCAAAGCGCTTGAAACAGGCCTTCAAGCCTACACAACGGGGGGAGATTGCTCAAGCCAAGGTCCAGCTCTCGGCGAATGATGCGCCACTGGAAGCGGAAGATCTGGACATAGGTGGAGCCGATTTATCTAACCCCGGGAATGAGGAGGACGATGACAGCGACATTGAAATTACCGGTCTGGATGACTCGGATATAGATGAAGGATTTGATATGGAAGAGGAAGCGATGGACGCGTCGACCCAGGTCCATGTGTTGCCTTTGTATTCGCAACTTCCCACGAAGGAGCAGCTGAAGGTTTTCGACCCTCCGCCAGAGAACTCGCGACTCATTGTTCTGGCTACCAACGTAGCCGAGACCAGTCTTACAATCCCGGGCATCAAATATGTCTTCGATTGCGGACGAGCCAAGGAAAAGCAGTACGATCTGGCCACTGGAGTACAGAAGTTCCAAGTGGACTGGATTAGCAAGGCCAGTGCGAACCAAAGAGCCGGACGAGCTGGTAGAACTGGACCGGGCCACTGCTATCGACTCTACTCATCTGCGGTGTATGAAGGAGAATTTGCCGAATATACCGATCCGGAAATTCTGCGGACGCCCATCGAGGGAGTCGTCCTTCAAATGAAGAGCATGGGTCTTCACAACGTCATCAACTTCCCTTTCCCAACCCCTCCAAGCCGTCAGGGATTGGCAGCGGCCGAAAAGTTGCTGAAGAACCTCGGTGCGCTCTCCTCGCAAGGAAAGATCACCCAGATCGGAAATCGTCTATCCACCTATCCGCTGTCTCCAAGATTCGGCAAAATGCTCCACATCGGCCACCAACATGGCTGTATGCCCTATGTCATCGCACTGGTTGCCGCCTTGGCCGTTGGCGATTTGTTCGTCCCCGAGAACCAGATCGATCCCACGCCTGCGAAGGACGACGACGAGCGCGGAATCTACACGAACTCGGACCGACTGGAAGACACGGCCAGAGAGCAACGCCACAAGGACTACGCCAGAGCCCACCGTCTGTTCAGCAAGCACGACGACACCGCCGACGCCCTCAAATACCTGTCCGCCATCTGCGCGTACGGCTATGCCTCCGATGGGGACGCCTTCTGCGACAAGATGTTCCTCCGCGCCAAGGCTTTCAAGGAAGCCACCCAGCTGCGCAGCCAACTGACCGACATCGTACGAACCAACAACCCCGGTCTCATCTCGGCGTACCAGCCCCGCGTCCCGGAGCCGTCAGACAAGCAAGTCAAGGCGCTCAAGCAGATCATCGCGGCCGGGTTCATCGACAACGTGGCCATCCGCGCCGACCTGGCCCCCGTGCCCCCTGAGATGGACCGAAAGCCGAAACGAGCCATCGACGTCCCGTACTTCACGCTCTTCAGCTCGCGCGACGGACCGGCAGTCGAGCTGCACGAGAAGGCGGTCTACGTGCACCCTTCGTCGCTGATGGCCAACCTCTCGCCCAAGGAAATGCCCCAGTACATCATCTACTCCCATCTGCAGCAGTCGTCGCCGTCGATGGTGTCTGAGCAGGCCTCTAAGATCAGAATGTATCCTCTTGTCTCCCCGAGTGGCTTGCAACTCTCCGCTATTGCGCAGGGAACGCCCCTGATCGAATACGGCAAGCCAATTGGGAACATCGAAGAGCTGGGTGGCGTCCCCCCTCGGCGCGCATGCTGGGTGATCCCATCGCTGGTGGGCGAATCCGGGCGCATGGGATGGCCGCTGCCGGCTAAGAAGGTGGTTCAGAAGAAAGACCCCAGGGAAGGATGGGTGATCGAGAAGCTGGGTGCTTAAGGTCCTGTATATAAGACATGTATGGTGTATACCAGGGTATCTTTGTTATCTTAAAAGTTGAATTCTATGAAGCTATAACAGCGCATTTTGAGTAGCACAATTAAGATAGGCTCAATGCTTGTTCGATCGTAGCCACAGCCATAGTTCTAAATGTACACAGAAGGTTGATCTCAAGCCCATGACTCCCAACAACGCCCGGACCAAAACCCACATATCGAAGAACAGAGAAAATGCAATAAAACATTAAAGAAAGAAAGAACAAGAAAACTCAATACCGCTCACGATCCCACTCCCTCTTCCTCCCTTCAAAGTTCCCTCCCCGCCCACTCGACAACTCCCCGGTCTCTCTATCCTCCTTAATCCCCAACGCCCTGCGTAGCCGCTCGCTCTCCTCAATCTTCGCCTCAGCCTGCTCATGCACCTGATACGACTTGAACTGGCGCCTCTCCTTCGGCGGCAAATCACGACCTCCTTTCCTGGCGCCACTCGACTGCTGGCCCCGCGCGTCCTGCGCCTCATCACTCTCCAGCTCCTTCAGCAATTTCTCACGCAGCGCCTCGCACCGCTCATCGATCTCCTCCTCCGTCAACACCCTCTGCCCCTTCGCGTCCGCCTCCCCATCTTCTTTCTTCTCCCCCTCCTCCTCGTCCGCTTCGGCTGCACCCTTATCTCCCCCCGCCTGCTCCAACTCCTCCTCAATCCGCTCATTCTCCTCCTCCAACCGTTCCCTCTCCTCCATCACTTTCACCTCGACCGCCCGCCGCCGATCATGCTCCAGGATCTGCTGATCCGGCATGCGCTGCTTGAACGGCCGCCCGGGGTCGATGCCGTTGGCGCCCGAGGACACGGGCGGATACGGCGCCCCGTAGCCGGCGGTCCGCGGCTTCATGAATGCGTGGTTGCGCTGGACGTATCCTGACGTGCCGCTGCCGCGGGGGGTGGTGAGGCCGACGTTGGAGGACATTTTCTTTTTTTGTTTCTGGCCTTTTTGTTTGTGGTTTTCTTGGTTGGTTGCTTGCTTGCTGGGGTGTTGTTTGGAGGGTGAGGGTTGGGTTGGGTGTTGCGCGTGTTTTGCGTAAGGTTGGTTAGGTTCCAATGACTCGAGTGAGGGGTTCGTGGTGATGGAAGACAAGCTTTTGGAGAGAGGTCGAGGAGTAAGGGATGGATTGTCGGTGGACCAAAGGAACTGAGAAAAGAGAGGCGTGGCGCAAGATGGTGAGGGGACGAAGAATTATTTGGAGACGGCGGATGAGAAGCGGAGGTCACGTGGTGATAAGCCGATTAGACGGTCACGAGGGCCTCCATACTGCATGATAGGACTCCGTTTGTCTACTCTACAGCTACAGCTACACATCCTCAAGTCCTTGGTTCCGACATTCATTAATTATACGTTCATTCGGCCGTCGAATGCAGACCGGAATAACCGACAAGACAATTTGTAGCAAAGGTACAGCAGCGCTTTTGGATTCATTTGACTGTATACCGACTCGAAGCAAAGCCTCTAGATGCTCCAGGCAATTCCCTTTTCCTTTCCCTATTTGCGGATTCGTCCCATATGTCCAAGGCCTCAATGCTTGCGACCTCTGCAGGTCAAAGACGCGTGGAATCCCGGTATCCTTTGTTCAACCAAATAAGACGCCGACCCTCGTAGTTTGAACAGGAAGCAAAGAACAGAACGATCAACGACTAGGGAGACGTGGCTTCATTTTCGTAACATAGAAAGTTCGAACAAAAACGTTGAAGAAGAGAAGACCATAGACAATTAAAAAGATAGCAAGGTTTCAAGAAAGCGTGGGTTGGGGAAATGATAGGGACATGAAAGAAAAGAAATGAACATGAGCAAAAGAGCAGAAAAGCAAGATAGAATGGGAACAAGCCCCCCGCCGTGAGACCCTTTGCTTTTACGCCGTCATGCCCGTAAAGGAAAAAAAAAACACACACAGAAGATAGTAATTAACCTTGAAGACTCACACCCCTCAGCAGACCTGTATGTATACGCTTGGATTAAAAATGAATTTGGTTAAAGGGGTGGTGTGGGAGAAATGAGGATAATAAAACGATAGGGGGAAAAAGAAAAAGCAATAAAAAATGGACAGGAGAAGCGTAAAAAAAAAAAAAGGTAGCGTGGCTTTCGCCATTGATTTTAGGTAGTGCCATTGATATTGACCGACGAGGCCGGAGTGGCATCCGCGGACTCAGACTCGGCCAAGGGAGTCACGGTGCTTTTGGGAACACTCTTGGACTCGACCGATCCGTCGACATTGGACTGAGTGTCGGTTGGGGGAGGCGTAGGCGGAGCCGCCCCGACAACTGGGCCCCGGCCGCTCTCCGATCCATTCACGGAGCGCTTGGAAGGCTGGGGGGAGGATTTGTGGGAGTTGGGGGGTGTTGTAGAGGAGGTGTGACTGGCATGGGTTGCGGGAGGAACGCCACCGGAAGGATCATATACCAATTTTTCAATGGCGGCGACTTGCTTGCCATAGCTCGTTTTCTTGATTCCGTTGAGCAGAGGCCGGATCTGTTCTGCGAGAGTCTCTCTCTCGACGCCTTTCAACTGACTCAAAACTTTCTCTGCACGGGGGAGTCAGCGCTGGGGAAACAAATCCTTGGGAGAGGTAGATAAACACTTACGTATAACATAGTTTCCATACTGATCACGAATCAGTCCGGGCAGGGGGTTTTCCCCTCTATCATTGGAGTTCGTGAGCATGCTAATGATGTGTTGGCGCTGGCCTTGTTCGCCGAAGTCGATACTTTTTTCGACAACATTGCTGGCGAACTTATGCTTCGAATGAGCGATGAGGTTTGATATAACGACGTTGATCATGGCGGAACGGTCCTTTTCTTCGCCGTGCTCGATGACATGTTGAATCACGTAATTGCCGAACTGGTCGGGGATGAGTTTGGCCGTGCAGACATGCAACTCTGACAAGATTTGTTCCCGGTCCACCTGTTCGCAATGTTCGAGCATGCGCTGGATGACCCGACACCCATAGGGATGGGTGGCAAGTTTCTCGACGTTGCCGATAAAGGCATCAATGACAAAGTGTACGTGCTCCGAGGGAACACGTTCAATGGCCTTCTGAATCACGTGGTTTCCGTTCTGATCCCGGACACACCGGAGGACAGCCGGTTCAAGTTCCCGAACCATAGATGCTTGCTGGTCGGTGAGGATGTGTTCCAGTGCCTTTTGGACCACGCGGCACCCGTACATCTGAAGGGACAAGCTCAGGATATGTCCCTTCATTTGATTGGCGATAATCTTCTTTTGAGTCTGGTTGCCGTGCTCGAAAAGCTTCTGGACAACGTAGTTCCCGAAAACATCCGTCATCAATTGCAGGGCATTGCTCTGGATTTCCCGGAACACCTGCTCCTTTTCGTCGCTGTTTGCAGTCTCCAGCTTTTGCTGAATGAATCGGGAGCCATGCTGGTCTCCACTGAACTCTACAACAAATCCATATATATCCTGTGGAAAATGGTCAGATCCCGGAGTGGTTATACGTGTACAGTGGCGTCTGCCGGTTACATACCTTGAGTTCGTATCGCTTGTTGCCTTTGCTATTTGTGCGGAATTCATCGAGCACGGCGCTCCTGGCCGCCTGTGAGAGGTCTGGCTCGCGCATACCCCTTGAAGCGAGAGCCACCGCACTCGCATGGGCTGCTTGGGGGTACATGGTAGGAAGCGCCTGGAGCCCTCCCGTTTGGAACCGCGAGACATCGTAGGCACTTTGGAAAGCCATGCGTTGCAGGGGATTAATATTCGGCGGGGCGAAATCCTGTTCCGCAGCGAGTCCCCGGAAGCGTCGTTCGTAAGGTGTGGCCTGGTTATCAGGCAGGCGGCTGCCAGAAGCATTTCGGAAATGCGATCCAGAGAGTTGTCCGCTGTCGAGAGCCGGATTGAAAGTGCTTTCCATGCGAGCGTAATCGGTCGGCGAAATCGGTCCTTCAGCGAAGCGAGGCCTGGTTGTGTATGGCAATGACAAGTCCGACGGGCGCTCATTTACGTAGGAAGGGTAGTTGCTCTCATCACTCGAAGCCTGGTATCTGAACCGTTGGAGGGAGCCACCATCCAAGGAGGGATGTGAGATATAGGTGGGCCGGTTGGATGCGGTGTGTGCGCCGTAGTTGTTATCATTGAGGTTCAACTTGTTGAGCCCGGCGTTAAGGTCGACGGAGTTGCTGCCGTATCGGCCGTCAAATCCTTGGCTTTCCGAGTGGAACGAGGGAAACGAGGAGTGAGGTGGTCTCGCAGGGGCAAATGAGGCGGAATTGGAAGAGGCGTGTGAATAAACATTGCGACTCAAACTCTGGGCCGCGGTGTCAGGCAGCGTCTGAGGAAGAGAGGACATCGCTATGGAGGCCGATACGCCATCGGATGCCGTATTGTCAAGCGGACTCGACAGACCAGCTCTCATCTGGAAACCGCTGCCGACGGGACTGCCCCCAAAAGCAGAGGACGTGTTGGCATGACGTCTACCCTCGGGTCTGAACCCGCCGATGGTTCCCAGAGACATGCCATCACCAGAAGGTGAAATTCCCTCAGAGCCGGTGTTCAAATAAGCCTTATGGCCCGGCGCCCCACCTGAGGGCCTCGGCAGGGTAAAGTAAGAAGAATCAGCAGCGTCGGGGAGCCCAGTCGCGCTCCTATCAGAAGCTCGACTCTGGATGGGGGAAGTAGTCATGCCAGTGTTGGCCGTTCTGGACAGGCCACTGGACGAGGGGTTCATGGTGCCCCAAGTCCTGTTCGGACGAGTACCCCATCCATCAGACTCCGAGGAAGACAGCAGAGAGCTCGAGCCCGCTTTACCTTCTAATCCCGTGTCTGCGACATGCTGGTCTGCACCGGACATATTAATCCCTGTCCATCTCGCCTGGTTCGTGGGGTTTCTTACCTCCCAAGTTATCTCCCCAGATGGTGCTATTCCAACTCGATTGAGTACCGAAACCTTGACTCATGTTCGCGGCGGGCGCTCGCGTTCTATCATTGCTCATATTGGACGTTCGGTTCGATCGCACCTGATAAGAGATCGGTCAGCCGAGGGATCACCCGCTTGATTCAGGAGTGTTGAATCTCACATTATGTACTGGTCCTGTATGCGTTCCCATCACGGACATTTGACCTGTCGCTCTGACGGGCGGTAACGAGAGATAAGCTGTATTCTCCACCAGGTCGGTAAGAGCTATTCAACCGTTCGAGGATGGAAGATTTTTTTTTTCGTCGGGTATGATCAGCGGTCTTTCTGTAGGTTTACTGTAATGGTTTTCAGAGCGCCAGATGCGGTGGCAAAGAAGGCACGAGGTAGACGACAGAGAGTAAACTGCACGATAACGAGCAACAGAGTTAGCGAGCGAGACTCTGAAGGGCGAGGAGAAAACCGGGGCACTCACCGAGGAACTTGAGCGGCAAACGCAAAAAAATTCCAAGTCGAAAAGGGATGGGAGATTGGAGGCGGTAAAAGAGGATTATGTTTTTGATTCCCTTTATTTTAATTTTTTTTGTCTTTTGTACGCCCGTAATGCGGTCCGGCACTGTACAAACTGTACAAGGGATCGAAGGGGTTGGCGAAAGGGAGGACGCTGGACAGCGAACAAGCGAAAAATGCTGGAGAAATAGGGCCGGTACGAGCAGATGCAAGGTGACAAGAAATGGATGATCTCCCTTTCGTTTGTCAGCGTAAAAATGCTCAGCAGGTGGGCGTGGATCGTAATTGTCAATGTGCGTCGCGACGTTACTACACTCCGTGCATGCTCCAGGAAGCTCGAATCTCGCAGATCACCCTCATGTGCCGTGTGGAGAAGTCGAGGCGGAGGTGGGCAGGGGACGAGGGCGATGAATCAGAGGAGCGTTGGGCGAGCTTGGATGATGGGACGCAGCAAGGGGGAGGGGGGTGGTGGAAAGGGTCGAGTGAAAATTGCAGCCGGTATCGACAGGAATGTGCTTGTTGCGCAAATGGAGGCGATCCGACGTGATTAGTGGAGCATCGAAGGATGGGAATGCGGAAGAGAAACAAAGCACGGCATTAACGAAATCCAGCTGTGACACAGACGAAATCAGGCATGACACCCCAGAGTGGCTCGGGGTCGATCAGTCTTGAGTCGCGAATCTCGTCCAGCCTCCGGTGGGGAGGAAAGAAGGTTTTCGGGAGAGCGATGAAGAAGAATGAAGAGGCGGAGCGGACCCCAGGAAGGGCACGAAGAAAAATAAAATATGATCAGGGCAGATAAATATCCAGCGGGCAGTAATAAAGGTCGAGTGATAAACACCACGCAACGGTATTCGAAAGGTACGTCAAACCTTGACCTGGACTGAGGGATGACCGAAGAGAAGGGGAATTTTGTTTAATAAAAAAAAAAAAAAAAAAATGGACAGACAGAGAACGGGTTGCACAGAAGGGGATGTGCTCGACAGGGCCTCCGAGGGAGACGGGAAGGGATATAATATAGTGGTTGAAGGTAAGGAAGGAGAGGGAATAAAAAAAAAAAAAGAAGAGAAGAGGTAAAAAGAAAGAAAGGGAGGGGAAAAAGAAATATGAGGTCTTTACAACGGAATGAAGACGTCGATGATAGAGATAAGCTGGGAAGGTTGAGCTGGAAAAAAGATGCTGCGTGTCGCAGGAAAGACCGCCAACCTAAAAAAAATAAAAAGAAAAATACGGTATCATGACAATACCGAAATGATCGGCCGCGGCGCTGGATGTCGATCTCGATGCCTCAGGACGCCCAGGTACTTGCGCGCCGGTTGGACCAGCACCCACCGGGCAGGTACCGCCCAGCCTTCGGGGACTTGTCGCGGTTGCCATACCGGGCGTATCGTAAAGTTGAGACCCGCCAAATCAATCGTTCCCGCCGCTTCTTTTTAGGCTTCAACTTTAGGCGGCCCCTCTGATCTCCAGCTCTGGAGGCACGCCGGAGCATCCTTCACCTCCCTCAGCCATGGTCCGTCGAATGCGTCCCCGTCACGGACTCTCGCTCCTGTCCGGCTCCCACTCAATTGATGCCTCTAGACGTGTCGGATGGATTGGCATTTTATTGATTTTGCATTTTCTTTTCTTCTTTTTTAGGTCTCACGAGCCAAGTCGGAGATGGAAGCTTGGGTGGTGTCCACCGGAAGGACTAGAAAATTGGAATCCCATGGGTGGAATCAGCATCCCAGCGCCTCTTTTTGCGTCATCTATGAGCGTGCACTGGAAGACAGTCCGACACAACGATCAACGGACTATACGGAGTAGCACTCGAGTGTCATCGTGACCCGTTGTTCGGACATGATTCCCTGGCCAGCAGAATGTCGCCGCCATCTCCCCAGAACCATCGTAGAGTCGTCGAGATCAATTGCGGGGTTTCTTTTCCGCCCATTCCCTTTCTTAAGGCTGTTCCAGATCATCGCCATCGTACGATATTTCTTACTTTCCAACGCTTTCGGTGTTGCATCCATCGAGCGTTCCTCCAGCTCGCAGAAGTTAAGTTACGCTCCAGCCCGACCGATCGGATCCACTAAACTAGCTCGCCGGATTTTCTTCATCGAAATTAATACCATCAAGTTGATGCCGGTAATTTCGCTTCGATGAGAACATCGTCTTGATGGATGTTGATTCCATTCCGTCAGCGTTCCCGACATATTAAAGATCGGACCAAAACTCTGGCATGTCTTTTGCGTGGACCAAGCGATCCCTTTAATTTTCGAACAAACAAACGGTGCAGGGAAGACAGACCGAAAAAAAAAAAAAAAAAAAAAAAAAAAAAAAAACTCGGCGCGACAAACAAGTGGCAGGTCTTGGCTGCTCTCTAGTCTCTTTTCCCTCTCCTCCCTTCCAAACCACATACCGCACCCATGCAGTGAGAACAATCCCAGGCGACTCTCACTCATTCGGTCTGTACTTGTCATGTCGCCAATCTCGCCAATCACGACCGATGCCTCCCATTTGCGATCAATCAGCACGTAGGCAGTCCTTAACTACTCGGTATCCACAGGCAGTATGTATGTATCTCCCCAGGCAGCCTCCTTGCGTTCGACGAACAACGGGGATTAAGGTTTCATCCGCCTTACCTTTCCAACAGGCTGGGGACTTTGAAGCATCTTCCAACTGGAGCCTGATGCGCCATTCACTTCCGGTCTTCCTTCCCTTCCAGCTGGCCGTACAGTATTTCCCCCATCTCAACGATAGTAGCGACATCCTTCCCCGGCGGGACTCATCCTTGCATTCCACATCCCTCAAGCCACATTCAACTATCAATGCGCCGGGAAACGGCTTGACTCGAAAGGATGGCATTTCAGATAATAAAAAAAAAGGTGCGGATAATGTTTCCACCTCCGCCGAGTCTTGCCTCCCTACATGTAACAGACCGACTGGACCCCCTCCCCCCGCACTGGAGATCCATGCCGGGAACAAAAAAGAAAGAAAAATCTGCCGACAGGAATTGATCGTGTCGAGGAATTGACATACCAGACCGACATCATGGATTCGGTGTGATTGGGTGGCTGGCCTGTTCCCCGGTAAGGGTCCTGAGGACTATGTCCCCGTTCTGCATGCTCCTTCGCAGCGATCAACAATGGCATTTTACATGCGGAAGGGCGGAAAATTCACCAGCTACAACGGGGACTAATACTTCGACTCGTGGTAGTTTGAGTACCGGATACATCATAGCTGGTGTTTGCTAGAGACTTGGGTCTGTCCAGTAGAGATAAATGTCTGGCGCCGAACTCATCGACCCAGCTTCTCCCTCGACATCCGACCCATCCTGGAAAACTTGGGAGATTGGGGATACCTAAAGTTACACGAGTAATATAAACTAACACATAATAATTTCATCCAGTCGATATTCTGGTAAAAGAAAAAGAAAAAAAAAGATGAAAATAAACAAATGAAAAACGAAAAATTGTACCATACAGTCCAGACAACTCCGCCGCAGCCGAGCCAGGTAGCAGACTAATGTATTGCCAGCTCAAAAGTCTACCCAGTCATGTGTTATCCTCCCAACGTTGACCGTAGAGAGCCTCCGCCAAACTATATACCAAATCCCAACGTTCAAAATAGAAGATCTAGACCTACACTAGTCATCGGGATTGTGTTCGGGTTAAGCAATCCGTTGATGGCAGCCACATAGGAGCTTAGGAGGCAGACATATATACGAGTGTATATCTTCGAGGGCGTGTCCTAACCAAGGAAACCACCGCAGCGAACACATCCAGCCTTCTGTCATGATCTGGCCCATGGTTATACTTCCGGGTGATCGGGCGAATTTTTGGCCCCAAACAGATTTCCTATTCAATGCGAATTAACCATGTGCTTTATCATTTTCTCTGGCAAACGTACGATTATATTAGTTTGGCGTATATTTATACCGGACGTAGTTCCGCCCAGTGGTGTCAACCCCATGGGTTCTCCATTCCAGTCATACGTCATAATGAGAAAGGAACAAAAATCGGGGTTTGTTGTTCTGCAGGGGTGATATTTGAGACTTTTCTCTAGAGTAGCTCGATCCGGAAGCATAAACCATTTTTTTCATGACGCCTTTTGTGGGAATGATGTCACGGAAGGTTTTGTATATGGAGTTCTACGGGTTGGGGTTAGGCCTCCAAAAACCGAAAGACTGGGGATGAGGTGGGGGCGTTAATCATGTGAATGATGAATGGAAATTCAATTGATTTGTGCGGGGTGGGATGTCCTCTGTTGCTGATGTGAGTCAAATCTGTACTAACGGTTCAGTGTTAGTATATAATCTCACTCCCCCCCCATCTGGGTGTTAGGTGACTGACTGTCTAGGCTAGAAGGCATCTAGAATTAGAAATAAGCACCAAACCAGCTAAAATAATTCAATGGCTAACACAAAGCGATATAGCATAAGCTGAGGATGGCACATATCCATCGCGCTGATCAGGTGCATTTTTCACATGAAGACCGAGCTCGCAAGCACTGCAAGGTGTACAGGCAGCCTTGGCCAAGTAACCGACGTCTGCTTTCTCAATGATATAAACCCATAGACTGCAGTCGAATTTCGAGGTAAGCCAAGTTCAATATCAGTATAATATTATGTTGACAGATGTCTAAAGTGCATGCACCGGGACATGCTAGTAGTCTTTCACAAGCGCCAATTGCAAATATTCCGGCGGTATGCATTGCGGCCCTGAACTCGGATCATATATTCACATATAAGCAATTTGATCCAAACAAGATAATTCCTCCGCAGAAAATATACTGCGTAGGCGATGGGCATTGGATATCACATTAAATCTGCGAGCGCTTCCATGATTCTGATCTCTGCCGGGATCTCACGCCTAGGACCCCACCGTGAGGTCATCACGGTGAGAATTCTACGGCGCAGACAGGTTTTTACTTTTTACCGAAAAGGGGCTAACCTGTGATAATCTGGCCGCTCGCTTCGAGTCGCACTGGACTCAGTCATCCGCAGTACCTAAGGTCATGGGCGAACATTCTCTGGCGATGTACCTTTCGACCGTTGCCGCGAGTTCTCCCACCCACACATACAGTGTGGTGTACGCACACACAGCGTTGACCATGAGACCATCAGACCATGAGACCATGACATCTCGCTCCCCCTCCCAATTCAGGGGCCGAAAGTGCCAAAAAAAGAAAACCCCAAGTAAAAAGGCCGAAGAGTGGAGCCACGATTGACATCCATTGGCCGTGGACGAATGCGGATGAAGCTAACCAGCTGGCGACAGGGGGACTGGCCAATAAGCGGCGGGGCGACGGGGCGGACGAACGGCAGTCTCAGGCACCGCCGCCCCCTGATAGGCCGGGCGAGGGAGGATGCAATTTGCAAGGCCCGTTAGCCTTCATTAGCGGCAGCACCGGGCGAACTGCCAAGGTCCACCGCAGGCGAAAATCAACAAACAAAGCGGCGCGCGGTGGATTCTCACTGCAGCTAGCGGCGGCTTAGCGCCGTTGAGCCAGCCCGCTAGTTGGCCAGCGATGCACCCTTGCTGGCTTGCTGGGGGGTTCGCTCGAGGTTCTGGCCCTGGTAAGCGCCCTTGCGCCTCGTTCCTGTCGTGCCGGTTGGTCGGCCGTGTCTCCTCTAGGAAACTCTCTCTTCCTGTCCCCATCTCACGCTCTCGTCCTTCTTTTCTTCCTTTCCTTCTTTTCATCCTCATTCCCCCGACGACCATTCCAACCCCTCTCTCATTCTTGCGCCCTCCCCTCCTCCGTCACGTTCTTTCTATCCCAAGCAGGTGTCGGCTTCACTCTTTCAGCTGCTCACCTTGCTGTCCGTTCTTTCCTATCCCAGCCTGCTCCATTCGGCTGAGATTCTCCTGACCCATTTCGTCCGACTGACTGCCTTTTTGCCCGACCTGATACGTTCTCTATCACTCGAACATCCCACTAGCAACCGAATCGTCCATTCGTGTTCTATCGCACCGTTATTACTTTTGACGCCTTCGAAGACTCCTTTTCCCCCTTTTGGAACTTTGGAGTAAGTGGTGGCTTTGTCTGAGTCTACAGGTATCGGTCGTTAACGCTATACAGTAACGACTTCAATTCTTGACTTTATATCTTCGCACCTGTTGATAAGCACTTTTGATCGTATAAACCCTCGATTGCAAATTAAAGAAAAAAAAAAAAGTGAACTCGCCCGCCAAAATGTTTAATTCGTTCTCCAAACGACTGGTTGTTCGTGACGACAGCGACGAAGGCCTGTCTTCTGCTATGATCGACCTCTTGATTTCGCTCTTGGTTCTCGTCCTACTTGGTCTCGCTCTGGTTGGTGGACTCCTCTTCCTGCGTCGCAAGCGCCTGAGTCGGGAACAATCCGAACTTCCCGTACACAACGGACAATGTGCATCTCAACATCGCCGCCTGACGATATCCGCGCCGCCATATGCCAAAACCGAGTCTGTCCTGGTCTACGACGAGAAACGCAGTCTGATTGAGAATTCATCGAGCCCCCCGCCGAGTCCCGTTCCCGAAATCCGAATTACGTTCCCCGAGGAGGAAGATGAGTCCGGAAAGCGCAAGTCGGGGCGTGTTGTGGTCGTCAGAATTAGCGAGGCCGGGGGTGTCGGCTTGGAACCCTGCCATGAGGACCTTCCTCCGTATCAGTCAAGTGACGCCGAGCGCTTCCAGTCCCTGGATATCGAGCGTATGGGAGGGCTTAAAGAGAAGGGGGATGCGCCTCGTTGGTCTTGAAATGTCAACGGCTCATCACGCAACCATTGATGGCCCGGAATTTTGTCCATTGATGCCCCTCTACCATCCGATCACTCCTCAACCTTGTTCTCCGACGACCCCAAAAACATAACGATACTCTGGCGAAGCTTCACTTCGAATCCTCGGTATTATATTTGAGTTTCTCGTTTCATCGTTCTTTTCGCGACTTGCACATATGCAGTTATTTGTCCCGTCGAAACACCCGGCTCTCCATGCTCGGGCTTGCCGATATCGCTGTTTCTAATGGTCATTCCTCTTCCTGCAATCCACCTGAAGATCGAACTAAAGGCATCCTGCAGCTGAATTGTGTACAGCAAAGGGCTGCTGGTTAATTTTGGGAGATAGTTTTCTATCTTCCCTTTTTTCTTCTCCTTTTTTCCTTTTGCCCCTTTTCTTTCTATAGCGTTCGTTTCTTGTGCTTGGTCACCTCTGGCTCTTTCTTCCCTGTCACGTCCCTAGGGCTGAAGAGCGTTATGTCCCCGGTCTGTTGTGTTGACATTTCTTATTTTTCCTTCTACTAACCTCTTTTCTTTTCTTTTTGTATTATTTCTTTCTCTGCTATCTTCTCTGATTCTCTATTACCCCCACCCTTGCAATTCTCGGGTTTGCCTTTAGAGTACCTTGCAGCTGGATAATGTATGTAACTAGTCTGACTTGACATTGTACGGCTGCACTTTCGAGTGAGCCTCAATGGACATGTTTATTCGTACATCATCAATGAAAGTTTATGACGCTATTATTGTTTACTATAGTAACTGATGACCCCCTAGCCTGTTTCATGGCTGTGTAGATTAGATGATCGAAGGATATCTCGTTGGTAGAACTCATCTCATGGTTTAAATTGCGCACCAAAAACATTATATTCCGCATGAATCCAATCTCTCTTTAATCACCCAGCCTGTTCATGCCCTAGTCGTAGAATTGAAGTGTTTCTACGCATTTTCGCTTTTATCGTCAATGATCTTTCATAGTGTTGTGACTAGCGTCTATATTACTGATTCGAATGATTCGAGAAGACGTTTATCGTTAGTGCCAAATTCTTATCTCCACCGTAAAATTCAACCGAGCGTGCCCAGGTCGGGACGACGCAGGTCTAGAGGTGGCATATGGAGCGGCCGCTCTACAAGGCGTAGCGGAAGACCCGGAAGGCCCGGAAGATGAGGTAGACGTACACTACGTCTGCTTTCCAAGGTCGCATAGGAACAATCAATATTCTGAACTTGACAGCTACCGAAAAGAGCCTTAGATCAGGGGTTTTTAGCTCCGGATGCAGACGTGCTGTTGGAGAAGGGCCTCCGTGTGATCCGGGAGTTTTCTTAGAGAGGAGAGAAAAGGGGAAGTGGGCTCAGATTGCTGGGACTAATCGTGCAGGAGCAGAATCTTTCCCCATCCTCAGTCACTACTGCTCTTTTCTTGTTGTTCGTAGTGTATTCCATGGCCTATACTTACCTAAGTACTTCCTCTTCGGCGTAAACAGTTGTCCCTTTTGAGACGAACCCCACACCCGTGCGGCGCCCGCCAATCAGCACACTAGAATCCGCCAGTTGGCTGCCGAAAACGCCGAATCCCCGACGTCACGGGGCTTTGGATTTGGGGACGTGCTCATTGCTTTTTTGTTCGCGCCCACAGCTTTCCCACTCGCCCTCAGCACCTGCGGCTTTCTTGCGTCTCAATTCCGGTTCATGTGCGCATTTGGGTTTCTCGCTGGGACAATGTCTGCGCTGTAAATCCAAGTGAACTCGCAGGTCATCAAGGTCTTTGGACTACTTGGATTTTTTTTTACTTTTTTTTCTTCTGGAGGAAGCGATCAATTTCGCCCGCCTCCTGTCCCCTTTTCTTTGTCTCTTTTCTTTGTATCCAATTGCTTCTCCAGCGCGAGAGGCCCCTTGTCCAGTCATCCAGTCACTCATTAGATGAGCAGCTCTTTGACAGCTTAGGAATATTTCCTCCCCTCCGTGATGGTTTCGGCAACAAGCCCGGGGCCGGGCCATGGAAGCCCCAAGCCCAACGCCTCTCCTCGAACTTCGTCGCCGCAAGCCTCGGAGCGCAATGACACCCGAAAAGGACCCATGCCGAAGATGCTGTCAGGGGGGAAGGGGAGCAATCTGCAGGAGGCGCGAAACAATCTTTTGGAAACGGAATTTAAGCTCAAACACTTCGGTCTGCTGGGTGTGCTAGCATGGATCCTGTGAGATACTACTGCAAATGCTGCAGCCCATTGCAGTCTGGAAAGAGGCAATGCTAATGGACCTGGTCCCATGTAGGCTCCTACACGTTGCTGGGATTTACTTCTTCACCAAAGGTTTCCTTCTGACGCGGACGGTTCTCGAAAATAAGTCGTCTTGCGACCTGCTTCCGTTCGACGGTGCGCTACCAAATGCAAAGGCGGGCAAGGGAGGCGATGGATGCTGGCACCAGAAATCTTTCGACAAGGCTATTGTCATCATCATCGATGCTCTGCGGTACGACTTTACGGTCCCGTTCGCCCCGAGCCCGGAGAGTGAGGAAGCAAATTTGTTCCACGATAATATCCCCGTTCTGCATGAAACAGCTGTCAACACACCGGAGAACGCTTTCTTGCTACCTTTCATAGCCGATCCCCCCACCACAACGCTGCAGCGCCTGAAGGGCCTTACGACCGGGACTCTGCCGACTTTCGTGGACGCTGGCTCAAATTTCGCTGGGACGGCAATTGATGAAGACAACATCGTCGCACAGCTTCGCGCCGCCGGCAAGAACCTGGTTCAGCTCGGCGATGACACATGGCACTCTATTTTCCCGGGTTACTTCGACGCCAACCTTACCAGGCCGTTTGACTCGTTCAATGTGTGGGATCTGCATACTGTTGACAATGGCGTGAATGAGAATTTGTTCCCTCTCTTAAACCCGGCAAACTCTACCAAGTGGGACGTTGTTTTCGGTCATTACTTGGGCGTCGACCATGCCGGCCATCGCTACGGCCCGGACCATCCGGCCATGGCTGCCAAGCTCAGACAGATGGATCAAGTCATCCGGGAGCTCATTGCTAAGATTGACGACAACACCCTTTTGGTAGTGATGGGAGATCACGGAATGGACTCGAAAGGCGATCACGGAGGCGAATCAAACGATGAAGTAGATGCGGCCCTATGGATGTATTCGAAGCAAAAGAAGTTTGGCCGCACGAGCCCGGACACTGCCCTACCGCCAAAGTACGCGCGAGAACGGTTTGTCCCGCAGATCGATCTTGTTCCGACGCTCTCGCTTCTCCTTGGTATGCCGATTCCCTTCAACAACTTGGGTTCCCCGATTGAAGAGGCTTTCGCTGGACCTGGCGGAAATGACTGGAAGAATCTTTTGACCGTCAACCGCCTGACTTCCGCCCAAATCAAACGGTATCAGCATGAATATGCGCTGTCTCGGGGAGCCAACGATGGCCAAGAATTCCTTTCACTGAAACTCTGGGAAACTGCGGAAGCTGAGTGGAAAAACCTCCCGAGATTTGGCAAGTCAAATGAGGGCACATTGCGTCCTGTCTACGATTCTTTCAGGCTCTACCAGCGAAGCACTCTTGACATCTGCCGCAGCCTTTGGGCCAAGTTTGATGTACCGAGTATGATCCAGGGTGTTTCAATACTCTTCGGGGGAATAGTCTTGCTTGTGTTTTATGCGCGAGGCTTGAAAGTGGATCGGACAGAGCTTACCAATTCTTTGCTATCATCCGCTGGAGTTGGCTCTGCGGTTGGTGCTGTTATAGGTGCATGTGTGGCCGTCTCAGGCGTGATGGAAACCCCGTTGGTCGAGGCGTCAGCCCTGTTCGCTGCTGCAGGAAGCATCGCTAGTGCTTCGTGGTCAATGTTCATTAAACCGGAGCGCTTGGTGCTTCCCCTACCTAACTCTTTGTGGGGATGGCTCGCTGTCATCTTTACCGTCTCCCAGTCAGTTGGTTTTGCATCTAACTCATACACCATATGGGAGGATGAGATTCTTCTCTTTTTCCTCTCCACTTTTGGTGTGCTTGCCGGTGTGTCATCCATGCGGCAGAAGTCAACCACCGACAGGGTCTTGGGTGTTTACCATTCAATTCTCTTCATCGTCCTCGGAAGAATTGCCTCGTTGTCTCGCCTTTGTCGTGAGGAACAGATGCCGTTTTGCCGCTCGACATACTACGCCTCCTCTACCTCCTCCACTTCTGCTCCTTGGCACCTTGCCATCCCATTTATCGTCACGCTGGTTCTCCCCACAGTCGTGAAGTCCTTCTACGTGGGATCGAAGTCCTACGAAGGTGCGGCCTCTCTGTGGATTGGGGTTGGCTTCCGGTTGGGCCTCTTTGTTACCTCCGTTTTCTGGGTCCTGGAGGACGCAGACGATGGTGAGTGGCTTTCACTGAGCAAAGAGACCCTGAAGTCGATTAGAGTATTTGTCGCACAGCTTGTTCTGGCTCTTGCATTCGCAGCTGGAACGACTGCGTACATTTACTCGAAGCCGTGCATCAGCATCAGCATCACCAAAGGCAACTCTGAATCCGACACGCAAGCTGCCCCCACGCCTGCACAGCAACAGCCAAGGACCACCGTCACAATCCTGGGCTTTGGCAACGTTTACGGAACGCGGTTCTTCCTCCTCGTCGTTAACTTCTGTTTAGGCATTGCTCTCCTGCAAAAGCCCATGGGACAAGGCGCCATTGGCTTGCTCCTCTGGCAGATCCTTTCGCTGCTTGAAATCCTCGACACGAACGCACTGGTCATGGGCAACTCGGCCATCGGTCCCATTGTCCTCGCCCTTCTCGGCTCTTTCTACTACTTCAAGACCGGCCACCAAGCAGTCCTCAGCAGCATCCAATGGAAGACGGCCTTCATCCCGCTCTCATCTGTCAAATACCCCTGGTCCCCCATCCTCGTGGTCCTGAACACCTTCGGTGCGCAGATCCTCACCGCCGTCGCCGTTCCTCTCACTGTCCTCTGGAAGCGGCCCCTACAACTCACCGACCAGTCCGGGTCCCCCTCGAAAGCCTCCAACCCTGCCATCAAGATCCTCTCCAGCGTCATCCAAGCGGCTTGCACCTACCTCCTCTACTTCGCCACCATCAACCTGGCCACCACCATGTGGGCTGGTCACCTCCGTCGCCATCTCATGCTCTACCGCATCTTTTGCCCCCGTTTCATGATGGGTGCAGCCGTTCTCGGTGTCGTGGACATCGTCCTCATCTTATTCTCCGTGGCCGGCGTCCGGTTCAGCACCCTGAGCGTTGGTGAAATCTTCGGATGGTAAACTGTCGGAGACATAAGAGGGGGAAGGAAGGAGTTACTCGAATCAATCGACAAATCCGATCTAAATCGAGCCCTCCCAGTGTTCCATGAAAAAGCGGAATCACAATGAACAACCATTGGCCCGCAACATAATACAAACCGGAAAAAACAGCGAATAGAACCGACCATGAGATGAAATCCGGTCTATTCCAAGGTTCTTCTGAACCTGTTTTCACCAACCCTACTAACCGGCCTTTACCTTACCCTAACCAATCCTGCATACCTGATTTTTAGTTCTTCGATATGTATAAAGTGACTCGAGAGAGACAAAAGATTCCTATGAGATATACCGACCTCCTATCTGTCTTGTATGTAATGACTTGTCGAGTTGCATGTATACGTATGTCTGTACATACCTTCGTTTTTCTTCCCTTTCCTGTCGTTTTCCATTTATTTTATACTTTTTTTTATTAGTTTTTGCATAGGCACGGATGGCATGGTCTGAGCGAGCGACGTTGACTGGCTCAATGGGTGGGATTTTCAAAAAGGACGTGTTTTTATCTGGTTGACTTGACCTGCTTCACCTCATTTAATGGATTTCATATCTGCATTCAATACGCGGGAAAAAAAAATGAAATAAAAGCAATAAGAAGCCTAGGAGAAAGTTCATTGAAGACACCTGATACTCTTAAAGTACAGTACACGCTTAAAGTAGATCAGTGATGCATGCATTAGGTCTTGATAGTTGGGTGTTGTTTGCAGTCGCCACCAGGAGTTATGTTTTTCATGGTCATAAGAGAAGCAAAAGATGAAAAAAGAATACCACGCCATTTTAGGGGCCCCATGGGATCTGTGAGAGGAGTAGACCAAAGAGAGAAGAAAAACAAATTTTGGTTGCCGAAATTTTGGAAGAACAAGAAACTTTTGCACAAGAAGGCACACACGCACACGTAAAGGGGGTATTGACACAGGCTGGAAAGTGCAAGATAGGGTAAGATATACATTCATTCGTAAGTGAACAAGTCGGAAGCATAAAGAAAAAGAAAATAAAAATCAGAACTTTTTCCCCCTCCATCTCCCATGTCTGTCTTGAGAATTATTTCCATTTTGAATAATGGTCAGTTTCAAACACTTTTTTAACTTCATAGGGTAGTCCGGGGTCTGGAAATCTTGTTTCGGAGTTCTTTCAACGGCCCCAGCGAGAGAAGTCTAGATTTTGAAGAATATTAGCATCTGCAGAGGCATTCCAGTCGGTAGCAAAATCTGCTCTCGTAGACGGTGTGCGGGTAGGCAATTCCTCAGAGTATATATTGGCTTTCGTGTTGCGACGTTGGCTGGGATAAGCACCTTCTGTGCCTTCGGGGTTCTGAGACTGGGATCCTAGCGCGCGTTCACGCAGTCGCTTGATTTCTCGCAGCCGGTTTCGCCAAGATGAGACATGCTCGCCTTCCTGGCTATTCCACACAAGGGAAAACACGGAAGCGTTCAAGGCAAGGAAACGAACGAATGCCGCGAGGTTCTTTCCAGAGATGACCTTGGGCGCGGCCGCAGGCGATATTTCAGGAAACCCTGGCTTGCTTATGACTTGCACGTAATAAAAGAGATTGTCGAAATAAGCAGGGCCCATATTGGTAACCTTGCAGTCATTGGCGATTCGGCACACGGGGCTGATAACAATATTGACAAAGTTGAACTGTGAAGGGATCGTGTCAAAATTAAACGGGAGATTAGACCGGTTGAAGATAATGTTGACAAAGTCATTTCCGATATGACGTTTTTTATTGACGCACGAGGGGTCGTTGTCAAAACTAGTCGGCATCATGGTGGCAACATGATAGACAATTTCTGTAACCCGATCACGCCAGGCATAGGTAAATTCGCCATCCATGTCGGCGTGCAATCCCTGGGTATTGAACTGCGCTCCCTGGAGTGGAACCTTTGTCCCAAGCCCCGACAGGAAATGCTCGTAATCCGGACTGCCGCTCGTATTGGAAAGAATCTCGGCTTCTGCTGTTTGGCCATTGCCTATGTACAGAACCCCGATTTTGTGCCCATCCACAATGTCATTCCGATCGAATGTGCTGAGGGCACGGCGCGTAATGTCGTCTTCAAGAAGTGGGATGGGCTGCATTGAGGTGGGCGTAGGGAATGCTGTAGTGGTCATTTGGAGCATCACATGGCTGGGAAGAATGGCAGTGCGCATGTCGTCAGAATGAATATGGGCTTCGGGAGTTGGAGGGACCTGGTGAGGGAGAACAGGCGCAGTCCGCTGCTGGTACATGGCATAGGTGGTGCCGGATGCCTGCCTTTTGGTGATTTGGGTCAAGCCCGACACTCCAGCAGTCTCCACCGTGATGATGCTCATTCCAACCACCCACGACTTCTTCATGACAGGCCCATCTGCTGGGGATGGAGGAAAGGTTGAGTATGGAATGGTTTCGCCCAAGTCCGTGAACGCGACCCGCTGCATCAGGTCAAGGAAAACCTGACTCTGCTCTTCTACCATCTCCTTGCCATGTTCATCTCTGAAGATGAGTCGACTGGTTATCCAGTTGACATGATTGGCTCGATCTTGCAATTTCAGTGACAAGAACCAGAAGACCATGACATGGTGCGTGAGAGTATAGATGTATCTTGACATGCCGTCTTGCAGAGAGGGATCGGGAACTTCAGCAGGAAGAGCCGTGGTTTCGCGCATTCCATTTCCGAGTCTTGCAGACACCTGCGTGGTGGTTCGAGTGGGTGACTCGGAGGTTTTAAACCGCTGCTCCCTGGATGTCTGCAAAAAGCGAATACAAACGCCAAACACCGTGCGAATCTCTTCTTCCCGCAAATTGATGTATACATCGGGAAGCCGCGCAAGTAGTGCGAGAAATTCGAGGATATGAACGGCAAGATTGGACATGGTGATCACTTTGGACATTTTGTCAAGAATTCCATTCAAAGACTTGGTCACAGAAAGTGGGATTTCGTGACAACAGACGGAGAGGGCGTGGATGCACCCCCGAGAAGTGCCTCCCCAAGACCCGATGATTCCCAGCATGAATGCGCGAACGAGTTCGTCTTCTTCACTTTTAGCGAAAAACTCATGGTAGCTAATTAGTGCACACAGGGACTCGAAAATGTACCCTGCAACGTCTGTCTTTTTCACGCCAGTCGATGGAGGCGGCTCCCGGAATTTGTCATTTTTGACCTGATCACACAAAATACTGCGGAGTAGTTTTATAGGTGGGATTGCATTGGTGAAAAAGTCTCGGTTACGGAGCTGAGGCCCAAGATGGGTAAGGACATAGCTGTAAATATCCCAATTACCCTCTGTCTGTAGCAGTTGTATGACGGCTTCCAGCCAAATGTTGGCTTTCAACGCGATCTTTTGGGTGGGTTCCGCCTCAGCGTAGCTTGACGTGTCGGACGTCGCATATGCGTAAACGAAGGGACTCGACTCATCCGGAGGCTCTTCAGGCAGGACCTGGGACGAGGCATAAGTCCAAACCGGTGGGGTCAATTTCGACGTACGCATGCTGGCCACCGTATTGCGCGCAGTGGAACGAGAGGACAGGCTGGCTGGGTCATGGATTGAGAGCCTTCCCTGGGCTGGCGGGCGCAAATGATCACTACCAGTACTGTGTTCTGTGCTTTGATCCTCAAAGGTATGCGCTTTCGCGCCGACGTCCGGATTCCGACCCGAAATGCCCATGATGAAATCATTTTCCGAAGTAGATATGACTGATATGGAACCCGAGGAGTCACATCGAAGCCTGAAGAGCAGTTTGAGCACAGTCAATCGCGAGTCCACCGGCCGTTCTGGTGATTTGGATATCTCCTGAAGAGCGTCAAAGACCACAACTGCTTTGGTGGCGGAAAGGTTCAAGCACCGCAGAAACATCTTTACCAAGCCAACGGAACAGACATTGGCTAATGATAGCTCCAGGACACTGCCTAATGAAGGGCGCTGAGGTGGTAATGTGGAAGGCTCGGTTCCGTGCTGCAGTCCGTCTTTACCTAAATCCTTATTCATCGGTGAACTGATGGTGTCCACCAAAAATTTGAAAGTAGAATCATCCCGAACAAGGATGGAGATGTCCACAGCAAATGAGACTAGTGTCTCCAGAAACATGATGTCGTCCTCCAAAGCGAAGCTCTCAAACATGAGGTCCAGGAGCCCTTGTTCCATGAATTGGACCAGGGATTCATAATCCGAGAAAGCCTCTTTGACTGTTTCGAGAGCGAGAATGCGGATGTCGGAAGGTTTGGTACGGGAGCGGATGAAACAGCGGATCAGTCTTTGGCAATGTTGCACCCAATTTGGATTGCCAGGGAAGCAAAGCCTCTCGGTCCTTACTGTGTTGAGAACGAGCTCAGCCTGGGGAGGCTCCACCTGCTGACAGATATTCATCAGGAAGCGAGTAAGCTCCAATTTCTGCTGTCTGTTGATACGCTCCCAGAGAGATTCAATGGCGGAGGCAATTTGGATGATGCTGGCCAAGATGCTCGGTCTGGCGTCCTCGACAACGCTGCCCCTCGGGTGAGGAACTGAAGCGCTAGGCGTTGTGGTGTAACATTCATCCTCGTCAACAACTCTAAGTGAACACAGAATCATAAGGTTGACGAACCCTGCCCAGTTTCTTTCCAGGGCTACGTCTGCAAAGTCCCCATCCAGCACGTTCAGACACAACTCGAGAATATCCGCCTCCAATCTACCATCGTCCTTTTTGTTTACTCTGGGCTGTTGTAGGACGGCCTGAAGAGAGTCCGTTAGTCGGTCAAAATCGAGCTGTGGGATTCCGTCTTGGCCGTGAGCCCGAATAAGATCCGTGAAAACGTGTACCGATCCACGCAAGACTCCTTCAGAAGAGTCGGACAAGAATGAGTACAGGGCGTCCATCATGTTAGTCTGTTTTTTGGACTTGGCTAAATTTCGAACGGCTCTTGCCGTGGGGCCCGACAGTGATTTGACAGAGGCATGGATGCTGCACAAGACTTCCAGCATCGGGGTGAAACTTCCATCCGGTACGTCCGCATATAGAATTATGGCGTCGAAAACGGCCAGCGAGTTTTTAATGTCGGCGGCAACAGTGGTCTTTTTGCAAACAATAAAGATTTGCTCCAGCAATCGTTCGACCTCTTCACTACTAGGAGGGCTCCGTTGCAGAGTGATCAGATCCACCGCGAACTGCAGCAAGTCGTCTAATACGGTATCGTCATAGCCCAGGCCATTGGCCCGGCCGACCCTCGACTTCCGCGCCTTTAGCCGAACGGTCGAGATGAGTTCATATAGCGGGATTATACAGGATGAAATGATAGGGAGAAGGGATGAGTTGGTGAACTCTAGCTTTCTGCCGTGGTCCGATAATGATATCAGGGACTGAACACGCGCGGGTATAACGTCAGGTTCGGATGAACTAGAAATCGATTCGAAAACGGCGCGCCTTGCGGCTGGTGACAGATCCTGGCGCGATGCGATGGCTTCCATCAACACCGAGCCACTCCGGCGAGCTTCTGTCGAGCTGACATGGTGAATAAGGTAGGAGCCGGCCTCCCACAGCAGAAGCGATTGTTCTGGAGATAGCCATTGGAGTGATTTTGCTGCTTGTTCGGCTTCATCAATGGCCTGACCTAGGTTCTGTCTCTGGGTGATGATCCTGAGCGATGTTTCGAAGTCCGGCGCACCAGAAGTGTCCGAAGAGCTCGAAACGACGCTGCCACGATGCATTGAGTCGAATCCAAATGAGATCAAATTGCTCCTGCGTCCATCTGAAGTCTGCGACAAGGAATCACTGCTATCTTTCAAGGAGACCGGAGAAAGCGATTTGGGCCGCGAAACGCCTAGAGATTTGAAAACGTCTGCGAAACTCGATGTGCTGTGTTTATAGTTGGAGGTTGATGAAGCATCGTCAGAAGACATGCGTCCCAGTGGACGGAGGTGACGAATAAAGTTGGGCCGGAGGATTATATAGCTGCCCGGTAAGAGACCCAGTTAGCAAGACCCTCCATAGGAAGCTGCGAGCCCTAGCCACCTGTGAAACAGGTCCAACGACTGACGTATCCAAGCAAAGGCGCACATACCATCAATAGGTTAATCACAGAAGCTCATGTTCCTTAACGGCTCCTGGAACGTGTATTGAGGGTCTTCCTCAGATAAGGCCGGTGACAGATGCGACAAGTCGGGTTTCAATGGACAACCAGAGCATTAGGGCTAGGCACAAAAGGTCTCTTCAGAAAGCAGGAATGAAGCCAGCCACAGGCAAAGCTGAGGAAAACCTCCGAAACCAGGACTTCCCAGGGCCGACGGAGAGAGAGCCGATGGGACGATAGTTGGAGATACGGCGAAGGTGTGCCAAGACACTTTTCCCCTCAGAGCATCGACGACGATGATCTGGCGGAGGCTCGGATGCCGGTTCTTCCGGTGCCGTCACCTGATGGGCAGAATCACCCCGCGGACATGGCTTCACCGCCTGGGAATTGTTGCAAAGCAACCGCCAAACAAACTGCCAGTCCAGGAATCAAGCTCTCACGGCTTTTTCCAACGAGGGCACTGGTATTCAACGGTTTGTCGGAATCCTGCCCACAGCAGCCCAGTTTTCTCTTTGACACTTTACCCTTTCCCTTCTATAACACTCTTACCCTCCTACATACAGTATCGTGCATATTTGATTCCTGCACTTCTTCTACTCGCCCCGCTCCAAAATGGCCGATAACCTGGGAGCTGTTGCACAGCTCCTTGAAGCAAGTTTGGATCCGAGACAAAACAAGCAAGGTACGCTCATCGCATTCTGATACAGCTTAGCAGCATGGTTCAATGTACACTCTGAACTCCATTGCTAATGGTGATCTCTCAAGCCGAACTCGCTCTTCGCCAGGAAGAAAAAAAGCCTGGCTACTCTTTGCAGCTTCTACAGATCACGGCATCTGCAGCCTATCCCTACAATACCCGCCTTGCTAGTGCACTATGCTTCAAGAACTTTATCAAGTGGAACTGGACGGACGAGGACGGAAACTACAAACTCCAGGAGAATGAGGTCACAACGATCAAACAAGAACTCATCAGCCTGATGATTTCGGTCCCGGCGGGTATTCAGACTCAGCTGGGAGAAGCTGTCAGTGTGATTGCTGACAGTGATTTCTGGGAGAGATGGGACACACTTGTGGATGTGAGCTACCTTATCCCCTTTGGTACCTGTGGTGCTTTGATCACCTTGGGCGTTGGTTAACAACTTTTCAAAGGACCTTGTTTCAAGACTTCAACCCGCCAACCCTGCTGCAAACATCGGTGTCCTACAAGTCGCACATTCTATTTTCAAACGGTGGAGGCCTTTGTTCCGGTCGGACGCACTCTATATCGAAATCAACCATGTTGTTGAGAAATTCGGAGCCCCCTTCCTGAATCTGTTTGAGGTAAGTTCCCCCAGTGAACGGACCTGTTTGCTTTCATCTTTCCGTTTTACAGCATTCAAAGTGGTCATAAAGCGAATTGCAAATATGCATGATACTAATTCTCTATAGCAATTGAACAATTTCATTGAGCAGAACAAGTCCAACAAAGAAAACCTCGCCCAAGGATTTGCGCAGCTAAACTTGATGATCAAGTTGCTCTATGACCTTTCTTGTCACGATCTCCCCCCTGTTTTCGAAGATCAAATTGCCGGGATAGCTGGTCTTTTGCTCAAGTATCTCACCTACGACAACCAGTTGCTGGTGACTGATGATGATACTGAAGCCGGTCCGTTGGAATTTGCGCGCGCTGCCATTTTCCAGGTCCTGACTCTGTATGTGCAGAGATATCAAGACGATTTCAAACCCTACATTGGTGATTTCGTTCAGAGCTCTTGGAATTTCTTGACCACCATTGGCCAAGAAACCAAGTATGACATTTTGGTCAGCAGAGCTTTGCAGTTCCTCACTTCGGTTGCTGCTATGCCTGAGCATGCAATGGTCTTCCAAGACGAGAACACTCTCAAACAAATCATTGAGAAGGTCATTCTGCCTAATGTGAGCCTTCGTGAATCGGACGAGGAGCTCTTTGAAGATGAGCCGATTGAATTCATCCGTCGAGATCTGGAAGGCTCGGACAGTGACACGAGACGGCGAGCTGCCACCGACTTCCTGCGGAAACTGGCCGAGAAGTTCGAAGAGAGCGTCACCAGAGTTGTTTTGCAGTATATTGAGCATTACCTCACCGAGTACACCAAGGACGCGTCGAACTGGAAAGCCAAGGACACTGCCACCTATCTTTTCTCCGCCATTGCAGCGAAGGGAATTGCCACTGCCAGCCATGGTATCACTGCTACAAACAACTTGATCAGCATCACCGATTACTTCCAGAAACATCTTGCTGCGGATCTGGTTGGAGGGGACAGTGTGCACCCTATCCTTAACGTGGATGCTATCAAGTACCTTTACGTGTTCCGAAGCATCATCACCAAGGAACAATGGCAGGAGGTGCTTCCGCTTTTGGTCAACCAGCTTGCCTCCTCCAATTACATTGTCTACAGTTACGCAGCAATTGCCGTCGAAAGAGCGCTTTACCTCGGTGATAGCCAAGGCCAGCCGATCATCGCTCCCAGCACCATTACACCTCTGGCTAAAGACCTGCTGCAGCACATCTTCTCGTTGATCCAGAAGGACCCTGCTCCTCAGAAGATCCAGGAGAATGAATTTTTGATGCGATGTGCCATGCGGGTGCTTATAGTCATCAAGGAGGGTGTGGTACCGCACACGGACGTCGTGCTGGAGCATTTGATCAACATCACGCAGATCATCAGCAGCAACCCCAGCAACCCCAAATTCTATTACTACCACTTTGAAGCCCTGGGTGCCTTCATTCGGTAAGTAAAATCCTCTCCCCCTCCACGGCAAGATAGAACTCCGTTAACGTGATTAGATTTGCTGCACCTTCCAACCCCGATAAACTTGAGCAAGCCCTTTACCCTCCTTTCGCCGGAATTCTCCAAGGGGATGTACAAGGTAGGACCCAAATATGATCAAAGACCAAAGTCATCGAAAACTCACAATTTTTTCTTTTTTTACCTTAGAATTTATGCCCTACATCTTCCAGCTTTTCGCGGCTCTTCTGGAAGCCAACCCATCGGGGACGTTGCCCAACTATTACCAGAATTTGATCGCCCCCATCCTCATGCCCGTCATGTGGGATTCGAAGGGCAACACTCCCGCCCTTGTGCGGCTGTTGTCGTCCATCATTGGCCGTGGCTCGCAGTTCATCATTGAGAACCAGCAGATTGAACCTATCCTGGGTATCTTCCAAAAGCTTCTCTCATCCAGGGCAAACGAAAGCTACGGATTTGATCTTTTGGAATCTGTCGTCGCAAACTTCCCGCCGTGAGTCAAATACGTAACCTCGAAATCATCTGGACATCGCTAATATGTTGGTGTAGGACTGCCCTGGAGCAATACTTCGTCTCGATCATGCAGGTGATTCTTATGAAACTCGAAAACAACAAGACCGAAAGCCTCCTACTTCGATTTGTTCGCTTCTATCACTTCATCTCTGCGCAGGAGGAGAAGGGCTATAGTGCCGATTTCGTGATTCAAGTTTTCGACAAGGTCCAACCGACGTACGTACCATCAACTTCCCTTTTTTGGCCCCGTGGGCGTAACTGACATGATCAAGCTTGTTCACCCCGATCTACTTGAATGTTATCCTTCCTGAAACGCAGAAGCTCGCCCGTCCCTTGGATCGCAAAACCGCTGTCCTGTCTTTCACCAAGACGCTCGCCAACTCGGATGCCTTTGCCAACCGGTACAAGAAGGGGTGGGGCTTCACTTGCGAAGCTTTGCTGAAGCTTTTGGAGCTCCCTCCTCTCCCGGCTGGAAAGGACGACCTCATTGCCGAGCACGATGTCGAAGACATGGCATTCGGAGTTGGGTATACGGCACTTAACACCGTACGAGTTCAGACTCGGGACCCTTGGCCGGAAACGGGAGCCGATCTCAAGGCCTGGGTTGGCCAATACTTGAAAGCAGCGGACAAGAGAACCAACGGACAGATCTCTCAATTTGCCCAGGAGCGTTTACAAGACCAGCTCAAGGCATTGCTCGGCAGTTACATCGCATGAGCGAAACCCGCGTGAATGGCCTGGATATTTGGTGGTACAACGGTTGAGTCGAGAGAGCACGTTTAAAAAAGAAAGAGGGGGCGAGGAGGAAAAAAAATTACATGTCCTTATGAACCTTGCTTAGATGACATTGAAATGTCCAATTCCGTGTTATGTACAAGATAATCTATTTTACACTAAATCTTCATTCATCGCACCTTTAAGACGCCATAGGTGGATGTTCTTAAGTTCCAAGTTTTGATGCAGAGACGACGAAGATTCGGGCCTTTTTAAGAGTGATTGGAAGGCGCCTCTTCCCCATCCGACTTCGACTTGTCGTGATGGTGTTCCTTATCGGCACCTTCGCCTTCCTCCTGCGGGTCTGCCAACTCGCGGTATTTCCTGCGAGCTTTCTTTACCTTACTGGCCTTCTTCTTCCGCGCCTGCTCGGCCTTGAGAGACAGTCGGCTCTGATCCCCGCTCTGCAGCTGCTCCACCCTGTCGGCCAGAAGTTGGCGCGCAATCTTCTCATTTTGGGAGCGCGAGCGAGTCGCCTGCGACTTGACCACAATGCCAGTGGGCTTATGAATCAACTGGACGGCGGAATTTGTTTTGTTCTAGATGACGGGAGTCAGCTCGATCGCTGAAGGGAGATGAAAAGAGGGCAAGGTCGGGGACCGCTACAATTTTCTGACCGCCAGGGCCGGAACCCTTGAGGTATGACACGGTCAGATCGGCATCCTCGATCTTTAACCGAGAAGGAAGGGGTTTTGAGCCGAGAGAAAACGCGGACAGAGAGAAGGGCCTAATTGGAGTGACTGGTCTCACGCTTGCCCACAGGACCCGGGCGAGGGGGCAGGACCGCAGCATTATTGATTACGGTTCCTGCTGCCCTGCCGGCTCTACGAAGTATGACCGAGTTTCTGGCCTGAGGCAGCGCGGGTCTTTAGTCGGTCCGACTATCGTCTGGTCTCATGTGATTGGTTGAATCCCGTTGATTAGTAAGTCAATTAGAAACATCGTCCAATCCTTGCGAATGTTTCCAACTTCTCGCTGTTTTGTTTGTGGTCAATCTCGGCGTGAACCCCGTCTCCGTATGATCGGACAGTCAATGCCTTCGGAGGAGGTTATATCATCGCTGGCGAATCGGCTGATGAATCTTGCTCGGTGATAAGCAAGATCTTCGCGATGGATCCTTCGATGATACGAGAAAGGCGCCAAGCATCGGGCTGACGTACGCGTATTGAGGTTCGCCATCTCACGTCATGTTGAGGCCAAGTGACAGATCAGGCACAGCATTTGTTGGGGTTGACTGGCATTTTTTGGCGGCGTCGACCCGGCCGAGGCCCCTCGTCCTTTTTGCCGGGGAATTGAACTGAGCCCTCTATCTCAGTGGGTGGGAGAACGGCCGGATCTCTGGACCCTGACGAGGTGGAACCGTTTCTCCTTCGTACTCGCATGCGCAGCCACTTTGAAACATGGTCGAGATCTGGTGGGAGGCCCGCGCAACTTTGTCGCAACCTATCTATTCTTAGTTGACTGTCACTTGTCCTGAATAAAATTCCTCTTTTTATCTCCCCTTGCGGATTGACCTGTCTTGGCTTTCAATCTGAATCATTTATTTTCTTATCTTGTCGCTGCTGTCTCTCTGTCGATCTCCACCCGCACTTTTTTTTTTTTTTTTTTTTTTTTTTTTTGCCTCTCTTGATCACCGGAATTGAAACTTTTCCAGTTTCCATCTTTGTGATTTCATCTCTCGACTCCTTCTGATAGATGATGGAAGTTTGAAACGAGAGAATCCCCCAACCCACTCCACACTGGCCTTCTGAAATCCCGTGCGACCTGCCGCCTTTCCCCCCCTTTCGGCCGCCTCCTATTCTGCGGACTGCGGAGCAGACGTAACCTGCGCTAGAACTTGTCCGACCCCCCGAAGAAAAGATACCGATCTCACAAAGACCATCCCTCTCACCACTTTCAGGCCGTCAAATCTCCCTCTCCCTTTCTATCGCGCACTTATACCTCATTCTTGTGTGAATCATGGCGTTTCTACTCTGGGTCGCAAGCTCCTTGGTCCGTTGGATCCGATTGAAGATCTACCAGTATGAAGTGACATTCGCCGTCTACATGCTTACCCCCACGGAAAAGTTCATCTTTAGTATGTCCCCCGATCCTACAAAATTGGGATCATGGATCCTTTGATCATGTAGAGGTGCTAACCATCGTGGCAATGACAGATTCCCTTCTTCTTACCCTCCTCTCCATGATCTTGACCGGCATCGTTGTCTATCTCCCCGACCATATCCGATCCATCTACAGTCACTTGTACTACTACTGGGCCGGCGAACGTCCCTTCATCACCAGCAACCTTCCTTCCATCAGTTCGGTCTTCCGCGAAAGTGGAACACAAGCCCTGGAAGTGATGTACGAAACCGCCAAAAATGCTGCTGCGACGGGAACCGAGCCAATGGCTGAGTTGTAAAGTCCCGTGTCCTTGGGAGCAGCGACGGAGTAGCTACCGTTGTTATAACCGGGTGACCTGGCTTTTCCTCTCTTCGCGACACTATCGAGGCTTTCGTTTTCTGTTGAGGTCGTGAAATTATCGGCATACCGCTTTCGTCATCTACAATACGTCCGCGTTGCATTATCGAATAATATCTGGCCACAAGCTTCGCTGTGTCGCTGCGGTTCCTTCACGAGTGGCCTTGACAGATTCATCTTTACGGAGTTTGAGCGATACGTCTTCATTTTCGAGCAGGCCGGCGCATCTAGGAGTTTTCGATCTATCGCACTAATTTGTCCTTCTAACCCATCAGGTTCGTCCTACGTGTAGCATACATCTTTCTGTGTTTTAATTGTTACGATGGAATTCTTCAAGACATCCGTGGCATGGATATGACTCTGATTCTGGCTTTGTGTTTCTATTTTTTACCCTCTGTTTGATTTGAATTTCGGTCCTCCGTTTTCTTGGGTTGTGGACCAGGCTGCATTCCCTTGAACTGGGCTGTGCTTGTGTCACGGAAGCTGTCGGATGGCGGAAACTCACCGGTGCCCCTTTTGACAACCAGTAAAGGAGCCGAGTCGGGGCAGATTGTGTCGTTTGAACATAAGATATGTCGGTACATATTCACTAGTATGAAAATAAATATACATGTAATTTACCTAATCCTGAAGAAAACCAAATCAACCCGTCAACTCCTGCCATGCTCAGAGAAGAGTGTTGTACATAAAACAATCAAAAAGGTCGTACATATGAAGCCACCGCAAAACAGGAAGCCAATCCTGACCAACTTTTCACCGCATGTTGCACAGATGGAGTTACTCTGGACCCCGCAGAGTAACCCTCGAAAATTCCCTTTCGAATTCCTTCTCAATCTGCGTAACCGTTGTTCCCAACGAATCCTCCGCCGGCCATTCACAGACATGTGGGTAGCCAAATCCAAACCTGTGCCGTAACACACACAGAAGCCAACTTAACCCACATCTACCATTTGTTGGGGGCATTCATTCCGAGTTCTGCGCATTAGCAGCAGCCTGTGCCTCGGCCTGCGCCTGTGCTTGCCGTCTCTGGCGTTTCACCGCGTCGACCGTTCGCATGCGCGATAGCTCAGCGTCGATCTCCTCCCTCTCCAGAGGGATCTTGTGCGATTGTTCGGTGGTAGGCCAGAAGCCGGGGACGGTGAAACGTTCGTCCAGGTTCGTTCCAAAATAGTACATCCATCCGATGGGGAAGATAATATACATGCCGAACTGCGGTGTCGTCGGGTTAGTCGGGTGTTTTGCGAGGCTGGGTTGTGCTGAAGGACTTACCTTGAAGACTTCGAGGTTTCCCCCTTGGAGTCTGCGGAGGATGGAGGACATTGTGTGTGGTTGGTGGTGGTGGCTACGGAGTAGGTAGGTAGGTAGATATGGAGGCGAAAGGTGGGATGATGTGCGCGGGATTTCTGCGATCGGGACCCGATATTCCGTAGACGACGCCTCTTATTGCGTTGAGGGAGAGCAAGCCCGGTATGGCAATGGAGATGAAAGGACCGGCAGGTAATTTATAGACCGAGTCTGTCGATGAGACTGTTTGTAGACCGACGCTTAATTCTAGAATCCCGAAGGGCAGCAAATTGATTAATCACGGAGCTTCTGACAGGCCGGCGACCTGCAAACCGCACAAACAGCGCCACGTGCCGCTCACCTGACTGCAGTCCCGTGACCTGCAGCGGGCCTCGGCTTGTTCGGACCGTCGGCCTCCCCGCAATTCGCAGCAGTTCGCTCCAGCTGCCGGATTACTATTTCTCTCCCTTTCGAAGCCTATTTATGTACGAGAGATTGCGGGTCAATCTCTTTCGCCCTCTTTTCCATTCCAATTGAGATCGCATTGCGAACGACTCATCAGTATCCACTCTAATCTGCTAAAGTTGCGGGCTAATCATCTCCAATTATCCAACCCGGCACTTTTCATACTTCGTGCGGAGTAACATTTCCACTCTTAATCTACAACCATGGCCAGCGAGGATCTCATCACCGTCACTTACCAGGACCGAGTGGCCATCATCACCCTCAACCGTCCTGATAAGCTCAATGCCCTCAACATAGATCTCTACTACCTTCTCGGAGAACGGCTCCGGGAAGTCGACAAGAGGGACGACATCTTCATCACCGTGCTGACCGGCACGGGGCGATTCTTCTCAGCGTAAGAACCCACCCAATCCCGCTGACTCAATCCCATCATGCAAACCATACCCCCCTATCTAACAAATCCCACCCATCCAGCGGCGCAGACGTAACCTCGACCCGCCCCGGCGGCAGCCTGGACAGCAACGCGCGGCGCGAGATCGTGCGCGGGTTCGTCTCCAACAACTTCGACATCACACGGACGTTCGCGCACCACTCCAAGATCCTGGTCGCGGCGCTCAACGGGCCGGCAGTAGGCCTGTCCGCCGCGCTCGTCGCCCTCTCCGACTTCGTGTACGCCGCGCCGCACACCTTCCTCCTGACGCCGTTCTCGTCGCTCGGGCTCGTCGCGGAGGGCGGCAGCTCGCGGGCGTTCGTGGAGCGGCTCGGCATCGCCAAGGCCAACGAGGCCCTGATCATGAGCAAGCGCATCACCTGCGACGAGCTGGTGGCGACCGGGTTCGTGAACAAGGTGATTGCGGCGCCCTCGGGCCGGCAGGAGGATTCGACGGGGTTCCTGGCGAAGGTGCTGGAGGAGGTGGAGGATCGGTTGGGTACGCATCTGAGCCAGTCGAGTTTGCTGAAGATCAAGGAGTTGATTCGGCGGCCGGAGCGGGAGGTTCTGGATCGCCAGAATGGGATCGAGGTGTTTGCTGGGTTGGAGCGGTTCTTGAGTGGTGGGCCGCAGGAGGAGTTTAGGCGGTTGGCTTCGGGGGAGAAGAAACATAAGTTGTAATTTTTTTAACGAAAATTATTTTTCTGTATAACTGGGTTGGAACACTGATTAGTTCCTTCCACGGAGGCCGAATTGTAAGAGCATTGATGACACTTATAATGCTTTTTGTCGTCTCCTACGGCAAGTTTAAGTGTGAATGAATGCAAGGAAATAACTTTTTCAATTCCTTCTCTGAACCTCGATAAACGCCCTTCATGCAAACGCTCTATTTTTAACCCTTGAACGTACTCCGAAACCCATGAAACGTAGCAATCTGTCCATTATCGTCCACCCTCACTATCTGAGTCGGACTCCTGTGTCTGCTTGGCCAGAATGTCCTGCCACTTCCCCAGGAACTCACTCATACCGCCCGGGCCAGTCATTGAAGCTTCAACCACCTCCTTGGGCAGCTTACTGGCGGAGTACTGGGGTGTCGTAAAAGCGTAGGCCTCCGGGTCATCCCGTTTTACAAGTCGAAACTCAGGAAGGAATGGGTTGTCGTCGTCGAATTCGTCTTCAAGATCCTCTTCCGATTCTGACTCGGAGTCGGATTCCCCGGCCGCTCCAGTATCCAAGATGGTAGGGTTGTTTCCATTCAGAGACAGACGAACGAATTGCTCTTCGGCACCGTCCTCTTCCTGGATGCCGATGGGATCTTTCATCTGTAAGATTTCCAACCAGCCGAACAGTAGCGGATCGGTTCTTTCAGCCCATGGGTTGATGTCCACAAGCCAGGCGCGCTGGTGGGGAGGCGGGAGGTATACGTCGAAGACAAAGTTAGGGTCGGGGAAAGTATCCTTCAGTTTCTCGTCGAAAAACGCCTGGATCCGAGATCGGAGGGAGTCACGCATGGGAAAGAGGAAGTCGAAGTGGTTTTGATCACGCTGGCAAATACAAAGGAGCACGCGATTGCGCACGAAGCATCGGAACTCGAGCGACGGGTTGAAGTTGACATATTTGCGAAGGACGAGATGATAGGGGACTTCGGGAGGGCTGGCGTCGGACGATGAAGAGTCTGTGGAGTCGGCGACACAACCGTCGAAAGGGTACTCCAAGTCGTGCGTGACAAAATCGCTGCTTTTGAGGAGAAGATACACGTCGTTCGGTGTGCGACACTGCAGATCATTCGTTGCTGACATCCACGAGGCGTCCTTCGGTGCGCTCCAATTCAATTTGGGGGTCACAATGCCTCCGAACTCCGAGATGGTAGACTTGACTTGCGCGTGGATCTCCTTCCATTCTGTTGACGGGTCTGGCTCTTCCTCTGCGGAGTCGTCGGAATAAGCGTCGAGTTTGTCATCGTCCGTCGGTTGGATATCTTCTGGTGGCAACACGATGCCGTCGGCACGGAGGTAGGAAACAAACGAGGTAGTCAAAGGTAAGGCGCGAGACTTGGGGGTGAATGTGCGATAGCTATCAAGACATCACTCGGTTAGCAATACACTCACGGCGCAGGATTACGAATAAACATACCGAGGTTGCCAGCTATGAAAAGAGCAGTTTAGGATATGCGAGTGAGTGACCGGAGGGAAAGGCAGGCTCGTCAGCTGCTCCTGCTCCGTCGCGGAGTCTGACGGAGGCTGTGAATCCGACTCGGGGTGAGGCATGATGGCGACTGATGGAGAGAAGTGGATGAGGGGCAAGAGAGAGAAAGTCCGCGGGGGTCTTTTTTTTCTGCGGCGATGAGTCAAGACCCGATAAGGAATGGTCGATACCGCCATGACGAGGCGGTACCGTTACAACCACGTGCTGCCTCAGGCACCGGCTGCGGTCCGTCAGTGATCGACCGGCATTCCGCATCGTTGGCCTCTTTCCTCCGCATCCTGCCTCCCTGTCACCATGGCATCCGACGGCCCTGACCCGCAAGCCCTCAAGACATGGCAGGATGCCTTCCAATATCCAATTCCGACCGTGCGCCGCGTGGAGCAGGAGCTCCGGCGCGACATCGCGAGTAACAAGGAGAAGCTCCGCGCTCTAGTTGGGTATGCCCGGTCAGCCTCATGTCTGTAGCTCATCGCTGACGCTCAATGCGCCTTTAGGACGAGGTATCGAGAATTGGTTGGGACCGCAGAAACGATTGTTTCCATGAACCGCGAGATACAAAATGTGGATGCGACATTGGCCGACATTGGACAGCGATGCAACCCCCGATTGATGGAGAAGAAGTTTACACATTTCCATCAGATCAAAGGTGATGTCAGAGATAAAGGTATGGGAATATTGGGTCATTGTTATCCTTCCATTCAAAAGCTGATGGGCTCTCCAGATTCAGCAAAGCGCTCGTTAAGCGCTCAACTTGCTCTGCTTCAACGCTGTGCGGCCTCCATCTCGCAACTCCTAAGGCGCCGTGGTTCCCTATCGTTAATGGCCAAGCTTACGGTTGTTTCTCGGCTTCTACACAACACGATTTCCCAGCAAAAATCGGTCCCTCCGTTCTTAGAGAACCTGCGCAACCAGATAGCCTCACTCCAGCACACACTTATACGGAGGATAGATAAGCGCCTTGCTTCGGCCACATCAACGGCTGATGAGATTATTGAGGCTTTAGTGGCTTACTGCCTGGCTACCAAGTCTTCTTCAGACGATGCTATACGCCGTTTCCATCAAGTCCGCTTGGACCATATTGGGAGTCAGCTGGAATCTCAAGATGCATCGGGAGAGCACGTTTTGAACGCGCTACGGTTATATGTGCGAACGCTTCAATCAACTAGGGTCCTACTCTCCCGCCGTTTATCCGATGCTTTGGGGAAATTGAAAGCACGGCCCATCCTGGCCGATCCGGATATTCGGGGGCTCGATGATCTAGGTCTCGATGTCTTGGGCCGCTGGGTGGCCGCGGATGTCAGCAATTTTACTCCTTGGATCAAGTTGAGTGAATGCTCTAAGAGTGACGCCGAAAAGCTTATTAAGCAATGGTCCAAGCAAGCATTTGGCAGGTTTGTCGACGGATGCCAGAAAGCCCTGACGAACTGGCTGGGCTTCTCGAGCCTACTTTCACTTCGTGAAAAGACGGTGGAGCTATGGCTGTCCTCCTGGGGTTCAACTCCTACACACTCATCCTTACAGGTTTTGGAGGGTCTTCGGACCGTTTTCAACGAGCGACTCAGGCAAATTCTGTCCGATCAAGCTAAATCTCTGAACACCTTGGGTCATACTGTTGCGTCTGTGCTGTCGAGCTGGGACAATCGAGAGCACATGGTGTCTCACTCACTCTGGGACCATGAACTGATGTCTCTGGACTATTCAAATGGTGCTTCTGCTTTTAAACAAACGATTGCGGATAGGCTTCTTGGCCGGGATGAGGATATATCCGATGTTCTCAAGATATACCAGGACTGGCTCTCGCTGATCGAGGGTTCCAGACAGTCTGTCGATGAATTGCGACGAGTGCGCTGGACAGACATTTTGGACGAAAGCGAGGACGGAGATGTTGATATCGATGCTACCGCCACTCTGAATGAAGATGATCCTCAATTACTACGGGAAGCGCTTGAGTCCGCTGTCAGAACAGCCTTTGATGATCTCGACTCTTCCTTCAATGGTATATTTAAGGAATTCGGAGCCTCACCCCAGAGCGGCAAAGCTGCATTTATGTTAAAGCTTATCAGACTGGTGCGGCGCGATCTCCCAACGGATTTCCATGACAGCAAGTTTGTCCTCTCGAAGGACATTGTCCCACAGTTGCAGGCGTTGCTTGCCAACGAAGTGCTGAAGCAAACGCAGCCATTACGGCTGATAGCGGGCTCGGTGGCCAAAGCTCCAAGAGTGCCAGGTCGGACGCTTTGGGAGGGCGATCCAGAATCCCCTGTCCAGCCATCTCCATCTACATTCAAGTTTTTGCGCCGACTCGTCGAGTCCATGGATGGACAAGGCCCAGGTATCTGGGATATCTCCACCATCAATGTGCTCAAAGGTAGTACGCAGACAGAACTGTCCAAAACCATCACCTCTGCTCTCGAGGCCCTGAGTCCTTCGTCAAGTGCCACCGACGGAGATGCTGTGAAAGACTCATCGGAAAGCACAGACGCGGACAAGGATGAGGACAATGAAACATCCGAGAAAACTGGCCAAGAAAAGCCGGAATCTGAGAAAACTAGCGAAACTGAGGTTCAAAACCTGAATGACTGGAAGCTCCAGCTATACTTTGACGCCGCCTATTTGAAGAATGCGTTGGCGTCCAAGGACCAGGAAAGTGAGGAATTCAAGGCTTCTATTGCCAAGCTCAGTAATGAGGTTGCATCTAGCCCGAAATCTGTCAAGTTTATGGACCATGCTGCTTCCGAATATTGGAAACGCACCCAATTGTTGCTGGGGCTTTTGGCAGTGGGCGCCGAGAAATAGCTTGTCAGGCCTGGGTCTGGAAGGTTCAGGGTGGTCTCTACTGTGATAGCACTATAGAGCTGTACATTATTTGGAGGATTGTATATAGAACACAAAAGAGCTACGTTGCGCATTTGCCATCAGTATATGTTGATTCCTCAGGCCGCCGTGGGAATTCCGCGGGGGATCCTCACCGCCCACGTCACGTTTCCGGCCGCCGTGACGACTTCGCCGCGGGAAATTCAAACCTGGACAACTCCATGCTTCCTGCTGGCCTTTTGCTTGACTGACACTCTTTCCGCCCTGTTCGTCATGGCTGCCCCGAGGCTCCCATTCCTTTATCCGCACTTGATGCGCTCAGTGCGCTCCTGCGAACCGACAACCTACCGCTCCATCCGAATCCCGTCTAGCCACCCCTCGTCGCAGAAAGCCCCCTTCCACTCCAGTCGGCGGAGAGCACAAGAAACGTCATATAATCGACGATATGGCCCTGCTGCTGAAGCAAACCTGCCGCCCCCTACGCGGCCCAAAGACGAAGCTCGTCACCCTCCGACTCCGCCGGTGCCCAAAGACAAAAGCAACACGTCACCGCATACCCCTTCTCCGCCTGAGAAAGTGCTCTCTGAAGATGCCAAAAGCGACGCTATGGACACTTCCTCTCGATCCAAGAGCTCGAGCTCCGCAGAATCAAACGACAAAAAGACTCCAGAAGAGCTAGATCCCCGAGAAGAGTCCGAGTCCGATGACCGCGATGCCTCCGCATCTCCGAACCTCGGCGAGAATCCCCAGCAAGAGCGACAGTCGAAACCCTCCCAATCCGTTCCTTTCGAAGGGAACCCCCTTGACGGCGTCCTGCACATGCCTTCACCCTCGTCGTATCTGACGCCATCCGGATTGCCCTCGTCGGGCGAACAACATCCACACCTGACCCCTGCGCCTTATGTCCACCACTTCGACACCTACTCCCTCGTCCGCGATCTCTCCACAGGAGACTTCAGCAATGACCAGTCCGTAACCATCATGAAGGCAGTGCGGCGTATCCTGCAGAACAACCTCGACTTCGCGAGGACCAACCTGACGTCCAAGTCCGATGTAGAGAACGAATCCTACCTGTTCCAGGCGGCCTGCTCCGAACTCCAATCGTCTCTTGAAACGGCTCGAAACTCGGAAATGCAGCGGCAGCGTGCTTCCCGAACACAGTTGCAGCATGAGTCGGATATCTTATCGCAGCGCTTGAACCAGGAGCTTGCGGGGTTGAAGGATGACATCAAGGGCATGTTCAACGATCACAAGATGACCACCCGAGAACAACAACGCAGTATCGACACCTCCGTCCAGGAACTCAATTACAAAATCACGGTCTCGTTGAATAGTGACGGTAAGAGCGAAATCGAGGGACTTCGGTGGATCCTTACCCGTCGGGCTGCATTGGCCGTTGCCACAAGTGCTTGTAAGCTTTTCCTCCCCTCCCCCTTTTTTACCCTGGCAGGGGACTAACATCCTGCAGTTATGATCATCCTCTTTCTTAAGTACTACTCTGTCCAGAAAACACACGACGGTGTGGAAAAGAAAAAAGAAGTGCCAGTCAAGAAGAAAACGGTCGAGAAAGTCATCGTCCAAGACCCGGCAGTTGAAGCCGTGCATCCAGTTCCAGAGCCTCATCTTGGCGAGTCTCTAGGCTGAGAGATCATCCGCGCATAAAATCTTCATTCTCTCATTATAGCAACCCCTATTGTTAAATTTGTATATCAGTTTCCTTTCTCTCTGTCATTATTATACTACACATGTCTCCGGTGGCGTTCGATCATAGACTTTCGACCTGCTTCATATACACACGCAGGCCGTCACTGGCTGCGGATGGTTTTTCATATCTTTTTTCCTATTTCTCCTTTCCTTCTCTCTTTCATCTTTCCTTTCCTCCCTGAGCTCCATAAATCTCATCCCGAGCTTGGCATCTCAACTAGCTTTTGCGATACCCTCAAGACACATACTACCTACCTACTCTGGTCCCGTGCTGAATAAGAAAAGAAAAAATAGATAGACTCGACGAAAAAAAGTTATCATATCATAAAATTCTAATTTCATACTAATATTTGTTTGTCTATCATATGTAATCATATATGCAAAGGCAAGGTTGCCAATGTCAAATCAAAAAAACGTCAGGTATACTCGCCATCATATCGTCCACGGCGTTTATAGTCTCAACCATTTGAAAGCGTCTTCGTCGTCAAGATATCCCCCCTCTGCGCTGAAGCCAAAAGGGGTGAACCGCACAGGAAAGAAAGAAAATACAGGAGAAGAAGGAAGAAAAAGAAAAAGGACCAAACAGGGGGCATGAAACAAACAGAAGAGGTTGGGCAAGCTGGGTTGGGTTAGTTAAAAGTCAAACCTCAATGCAATACTTGGCATGGCTTGCTGTCCACCGGCCTGTGCCCCGTCCCTTGCGCTCTTGTTAGCACCGGTATCAGCCTCTGCGCTGCGAAGGATATCCTCGAGGAGAGACTTCTGCTCCGGTTGCATGGTACCCACGAGCGCGCGGAATACAAGCTGGTTTGTCTTTGCGAGTTCCAGGAGCAGCGCCGCTGATTCTTTGTAGATGGGTTGGCCTTCACGTCTTGCGCGAGCAAGAAAGGTGGACATCATGAGGGACAGGGCAGTTGGGACATCGGCTGCGGTGCCGACGTAGGAGACGAGGGTGCGCGCGATAACGGCGCGTGAGTTCTCCGGGTCACTGGGGATTTCGCCAGACGACGTTGGGCAACCGACGAGGAAGCTGATGAGTTTAGGGAAGAGATATCGGGCGACAAGGTCGTCAGTTGGTGATCTCGGGGTGGGAGTGAGGAGGATAGAACGAAGGCAACCGGCAGCGACGTTGGCGAGACCGACATCTTGGAGGCAGTCAAGGAATTCGTCAAGGACTTGAATAATGACCGGGTCCTGAGGGGGGATCATGTGGCTTCCGGTCGTTAGGAGGATCGTGATCGCCAGGAGGGTATTCTTTGCGCAGGGCATTGAGGACTCGGATTCGCGGCGCTGGGCGATAGTCAGGGTTGTAAGGAATCGTGTGAGACACCCGCGCATTTGACGCGATATGACGCTGAGATTGTCGGAGTTTCTATTGCTGCTGCTGATGCCGGCAATGAAATGCTTGAAGATCGGAAGGGCTTGAGGCACGACCTCAGCCTGACAAAGCCCCGTCGCAAGAATCGTGCTGAAGATGTGCAAGATACATGCGTTGAGATCATTGCGGATGATCGAGGGGAATATGGATGCCACATTAACCAGCGATGACAAGGAGAGGCGGATGAGAGACAACGAGTCATCCGATCCCACGTTGAATCGTGCAAGGGGCGAGGTTTCGCGGAGGTTAGGCAAGAGCCCGGCCAGAACGAGAATGATACTTCTTGTCAGCTCAAAAAGCTGCTCGATGTCATCAGAGAGATGATCGGTTCGATTTTCGCTGCCCTTCGCAGAGGGATGGTCGAGAGATAGGTTTCGTGCGATCTCAACAATCACATTTTGAATGGGGAATCCTTCAGTCAGCACGAGGCGGTCGAGCGAATCCATGGTCTCCGTGAATATGGCATCTTGGTAAATTGCGTTTCCGGAAATTATTGGCCGCAGTATTCTCTTGAGAGCCTGAAGAATCTCCAACCTCTGAGGTGGTGTTGTAGATTGATCAACAAGAGCTTCAAAGGCTAGACCGAAAAGGACGAAGAAGAATGCGACTGGTTCATCCCGATAATTGATGTCATGACCTTTTCCTCCGGTCTCTTCTTTAGGTGTGGGCTGCCCATCCTCTTCTTTTTCTTCGGGCTCAACGGGCTGAGATTTCCCATCCAGCGCATCAAAGACAAAGTCAATGTCTTTTTCTACCAGACCGGCAATGGCGTCAACGAGGCTCAGCCAGGTATCTTGGTAGAACTAATGAGAGGTTAGCTTCGGAGAGTGTAGTTTTGGCTGCATGGTAAGAAGCCTACCTTCAAAAGAGTCTCCCGATTCAACGCAGCGTAGACCTCATCCAGATTGTTGCTCAAGGGACCAGTACCCAAACTACCAGAGATGTCTGGTTCAAAACGCAGCCGGGCGTATTCTTGGAGGGAAGAAAGCCACAATGGGGTGAGTTTCAAGAGGTACGGCTGGACGACTTCATTGAGATATTCTTGGTCAATACTGGCGATTTGCAGCCGGGCCCAGGCGGAGAACAGGGCCATCTTAACCATAACTCTTGCGTTTGAGTTCAGGCCCTTCAAGTCTCCTATCTCGGTGGTATCCGGATTTTCTGGGGAGCATTAGCAACATGTCAAACAGGAATTATAGAGCAACACCTACTTGAGAAGTTCTCAAGACCAAGCACCAAAAGTTTGAGAATTCGACCCATCCGATCCACGTTGGTTACTATCCCAGTGGCAATGAAAGTTGCGGAAACGTTGATTGCCTCCGATGCAAGCTCCGGCGAAGAGTCCACGGCAAAAGCGGGCGTGAGCGCTGAGCCGATTTGAGCCTGGTATTGCTCGAGGAGCGATGCTTCGGCAAAATCTGGGTCGGGAGTTTTACCAAACATCTAGAATCAAGGGTTAGTGGCAGGAGTAAAGGTATATAATAAACGGTGGAGACTCACTCTGAGAACTTGATCAAGGATCTTCAGACCCCAGACGCGCAGTTCTATCACGTTCGCTGTGGATGCCGAGAAAGCCATGCGAACAATGTCTCCAACCTTTTGCTGCAACGCGAGCTCGGCGGGAATTGTCTGGTCTGGAAGGATTGCGGCATTGACCGTGTCCAAGAGTTCACTGAGGCAGCCCATAACGAAGTTGCGAGTCTGCCACTTCAGCAATTCCTGACCAGCGACGGCGTCATTTGCATTATCGGCCTGTCCTGCCCCGGCGATAGCAGAAGCAAAACCTGCGACCTCATCATCAGGCATATCGTTAACGGCGGTCTTGATAGTAGACGTCGCTGGTATATCCTCTAGTTTGAGACGAGTCTTCGTCAACGTGTTGTGGCAGCGTTGGACCCAGAGTTCAGTTTCTACCAGAGCAGTCTGTTGCAACCAATCTTGGATCATGCTTCGTAGGATTGGATTATCGGGCGTATCATCGAATGTAAGCCAGATTTCCTCTTCGAGGGTAGGCGAAGCCGTTTGAATCACTGATGCTGCATCACGCTTCATGAGATTGCTCAGTGCTCGAATAGCCACGTCCCGCATCAGGGGGTTATTAGAGGACAGTTCGCTCTGCAGCCGGTGGACGTAGCCGGAAAAGTCTACATATCCCGGCGCATATAATGACAGGTGGTCTAGACATTTAGAGCTCTCAGTCACCAGAGCCGGATTTTCCTCCAGTTGGAATTGGCGAAGTAGAGTAAGAATGAGATTGCGTGTCTTCGCAATGTCCTGGAGATCAGGTCCCAAAACATTGATCATGGAATCAACACAACGGCTGATCAGAACAGGCGTGAGGAATGACATCTCAATATTAGAGGTTGCCAATGTTGCCGACTCCTCGTTGTGGGTGTCTGCATTGTAGAGCTGGGCAAGCATGCCGAGTGAGCTCGAGACGAAGGGTGAGAATGTCAATCCAGCGGAATTAGCAACCCTCTCCAAGCCTCCGAGAGCCCAGAAGTGGACCACTGGGTGCGGATCATTGCAGAGCGACATCAAGACGCCGACGATAGTTTTCAGATGCAACCCGGCTGCCATACCACCAACCTGGGAATGAATGCAACCCAACGCAGCGGCGCAGCCGGCACGGGTGTTGGGCTCCCGGTTTTCAACGATTGTGTCGACAAGCCAGTTAATCTGAGTACTCGTGAATGTATTTCCGGAGCTATCGCAGAGTCTTCCGAAGGCCTCGACACCGATTGTTCGAACAATTGAGTCGGGGTCAGTGACGAATTTCTATTGAGAAGGGCAAAAGTCAGCGTTTTTCTTGTTGGGACTTCTAGGATCACGTACTTGTAACAACTCTTGCAATACTTTGTCAGTCGCAGGGTTGAGCTTTCCAGCGGTGGTTCCAGTATCTCTAGCAGCAGCCTTTAGAGCATGAAGCAACGCCACGGCGATGTTTACCACCATAGCGGCTTTGCGACCAGGGTTGCGCTGCAGACTTGGGGATGAGAGGAAAGTGGCAATTTGCTCTATGCTGCTTTCCTGCACTCTAGGGGCATGAAGGGGTATAGCCACGGCGAAAAGCTCGACAGCTGCGTTGACAACACCAGTAGAATGTGGGTCAGCAAAGTCGCTTCCATTTTCACTGGGCGAATATAGCAAGATAGAGTCGTGTTCACTCGCTTGGCAAATGGGGAAGGTCAGAGCATCGTCGATTGCTTGGTCTGCAGAGTCAACGGCAGACCAAGCAGGGCCATTGTCATTCTCATCTTTGCCAGTGAGGCTCACACGGACATATTCCCTAGCCAAACCGGACACACCGAAGCCAAAATTGTCGCACAGATCCCACAAAGAGTCGAACTGTGCGGTGGATGCCGCAATAGAGTTCTCCAGATGGCCGGTTTGAGTAGCGTCCGGGTCCGCAAACGAAGAAATTGCAAGGCTCAAAAGACTGGTTTGAGAAATGACGTCCGCATGGCTAATCGGATGGACATGGAGAAGCTTGGAAAAACACTCAAGCACGCGCCGTCGAACCATTGTCGCAATGTCATGAAGCTGTAATGATGGGTGCAAACGTTGAGAGATGTCATTTACAGACTTCTGACGAGGCATGTCATCGAGAAAGGTGACGGTGTTTTGTAGCATCGCAGCTATTCTCCGCGCGCCGTCCGCCGTTATCAATTTGCTATTGAACTCCATAAACACTAGCAGTGACCCCAAGGCACATTCTCTAACGTGTGCAAGGAAGCTCATTTCCAGGTTCCCACGCTGAGCAAAGTTCTCCTTGCCGAGATGTTTGGGGAGGGCGTTCTTCCAGAGCAGCATCAACTGTGACAAGTGAATTTTCACAAAACTCGGACCAAGCGGCATCAGTCCTCCGATCAAGATCCATGCCACCTGAATCTGCGTACTTGCGGCGCGTAGTTCGGAATTGCTGCTCGTTTTTAGGAGGTCGGTGGCCTGAGTAAACACACGGGAGAACACGTCCACGGATCCATACAGAGGTTGCAGGCGAGACGTGCTGAGCATTGCCGATAGTCCATTCGCATAGCCAACACAGCGGCGAGGGGCCTGGCGAGGGGTGGAGAGCTGGCCAACCTCCCTGTTCAGGCTGTTCAGGCAGATCGTAACGCAGGACAAAAGTTGGTGTGGGCAGGCAAGAACGAAGCTGCGCAGGCAATGCGCGGCATGGATCTGAACGGTATAACTAGGGTGCGGGAGAACCTGAAGCAATGCTTCACGGCATGGCTCGGCCAAGTTTCCAAAGGCAGAGCCGAGAGAAGTAATCAAAGAGGATAAAGCGCTGAGAGCGCTTGTCAAGGTGTACTTGGTGGGTTCACGACGCTCCTGAATGACTTGAGGATAGTCCTTGATGATCTCATTGATCAACCACCTGGCAGCATTCAATTGACTGTTTTCGCGCAGCGATTCGCGGCCAACCGTGTCTTCCAAGATACTCTTGACAAACTTCCTCGTCATGAGCAGTCGGAACCTATTGTAAGTGACTGTGGGGTGATTGAGAAGCTCGAAACAAAAATGGCTTGCGATCTCGCCATAACGCTCTTCGATAAGCTTCTCGCCGAGAATGCGCAAGACATGTTTGTAGCACACCGCAATAGCCGCCCGCGAACGATTGGACGTTGTACTCCGCAGGTACTGGCCTGACAGCTGGCGAAGGAGGTCAGGTAGTAAGAAGAACAAGCGGGCCTCGGACTTCTTCGGAGCTGAGGCTTCAGAAACCTCAGCCTCGTCCTCGTCCTCGCCGGGCTTCGGCGTAGGCTTCTTGGACATCCGCTTAGATTTCTTTGGTTTCGGCGCCGCCAAAATTCGCGAGTCGGTAGCGTGTAGCTTAGCTAACGCTCGAGCAAGACAAGCAGCAGCAGCATGTCTGACCGGGGCCACAGGACTATCAAAGACCTTCCAAACCACCGCTTTCAGGTTCTCAAAATCATTCGCGTTATCGAAGAACGGCGTCGTGTTGACAAGTTGCTCAAGGCACCGACAAGCGTGCACCTGAACAAAAGTGGACTTGTCTCCAGTCGCGGCATTCCGAGCCTGCTTCCAAATATCTCGTGCAGTTCCCTCATCCACCGGGACGCCGGCTCCGATCACCACCTTGCGCAGGACCGCAAAGACCGTACCCCGAAGACCCGTATGATTGCTGGAATGTTTCAACAACTTGAGCAAGCTGGAAATGACAATTCCAGACTGCGCGAAGACACTTTCACCCGCGACGGCGAAGACCTCCCCCAAACAGTGGACGGCGGCGAACTTGGTCTTCAATTCCGCCTCACTTTTCCCGGCATTCAAGGCCGCCAGCAGCTCCGTCACCGTTTCAAACAGTATCCCGCGATCGCCTTTGCTGAATATGGCTCCGAAACATCGGCCGAGATTGTTGCGAATAACGCGCGTGATCGTGGGCGAGGAGAGCGTCAAGATCTTGAATAGCTCCTTCTTGAGGAACTTCTGCTGGGCCGAGACCTGCGTCCTGTCCAAGGCGGAGATGTGCTGGACAAGCTCCGACGTGAACGTCAGCAGATAGAGGTCCTGTTGTTCCGAAGGGAGGGCATGGAGCTTGGTGATATCCAGTTCCGCACGGGGAGGCGCATTGTCGGAGGCCGTAGTAGATGCAGCTGGGTCGGACGAAGACATTGGATGCGAGGATTCCGGCTAGGGGTCACCCATACGGTTCCCCAGAGAAATTTCCAAACAAGAGCGAGATAGAAAGACGCCTGAGGAGTACAGAACAAGAAGATTAGACCGGAATGACGCCGTAGACGGGCCCCTTAGGGAAGAAGAAGGAATGGGGAGGAGCAGTTGGCCTCAACTCCGGGGGGGCGGCAACGCGGAGAAACCCTCGGGCCGGCTCCGCATCTGCGGTTCTAGACTGCGCCGACACCGACCTGCATCTCGTAGATTAATGCAATGGCGTCCATTATGACCTGGAGTCTGCGGCTCTGGCGTCCTCTCCCTCTCCGGGGACCATGTCTGCCCCGTCGTAGTCTGGCAACGACTGTCCCGCGCCTGGCAGGACACAGTAAATGGTCCACCATCAAACATGACAAGGCAAAGAATGACAAGGCCAAGGGCAACGAGCGCGGAATCGTCAGCAAGGAAATCAGCAGTGCGGTGCAGAGTATGCCTCTCAGCGATCCTTCTTTCCCGCTGCTTCTACCAGCTAACTTTCTCGTTTCTAGTGCGGGGACCGGACCCGAAAGACAATCCTCGTCTGGTCCAAGCCCTTGCGAATGCGAAGCGGATTGGACTCCCAAAGAACATCATCGAAGGGGCCATTGCTAGGGGTCAGGGCATCAGTCTTCATGGCAAGGCTCTCGAATCAATGACGGTGGAAGCCATGTTGCCACACTCAGTTGCGGCGGTGATCGAATGCCAAACCGATCTGAAAGCCCGGACCTTGCAGGAAGTTCGCTCTGCCGTTAAGTCCGGCGGCGGAGTTGCCACGCCTACAATGTATCTATTCGAGAAGAAGGGCCGAGTAGTTTTCGAGAAAAGGGACGGTCTCGACCCCGATGAATACATGGAACAGGCTCTCGAGGCGGGGGCCACAGACATCGGAGCGGATGACGACGGTCGACTCTATGTGCTCACCGAGCCGGCGGACACCAAAAATGTGGGTGAATCTCTCTCCAAGGTGACCGGTCTAGCAGTCGAGGGACTGGAAATTATCTGGGATCCGAATCCGGATACCATGGTGGAACTGAAGACAGATGAGCAAGTCAAAGAGATCGATGACCTACTAAGTGCCATCCGAGAGGAACCCACCGTCCAGGACATTTACCTGAACACGATCCAGCGATTTTGATATGGAGCATGACTTTTGTATATAGACTGCTCCAAGCATACCCCGGCGTTTAGATCGAGATCCATTGCTGTATGATAAGTCACTAACAATGTAGTATTTTTTTATGGCTGACGAATCTGGTGTTGAGGCAATGGCACGGAGAGAAGTATAGAAATGAGCGTATCTCAATTGTTCATCAGGTTTTGCTAAAAATCTATGGCACGTAAACCAGCCAGCATCTAGGCCCAGGCATCAATCCTTTCGCAGTGCCTTCATTGTGCTGCGCATCAAGTTCCCGATCCCAGCACTTCCCGTTGTATCTAGCCAATCGAGCATCTTTATTCTGTATTCCTGCCAAGATATCTTAATACCGCCGTCCTTCTCTAAAGCGCTCAGTGCCTTCTGAGTCACGGGCCTGTTCAGCCGTGGCTGGTCTTCGCTGACGCTGTTCTCCTCTATATCGGAAAAGCATGCGGCGGACATGTTGCACAAGGCAACATGGTGACCAAGTGAAGATGCCGAACCCACATTGTAAACGAATGCAGTCTCAGGGTTGCGTTCTTTGGACGCATCATTCACCTCTCGAATATACTTTGCCAGCGCATTGGTGGTGGGGGCCGGCATCAAGCACCCCAGCGCATTCGGATCATCCAAGTTGAACCCTCGATTTCGCCAAACCAGGTTGCAAATGTCCATGATATAACCGTTGAATTGACCCACGAGCTGTGTAGGATACAAGGAATCAGTAGACGACGGGGTTTGAAGTGCCTTAGAAGTCAGCGAGGCTTCAAAGGATGATTTGTAGTTGGCAAGGACCGAGCTGAAGATGGAAATCACGGAGCTTATTGGTGTTAAAACGAGGGAGTAGACCGTAGGAGCCAATGGAATCGTGAGGCGGATGCTGCCGTTCAGAGCCGCATGGGAAAAGAGTTCGCCTAGGACGCAATAAAGCTCGAGAACCGACAATGTAATTGGTTTTGAACTCTCCTCTCCGGTACTCTTGGGCTGCGGCAGTGTTGGTGGGCATTCAAGCACTGACAATGCCAAAAGCTCTGCATGTGAGATAAGACGAGTAAGGGGCTTCGATTCCTCCAAGGAAAACGGCCGCGCTCTCAGGTCGACTCCCCATTGACGTATTAGAGAGGTGTAAAAACCAAGCAAATGGCTCTGTGATGGGGGCATATTGTGTAGCACCGCCGCCTCCAACCGTGTCAAGAACTCGGTTCGTATAGAATCATACTCGCCCACGGGAAGATATTCAAGGAGAGCGAAAACTTGTTCTCTGTGGTCTCTGCCTTTCCAGAAACCCAGATAGGTCTTCAAGAACGAAGTGATCGTCGGGGACATCTCCTACGTCGCTGCTTAGTGGCCAAGCCGGAATTTTTCGTGGGTGGAAAGTCATACCTTTGTGTATCGAACATAATCGACCAAGAGACTCAGTACGTATCCTAAGGACTCGTTCTCGTCGTCGTCGTCCTCGTCATCCTGGGCACTCTCCATTTTGTCGACAAGAAAGGCATTGAGCCAATCATCCAACCGACGAATTGCGGCTTCTGGCTGGGCCAAAAAAATGTATTTTTGGGCCATGCTATCTCCAAGAGTAGAGATAATTTGGTTAGGTAGCTCGATCTTGTCCAACTTCTCGACAAAGTGGCCGACATCCCGCAATTCTTCCAAGGACGTGTGGTTATACGAGACCCGGGAAGTCTGAACAACCGGTACGATCACCTCCAATTTGCTCCTCTTCGTCAATCCACGATGGACCGCCTGGAACGTTGAAGGCTGAACCGCTTGCGTTCTTTCCAAATTGGTATCATGGAGATGCCTCACATGGCCGGACCACTCGGGGTCTGGGTGCTTGAAATATAGCATCTTCCTGCCAGAGACACCCAGGTCTCCAACAATAACATCGGGGCAGTAGTTTTTGAAAGTCTTCAGTAGTGTGACTAGCTCCTTCTCATCCCCACCAGAATTGGCGACCAGTTCCATGAGTGATTGAATTCTGAAAGGCTTCACGTGTTTCCGTCTGGTGACGAGGGAAAGTAAATGACACAATGGCTTCCGCAGGCTGATCATATCAAGATAGTTGAACAGCACCGCATAGAGTTTCGATAAGTGAGCCTTCTCATCGAGGAAGTCATGAACCAGAATGAGCCAGCGCAATAACAAAGCCTGTGTTGCCGGTGCTGGTTTGGTCTTGCTTGGACCAAGACAGCACACAACCTGCGTGACGATCTTAGATGGCACCCTCTCTGAGGGATACAGATTCTTGATCAGGGTGGTAATTGTGCCTTGATCCAGTTGACTTCTGGCAGTGAGGGTCTTTATCAAGCGCTCAAGAGTCCCCGAAGGGATCCCGCTTTCATACGCGTGCGAAGCGATGATTTTGCCCAGTTCCCCGGCATCTGTGTACCGTTGTTTGGAAGGCACAAACGCAACTATCCAGCGTCAGCCAAGGAGTAACAAGCACTGGCTACTTCGATTCATAAATCTTCTTACCTGCCTCAAGATGCTTCGTCGCATCCTGCAAGCTGTGGGGCCGACGCTCTGTGTCTAAAGATGTCAACAATCTCGTTCAGTAACAGGGCTGGTCCACAAACCTCTGTCTGGCTCGGATGACATTGGGGAATATGCGCGACACAATTTCCAAGGCCCGTTTTCGTTTTCAGCTACGTACTCCGTAAAGCGAAGCGCCCTTTAAGATGGCTCGGGACCTAGGTACACGCGCCGGTCGCGTTGTTTTGCCTAGGCTACACGCAATTCAGACCGTACAGATGCCAAGGACGTTGGTCAAGAAGCCCAAAGCAAACAAACGAAGACAATGATGGCCAATATACAAGGTCCAACAAAAAGGATCGTTGGAGGATTGTATGTCGTTGATATCGGGCGCAACTCGGGCGATGTTCGTCAAGACGAGAGCGGGAATTGACGGCTTAAACCAAATCGGGCGTCGGATCCAGTCTGCAGTCACTCCCCATAAATGTGATGTCCACCGGACTATGCATCGACAAACTGACGAGTTAATTACGGTCTAATGGAGTCTGTCAGACAAAGAGCGAAGTAGCAAGGTAAACAAGCTGCTTATGGTGTCATTTATGGGTCATAAGTGGACTTTATACTACAGAAAACATCGTTCTCAAAGTCAAGTATCCGCCAAACCACGCGTCGTGATAGGCACAGAAATTGACTGACATTCTGCGACGATGACAATTGGAAAACAAAAAAACAGCAGGGGGCTTCTTCGCGAAGCCACGCACATCGCCAAGGATCATGGCACAGGTGGTTTACTTTCTCTTCCGAGTCGGCTTGGAACTCTCCTTTCCGGATGCCCGAGCGGACGCCTCTGGCTTGGGTGGCTCCTCCGGTTTGGCAGGCACCTCCTCCTCCACATCGCTGTCGCCTCCCTGGCCAAATTCGTTGACACGCTTGTAGTCCACCTTATACTTCCAGCCCTGGTAAAGCCAGACGAAGAAAATGATGTCGTCCCGGAAGGTAGCAAGTCGGTGAAGCCACGGCATCTTGACCGTGAAGGCAAAGAGATCATCGATGAAAGTGTTGAGGAATTTGTATGTCAACGCCTTCCCTGGCATGTGAGCCACGGACTAGATGAAAGTCAGTTGAATCCATTCACCAACATTGCCGCTGAATAAACTCACCTTCAGTCGGTAGTTGATGTACAGACTGGGCACCATCATCAGGAAGCCGTAAGCATAGACGCTACCGACCAGAGTCTCGATGACGTAGGAGTACCACGACTTGTGTGTGTTGTAGATCAAGCTGTATGCCGCGTACGCGGCCAGGAGAGGCACGGCGATGATGTAGAGCCAGCGGAAGGCAATTTCGTCGTACTCCTTGGTCTTCTGCTCCGTATCGCTGAGTTTATGCTTATCTTCAAAAACTACAACGTACGGCAGGAAGGAAAAGAAAGAGTTGGTGGGTGGCGGCCGGAGGCGCACATCCACGGTCTTGGTGATTTTCCATGCCTCCAGAAGAATTCCAAACCCTTGACTGGCAAGGATCATCCACGAGGTGTTCTCGCTGTTATCCATGAGATAGAGGAAGATGACCGCTTGCATGAAAACATTAGCCAAGATGGTCCGGACAGACGTTCCAACGACGTCTTTCTTCTTGCGCCAGTGGGACTGTAAAGTGGGTGCACTCGTTAGCCATATCGAGAGGAGAATCACCATGGACAGTATGAACTTACGATATCATTCTTGAAGGCCAGCGTTTCGAACACCATGTGTAGAATAGTAACCACACCGGTGGTACCCAGCAGGTAAATGTTGGTATCGAGCAAAACCTCCTTGATCATCTCGAACTCACTGCCGTCGCCACCTCCCGGGGTGGAAGCACCATAGGCGGCTTGACGAGCAGTTTGCTTCGCGCTGTCGTCGACGCTGGCCATCATGCTGAATTTCCAATTCTGTAGGTTGTTGAGGGTGATGCGAAGAGGCACAGTCTCGACCGTGGAGTTAAGCTCCATCATATGACTCCTTAGCTGCCAGAAGGTATTCAAATAAACGATTGGATAATACCATCCATTCTGGCCAGAGATGTCTCTCGCACCACTAGCCTCAAGCTGCAGGTGTTGCCGGACAGCAGGATGTACCTGGCGATACTTCTGAACTCCAGAGTCGGGAATGAAAGACACGGTGAAATTCGGGTGATAGTAGGATGCGGTTGAAACATCAGGCGTGTTATCCTCCTCCTCTTCCTCTTTTTCTTCGGCACTGGCCAGGAGGTTCTTGAGCTTCTTGACCTTCTTCTTGGGAAGGTACTGGTTGAGCGGGCGGAAGAAGTGAACAGCCTTTTCGGTGCTGTAGCCAGGGGCGGAAGGATCCAGCTGATGTCCGGAAAGACCGACAAAGAAGTGCGCGAAGAGAGTTCCGTTCTGTTGGACGGCCTTGGGGACTTGAATGATGGTGTCAATTTCTCTCGTGTCGCTATAATTACCAATGGTGAAGTTCTTCTCCGACAACACCAGCGAGCTCGACTGCTGCGACTTGTGCGTAGGAACAAAAACTGAAGGCGAGACGTAGATGTTCATGTCCAAAGGACTATCGACAGGCCAGATGGGGGCAATCGAATCGGGGATGGGGCTGTAGTTCTCGATCTCGCTCCTAGCTGGGCGGGTGGTGAAATCGGTGGCACCGCCGGGTTTTCCAGCGGTACCAGCGCTCTGCTGCTTTCCACCAAGGAATTGGCCGGCAAGAAACTGGATCAGCATGAAGAAAGCCAGACCCTGGAGGGCCCCCTTGAAGCCGGACTGTAAAAGCAGCCAGTGTCAGTCAGCGCGACAAATGCTGCCGGACGATCGTAAACAGTAGTGGATAGATAGACGTACACCTTGGGACTCATCCCTGCGCTCCCGTTGTTCAGGCATGATGCTCTGTGTAAGAACCTGATCCCTGAGGCGAGCGAAGGAAGGAGAGAAAGGGAAAGAAAAAGGCCACGGACTAAAGACTCGCGCGCTGGTCCAGAAGCGGGATGGACTGGCAATTTAGCGGGTCACGTCTTATCGGGCGGAACGACCCTGCAGTATATTCTTCCCCAGCTCCAGCTCCAGCTCTCTCTCTCTCTTTCTCCGGATTCCCTTCCGCCCATCCCGCTCTGTCCCCGACAGCCAGCCACAGTCGAATTTATACGGTTTATACGGCGTACGGTCACTGCGCAATGGACAGACCAGGCGCATGAAAGGCGAATGCTGTCGATCCAATGTCGGAGAATCACCCCTCCCCCGATTACTCCCGCCCCCAGTTTCCTGCCCACAATGAGCCCCGGGTATGGATGATCACGGCTGGAGATTCACCCATTGGGATTTCCGTCACTCGCCAGATTTTGGCGCATGGTGATTGCGCGCTTGTGGGGCTGGCCTATACCAATCTAGACCGGGATGAATGCCGCAGAGACGAATACGATACCTTCCTGGCGGAGGTCGAGAGTCATCGTGAAGAGGGATGGCCACAGCGACTCAAATCGGTTCCGCTGGACATAAGGTGCGACTGGACTCTTCTTGGGCTTTGAATAGAAGGCCACCCGTACATATTGCAGTGTCAAGGGCTCACATTGGTCTCATGCAGGGTGGTGGGAGAATGCCAGGCAGCGGTCGCGGAGGCTGTTGCAACGTTCGGCAAGATCGACATCCTTCTCTGTTGCACAAGCCAAGGTAGGGAGTCTGCTTCACTCGGTTGGTCGGGATTGCTGTTGACTTGTGTGTGAAGCCCTTATTGGAACCGTAGAGGAGCTAGCAGCCTCCCAACAAACTCTCAATCTAGTCCGCGATCAGTTCGAGCTCAACTATTTTGGGCCACTCAACATCATCAAGTCGGCGCTACCTCATATGAGGAGGCAGAAATCGGGACACGTCATGATCATCTCTGGAATAAGTAAAGCACCAGCTGGCTGTTGAACAAAGAATTGGTATCTGACCAAGCACAGCGGCTCATATCGGGACTCCTGGACTGGGGATGTACTGTGCAGCTGGCTGGGCACTCGAGGGTTTTTGTGATGTGAGCACACTGCCCGGGCCATTTGGTTCGCTGTACTAACACATCTTCTAGAGCCTTGCATATGAGATAGCTCCTTTCAATGTCAAGCTCACAATCTTCCAGTGCAGTATCGAAATTGGCATCCTCACCAACTTAGTGACCAGCGTACCCCCCATCGTCCCTGCATACTCTCCGCGCGCCAACCATGCACCTCTATTCCGAGGGATTCTCAATCGACTGGTCCCCCGCCTACCGCATACCCACAATGGGACGGATGAGTCTCGCAATTCCGGCCGAGTCACCTCTGCGGAGGATGGACCTTTCTCCGGTCCGGAGGTTCTTTCGACCTATCCTCCACTCAGTCCCGCGCACATGGAAATCCTGGTCGCGGAGACCGTCTTCGCGATCACTGCCATAGGGGGGCATGAAAACCCCCCGTCTCGTCACATCGTTGGACAAGAAGGCGTTGCGAGCGTCAAAGAGAAGCTGAAAACCGTTAGCGAGGAACTGGAAGATTTCATTCAGTCAAGTTTTGCGGTTGATTATGCCGCCGATGAGGATCAAAATCGCGTCAAAGATGACAGTATGAGTGGACTTGGTGGACTCGGTCGTTCCCATATACCCTAATCATGGTATGCATTCTATGTGATAATGTCTACATGTACAGTTGTCACATGGTGTTAATAGCCCGCAGCCTGGGTTTTATCAATTTCCTCGCTATCCTTCCAACCAAGGTCAATGTTGGGTCAGTCGCGAGGAAACAACAACCTTGTCAGATAAGACGGGAAGGCACCATTTGGCTAAATCATTTCGTTCGGTGGCAATCTCCTTAGGGATGCATCGTGAACCATCATCACTTCGATATAGACATCAATCCAAGGTTTCCTTCGGGTCCTTTCACATCCTCAACTTTTATCACTTCTATTTCTTTCCGGCCCCCATCTTTACGGTCAGTGGATACCCCCACGGTGCATTAGCATCTAGATTGCGTTGGCTCACGAAATCACTGCAGCCATCGATATGAATCCAAGTGGGTCAGAAGCTATGCCTCCGCCTGAGCGGCCCCAGCCTATTCAGTTCCCGCCCCCAGACTTCAAGAACTACCCCTTCCCAGCTCTCCCGGCTCCGTCTCCCGAGCCCCGTCTCCAGGATCCCATCTTCCTTCCCGGTGCCAATAAGCTTGATAGAATGACCTTCGAAAGCTGGGGTGATGGGACTGACTCCACCCCCTTGGTAATGATCCAGGGTTTTCCATTCAACTCGTGGATCTGGAGCCATGTGGTGTTAGCCCTTCGTTCAAGATATACAATCTTTCTGTGGGACCTGCCGATCCGCAGCATCCCGACGATCGCTGGAGAAGATCATACCTCGCTCGAATTCCAAGCGAAGAATTTCGCTCGCATGCTTAAGGGCCGTTTCGGCAACGAACGTGTCAGCATCATAGCCCATGGTTTCGGCGCTGCTATAGCACTTCACGCCTACATGACGCATGGAGTGAATTACAAATTCTTGGTACTCGTGAGCCCCATGGTCATCCCGCCATGGGACCGGACACCCATTTTCCCGTTGTTGAGAAACAAGAAGTATGTAAGCCGGTTGCCGTGTCGACTCCACGGAGCTCTCGTACGCGAGAGTATCTTGTCTGCTAGTTGCAGGGGTATAGACAGTGTTTTACTTCGTTTGCTCAGTCATCAATGGACTAGCGAGGACGGGAAAAAAGCTTTCTACAAACACATTCCTGATCCAAGTACAAATTTCCGCGACTCTCCGCAATGGGTAAAAATCGGCGACTTTCCTGTGGTCATATGCTATGGAGAATGTGATGGGTGGATTGAGGAAGGTCGGATAAATGAATTAAGATCCCTTATCGGCAATGCAGGGCCGGTGAATGTTCCATTGGCAGGTCATCTGGTCATGGTGGACCAACCCGCAGCGCTGGTGGAAATTATTCTTCGCTCCCAGCGCCACTATAATTCGGGTTAAGACCATTAGGTCCCAAAATGGGGAGTGAATTATCATGTCCAGCGGTAGCTTTATCGGATCATCTGCATCATTTTTCATCCTCGTGTCATCAGTTATGTCACATAGTATCATTCTAATACATAGACAAAGACATGATATACTTCCGCTTGCCTTTTCTACCCGTCTTACGTCTTAATTTACTGACAGCCAAATAATAATCCAAATTCGGGGGCTTTTATTCTGTATGGTTCTATCAAGTCTCTAGGCAACTTCCCAAAGGAAACCTACTCATGTGAACCAGCCTTGCTCAAGGGGTATTAAGGGTAAAAAAAAAAAACAATTGGCCGGCACTGACCAAAGAACAACCAGTTGCGCCGTGTAGACTACTGAGTCTTCAGAAACCAAGCCTGTCTGACCTCCCAAAGACTGCCCATGTCTTGGTTGTTCCTGTAAGAACGAAACTCTTTCCAAGCGTTTCCACGGGGCATCTTCTTCAGGCGGCCATCGACCTCCACAATCTTGGCAGCGAGTGAGTTGAGCCCAGTGATACCCGATACTACGACATCGTCATGTTGCTCGCAGATGCTTGGAGAGGCAGGTCTTGTTGTTCTGTTCTTGTCGCCCGGTTCGGATGCATTGGCTGAGGATGGAGTCTCAACCCTTGCTTGGTCACCATTCTTCGCTTCGTCGACTGCCGCGGCGGCCGGGTTTTCTTCCGCAGGATGGCAGTCAATACCCACCGGTGCGGTATCCGGATTCTTGCAGTCAGTGTTTGAAGCTGCTTCCTGGTCGCAATCTCCGCGGGTTTTAGCGACCCCGGTGCTTCCCGACTGTCCTCGACGCCGTTTCTGAGCTGGAGGTTTGTCGCCGGACGGACCAGCGTCCGATTTCCGTTTCTTAGACGATTCTATCTCTATCGCTCCATTTCCATCCAAAAATGCTTCCTCGTTCGTCTTCTTAGATTCATCTGTTTCAACCTCTGCGGGCTTTGGTGGAGAGAGTTCAGACTGAGCACTAGGCTCCGAGTCTTTGGCATGGCCATTGCTATTGGAGAGGAACACGCGTTGACCAAAGGGCATGGCAAAGGTCAATCGTGGGCCATCGATTGATAGGAACTATACAAGCATTTAGGACCGAGCCAAGCAGACACATGAACTCTTGAATGCCGAGCATACCTTGACTTCTTTTTCCAATAAGATCTTACTCGAGCCTTGCATAAAGCATCGCGAGTATCTCCAAACATCACCTGCACGAACCACCCCGTGTTCGATCAGCGTTTGAAGCTTCACTTGGGAGCTTTGTCCCGCGGCCAAACTCCGGTCGAATTTCTGCTTCTGTCCCCAGAACTCCTCGTATTCGCGTTCTTTGAATTTGTCGAATTTTCCCGCAGCTCGCTGCGCCGATGCCTCCTCGGCCTGGCGCAACCATTCTGGATCGTAGCGGCCGCTTTCGAGATCGACCTGGAATTGACGGACTCCATCCCGCCAGTTATTCGAGTAGCGTAAGAAGGACTCCGGTAATGGGGGGATCTTCCAATCGGGGTCATCCGCAGGCGGATGAGGGTTTGGGTGCACATCTTCGGGGAGTAAGCTCAGGATTTCTTTCTTCTCGGATTCCTCGAGAATCTCCCAAGCTTCGGGGCGCGCGAGCAATTTCTAAAGAAGCATGTCAGCCACCTCTCCTGAGCTGTCGACATGATATCATGCACAAAGGCCACCGATCCCGGTAGAAAGTATCACGCACCACAAGATCCAGATGAACGAGCGGCGACTCCGAGCTCGTCATCAGGCGCTCCTCCTCCCATGGATCTTTTGCGGCCCGTCGTGGATTCCGCTTTGGTCTGGTATTCGTAGTTGACATCGCCGAGCTGGACTCGTTCGGGCCCTTCGATTTAGCTGCATCAGCAGATCTAGAGGTCCGGCCCCTGGGCGAAGATCATAGTCAGTTTATTTGGTTTGCCTCTGAGTCGAAAGTTCCGCGAGTCAAGTGAGATTCTCGAGCTGTTTTCAGACTCCGGGGAGCATCTCGGCGGACTTGGTTAACGTACCTCGTCGAGGGCGGCTTCTTATTGCCGGCGCCGACCGCCTTGCGCTTGCGGGCCATTATTCCCCGTCGATCTGGACAGCAAAAGGAGACTACTCTGCTCCGCGACAGCTGAACGACAGCCTGCTGGATACTCGAGAGGAGTGGAAACTCGGCAGGGAGAAATTGCAGCGCTACCACGATGGTCAAATCCACACAGATTGCCAGGCTCGATGGTAAGATTGCGCAGTGAGAAGGAGGAAGTGAGAGAAGCAGTGACAATTGCTGATGGTTGGAGTAGGCCTGATGTTGGCAGCGTCGGTGGACGATGAACAGGTGAGAGTTTCAATTCACTTTGCACGTCGCCTCTGACTGGTACACTAATGCCCGATTCGTCCTGCAGGCAGAAGTTGAACTTTCCGAGATCAAGGGGCAGGCAAAGATGATCTTCCGGCGGCTGAGTCGCAATGCAGCGCCCCAGGCGAGCATTGAATCGGGCCAGTACAATCTACAGTGAGTCCTTATTGTCTGCCTGCCATGCGGGGGAAAGTGAATGGAATGATCTGGCCTATTGACGAAACTAGCTACCTTATCAAAGATGATATCTGTTTCCTGTGCATATGCGATCGCTCCTATCCGCGCAAGCTTGCCTTCACTTATCTCGCCGACCTCGCAACCGAATTCACTACGACATACTCCCCCGCACAATACCAGTCTCCCAACCTGCGACCGTATGCTTTCGTCGAGTTTGATACCTTTATCCAGCGCACCAAGAAGCTTTACCAGGATAGTCGAGCCTCGCAGAACCTCGACCGGCTCAACGACGAACTCCGAGATGTGACCAAGGTGATGACCAAGAACATCGAGGATCTTCTGTACCGAGGTGATAGCTTGGAGAGGATGGGTGAGCTATCGGGGCGCTTGCGCGAGGACAGCAAGAAATACAGGAAAGCTGCGGTCCGCATCAACTGGGAGTTGGTGCTTAAACAGGTGAGTTGTCACATTCCAAGAAAGCCGGCCATGAATCGCCGCTCTGACCTGCTCTAGTATGGCCCATTTGCCGGTGTCGGCCTGATTTTCATCTTCCTTCTCTGGTGGCGCTTCTTCTAGTTTTCTCGCGAAGCAGTTGCTTCTGAATACCCACTCGTCTGAATGTACACATAATTTCTCCGGTGGTTGCAGGACACCACTTTTTCCTTGCCCAAGCCTCCGGGCTTTTTTTAAACAATTTATGATCGATGAGATAGCTTAAGACAGCCCGTGGAATGCAAAACAATGACTGGGTAGGCGCGTCGGGATGACAAGTGTTGTCATTCATAGCGACAGTGTTTCGAATAGAGCTTGCGGTTAACCATGCACTTTCGGGCGTTCTGGTAGAATGTCGCGCGGGATTCTAGGCCGTGGTTGCAGGTATAGAGCGACATAGGTGATGAGGATATTCTAATCATCTTCGCATCGGAGCCACCGCAGAGCCAAAGTGCTGCTATAAGTAATAAGCAGGTCAATTCGCTGTGGGGAACAACCAGCTTTCGCATCATTCTCCCATGGATGGCTCTCGCATTTAGAGCATCTAGATTTCATCCTCTTCCTCATCAAAATCGTCTTCCTCTCCCATGTCGTATAGGATACGTCCACCCTCACCAGGACCGTTGCCCTTCTGCGCATCAAAGTATGGCAGAACCACCCCTTCTCTGTCCTTTCTCTGCTTGTCGGTGAGACGCAATTCAAACGTCGATTCGGGCTCCTCTTCACCGGCTCCGGTGTCCGGTTCCTCGGGAGGACGGTACAGCGGGTGGTCGTCAAGAAGTGTAACAATCTCCTTGACTTGCTGTGGCGGGTATTGAGAGGCAGGTGGAAGGTAATACCATTCCAGCACGCCGCGGCCGCTTTTGCGACGATGTTCCATTTCTAAAACCAATCCCTCCGCTGACGCGTTTCCTCCGTGCTTGTCCACTTTTCCAATGAGAACCCCGTCCTGCTCCTCCTCAAGGCCGAAGAAAGGCGCTGCGAGGCTGCGATCCCGAGCAGCCTTCTGAGAGAGGATGTGCGAAAGCGAGTGAAGTCGGATGACAGTTGTGGCGAGATAGGTCAACATGGAAAATGGAGAGGGAGCGTAGGGTGAGGAAGTAGGGGGGCTTGGGACATCCTGGTGGAAGGTCACGACGAGTGAAGTCTCAATCTTGGATGCCGAAGCACTCTGGGGCATCAGGAAGGAGCTCAGGAAGGTCGAAAGGTGGAACTGCGCATCGGTTCGCTTGGAGTGAATAAGGGGGTTGATCGCGTCGATTATGATGAGACGCCCTGCTGTGTATTAGCTTAAAAAGTCAATTGTCATATGGAGCATAGGTATCATAAGCCGGTAACATACGACGTGAGCTGGAGGAGGCCGCCTGATGAGCCGAGCTAACTTCCTTGATGATATCCGCCGGGTTCTTCCCCCGCGTGGATATGAATGCATCCACCCCCCGTGGCGCCCTCAGTGATTCAAAAGCAATATAAGTAACATGGGCTTTAGATAGCTGTTCTATATGTTAGTTGAGCTTGCCCATGCACATTTATTTGAACAATCCTTTGGTTTGGAGGCTTCCAGAAACTCATGGATTCGAGCTTAGATGCAATTGCACCAAGCTTTATAAATTGCAGCTGCGTAACTTACGTTTGCGCGTCGAATGTATTCCTTGAGTAGAGGGGTGGCGGGCTGTTCTAGGGAGTCCAGGAGCAGGGTAAACGGTGACGCAGTATCTCTCAGATTAAGGAGTTTGGAGATGAGGAGCAAATTATGTGTCTGCCTATGAGACAGATTGGTCGGAGCCATCTCTCCAGATTGGCGGATCGCGGAATCTATTGAGGGATAATGGGGGATAGAAGCGTAGGAAGATGATGTGCGGGGTTATTGCGCTCTTGGAGGGGTCGGAAAGTGCGGACAGAAAAGATTTCCTCGGAGCCGCTGATCACTACTGAGGCTGGACATGGTTCGAGGCTCAGCGGGACGGCCCGCTGCTCGCCTAGGGTAATGCGATGCCAGTGACCCGCGAGTTTCAAAAAGGGAAAATGCAAGAAAAGAACTCTCTGGAGTTCAGTCCCAAATAAGATAATCCTCAGCTCTTGAGTGAGAATTTTGCAGCAGTATCTCCACATAATTATGTATACAATTATATGACAACAGGTCATGGGATCAGGGCTTGCATGTATAGGTGGGGCAGAGCAGTGGCTACGCGGCTGCAGCGCATGACACCTTGGCAGCATGAACCTACATGAGTTCAGGTCGCTCGAGGATTAAGGCGTACAAGGGTCAGTTATTGATCGATGCTGGGTTGTATTCTCGGTTGATTTGGGAAGGAGGGTGTTGTATTCATGGGAATTGGGTTGGGTACGGAGCGTGGGCTCTGCAGTGGAAAAGATAATAAAGAGCCCTATGGGGATAGAACGTAGCGAGCCAGTTCAGGGCCAGATACAGCAAAAAGAACAGCTAGATCTAGTAGAAAGTAGATCTAAAAAAGATTAAATCCCCCGAACCAGAATCGAACTGGTGATTTTTCGGTTACAAGAGAAACCCATTACAGCCGAACGCCATAACCAACTAGACCATCGGGGGTTGCTATGGCAATAGTGGGCCAATGTACCCAACATGGAGGGGGGGCAAAGAAAAAATTACAAAAGAAAAGGTTAAAAATGCTAACTGACTGATTCCTGAGTCCCGCACCTACCTGGGCTGTAGGCCAAGCGAAAACTGAAAAGTTAATTAAGGGAAAGGAATGTGGCTGTGGCTGTGACCCACCCCCAATCAACTCCTGAATTCATGCAAGACTGGACCTGTAGTACAGGGCGTGACTGGAGTTCAAAAAAAACATATATATCCCCCGAACCAGAATCGAACTGGTGATTTTTCGGTTACAAGAAGATGCTCCATTACAGCCGAACGCCATAACCAACTAGACCATCGGGGGTTGTTGATGCGGCATCCAGGAGATTTATGCTATATGGAGCTAGACAAATGCTGAAACAACAAGATCCTATACTTACAAGTAGGTTGCTAATTACTAGCAGTTATGCAAAGCACAAGCTAATTTGATAGACTCTGGATATTAGAAGTTCCCGTCCGCTTTTTTATTATATTGAAGCTACAGTATCTTGGTGTGGGGGTGTCCGGATAATGGGAGCTATTCAGTTCTTAGTTTTACTGGGTGAGGCCCTACCCATATCAGTCCTCGGCTGAGAGCCATTATCGTTAGCCTGGAGCCACATAGCAGTACCACTGCCACAATACTTTAGTTGCCAACCACATGTAACACTTAGAAAGCCACTCCACATGTTGTTTTCTCCAATTAGCTCTTCTCGTATATACAGCTTTTTCAGCTCATATCCAATTTTTCACCCCTAACAGTAAGCATAAACAAGATGTCATTCTTTGTTCTCCTGTGAGTATGGTTATTTAAAGAATACAAATAGCCCGTGTAAAGTTCCTGTCTTGGTGGGTGGGGGGCCCTGGTAGACCCAGGTGTGTGCATATTTCTAGCTTCATATCCCCTTAGCCTACTTGGTATCCGGAAATACTATCCTTGCTGTCTTCCCCGTTATTGTTCATGATCACTCGGCAGCCCTGGGTGCCCTGTTGGGAATCTACTAGTACCGAATAACAGAACCCATTAGAGATGTTTACTGGACTTCTTAACTCAATGATATTTTTTTTTTAGGCTTAGCCTCTAATTCTCCTTTTATTCGCAACGTTTTTGCTCCTTTATTAGACTAGGTAGGCCGCTATTATTTGGAGAAGATCCGACGGGACTGTGTTCTACATTGGTCATTGGCTCTCTGGCTTTAGATAAATGAGTACGGCTACTTGGTTTTACATCCTCAATCCTAAGAATCCAAGCTACGTGCAACTAACATGATGAGATGGCTGGGTGGGGATCATGGACTTCTACTATCAAAGTGGAGTGGGCGGAGGTAGTAGCTACTTATTAGAGCGTGGTGGCTCTCTCGGCTTGGCTGCAGATCGAGACATTCGCAGGGCTCGAATGGGTAAGCCTGGTCATTGACAGAGCCTTGGTATATGTAAGTGAGTATACGTAAATTATGGGACACTTGTGACTCGGGACTCGTCGAGAAAATTCACTCCTCAGTCAATTCACTCTGTTGTCTTGGCATAGGCCAGTTTAATCAAATTGTGAACTCCCATGACAATCCTTTTCGGGTCGTTACTGACCTGTTCGCCTGGGCTGAGTACTTGTTCCTCTCTCACCAACCCCACCCTCGAAGAAAGAGAGGGGAAGAAAATGCCGAGGGAAAGACAAACGGATCAAGCGCTCATGGATGATGAACTGGCTAGCATTAGCAGTACTTCGTCTTGGGTTGAACCCAGTCCGGAAGCTCATGCGGCCCTGGATGTTTTCAAAAAAGAGAACTGGGATGATTATCGCACGCACTATTCTCTCCTTACTTGTTTGATACCTCTGCTCACGGGCAGCTCTGGGTTGTTGGCAGGCTCTGAATTCTTGTCCGCAAATATTGAGAACGAAACATCCGACGAGAGGGGGCTACGCTGCTCAATTCTGCGCAGATTGATGGATGAAGTTTGTCGTATGGGGCATGAAATACCGGAATCTGAACCAAACGACTATGGGTATGACTACTACAATGTTTTTGCGAAGGCTTTATATTGGCACCTGAATAGACAATCATGTCGGCCTTCGAGTTTCAAAATATCAGAACCATCCAATGCACAATCTGGAAGACCTTACATGAAGTATCAGCAGCAAAATGAATGGTCTAGGACAAGTTTAGACACGCGGAGAGGACAAACTATCCACCAAAAATCCCAGGAAAGCATAGAACCGAGAGTGGAATCGGAGAATTATACACCAGAGAGCCTTATTACGGGCAGTCATGCAGGCCCAGTTCTCACAGTCAGGTCGGTCGGGGACAAAAAGCCACGAACGGGACGCGACGCATTCCTTGGGGAACCTGAAGGAATCCCTCTCAACCTCGATAAGCTAGGTCCTGTTGATCACATCTTTCTTCTCGACCATCTTATCGGCATAGTCTGCGAGAGGTTTCAAGAGCGTTATGGGCAGGTTTTGCAGGCATACCAAGGCAACAACCTCCGTGCCGAGCTCGTGAGAGGCCTGGTTGAAGGTGTAGGGGATCTCAGCTTACTTGGAAAGTTTGATTTAGAGAGGTATGCTGGTTTCCCGGATTTTCTATGTCTGGAACCTGACATTTAGAGTCTTGCAAGCCTGCGAGGGCTAGGTGGAATGCCCGAAACTTCAAGCAATTCCGGTGTATACATGCATATTCTTTGGAGACAGAATGACCCTGAGCGAGTCTGGCTATACGTTGGACAGGCTTCCAAGCTTCTGGAGCGTATAGCATGCCATAATGATCCATGGTATCGTCGAACTCGTCCGAGTCTTCACTATCATGTCTGGGGCGCGTATGAGGACATCAGGTCAACGTTTGTGACTCTAATATCGCGTGATTCGATTACATGTGAGGCAGATCGGTGCCTACTGAATATCCAGGAGATGTGGATGGCTTGTCTGTTCCAGACGCTCACGCCCAAACATTTGGATGAATACCTTCCTCCGACTGCTAGGAAGCTATGGTCTGGTCGGCATCTAAATGTTGTGCCTCCAATATGGCAGGGGTTTACTGGAGATAATCACGTTTCTGCCGAAGCCGCTGGGGGTAGGCAGACTTTTAGTGATTTGATTCTGTCCCCGGATCCAGCAATACGTGAATGGGCAAGAGATATGAGGGATACCTTCAATGAGCTTCGGAACTCGCCGGATCCTCTTCTGCGTGAGTACTACTACCTTAATATGTTCCGCAACAGAAAACTGGCAGAAGAAGCCATCGTGAAACGAAAATTAAACAATGTCCAAAAATATCTCTCAATGGGGGTATGGAGAACAATTACTGGCTCAGATAGTTCACAGGGGGCGCACCTCATAACTTGCAGCAATTTCATTTTCACAGTTTCCCGGCATTTGCAGCTTGGGGTCCATGTCGGTGATAGGGTCCAGATGCAATTTTATCTTACTGAGACACCTAATCCTAGGGCATACGCCAGGGGTGCACTGCTAACAGATCCTGCGAGCCGGTTAGCAGTGTCTATAAAGGGTCGGGGCTCAAGGGGGGATTTTCATGTCTGGTTGAGCAACAGGGCAGAACTGGTTGTCATGAAGATGAACTCGCTGGTAGATGCTTTGGAGGGCTTCACTTTGAACGAGTCAAAGACTTTCAGACGACGGTGGTATGTAAAGAGGGAGCCAGGGTCTTCAGAGAGAACTGTGATTTATACATAGATGATGTATTTCTGTTGGTCATAAGGAACGAACGCCAGAGGGGGGGGGGGTTGTTTGGTGTCATGCCTGATAAGAAACACGTGGTGCTTATATCAAATTTTAAGTACGAGCCTGGAGCTTGGTATGGATCTCTGATGCACCCAGATAAATCCCCCGTAGGTTGTAAAAGCATAGCAGGCCTGTTCCATCGGAGAGCATTTGAAATATATATATTGTCGAAATCACAGTATGGAAGGTGTAGATGCAATCGACACAACATCCAACCACAGCATGGGCCTGTTTTCCGGAAGGACTGTATATCTGAGGTTTGACATACCACCTATGAGCAATATAAATAATATTATTATCTAGTTAACATGTTTACAGAGTATTGGTAGCCGCTTTCTGACTGAGAAATCTCACAACTATTCATAGCAACAATTTCGCAAGCGGAATAACCCAACCCCCGATGGTCTAGTTGGTTATGGCGTTCGGCTGTAATGGAGCATCTTCTTGTAACCGAAAAATCACCAGTTCGATTCTGGTTCGGGGGATAAACTTTTTGGAGATTATTTCTACTTGTTCATCCTTTTCAGCCTTGGAACATGATAGCAAAATCTGTGCCTCGTTTTCAACCAAGCCCCCGATGGTCTAGTTGGTTATGGCGTTCGGCTGTAATGGAAAATATTCTTGTAACCGAAAAATCACCAGTTCGATTCTGGTTCGGGGGATCCCTACTTCTTTTTTGAAATTCTTTTTGCACCATGCACACAAGCCCGCCCTCATCCTGTGTTTACACTGCGAAGCACTGTATGTACGTACCTTATGGTCCTTATTACCCTTCCCAAGACACCGGAATGTCTGCCGTATCTAAATTCTACCCTTAGAACAATTCCACAACTGCCGATGACATTCGTCTCTCTATTTTCTGCAAAAATGCATCATGTATCTATATACCACATGAACCACCAAAAAACCAGTAGCTCCTACATCCTCCCCTACCTCACCACCTTTTGCTACAACACATTTTTTTCTTTTCCCTTTCTGTATGTCTGGCTCTGCCAGTATCTCCCCGAGCACAAATTGAATAAAGATCGCCCGGATCTGCATGTAATGAGACACTCATCCCCTTACGCTGTACATATAGCCTACCTCTTTGTATATAAGGTACATGTGAACCGTACAAGCTGCCATGCAATTGCCCTTGCTCATGTTTGTACTCGCCAAGTTACCCATCTAAAACCCTTTTCTATACTTGTTCTCGCACAAATAGCCAAACACTTTCTTCAAGCTTCTCTCTCTCTCTCTTTTCCCCAATTACATAATCTAAAAAAAATTGCTGTGGCTCCTCTACATTCACCTGTACCCATAATGGAGCTCTCTAAACCCAAGAACTTAAATGAATGCTGCTTCTCATTGGGCTGCGGCACTCCCCGTGGCCATGGTGAGCGGCGAGCAGCAGCAGTAACATAACTTCAAAAAAGCTGATCGTACCTCAACAATACCCCCGATGGTCTAGTTGGTTATGGCGTTCGGCTGTAATGGAATTCTCTTGTAACCGAAAAATCACCAGTTCGATTCTGGTTCGGGGGAGTTATCTTTTTTTTATCTTTTGCCCAGATAACCTTCATTTGGAGCTCCATACCAGTCTTATTTGCAAGTGCTACCGAATTTCTTTTCTTTTGTTTCCAACCCCTATTCTTTTTCTCATTTCGACGAAGTTGTTCCTTCAATGTAGCTCGCAGACCCTTGCCCCATTCCTATACTTAGCTCGAGGCTGGGTTGTGATTTCTTTGGGATTTCTTCTTCTCCCTATGACCAAGAACAGACTATCATCGAGCAAACAAGTGTTTTTCCGCTTTCAACTCCGTACCATCAGCCCACATCCAAGCTCATCTGGCGCCTAGACCCCCGAGAAAAACAATAGCTAGAAAGTCGCTTGAACTACGACGGTCTTCAAATGCCAAGCTTATGCCATCTAACCCGATTTGGGATTTACTGCGCAACCGACGGGTTTCGACAACCGTAAATCCGCGCTCTCTCTTTTCCATTCGCTGCTCCAGATTCCGACACACTCCAAGACAATTGATACCCCTGAAAAAACCGAAGACCTATTCATAATAATATGGAATTAAATTAACTTTCGCTTTCTTATCCTGCCTTGAGCTTCATTCTCCCCTTCAACCCATTCCCAGCCGATACCAACGATCCTTCACCTTGTTACTCGAACCGAACCTTCAATTCCAAAGTCCCGACAAGTTAACAACAACATAAATTCCCACCGACAAAGATGGCAGAGCCACCGGCAAAGCGTGCTCGTCGCGTGGACAGCTCGACGATGTGGGATATGAATGATAAAGAAGCCCGCCCGGATGAAGCAGCCTCAGACTTCGACAGGAGCCCAAGGCGTGAAGGATATTCAAAGGAGGATGGACGACGTGACGGTCCTCGTGACGATAGAAGATATCGCTCTCGCTCGAGAGATCGAAGGGACAGGCGGCGCGACAGAAGTTGGTCCAGGGACCGTCGGGATCGCGACCGCGATCGAAAGGACAGGGACAGAGACGAGCGTGGGACCAGAGACAGACGAAGCATTAGTCGCGACAGACACTATGAAAGACGAGGTATGGCTTTTTCTTCCAGCATGCTGCTAGTTCAATTGTTAATATTGCGAAGGTTACCCCTCAAAAGGCGACAGATACCGAGATCGATCTCGATCTCCTGTTCGCAACGGCAACAGAGATAGATCCCGGACACCGCCAGTGCGAGGCCCTAGGGGTGACCGCAGAAACGATCGCAGGGATTACCGGAACCAGGCAAATGGTGTATCAGACTCCAAGATGTCAAGTCGGCCTCGAGATGGAATGGACATAGACACCGATGACCCTGTCGCGGAGGACGATGTCGAAGAGATGATGCGCCGGAGTATGGGTTTCAGCAGATTCCGAAGCACAAAAAACACCAAGGTGCCAGGCAACAATGTCTATGGCGTGCGGAAGGAGAAGAAGACGGAATACCGACAGTACATGAACCGTATAGGAGGATTCAACAGACCACTCAGTCCTTCACGGTGAAAGAGAACATGCACATTGCAACTATACCAAACTTACATCGCCATCTCTTCTTTTTCTTCTTCTATCTTTTCTCGTTTTTGCTATTTTTTTTTTTTTTTTTTTTTTTTTTTTTTTTTTTTTTTACCCCTCTGACAGGGGCGGGTTTACCATGGTCTTATTCTGGTGCGGTTTCTATGCATTTACGGAGCAGGTTCTTTTGCACTTCACGGGCACCTGGATTATCTAGCGAATTACAAGAACAATTGTATTCTTATAAAAATCAAAATTAGGTTTTTGGCAGATGATTTAATGTCTTATTAATTTTCTGAGAGGGCGAACCTCTGGCACGGCACATGACTGGCAGTGACGTATGGGCTCTTAAAAGCTGCTTCCCCACGCCGCCGCAGTTACTGGAACAACCCAACCCAGACTTCTTCCAACTCTCGTCGCAGTGGCTTCAATACGAGCTGTAGGATTTGGAATTGCTCGGTACCACAAAATGTCCACTGCAAATGAGCGCCGGGACATTGTCATCGTCGGTAAGAACTTATAGGCTTTCCTGGCATTTTACCCCGCCCGTTGAGTCCAAGTACCCAAACTGACGACGTTGCTAAGGTGGCGGTATCATTGGCTGCTGCTCGGCATATTATTTAACGAGACATCCGTCATTTGATCCATCGCGACACTCAGTAACTCTTATCGAAGCGTCTGAGATTGCGGGAGGCGCGTCTGGCAAGGCCGGGGGCCTTTTGGCGCAATGGGCATACCCAAGCAACATCGTGCCGCTGAGCTACAAATTACATGCAGAACTGGCCAAAGAGCACGGCGGAAAGGATAGATGGGGATACAGAGAGGTCAACTGTGGGCAGCTTATCGCAAAAGGCCGTCCGCTGAATGAGAAGAAAGAGGCGCCGGGCGGAGAGGCTGGCAGCTCAGTATCTCTACAGAAGCGAAGTGCAGATGCCCTGGGGAAGTTGAAGAGCGCGAGAGTCCCGCAGGATCTTGACTGGATTGAGCCGGAATTGCTGAGAGGCTACGAGAGCATGAGTGACCCCGGAGAAACTGCTCAAGTCCACCCCTACCTCTTCACCACATCCATCGCCAAACTTGCCGAAGAGAAAGGCGCAAATATCACTCTCGGATCTGTATCGAGCATCGGTTACTCCGGAGATGCCGTTGAGTCGGTTTCCTACACAGACAAGAAATCGGGCGAAGCGCATACTATTCCCGCCACAGACGTCGTTGTTGCTGCCGGTCCCTGGACAAGTTCGATATTGCCAGATGCTCCTATCTCTGCGACGCGGGCCCACAGTGTTGTTATTCGACCGACGAGACCAGTTAGCGGATACACTTTGTTCACCAACATCGAGATCCCCGCCAACTTCGACCCAGCGAAACCCTCACGCCCGACTGTTGCGCAGCCGGAGATCTACGCTCGCCCCGATGACACGGTGTATGCATGTGGAGAGGGTGACCATGTTGTACCGCTCCCAGCAACCACAGCAGACGTTGAAGTCGATGAGAAGCGATGTCAGGATATCATCAACGAGGTTGGCAGCGTCTCAGATGAGCTGCGCGACGGCCAGATTTGCGCGCGCCAAGCTTGCTACTTGCCCAATGTCACCATGCGCGGAGGCCCGTTAGTCGGCCATGCTGGGGCCAAGGGGCTGTACCTTGCTGCTGGCCATACTTGCTGGGGTATTCAAAATGCGCCTGGTACGGGCAAGGTGATTAGCGAATTTGTCTTTGATGGACAGGCCAAGAGCGCCAAGATCTCGTCACTTGATCCCAGAAATTATCTTTAGAGAGACGATTAGTGTATATAGTCTAGAGAAATACAACATGACGATTCAAGTGCATATCGAATGTCCGGAGGAACCTCAATGTTGCAAGTAATTCCATTGTTTCATGGGCGGGAGCTTGGACCACGTCATATGCGGAGCGTTTGGAGCTCCCGTCGGTCATGCCAGATAACAAACCACTAACAACCATCAACCAACGCCATCGGAGAGAAGGCTAAACTGTGTTCAGTCATTCTCTATGGTCACCCCTCGATCTTCGAGGCTTTCGTTCTTTTCTTAATGTTTCTGATTTAAACATGAATCGCTTCAATTTCTACTCCCTCTTATTTCCATTGTCCTGGGCGGTTGCGGTTTTTGCCGGCCAAACAGCGACCGGCGATGAGTCCATCCTAGCCAAAGAGGCCGCAAGAGCCAACAACCAGTCTCTGCTATGGGGCCCCTATAAGTCGAACCTTTACTTCGGAGTGCGTCCTCGGATTCCGGACAGCATTTCTGCCGGACTGCTGTGGGCAAAAGTGGATGACTTCGCTACGGCGCAGCAGAGTATGTGTCCAGTTACACAACCTGCCTTTCCTTTCAATTGCTCCCTTACCCTTTGATATTGATTGCCCACCCCTTCAATTGACTGATCGCATTGAAGACTTCAGACATACTTGTGAACAAAATGAAGGAATGGCTGGTTACGGCTGGGACGAATACGATATCCGGAAGGGCGGCCGCCAAACGATCCACGACGCTGGAAACTCACTGGATTTGACAGTTGATTTCGTTAAAGTCCCTGGTGGAGAGCACGGAGGCAGCTGGGCTGCCCGTGTCAAGGGCGTGCCTCGCGAAGATGCCCCTCCTGACCAACCTACAACCATTGTCTTCTATTCGGCTCTGGAGGGTCTCGGTGACCTGCGTGTTACCACCGAATCGGAGGACCCTCGGGGATTCGACGGCGACGTGAGACTATCTGGAAATACACCCGACCTTGGCGACTTTTCGATCGATGTTACTGCGGGTCCTGAAAGCAATGAACACCCCGAACACGACCACCCAAGCTACGAGGATAAGCCATTGGATCGCACCTTGGTTTCTAGCTCGACTATCCAATCGGAGCACGTTTGGCAAACGAAGGGTTCGCTTATATCAATCTGACTGGCAGCGTATAGTGTTGTGCTGATCTAGATACAGTGATCTTGTTCTCGCAGATGAAGGGTGAAGTCAATGAAATCATCCAGAAATATGGGCCTGATAACCCGCCGCCGCCGCCCCAAGTTTTCTCCATCAAAAACATTCCTGGCGACGGAAACATTCATCTCGTTCAAAAGGTTTTCAAGGGCGAGTTTGAGGTATGTAACCTGCTTGCCATAGTAGGAAGTTACTCATGTCCCCTAGTTCGACATTCTGTTCTCTTCTGGCTCTTCGCCTCAGCCTTTGACATGTGAGTTATCTTCACTTCGCAACCCTTGACTCTACAGAACCTACTGACTAACAATTTCTAGCCGAGAAACTCACCGAAGAGATTGCGAGCTCCTCTCTGTCTTTCGCCGATCGATTTGAAAAGATTCTTCCCCCGCAGGCTCCCTTCAACTCTAAGGAGTACTCGGAGTTTTCCAAGTCAATGCTTTCCAACCTTGTCGGTGGCATAGGCTACTTCCACGGAACGGATGTTGTTGACCGCTCGGCAGCTCCGGAGTATGATGAGGAAAACGAGGGCTTCTGGGAGGAGACGGCAGAGGCGAGGGCCAGAGCCCATGCCGTTCTCGAAGGACCAAAGCAGCTCTTTACTAGCGTTCCTTCTCGGCCGTTCTTCCCCAGAGGTTTCCTCTGGGACGAAGGATTTCATTTGATCCCTGTTCTTGAATGGGACACGGATCTTGCGTATGTGATTCCGTAGCTCCCTTGGAATATGCATTGATTGCCGGTCCTGACTCCAATTCGCAGACTCGAAATTGTCAAGAGCTGGCTCAACCTGATGGATGAGGACGGCTGGATTGCTCGAGAGCAAATCCTGGGCTCCGAGGCCCGCAGCAAGGTTCCACCAGAGTTTACTGTCCAGTACCCTCATTACGCCAACCCCCCGACGCTCTTCATTATACTAGAGGCGTTTATTGACCAGCTTGAGGTAAACAAGAACATCTCGGTGGACCGATCCCAAGAAGATCTCACTGAAACCCTTGGATCGGTTTATACGCAACATCCCGAACTGGGTGAGGCATATATTCGTTCAATCTACCCTCTTCTCAAGAGACACTACTTCTGGTACAGAAATACTCAAAGAGGAGAGGTCAGTTCCTATGATCGGGAGGCGTTCTCGTCTAAGGAGGCATACCGCTGGCGGGGTCGCTCTATCCAGCATATCCTTACGTCCGGACTAGACGACTACCCTCGTGCGCAGCCTCCGCACCCGGGCGAGCTCCACGTTGATCTGATCAGCTGGATGGGCATGATGACTCGCGCTCTGCGCCGTATTGCAGAGACATTGGGCGAAACCGAGGACGTTGAGGAGCTCAGAGTATACGAAACGGCTATCGAACGAAACATCGAAGACCTCCACTGGGATAATGAGGCGCAGACATACTGCGACGCAACCATCGATGAATTCGAAGAGAGCGTTCACGTTTGCCACAAAGGATACATCTCCCTTTTCCCATTCCTCACGGGTATGGTTGGCCCGGACAGCCCTCGGCTCAAGGCCATTCTCGACTTGATTGGCGACCCGGAGGAATTGTGGAGTGACTACGGAATCCGCAGCTTGAGTAAGAAGGACGAATTCTACGGAACGGCCGAAAATTACTGGAGGAGCCCGATCTGGGTTAACATCAACTACTTGGTGTTCAAGAACCTATATGTGAGTTGTGCATTTGCCCTAAAAACGTTGGATCGACTCTAACCCTCCAAACAAGGACATTGCAACTACGGCCGGCCCCCACCAAGAGCAAGCCCGTGAGTTGTATTCCAACTTGCGGAAGAATGTGGTCGAGAACGTCTTCAGAGAATGGAAGGCCACGGGATTTGCCTGGGAACAGTACAACCCGGAGACCGGCCAAGGACAGCGGACGCAACATTTCACCGGCTGGACTAGTATGGTGGTGAAGATGATGTCGATGCCCGATCTCCCCGCAAGCAAGAAGTCGGGGCACGACGAGTTGTAGTTGAACAGCAGAGTGTTGTCTTATAGATAGATTGTGGTATCAAGAACCAAAACGTTTGTGTATCTGTACAAAATCCTTTTCCCGTAAACGCCTAGCATCCGGTGAAGCCAAATCCAATTAAAAAATAGCAGAGAACTTAGCGCCGATGGTGATAATCCGAATCCCTTTCACGCGGATGCATATGCTTGCGATCTTCTCGTCTTCTGTAATCGTCGCCTTTCCTGTCCCTGTTCCTAGACCGCGAGCGCGATCGTCTTCTCCGGTGACCTTGGTCTCGCGAGCGAGACCTCGATCTATGTCTGTGGCTCCTGTGGCGACGGGAGCGTTCATCACGCTCATCGCGATGCCTTCGGTGCGTGTGCTCTCGGTGTCTGTCTCGGTCACGGTCACGACCGCTGGCACGATCTCGCCTTCGATCTCTGCCTGGGCTCCTACTACGTCCGCTCCGCCGTCTCCGGTCATGTCGCGAGTGTGAATCGACCCCAACGGCCTCCAGTTTATCATCCTGGTTCGCGCCGGGCAAAGAGGCACCGGCGCCCCTATAAGAGCCGTACCCGACGCCCTTGCCCATTTCATCGCCGGATTGATCGTCACCAGCTGCCGTCTCCCGAAGTGCATTTTGGACATCCTTCTCTCCCAATGGTGTCAAATTGGCGTTGGCAGCAGCGGCGCTTTTGGCAGGCAATGGAAGACCCAAAGCTAGCGCCATTGCCTCTTCCTCGGCGTCCTTGACCCGCTGTCTTTCCTCACGTTCCTTGGTGGCTTGATCCTCGGCGTCGTCCCCCGACCGGGCATACCATTGTAAATCTCGACCACTCTGCCAGCGACCAACCGGCGCCATGACCGAGTGGCCGAGGTAGTTTTCTCGGTGGCTGGAATCTTTGACATCGGACCATTTGAACTCGCTTCGGCCGCCGCTGTAGAAACCCGTGAGTGTTAGGATTGCAGGTTAGAGATGGGGGCGAGGGAGGGAGAGGAGGACTCACCGGCTGCCTTCTTTGCGGACACTCGCGACGAGATCCATGATGAGAGCTGGGCAGGGGGATGAGACCAAGGTGATGAGAAGGAGAGATACTCTAGTGGGGACGACGTGAGAGCTCCGACGGGTAGCACGTGCGCTCCGCGGCCTGAGGCGGCGAATGGCACGACTGACTTCATCGCCCTCCTCCATTGGACTCTCGTCTCGTCGACCGTCCAGATCTCGGAGATGAGCTTCGTACGTTGTGGCTTCTTCTCCCCATGGCTCGACAATGTTAATCCTAGCTGGCTTCCAAATTGACAGACCCCCCGACTCATGTGATATCATTTTGCATCTGATACATGTGCCCCTCGTGTTTCGGTTTCTTTATGACTGCAGCTCCCCGTCGTCATAATTTGTTTTCTCTACCTCCCGTCATTTACTCTCTGCCCGAAATCTAGCTCTGGACGTGGGTTGATTGCTTCGACACGCTGCTCCTGCACGAAAAGTGCTCGAAGCAATGGCGTTTGGCCATCTCGCTGGTAAAAGACCGCCTGGCCGGAAGAGTCGCACCCGTGAAGGCCTGCATCTTCGGCCTCTGAATGTTGAAAAGGGCGATAAAAGAGTGCGTATATTTCTGATCATTATAGACACCTGGGTGTGTCAGTCAGCTATGTGCATCCACCAGCTAACCCTTTTGATTAGTTCTCATTGTAAACAATACCCTCTCGGCGTCGGAGGTCTTAACATGCAGTACTAACTGATCGGCATTTCAGAGCAGATGATTCATTTCCTCCCCAAACTGCAACATGGCGCAACAACCTTGTATGCTCATCACTGATTTATCCACCCAACTCGCACTCATCCATGGCTGATACGATCACAGATCGCACTTTCCCAGCGCCGCAATCTTCTCTTTGTCGCTTATAGCCATCAAATCTATGTCTGGGAACCCGCGGGGTCATTCCAGATGCTGGGCTCTGTCCCATTAATGATCATCACACCGGTCATGAAGGAGTCTAGTGCCCGTGGATTCATCTCTCCAAACACCCCACATGCGATCAACAATATCCTTGTGGATGATCTTGGTCGCGAGGAAGTCCTCTTGCTCGTTACTGATTCAGGGAACGTCTGTGGCTACCGTACTGAAGCGATTTTCTCAGCTCTGAAGCGTGCCGCAGATGACGAAGAGAGTCGGCCTTTAGACGGCTCTCAAGTGGACCCTTTCTTTGTCGAATATGTCGAAGCCAGTGCGTGGGGGTTGGCTATCCACAAGTTCGCTCGGTTGATCGCAGTGAGTGCAAATACTGGTTTAATTACCGTTTTCGCATTCGCCCTTGTGAACCCTGCTTCTGGAGGGAGCAGTGACTCGAGTCAGCGACTAGAAGAAGAGGACGACTTGAGCGACTATGGTCAAACCTGGCTTCACATCACGACCCCCGAGCAGTTTGTGCAGTTGCGACACATGATGCCCGAGAAACACCGAACGCGCAACATAAAACTGACATACACGGGGCATTTCGCCAATATACCATCCGTCTCTTTTCTTAATTGCGACCTCGACCCTAATGGTAACTGGATGGTTAGTACCGATATCGATAATAAACTTCTTGTTTGGAAAATTTGGGACGGCCTTGGTGCGTTCAATATGTACCACTTCAACGATATTGGCTTCAGGTCATTTCACGACACTCTGCGCAACGAGTAAGTTGAACCTCTTCCCTTCGTTGGGCATCGACCTGTATACCTTCTCCCGCTGGGTTGCTACTTCCTGGCCTCCTCTCGCTGACGGACCTAGTAGCGAACGTGGTTGGTCTGTCATCGCTCTCGACCCGCGCTCCTTTCATCTTCTCAAGTCCACCGAAGAGGCATGTGGCGGTAGGCCTCAACGTCGAGTCAAGGATGGCCAACCGGTGTTTGATCTCACGAAGTTAAGTGGCCGAGTGCCGAATGCTTCGCAGCTTTACAACTACTTTCCTCCTGCTGTCAAGGCCGAGCCCGAACGACCGGTACTACCCGATATATTCGGAGTTGATTGTCGCATCAGTAAGGGAGGTGACACTCGTCAGGGCATGGACCGTGTGGCGTCTTCGGAATCTAGTGATACCCGGGAGACCAACCACTTCCATGCAATCGCTGGGTATCTTCGCCCCTCGGACTCTGCTGACGCCTTTAGTCATCGTGCCGTTGATGGTTCTGTTTACGACGATAACATGAGCCATGGCAGCTCTTCCGAGCTCAATCTGGATGTGGATTCCCAGCAAACATCTGGCCTGGAGACAGCGCAGCAAATCAGTGATCCGGACCAACACACCAGCAATGGTCCTCCCCGGACTCGTCGGCCCCCTCAAACAACGCCGGAGTTCCTCCAGGTTGCCCTGCTTGAAGCCCTTGGAGGGGGTGACATGCATGGTGCCGAAGAGTACTTTGATGGGTACTCGGTGCTGGATGACGATAGCTATACCGAGGACCAAGAAATGGACGATATAGATATCAACACTTCCTCGGAGGATGGAGAGTCGTCGACAACCGGGGCAGTCGCATATCAGGTCTTTGATCGTATGTCACGTAATGCCTTCCCTGAAGATGCTGGCTTGCATGGGCGGATGGAGGCGCTAATTGGTCTTCCACCGACGCCAGCTCCAGTTAACTCGAGGTTCCCTATCCTTCACTTTTCGCAAACCGACATCCGGCTCGTTGCTCATCCGTTTGCTCCTCACGCAAGCGTTGTCTGCGGCGCACCGCTCCGACAACCCTTTACCCACCCCATCGTCTCAATCCGAGCCTGCGATCGGTTTAACATGGTCAAATATGTCCCCGAACATGGCATCGTTGTAGCCGCCTCGCAAAAAGGCCGCGCCGCGATTATCGCCTTAACCGAATCGGAGGCTGCTGGCCTCTCGTTCCGCGTCGACTGGATCGTGCCTTTCGAGAGCCAGGAAAAGTACGGCGACCGTCCCCTTATCCCCCTTCTTGGCATGTCCGTGAGCCCCATCCAGGGGTTCGAAATGCCGCCTGACGTGCCCTATATCCCTCGCGATGTTGATGAGAACGATCTCACCTTCCGTTACCAACACATCTTCGACGACGAAACCGACAATGCCTCCGTAGCCGGACGATCATCAAATCACTCTTTCGGCGACTTGAACATTCCCTCTGATCTTTCCGGCATCAGCGATGAATCTGTACACGAACACATGCACCGAAACCCCCCTACCTTGCCCGAGTGTCATGCTCGCGCAACCCGAGCCTACCAGCCCGAGGAGCGCTGGCGTGGATGGAATCCCTCCCGACGCTATCGTCTGCTCCTCATGTACGCGGACCATACGGTCATGAGCTACGAATTCTGGTACAATTGGAACACCGCGGGCCCGGAAGCCGACATGAGCGACGAGGATGAATTTCTCGTGGTCTAACCCAAGTCCGCGCGACAAATGAGCCAATTACACGAACTCCCCTTCCTTGTTTATTTTCTCTGCATGATATGAAATGTCTCGACGGGCCTTGTCTCTACTATTCGGTTTATGGATTCTCGGTATAAATTGGTCTATTTTTTTTTTCTGTCTTTTTTACAGCTTCGGGGATTTCTTTTTCCATTCTCTGTCTCATTTTTTCATTTTTCATTTTTTTGACACCCACGATGTTAATACTTGATACCATACCATCTTGTTATCTTGCCATCTGCGCACACTTACTTGCTTACTTGGTTGTCTGGCGTCTGAAAATGAAAGTAAAGGCCGAGTCTCGCTGACTGACCATGTACCTACCACCTACGAAATACAACTCTTCCGCAAGGTGTATCATATCTTTTAATGTCATATCAATGATTTGGTTCTATCTTGGTGTATTTCACGGCTCTCATCTCCTGTATTCAACTCGTGAGTTAGATCATGATGTACAGATATTCCCTCTCCCCCGTTCTTAACTCTTGATGGGTTGTAGGTATGTAGTTAGGAAAGAAACAATTTATACAAAACCAGCAGACGGTTCAAGACAAAAACGCTGGTAAAAGTTCGCTAACACAAAATGCAAGTTTCATCAACTTCATAAATGTAACATGTAACGTGTAAATGTCAACCGATCCAGGACAGCACAGGGGTAAGATAAGACCCTGTTCTTTATAGTTATTCCATCAAGCAATGCAGTCGTGGTAAAAAAAGACATTAAAAGTCATCGTCGAGTTCGTCGCTGTCCCATTCGTCTTCTCGATCATTCTGAACCAAATCCAAAAAACGCTGGAGTCCTGGGTGCCTGACTTGTCCCTGTCGAGCGGCGGGGTCGCCGTTGGCTTGCGGTCGAGGCCGGTCAGCACCGGGACGACCTCGCACTTCGGCCATGGCTTGGGCCTGGGCTTGTCTCTCTGCAGCGGCGGCCATGCCTGCCGCGTCGAGGTCGTTTGCGTTTCCGCCTCCCTCGCGGTGCCCGGGGCCGTTTGCGCCCTGATTGACTCGCGGCGGTGCCGGGGCAGGAGGTGGAGGTCGTCCTTCAAAACGCCATGCAGGCTGGTCTTCATCGTCGCTCTCGTCAAAATCGACGAGGTCATTTGGAATACGGTGGAGAGCCTCGGCCCCGTCGGGATTGATGCCGTCGCCACCTTCCATGTCCCAGAGTCGGTTGTAGCATCCGCTATTGAAATCATTGAAATGACGGTATGGGTTATCTTCCGAGAGCCAGCTGGAGCAGAGGTAGCAGAAGTGCGTGTCGCATTTGAAGCATTTCATGTGGTTGCAGCCCATCTGCTTCTGGCAAGGAGCGCTGCATGTCGGACAAGGAGAGGTGTACATCTTCAAGTACTCCTCCGTAGCTTTCTCTTCTGCCGAAAGTTCGGCCTCCCGGCGAGGGAAGCAGCGCACGAGCTCGCCATGCCAGCCCTTTTTACAGACACAGCAAAAGGCATAGTTGCAATCTTCGCAAATCGCAACCCGGTCTGCCATCGGAGGTAGCTGAGCCTCGTCTCCAAGAGGGTCAAAAGCGACCCCGTCGTCTTCCTCGTCTGAATCGTCCAGGTCATTTGCCATAGGATCCACCGGCTTTGGGTGTTTCTTCGAGCGAGCTGCACCCTGGCACCACTTTCGGGGACAATAAACCGTTGACTTATCGGCTTCGAGCTTCTTCTTTCGCTTGAGAAACACGTAACGCTGCACGGTTTCCTGCTCCAGTGGGATCTGAAGAAGCTCGCTGGGACTCAATGCTCGATCATTCTTCTTCCGTTTCTTGCCCTGTACTTCACCGGTCGAAGCGGGTTTTTGTTCCCTGCCACAATCCGGCGCCAGGCATCTTACACTGTCCACATCTCCCTCCGTGATACATGTGTTGTAAAAGTCCTGCAAGCAGGGCACGCAGAACACATGGGAGCAAAAAATCAGCCGGTGGCAATTGGCACCTTTCTTGGGCTCTAGGCAAACGCCACATTCGAAGGTCTCCTGCTCAAACTTCTCTTTTTCGGCCTTATTATTGAAATCCAGCAACGAGATCTTTAGCTCGCGAGGAAGACGTATCTCGCCATTTGGGATGTCTTGAATCCCGAAAGCCGTGTCAGCGAGCTGCTGAAGGTGGTCTATGTAAGTAAAAATGACCAGATCTCTCCCGCATTCCTCCCAGAGGCGTTTCCCATCATCTAGAAGCTGCGAAATAATCGAGGAAGGAAGCCACGGCGGATCGGTGCTGAGTTTGAGAAGCGGTGGGTGGAGGGACGGATATCCTTCAGGAAGATCGACGACGAGAGCAATCGGAGGTAGATGAGGGAGGAGATGTATATCGTTTCCGGCATCAGAAGGGAAGTCGTTGTCGCCAGGTTTCGCAGAGCCAACTTCGGCCGCACCCAGAGAATTCGGAGGGGTCAGAACAGTGGGAGATCCGGCTTCTGCGTGCTGCTGAAAGCAGACTCGCAAGGGTGTTGAAGGCTTCACAGGGATGTCCAACGAGGCCCGGAAGGGAGTCGACGGGTCAATTTTGATTTCCGGGTAGATGGCTTCGATCGAAGACAACTCTATAGAGCGATCGTCGTCGGCAAGCAACTCAGAATCCATAGTGACGCAAGCAGTCACGGCGGAGGGAGGGAATGAATCGAGCGCAATGATCAATTGACCGATATGGTGCTATCCTGGTGGCGAAGAATAACCTTTCAGCTGGCGGTTGGTATTATCGGAGCATGTGAAGATGTATCAAAGGCGTGGCGTCACTTAGAGCATTCATCCCTCGGAGCGAACTGATGCAAAGAGAGAAAAAAAAAGGCAGTGGGGGCCGACAAAATAGCGAGGATCGCGGTGACGGTGGTGAGGCTCGGAGATAGAAGATTGTAGATTAGTCAAGGGCCAGCGTTTCCCAGTTTGGTATGTGGCGACGATAGGAGGGGCCAAGGGAGAAAAAGTCGATTGTGGAGGAGAAGTAGACGGATCACGGAGGCGAAGGCGCTGTCAGATGGTGCAATCCGTGCGAAATAAGCCAGGAGTGGAATTGGAGATGTGAGGGGAAGTGCGTCATGGTTTGGCTGTCGCGATAAGAGCGCAATGGCAGGGATGAGTCAGTTTGGAACCGGATGGACAGGAAGAGAGAAGAGGAAGGAAGACGGATGTACCTCGATGGAAGAAGGGAGAGAGAGGGAGAAGGAGAAGGGGAAGGAGAATCAATCGGATGTGAAGGGAAAAGAGATCAAGGGGCCATCAGGCATTGAGTTTTGATGCCCAGGGGTTGTCTTTCTTTCTTTCTTTCTTTCTTTTTTTTTTTCTTTACAATTAAATTGTAAAGGAATTAGAATGATTTTCGATTAATCAATGGAAAGGCATTCCATCATCGCTGCCTGAGGCGGCCACTTCCCCTCCCCCTCCTTTTCTCTCGCCGCTTTTCTGTTCCCGCTCACCGCCTGGGAAGTGCGAAAAGCGGCGAGACTCCCTGCCCAAAAGAGCCGGAGCAGCTCTCCGCAATCTTATCTGGTCTTGGATGCATTTTCTGTAGTCTTCCCTCTCCACCGACTTTCCTTGCACTTTATTCCTACTATTGCTCCCAAAACCACTGTATCCGGTGGTATTTATCCTTTGTCAACCACCCCGGATACTTGGAGCAGAGGACGACAAAAGAACATCAAAGAAGAAGGGCAGACACTTGCTAGATTCAACATGGGAGAGACGCCATTGGCTTCGCTCTCTCTGACCCACGTCCATTATGTAAGTCCTTGTCCCCCCGTGGCCTCCCTGGACCAGAGATGATCAGAATGGAAAGAAACTAATTTGGTGAATCGGTGGCTATTATAGAATCCGGCCGATCCTTTTTCCTTCCTTTCTGCCTGGCTCGCCCTCGTTCCGCAGGCACTATGTGTGGCCTACGTCACTCTCCTCTGGGCTACGAGGGAAGCCGAGGTGCTCCTTATGTTTGCTGGGCAGATGGGCTGTGAGGCATTGAATTTTGTGCTGAAACGTATTATCAAGGAGGAGCGCCCAAAGCGTATGTGGACTACACCCCCTCGGGACGCCTGTTGATGGTCCTTCGCTAATTCCTAGTCTGGGTTTCGTAGAGATGTTCGGCAAAGGTTACGGCATGCCATCGTCCCATGCTCAGTTTGTCGCTTACTTCGCCGTTTATCTGTCGCTGTTTCTCCTCTTCCGACACGCTCCCACTCTGCCCCATTCAGACGCGAAACTCCACTTCTTCCTCCGACTAATACTTTCTGTGGGACTATGCTGCGGTGCCGGAATGGTAGCTATCAGTCGGATCTACTTGAACTATCATACTCCGAGGCAGGTCCTCGCAGGCTGCGGTGTCGGTATCGGGTGTGCAGTTGCTTGGTTTCTCGTGACGGAGATGCTTCGAACACATGGTTGGATAGACTGGGCGCTAGACCTGTCAATACCCAGACTTTTGAGAATACGGGATTTGGTGGTAAGTGAAGAACTCGACGAAGCCGGGTGGTATCGGTGGGAATCGAAGCGGAAGTTGAAACGTCAAGGACACAGGGATCATCTGTCCCGTAAATCAGATTAAACACCGTTTCGACGGCCCCCGGCATTTGTCGCCTTCGAAGGCCGGAGAGTCAGGGCCAAGAGCTTGTACATGATTGAGCTTCTGTGATACCCCGTACCTGATTATTCTTAAGCCGTTGCTATAGACACATATATATTCCCGTTCGTGGATCTTTGAAATTTAAGTTTAATGGATATGGCACTAGTAATACTAATTCAAGCGTCCTACATTGCATGTTGAGGTCCGATTCACTACAATATATAGTCCCACCTTGCGGTCCGAATAATATGCCCACCGGTTACGTGAGACGACTCCTAGGAAAACCGATGACTGTAAATTGCAATATTAGCGATCTGTAAGCACCCCTTTCTCAAAAGCTGCCCAAAAGGAACGCAGACGTGGAAATATTGACCGTGGTTGCGTTGCTCCAATCCACCGGTACCTTGCACGTGACCGGTCTCGCCCGCGGATCGTCACGTTTCCCCGAATCCTCCATCGTTGATCACAAACCGCTGCCAAAGCCATTTTGTCCAGCCTGCCTCTCAACACCATGTGTCTTCATTTGGATTGATCATCAGAGGACATTTGCTCCCTTTCGCTTGCCACATCTGTGCTTTCTTTATTGATGGCTGGATCTTTCTTTCATCTGCTATATTTTATGACCCATCCTTGACCGATACCCTTGCTGCTGTTGTTTTATTGCATATTTTCCGTCATTTTAGCTCTTTTCCCTAATCTTTCACTCTCGCTTGAAATCAAACATTTGCCCAGTAGCGCAAATGGATGATCCACCAGGCCCCGCCGAAGCCTCCATGCAAGAGCATCACTTTGTGAAGGCAGATGAGGTTGACCAGACCGGGACCGATATCAGCCCAGTCTCGGACGATCAGCTGATGGAAGAGGTTGTCGAGGGGCTGCGACAGGAGCAGGAATCGCAGTCCCCATCGGTTGCTTCCAATGAAGCGGCCCCGCAGGTGGAAAATGTGGCCCGACGACCAGAACTACGTCGTGATGCTGCACCGCCGCCTCCTCTACAGCCTCCGCCTCCAGCTCCGGTTCAGCAGAGCTCGGAAAGGCCACCGGATTCTATGAGTCTTGCTCAGTTGAGGCAGCTGGTCCAGGAGATGCCAAAGATCGAACAGCCCGCTTATGCCTTTGAATACGCCGATTCGCAGCCATTCGAGGAAGAAATCGAAGAATGGTTTCAGTACAGTGAATTTGACCGAGCGATGCTCCTCGGTATGAGGTCAGCCTTTGAGCAGAAGTGGACCGCTTTCGGCGAGAGTCATGAAATTGACTCGAAGGTCTCTTGGATTGATGCATCCGAAACTCAGCGCAAGTCATTTATCAGCCAGGTCATCTCTCGCCTAAAAGACCGCGAGATTTTGATTCGCATCGAAGCGCTAGAAATTCTCTGTTACATAGTGACTGGCGTGTGGGGGATCACTGCTGGAAGATCTGCTCATGACGCCCACGAAGACACGTCCTTGCCGACTGCGGCAAAAGACACAACCCTTAAATCCCTTCAGATTAAGTGGATCGAGAACAACATTGCTTCATTCTATGACTGCTCGGGTGTCCAGCCATTATTTGAGTGTTTATGCCAAGCATTCGAAAAGAACCGCAATTCGCCCAATACCGACTCCCAAAACCCAGGACACGAGAGTGCGAACTTGGCATTCCTTGCTGCGTCGGAGCGGGAGGCGAATCTGGTACTTACGGCATTCTACTTGCTTGTGGAGACTGGCCGGCGGCAGGAGGCCCGTAATGAGAAGCATACGCCTTTACGAGATAGCATCATGGACCTGAACCCTAATCTCTTGGTTTTCTTGGTGGAAATTATCTCTAGGCTGCGATGGGATGACTCGGCAAATGTTCCGCTAACAAGGATTATTCTATTATTCTGGAAGTCCTTGCTTCTCTTCTTTGGCGGCAGCGAAAGTCTGAAGAAAGCAAAGGAAGAATTAGAGCCAGTCTTCGAGGAGAGGGAAAAGTCATCATCCGGCAGAACTCCGTTCCTTACAGCGTCACCACTTGACTATCACGTATTTCGACAGGAGATTACGTCCAAATATCCCTCCTATAACCCACCGCCTCTTGTGGTCCCCTTAGAGCTGGAAAACAGCTCAATTCTCCCTCCTCTTCCTCAGCACCCTAGCAGAACGACCGCTTCTAACGGCCTCTTTTCTGGTGTTGGGCCGTCGGTTGCCGGTGGAAACGGTTCAATCCTTCACCAGTCGGTCCATATCGCAACTCCGGCACCGTCCCCTCCACCGTCACCCATAGGCCCGGGTGGGAAGACGGGAAAGAAGCAGAATTACCAGACTAACCAGAACTTCCCCTTCATGTACCCTCCTCTCGATGACTCGAGCAACGATATCGGTGGCAAAGGCACTACGGAGCTTCAAGATGTGCTGGTGGGAAAGAGATGGGAAGGAAGTGACGTCCCGGCATCGATTATTGAGGCCGGAAAATTATTTTCCACCCACGTCAAGATGACAAGAGCCATGCGGCAGTTGTGGGAAGAGCGAGAGCGGTTCATGAAATACGACCGTGGCTGGTACTTGGATGACAACGAAGCACCACCGGACGATGACCTGGATGCGGAATTGACGGAGGATTTGCATGACTTAAATATACAGGAGAAAAAGAATAGAAAGGCTAGCCCTGACAGAGAACCCAAGAAAGAAACCGACAACGAGGATATCCAACGTCGCCTGGATGCGGTGGAGTCTTTTTATGTGAGTCTGCTCCCTCTTCAGTCCTCCAGACAACTCCGCAATGGCTCATGGTACCGAACAGACACAAGCCCTCGTTCATTTGCAATCGATTACTATTGTGTTTTTGAAGATCATCCTTACCAATGTCAGCGCCGTGGTCAACCAGGCGAATGGACCCATGAGGTATGTCAACCACAACGTCCCGGGTCACACTCGATAGTCTAACCGGCATCTTCAGTGACGGCTACGGCTCGGTCAATGGATACGCGGCTGGACATGGCAACAATATTATTGGGGAACTCAACGCAGATGCTGCCATTGACGAACTCGACAACCTTCGGCTACGTGAGATCACCGGGAAAGCCATATCGGGCTCGTTGCTGCTTTTGGTGAAATGGTTCAAGAGATCCCGTGAGTTCAAGCTTGTCACGAGCTCTTGCATGAGGTGTTAACAAAAGCCCAGATATATTGAAATTCGAGTACATGACTCAGTTATTACTCGATTCCAACTATTTGCCTCTGATTCTGAAAATGTTTGCCCACCAGGATGTTGATCAAGCAGTGGCGCAAAAGAACGATCGCGAAGAACTGGGGTTAGTGCTATCCCACAGAAAGGTTATTTAGACATTTACTGACCATGCATAGCTTCTTCCACTTCTGCCACCTGCACTCGGATCAACCACCCCAGCAGACCGAGCACTCGGAGGGAGAGTCAAGTGAGGATGAAGCAGTACCGCCTCCGATTGCCCGACACCGACAAGATTCAGGGCCCGAAAGCACTTTGATGCCCGAGCCATCCCCTGAAGAACCCGCACCCGACTTCATGGAAGAGAATCATCGCCCCGAGGTTGACGAACTGGGATACCCGACCGCGCCGCCTCCCAAAGAGCCGATTACAGTCTTCTCATTCCGCAATTTCTTCTCGGCCATTAATTACCTGCATGTCATGCAGAAGATCACCCGAGACAAGGCTCACCGATGCCTGCTACTTGTCCAGTACAAATCCAGCACGATTCTTCGCAAGGGACTCAAGATCCCCGATCCCCATTTGCGATTCTACACGTTGAAGCTATTCAAGTCGCAGGTCCCGTATTGTGGCCGCAAATGGCGCCAGAGTAACATGCGTGTTATTACCGCAATATACCTCTACTGCCGGCCGGAACTGCGGGATGACTGGCTGGCGGGATCCGATATTGACGCGGAGGTTGAAGAAGCGCTGCCTCTGGAGCAAGCCCTTCGGGGCATGACCCATTGGTGGCACCTGCGACAGTACAAAGACGTCATGGGTGGCGAAGAGGGCACTTCTCTCATGCAAGAAGAACGGGATTTCTTCTCTCGCGAGCTGGAGTCAATGGGATGGGGATTTGCAGACGACATCAATGGAGTATGCGAGGAAGAACTGGTCGCTGCTGGCGGGCCTTTACCAAATGGGACCGAATGGGAGGGAGGACCTATGCAGATGGAAGGGTGGTAGGCTTGACCGCTGGTGACGGCATTGAGACATATTGAAAGTCATCCCTAGCGTACCTAGATCATCGACCCTATCATAGTAGAATTATTATACCCTGAAGAAGAGACGGCGATTGAATGTTTTCGTTAAAATAACAACTGCACTCTGATTGGTGGAGGACGCTGATAACGATAAGGATCACCAGCCTTATCGATAAGACGGATACCACGTGACTGATTACTGCGGTAACTCTTTTTTTTTTTTTTTTTTTTTGGCGCCAAAACCATTCGGTCCTCGCAGAGTCTGCGCATCGACCCCAGGTTCTTTCCCCAACCACGGTCCTCTGCAGTGACCGCCTCGCCTCAAAATGTCGTCGGACGAGATTGTCTGGCAGGTTATCAACCAGCAATTTTGCTCTTACAAACTGAAGTAAGTTTCTGATGAAAAGATCTGCCGGCGGATCCCAGGCCGGAGACATGTTGGAGAACTTGGACCCCGAGCAGGAACCAAAGGGCGAAAAAAAACCTTTTAAGGGTTATCGTTTAAGGGTTTTCGGCACAGATCACTAACTAGAAATTTCCAATGATTGCAGAACCACAAAGGAGCAAACGTTCTGCCGAAACGAATACAATGTCAGCGGTCTCTGCAACCGCCAGTCCTGCCCTCTGGCAAACTCCCGATATGCTACGATCCGATCGGACCCCGAGACCGGCGCGATGTATCTGTACATGAAGACGGTGGAACGATCACACATGCCCAACAAGTGGTGGGAGCGGGTGCGACTGTCGTCCAACTACGCCAAGGCGCTCGAGCAGGTCGACGAGCGGCTGATATACTGGCCCAAGTTCCTGGTGCACAAGTGCAAGCAGCGACTCACGCGACTGACACAGGTGGCCATTCGCATGCGGAAGCTGGCCAAGGAAGACGAGCGATTGGGTGAGACGGTGGTGCCGCGGTTGGCGCCTAAGATTCGACGGAGAGAAGAAGCCCGTGAGCGCAAGGCCGAGTCGGCCGCTAAGGTTGAGAGGGCGATTGAGCGCGAGCTGATCGAGCGTCTGCGCAGCGGTGCCTACGGGGATCGACCGCTCAATGTTGAAGAGGGGATCTGGAAGAGGGTCCTTCGGGGCTTGGAGCGCTCGGGTGAGGGTGAGCGCGACGAGGATCTGGATGATGGGGAGCAGGTGGAGGATGAGGAAGAGGGTGTTGGGGAGGTGGAGTATGTCAGCGATATGGATGAGGACGAGGATCTGGAGGACATTGAAGATTGGCTGGGTGGTGAGTCGGCGGACTCGAGTGATGACTATGATGACGAGGATGAGGACGACAGCGAGGAGGACAGCGACCAGGAGGATGACAGCGCTCACAGCGAGGACGAGGCGAAGAAACCCGCGCCTGGATTCAAGAGAAAGCGCCCTGCTCCCCAGGCCAAACCTCGGAAGAAGGGACCCAAGGTTGAGATTGAGTACGAGACGGAGGGAGTTGGCAAGGAGAATGCCCTGGCCTAATGATCTAGAAGGAAGAGATGTTGAACATACAAAAAAAAAAAGCATTCTGGGACTGTTTTATGCACGGCGTTGTCTGGACTTTGTTTTCTTCGAGTGTTGAATCAATTGTGCTGTGCTGCGATCGGGCGTGTGTGGCCCTTGCATAATGTCTATAGTCGATTAGTTGACATAGTCCCGATTCTGCAGGACGATCGGGAGTTTGAATCCAGCATTGACAATTGCGACTATTCCATGAATGCGATGAGGTTATACGGAGTATCTTACTTTGGCTGGACGATGCGGCTCACGTGCGGCGGTGAAACACGGAAGAGCCGCCTTCTTTAATCAACTTGAATCAGTCCAGCAGTCAATCTCCCTCATCTTTCCCCTTCAATTGCCCCTCATCCCCCCCTTCTGTCGCATCCGTTCTCCTTTTCTTAATTCTTAATTCGTTCAAGGGGTAACCGTGTCCAATTCCGTCTTCGAAATCTCACCACCGCCAATTCTTTCCAGGGGCGTGGCCGCCTTTTCATCCCGCCACATTCCCCCTCCTGATCAAGCAACCGACCACTTCACTCTGCGAGTGACGCATCTGGCCACCAAACTCCCAGCAACATGTTCTCCTCTCTGACGTCGTCTTCGGCTCTGTCCAATCTGGGCACGCGGCTAAACTCCTTCCGACGCGCCATCACTCTGGGCGACGAGGCCGACGATCCCGATCACGAGGACTGCTCGCACATCTCGAACGTTCTCCGGGCCTATTACACCGAAAAGGGTCGGCCATACCCGTCCTGGTTACCCCCCGATCCAAAGGCGCCGACGCCGTCACCGGCCCGCGTCATTGCGACGACTCAGATCCAGCCTGGCGCGGGCGCCCCGGCAGCCTCGACCTATGGACGCAGTAGCGGTGGAGGACTAGGTGATCTGTGGGGAGACTCGGGTGCAGCACAACCCCCGGCACCCCAGACAGCAAGTCTCCGACGAGGACGAGGTGGTGTGAGCGGGCCCCCTCTGGCTACGGCAAATAGCGCACCTTCCGGGTCCCTGGCGACGGCGCCGAGCCAGTCTCCCACGCCGCCGATGCTGCACCCGTCCGGGGCCCGACCTCTCCCTAGTCAGCGAGCCGGGTCCTACCAGTCGATGTCGGGAGCGCAGCCCTTGGAACGGGCAGCATCGGCGCAGGAACGACTACGGGCCAGGTTGCATGGGGGCCGGTCTCCTAGCCCCGGTCAGAATCCGAATAGTCGGCCCAATTCACCGTACTACGGAGGGGGAGCGGATCCTAGTGCACGAAAACCGGTCGGGATGCCTCCCGGGAGAATGCGAGGGTAAAAGGGAAACGAAGTCAGAAATCGCGGACGCCAAGGGAGGAGAGGGAAAAATGTGGAGTGCGGAGTTGTGGAGAGAGGAGGGAGAGAGAAGACTAAGAGTCAAGTGCCTGTTCTACTGGTCGACCACGCCAATCCATTATCCTATCAAATTCGCTAGTCCCCAAACATCGCAAGTTGTTTCGAAGGAATCGCAAAGCATCCCACGCCGTCAGTGGAGCCTAAGCCTTCTGGGCGCCGTCTTAACGCGCGACGCAGCGAATGAGCGTCTCGGCTCTCGGTCTCGATCCTTGGAAGGCCCAAAATCGCCGGAGACTCGCCGAAATTGTCCCGGAATCGGCGTGTGTCGAACGTGGTTTGCTTGCCAGAATGGTCCAAGGCCGATGCACCTCGTGAGTGTTTCGTCCCGTTGCCGACGGGGATTTTTCTCCACGGGGAAGAAAACACGGAGTTGGTGTGGAGATCGGCATCGCAACTAAGCCCTCCTTGCTGCGCTTGCATTTTTTCCTCTCGTTCTCCCCCACGGATGACCCTGTCGTCTTGTTGGCTTGTTTGAGCGAATAATTGACGTCCTGACGTCTGCGTTGCACAATGTTTTCCTTCTACCACCCCCGCCTTGAGTCGCGGGCTTTTAAATCCTGCCTTTTCTCCCTTTTTTTCTTCTTCCCCATTTTTCTTTTTTCTTTTTTTTTTTCGTTTTCTCTCCGATCTTCTCTTCTGTACTCCCTTCTCGTCGTGACTGTGTCCCTCCTAGCCGGTTGACATCCCGGCCTATTATTGAGGGCTTTCTCTTCATTCCCACCAGAATCCTCTCAAGAGATCCATCATGGGCTCCCTCAAGGATGTCGAGGCATCCCATGATGATCACAAGGAGCCTGCGGCCCTGGAGATGGACGACGTCTCCAAGGATCCCAAGGCATCTGCCGAATACAACGAAGCCGCCATGGACGCGGAACTCCAGCAGTTGGAGGAACAGCTGCGTGAGTTGAAGCAGTCTCGCTTCCAGATGACGTTGTCCAACCCGGCCTTCTTCACCTATATCCTCGTCGCTTTTGCCTCGATGGGTGGTCTGCTCTCGGGTCTGGATCAGTCCCTGATCAGTGGTGCCAATCTCTTCATGCCCGATGACCTGCACATGTCCGCTAGCCAGAGCAGTCTAGTCAATGCCGGTATGCCTCTGGGTGCCGTCGGCGGTGCTCTCATCCTGTCGCCTGCCAACGAGTACCTGGGTCGTCGCATGGCCATCATCGTCTCTTGTATCCTGTACACCATCGGTGCCGCCCTGGAGGCGGGTGCCATCAACTTTGGTCTGATGTTTGCCGGTCGGTTTATCCTGGGAATGGGCGTCGGTCTTGAGGGCGGCACCGTCCCCGTCTATGTTGCCGAGTGTGGTATGTAACAAGACTTCCTTCCATCTCAAGGGAATACCTGGGTCGCTAACGTGTTTCCTCTGTGCAGTTCCTGGACGGATCCGTGGTAACCTCGTCTCCTTGTACCAGCTGAACATCGCTTTGGGAGAGGTTTTGGGCTATGCAGTAGCCGCAATCTTTGTCGATGTTAAGGGTAACTGGCGGTACATCCTCGGTTCCTCGTTGGTCTTCTCGACCATCCTTCTTGTGGGAATGCTGTTCCTGCCCGAAAGTCCGCGTTTCCTTATGCACAAGGGCAAACCGGTGGAAGCGTACGGTGTGTGGAAGCGAATTCGTGGCTTCGAGACGCTCGAAGCCAAGGACGAATTCTTGGGCATGCGGCAGGCCGTCACGTCCGAGCGCGAGGAGCAGCAGAACACGAAGAAATATGCCTGGATGGATTTCTTCACCAACCCTCGTGCCCGCCGTGCCATGGTCTACGCCAACGCCATGGTCTTCCTGGGCCAGTTCACCGGTGTCAACGCCGTCATGTACTACATGGGAGTTCTCATGACCAAGATCGGTTTCGACGAACGCACCAGTGTTTTCATGTCCCTCGTTGGCGGTGGCTCCCTGCTCATCGGTACCATCCCCGCCGTCATGTACATGGAGAAGTTCGGCCGTCGCTACTGGGCCAACGCCATGCTACCGGGCTTCTTCATCGGTCTGGTCCTCGTCGGTGTCGGCTACACTATCAACTACGAGCAGCATCCCGCTGCCGCCGAGGGTGTCTATCTGACCGGCATCATCCTCTACATGGGCTTCTTCGGCTCCTACGCCTGTCTGACCTGGGTTGTTCCCGCCGAAGTCTTCCCCACGTATCTGCGATCCTACGGCATGACCACTGCCGACGCCAACCTCTTCCTCTGCTCGTTCATCGTCACCTACAACTTCACTGCTATGATGAACTCCATGACCCGCATCGGTCTCACCCTGGGCTTCTACGGTGGCATCGCCGCCATCGGCTGGTTCTACCAGATCATTTTCATGCCCGAGACGAAGAACAAGTCCCTCGAGGAAATCGACGAGCTTTTCTCGCGCCCGACGTCCTCCATCGTGCGCGAGAACCTCAAGAGCACGGCCGAGGTCGTTCACGACCTGTGCCGTTTCCGATTCAAGAAGGTCTTCACCCCCGGTGCTTAGGGCTGATTTGCTTTCTTCTGTAAACCATACCGTTGGATTATTTGCTCGTGCTCGTTGCTGTAACCCGGTTGATCCTTGATTTCCAACGCCAACGGACAAGAGGTGGAACGTTGAGTAATGGGCGAGACCTTTCATGATATTCACGATCTACATGCATTATGTGACGTACGTATGGAGGTTGGGGGAGAGAAAATCAATTAATTACATATTCACACATAGTTTTCTTAATTGCTCACAATAATCATCTATGATCTGTTTTACTATATATTATAATGAGTCTCCTTTCCTAAAAGCCTATCTCTTTCTGTCATCCCATGTCCAGGTTTAATTAGTAGAAGAACCTAGGTACATGTCTAATCTAATCTCCCGAGAGAATCTTCAAAAGAAGCCCACCAAAGCCATGATCAAATACAGGGTAATATTTCAACAGTTGGACAGTAGTAGGTAAGTAAATAGTCTATATACCAAAGCAAGAAAACAATGCTCAACGACAAGAATAAAAAAGGTGAGAAAAAGAAAAAGACGTTGGCTGGATGATTTAACCATAGTACAGACACAGATGGTGGTTAACAGTGGGAAGATAGAAATGAAGAGAAGAGGTATAAAGAAAGAAAGAAAGATAAAGGAAAGGGTAGTTAATGGTAGCAATGATGATAGAAGAAAAAAAGAAAAGAAAAGAAAGGGGAATCATTCGCTCCGATCCAAACACCCACCCCACTTCATGGCCAAATGAATCAATCAATCTCATAATAAAAACGACAAGAGTAAGATAATTTTCTAATTTTGTTAACCGCGGACTTTCCGATAACTGGGAGGACTCCAGGATCGCTTGATCAGTTTCCCGGCCCAGACGGGAATGACGGCCACGGCGCACACGGCGCACACGCGCCAGACCCAGTCCACAGTGATGACATACTCGAGATCGAAGTAGCTGCCGAGGAAGGGGACGCTGGCGGCGTAAAGGAGAGCAGTGCCCAGGAGACAGAAGATCATGACCGGGTGCCAGGTGGTGATGGCGATGGCGACCATCAGAAGCTCGTTGATGACGAGCGCGGTGAATGATACGCTGATGAGTCGCGGGCCGGAGATGGTGTCGAGGAGGATCTGGGAGAGACCTTGGATGACGGCGCCTTGGTATACGGAGACGAGGACCCAGGTGAAGAACGAGCGGTAGCTGAGACTGCGGCCGGTCTTGAGTTCTTTGTACAATTCGGGGTAGAGGTTGGCCATATGTTCGTCGACGTCGCGGTCGAAAACGAGGGAGAAGACCGGGGCGTTGGTGTACACGGTGGCATAGCCGACCATGAGCCAGTTGATGAAGAGACCCTTGGGGTCGAAGTGGCTGGCAATGCTGTACATGGTTTGACAGGCGCTGATGACAAGACCGCGGTGCATGATGAACTGGGCTAACTTGGCAGACCGCTTGTACGAGTTACGGCCATGCCAGACGAGGAGTTTGGTGAGATGATGGAACTGCGTGATACTGAAATCGGCCGCCAGCGAGGCCTGACGACCTTCTTTACCAACAATACCGATCCCGACGTCGGCGGCTTGAATCATGGACACGTCGTTTCCACCATCTCCGATGCAGCAGACTCGCTTCTTGGTGTGATGGCGGATCAGATCGGCAACTTCAGCCTTCTGGGTGGGAGAGCACCGGCAGGCAACAACGGCCGGGAGAAGCACGGCAACAGAGATGAACGCGGACCGGAATTGGCTGAGCATGAGAGCAAGCGACTCGCCATCGATGAGAAGACAGCAGTCAGTCTTGTTGCGCAAGAAGTCCAGCGTTTCCTGCGCTGTCGACTTATCCTTCACTTTGGCGACGGTGTGGATGTATTGACCTCGGGCCACCAACTTGGCAGAGATCGCCACACATCGCGCCGTTTCCACTTTGTCTCCTGTCAACATCCAGATCTTAACCCCGGCGTTGCGAAGGAGCTCCAAAGAAGGCTTGACATCCCTTTGGAGACGATCTTCAACACCAGTGACTCCCAGGAGCTCCAAATCACGTTCGAGATACTCGCCAATCACCTTGGCCATCCCAGCATCTCGTCCTTGGAGAGCCAACGAGGCTTGCTTGTATTTCCCACTGAACTCCTGATACTGCAGCGAAGATAGTCGTTTTCGCCCAACCACAAGGGTTCGCAGCCCCTCTCGAGCCATGTTAGCGGTTTCTTCGTCGAGCCAGTCGTTTGCGGCAACGATAGTCGACATGACGGTATCCGCACCCTTCTGATAAAACCAAATCTCACTGTCCTGCTGGGGCGATTCTAGTACTCCGCCCTCTGTTTCAAACTGTACGATAATCCCCATCCGCTTGCTGTCTGATGTGAAAGGGAAGATATCAAGGATGCGGACGCGCACAACAACATTTCCCGTGTGAGTCGATTCGAGGACAATTGATTGTCGGTCACGATATGCTAGTTTGAGTCCAACTTCCTCGGTGTACCTAACAATGGCAATTTCATCTGGCGACGAAGCCTGGTAGCTTGTGACTTTCACACCATCTTCTTCGTCCATGGTTGGTGTGACGTTATGGCAGAGGGCGAGAGCTAGAACGATGTCTCTGACACGCGAGCCAATCTCCCTCCTCGTACGGGGCGCTGCGGCCGCAGCTCCAGCCTGAGCGCCGAAGACAGCCGAAGCGGTGGTCAAAGAGGGACCAGCAAAGCTTTGCTTGACATACGAGGCGACTTCTTCCATAGCATCGTTCGCGTATGAGACCGTCCCGACATGTATCTTTTTCAGCTCCATTTCTGCTTGGATTAGCTATACTGAAACATGACCGGCGTAATCAAAAGACTAGACATACCATTTTGGGTCAAGGTCCCCGTTTTGTCGGAGAGCAAGTACTCGATTCGACCAAGATCCTCGGGTATCGTACTTGTTCTCACCACCGTATCGGGGATATCTTGATCTCGTTCGATGAAGCGACCGTATACCGATTTTGCCATGTCCAGGTTCACTCGCAAACTCATGGGAATGATTGTGGAAAACAGGATAAGATATATCATGATGGCAATGTACCACTCCTTGTCGTTGGTCGGTTGGAATCCTTCCAAAGCAACCAGAACGATAGACAGAGCAAGAGTGAGGATACACAGAATTTTAGTAAGGTTGTTTATTTCGTACTCCAACAGTCCTACTTTAGAGCGAGATGGAGATGTTGAAAGGGCGGCTCGCGTCTGCGAGCCAGTATAAATGATGACGGCGTAGGTGATTGTGTTTGATGCGAGGACGGTGTTGGCCCATGCGGTGTTGTCGATTGTAAGAGGAGCAGAGTTGGCCCCCGGATCCTCGTTCTCATAGTCCCCTCCATTGTCTGCCTTATCCATGTGAGGGTCATAGAACCCGGACGGAGGTCCCAATTCAAGGGTGCCGACGAAGTCGTTGACTTGCTTGTCCGGGGCGCTCGCGGTCACCTTAAGCCTCGGAAGATCATTGAATGATAGATTTTGAGATAGAATTGAGGGCAGGCGCAGTTTCCAATCGGTTTCACCGTCGAGTTGGTCCGTTCGTATGAAAGTATCGCTGCCAGGAGAGAAATTCCCGTCATCTGCGTGGGAGCGCGGGTCGGGGTTTTCATGGCTTGCAGAGGGTGATGACGGCCCTTCATCTGACTGGATGAGATCCGTAGATACTCTGGGGGTGGAGGCTTGATGGGAATTGCCGGAGTCATTGGAAACGCTTTTCAAGATCACGACATCGGCCGGCAAACGCTGATTTTTGCGAATTTTCAGCACATCGCCGACTTTCAGATCCCGGGATCGTTTGGTCATTTCCATGACATTTCCGGCGTTAGAATGGTCATTGCCAGTGGAAGAAACCGCTCTTGCGCCGAGCGGCTTGTCGAAAGCGAGCACAGAGAAAGTCTCAGCATTTGCTTCGGCATCTCTTCTCCGTCGGCCGATATCATCCAAGGCTTCCTTTCCGAGCGAAATACAGACGACGAAGGCAAGTGGTGCGATGTAGGACGACATGTAACCAATCCGGAGCACGGGTATTATCTGCGAAAGAGCGACAAGGAGAAAGTAAATGTTGAAGAAAAAGGAAAATTCGTTATAGAGTGTACGCGGAAGGAAACTCCAGGGTGTGTATTTGGCGTTGGAAACAATATTCGGGGGGTATTTCGACCGTTGCGCCTGGCCAACAAGGACATCACGCGGGGGCTTCGGTTGCGAGGCATCACCACCGGCTGTCGTTCGAGCTGCCGCGCCGAACAACATACTAGCCGCCTTGATGCCTGGGAAGCGTAACCGGCTTCCGCTCTGCGATTCCCGCTCAACGTCTCCAAAGGATCGAGCAGAGCTCCGCCTGCGTTCGTTCAGCAACGGCGCATCGTCATCCATGAATTGGCGAGAACTGGCGTGTGACGTTCGAAGTCCATTATCGTCGCGATGGTCCAGAAGACCTTCCCTATCTTCCGATCTTCTCTGGCTTCCAGAGGGTTGTCTCCATATTCGGTTTCCGACCCCCATGCGAAGGTTCCTCAGCGCTATCCCTGGGCCATGGCTTCGTTGTCTACCCAGCCCGTCTCGGGACATCCGAGGCGATCCATGAGGAGATGCCGTACCGGGATCGAGTTCCTCCAAATCAAGGTCGTCGTCTGAACCCGAGTCCCCAAGAATACTGGACTGGTCGTGCGCATGTACATAGTCAGGCGATGAAGGCATGGTGAAGGCGATTCAGGTGTTCGGAATAGGCTCCCCCCAAAAAAGCGAAGCGACCGTTATGCTCCTGAATCAAGAATCGGTTCTCATTTCACGGTAAGCTGCATCTAGAAGATCTCCGCCAGATCATTGTTGTTTGCCGCAGGTCCGAGGGGGGTGGTCGTGGTAGGTCCGAATACGCGCGGGATTGAACTCGGAGATCGGGCGCCGGGGATATCGAGAGAGGCAAATGCCTAAAGAGGGTGGTGAAATAATCCGTCGAAACGCAGGCGAGACTGGCTACTGAGAAAGACGCAGCAATTGGCAGAAGATGGCGGCCTAGATGGGATGGGCGGAGGAGCAGCCGATCACATGATGAGCAGAAAGACGTGGCTGTGGCGCCTCCCAAGCCGAAGTGAAACGGCCATGTCGTCAGGCGGCCGGAGGGAGATTACGGACGAACTACGGGGGATATACGCCGGAGTATTCTGGAGAGACAAGAATGATTCTTCCAGGACTTTCTAGAGGTACTACTGTTATAATACAGTATAACATATTATAGCATAAATTATAGATAAATTATAAATAAATTATAAATAAATATAGAATAAATTATAAGAATAATATACGTAAATACGAGTCCCACGTGACCGCCAAACGGAATAGGTGGCACTTCCGCCGGAGAAACGCCGGCCCGCCCACATGACGGGCGCGTTCCAAAGCAGGAAAAGTCCGGAGAAGTTCAGCTCACGGGCGAGGCTTTCCTTGGCCCGTCATCATCTCATCTCGACTCTGTCCTTCGCCGCCACTAGTGTTGGTGCTTTTTCTCTGCTCTTCTGCTCTTCTGCTCTCGTCGCTCCGAGTCTTTGCATATGCTGTCATGATCCTTTAATCGCCCTTCCATTCCTGTGATGTTTTTCTTTTGTCGGGACGCTTCTATATAATTAATTTATTTCCCTTCCATGTCTCACTAATCCATCCCGCCCTTGCCAGTCGCATCGGTCCGCAGGGTGAGCATCTCCCGAAACGTGTCCGATTCCATTTTTTGTTTATGCTAATCTCCTGCCCACCCATGAAGATCTAATAATATTCAACCATGGCACACAACGGTGAATCGGTCGCGTGGAATCCGGCCCTCCGACCGGACGATAACAATGATCTGGCTGCGACATCTCACAACGCGGAGGTCACCCCGAAGGACCCGACAACAGAAGTTACTCCCGACGCGCCTGTCGCCCCCGAGATAGTCGAGACTCTCGTCGAACCCACGGTATCCGAGCTCGATCCATCGATAGATCTGCCAGACACGATTATCCCGGATACGACTGACTCCAACAATTTCCCGCCGGTATTTGAAAACTCGAATCTGGACGAATCACTGGAGAACAATGGTGATGAGTGGGCGGCGCAATTCAATGACGGTGAACCGGCCCAAATCGCCGAGGAGGAATCCGTCCCTCAACTAGATGGCGTGAATGAGCCGCAACCCGAAGTTGAAGATGTGCAGGCTGCTTTCCCCCAACCAGCCGAAGAACCCTTCCAGACGGCCGATCAGAACCCGAATCCCTTCGCGGATGATAACAGCTCGCCGTGGCCCAATGAGCCCGAAAACCAGGAATTCCCCCAAAATACGAACGGAGATCTTGACAGCGAAGATCGTGGCTTCTGGGAGAATCCTTCAAATGATGACGCCGGGGATGACTTCTTCGATCAGCTCAAGACGCAAACCAAACCGATTTACATACCGCCAGAAACCGAGTCGAGATTTGAAGAGGGTGTTCCGCTCCTGGACGACTCGGTACCACCTTCGGCTGTGCAATCTCCGGTTGAAGAACCGGTAAAGCAACAAAGTCAAATCGACAGTATCTTTGCCGGCGACGACGAGGACCAGGAGGAGGGCGCGTTTTTTAATGAGGTTCAGAAGTCGGAACCCGTCGAAGAACAACCCCAATCGTTGCACATTACTCGGAAGAGCACCACTCAAGTACTCGACTCTCTGGATGTCCCGCCGTATTCCCCGGCCAGCGACACGTCACCAACCGCTCAAGAGTTCAACAATATTCTGGCGGCCGCTGCCTCGGAGAACCACGCTGTACCAGAGGACCAAGCCAAAAGCGTATCGTCTGATGATGATTTGGCCGCTCGCTGGCAGGCTGAACTGTCGGACGACCCAGTGGAGACAGAAAAAGCCCCCGAAGACGACTTGGCTGCTCGATGGCAAGCAGAATTGGACGATGACGATGATCTGCTTTTGGGGGATGAAGTGGATGAGAAGCCAGCTGCCGTCCCCAGCGCCAACCATCAAGGCATGAATGGAGTTGTCCCGGATGCTGCTCCGGCAGGCTTTGGGTCCCCCTTTGCGCCTCCACACCAACCCACTGCTCCTAGTGTACAGCCTGCCTCCTACACGCCACATCAACCATCCACATCAGACCTGCTCCAAGGGATTCCACCACCCCCAGTAGGTAGAGCTCCGTCGAACTACTTTGCACACCAACCTCAGTCAAGTTCGCCAGAAGTCAAAGCACCAAGCTTTGCGGAACGTTCGAAGGAGGGATACAAGTCTCCCTACGATCTTCCCGACGATCTCGCTCGGCCTCGTAGGCCTGCTGCCAGCTATAAACCTGTCGTTGTCCCGGGGAGTAACGCACCGCCACCTGCCCGGAGCAGTAGTATGCCAATGCCGCCTCCCTCATCCGCTCTACCGACTCCTTCACTTGGGACATCGCCTAGTGTAACGGCCGCACCGCCCAAGAACTTCTATGAAGAACTTCCTTTGCCACCTCCGATGCCACGCTCACGACCTCCGACCGCAGGACGCTATACCCCTGAGGTCAACGCAGCGGCTGCTCCACCTGCACATATGCCCCCTCCGCAGGCAAATCAGTATGGCAACCTTTCTGCTGCCTTGCAACAGCCTGGCATAGTCGACACTCAGCATCAGTTGCAATCACCAGAACGAGTTGAGCCATATGCGAATATGTTGGCTCCTGCCCCTCCAAGTACACAGGGCGCCCCTAGCGCTGCGTCGAGATACTCGCCTAAGCCTCCTACGCTGAATGCTGGTGCTAGGCCCGCTCCGTCGCCTAGATATTCGCCTGCGCCGCCTCAATCGACTGCCCCTCCTCCCCCTAAGAACCGCTATGCCTCGCAGCCTTCGAGTGGGCCGGAGCCCTCAATTACCCTTCCATTCCAACCACGCACATCAAGCCCTCTAGCTTACCACGAGAAGGTTTCGTACCAGCCCAGGGAGGGCCCGGCAAGGCAACCTTTCATGGAGTCAGAAGCTAGTTATGCTTTCCCCGAAGAGGTGCAGCCACCGTCACAAGAGCAGGAGGGCACCCTTCCCGTACATCCTCCTCAGCCCCATGACGCTGTGACTTCAAGTCCCATCAAAATTGCCAGTCCTGAGCGCATCCCGTCAATTTATCAACCCGTCTCGCCGCCGAGGAATCCTTATGCTCCGCCTGAGTATACCAATGATGGCTTGAAGGGACCAGCGCCCCCAGTCAGTAGCTTATCTTCTTCCGCACCGCCGGCCGGTGATTCCCCATATGCGCCCCCTCGCCGATCGCAGACCCAGTCTCCTGGTCAGCAATTGGGTGGCCCTAGATTGTCTGTTCCGTCAATTGATCCTCTACAGCGTCCCGCCTCCGTGCACGGCTCCGGATCTCCGACAAAGACTGCTAGTCCTTACGCACCTTCGCAGGTCTCTGTCCACAATCGCGTTTCTTCTCAACCGCTCGAATTTATTCCCCCCGAAGACGGCCAGCAGCTCGACCCCCTCGAACGATGGAGGGGTGCTCCTATAGTCAAATTTGGGTTCGGTGGTTCCATAACCACCTGTTTTCCAAAGCATATACCCAGGTATACTGCTGGACAAGTGGCCCCGAAAATTAAATCCAGCCCGGGCGAGGTTCAAATCCACCAATTCAATGAATGGGTCCCTGTTCCGGAAAGCATCGTGCAACACCCAGGTCCTTTGAAAACCAAGTCCAAGAAGAAGGACCTGCTCGCTTGGCTCTCTAGCAAAGTGGTGGCATTTGAGAATGAAGGAATCTCGGAAGCAGCACAACTACACCCGGACTCCCACAAACGCCATGATGAAAAGATATTGCTGTGGAAGATTGTCAAGGTTCTGGTCGAACATGACGGAAACTTGGAAGGCTCAGCGGATACCCAAAAGTCCTTACGCAATGTCATCTTCCCGCATTTGCAAAACGCCGAGAGTGAGCAACAGAACTACGGAGGCGGCTTCCCTACATTCGGTAACCCACAGTCAATGGATGCGACGTCTCGTCCCGATTCCATCGACACTCAATCACTAGAGAGCCTTCGCAGCAGTCTTTTGATGGGTGACCGAGAAAAGGCTGTATGGACTGCAGTGGACCACCGGTTGTGGGGCCATGCCATGATAGTAGCATCGACACTAGATAAATCTGTTTGGAAGCAGGTTGCTCAGGAGTTTGTGAGACGGGAGGTGAGATCTGCGACCAGCAATACTGAGCCTATTGCCGCACTTTATGAGATATTCGCTGGTAATATCGAAGAGAGCATCGACGAACTTGTTCCGCCATCAGCCCGAGCTGGACTGCAAATGGTTAGCAAGGTGGAAGGCCAAAGTACTTCCAAGAATGCTCTTGATGGCCTCAACAGTTGGAAAGAGACTCTTGGCCTAGTGCTCAGCAACCGCAGCCCCGATGATCACCAGGCATTGTTGGCTCTGGGTCGTTTGCTGCTATCCTATGGCCGTGTAGAGGCTGCTCACATCTGCTTTATCTTCTCAAGAGCCGCTGTGTTTGGCGGCGCTGATGACCCGCAGACGAGCGTTGTTCTGCTTGGGGCTGATCATCAACACCTCCCCTCTAATGTTCTGCGCGATGACGATTCTATCCTACTCACCGAGGCATATGAGTATGCCACCACGGTCCTTGCAGGCTCTCCCACAGCTGCGATGCCCCATCTGCTGGCATACAAACTAATATATGCTTGGTCTCTTGCAGAACGTGGTTCTAAGACTGAGGCTCAGCAGTATTGCGATGGAATCGCGGCAGCACTGAAGGCTACCACGAAGCCTTCCGCTTATCACCACCAGCACTTATTCTTTGGGGTGGATGAACTTTCAGCCCGTCTCAGACAGACAACGCATGAGGGAGGCTCTTCATGGATATCCAAGCCGAGCATGGAGAAGGTATCCGGCTCCATGTGGGCCAAGTTTAACAGCTTCGTCTCCGGCGAAGACAGCGACGCAGCCTCGACAGGCTCTGGAAAGGCCGGAGATGCAGATGTTGGACCCTTCGCCAAACTTGCCGGGACGCCGACCGTTAGCCGGTCACCGTCAATGTCAGACCTGTATGGACCCTATGCTTCTGCAGCACCGTCTGTCCCAGCGAGTGGTCCATCGCGATACCAACCTGCCAATCCATATGCGCCCAATTCATCGCCGGAACAGCTGCGTGGGAGGTCTTCGCTTGACTCCCAGCGGTCTTCCTCATACGGGTACCCAGCGGGGCGACGTGGCTCCCAGGAGCCATCGACGCCAGTCGATAACAACCTGTACCAAGGAGGACCATTTTATAACTCACCGCCTGTCGCTGGCTACCAGGGAACGCCTCCACAGACTTCACACATGCCTCTGGCCCCTGTCGAGGAGGATTCGGTCTCCCAATCTTACTCTGCACCGATGCAGGGATCTCCGATGAATGTTACGCCTTACCAGCCAACCGGAAACCTTCCGTTCGGTCCATCTCTCACGCAGCCACCAACCTCGGAACCCGAACCCAGCGGGACTGGCTACATGCCACCCAGTGCGGGTGGTGGTTACGAGCCACCGTTTTTGGACAACAGCACGCACTTGATGCCCGAACCTGCAGATGATGCTCAGGGCGAACACACTATCCAGAAAAAGAAGTCTTTCATGGATGATGACGAGGATGACGACATTGGAGCCCGTGCAGCAGCTGTTCAGAAGGCCGAGAAGGAGCGTAAGGACCGGGAAGCGGACGAAGCTTTCAGAAAGGCTGCCGAGGCCGACGGTGAGTTTTCTTTACGATCTATTGATTATGACCTGGTACTAACGCATCTTTTATAGCCCAAAAGCCTGCACCCGCGAAGAAGTCGTGGTTCGGTGGGTGGTTCGGCGGCAAGAAGGATGAAAACATCGGAGGCCAAGCACAGGGCCCGGGACCCATTCGCGCCAAGCTCGGCGAGGAGAACTCATTCTATTACGACAAGGACTTGAAGAAATGGGTCAACAAGAAGGATCCCAATAGCAGTACGGTGACTCGGGGCGCTCCGCCGCCGCCGAAAGGACCGGCTCCCCCCAGCCGGACTGCGAGTGGCAGCAGTGCACCACCACCTCCGACTGGCACTCCTGGCCTCGACAGTCGTCCTTCGTCCTCCGCCGGTGCTCCTCCTCCACCGTCATCCACCGGCAGCCCGGCGCCTCCATTGCTCGGGGTTCCACCTCCGTTACTCGGGGCGACCGCCCGATCAGTCTCCACTGGCGCCGCTGTTCCCACTCCACCAGGCAGCGCCATGGGCTTGCCACCGCCACCTCGTCCTGCTACTTCGCTGAGCAACGCCAGCTCCATCGATGACCTCCTCGGAGCCCCGCAGGCGCGCAAGGGCGGCGCTGCCAAGGGCAAAAAGAAAGGCAGATATGTCGACGTGATGGCCAAATAAGATGATTGATGATATCTGCGTGTTTGGACCGTTTTCATCCGGGTCTTTGATTGAGTGCCTAATGTCTCACGATTCCCCTTTATTGCACATCCCTTTCAACATCCAACATTTGCACACAGTGAAGCGCATCTGGACTTTTGGTCCTGGTTATAGAATTCTTGAAGCCTTTGCGAAAAGTCTTGCATACCGTGTTCTCCTAAAGGAACACAGCCGTTCTTCGGGTGTTCTTGCTTGACTTTCTTCTTCATGTACTTTATATGTTTGCATTACATACTTTTTTTCTTCTGCGTTGTGTTGCTGGTTTATTTCCTTTGTCTTGACCACTTTGATTTTCATTTGGGACACGATTCTTGTGGATTCATTTGTTTCACGAAGCATGGTTTGAAATATGCGGACGGTTTAATATCACTATAATAATATCATCATTGCTATGCCTATCTTCATGATCTATTTACATATCATTACCCACCAAATATGGTGGTAGATTCATTAGATTATCGTAATCTTGGTCCAAAGCTTTCCAACCACATCAAGAGGCATAGGAGTTGATATAGTACTGCGGCATATTGACATCAGCTATAAGTCTTGAATGATGGCCAAGCAGCATCGACTTACCGTTAGACAGGAATCTTCTCCATTCCAGCTCCCAGGGAGATATACGTAAAGAATCAAAGCCGTTTCATGGACGAAACCTTCCGGGCGAAACACGCGAACACTGGTCAGTACACTGATACGAATCCCATAGGGAGGAGGAAAAGAAAAAAGAGAACACTCACAAGCAACCACCTTCGGACTCAACCTCCCAACACTCAACACGCGCCCCCAATCCTTCCCATCAATCCTCACCTTCGCCCACCCCGCCTCATCATCATCCGCGATCGCGCGCATCCTCTCACTCGGCAACTGCTCGATCTCCGTCTGCGACAACTGACTCGGATCCAGCGCAGGGTTCACCAGATCCGTCCAGACACTCGAGATGCGCAAGGCATCCGTAGCAATCGCCAACCTCAACGAGCCATGCATATTGGCCGACAGTTCCAGTTTAGCCGACGACGCGCCCGTCCCGTTCGTCAGCCCCGCGGCCGACGTCGAAGCTTTCGCTCCCCCCGTCGTCGTCTCCGTCGCCAGCCGCGTAAACCGCTCCGAGATGCTCTTCAGCTGCGCCAGGCTCGGCAGGATGATGTTCACGTCCGGGTCCCTGCACCGCGGCTCGTGCAGCCCGTCCACCGCCGTCTGGTGAAGCATCTTCACCGGCACTTCCTGCGTGACGACCGTCTCGCGCTCGCGCGGGCCTGACGGGTTCCCGGCGGGGGCGGTGCCGGACTCGGACTCGCTGATCCCGAGGGCGTTGGTGCCTTTGGTCCAGGAGGAGACATGAATGGTGAGTGCGAGGAGGGGGATGTTGCCTTTCTTGGTGAGGCGGATCTGGGCGGACGAGGCGGCGGTGGCGGAGCGGAGGGCGCGATGAAGGGCCCCGACGGGCACTTCGAGGTTGATGATGCCGGAGTTGGATTCTAGGATGTATGTTTCGGGGTCGAAGATGGAGTCCTTGGGGATTTTGTTAGCTCTGATCAATCGGTCTGGTTTGTTCTAGGCAATGGGTATGTGTGCATCAGAAACAAGTATATGAAAGTAACATACCACAGGCATCTGAGCCCAGACTTGAGTCCCCCGATCAGGAATGATGGTGAATCGAACGACGCCATCCTCCAGCCGCATCCAGCATACTTTCCCCAGAGATGAGAGCGACGCGGTTAATTCTTTTCCACGAGGTTAGCGTGGAGATGACAGGAATGATATCATTTCGTCATTGGTTCGGCGACGCGGTATGCCGCGTGAAAACACGATGTCGTCCGACGCATGACGAGACTTACTGGAGAAGGTGGCTATGTTGACCAGTTGAGTTCGAAACCGCATATTCTTTGTGAGCTATTGGATATTATCAAAATATGGCATAAGGATGCTGTAGGGTTTGTATTGTCGCTGCCATTGAGGAATTGAATTGATTGGAACGTTGAAGTGGCCGTCACATGATGGGTCTAGGACTAATCGGGCAATATTGTATACTCGCCATCTTCCACTCTCCCCAACCCAAGGTCTCCTGTTCAATTGCCTTTCTATGTCAGTATAAATTGTGTCTAAGCTTGATTCCTGTTCCTTCGTCAATAGAAGAGCATTTCGGTTTTTTATTCATTTTTTTCTTCAGTCATGATACCGGTCTGGACCAGCGAAAATGCTACTATCTACTCGAATTGATATATTTGTCGAAAACAGAGGGAAATACCCAGGTAAGGAAAAAACTCTAGTCTTGTAGAAAAACAAAAAATGTGTTTGTGCCCTCGCTTTCTGCATTCATATTAACGAGACCTTCTCCCAGAGTTTGAGATACCAAAGTTCGGGATTTGGAATACTAATTCCTCCGTGCATAAAGCATGGACGTTAATGGCCAAACCACCATGATTTGAAAACAAGGCACTTAGCGAGCCGATGAGCCTATTCGTTTATACCAAGTAACGTCATGATCTTGTCCTATGTTGGAATCGAATCAAGGGATTTGGTTTGCCCGGGGAGAAGGTAGGTAGGGGATGCGACGCGGTTGGCGCGCAGGCGGTGTTTTCGAGACCTTCTGGCTAAAAGATGCTTCTAGCCTTTGCAGAGGCTGCTTCCGAGGAATGCTCGGTGTACGGGATATGAACGCAGTAACATCAGGAGCAAGGTTTCTCATAGCGAATTGCCTTGACCATCATGCGGAAAAAGAACCCGATAGACCCAAAACAAAACTCACCTGGCTTTCAGCAGAAGTACAAGCTTCAGATGGGATCAAAACAACCCGGTTAACTTCGCCCTGCTCTTATTTTTGGCTCGAACACCCTCGGTGATGCGCGGGTAGAGTATTTTTCATATAAGGAGAGCAGGTCCCTTGCGCCTTGCGAGGGATTGCTTTAGCGTGTGTTACGACCACTGGCCTGTGAAGGTTTCAGATCGACCCTGTCGAGATCGCTGTAGAAAGCACAGGACGAAGAGGGATGCTGGCGGTAGGGCAGCTTGAACGCTCAGACCCTATATCCCTCGTTGCCCTGTTTATTCCGGAAAACACCGGAGGAGAGGAGGGAAAAAAAATAAAAAAAAAAAATAAAAATAAAAACACCTACACAAGCTCCTCACGGATAACAGCGTTAGCGGACTTCCCGTCTGCCCGGCATAGCGCTTCGACCGAATGAGGACCGAGGAATCAATAGTTACCTCGACGCCAAACCCGTTCCAGGTGTGATGGAAGACTAATTATGGAGCTCGCCCAGCTAGAGCCCAGGCTATCGATAGGAAACTAAGGAAAGACAAGGTGGATCGTCCGGGAAAGACGCGGTCCCCCTCCACGGGGAGCACAAAGATCTTCCTTGGTGGCTGTGTACGCGCATGAGAAGGTGAACGGTGACTTTGGTCAGCCTGCAAGGGGTCGAGCCGATCATCGATCAACATTGCACTCATCAATGCACCGGAGCAATTCAATGGACGCAGAGGGGGACTGGACATCGGAGCTACACAGACAAACGGACTGTGGAGGAGACCCGAGTCTAGTCGCGGCGAGGTGACATGGCGACGGACTCATTGGACAGGGGCTGGAGCGGGTCTCTTTGAGAACAAGAAATTGAAATAAAAACGAAGAGGATTGCCGGGTGGAAACCAGGGGAAGTGAAACAGCAGTCGCGCTGCCTGCCACCCAGAAAGTGGACCATGCATGTCGCACAGAGGAATTTGGGCTGACAGATCTCGCGATTTTGATGGGCGCGACTGCATGATTGGCACGGCCTGCAGGCGGACTCATCTTGATTAATTATGAAATCGAGATGAGAGGCATGAAAGCGGAAGATGGCGACCTGCGAGCTGCGCCTGGGGGAAGATCACCGGCGGGCTTCTAGAAGGGCAGCATGCGGTACGGAGTAAATTGCGAATTAATATGGACGACTCCATCAAAGAGAGAGAGAGAGACAGAGTATCTCCGAACAATTAATGCTGAGTATAAGAATAGCAGAAGCCCCTTTTAGAGCGGCGGCTCCACCGGCAACCGCGCGCCTCCGCTGCCCGAGCGAGTCTCCCTACTTCCAATCACGATTGTCTCGTCACCAACTCACGCCTGCATCTCGTCTGTTCTGCTCGAGCTGGCCTCGTCTTATCGACTGACTTGCTACGTCCACATCGGCCCACGCTCGTTTGGCCCTCTGCAGCCGCCCAACCTCTCGTTTGACGGTGTGATCTATCACTTCCCTCGCCGTCCTCTTGCTACATCACTTCGTCCAGTCCGTCCTTTTTATTCTTCTTCCCTCGGACCCAACTTGCTCTGCATTTCGCTCTCTCGCTCTCTCTGCGCCTGAAAAATCTCCCCTCTTCGTTGTCGCGTACTTTCTCTCTCGTCATTCGACTCCATCGACAACGCATCGCCCCCCTCCTCGCCCGTGCATTTGCGACTTCGCGTCCCCAGCATGCTTACTTTCCAGCGGTACTCTCTCTTTCCCATGTCTGATACCGCTGCTCGACCTCCGTCTCGCAAAACGCGCTATTGATCCTACTGTTGTCCTCTCCGTGAGCCTATCTTTTCTCCCGGAAGGTGGCCGTTCGCATGTTCGAGATGGCCACCAGTCGCGTCAGCCCCGTTCGGCCGCCCGTTCGCCTTACGCCCACGGATTCCCAGGCGCATCCCATCCCACGCACGCCCTCTCCCAACCGACGCGCCATTCCTAACTACCAAACGACCGATCCTTTACTCCGAAACTTGTCCCCGGAATCCACCTTGAAGGCCCTCTCCTCCACCGACGCCGTCCCCAAGAACGAACGAGCCGCCCACGACATTCTCTCCAAAAGTATCTCCCAGGTATCCCAGGCGGAACGAGCTCTCGGGATTCGCGCTGCGATCGCGGCGCAGAACCTGAGTCTCTGGTATAAAGAAGTCCAGACGTGGGATTGGCCCAAACGGACCGATGTCCATCTGGGCAAGGGGTTCGTTCCCCCGTCTCCGTCCGACCCGGAGTATTATGGAAGCCTCCCCGCCGCCATCGTGGTCCAGCATGAAAAACGCATCGAGGAGATCCGGGATGGCATGGATGGGTTGGACGTCGACGAGCTGAAGGAGCACGTTTTAAATGCCCACATTCCATCGCGGTCTCGGCCTTCGTCATCGAATAGCACGATGTCCGTGCCCCCGCCCCTCAGCTACAACCAACTCAGCGACTTCACCGCGGTCATCACCGCCACCATCCTCCGCGCCCTCCCGCTCCTCTCCCGCCTGAACAGCCTTCTGTCCACCTGGGATGTCCGATTATTAGTACTTCGCCAGGTCTCCGGACTGCTTCGGAGCCTGTCCCTGGCCCGCTCGGAGTTGGATGCCGCCCTGGCATTGCTCAAATCACCCGAGGTCCCTTCCGAAGCCGATGCCCTGTACTCCAGGAACAACTACCATGCCAAGCGCGCCCAGCTGGAGGCCACTGTTCTTTCGGCCGGCCGGAGAATGGATCGCATGCTCGATGCGCTGGAGGGCCGCGAAGATTCCTTACCTGAAGACTGGATCGACGACCTGGAAGCCATCGAGTCGGGGTTTGGTTCTTGGGTTATGGAAGCCGAGCAACGCACCGTCGCAAACGAATGGCAGCGCACACTGAACGCTAAGAAAGAAGAGGCACCAGCGACATCGCCTTCCGATGATTCCAACGCGGAGCCTGTCCTCAGCCAACCCGAGCCGATCTGTACGACTGGACGGTCCCTGCCGATGGAGACCATCCAGGAGGAACCCGGCAGTCCTCTCGAATCCGTATTCTCCAAAGCCAACAAGGACGACCAGTTTCCTTCCGTGTCTCAAATTGATGCAGTCCTTCCGGTCACTTCTGACTCTAATGACGCGGAGTCATTGGTACGTGAAGAAGCCTCTATCGACCCAGAATTGAGCGCCCCACAAACACAGGAAGCTCAAGTGGCCAACCCTTCAATTGAACAGGAGAAGCCTACCGAAGAATTCATTGAGAATGATCTCCCAACCCCTACTGTGGAGAAGCCTACTGAAGAACTCATCGAGAATGATCCCTCAACTCCTACCGCGGAAAAGCAGCTTCAGGAAGCTCAAGTGGCCAACCCTTCAACTGAACAGGAGGAGCCCACCGAAGAATTCATCGAGAACGGTCCCCCAACCCCTACTGCGGAGAAGCAGCTCCAGGAAGCTCCTGTCGATGCCGAACTACCGAAAGAAGATCCATGTGTTCCTGAGCCACCAACTCTGAACGAAGAGAAGGTCGTTTTGCCGGCTTCTGAGGACGTACGCGCCGAAGAAACATCTCGGAATGTCACCGACTTGAAGGAATCTTCCGGTCTTACTATCGGGGCAGAGCAGTCACTGCCTCCATGCGAGAGTTCTTCAAACCCCTCGCCACTTTCTGGACCCCAGAAACCATCAGACAGCTCGGAGATGCAAAAGAAGGATGAAAGTACCGTCTTACCGAACCCAAGCCCCGAGGCTGATGACCTGCCGTCTCCAAACCAAGTGCCAGAGTTGATCAAGAATGATACCTTGGACAATCACAATGAACCCGGAAAGTCTAGCGATATTCTCGATCGACCAATTCCCTCAATTGAACGCGACGAAATCACATCACCCTGTGCCCCAACTCCTCAGCGCTCCTCTCGGACACCTGATTCCGTAGTCGTCAAACGTGCTCCACTGGCTTTGTCTCAATCTGCCAGCCCTATCCCATTGTCTCCAGAGCCCTCTGCGCTGCCTGAAAACGACAAAGATCTCGCGACAAATGAACCCGACGATCGCTCGCCCAAGCAACCTCTGGAGAGCCCGATCAAACTCTCAAAGACTCGACCCGGACGCTTAGACCTCGACAAGAACAAAGCACAACTTCCTGGTCGACGACCATCTAACGTGTCTGCCGGGTCCTTCTCCGAGACTGACTACCCGTCTCTCATCTCTAGTCCAGAGATTCGTGAACCACGAACTGGCTCGTCCAACGGAACACCGCGATTCCTCGAGACCCCTCCCCAGTTCCAGCCTCATTATCACGCACCCGGTCCTGCGCCTTCCAACAACGAACACACCCTGCGGGAAGACCGTCTCTTTCGGTTGGCTAGCGCGAAGGCGTCTCCCCGCTTGGCCGTCAATCACAATCGCAACCTAAGTCTCCCCTTGCAGCGGTTTATCAACGAGAGACTGGAATTGGACTTCGAGAACGACTCTCCCGTCGAGGTTGACAGTACGGCTCCTACCCCAAGAACCGCGAGTCCACCTGTCAGTGCAGCTCCCAGAAATGAACGGCAAGCAACGCCAGGACGCGCGCGCAAGGGTAGAGGGTCTACGCCAACAAAGAATGCAGCCCGTGTTTCTGGCCAGCCATCCGCAAACTCTCGTGACGGAAGTGCTACGCCTGAGCCGGCTGCACCGATGGGAAAGGTCCCGAAGATCCGGGAACAGAACAAGAAAGCTTTCGCGAAAAGCTCGAATAACAAAGTTCTGGGTACAGAGCCTGCTCCTCATCAGACCACAACTCGGCTGAGAAAGCAGTTGACTGCTCATCCGAGTCTTGAAAGCATTGGAGCTTACAAGTCTAAGCCCCTGGTTGAGGCCTCCTCGAACTCAAAACCAGGTTCTCGTTCTTCTACTCCCAACAGCCAATTACGGAAACCAAAGGATCACTTGGATGAAAAAATCAGTTCCATCCTTACTAACCTTCCAACACGTATCCATCTCATGTCAGCTGAGGAGCGTGAAACCGATGATGTTGATGTGATGTCGTCTCTGCCTATGAAAGCGAGAGAGCGGTTTCGCTCTGTATCCCCCACAGCATCGCGCAGTGGCACGCCTACTCCGTCTTTGACCTTAACCCCGGCGCCTTCTCGCAGAAGGTATTCTCATGCACATGCTCCAGAGGAAAGCTCCGTGAAGCTGTACCATTTGCATCGAGGCGGGAAATCTGCTCCAACCAAACTCTTTGTTCGCTCAGTCGGTGAACACGGAGAGCGGGTGATGGTGCGAGTCGGAGGCGGGTGGGCTGATTTGGCTGAATATTTGAGAGAATATGCTATCCACCACGGACGTCGACACGTATCCGAAACGCCACGCGTTGAGGTCCAGGGGCTTTCATCTCGTGAATCTACCCCGAGCTACTCGCCGCCCGGGAGCCGATTAACGCCAGCTGGCAACGGACGAACCACTCCATCTCGACCACGGTCTGTCATGAGCAATAGACCGTCATCGTCGTTGGCTGTTCGCAAAACACGACGTGGTTCGAACGTGTCTGATATGACCGACTTCAGAGCAGTCAGCGCTGGCGAGGCATTGAACGTCTCCGTTTCTCCCAAGTCCATAGTCTCCTCCCGCCGTCGACTGTCGGCGTCCTCAAACGCCTCTTTTGGCGCGACGTCTTGTGTGAGCGAGATCCGGCACGGGTCATCTCCTTCCACCACTGTCGGTGGTAGCTCTCACTCTATTCCGCTTGGTCTCGCTGGGCCCAAGCCTCGCTCTAGACACGTTTCCATGACGCCAGAGAGTGAAGCCTGGGTGGAAGATGTTCTTGGACAGGCCCGACGAAGTTCGTCCTTGCGACCATTCAACTACGGCTTGCCGCCCCAAGAGCAAGAGCAGCCTGGACCCAAACCCTTATCTCTACCCAAGTCAAGAAGTATCAGTGACCTTGGAAAAGCTGGTTCTAGCAAGCGAGTCGCACTCCGCGGTCTCGGAAACCGGTGACCAAAGACTTGACTTCTCTTTTAGTCCATCTTCTTCGATTTACCTTTTTCTGGTTTCGTTTGCCATCTTTTTAGGTCTTGTTATTTGCATTGGCGTTCTGCCTTTGGTCTCGGGGTTCTTGGTTTCCATTCGAGGCAGATATCAAAAGCGTTGGCACATTCTGCATGGGTATGGTTATCTTTTGCACTTACAGGGAGTTTTTTTTTTTCTCATTGATCCGGCTACACTCTACCGGCTCTCATCTTTTTCAACTTCTTCGTCTTGCTCTCCCAGCGTACATTAGCGAGCATTTCTATCTCCCTGGCTCTATCTTCTTTTGCATATATTCTTTTTTCCCCCTCTTTCGGCATTTTGTGCTTCATCTTTCTCCCACCCTTGCAGATTAGTTAGATACCCTTCATCTAAGGTTTTTAGGCTGTCGGTTCTTGTGTTTTCTGTTTTTGTCTGCGTCTCTCTTTCTTCTTGTCTCTCGCATATGTCATTAGCATTTGCATACACCCGGCCTCGGCATCCCTTTAGAAAGAGAAGAAGACACTACACATATTTACATAGAACTCAGACTTTGTCGGTTAATAAATAAAATAAATTCTTTAAAATTTGTCCTACTTGATTAAGCTTGCGCTTTGGTGAGATCGATAACTTTCTTTTACCTCGATTATCTAGTCTACGGAGCAAAAGAAACTGTCAGATCAGTTCTTTGATTCCCAAAGCTGCTTCATAGAACGTGAATGACATGATTATATCAGAACAGAAAGTACACAGAAAAAGAAAAAAAGCCACGCTAAAAAAAACGCCAATCCACCCATTCCTTATTGTCGCCGATAAATTGATTTGATATAAGCACATACGCATTTGACAGAGAATGCATGTTCTGCACGTTCGTTCTAGGTCGACGGTGCAAGAGACATTCAGGGTCAAAGCAAGGGGGAAAGGGAAATTTCTATGACGGATGCGAATTCTGTTCCGGTTGAGGATGCTTCGACTCTGTCTCCTGTCTCCAGTAGATGGTCTTGTTCAGTAGATCGCGCAGTTCCGGGGAGATGACTTTGGGCTCTGTACCAGACCCCTGGGATGATGAGGGTGGCTGGGAGTTGCGACCGGCATTGACGCCGCTGCTGAAGCCGGCGTTTGCGGAGTTCTGAGGCGATTTGCCCTTATTTGGGTCTGTAGAGTCTTGGATTGGGCGCCTTTGATGTGCAGAGGGAGCGGGGAAGTTGTTCTTCTTGTCGATTGCCTGGACGGAGCGCTCGAAGCGACGGAATAGAGATTCGGCGCGGGTGAGGATTGGGAGAAGGTCCATGGTGTTGGAGAGTTCGTTGACTTTGGCCGTTTTAGCATTCAATCGGTTAAGCGGGGTGGTATTCACGGGAAACTTACTGTATTTGAGGACCTCGTCAAAGTGCTTTAGATGGTCCATGATCACGTCTCGGTGTTTCTCTAGGATGGCGAGAGCAATGAATAGATGGAAGTTGCTGGTTAGGTAGTCGGTCCAGAGGGTCTCCCATAGACGAAGAACGTCGGCCCACTCAAATTCGCGCTTGTACCAGACTAAGAGCATCCGGAAAAAGAAGAAAAAGTTGGTACTGTCGGCAGATTGCAGGTGAAGATAGAGTTGAGGGTCAAGCAATTGGAGGAGATGATCCAAAGTAAGAAGCTGAACGCGCATGCCCGACTGGTCACGGAGGAAGTTTCGCTCCTATACTGAGGTTAGTACTATCGTACTAACGACAAATTTCAAGTAGGCTTACCATTCGATCCATGAATCCAACAAAAGCCCAAAACGCAACTGCATCGTCTTGCATGACAGCGTAGATCGGGGCTAGCAGGTCACTCATTCCTTGTACATAACCTAAATCCGGATTGTATTCATTGTAGGTCAGGAGCATATCCTTCATCTGCTCGAGATGCACGTTGGTGCCAGTATCGGCAAATGGCGAGTCCGGATCTGGATGGGGAATATCCTCTCCTGCAAATAGAGGGATCGTGCGATCCGTACGATGAACATCTTTCTCTATAGATGGTCGCTGGATTAGCCAACAGCTGAGGGGTTGCGCACAAAAACAACGAAGCTTACCTATGCGGTTTCTCTGCTCTTTCCACCACTCGTACTCCTCCTCCGTAGATGACCCTTCAATCATCCTCTCCCACCAAGCCCCCTTCAGTCGAATGTATTCATCACGTTTGGAGTTCATAAGCGCCTGGCGATCTTCGCGGGAGCTATCCCACGGGTAGACCCCGAGAAGGAACAGCCATGCCTCCTTTCTGACGCCGTCGTTTGGATCAAGGCCGCCATGGAATATTCTCTCCTTCACTTCCTCGACTGTAATCTGCAGTCTTCCAGTGTTCGAGTCAAAGAAGCCTTCCCATTCTTGAAGCGTCAACACCTTGCGTCGCTCATGAATAGACATGGTTCCTGTCTCGAGCTCCAAGATTTCAAAATCTCCAACTTCGCTATTTTCCATTTCGAGAACATCTCGAGCAGTCCAGATGCGCTGATTCTTCTCTTTCTCGCTCTGCTCAGAGATACTCATCGCCCACCGAGCTAAGTATAACCTAGCGCTATCGAACTCATCCTGCAAAGTCTGGATTTCGGGTGTTTTCATCAGTCGGCGCATCTGAGGGGGTATGCGGGGGCTGTCGGCGATCTCGTTCGCCGTCCGCCTCGTGAAGGTCGTTATTTTGCTGAGTGATTCAAGGACCTTCCACCGAGTTTCCTTCAGTGCCTTGGTGAACGGGTCCATACCCGCATCCTGTTGCCTGCTTCCACCGGGTTGAGCCGAGCTCTCCGCTGGGTTCTGAGATCGATGCGCTTCCAGTCCATCGGATGCTAATGGACGACCAAAGGACATCTGATCTTCATCCGACGGGTTGATAAGATACACACTGTGATCGACGGCGGAACGCTGGACTTCGGCATATCTTCGCAGCCACCTCAAGACCTCGTCGCCACCCCAGAACACACTGCCATCCTCGGCGAAGGGATCAAATGTTTCCCTGGTTCTCTTCTTCTTCTGTAATATTGTCGACTCACATTCAGAGTCGTGGAAAAACAGAGCGGGAAAGCTATCGCCAGCTCGTGTATTGATGACCAGGCTTCCAAACCACCATCCTAAGCTAGGCGGTCGCACCAGTAAAGAGTATATCTCGGAGAGCGGCACGGCGAATGCGTAGAGGCCGATGGGATCCCGGTATGAAGTTGTCGCTGGTAGCGGGGGCACTAGATACCTTTGCTTCGGAGAAGAGGAATCGTCGGCAAGGTCGACTTTGACGTAGGTTTCGTAGGCGTCACCGAGAGAAGATTCGGGGACCCAGGCGAGAAGGTACGAGGATTTTTCGCCATTTCTTGATGAGCCAGCGGAAGCAGCGGTGGTCGAAGGCGCCGGTTTTTGTTGAATGAGAGCAATGAAGCCCGGGATGTTATCTCTAGAGGAAGGGGTGGGGTGAACATAGACCTGCGGAGGCGCAAATCGATTAGCTTATTAGTAATTTCGAAGGGAAGAAGAATGCCACCCACCTTGCTCTTGGAGAACAAGAGTTTTACACCTCTGCGAGAGGTGGCATGCGAGATGGTGTTGTAGTCATCTTCGTCGTCGTCGCTGACGTCGTAGAAGGAAGCCGTCGGCGACGGAGGCGATGGCGGCGGGGTGTACTGCACTCCGGAACCGGCCATTTTGGCTGATGGACGGGCGAATTATGAGAATGAATCGGAAAAGGTCAGACGATGAAGCTCATTCTTCCCGGCCGACAAGAGAGAAAGAAACAAGAAGGCGATGAAGCGGAAGGCGAGGATCACGACGTAATCGAGGGGGTCCACCTGATCGCCGAACATGTGATCTCCGATCGCGATAACAAAAACGATGTTCAACGAACTCTTTCGATGTTCACCACTAAATCCTCACTTCACAGGTACAAACCAGTCGCATCGCCGAGCAGATTCCAGCCGAATTGAGAAAGGAGATTCCAGAAAACGCACGTGGTTGCGAGACTGATCCATGGTGGGCGTTCTCCATCGCCACCGACCACAATGACGAACAGGCAACAGCGATAATTCCACGATGCTTCATAAGCACAAGTTAATGAAACTTCCCGTGATGCCTCATGGGATGTTCCCTCGCTGCCTAGATTTGTTGGGCTACCGGTTGCTTCCTTTGCTGGAGTTATACGGGCAGTATTGACTACTAGAGTGCCTAGTAGTGTTCTACGCTGTTTCTAGAAGCCAAGCAGTGCATTTGGTGTCTTCGCTTCTGATTGATCCCTTGAGAAATGCTCGTCTCCTCCTTTTATCTGACGCGTGATTGATCCGGTCGGCTCGACTGAGCTCGTGAGTTACATGAAGGTCGCCTATCAAGGCACTGCTGCATACTACTCTTCTGCATCACACCCTTTGACACATCATCTCCCCCATCATTCGCCAGAAATTGATCATATTAGATAAACCACCACTGCTCTGCTCGGGACTTGATACCCTGTTCAGGCAAATAAATGCCTATCCAATGAACGAGGGTGATAACAATCCGATCGACATGGTGCATGGAAAGGGGTCGCTCTTCATATAGGGTCGACAGCTTGCTTCGGTTTCATCCAGATGTTAGACTAGAACAACAATCTACCATATCCAGCCAACTTGTATTAATTGTCCGCCATGACGGAGCTTGCTCGTACTCTGCCAGCATCTTGGTACTGCAGTCCTCCGCTCTATCAGTTGGAGCGCAGGGCCGTCTTCTTGAAGGTACGCTCCCAGGAGGGAAGAACGAAGAAAGCAAGGAACGGTTATCTCACGTCGACAGTCTTGGTACCTTCTTGGGCCGGTGACTCGATTTCAAAATGTTGGAGAAAAGGTCGAGTACGAAGTAGCTCAGCAGCCAATCTTGGCCTTTCGTGTCTCTGGGGACGCTCCTTTCCCTGCAGCAGATGAGATTCAGGTCATTTGCGCCAAAACCGTAAGTGCTTTTTGATACAAGTGAGGATAAAATGAAATTCAAACGCATGATATGAACCCTCGGCTACATCTTTTATATAGCCTCTAGCCTAACTCTAGTTCAGGAAAGGCCCCTGCGCTGCCATGTCACCCCCACTGGCCTTGTATTTGCGACTTTATCGGACGAGGCCCCGAGTTTCCAGGAATATTTCCCCGAACTGGAGCCACTCCTGCAGAAAGTGGACTTCACTCAGCGGCCCTACCGACGCAGCATCAAATATGAAGGACACTTCAATTGGAAGACAATGTAAATGCCGCTCATCAGAGTTACGGAGAAGGCATTTTGACTTGACTCGTTAATAGGGTCGATGGCTACCAAGAATGCCTGCACTGCCAGTACACGCATCCATCGTTTTCCGTTTACTATCCGCCAACATTCTACACAGTTCACAACCACCAGAACTTCTCGCAGCATATTGCGGATCCCAAGAAACCGGATGACGGGCTATTCCTCTATTTCTTCCCGAATTGCACCTTGAATGTATATGGAGGCGGTATGTCCTCGTTCCGAGTGTGTCCAACGGAAGATCCAAACGTCACCCGGATGGAGTTCGACTACTACCACGTGGAATCCGGCGATAAGTTTGAGGAGTATTTCAAATTCGTCCGACAGGTGGCCCAGGAGGATTACGAGCTTTGCGAGAGAGCGCAACATAACCTCGAAAAGGGGGTGTATAGCGAAGGAATCTTGAATCCGGAGAAGGAAAATGGCGTTTCCTGTGAGTATATTCGGTTGTGTCTGATATTTTCCCCACAGAGCTGATGGGTTGAAGTCTACCAAGACCGTGTCTTCGAGTTGGTATGTCAGCAACACGCCATGGATAGACTGCGAGAAGAATCCAAAGTTGAGGGTCAAGACAGGAGACCGGAGCATGTTGAAGCTGCTGCATAGACCTGTGGTCCGCGTGAGAATGAGTTCGTCAGGAATAGGCATGAATAGCAGCCGTTGTATCTATCTGGCGAAAGTCAGTATTTCAATAGTTTCTATATTCTTTTCTCATCGTAATACTCCACCCATGCAGTCACCCTTCTCGCCTCTCAGGAAGACCAGCTGCATCTCTCCAGACTCAAAAGATCAGCGAGCAGCCGAACAACGCGATGGATTTGACGTGTCACAACGCTTTTATATGACACACAGACCCTGGAATTCCCCTCCCGATCCGGCAACTTTACGAGGCGTCCATCTCATTTGCTGCGACGGCCAAAACTCAGTGGACCCCAGTCCAACGAGCATGCAGACTGGAGGAGATAATGCATGAGCTGCTGATCAACTCTGGAATCTCCCGGGGTTTCCCTTAAAGCTTCGACCCTTTCCATTTCTCGTGCTAAAAAGTAAGAAATCGAACTAGATCGTGCCTAAGCCTTCCGTTCCCCCGAACTTCAACATGGACTCCCTAACTTCCGTGGTCCCCGTAGCACCGACTCCAGTGCTAGTTGCGTTCCTGGCGGGATTCATTTTCCTATATCGGGCCTGGCCATACCTTTCGATCCGAGACAAGCAGCCACTACCTGTCGATCGTGAACCGAAGCCGCTCGATACAGATGCAGATGCAGCCGCAGCCGCAGCCCCCGTGGGGGAACACGGCGAAGTAGGCGTCGTTTCCAAGGAGTCAGAGTTCCCTGCAGACTGGTGGGTAGGGAAGGAGACCTACGAGCTCGAGCGACGTGCGCTGTTCAGTAAAGTAAGAAAAGCTTAGCCTGTCCACATCCAATCAACACGACATAACCGCCCCTCTTAGACATGGATATGCCTATCGCATCGCAGCCGGTTCGCCAAATCAGGAGACTACCAGTCCTTCCAGGTAGCCGGGTTTCCGATCTTCTTGGTGCGAGGAAAAGACGGGGGGATTAGAGCATTTCACAATGTCTGTCGTCATCGAGCATACACGGTCGTTGAGAAGGAGTGCGGGTCGTCGCCGGTCCTCCTGTGTCGATATCATGGCTGGAGTTACAACACGCTGGGAAACCTCATCAAGGCGCCTCATTTTGATCACGTTCCCGGGTTTCAGAAGTCGCAGAATAGTCTTTTTGAGATCCACACTGTGATGAGCGATGATGGATTTGTGTTTGTGAATTTTGATGCCACTCCGACGGTGTCTGCGCCCGAGACTCGCGCTTTGGATGCCTTCGTGCAGAGAAATGGCATTCGGTCCCAGTCCAGCTGGGTGACAGGACGGACGATTGAGGGCGAATTCAATTGGAAAATGGCTCGTGAGTGTTGCCCCCGCCCCCTTGTTGGTCCATTTCAACGGTATACCGCAGTGTCTTCTAAGAGTATAAACCTAACTCGTCAGTTACATCCGGAGAATTCCTCAATACTGCCAGCTTAGAGAGCGAGATTCGAAAGCAAAGCGTCATACCCCTAATAGCACACCTGATGTCATATTTCCAAAAAGCCTCAGAGGATTGTACGGTTTTTCCAATAACCTCTTTGCATACTATCCAAGGCACGGGATGCTGGTATTCGCTGAACCTTTTTCCGGTTTCTGAATCCAGGACGGCTCTTCGATATGATATCTACTGCAATCAGGCTAGCCCTAGTTCTGAAACAACCTCAGCGACGCTCGGGCGTCTTCTAACTGAGAAGATACACGAGTTAGAGGTGCAATATCGGACCTATGTTTCTGGGAGCGAGTATGTTGAAATACCCGAATGTTTACTACATTTACTCCTGAGATAAATTAGAAAAATACTAACGAATAAATGTCTAATAGAACCTCTATGTCCATGAAGTGCAGTCTGAGCTCAGGTACCTTCTCATCAATTCATGATTTACCCCAAAACATTTATATTGACAGATCTGGATTGGCAGAGACTCAAAAACATATTCTCTACCGCCTCCAGTCACATATGAGGTTGGAAAAGCTACAAGGGGCCGAGATATACCCAACTACTCGAAAACCAAGAGAGAATTCGAGGTTCCAACAGGCAGAGCAACGTAAGTCGCCAGCTTGGTCCTGGACTGAGGTTGCTAAGCTTAACCTATGTTTACAGTGTGCAAAGAACTCGACTGCCAGAGCGACTTGAAACGGAAAGAACTTTCCTGGTGAGGCGACAGAGCGCTGATATGGAGCTTAGAAGAATCATTCTAGACACTTATATGAAGTCTTTGCCTATCGATGTGTCTTCAACCGAGTAGAAAAGGGATGGAGAAGATACGACAAAAGCCCGTCCCCTGCTGGCTTGGCGTGTTTCTGAAATCTGGTCAATTCGCCCCTTCTTCCGGGCCCGATTTAATTCCATAATGGACCACATGGCATTTTTAATATAATTAACCACGTTCCCTTGGTCTTTGCTGCCATTCCTCCGTTCCGATCCTTTTAGACTTCTTGCTGGCAGTTGACCGTTGGGCGTCGAATCGTGTAAACCTTCCTTTTTCTCGCATCCCCACCGTGAGATCGGCGACCCCGGCTGAAGATCCACCGTTAAATCCTCAACATCCTGACGCGCCCTGTTGCCAGTCTCGTGTCTTCTTTATATTCGACTCTTGCGTCCTTATCATCTTGGCCACTTGGCTTGGAATTCAAACGCAGAAATCTGCGAGTCCACCGCTTTTGTCCTTGACGTAACGTCCATCCGTGGGGACCGATCACGTATCGCAGGGGTACGATCCATCATCGCATTCGTATTTGGGGTCAAAAAAGAGGATCGACGCTGATCATTTACCCCAGGAAAAGACCGAAAAAGGGCCTGCTACTAGTACTCCGTTTCCGTCAATTGCTGGCCCCAAATTCCACGTGGTTTCAATTGTCTTCCGTGATGGCGTTACCCGCAGTCGTCAAGGCCTCGTTGCAGTCGACGCTGATCAATGCCGGGTCCAATATTCTGGCCCAGGGTATCCAGGCGCACCAGAACCAGGTAAGCTGACTAGTTGGTCCCGATCTTGAATGAGCTAGGGTGAGATGAGAAAGAGGAGAGCCAACAACCAACATTCCTCGTTTGTCTCGACTTGGTTGCCCACGTACTCCGTCCTCGATCTGGGAGCTGTAACTAACGAATCACAATGCGAATCGGCATCGCCGTGCATGGGGAATATGCAGGTAATAACTGTAATACTCTAGACATGGAGGTGCCGGAGAGCTTCCCTTCTCGCAGAGACCCTTTGAACTGGACCGCCAGGCACTGTGGCTATTCACCACGTGTGCCTTCTTGATGTCGCCATTGACCTTTCTGTGGCTGGAAGGTCTAGAGTCGGCTCTCCCCGGTTCATACGAGGAGAAGTCAGCCCCCAAGTCCAAGACGGAAAAGGGCAAGGACCAGAAGCCCCGGTCGAGATTAAACGTGAAAAATATCGCTGCGAAAGTCGTGATTGACCAAACGATCGGCGGTGCCTACAACACGTTCCTTCTCATTGCCCTCATGGGCTACTTGCGCGGAGAGGATTACGGCACCATCATGGAGCAAGTGAATAATGTAAGTGTTGCTCCCTTGTTGGTGAAGGATTGGGCAACTGCTGATATCCTATCGTCAGGAATTCTGGCCCCTTCTGTTTGCAGGGATGAAACTCTGGACATTTGTCTCAATCCTGAACTTCACCGTGGTGCCCACAGACAAGCGAATGCTTTCTGGAAGTCTGTTTAGCGTGGTCTGGGCTATTTATCTAAGTTTGCGGTCTGGTTAATCGTCTGCTGGGTTAAGCCAGACGTCTGGGATGTCGCTCGTTCGGTCAGACCGGACCGGACCTACGGCGTACGGAGTAGAGTTAAGACCGACGAGGACTGGAGGAATGGTCCATTGAGGCGGTTCAAATGGATATCGGAAACCTTAGCGCATGAGTTGTCAAGCTGTTGGTGGTGCATCGTTCTGTTGGTCTCTAGGAATAATAGGGGCAACCACGCGGACGCGAAACCGAGGGGCCAAAAAGAGAGATGACGACGAAGATGACATGGAGACTGGATCCAGGAACAGAACTTAATCAGGTACGAGAGTGGTCAGCATAGGAGATTGAATGATATCATAGCTGGATGTTTCAAGCCTCCTGTAGTCTGTCCGTCATCCAGGATGAAAGAGTTTCAGAGCTAGTAGATCAGCCACGTACCGCAGTAGGCATCACGGGGAGCGAGAGGTGAAGAAGCTGAAGACACTAACATGGGTTCATCAGCCGACGACGCGTCCGGTCTTGCGATGGCCCCCAAATTGCCGTCTTGACTTTGGGGAGTGAGCGGCCCATAATACCTGACTGACCACAGGCAGCCGTACTCCGTATTGAGCGGTTGGGTCGAGAGATTTCCACTAACGCAGGGGCTGAAGAGCTCGCCCTGTCAGCGAGTCCCAGATTTTCCCAAACAATCACTAAGGCTGATTGTTGAGGTCGGAATCCAGTAATACGGCAACTTCGAACCGGTCGCGGGTGTGCCTGGACGGTGGACGCTGGAAAGCGAGCAACACTAAGCTTATCCGCAGTGGAACCCGAAGTTGGGGCGGTGCTCTACTATGCAGTTGACATTTGAACAACGGCGATAGTCCACTTCTCTTGAAAACTCGAGAATGATGCCTCGTAGGGCATTGTCAAGAATTTGGCCTTCCCCAGCGCCTACTTGCAGGCGTTTAATGCGTGCCAAACAAATACGTCACACCCAGATGCTGGAGGATTGGTTAGAACACGGTGGATACGTGAAGTCGGATGGGGTTCTACAGGGATGTCTGCATGCGATCATTCTTGATGGGGTTACTGCGTACAATTGAACAGGGAACCAGGCAGTAGTGGGCCTCACTAAATGGATCCATTAATCACGCAAAGCGATTTCAATGAGGGGAAGTTTGACCGCCAACCTGTTTATTCTTCGACTGTGCATCGTCGGTCGGGGTCGAGGGCGTGCATGAGCAAGGCTTTTTTCCCCTCCTATCTCAGCCTCTCCATGCATGGATCAAGCGACAGAGCCATCGTCGTCCTGCGCCGTCGCAACCACAATGGCATCAAACAACAATAACGATGCCCCCTCGAAAGGCCTAAATATAACCATTCCCCGGTATGCGTCTGCGCCGGCTGGCCATGCCTAGCACATTGCTAGTCGCACAGCCCCCAACCCGATTGGTATGGTTATGCTTTAGCCCCAAGAACTAACCGTCGGACCTGCCCCAAATTAGTGGTCTTCCTGCGAGATGCAGAAAGCCTGCTTACTCGATTACCATCACACGAACCGGACCTGCTGCGAGGGATGTCGATCGTCAACCGCTGGATGGCGGAGTATGCAACATGAAGTCAATAGGGGACGGTAAGGAGAGAATGGGGAATGACAAAGGAATCAAATGATCAAAGAAAAAGTGATTCTCATTGTATTCGGAAGCATATCGAAATTAGAACAACGAGAAAGAGGCTGGAAGAAAAGCAAACACAGGGTTGGGGAAGGATGAAAGAGGAAGAACGATCCCGGAGAATCTGCAGAGTGCAGATATCAAGCGCGGGCGCCTTTGAAACCGGTCGATACGGCGAAATACAGCGCTGACGGGCCCCCGCCGCAGCACAGGGCAGGGCGGATACGGTAACAATACGGCCCAACGCCATTTGGCCCCTTCGTGTCATTCGATTCATCTTCCTTCCATCTGCCTTCTTCCATCCTTCTGGAGATCCATTCTCGCAACTCGACTCGACGCCCCTGGATCACTCGTTCTTGGCTTCAGCCTATCAGCTCTGCTCCGTTCTTGCTAAATCTTATGACACAATTTCCAGGATCCGAAAATACCCCATAATTAGCTCCCATGTCTCGCTCGCATTCTCCCGCCAGGGATCATGAAGGTATCCCTGGCACGTGGTGGTCAGACACTGCGACTAGTCCCCCCGATTAATAAATAGTATATGATCGTCGATTCGCCGTTGCAGCTCTTTTGTGCGCTGATTTTCTTTGTAAAATCCTGGGCCTTTCCCCCCCCTCTGCTCTTTGTACTGCGCTTCCGCCCCCCTGGGTGGACTTACTGGTTAGTTGACTGTCGAAACCGCCAATTGTTCTCTGTAAACTTGAGCTAATCAATCTCTATCAGTTGCCTGAAACAGTCTTTGTGTCCTCGTCTTCTGGAATACCACCCCGGGTGACATCGGATTTCTTTGAGCAGAGGATCGACTGTTTCATTCACTCTGCTCGGTTCCAACAGATGTCTTTCACCTGGCTCGGCCGACGGTCTCTGTAGAAAGAACAGGGCACTCAAAGGGACTTGGTCAGAGTAATACTGTCAATAATAACAACAAAGAGAACCCTCCCGCCTAGTCGTTCTGAATGATGTGCAGTTTGGGAAGCATCCAAAGACACCTTGTCTGATCACAGTGTCACAGCGACCATTCCCTCCAATCACATTCATCAATAGCAGACATTGCCACTTGTTCACTGAGCACGGCTTCTCTCCGAGTTGATTGTATTTCAGATAACCTCATAGCGGTCAACTCGAGGCCAAGTTAAGCCCTCATCCTTTCGCAAGATGAGGATGCTAGCTTCTCCCCTTGGCTTTTCGTCAGCAAGCTCAAAACATACCCAGAACACCATGGCCTCTTCTCAGGGTCGAGTCTCGCCATTTCCCCGCAAGAACAATGCACACTGGTTTGACGAAGACATTGACGACGATGAACGACCTGTCTCTCCCGCACCCTCCGACCGAAACCAGCAAAAGTCGGGCACTCACTACCTTCGTTTCTTCCCCGAGCTTTCCACTCATTTCACCCTGACATCCCCGTCAAACGAAACCTCCCAAGCAATGCAGTTTCCTCGCACCGGATCCCCTTTGGTGAACAGTCATGAAGCCCGCTACCCTTCTGAATCCACTCGACAAACTTCGTCTTCGTTGTCATCGAGCGAACTTTTCGACCATGGCTCTTCATGTTACAGTCGCCGATCCTCCATCACGAGTCATAACTCCGATCCCGGCAGATTTGGCTCCAAATCGGTGGAAAACGTCTCGCTTCTCTCACCTGCAGCTGCTGGTGTATTCGATGATGCGGCGTCAGCACGCCATATCCCCCCCAGCCCGTTGAAGAAAAAGCCCACATTGGCGGAGTTGAAGGACAAGCCTCTACCCTTGGAGCCCATCATTCAATTAGCTCCCTTGTCGGTTCGTCGCAGCCCTCGAGGGCAACCTGGAGCTGGGGATGGCCCGAATGAGCACGGCGGTCCGGCCGATCAGGTGCGGACTGGAAAGCAAAAGCGCGGACATCATCCAACGCTTTCTCAGGCAGCGGACGACCTGGAGAGTGCTCTTTCTGGGTTTGCAGAACAGCCCGCTCGGTCGCCCAATTCCTACAAGCTGTTGGACGAGCCTTTACAGATCAGCCGTGGAAACATGGACATGATCCCTACTCGACGAGCGCCTCCGCCTCCCATCGATGTGCAACGAAGTGAACAGTTGCGCGTTGCAAAATCACGCGAAGACTTAAAGCCGAAGAAAACCCCGAAAAACAAGATGCCTTTCACTTTTAACTTGCCTAGTTTTGGCAAGAAGTCCAACAAACCCGACTCACGCTCGCCAAGCAGCTGCGGCATGAGGCCCGAGAATGAGATCCAGCCGGTGCGTGAGGTAGACATGTCGGGTCCAAAGGAGCTGGAGTACAAATTCGAACCGAGAGAAAGGTATGACTCGATGGAGCTTCCGGTCTTCATGGAATTCGAACATCCGCCACGGCCCTCGTTTGAACCTAGTGAACGTGAACTGCGTTTGCAACTTCCTCGCCTTCAGACCAACGAAATTTGTGAAGATCAGAGGGCTCCCAGTCGAGCGGGAACCACCCCAATCGGTACTACTCCTATAGGCACCACTCCTATTGGCACTACTCCTGTCGGTACTACCCCTGTCGGCAGTATGAGCCCGGGTGGTCCAGTCATCATCTTTGAAAAGGATCAGGATGATGTTCGCGAGGAAAAAATCTTTATCTCGTCGAGCAAAGACACGAGTACCGATGACAATGCACCATGTGAACCCGAGCCACTCATGCTTCCAAGCATGGTCTTTGAGCTTGACGGTGACTTTCCAGAGCCAAAATTAGACCTTACTTTCTCAGTCCAAAGAGAATCCCTCGGAACCATACCTTCTCACCTGCCTGACAAGATAGTTCTTTTGATAATGGAACATGCGTGCTCCCTCGATGATCTGTTCCACCTGGCAGTGATTGACAAACAGTTTTACCGTGTTTTCAAATATTACGAGCTACGTCTAATGAAAAACACCGTTCTCACAGTCTCGCCTCCAGCGTGGGAACTCCGCGAAATGAGCCCGGCGTGGGATTGCGAGTGGCAACTTCTAGTCGACCCCGATGCGCCGGTTCCCGAATATACTCCTTTTCTTTATCTTCAACGCTACGCGCAAGATATTTTTACGCTTGCGCAACTCAAGTCGCTCATTCTGGCACAATGCGATGCTTTTCTTCGTCCAGAAACAAAAAGTGGCCTCCTCGGTGTAGATGAGGCCCGGGCGTTGGCGGTCGACGATGCTTTTTGGCGTATATGGACTTTTTGTCGCATTTTCGGTTGTGGCAAAAACAGAGAAGGCGATATTACGGGCCAAATGGACTGGCTAGATGGAGGGATTGCAGCCGTGGGTAGACGCAAGTCCTCGTCAATGTCCGTTACCGAGCCCTTCGGCATGGACAATGTTCTATTTGATCCTCCGGATGGATTTGGCCACGGTAACAAAGGCGGCCTATCCCGTGATCAGCTGTACGATATGACGGAGCTGTGGACTTGTCTCGGTGTGTTGCTTCAACCACTCCATGGCATGTGTCGCGAGGCACGGGAAGCTGGAATATTCGAAGGCCACGACGCTCCGGAGGAAGACCCTTTGAAAGAGGAAGTGGCATTAGGTCAGTTCACCCTGCAATTTACTATAACGTGCCTTTCGAGGCCAGGCTAACAGGTATTGAATGAACAGAAGAATGGACTTATTTCATCCTCTCGCTTGGCCCGTCAGCAGTTCTGAATGTCGGATTGGCTTGTTTCACGGACAGTGCCGCGGCGACATTTCAAAGAGCTCGATCGCTTGGGTTGACAAAATGGGAGGAGGCCGAATCAGGTGTCAGTCGCTTCAGCTTTTTGAAGGAGGCCGTTTCGAGAGGCTATAGGCCACGAGAAAGCACTCCTCCGCGGGGAGTATCGCGGTCATCCAATGGCAGCTCGAATGGCTCCCAAGGCCATGCTTCACAAAAAAGCACTGATTCCAACGGGAGTGCCTCTCAGGTCCCCAATCACCGTCGAAGACAAGTAGTGTACGCGGAGCAGCTTCGAAACCAGAAAAAGGAACCACAAGGTCTCAGCGTCCATCCCAACACAAACGAACGTCCAATTTCAAACTATGGTGCCATAATGCACCACCTAGAAGGTCACCCACATGAACGCCGATCACCATCACCTGCCCCGCCTGCAACGGCATCTCAGGTTCCTTCTCACAGCGCACCGCACACACAGCGTCTCCGGGTTCCCTCGCCATCTGCTCCTTCCTATCAGCCGCAGGTCCGCGATCCTGTTGACAAAGCCATTGCCATGATGGTTGGGGATCTCGGTTATCATGAGGAAGATGCTAAATGGGCATTGAAAGTCACCGATACGGGCGAAGGAATCGACGTCAACGCTGCAGTCACGCTGCTAATGAGAGAACATCAGAACTTCACCTTAAGCAGAGACCCGTCTCTGCGGACCCAGTCCAACAGCCTTTTCTCGTCAGTAATCACCAGTCGAGAATCCGTGAACACTGGGTGGAGATGGGTCTAACCCCTAATCACTGCCATTTTCACACCATTTTGGATTCTTCACATCCTTGATAACGATCCACATTTTGAGCAACCGATCTGGTTGTTTAGACATTTTCTTTTCTTTTGAAACATGCATGTTTGGAGTACTTGGATTATTTTCAGCCGTTGCATTCCGTTCGATACCCGCTTTGTACAATTATTCCATCGCAAAATCGGGGTGTATGGCTACTGTATCTGGATTTGGAAATCTGTGTTCTTTATAGCGAGAATTGGAAGCGTTTGCATTATTCATACGATTAGAGATACATTTGGTCATTTAGCAAATTCATGACAACAATTGAAGTTGTACAGGTTATCGAACACATTTTGTCCTTGGATTTCAGCATCCACATCCACATTCACAATATTTGACAAGCCATTATACATACTGAGCACACTCCGATAGAAGATCGTGGCCGGCAGTTTCTAGAAAGGCACCGTTGCACTGAGACCGTCCAGCTCACGCTGGTAGTTTCGATGTTGAGAAATCTCATAGAAAAATTTGCCGAAGAAGTCCTTCGCATCCTTCGCGATCTGAACACCTTCACGGAAGCTTTCTGGCTTCTGGGGTGACCCAGCCGTTACCACTCCATACCAGTTAACCGGTTCCGCCGAGGTGGCCACCTTGACATCAAGCGCATTTGCTAATGTCTGCTTGATAAAGTTCGCAGCTTCGCCCGTGCCACCGAGCGCCTTGAGATGACCGAAGGTTTCCGTGATCCAGTAGCGAATCTGTCCGTTGGCTTTCAGCACGGAGATGTGAGGCCCACCAGGAATGAATGTGGCATCAAACATCGTGGAGCGCTGGCCATCATACTGATGGTCGGCGATGATACCCTTTGCAGTGTCCTTGGTCTCGCCATCGGCATAGATGGGTGATCGCTTCGTGCCGATGACAAAAGGCAGAGCCCCGGCGGCAGTCACGGCCGCTTTGATTCCATTGAATGCCACGGGGTCATATCCATCACCAATAATGATGGCGATGCGGCGACTGGCAATGGTCGGCTTCTTGGCCGGGAGTTCGGTCTGGGAGAGATTCTTGGATCGCTTGCCGTGGTTTTGGCGGTACGCCTTCTCAGGCACTGGAGCGCCCACGATCTCTGCAACTTGCTGGGCGAGATTCAGATCGATTTCAGCCAGCCGGTGGCCAGCCAGTCGGTTATAAACAGTGGGATCATCGCAATGGTCCAGCTCAAAACAGAATGCCTTCTTCATGTGCTCTTTTTCGTGTGGGGACATAGAGTTATAGAAAAGCTGTGCCTGGTTATGGTGCTCACGGAATTTAGCACTCAAGGCACGCTTCTTGGGACCACCGATCTTTTCAGGATACGACTCGAATCCGCCCTTCTCAGGGGGTACAGGAGCCGCAGCTTCGAAGCGGTTGGGCCAGTAGTTGACGGTGCCCTGAGTGATGCGATGGCGCTTTTGGCCATCGCGATTGTGATTCATGACAGGGCATACAGGCCGGTTGATAGGGATCTCCTCCCAGTTAATTCCAAGCCGGCTAATCTGGGTATCAAAATAGGAGAAATTGCGGCCCTGCAGCAGGGGGTCATCGGAGAAATCAATTCCTGGGACGACGTGACTGGTGCAGAAGGCCACCTGCTCAGTTTGAGGGAAGAATTCATCGACATTGCGGTTGAGCTCGAGCTCGCCAATCACACGCAAGGGAACGAGTTCTTCGGGCCAGATCTTGGTGGCATCCAAAATGTCGAATTCGAAATCGTCTTGTTTCTCCTCAGGGATGACCTGGATGGCGAAATCCCACTTAGGATAGGCTTTGTTGTCGATAGCCTCCATCAAGTCTTTGCGGTGAAAATCCGGGTCCTGTCCAGCCAGTTTCAAAGCCTCGTCCCACACAAACGAGTGCACGCCGAGATGAGGGATAAAGTGGAATTTGACGAAATGTCGCTTGCCCTCCTTATTGATGAGCGAGTAGGTGTTGACTCCGAATCCCTGCATCATGCGGTATGAACGCGGAATAGCCCTGTCAGACATGGCCCACATGTACATGTGTGTGGCCTCGGGATGCAGATACACGAAATCCCAGAAGTTGTTATGAGCCGTCTGACCCTGTGGCACTTCATTGTGTGGTTCCGGCTTAACCGCATGGACTGTGGCTACATGTTAATCACTGCTTACACTCCAAAAGGGTGGTTCCATACCGAAATCAGGGAATTTGACTGCGTCCTGGATGAAGAAAACCGGGATGTTGTTGCCAACGATATCCCAGTTACCTTCCTCGGTGTAAAATTTGACGGCGAATCCTCTCACATCACGTACCGTGTCGGCACTTCCTTTGCTACCTTGGACTGTGGAAAACCGCAGAAACACCGGGGTGTTCCTTGAGGTGTCCGTCAGAATTCCAGCGTGAGACACATCTTCAGCGCTCTCAAACAACCGGAAGTTTCCAAAGGCGGCGGTTCCACGAGCGTGTACCACTCTTTCGGGAATACGCTCATGATCAAAGCGATGAATCTGAGCGATGTTAGAGGGCCTTGATGTGATACCAGCGCAGCAAACAGGTCTGCACATACCTTCTCTCGTGCGATCTGGTCTTCCAGGAGCGACGGACCTGTGTGGTCCTCATTGGCAGGTCGAAGCCATTGATCGGTGTTGCTGATCTTCACGCCATGATCGGTAGTCAAAGGCTGGTTTTTGTTCACGCTAGTGGTGTCATTCTCCAGCTCTACGAATTTCTTGTCCTTGGACGTGGCTTTCTGGACTGCCTCTTGGGCCTTGCTTAGGCCGCCCGCAATGACACTTGCCATATTGCCGTGACTGCTATGTTGGGACTAGGTAAGTAAGTTGAAAATCATGCGCAATCTGTTCCAATGGGATTAATTGCCAACTATCTTATAGAATTCCTCACTCTTCAGGCTGGGTAATATATGGACTGTGAGTGGGCGTCATCTCTGCGGCACGTAAAGATGACGTTGAGCGCGAGGACGTCACCCTGACATCTCCGACTCACTGCAACCCCACAGCCAAATCCCCGGAATCAACACTTGAGATCCGGAAACAGCGTCCAGTAATTATGGGATGCTTTTTAATCCGGATGCTCTACCACCGATGAATTGCACAAAACCTGCTGGCAGTGATTGCCGCCCACCAACAAGTCGCCCAAGGTTCATGCCGAGGTAGTTACGTCGGATCACCAGACTTGACGACACAAGGATTAGACTTCCTCTGGCTTCAGGGGTAACCACTCTCAAGGGTGACAGGGCTTATCACCAAGAAGTCTTCGGAGCGATGGGGTCCTTACAGTTGCGAGGCCATATGAAGCAGATAGTGCTGAACTCTCTTTGACCATGGGGATTTCCCCCGATGGTTCGATCCAGATGCAGGGAATGAAAACGCCATGATTATCACTCCGAAGGGCTTTGCTCCGCAGGGATGTCATGGTTGACGGCGATTAAGTTCGATGCGATTTATCTATAGAACGTAGGGCTCCGGGGGAGGTCTAGCCCTGATCTTCCTGACCCTGTCATCATCCCGGTCGGACATCCCAGTGAGTGAAAGGGATGGAGAGAAGAGGCATGGACCAGCTTCTTTCCATGTTCTTCGGGCGTTCTACTGAATTTAACTCGACGAATTCTCCCTTTTGTTTTTCCTTTTTCCCCTTCGGTGTGGTGGCTCGGGTTCACGTCAAAGAAACATGGCTTGAACTATGGCCACTATTCAACGTTAAAGTCGACGATCGACGACAGATCAGGAGCGCAGGAGCCAAGTCCAACGTTATTACGGAGCAGACTATTGTCTCGACTATGTCATAATGCCAGCCAATTATTGGATGCGCCTTGAAGGGTTGTGATGTATCACTTCGGGATGCAAGTATGCGTGTCGATCCGCAACGATCGCTTTGTTTGTCGCTCTACCAAGCCGGAAATATGACAGGTGAGACGCCGGTGGCAGCACTTGATCCGCTGTTGGGAGGGGAGAAAAAAAATAATAACGGATCTTGGATGTCGAAGAAGAATCAGAGGATATTATGCAAGCACGTACGTGATGAAAAGCTCTGGGGCAAAGATAATGCGGTGAATCCATGTCTCTCCATTGTCCATGCAAGGGGCAGCTTGTTTATTGAACCGCGCCAGGGCGCGAAACGAGGAGACACGAAAGGGACTCGTCGCATCAATCATCTGCAGTACTCGCTTCGGCTGTCGATTGATTCGTCCGAGCATGAGATAGCATGGTTGCAGAGAAGGGAAAGAATCAGACACACAACCTTTCTCCCTGTCTATTCAATCAATCAAGCGATCAATATATCAGGTCTTTGTCAACCAGGCGCCTCTCCCTGTCTCTGGGCCCGTCCCACTAAGGATGCGAGGGATGACAAGCACTGACGCTGGAGGAACTCTCCCAGTTTCCTCCTTGAAACGAGAAAAATATGCGGGCAGACCGTTTACTGCTGGTGGCCCCCATGGCGAGCACCGCTTGACCTGCATATGCGCGCCAGCGAAACCTACAGTTCATTGAAAATGACGCCTCACCCGGTCTCTCATGCTTAATTTCATTCTCAAATTCCTGTCTGAGACCTCACGGAAAGGCCGTGAAACCTCGAGTCCTCTTTAATCTCTTTTGTTTCGTCTTCCTCCCCTCATCATCATCCACCTCGTCGCCGTCCTCATCACACCCTTCCTATCTTCACGACGACCATGGAGTGCGATCGCTACGTATCGCCTTCTGACCGGTGAGCTCATGCAAATTCTCTGCAGTCCCCCGGCTGCGGCTCTTGCGGTAACCAATATGCCCGCTACTAACTACCTGTGCGCATTGACCTAGGGAGGCTGTCGGCAGTTATAACCTACATCCCGAGGCGAGACTGGAACTCGAAAAGCAAATCACGCTTGGTGGTGCATCGCATCCCACCCCCAGCCGCTTGAAGGCCAAGACGCGTATTCTACGAGCATCAGACGTTCTACTATCCTTGGCTGGAAGATCTACAAGCGGTAAGCTGCCGCTTCTCCCGGCTACCTACATACCGATGCATAAGCGATCCGCGGAGGAGACTAATGGAACACACCTTCGATATCCAGACCCGTCAGAACGAGCAGGGGGACTTGAAAACTTCCAAGAGGTTCTGCGCTTATTTCCACCCTTTCGAGATGACGATGGAGCAACTTTCGGGGCAATTGACGTCAAATGTCCTGACTGCGATGCGGTGTTTTCTTCCTCGTACGGTTTATCTCCCTGTGCCCTGCGAGAGGGAGCCATTTTAACTAGCCGTGTAGCACCGAGCTCAACAACCACTATCTCACGCGATTCTGCCCCGGCGCTGCCGTCGCCGTATACGTGATGACGCGAGATCGGTAACTCTCTCCTTCCCAATATGTGAAGCACGTTTTTGCTGATCCATCTGGGTCTTTTAGACTAATTACAAAGGGTTACCGCATGGAGAAGCGACTCATTCCTCTAGATTGTCGTCCTATGCGTTTCTTCTGCAACAGCTGTGAGAGACACTTTGCAGTTGGTGATAATGGTGAAAGGGTGGATAGGCAGCGCAGTAGGATACCCGCCGACACATTCTATGCATTATTTCCTAACATGATACTCTTCGCAGACATGCCATCCTTCGTCACCTGCAAGCATTGCGGAGAGAAATGTAATATCTCGTCAGTATCCACCCATCATTGTCCAGTCCGCGAGCATGCAGAAGTCAGCTTCTTACACGATTCTCACAGATATGAGCCTATTCTGAATGACCCACGCGATGATGCAAGTTTTCGAGACGTGCAGAGAGATCTTTCAAGTATAGCCCACAGCCGGAGTCCTAGCCTTGCTCCAAAGAGCACCATGGGATCTAAATTCCCCACAACCCCTGTATCCGGTATCGATCAGCCGTCTTTCGCAAGGCGTGCGAGAAAGTTACGAGATTCATGGTCTCATAGGAGTACGCGCCCTTCTTTTACTGTGCTCATGGAAGTGACCAGCCGGGCTAATTTGAGCAGAGTTTTCGCAGAGCGATGAAGATGAATTGATAGCGATTAGCTTTGCTGGGATATACGACTTGGAGAAAGGTTTGTTCCTACAAACTAGATAATTCTCTCTGGTGTTGACTATGTCGCAGTACATGCTCCCAATGGCACATACCAGCAGTTTGAGGGCAGTGCGACTGAGACTAATGGGCAATCGGTATCAAGCTTTACTTCGAGTGGTATGGAGGTCTATACGCGATCACCTGGATTTCCAAGAGTGTACTGACTAACGCGACGCTCACGGCAGCTTGCGATACACCTATCCTAGGTAGCAAAAGGGACGAGTTGACCCTTTGCGGAGATGAACACCACAGAAACCATCTACAGGCTGAGTCACAGGGAGATCTAATGTATCCAAACGGTAGCCCACAGGACAACACGGTCTCGTCGAAGAGACAATCATTTCTCCAGAAGCTTTTTGGACGGAAGACTCCCAAGGGTTTGTAGATCCACGTTTGACTTTCGGTTGTAGACTAAGACTTCTGCAGGCCCATCGCGCGCGCGTTCAACTTCCAACCGAGGCAAGAAGCTAATAAAGAGAGCAAACACGATACGATTTTCATTAGTCGCCAAATACGCCCGGAGTGAGAGCAGAGCAGCTACACGAGAGACCTTGGGGACTGCAGATGAATCACAGCCAGCCGACACCCCGGAAATTAGGCAAGAGCCAGATTCTCCGGTCGTTTCAGATGCCGAGTACGTTGCATTACTACGAGGCAGCCAGAACGTCTTCATCCACATGCAGTACATCTCGGGAGGAGCCGTGGTTCATGATGAGTCCGGACGTCAGCGAATCCTTCAGATGGACGAAGTGGCTCAACTCTACCTCCAGTTGAAGGATGAATTGTCGGCCGCCACGATCTGGTCCCAAGCACTTACCACTCGCCTAAGGGCAGAAGCGGCGCTAAATCAAGGAAACTACACGGCAGCGGTGGTCGAATATCATGACGCCTTGAAGATGCTGGAAGTCACACCGGCGCTGGATGCCGATAAGTTATCACGCGCTGCCATGTTGCACTCCCTAGGCCAGGCTTACCGCAATTTAGACATGCCAACAGAATCTGAAGCATGTTATCTCGAATCGCTAGGACTCTATAAGCGCACGCTCGGACGAGACAACCAGAAGAACTATGCCGTCCTTCACGACCTCGGAGCCCTCTGCGAGAAAGATGGGTATGCCACCGAAGCCGCCGCGTTGTACGAGCGCTCATTCGCCGGACGACTGAAAACCCTCGGTAACAACGCCCCCGAAACGCTAAGTAGCATGCAGGATCTTGCTTCTCTCAAAGTCTCGTTGGGAGACCTCGAGTCGGCGCTTCTTCTCCTCGAAAAGGCGGTCCCGGCACTTGATACTGTCTTCGGGCTACAGAATGCAACCACACTGAACGCAATGAACCAGCTCTCTCTTCTCTATCAAAAGCTCGGTCTAGACAACGAGTCTCGCACTATCTGTGGCCGGACCATCCCTCACTGTAGGACCTTCTTCGGCATCACCAGCCCTATCACCCGAGACGTCGTCGTGCGCTACCTTCAAAGCTCCGAAAACTTCGACTTTCCTGCGGACATCAAAGACGTCCTAGATCAATATCAACGGTCTCGCGATCCGGACGCCCTGCGTGTCATCCACCGTCTCGGCCGATCGTACATGGACGCGGGTCTCAACCGAGACGCAGCTGACCTTTTCGAGGCCCTTGTCGAGGATTTCCTAGCTGTTAGGGGTCCGGAAGCCCCCGAGACGTTTGACGCGCTCAGTGCGCTGTGTGTGTCCCGGGAACACCTCGATTCTGTCGACAAGGCGATCCTGGCATACAAGCAGCTCGTCCATATGGCCGGCAGGACCCCCGAGCACCACCACTCGCGCAAGCGAATCGGATACGCCGAGAAACGCATCTCGGAATTGAACCGCCGACGAGACATTCTTGCAGCGGAGAGGAAAGAATGGATGCTGCATGAGCCCGGTCTATGCGAGAACTGCGGATGCACCACGACCGTCCTCTGCAACAGTAAGTATTATCTCATGCTCCCAGATTTGTTTCGATAAAACCCCGTCCCTCTAACATAACCCACTCTCCCTCAGCCTGCAAGATCTTCCGATTCTGCAACGAATCCTGCCACCAGCTCGGCGTCGCCGCCCACTTCCCCTACTGCATCCCATCCGTCTCGCTGCGCGAATCCAAGTCTCTCGCCGTGAAGCCCAAATGCCCGACCTCGATGCGCGACCAAGCCATCTCCAAGATCCGCCGCTTCAACGGCACCAGCGACGGCAACAAGTCCGTGACCGTGACCGCCAGCTTCACCTTCTACCTGGACCCGCGCAACTTCTCGACCTTCCGCATGCGCCTCAACAACGCCGCCAACACCGTCATCCTGTTCTCCCTCGACTCCGACATCCAATACACCACCATCGACAACCCGCCCCTGGACCTCTCCACCAGCACCAACACCAACACTACCACCTCCTCCCCGGTCTCCTCGACCTCCACGTCTGCCACCGACCTCAAGGGCGTGCAGTGGCTGTCACCCGATCGCCAGGAAGCCATCTGCTACGAGCCCGGCGACGCGTCCGCCACGCAGTCGCGGTACGTCCTCGTCACGCCGGGCCGCGAGATGCTCAAGACCCTCATCGATAAGCGCGTCGGGGTGCGCGCCGGCGGCGGCGACGCCGATCGCTTTAAGAGCCTCGAGTTGCCCGATAACGAGCTGATCGAGTATGCGCAGGGCTTGCTGCTGACGGGATACCTAGGGGAGGCGTTCATGTATGTGATTGAGTGGGTGTGGAAATGAAAAGGGGAGTGAATATATATATAATTTGCATATCATTTACATTATCTTTTTTTTTCTTTGGGAGGATCGGTTTTATTGCTTGCTTGGTTGATATCTCTCTGTTTTGGGGCAAGGAAAAGAAGGAGGAAAAAGAGCACATGGTTGGACATTCATTTTTTGGAGCTTTATTTATTCTCTCTTCTCATTCTATCTGGTCTTCGATTAGACCCTGGGTTCTTTCTTTTTATTTCAATCTTTATTATGTGTTTGTTTATCGTCAGCTTATTCTTGATCTATAAACTGCGCTGTATTGATATTGTTCGCGTCATCTGTCTACTCGTCTATTTGCCTTGTTTGGTTATTTTGGTCACTATATCCAAGTCATTGCATCTAAAATCGGTGAGCAATGAAAAGTTTAGAATGATATCTCATTTAGTTCTACTCAATTGATAGTTTATTCTTTCTGTTTTCTAGCACTCCAAATCTATAACCGTGTCAAATCGTGTATGTAGGTGTATCTCAAGTCTGGGTCTTGGGAGGAAATAGTAGTAAAATAAAAGGAAAAGAAAAAGAAAAAAGAAAAAGGTCAGAGCTGCAAGTACAACGCTCGCTTTTCCAAATCAACTCAGGCCTTCGCTCATAAAAACAGAAGCACACAATAGTCAAGGTAAAGGTACATGATAAGAAAAGACCTCTAACAGAACACCGCTTAGCCCAAAGGCACAGCCTTGAAACAGCAAGGTGGAATAGTAATATCAGTAAAGGGCTAAATAAAAGCAAGTTCGTCAAGTCGTGAACGCTTTCTTGAAGCTTCAGGGGATGAGCAGTTGGTAAGACCCCCACTCGGCAGTAATAAAATACCATCTCTATGAAGCGGAGTGATGGTTCTCCTCGTCATCGGACTTGTACGTGTCGTCGCTTTCGTATCCCTCTGCTTCCAGAGATTGTCCGCGGACCCCGAAACTAAGAACAAACCCGACGAAAGAAGTGGCGGCGAAAACCCCAAATGCCATAGCCTCGCCTTTAGGTTCGACACGGGATGCAAGAGAGAACAGACCGCCAGAGATGAAGGGTCCAACGGCACGGCCAGCGGCGGAAAGAGTTTGTGCCAGGCCGTTGAGGGCACCGAGAACAGCGTGGTCGGGGGCAGAGTTGGTGATCTATGCGTAGTGTCTAGTTAGCGGAGTCATATGTCTTTTGTGTTGGGGGAAGAAGGGTGTGTTTAGAATGGAAATGGTAAGTTGCCTTACAAGAAGTAATGCGCTGGTCAAGCCGCCCACCGTAGCCACGGTTTTGATCAGCAAGGCGAAGCAAAGCTCCACCGCCATTAACGCAGTCTTGCCGCTTATATGGCCATTGGCGTCCTTTCCCTTGTATCCGATGAAGGGCATTAGGATAAACGAGATCACAAAGCCGAATAGACCTGCTCGGTAAGACCATCGATTGCCCATTTTGTCTCTCAGCCTGCCAAAAATGCAGATTTGAAAGATGATGGTGACAAAACCGGAGAATCCTTGCGCGAGGCCGATTTCTTCGGGGGTCAGGCCTCGACCGGTGGGAGGTGCGGCTTGCGAAAAGATAGGGAAGAGCGCGTTGAACGAGACATTGCACAGAGCGAAAATTGTATACGACGACAAAAGCAAGATTGTATCGCGATTCCACAATTCGCTGGTCAGGCTCTCATGGTGATTTACCCTGGGGCCTGATGCCTCAGAGGCCGAGTCTAATTCGCTGTCATGGCCCTGCGAGTCCGTAGAGTGGCGTCGGAGAGGACGATATGGAACCGGATGGGGTGGTTGCACCCAGCGCGCACGCCTCGCCATGCTAGTGAACTGCCAGAGCCACGAGAAAAACGAGCGAACCCTGTGCCGGATCTTCGGTATACTGTCGGCATCTTCAAGACTTTCTTCCAAGAAGAAAATGGACACGATCAAGTCTAGTACAAGCAGTCCGGCGGATAGAGCATTCGGCGCGAGATAAGGGTAAGGGTTTGGCTTGCTAGGGTCCCACGGAAGAGTGTCAAAAATCAGCAGCCCCCCAAGCAGAGGACCAGTGATTCCTCCCACCCCGTAGAGTACCGGAAGATAGGTGAAAGCTTTCGACTGGTTGCTGCGATCTGTGATCTCACCGAGGCAGGTAGACACCAAAACCTGGTTTCCGTTGACGGCACCCATGACGGCTTGCACGATAATAGCCTGCACCAGCGTCCTGCAGAAACCGAAGGCGAAGAAAGACGCTGCGGTTAAGACCGTACCCAGCATGATCACCGGCTTCCGTCCTACTCGGTCCGACAGCCATCCCCAGAAGTAATTTGTGACGAATTGCGCAATCGCAAACGCAGTGGCAAGACTCCCAACATATACCCCAACCAGTCGTGGTTCCACCTCCGGGAACGAGGACACCATTTGCGGCAGATAGGGGCTGATCGAGTTGAATGCTGTTTGCTCGCAGAGGGAGATCATCGCCAGGACAGCCATCTGCTTCTTCGGCAGTGGCGAGTGGTGGTTGGCTCCATGGTGCGACTCGTCCTGTGGGTCATGCGAGTTTATTCCTGACGACTCCGACTGACCAGAATTCGGTCTTCCTCGAGATTTTGGTGGCGGTGTATCGAACGTTTGGTAATGAAGCGTGGATGAATGTCGCCGACTGAGCGGGTCTCGCTCCGACGGCTTCATCTTCCGGGAAGGACAGGCAGGCACACGCGGGTATGGAAGGGCTCAGGTCCTAAAATGTTTGGAATGAAATCAATATTTTGAGGACACTTTCGAGGTCAGCCCTGGAAGTAGTGCCGAGGCTCAATGGCCTCGAATGTTTTGCGATGTGGGGGAAGTTGCCCCAGATCCAGGTACAACGAGGGGAAGTGATCTGGGCCACAAGCACCGTGAGGGATAACCACTGAAGGCCAAGAATAGAAACGAATGGACTGGATAGTGATCCAGTCGAAAGCCAAATAAAAGAAGCGCGGAGGCGAAAAGCGCGAGGGTCGGAATGGAGAAAGACAAGGTCCAAGGAAAGCCCGGGGGACACGCGGATGATGTAAGCATTCTGGGCTGACTCATCGGCGTCCAGGCCATTGATGATCGGCGGATTAATTAAATCGTAATCTTATGGATTGGACTCAGGGGCTCATTTCATTTCATTTCCGGCCTGCGTGAGGTCAGCTTGTCAATTGAGAGATTTCTTTTGACCCTGCCTATCGAGTGGTTCCTCTGTCTTGGAGCAAGTGAAACCGCGGCGCTGGCCGATGATGTCATCTCCCCGGATTGCCCAATGACCACCTTCCGCTTTGGTCCGACTTGGTGCCGCTTTCTCCTTCCTGAGCGGCCCGCAGCGTAGCGTCCCGAAGATGTTTCTATAGACTGTGGTTATCACGTTCTATGATCTATCAATGATGCTATTACTACTACCTCACGGAACAGCTATTAGACCCCATCCCTCTTACAACTTTCCATGAGCATCCTTCCTTACGTTCAATCTTTGTACCAAACCAGCAATCAAGTACCCTTGAGTGGCATGCCAGGTATGACCGGAATGGCAGCAGCAACGCAATACTGCAACCAGGATGGCAAGGAAGACTTCGGCGACTTTGTGCGCAATGATGACGAGGAAGATGACTTGACAGAGGTTGCCGAGCCCTGGCACAAATATGATAAAACGATAACCCCAGATGTCTTCTATCCCATCCGCCTCGGAGACCTGATCAATGAGAGGTACCTGGTAGAGCATAAGCTTGGATGCGGTGGCTTCTCGACTGTCTGGATGGCCAATGACCTTCAAAATAACAGAGACGTTGCCCTCAAGATTATGTTTGCGGGAGAATCGGGTGAAAAGGAAATCTGCCTGCAGGACGAAATTGTTCGGAATGTGCGTGATGCCTCTTATTTTGTGACGTATCTGGAAACCTTTCTACTTCCGGGAGATCAATGTCACCATAGGGTTCAAGTATTTCCCTTGAGGGGCCCTGTCTTGACTGTCCGGACGTGAGAGAAATGTCCATCACTATTCGCATGTCCGCCGCTCGGCAATTGCTAGAGGCGTTGGAAATTTTACACGAGGCCGGAATTGTCCACCGTGGTGAGTGACACCAGCATCCTCTTCTTTTCTCTATTCATCCGCATGCTGTTGTTGATTCAACAGATTTGAATGAGAGAAACTGTATGTGGGGAATGGAACCCCTCCACCATCTGCCCAGGGGGGCTAAATACGAGGCACTGGGTCGGCCATTGAAGCAAATGATACCGGTGGACGGTCTCTGGAAGCAAGGAGAGCTCGTTGGGCCTGTTAAAATCCCTCCAAGCTCGCGCACAAAGAAATTCTATCTCAGTGACTTTGGTCTGGCGAAGAAAGTTAACGACTCTGTCACACCACGTGGCTACCCACCATCACAGTATTGCTCCCCGGACCGCCTGCATGGAAAAGATCCCAGTCCTGCCTGCGACATGTGGAGTTACATGGTCATCTTTTCGGAACTTTACCTTGGCTTCCAGCCTTTTTCTACGTATTTCAATGGTGGGATTATTGGTGGTTTCGTGAGGTCTTTAGGTCCTCTGCCCGAGGAGTGGAAAGGTCTGTATACTCACCCCAAAGGCCGTGATTCCTGGTATGACCAGAACCAAACTACCAATCCCGAATCGACTCTTGAGTCAAAGATTGCACATCTTCATCCTGAAGCCGACCCAACGGAGCGAAGCCATGTGCTTTCCGTTATGCCTCGTGTGTTCACTTACGACCCGACGAAGCGTCTGACCGCAGCCCAGCTTCTGCGAGATCCTTCGTTCAGAGCTATCATGGAAACCTACGGTTGTTGATCCCAAGTTCTTTATCCTTAGTTGAAAGCCTAGCCCTTTTGCTTTTATGGATGTTAATCAAAGTGACCCTTATTTGTTTTACTAAATATGTTAAGAATCGTCGATGTATTAATGGCCGAGACCGAGCATAATCTATACATTAGTAGGCGCCGAATTCTTCGGCATGAATAACCACTGTTGCATTGAGTCTTCTTTTATTGCGGACTGAATGATGTGATGGTTGTGACGACAGGCTAAGTTCTGCTGTATGCACATACCTTAGCGGTGCATAGCTAGGTACGTCTTATAGTAGCAGAGCAAAAGATGTATGCTTGTAATAGAAGCTTTTCTGCCAGCAGAATCCATAATGTACGTCGTTTGGTCACGATCTGTCTCAATCCATCTTACCAACCTGAGAGGCTTTCTATGAAGTAGAGCGTACAGCCATCGTGCACTAAAAGTGACTGGAACGTAATAGAATTGAAAAAGCAAGACCACGAGATAAAAGTTCGTGTAGGATAGTAAGAAGGATTAAAGCGAAGGAAGGCGGAAAGCCATTATTTATATTATTTACTGGGGCGAAGGACATCCCAGTTGGGTTATTGTTGGCAGCGAAACCCTACTCTTGCAGCAAGTAATCTAAAGAGGAATCTGTCTAGCACCTGTGTACTGTGAACAACACGGTGTATTTAATCCTTGTCTTCGTGATACCCTTATAAAAGTGGTAGAATGCCTGTAGATCATAGTGCGTTAGTTCGTACACAGTATAAAGACCTATTCTAATTACATAAAGTATTATAAACAAGATAAAGCTACTCCAGAATTACTTATTATAAGCTAGCCAGATTAACCTGGGAGCTAGTAAGTGTCCCAGAAGTTCAGAACACACCCGGAGCACTATACACACAACATTAATCCATAGCGATTATCCCATGCCATTTCATCACTTCATCAACAAATTAACCGCCCAAGGCACACTAAGCCCTCGCAGATCCCCGTAATGCTGACCGACTCCCAAGAACACAATGGGAATTCCAGTGGCATGGACCATGCTCACAAGGGTGCCCACCATGTCGCCAACCGTGTCGCATTTACTGATGATAAACCCATCCAGGTTTCTCCCAGTGCCAAAGGCTTTGTTGAAGTTACGCGCCTGCATCACACTGTCTGTTCCGACCAGGGCTTCTCCAACCATGAAAATCTTGTCGGGTCGGGCGAACTTGGCAAACTTCTCCAGCGAGGACATCAGGCGCTCATCGTTATGGCGACGACCGGCAGTGTCAATCAGAACCACGTCGAACTTCTGGGCCGCTCCGTATTCAACGGCGTCCTTGGCGACATTCGCGGCATCCTTCCCGTACCCCTTCTCGTACAGCTCAAGATCACCGACATTCTCGCGAGAGCTGAGCTCCTTCAAGTTCCGAGCATGAACACGAAGTTGCTCCACAGCTCCGGATCGGAAGGTGTCACACGCAGCGATCAGAACCCGGTAGTTGTTCTGCAGTAAGAAGTAACAGATCTTGCCCAGGTTTGTCGATTTGCCAACGCCGTTGACGCCGACAATTGAAATCACGTACGGACGCGGAGCTGCTTGTCGGGTAGTCGGCGAGGTGACGGTATCAATTTCCCGGAGCAAGTCCAAGGACGAGGTAGGGGTCAAGATATTTCTCAGAGAAGACTCCATTGCCAAGCGGAGCGCAGCGTCCACACTTTGGAAGTTGCCCGTCTTCTTGCCAACAAGCTCTCGCTGCACGCCGTCGCATAGTCGGACAGCTGCCTCGCGCGCCACGTTCTTCTTGAGAAGATGGTCTTCCATGGTTTTCAACGGCTTCTCCAGATCAGCCTCCGTCAAAACCTTTCCGCCAACAACATTGCGCAGAAGACCACCGATCGCGCTGAAACCCGAGCCGACGAATCCAGACGACGTGGAAGTTTTCGCCTTCTCACTATCTGCATTCTCAAGAATCGAATGGACTTCGTCCCCTAGGTCCTTCAGAACAAATTGACCCTTGCCAGTTCGACGTCCCCAAGAGTCTTGTGCGATAGTATCCACGGACGGGGCCGATGTCTCATCGACTGGCGCCGAATAATCGAGGACCGTGCCGTCATCCTCATCAGCCATTCCGTCGGCGTCCCACTTGCGGCCTTTCTTAGCACTCGCCGTCTTTCCCTTGCGAAATTTCTCATCGCCGGAAGAAGCATTGGCGCTCGCATTCGCCGCCTTGCGCGCACGTCGGGAACCACGGGGTCCGCCCTTGGCACTTAGAATATGACTTGCGGCGGGCGTTGATGGTCGAGAAGTATCGGGGGTCTGGGGTGGCGAACTCTCATCGGAGGTCGACACGCCTAGCGCAGCTTGATGCTGCGCTGGTAGGTTGTCAGCAGATTTTCTCTCACGCAGTAGACAACTCATACCTTTAATAAGGCCAGGCATGGTTGGCGGCGGCGGACCGCCATTATCAGACGAGACCAGCGGGTCTTTTTTGTCTTCCGCATCGGCCACGAAGCCCTCGGAGGTGATCGCACCCGAGATATTCTCCAACTCCTTCACCTGTAGATCGAAGTATCGGTCGAACGGGTACTCGACGATGCGAGCGCGAGTGCTCTTTAGTTGGTCCTTGTATAGATCGAGGAAGATGGTCGAGATGTTGTCTAGGAGTTTATCGATCCAACCAAGATGGAGCAGGGACTGGTATACCGCCTGATGATGTCGAGGTCAGCCATGGGTTAGGATCGCCCGAAGGATCAGCAATTTCACCCCAACGTACCACAAAGATGAGATTGAAATCCTTGGCCTTCTTCCATTTCAGCGTATACTTCTCTTTCTTGTAGACGGGATATGCGTTATTCACAGCCTGGAGTTGAACCTTCTCCTCGATAAAGACGTCGTTGATAAGGCTGTTGACGATGTGAGCGCCGACCGGGGCGTAGGATCGCGACCACAGGACGACACCGGAGGTGGATAGAATCTCAAAGGCTTCCAACATCTTGGACTGGTTGTCTGCGGTGATCGGGGATGGTGAGGGAGAGATCCGCCGACGGTGGGGAATTCTTAAAGGAAGTGCGGGCGGCAAAAGTTGAGCTGTTCGGGGAGCGGAACTTCTCTGCAGCCACGTATAAACAGTTCGGCCCATCTCATCTCACCCTCTGCCCTCCTTCCTCCCTGATTTCATCTCTCGACACCGCATTCACTGCCTCCACCCCACCCCTCGAGCTCGTTGTGCATTGTGGCCTCCGACCCCTTTTCAGTCTTCACGATTGAGCTGTGAGAAGCATGTACCGCCAGAATTTTGCTCCTCCGCCGGCGCAGTCGCCTCCGCTGCACCATCCTGTACCGCAACATGTGTCGACCGTCCCGATGATGCGCTCACCACCTCCCCCGACATCCCAGCAGCCCCAAACGGCCAGCTATGGCAATCCGTACCAGCCGGCTCCCGCCCAAGGGGGCAGTGGCACCTACGCCCCCGGTTTCGGGGGCTTCATTAACGATCCGACGGCACAGATGGGATTCCAGGTCGGGAAGACCGCGATGGCTGCCGGACAGGAATACATGGAGCAGAACGTAAGTCTCTGAGACATCCACGCTGGCGCGATACGGGGTTCCCTTGCTGACCGACTCTCCGCGCCTCCGTAGTTCAACCGCTACGTCTCGATACCTGCGCTCAAACACTACTTTAACGTCTCCAACTCCTACGTGTTGAACAAACTGGTTCTGGTGCTTTTCCCATGGCGACACAAGCCTTGGTCCCGTCAGCAGGCACGCATGACGACAGCTTCGACGGGGCCGAATGGTCAGATCTCCCAACAGCAGTACTCATCCATGTTCCTGCCCCCTCGCGATGACCTGAACTCGCCCGACATGTATATCCCGGTTATGGCACTGGTCACATACATCCTGCTCTCGTCCATGCTCGCGGGATTCCGAGGCAATTTCCACCCGGAGCTCCTGGGTTCGACGACTACGACAGCGATTGCGGTGATCTTGTTCGAGATCCTGTGCCTGAAACTGGCCATGTATATTCTCAGCATCAACAACGAGTCGCAACTCCTGGATTTGGTCGCCTACTCGGGCTACAAGTTTGTGGGAATCATTCTGACCCTGGTGTTTTCGGAGGTCCTAAGTCCGGGGAGGGGCACCGGTGGCTGGGTTGGCTGGATCGTATTCGTCTACACATTCTTGGCTAATGCGTTCTTCCTGGTAAGTACCAGCGACCCTTTTTGCTTGGATTTCACGATTTCGTGTCGAAAACACCTCGCTCATTCATCCGACACAGCTCCGTTCCTTGAAATACGTCTTGCTTCCGGACTCGACCAGCGATGCGTCCATGCGCACGGGGTCGATGCACACCGTTGCCCGTTCGCAGCGCAACCGTCGCACGCAGTTCCTGTTCATCTACTCCTACGTGGTGCAGTTCATCTTCATGTGGGTGCTGAGTCGGGAGGGACCCATCGCCATGGTTTCTGCCAACGCCGCTGGCTCCGGGGCATCGTCATAGTGCGGGATGCGATAGAGGAAGCTCACGATAAAATCATAACGGCATAATCGGTGAAAGTTGTTAGGTAGAAGGCTTGATTACGATCATTATGTATGTTAGATAAATACCACATCTATTGATTTCTTTGCTTTGGGCATAGTGGACTCACATCGTTTACTCACATCGTTACCGTGAAGAGTGGGTACGGAGGGGTCCAGACGTTTTGGGCCTTCTCTACTCGGGGCTGAGAAAGCATCTAGATTGGTCTGGCAACTACGACTGGAAGCTACAGTATTTGGCTCTGGGAAGATCGTGTAAAATTATAGGTATATTCATTTCAACTAAGCTAAGCACTCGAGTAAACTCTGAACGGAAGATCCTATAAAAGCCGCGTTAGAAAAAGTCCAACACAGCAAATGAAGCAAAATATGCCAAAACAATGTCCTCAGAGATCTTGGTGATGGGTTAATATCATAGCCAAGAGGCATCAATTACTATCTAGGCAGTGCAAGTTTTAATCATCGGACGGGGAGGTAGCAACGTGCTGAACGTACCGAGTTGAGAGCAAGAGAGAATTGGATGAATGTTGATTTGAAAGATCTGTGAGGTCTTCGTGAATTAGCAACGTGATGACAAAAGAGGTGAATGTCAAAAAGTGTGGAGGTTTCAAATATCAGAATATGTAAGAAATGAATATCATGCTTCAGGACTGCTTAAGAAACCCCGGCGAGGGTTTCACAGAACCGGGTCAATCGCAAATTACCGCATCATGCGAAGGGTGAAGAGAAAAGAGAGGAGTTGGAGACCTACCAGTGAGAAAGGCAAGATGTATGGGCTGCATTGTTAGCTAAGACCATTGCCGAGGAAAGTGAAGATCAAGGCGTCCAGAACAGCATCTTGTCCTGCAACCATTGCAGTACAGACAGAAGGAAAAGAGAGAGAAAAAATATCGGCAGAAGTTTAAAACCGCCGGGTCGGAGCGGAAGAACCCCCGAGGCCGTGATCAGGCGCTAAGGCTCCTTAGCAGCCCTAGGCCACACAGCGACGGCGCGTGAGTGGCTGCTAAGCGAGATTCTGTGGGCAAAGGGCCGCAACACCGAAATTCGCGATCCGGCAGCCCAGAGCGACTTGTGCGTTTCGGACGATTCCTCGACAACCCCGACCCTTCGACAACAAATTTCCTCCCACCGACCCCCCGGAGTTTGTCGACCGTGAGTTCCTGATCGCCTTGGCCGTTCCCGTCAGACTGTGATAACTGAGTCCTCATTTTTTTCGTCGCCATTTTTAGGAAGCCTTCGCCATGGCCGATATCGATGTCAAGATTGCTCAATGGAAGCTCGTTGAGGTTGGCCGCGTGGTCCTGATCCGCAGCGGTCCCTACACCGGCAAGCTGGCCGCCATCGTCGAGATTGTCGACCACAAGCGTGTATGTTTCATTCCCGGGATTCCAGAGACGGTCGTGGAGGAAACGAGAGGACATGGGAAATACTGCGGAGGGAAAAAGCCACACGGAAGTTCTCGGCCATGATATTGACAAGAGTCGCAAATCGATAGGTCCTGGTTGACGGTCCTTCCACCGAGGAGAACAAGATCGTTCCCCGTCACGTCCTCCCTCTTTCTCAGGCCACCCTCACCCACTTCGTCATCCCCCAGCTGCCCCGTGCCGCCGGTACTGGCCCCGTGAGAAAGCTCTGGCAGAAGAACGAGATCGACGGCAAGTGGGCCAAGAGCAACTACGCCCAGAAGACCCAGAGCGCCGAGCGACGGAAGAACCTTAACGACTTCGAGCGCTTCAAGGTCCTCAGACTCAGGAAGCAGGTACGTTGACAGCATACCTATTTGGATTCGCGTTGGGATGCGTCTGTGGGCCGTGTTGGAGGAACACTACGGATGGGATCTTTTGCGACATGCAGAGAGACCTAGGATTTTGGACTGGCACCCAATTGCGCGCGCAATCAAGAAGTGGACACGAACTGACATTTGAATCTCTCTAGGCCCGCTTCGAGGTCCAGAAGGCTCACGCCAAGCTCCGGGCGGCTGCTCCTAAGTCATAGATGGTTTATTATGAGGCTCGGTGCATAGTGTGATGGGGTGCCTTGGGACGGTTAAACATTGCTGAGGGTTTATTATGGTTTCAGCAAAAAATAAAACGCTGTACGCTTTCATCATTGACAGCTTAAAATGATTCGAGAACCTTGATACCTTGACGGGTTATGCTCGTACGTCACAAATAGACGGCACCTTTTTTCAAGCCAGTGTATGACTCTGGGGTACTTTATCTAATATCGATCTTGATATTGAAATGACCGGTCCACTACCGTTGAAATCGGGGCACGCCCAAAATAAGCTGTAATCTTTATATGCTCTGGATCCATATTTATGATTAATACTGCCTGCCTACGCACCGACTTTCCATTTCCACAATTAAATTTAAATCTGACTCCATATTGTAAAAACAAAACGATCAGTAAAAGCGTAGAAGCTAGAATGGTCTCTTGAAGGTGGAGGTTGATCTGTAGATGCGTCGCTTCTGTGTGTCCGGGGGGAGGGTCCCAATATAAGCTCGCTAACGATTTTCGGCAGGATGACATTCACACAGCTTTGCGACTTTCCAACTCCAACCAAGGCAAAAAATCCCCCCTCATCCACCACAGTCCTCTTTCTTGCGACTAGGTATGTTTTGGCTGAATTCCCGGTCGCCAGTTTGGATTCCGTCCTCGATTTTGGGTATTTCCCACGATTTTGTGGGAGAACCCCGGGGGGTGGTTCCTTGGGCCATCCTTCGAAACCCCCCCAACTGAAGCGACCAGTTCTGAATCGAGTGCCTTGCTGACCATCCAATCTCACCTACAGCCCTCTTTTAGGCTCGTTCAATTATCACAATGGCTGACCCCCGCGTTGAAGAGATCCACGACGAGGAGCCCCAGAAGGCCGGTGTTGAGGATGCCGGCAGCTCCTCTGAGTCCGAGGCTGGCGAGGAGCCCACCATCCCCGGAGGCGCCGCCGTCACCATCCACTCTCGTAACGAGAAGAAGGCCAGAAAGGCCATTGGCAAGCTCGGCCTGAAGCACGTCCCCGGCATCACTCGTGTCACCCTCCGCCGTCCCAAGAACGTATGGATACCAACCCCGCCTTTGACGACAATTGCTGCTCGAGAGTGTCTATGGAAGAAAATTGGAGACGGGACTCGATGAGGCAGCATCTGTGTGGGATACGGAAGGCTAACGTTTCTGTTCTTTGATTTCACAGATCCTCTTCGTCATCAACCAGCCCGACGTCTACCGCTCCCCCTCCAGCAACACCTGGATGTATGTGTTCATGCTTTTTCCCGGGTCTTTTCGTTTAGCATTTGCTTACACATTGAAACAGCATCTTCGGTGAGGCTAAGATCGAGGACCTGAACTCCCAGGCCCAGGCCTCCGCTGCCCAGCAGCTGGCTGCCGCCGAGGCCGCCGCCGGTGGTGAGCACGCCGGTCACGACCACGAGCACGACCTCGGCCAGGCCAAGGCCCCCGAGACCGAGGCCAAGAAGGAGGAGGAAGAGGATGATGGAGAGGCCGTTGACGAGTCTGGCCTCGAGGCTAAGGACATCGAACTGGTTATGGCCCAGGCTAATGTGTCACGCAAGAAGGCCGTCAAGGCTCTACGGGAGAACGACAACGATATCGTGAACTCGATCATGGCTCTCAGCATATGAGCTCTGCCGCATTGATTGCACGCTATCAGAGGCTGAAACGCGTTAGCCCTGCTGGCAGGATGGACTTTGGGTGCGAGGCCAGGTTGATATCCCGTTGGATGCGTATGCTGCCAGGGCCCATAGTGTAAATCATATAGTCAAGTCAACCCAAAAAAAGCAGAATTGCATGATCTGAACCGACTTTTTGTCTCAGTGTAGTGAACGTATTTATTAAAATTAAACCATCAAACAACCTGTGTTTTAACGCCAGAGATCAGTCCATACTCCTCAACATAGCAGAAAGTCTTGGCTTTCGTTTGTGGCCGTTCGGAAGACGGGAAGCGCCAGCCTCACGTGACGGCATCCCCATTCCAAACCTTGCCGAGTCAACCCTCACCTCTCCGAACCTCCTGCTTTGCACGTTGAACTCCCCTCTCCCACCCCTCTCCCTCCAACCAACTCTTCAAAATGGCTGCCGTACGTTCCTTGAGCTCTCCAGATTTGCCTCCGACCGATCATGTCGGGAATTCTGACCGCTAACCTGTCCCCGTGGTACAGCGCAGCGCCGCTCTCAAGATCGACTGGGTCAAGGTCTCCAGCTCGCTCGGCCTCCGTGGCCAGACCGCCACCTCTCTCCAGGCCTTCAAGAAGCGTAACGACGACGCGCGCCGCAAGGTCCAGGCTCTGTCCGAACAGCCCCAGGCCGTCGACTTCGCCCACTACCGCAAGGTCCTGAAGAACCAGGCCATCGTCGACGAGCTCGAGAACCAGTTCAAGGCCTTCAAGCCCGCCACCTACGATGTCTCCCGCCAGCTGAAGGCCATCGATGCCTTCGAGGCCCAGGCCGTCCAGAGCGCCGAGCAGACCAAGGGCAAGGTTGAGGCCGAACTCCGCAACCTCGAGAAGACCCTTGAGAACATCGAGACCGCCCGTCCCTTCGACGAGCTCACCGTGGTATGTTTACATTTTTGGCCGGTACTTGGCGGAATTAGGTACTGACGTGATTTTCTTTCTCTTTCTAGGACGAGGTTGCCGCTGCTCAGCCCGAGATCGACGAGAAGACCTCCTCGCTTGTCTCCAAGGGCAGATGGATGCCCGCCGGATACAAGGTACGCCGATTCTCAATCAGACATGATACCATGATATGTCAAGCCATTGCCCATGCTAATTCATTCTACAGGAGCGCTTCGGCGACATGTCCGTGGTTTAAATTGCCAGATCTCATTTCTGCCATTTTTTCATGTCTCCTTTATCCATCGACCTGTGTTATCACACGACGAAAATCTCCTTTTGTCAAGCATGTTGGCCAGCTAGGATACCCTTTGCGTCTGGCAGTGTGGTGTCGGTTGTTGGATTGTGTATAGAAACAATGTTCCATTTAGAAGATATTTTCTTCATTCCAACGGCTGGTTGTCGGTAGTCTCGGTAGTGTAGGGTCAACGAGTTTCGATTGAAATATCAATTGAGTGACCATCTGTAGATTAAAATACTAGTACTGCTTTGTTCATTGTCAAGATTATTTGATTCCACTTTTTCTGATGTGAACACCGATATTTGTTACCGGCGCGTAAATTGATATATATTTGAAGGTTCCCGGGATACCGTCTCCACTAGATATGATCGTGTACTAGAATTGCCCAGTGCAACACAGTGATAAATATCCAACGACCTCATTAGGTTTATTCACAAGATATAACTTGATGAATATATTACTCATGCGTGTAAGTCAACAATAGAGGGGCTCGTGCTAGAGAACCCCCGCATTTCTTCAGACATCCTACACTAGCCAAGAGACACGTCCAGCATATGCCTCATTGTTTCTTATGAGTTATTGCACAATGTTAAAATATAAATAAAAGGTTAAAGTTCAAATAAATAATAGTTAAACTGCTCATTGGACTCCCATGACCCTAACTTTATATATAGATAAAAGCGTTAGAAAGAGTAAGAGCCCACGACATTTGACATTAGAGATCCATAAGCCGTCGAACTTCCGGTGGAGGTTTGAACACCCGATAGATTTATAAATATACTCCGTAAGAGCATCGTCAAGATCTGCCATGTTTACGATGTTTACACTCGAAGACTTCAAAAAAGTGGCCGGCGCCATTCCCGAAGCAGCAAAACTAACCGGGATGGGATCGCGGGTTCTCGACTGAACACGCCGCTGTCGCGGTTGCACTTCTAGTAGAAAGCTCTCACAACCCCAGTCCTTCATGGCCGATGGATTTCCATCCCGCTGAACTGTCGGAATCCTCCCAAGGGTCCAGTCCAATGGGCCAAATCTCAGTCCCGGCTCAAGCGCGGTCTCGTCTTGAACGGCTTCCCGTGGAGATCATCCAAGAGATCTTCCTCCACTCTCTCGAGTTCAACTTCCCTCGAGTCTCCCGGTTCATATCTGGGATTCTCTCTAACACGGTGATTTATACCTGGCTCATCCGACTCGCTTTCAGCAGCACCAACGAGAGTTCAAAACGGGGGCTGTTTACTCCGGATTTCCTGCCCGCGCCATTGGATTTCTGGGCGCTCTCGACGGAAGAGCGACGAGATCTCCAGACAGACATCTTGGGATGCGGCTGGTGCACTTTACCGTTGATTCGCAAGTGCCAGAGGGAGTACGTGGAGCAGGTCCTTCGGCATCAGTTGCATAGCTTGGAATTCTGTGCCGAGGATCTCCCCACGCTGGCCGATCTGGGTCGTCACTTCGAGAATCCCCAAGAATGGGAAACAGGTGGGGAGCTTCGCGGCAAAGGCGACCTGATTCTCAGAGCCCACGACCGGATCACCCATCAGGAAGAACGAGTGGCAATCTGGTTTCACTATGGAGCCGTCCAAGTGCGCCGGCCCAACAGACTGTACACCCACAACGACATATTCCAGCTGCCAGACTGCTCGGCTGTTTGTCCGCCTCGTATGCCCGACAAGTTGCTCTGCCCCCCGTGGACCGAGACCAAGCTTGAGTTTCTCCAATTGTTTTCGACAACCGCGTATATCGACGAGGATTCCTCCCTGTCGCGCTCGAGGCGTGTTCTTCGACAGTTGATTCGGGATCGTGATCTAGCGACATTCGAACGAGTACTGCAGATGCGCGTTCTCGCACAGGACTACAAGTACCCCCAGCACTGGCCGGTCCCCGTCATTGTGTTTCGCGCGGCCTTGAAGCATGCGGACGAACGCGACGATCCGTTCATTAAGGTGTTGGTCAATCAATGCTGGGAGGAGATCCCGGACGATGATTTGCAGCTGAAACACCAATTAATGACGAAAGCAGGGCTGAGCAGCGTGGGATGAGATCATACCCAGGCACCGCGACACACGAGGCACCATCACCCTATCGGCATTGAGGAGCAAGGAGATTACATTGCGCTCGCGCAGAGATTATTCGTTTCAATCAACCGGGAAAATTATGGCATTGCTAAAATTACACTCCGACCGAGAAAAAGCCTGCTCAGCATGGGGTATGAAAACATGGGAAGAAAAGAAAACAAAAACTATGATATCACAACGATAAACAACCCGACCAAAATCCCATCACGCATAATTATCATAACTCGTATGGTTTAATCACCGAGACGAGTGGTGTCATATTCTTGATCTCCGCGTTGTTGTTCTCCTGCTCCGCCCGCAGTAACCGCAGGTGAGACAGGTGATGATGGCACGGCAGATAGACAAGACACCATCGATGATGACCTTACAGACAGCCCCGATAGCATTCACGATGGCCATCAGACAGGCCCCGATGGACTGGAAGACGCCCTTGATCTGTGAGGGTAGTCAGCATCTTACTCAAGTCATGCAGGACAGCACTGGGGGGAGACAGGGGAGACATACACAAGACACGACGGCTCCCATGTTGAGGATATGATGTTCGGCCTTTTATTTGGAAGGTTTCGATGATTTAGAGGACTTGGATGATTTGTTCGAATTCGAGTTCGAGGAAGACTGGGAAGGAGACGAGTCTCTTGCAGGTTCTCTCGCAGAGTTTGACGACGAGGCAGTGGTATGAGTGGAGGAGTCACTGAAGGGGCGCATGATGAAGAGAAAGTTCCGACGAGACAAGCGGAAGGTTCTTTTTATACACCTGAGTCTGCCAACAAAGCAAAGAGAATGATGTATGTCGAATGAAGATAAAAGCCAGCTAGCCAGCAAACTCAGGGACGGGAAGAGCGAAGATCAGATAGAAGACTGGCTATGATCAAATAATTGACCAAGTCTTTTCCACCTGCGAGGTGATTCCGTCATAACGACGCCGTCAAACCTGGTTCGAGGTACCTGAATAGGAAAGGAGGCGCGCCAATCTTTATTATGACCGAACCATGCCCTGATCCGGGCTTGCGGGCATTGGGCTCCACGGATCTCGCCACTCAGGGCGGGATTGAAGGCCGCCTCTTTCGTTATGGATCGACCAACGCATGGATTGTATCCGGCTGAGGGCACGCGATGGTGATGTCATTACGCCCCGATGCAGTCTAGCGTTAGGGCTGCCACTGCCGCAACGGGGGAGATGATCAGCTGATTCGCCAGCCCTGCAGCTGCCTCTTCGGGCAGCCACCCGCCAATCAGCGCCCCCGACGCTACGCCGCTTTTGTTTTGACAACTTCTGTCTTCTCTGGACTGGAGTAGTTCAGCCTCCACCTCTGCTAGTCCCAGCACCCCGGACCTGTTCGTGCTCAGGGCGCCGATTGACATGGCCTGACAAGGACAACCTTATTTCGATGTTCCGCCGGGCATGCTGACCCCGATCCGAGTCCGTGGTCGTCGAAAAAGAAGACTTTCCGACGCGGCTGATGCCCAGCAGCGCAGCCCCCATGATGCGACGACGGCCACTGCACGGCGACGACCAAAGGGCGGTCGGCCTTTGATGTCCATCGAGCAGAAGCTAACCTCGTCTCAATCCCAAAGTAACAAACGTGCGCGGTTGCTGATCGTCAAGCCGTCTAAGCCGCGCCCAAAGCGCTCAAGGCTGGAAGCTCTGCCGGTGGAGCTCATCGAGAAGATCTTCTTGTATTCGTTGAACGCAAACCTCCCGCGGGCATCACCATCCCTGGCCGCTGCAGTCTCCAGTGAACGGATCTATCGTGCCCTGGTATTGCTCGCCTTTTGGAATGACACCTCGTCGTCGCCTCCGAATACCTCCGGTACTACGATCGCGAAAATCCTCCGGCCTCTGGACTATGTCCCTCTCGACTATGACGAGCGCAAAGCCCTTCAGATTTCCATCATGCGCTGTAAATGGTGCACCGTCGACCGGTTGCTCTCCCAACTCCCCAACCTCATGAATCTCACAATCCAACGACACTGGGTAAACGCGGGGATGCGCATGACGGCCGATCAAGAGGCGGGACTCGCGCGCTTCCTGTCCCGACAAGAAGACCTGCGCACCTTCGAAGGCACCGGCACAGACAACGCCCACTACACTCTCTCCATCACACCTCTCGTCTCGATCCGCATCACCTGCCACGAAACCGACCAACAGCAAACGCACCAAATCCTCGGCATTCTTGACTTCCCCCAGAAGCTGCTTAGCGGCGGCGGCCAGAGCAGCCATGACGACGAGCCCGCCCTCTTCACCCGGGACCATGTCGCCTGTCTCGAAATCCTCCGCGTCACCAGCGGTTTCGCGCGCCCCGACCTCATCCACACCGGGATCCGCGTCTCCCGAGAAGCCACACAAGCCGGTATCCACGCGGCACTGGTCGAGAACAACGAGCGCGCCCTCGCCACCCTCCTCAAAATCGACGAGTACGTCTTCCGCAGCGAAAACACCTCCGTCGTGCAGGCCGGCCCGGACAACGACACGCCACCCTACACCCTCCCCGCCGAACACTACCGCACGGCGGTGCGCGTCGCACGCCACGACCCCTCGTTCTTCCAGCTCCTTCTCCGCGCCAGCACCGAGTCCATCCCCGCCGATGACTCGGAGATCACGGAGTGGGCCATGGGCATGAACGATTCCTTCGGCCACTGGCTGCTCGATCTGATGCTTCATCTGCCGCAGCGGGTTGAGGCGGCGCGGGCCAATCCTGCAGAGGGGGCGGTGTTCTATCTCGGCAGGGCCAATGGGCAGGTTGATCTGGCGAGACGATATCTGCGTGATGTGCTGGGTGTAGAAGAGCTGGGGAGTTGGATGGAAGAGAGTGAGGTTGATGTGGAGGGGTTGTGGACTGATGGGTCTGCTTAGTATCTATCTATCTAGTAGTTATCTGTCGCTAGATGAGTTGGTTATCATGCTGGCTGTATGGTACAATATCATAATCATAATTAATGTAATGGTTCGAAAAACTATCCATGGATCTGAAGTGTATTAAAATTTAATGTACAGTACCTACTCCCCAATTAAAATAGTAACAAAGAAATGACTCTCCATCATCATGCACGTATGCACACACTCAACTCAGCTTCTCAACCGGAATAACAAGCCAGGGAGGGAAAAGATAGGAAAACGAATTACATATTCCCCAACAACCTCAAAATACCCCTAACCCTACCAGCAATCGTAAGCTGATACCCCGTCTCGACAACACCCTTACACATCTCCCAAGCGCCATTCCCATTCAAGCGATCGCCCTCGCCCTTGCGAATCGGATAGTCGACTCTCGGCGGGATGCGCGTAGCCACAAGCTTCGGGAAGCGGTCCACGCAGACGGATTTAATGTTGCAGACGCCGCGCAGGCCCTCCTCGCCGGCGAAGCGACCGTAGCCGGAGCCCTTGACGCCGCCGAAGGGCAGCTGGACGGCGTAGTAGCTGCCGAAGTCGTTGACGGCGACCATGCCGGAGTGGATGCCTGAGACGCAGGCGTTGACGGCGACGGGGTCGTAGCCGAAGACGGAGGCGCCGAGGCCGTAGTCGGTGGAGTTGGCGATGGCGATGGCGTGGGGGACGGAGGCGGCGCGCATGAGGACGAAGACGGGCGCGAAGAGCTCGGTCTGCGCGATGCGCATGTCGGGCGTGACGTCGGCGAGGAGCGTCGGGGTGAAGTAGTGTCCGTGGGGATGGCGCGGGTGGTTGTAGCGGGTGCCGCCGCAGATGAGGCGGGCGCCGTGCGCGACGGCGTCGGCGATGAGGGATTCCAGGCGGTCGAAGCCGGCGGGGGAGATCAGGGCGCCCATGTCGGGGGTTCCGGGGCCATCGGGGCGCGAGTCGAGGAGGATGGAGCCGATGGAGAGGTTCTGGATGCGCGAGGAGACGGCGGCGAGGAGGGGCTCGTAGGCGCCGGGGAGGGCGATGATGCGTTCGGCGCCGACGCAGTTCTGGCCGGCGGATTGGAAGACGCCGCGCATGAGGATGGAGGCGACGGAGGGGATCTCGCGCAGGATGCGGGCGTCGTCGAGCACGACGGAGGGGTCCTTGCCGCCGAGTTCGACGGTCACCGGGGTGAGGGCTTTCGCGGCGGACTCGCAGACCTTATGGGCGACGGGTTTGGAGCCGATGAAGGTCAGCTGGGCGATGTCCGGGTGGGAGGTCAGGAAGTCGGCGACGTCGGGCAGACACACGACACTCTGGACGAGGTCGCGCGAGTGGCCGCAGCTGGCGAGGGCGCCGCGGGCGACTTCGAGGAAGAAGGCAGAGGACCAGGCGGTTTGTTCGGAGGGCTTCACGACCACGGCGTTGCCCGCGAAGAGGCCACTGATGACGGGGCCGATGAAGTTATGCAGCGGGTAGTTCCAGGAGACGCAGGCGGCGATCACGCCGAGGGGTTCGTACGTGACCATGTTCTTCTTGTACATCATGAGGAAATTGGTCGGTCTGGATTCGGGCGCCAATGCCTTCTCGCCGTGATCAATGGTCCATTTCAGTTTCTCCGCCGTGACGAGGATTTCTCCAAACGAGGCGTCGACCTTGGTCTTTCCGGAGTCGAGACAGCATGCGGTGGCCAATTCATCTTGATGTTCGAGGACGTATCTGTGAGAAACAAGACAAAGTCAGTCGCGATGCCATAATACTCTTGTCCGAGAGAATCACACATACTTCAGCAATGTCCTCAAGACCTTCCGCCGCTCCGCAAAGCTCGTTCTCGCCCACTCCACCTGTGCATTTTTGGCGGCCTTGATGGCGCGATCGACTCCGTCCTTCGTCTCGGGCTTGGTGCCTTTACCCAGGACTCTTCCGTCGGCGGGGCAATAGCTCATAATCAACTTGTCGCTCCATTGCTATAGGTAAAGCCTCGCGTTAGCATCCTGTAGACAATAATAACAAGCCACCCACCAGCCAAACGCGACCAATTGATGAAACCAGGGACCCAGCAACAAAACAATCGAATCACACTTACCCCCCGTATTTGACCCTCCAGCAACTTCCTCTCCTCCCCTTCCACATCCTCCCACTTCGCTCCATTCCAATTGGCGCGCACCTCAGGCGGGATCGGCACATTGAACGCAACGGCAGCTTCTCTCTGACCCAGCACGAAAACATAGCCCAGGTACACGGCGGCGAGCGAGACCAGAGCGAGACCCGCCCACGGCGCGTACTCGGCAAGAGGCTCCGCGAGGGACTCCGCGAGGGTATAGAGGGCCGGAGGGAGATAGGGGGCCCAGCTTTCCATGGTGGATGGTGCGTGGGAGCAGAGAGCGCAGTTCAGCAGTGGGCGAAGTCGGCGTCGCGAATCGCGGAAGACGAACGCCGGCGGTGGTTCGATGGTGGAGCACGTGCCATGTCCACCATCCATGTGGAGACCGTGTCGAAGCTTCGGGGGAAGTTTCTACGAAGTCGATATAGGTAATGCAGTTATTGCTTTTCAATTGGCCTGGTGGCTGGGTATATACCTATAGACATGCTACAACACTTCTCCCAGGCCCATGATAATCGACTCTCGGCCACGCCGACAGATTTAATATTGCGGACACCACGTACAGAATTATAACCGCTTCCTTGGTTAATCTCACGGCACAAGCATGTGCAAGGTGTTCGGTGACTTTCTTTAAAGTAGTTTCGTCAACATCCATTATTCCGGCATCGAACGAAAGTCTGCCCTCTGCGTTCGGGCTCCAGCCGAGCGCTTCCTGGAATGGTTGAAAACCGCGACATATCGTTGTTTCTCGGATATTGTGGCCATGGCCCAAGAGGTTATCCTTTGGAACATATGCTTATCTGAAGTCGTCTGCCCTCAAGTGTCGTAAAAACACCCAATACATGGGCAAGTTGTAAGTTGTATGGCCCTCCTCCATGAGGCCGCAGTTTGAACCCATTCCAGCAACATCTGGACAATCTTTCAAGGACCTTCATTGCCCGAGATATCGGAGTAATGGAAGCCATTGCAGGGAGGCATCGGGAAAACAATCTTTGACCACGATCCCTACGTTCGACTGGGGCACTTGGATTTTCGGTGCCCTATCGCCTGGCAGGAGCTGCACTTGATATTGGGACAATTGCAGCCCATGTAGCCATGTCCAGGGCAGATAAACACCCCATATGTGGGCAGTTGTTCCTTTATGGCCCTCTTCCATTAGGTCACAGTTTGTGCAAGACCACCATGAAAGGCCTTGTCTGGGGGAGCATTCCACAGTTAGCTTATACCGAGAAGTGGTAAATAGAACCGACATACTTTGATCTATAGCGGATATCCATAAAGATATCGGCTGACGAGGTGGTAAAAAAAAGACAGAAATCGAGCTGTCAGCTCAAAGGCGACCAACGGGGCTATATGTGAGCAATAGATGGTAATATTCACGGCTTCCTGGTCTGGAAAGCCTGCATTCCAGTAGGATCTTCACTAACTGTTCTTTATTCACCACCTCGATCAGTTAATTGAGGCTTACCACTGTATCTCTAAGTAGAGGATTCCGTCTAGTGCATAGAGCAGGGTACGAGGTCATCGGCATAACCATGCTCTAGTGTATTCACTTCATTCAAATCTGGTGCGAAGAAATCTATTTAGACTCCTGGATTAAGGTCCTCTAGTACCAGGAATTTTCTCATACAGTTAGATGGCTTAAATCGATTCTCAATTGAATTGTGTTGATATAAGATGTTGCAAGGGCTACCTAGTACCCAGCTGGGGTTTTTGGTCTAATCGGTAACATCTAACATGCTCACAAATTGATTATTCTAAAATATTTCGGCAATAAATCGGTTCTTTAGTTATTAATTAGGCGTATAATTAGTACCTACTCATACTAATTATCAGAATAACTGGGCCCGTGCAGAGCTAAGACTATCCATACATATGAGATTGTAGTTGTAAACGAGGACACCAGCCATAACTGTTGTCTGGTTTCACGATTCCACATCATCACTCAAATCTGATTCTGAATCGGAATCGGAATCGGATTCAGATTCATCCTTCGCCGAGCGAGCCTTGCGGCCAGGCTTTTTCTTGTTTGCAGTAGAAGAGCCGGGTCCCCCCTTTCTCTTCCCTGTTCTTTTAACAAGATGGTCAATCACACATCCGTCCTCCCATCCAGCCGACGACTGCCCGGTGATTGCGCGGCATCGCGGACAGGTTTTCCCATGACGAATGAAGAGCTGATGGAGCGAATACTTGAGATGATCCGGGATCCGCACCTCCAAGTGACTGAATGCCGTCACCTCCGACGCCTTGGCGGGAGGCACCCAATTGAGCCACTTGCAGATGCGGAAGATATGGGTATCAACGGCGAAGCACGGGCGCTGTAGACAGAAGAGAAGCACACAGGCTGCGGTCTTGGGCCCGATGCCGGGGTATTTCACCATCTCGACCATGGCCTGCTCCGTGCTCAGGTTGTGCAGGTGATTCAGGGAGAGGACGTTCTGATCCGCACATGCGATCTCATACTGCTTGTCGCCCTCGCCTTTGTTCAGCAGATCCGACGGCCCGTCTGCCTCCCCTTTGACGAGGACGTCCCTGCGCTCCTGGTTCTCCTGATGCACCATGTCCAGGATGGCCTTGAGATTCTTACTCTTGACATCGGCCAATCCGCCGCTCTTGATCGCATCGAACACATCCTTCAGCGATGCCTGCCGCACCGCGTCCCAATTCACGCTCCCCTTGCCGATACCCTCGTCGAGGATCCCGAACTTCTGCACCAACCCGCTGAACGCCCTGGCTGAGTTGTTCCCCGTCGTGGCGCCGCTGAGAAGCGTGCGGATCAACGCATCCAGGACCGAGGGGACCTCGCCGCAGCCCGTCACGGTGAGCGACGGCTCCGGGATCGTCTTCGGGGCGACGATTTCCCCATGCACACTGGACAGAAGCCCATTGACCTCTTCGCATTCTTCAGGGGTGGGGTGAACCCAGTCAGGGAACGGGCTGACGCCGGGCGTGAGGCCGTACAGGTTCTTGGGTCTCCTCGGTTTCGGTTTCTCAGGCGAGTCGGCCAGTGTAACTGTGGCTTTGTCGACGGTGTCCTGGATCTCTGCTTTGACTTTGGCTTTGCTAGATTCGGTCTTTAAAGGTGCGTTTTCTTTGCCGGAGCTGGATTCTGAGTTTCCCTTGGCGGCTTGTATTACTGTGATGGCTGCGCCTAGGTTGTGGGGAAGCTCGTCGACGGTAGTGTTTGGGTTTGGGACGGCCGCTTTTGTCTTGCGGCGTTTTGCAGCCGGTTGATTGGTGCCGGGGGCTTTTTTCTGAGATGCACGGTTCTTCTCCACGGTGTTCTGGGTTTTTGAAGGAACCCCTGAGGTGACATTGCCTGTGGTTTGATCGGCTGGTTTGGGGGTATCCTTTGTAGCAGGCAATGCCGCTTGACGTGCAGCTGAGCGAGTGATGCGACGCTCCATGGTAAATACCTAGTCTGCGATATAGGCAAATTTATCGAGAAGGACGAAAGTAGAGTGGTTCTTGGGCAAATATGGCATTAGACATCAAACGTTGAACAACACCACAGCCAAGCAAACTGACAGCTCACATTCAAGGAGCAAACCGCAACGTCGTGCCGGTGAGTGGACAGAAGGACCAACTACAAGATGGTTGAGGCAGATGACATCACATGATCGGTTCAGGTTCCCGCCAGCATTTGGAGGTTTATACGGAGTATGGAGAAGCAGTCAGAAAGCACATTTAAATTGGTCTATTGATAATCATCCATGCCACGGGTGTTCCAACCCTGCATTCCGAGCTATGCAAATGAAATATCAGAAAGCCTCCCTTTCTCGCGTCTACAGCAAAACTCCAGTACTCCAAGTCAGGGGTATGACATCATAAGAAATTAATCAGAAATAGATCGTCCCGTAAGCTTCATAATCATTCGTGGTCCGCGATGTTGTGGATGCTGATGTCCATGCGGTCCCGCACTTTAGGGGGCTCCTCCTTCGGCGTGTCCCGGCGAGCGGTGCAGATACTGACCTGCGGCACCTCGGACTCGCCAGGGGAGTCGGCCGGGATGATGTTACCCTTGCCGTCTAGCTTGACCCCGTTGGCGGCGATCTGAAAGTCCTTCTCGCTGGCGAATCCATGCGTGACGGCTTCCTTGGCTCGGTCCAGGGCCTTGATCTTGCGACCCTCGCCCCGGATTTCTTCCAGGTGATCGAAGTAGCCTTCAGAGACAGGAGTGATGTAGTTGCCACAGAAGACACCGACCTCGAAGTCACGCGGCTCTTCCAAGCCATTCTCGTGAGCAATCTCGGCACAGGCACCCTTTAGGTCCTCCAGGGTCTGGTAGATGACGCTGTCGGCTCCGATGTGCTTGGCGATGGAGTCGGTGTCACGGTTGAAGGCAACGAGTTCGCTCGGCGAAGCCAGATCGATTCCGTAAATGTGAGCATGCCTGGAAATAACTGTTAGTAACTGGGTCCAAGAACTAGAATAGATGGAACATACGTAATCTCGGGCGCGCAACTAGCAAAGTAGACGTTCTTGGCGCCGGCTTCTCTAGCCATCGTGACGATTTCTCGACTGGTCGTTCCTCGCACGATACTATCATCGACCAAGAGGACATTTCGGTCCTTGAACTCGGCCTGCATAGCATTCAGCTTGCGACGAACCCCCTTCTGCCGCGTCTTCTGCTCCGGCATGATGAAGGTCCGGAAGACGTAGCGGTTCTTGACGAAGCCCTGGCAGTAAGGCTTGTCCAGATACCGGGCGACGGCAGCGGCCGACGTGGTCGACGTTTCGGGGATAGGGATGACGACGTCAATGTTCTTGACCACCTCCGGTCCAAGAACACTGAGCACTCGGGCGGCGAGACGGTCACCCATCCGCTGCCGACTACGGTACACGCTGATACCATCGATGACCGAGTCGGGACGAGCAAAGTAGACATATTCGAAGATATCCGGGGCGTAAGCCTTCTTCGGAGCCACCTGGCGGAAGACCGGCTCACCACCCTTCTCGATGATGACGGCCTCACCGGGCTGGATATCCCGCATGTTGGTGAAACCAAGCTGGTGCAAAGCAACCGACTCGGAAGCCATCATGTAGTCCATACCGGGGCCATCGGCCGAGGGCCTGGACCCGAGGACGAGAGGACGGATACCGTACGAATCACGGAAACCCATGAGACCAAATCCTAGAAAATTGTTAGTTGACATGCTTGTCCAGATTTGGTTTCGAATAACCCACCTGCCAACATGGCGGCACAGGCCCAACCACCCTCACAGCGCTCATACATCCGGGTCAGACTAGCGAACAGATCTTCCTTGTTGACACGAGCCTTCTTGGTCTCGCTCAGCTCATCAGCGAAGATGTTCAGCATCAGTTCACTGTCGCTGTCCGTGTTGATGTGCCGATGAGCCTCGAGGTCCAAGTACCTCTTCAGCTCGGGGGCATTGATCAAGTTACCGTTGTGGGCCAAGCAGATACCGTACGGACTGTTCACGTAGAACGGCTGAGCCTCCGCATTGGCACTGCTTCCGGCCGTGGGGTAACGCAGATGACCAATACCCATGGAGCCCGGAAGATCTGCCACCCGAGCACCGTCCTGGAAAACCCGAGCTGCCATTCCGTTCGACTTCAATTGGTAGATGCGACCACCCGCAGCGCAGGTGGCAATACCAGCGGCATCTTGACCTCGGTCTGCACATCTCAAGAATGATCATTAGCCTGATGTCCTATAATAACGCACGGACTACTGTGTTCCGGAACTTACGCTGCAGAAGGTACAGTGCCTCGTGAAGGTCGACGGCGGCGGAAGACGACGGGTTCGCCTGGATCAGAGCGATGATACCACACATTTTTCAGGATAGCAAACGACTCTGGAGAAATCTTGATTGTCAGTTAAAGTCCTCGAAGACCAGACGAAGCCAAGAACAAAATGATCAAGCAATGAAGTAGTCAGATCGGATTCTCTCCGCAATAATGCTTAGGAAGTCTAACATCTATAAAAAAAACACCGAGATTCATCATAAAAGAAAGCAGGGGCAAGAAAAAAGAAAGACCCCGGATTGAAACCCAAACCGGGGAATTGTCAAACACTCACATGCTATGAAAAAAATTCGGGCACACACGCAGAGGTGGGGGAGTCAGTAAAAGTAGGACTTTGCGGTCAAGAGATCAAAGGAGTGAATGGCTGTCTGTCTCAAGACATAACATAGAAGGATAGATAGAAAGATACCCAGGTCACACCCACGGAGGGATTAGAGGAATGGATGACATGGTTAAGAGAAGAGTTAAGGAGGGAGGAAGGGGCGAGGGAAGACGGGGTTGATAATAATTCTCAGTTCTTCTCCACTGCCAACCGAGTGAAAGACAGAATTTTTGCGGGCGCCGCTTAAGGAACCTCAAGGAACCGGAAAAAAAAAAAAGTTCCCGTGGGGCGGCACTGCGAGATCCGCCGATGCCGGTGCTGACTCACCCGCAGGCCGCTAGGCTGCTTGGGGGAATCCCGTGCTATCTTATCGGCGGTAAGGAAATACGCAGTAGGAATATATGGCCGTGGGAGTTCCATGTTGGTCTTTTTTGGCCGTGTGGGAGAACGTTGGGTGCCCAGGCGTCTTTTACAAATTTATTTAACTGATCAATTCAAGCGATTTATTCGAGCGATTCAATCGATTCATTTGAATGATCAGTTCAAGTAAGTAATTAAACCACTGAAGTCCTCAATACTCCGCCGTACTCCGCCTCCGCGCCGCATTCCATTCGCCCTGAATCAATCCATTGCAGACACAGGAATTTCAGCCCTCCCGTAGCTGTCGCATCTCAACCTCGTCCGTTTGCTGCAGTGACCGGATGATCTCCCCATATAAAACCCGGGCGAGCGCCGGAGGAACGGCGTTTCCTATCTGCCTGAGAGTCTGGACAGGTCCGAAGCGAAACCCCAGTGGAAAAGTTTGGAGACAGGCGAATTCGCGCTTGGTAAATCGTCGTTCACCAGAGGGGTGGTAATTCTTGTTCGCGTCTCCACCCCCACAAGTAATCGTGTTTGCCTGTCCATTTCCGTCATATGGCATCCTTGGGGCCCAACCGGCGGAAGCTGCTTGAATATTGTGGTCAGGGGCTCGGATAGGAATGTGACCGATTGCCTGGTTGATAGTGGTCCATGGCTTTAGCCCAGGACCATGTGTGGGTTCTGGAAACATTGGAAGTACTTCTCCAGGCCTAGCAAAGGTCAGTACGATCAATCAGCATAAGAAGGGACACGATCTGAATCAGCATAAGAAGGGACACCCACCCCGAAGCAATGATCACCAGTCTTTTCCGAGACTGAGGGATTCCATAACTTGCGCAGTTCAAAATTCCCCACCGCACCGAGTATCCTATCTCGATAAAGTCCAAGATAACACGATCAAAAGTCTCTTTATGTCGATTAAAAAGACCGGCAGTTTCTTCCATTGTGTGGACTCTTGGTTTGGCTGTCTTTATCAGGTCTGAACAAGAGAAGATGCACGCTGAATTCTTATCGTCATTCTGGCCCTCCCTCGTGTGAGCTGGCGAAAATGTCTGGCAAGGCGGAGATCCGTGGCTGACATCGACCTTCTGGAAATGCTTGTAATTAGTGAGGAAAGAATCGATGGTACCTAGCTCGCATACTGCATTTTCAAAATTCAGTCGATATGTAGTTGTTGCGTGATGGGACGCATCAAATGCCCACTTGATTTCTAGTCCTGCCTGATTGGCACCGCAGGAGACTCCTCCAGCGCCGCAGAAGCCGTCACCAAATGTATACCAACGGGCTCTTTTCGTGTCTTCATCTGCATCGCCTGGTTCCATTAAACTATCGGCCACGCCTTGGGAGAACTTCTCGGTAAATCTGACGGCATCTCCAAAAGGGCGGGTTTCACCCCTCCACAGGTTACGCAGGTCTCTGGGCTGCCATCTAAACCCTTCATCGGCTTCATGGGCTGAGATGTATTGGACTGAGGCTTGACTCTTGCTCAGCCTCCTCTCCTTCAGGCGACAGATCAAACCTCTGTGGGGGTCGCTCGCGATATCGCAGTAATTAGTGAAATGGATTGTCACGATCTTTTGCACTTCCGTTAAACTAATCTGTTCATCGTTTGCATTCTCAAGCCACAGTAGCTCGTGCTCCCAGTTTCCGCCTTTAGGGATATAAATTTCAACATGTCTGCGGGTCTTTATCATGTTCCAGCCTTGAAAAAAGATCTCCCCATCAGAGTATTGAATAACTGAGCGGATTCGTAGGTATCTTCCGCGCGAGAGCTGAAGAGACTGGCCTGTGCGGTATAGGATGCCGTCAACGCAAACCTCGTCTGTTCTTTGAGCGTTTGCTGCGCCGGTCCGGGTTTCCGATCCCCAGCCTAAGAGCAGTTGTTCAAAGCCGGCATCTGTTAAGTAGTCGTCTTCGGTGAGCGAGAGTACCTCATCTTCTGTTAGATCGACAACTTGGCGGACAGAATCCCCGTCTTCGAAATCAATTGTCTCGCTGCGGTCATCTCTGGTCTCGAGCTGGCCATCATCGATGATCTCGATTACGTTCATTTTTGAGCGGGGAAATGAGAATGTCGATCAATGATTGAGAGTAAAAGGAGGGTATAATAGACGATTATCCTTTAATTCGGGGATCCTACTCAGGATGGGATGAAATCCAGAGGGAAGGATGAGGTAAGATGTGTGATGATCAGGGGCTTGGCAGGGAGAAGACCATGTCAATAGAGAAGAAATCAGGCTCTAGATAGGATGAAGAGAGCTGAATCTGACTGAAGAATCCTGAGGAAAGAATAGGGCGAGCTGTATGAAGGGTGAGGATGTCAGGATGTCAGGATGTCAAAGGTGGGCAGGTGGGAAGATAAGAAGGTGAAGGTGAAGGTGAGTAGGGAGTAGAGCAGGGGAGAAGAGGAGGAGATGATAAGGAGAGACCTTTAGGCACCGGCGGCAAATACATTATGGCTTGATTATGGCGAGCTGAGACATTGAAAACATTCACCAGCAAGAACCAAATGAGGCCCGGATCAAAGAACAGCAGTATGATAGGTGAGAGCAAACGCGGGTGAGTAGTGAATAGAAAGAAAGGGGGACTGCAGGAGGGTAGTGTATCCATGGTCTGATCTGAGGCTCTGAGACCTGGTCCATAAGATCCACTGAGGAGGGAAGATGTAGGAGTCAATAAGAAGAGACTGTATAGTTCTGAGACTGTACACTCTCTGGGCCTAAACGGGTGAGTCAGCGGAGCCCCAATTCTGGGGGAAAGGAAGAGATCGACCGCACATGCTTGAGGCGGCATCCACAACCGACCGGCGCTGAGATGGCGCAATTGACGACGGGCTCGATTTGGGGGATGACGGACAGGAAGAGACATCAATTGGAGAGATTGCGACCGTTCGGATGGAATTTAGACGCCAAAACCAACCCCTGCATGAACGAGACTGCGAAGTGATTGTTCGTTGTAAGGATGAAATCATCGGCAGCCGGCAATAACCGCGTGGCCTCGGCCCGGAGTCACCAGAGAGGCTCTTGTCCTCCCTTTCTTCCTCTTCGCCCACCGTTTTTCTTCTTCCTTTCTCCTCACAGCTCTCCTCTCCTCTCCCCTCCTCCTTGAATACTTCACACTTGGTATACTTCTTCCTCTTTCTCTCTCTCTTATCCCATCATGTCTGCCTCGTGTTCGGCGCTGAGACGGCTGACCCACAGGTCTCCCCGCACTTTCCAGTCCCGCATTGTTTCCGTCTCCAGACCGGGCGCTTCTTTCGTTTCTCGCTCTCCTCTATCCTCCGTCAATTCCTCAACCCCCCGTACGTCTCGCTTCTCAACCATGGCCTCCCTCCAGCATGCAGCAGCAGCCCCCGCCGCTCCGGTGGACAAGTCCTACGACCCCGAGATCAAGGACATGGCCGACTACATCCACAGCTACAAGGTCGACTCCGATTTGGCGGTAAGCCGGTTCCCTGATCCCACCATGTGTCAATTGTTGAAAATCCGATCGCAATTGATTGAAATCCCCTGGTTTTTAACGTCGTCCGCCCGCTCATTAGTATGATACCGCGCGATTGGTTTTCCTCGATACCCTAGGATGTGGGTTGGAAGCCCTCAAGTTCAAGGAATGCACCAAGTTGCTGGGCCCCATCGTCGAGGGCACGGTGGTTCCCAACGGTACCCGGGTGTTCGGTACCCCCTACCAGCTCGACCCGGTCAACGGTGCCTTCAACATCGGTGCCATGATCCGTTGGCTTGACTACAATGACTGCTGGCTGGCCGCCGAGTGGGGTCATCCGTCCGACAACCTCGGTGGTATCCTGGCCGTTGCCGACTGGGTTTCTCGCACCAACCGCGCCGGTGGCAACGTGGCGGGTGGTAAGATCTTTACCATCAAGGACGTCCTGGAGGCCATGATCAAGGCCCACGAGATCCAGGGTGTGCTGGCGCTCGAGAACTCGTACAACAAGGTCGGGCTGGACCACGTGGTGCTGGTCAAGGTGGCCACCACCGCCGTCGTCTCCAAGATGCTGGGATTGAACGAGAAGCAGACCGCCGACGCCATCACGCAGGCGTGGGTGGACGGACAGAGTCTCCGAACCTACCGTCACTCCCCGAACACCATGTCGCGGAAGTCCTGGGCTGCGGGTGATGCCTGCCAGCGGGCCGTCAACCTGGTTTTGAAGGTGCAGAAGGGCGAGAGCGGACTGCACACCGTTCTGTCGGCTCCCGTCTGGGGATTCTACGACGTTCTGTTCAAGGGCAACAAGTTCCAGTTCCAGCGTCCGTACGGCAGCTATGTCATGGAGAACGTTCTGTTCAAGGTTTCTTATCCTGGTGAGTGCTGTTGCGGAGGGCGGACGCCGTAGCTTTTGACTATCTTGCTAACTGAGAATAGCGGAATTCCACTCGCAGACTGCTATTGAGGCTGCTCAGATCATCAACAAGAAGCTGGCGGCCATGGGCAAGAGCGCCAAGGACATCAAGGAGATTACCAACCGCACGCACGAGGCCTGCGTCCGCATCATCGACAAGCAGTTCAAGGCGATGGACAACTTTGCCGACCGTGACCACTGCGTTCAGGTGAGTTTGACGGTCCTGGAGTCAAGTGAACAACAGACTAACTAGAATAGTACATGGTGGCCACTATGCTGGCATTTAATCGACTGACGGCCAACGACTACACCGACGGATCGGAGGCCGCCACTTCTCCCCTGGTCGAGACCCTTCGCCAGCGCATCCGCTGCGTCGAGGACCCCCAGTTCACCAAGGACTACCACGACCCCAGCAAGCGTACCATCCCCAACGCGCTGACGGTCACTCTGAATGACGGCACGGTGCTGGAGGAGGTCTCCGTGGAGGCACCTCTGGGTCATCGTCTGCGTCGCGAGGAGGCTAAGCCCGAGATCCTGGACAAGTACAAGCGCCACCTGCAGGCTCACTTCGACCAGGCTCGCATCGACCAGCTGGTTGAGCTGGGCCAGAACAAGGCAGCCATCGAGGGCTACGAGGTGGACAAGTACGTTGACTTGTACGTGACGGACAAGATCGCCACCGCGTGAGGCAGATGCAAGACGGAGATGTAATGAACAATCAACGGTAGAATGTTGATGGATGTATGAATTTAGGCGTATATATCAGATGCCATGCAGTAGATTTACTGATTATGATTTACCTCTGCAAGCCGAAGACCCCAGTAGCACAGTGTCGATCACCTTACATTGCCTAAACGCGGCATTCAATTCCCGCAAACCCCAGAGCTGATTCGAGGGAATACAACGCCAGCGTGAGAATCGATTGGAAATGCCGGATGAGTTTCTCCGCCTCCATCGCTTGGCTTGTTTCAGCTGGAGAGCTTCGATTGATGCGAATCATGCACGGCATCAGGCAATGATGGCAAGACGGAGAAATCTGCTTTCATCGCCTAAGCATGGCCATTCGCCAGCATATAAATGCATGCATGAGCTGCCTTCTTTCTCCGTTTCCCACATCCTGCCAGTCAGCCCTACAGTCACTCTGATCCCCATTTCCACTACGAGATGTCTCCCCTAACAGCACTCATCCTCTTCATCCTCCCCATCCTCACACTCACCCACCCAACCATCAGCCCCAAACTCACCACCCGAACAACCGCCCCGCCAGACTGCATCACCGTCGACCAGCACAGCAGCAACAGCACATACACAACCATCACCGCCGCCATCGACAGCCTCGACGCCGACTCCTCGTCCGCATGCATCTACATCGCCGCAGGCACCTACGAAGAGCAACTGGTGATCAAATACCGCGGCAAACTAACCATCTACGGCGAGACCAACGACACAACCACCTACGCGCAGAACACGGTGACGATCACGCACACGATCTCCTCGCCGGAGGCCGGGTCGCTGGTCAAAAGCGCCACGCTGGCCGCGGAGAGTGACGGGCTGAGTATTTATAATGTGAACGTGGTGAATGGGTTCGGGGCCGGGGCGCAGGCTGTGGCGTATGTTTCTCTCTTCCCCCTTTTCTCTGTCTGATGGGTCAGAGATTATGGGATGGTGAGCTAAAAGGAAATGAATCTAGCCTCTCGGCCAACGGCAACGAAATGGCCTTCTACGCCTGCCAATTCATCAGCTACCAGGACACGCTATACGCCAAAGACGGAACCCAGTATTACAAGAACTGCTATATAGAAGGCATACCCTCCCCTTCTTCTCCTCTCCCCCAAGTCAAAAAATCTAACACTCCCCAGGAGCCGTCGACTACATCTTCGGCGCGGCGTCCGCCTACCTCTCGACCTGCACCGTCATCTCCACCGGCAAAGGCTTCGTAACCGCGATGTCCCGGCAAGAAGAATCCGACCCGGCATGGTACGCGTTCGACGGGTGCACGGTCTCCGCCGCCCCGGGCCTCGAGGACGAGTTAGCCGGGAAAGTGTACCTGGGACGGCCGTGGCGGGTGCTGGCGCGCGTGATCTACCAGCACTGTCAGCTGGGTGGAATCATTCATGCAGAAGGCTGGACGACGATGGCGGAGGGGGCGACGCCGTTGTACTACGAGTGGGAGAATACGGGGGAGGGAGCGGATACGGCGGCGAGGAAGTGGGAGAGTCAGATTGAGGGGGAAGTCTCGAAGGAGACGGTGTTGGGGGTGGGTTGGGAGGAGTGGGTGGATGGGGAGTTTGTGTGATTCTTTAGGTTATCGAATTCTATAGCACTACTTTCCTTGCTTTCATGATGTTCAGCAGCGCACACGTTTAGTGGGTGCGATGTCCATGCCACCGAGAGGGTGTACAATAGCACTCGATATGATGCATAATAAGCGTAATTTCACTGTCCCAGTCGCTAAGACTACTAATATAATAGATAATTATCAAGAGCTATTCTGGGCATGGAGGTGGTATCAAAGCTAATCCTCGGATTTCTTTTCAAAATCCGCCTTCACCTCCTGGGCAAACTCATCGTCCACCAGAACCTGACACGCCACAACGGCCATTCCTGCAGCGCAGTAGATACTCCGCCGATGCGACTCGGGCGATCCGGCGCCCTTCGTGAACTGAGGTGTGTGATTGACTCCGTCAACGGGGATGGCCATCATCCCGTGAAAGCCAGGCACAGCATACGAGACATTTCCTAAATCTGTCAGCACTGCATCAATCCAACATCACCAGACATACCCATATCCGTAGACCCGCCGCCAAACCGCTCGTCGCCTTTCCCTGCGTTGTCGAACACCGTATGATGGCCCATGACTCGCATGGCCGAAACGTAGCTCTGACAGATCGGCGTGTTCGTCTTCAGATCCGCATACGAGATGCCCCTATCGAATGCATCAGCACCACTCCACCCCAAAAGCCCCGGGCCTCATCCAATCAACCTACCATTCAAAATCAACCTTACACCCCGTCGCCGTCGCCGCCGCCTCAAAACACTTCACCACCTTCTCCGTCAATGGCTTCAGCGCCTTCACACTCGCCGCGCGAACATAATAATCCACCGACGCCGACATAGGAATCACATTCGGCCGATCCCCGCCATTAACAATGATGCCGTGAATCTTCTGACTGGGCAGAATCTGCTGCCTCAGGAGCGCAATATTCACGTACGCCGCAACCACCGCATCCAGCGCATTAATGCCCTCCCACGGCGCCGCCGCCGCATGCGCCGGCTTCCCCGTAAACGTCACTCTCACCTTATCATTCGCCAAATACCCACCGGGCACAACCGTCGCGATACTCAGCAGCTCGGTATCGTTCGTCACGATCGGAAACGGATGAACCATCAAGCAGGCGTCGACATCGCGGTACGCCCCCCGCTCTAGCAGCTTCACCTTCCCGCCGCCAGATTCCTCGGCCGGCGTGCCGAGCAGACGCACGGTGAGGGGCTTGTCCGCGGGGGCCTGCGCGCGCACCGCCTCGCAGGTTGCTATGAAGGCGGCGATCGAGCTCGTGGCGATGAGGTTGTGGCCGCAGGCGTGTCCGATGCCCGGGAGGGCGTCGTACTCGGCGTTGAAGGTCACGACGCGGCCGGAGCCGGGGCCGGAGCCGTGCGTGAATTCGATCTCGAACGCGGTGGGGAGGTCATAGACGCTGCGGCGGACCTCGTAGCCTTGCGAGTGGAGGGTGTCGAAGAGCTCGCAGATGGCGTTGTGGGCGTGGTGCTCTTCGTAGGCGAGTTCGGGGTTCGACCAGATCTGTTGGTGGTTAGTATGCAGTATAGGATTTGGTGAGGGGAGGGGAGGGGGAGGGGCGGACTTTGTGATTGATGCTTTTGAGCTGGGTGTCGTATTTCTGGAGAGCTGCTTGGACGCTTTCGATGAAGCGGGTTTGCGTTTGGGAGACTTTCATTTTGTGGTTGATTTCAGGATGGTTACTTTGTTCTACCTGGTTATGAGCGGGCGGGGATTCTATAGGGACCGCTATATATACCAACTACATCAACCTAGTGTACTGTTGCTCACGTTCCCCGTTGGAATGTAAATTGCATCATTTGCGTGCCGATATCCGATGCCATCACTTCGAGCAGATCATGTCTATCTTTACAACCAGGCTGGTTCTGACTCTTATCACAGACCCAATCGGCAGCCTCAGGCCGCAACTGCCGAATGCGGCATCCAGACGCCGAGTCCCGTGATTGGCGGTTGCGATAAGCCACACGTGACTGTGCCGACGCAGCCAATCAGAGGCGCGGCGTCGGCATGCTGGCGCTAGTCCCGATGGGGCAACTGCGCACTCGCCGAAATCCTCAGAAATTATTGTTGCGGCGTAGAGACTCTGCATTAATCAGTCTAGCAAGTTGGCAAAGGCCAGTCAAGTGGAGATGAATCGTATTTCCCCGCCGACCACCCCGCGGCTGGCCTTCCTTTTGTCTCGTCTCCAACACTCCAACACTTAACCCCCCGTCCGCACTCAAGACCGTCGCCGTTTCAACCGTGCAGGTCTCCAACTGCATCCGACTACGATTACGAGAGAGAAAACGTCGATGGCAACGGCCTGCGATAGCCGAGACACCAAGCCAGTGGAGCAGACGGGCCACGTCAGGCTGGGTGACAATGCATAAGCTTGGCAGGAAAGCACGCTCTAAGACCGGTAAGGATCCACTCAATTCCCTTTCATGTCGGAGAGGGCAATCGCATGGAGACACAAGCTCATCGAGCCCAGGCTGTCGGACGTGTAGAATCCGCAAGGTCAAATGCGACGAGGAAAAGCTGGCCGTGGCCGGGCATCGCGAGCCGCAGTGTCGACGATGTGCCGCAGCGCGCATTCTCTGCGAGTGGAAGGGCGGACCCATCCCACGGAGGGCCGCAGGAGCAGCACCAACAGCGCCAGGCCCGTCCAAGAAGAGCCAAGCGACGGAGGACCACCGCGCCGCCAGGAAACGGACGACGCCCTTGCAGGCCCCTTTGCTTCCCGCGCGGGATTCTTCGCCCGAGGTCCTCCAGGCCGCCAATTCTCTGGCGCTGTCCCACGCCGACCGGGCCTGTCTGGCCTATCTCCAAGATTCCGCCCTGGTGATGATTCTGGGGAAGCATTGGCCGTGGTCGACCATCTCGTATGCGTACCACCGCGTGGCCGTGCGGGAGCCCATGGTGATGAGCATGATTCTGGCCAGCAGCTCCAGCGAAATCCACCGATCTCGTCGCCACGACGTCTCCGCACGTGCTCGCAGCGCCGCCGGTGATTCGTGCGATCTCGACGGCCGGTCGCATTACGGCCGCGCCATGGCGGGCCTGCGTGACGCCCTGCAGCGCGATGTGAAGTCGCCCGCCCAGATCGAGGCCGTCTTCATCACCCTCTGGCTGATGGTCGATTATGAGAATCGCTTCGGCAGTGGTGCCGCCGGTATCAACGTCCATGTGCGCGGCATTCTGTCCATGCTGTCCCAGCATGTCGTGCCTCTGCTGAAGCCCCGCGACGAGAGCCTGTCCTCGCCCCCAGCAGCGATCACGGCTGGCCTGAGTCCCGCCGAGGCGCCGGCGGAAAGCTGTTCCATGGATGGGGAGAGTAGTAGTCTTTCCCAATCGGCCTGCGCGCCTGTAGAGCGGCACAATGGCAAACTGCGATCGACGTCGGTGCCCCTGTTTCTGCTCTGGACGTTGTACTTCTTCACCCCGGGCGCGCTGTTCTGCGGACCAGGCAGCGTGGGAGTGGACGAGATTGATCTCTTTCGGTGCTTCATCCGCGCAGAATCAGGGACGACGGAGTTGAGTCTGCCCGAGCTCTACCGGATCAGTAGACAGTCGCCCGCGCGGTTCTGGGGGGAGGCGTATCCGGTGACGGCCCAATTGGATGACATGGAGAACCTCCCTGGCCTGACCCTGTATCACCGCAGCCATGTGACCCAGTTCCATATCACCGAATTTTACCGACAGGGCTTGCCCAGCTGCCTGGGCAGCTCTGCCGGGGCCCAGACTTCGTATCGGCGGATAGTCGACGAGATTGCAACGATTTCCGACGTAAGACTTGGCATCTGTCTATTTTCCCTCATTCGGCTAAATTGGCCTTCCATTCGGGACCGAACCACTGGAACTGACCTCGCGGGCATTTGCAGGAATTCGACTCTCTCCTCTCCTCCGCCAAAGCTGCGCCGTCCTGTGAGATCGCAGGAGACGGCCGGAGGGTGATGGAAACGGTGTATTGGGCATCCATCACCTTCTACAGCACCATCGTCTACCTCCATCTCTGCACGGCGGACACCCCGGAGCAGCACCGGGAAGAACAGGAGATCCTGTCTCTTGGCGAGGCCGTCTCGCTCGTTCTGGAGCTGGCGCTGAAGCTGCATCGCAGCCGACCCCGACTGACGGTCCGCATCGTGTGGCCCTTGTTCCTGGCCGGCATCGCCACGCGCGACGCCATCTATCAAGATTGGGTGTCGATCCGACTGCGGGAGCTGGGCCGCTACGGGCAGAACTACAGCCGGGTCAGCCGTCAGTTCGACGAGCTGATCCGGGGGGACCGGACCTGTTTTTTTCCCAGATTCCATCCTCCATCTGCAGGATGGCCGGACGATCTAGACCGATTCACCCTTGACTGAAAGATGACACGGCAGACGAAGGGATTCGCAACCGGCCTGTGTCCGGGTTCAGTCGAAGTATATCCATGCTGTGTATAGTATCGACTAGCCCTTGACTTCGTAGCACCAACCAGCTCTAGCCTCTAGCTCTATCCTCTAGCCCCAAAGACCAATCCAATCTGACGAATCTGAACTCAGCAAACGTAACCCACCAATAACGACCTTCTCCAGCTGTGACGATAGCATTATCTGCACCGTGACGAATCCGCTGGAGCCAGTCACCGCGTGACAAGAATCAGACCAAAGAACGAGCCAGTTAGAGCCGAAGGTTCTAGAATCCTTCTCGAAGCGCCAGACCTGCCACAAATATTATTATTCGTTCATTCTTATTTTCCAAAAAGCAAAAAGACCAGGAAGGAAGAACGAATCCGTCTCGTCCCACCTCATTCGCTTCCCAGAGTCCCAGACTAGACTAGACGAGACTAAACTCTTGGCCTCAGCAGTGCAGTCAGCCTTGCCCCTCACGCACTGGACAAAGGCTATGAATAGGAATAGACTAGGGAGTAGGGACAGGGCCTCCGTATCTACCACCTCTATTATTATTATCCAGCCAACTCCAAGACCCAGCAGAACCCACTATACCCGGTCTCCGGCGGATCCAAGCCCGCCCAAGTCCAAGCCCAGCCCGAGGTCCTGATAGTGAATGAGTGGGTAGTGTGCCGTCCGGATGGGGGCTATTCTATGTATTCATTCTGATCCTTGTCTTTAGTACGGATTACTGTGTAGTTACACTCATCTGGATACATAACCTGAAGGAGAAGAGAAGGTAAGAAGGAAGAAATATGAACCCGAGGACTGAACAACCAGTTACACAAACCGCATAAACATAATTCAAAGGACCAAAAATAATCCATGTCCAGTAGTCTATAACATCCCCGTTATGATTTACCACACCACTAGACCCTGCCTTGCCTGTCTGCCTGGCAGTCTCTCCGCGGAGAGACACACAGACACCGACACCGACAGGGATGGGGATCGACAGCATCGCGTGATCGGACATTTATATTTTCGCAATTAATTAATTTAATTCATTCTTTAATTGAATTTTGAATTAAATTTAATTCGACACAGAATGCAAGGGAGGGTTCACAGGTACTTTGGTAGGGTTATGTCATTACGAAGTCAATGGCTTGACGGGAACTCAATCATTAAGCCAACGAAAAGAATACACCCACACTAACTAACCACGACTTACAAGTTACTGCCCACTATGCCATAGCGATCCAAACCAGATCCAAAAAACGATACAAATCCCAATCTCCACGTAAAAACCCATAAATCACGAATCTCTAGCGCCGCACGCGACAGTTTCCCTTTACGAACAGGTCAGATTACAGGCTTGGCTGTCTCGGAGGGGTTAGGAGGAGCTGCAGTCTGGACGGTTTATACTCTGTCTGGCGAGAGATGCTGGATTGGGAAACATGGAGGGTCCAGAACTCATTAACTAGGGGCGGGGTAGAGGGGAGATGGGATTGTTGTAATCCATATGGGTTGGGTTCAACGGACCTGTGTCCAATGGTATATCCTCCGGAGGATATCAGGACTTACGACTAGTTAGGTAGTTAATGTTAATTGAATACTAGTAACTGACCAATGTGTTAGTTTCAATTGGTTAAATCCAGGGACACAGCTTACTCCGGAGTAGACAGCATACTGTAATAAATCGTATACAGAGTAGAGTTGCAATTAGTAAATCCATCCGAGATTATAGAGAAATATACCTACTCTACCCGTATCAAACAAGCTCAATAAGTCCTCCCAAGACCTTTAAACTGACACGACACACCATCTGCCGTGTCACATACTCTATTCTACTCTATCTAATCAGGATCAGGATCAATCAGATAGATTGAATCTGCCAACAAGTAGATACTGCGTATGCACTCCGCCGCCAGCTCGCGAACCATAAGCTCGAGACAGGTCATCTGCATGCATACATACCTACATCTACACATCTACAGTCGACCAAACCAGGGCAATCAAATCAACCAATCAATCAATCATTGAGTCCCTCGTCCTCGTCCTCGGAAAGACAAGTCGAGCAAATGACCGATTCAACTCGACTCGGCTCGGCGACATCGACACTCCGAACTAACTCCTCCATACTACTACTAGTTAATAATAACTCCACAGGAAAGAAATCGACAGGTCTAGAAGACCACGCCAAGAAAAGCAGGCCCGTGATGTCAACACCGTCACCCAGCTCCTTCCCTATACTACGTACGGCGTAGGTGGCACTACGCATACACCCCGGATCCTGCTGACTCGGAAACAGTACTGCGTAACAACTCCCCACTAATAAAACGCCTCTTATTAACGACAAATAATAGTAACGCCTGTTAAGCACAGGTACTGCGTCTGTACTACGACGTAAGAAAAGTGACGTGCAGGGTGCAGGGCATAGGGCATTTATCTTGTCTTGTCGTGTTGCTTCGCTCGCTTCATCCGTCAGACTGACACACGACAGTTGCACTCAAGGGTGTTCATTTCTACGCGTTCATTTTCACCGAGGAAAATGTTGATCTTCATGGTGTCAGCTCGGGCTCACTTGGGGGCGATTCCGGTTTTCTCTTCCGATGCGTTGGCAGCGTCATCAAACAGGGAACTGAAGAAACTAAGCATACGTAGGGCAGATGCGTTCATTAGTGAACAGACTCACCGCATCTGATCTATCCCGGATGATGCGATATGCGATGATGTGGATATGGAGTGGACAGGACGGACGGGGAACACGAGTGATTGGAACAACGTGTGGAGAAGCGACAGACCGACGTACACGTTCATCACCATCCCCCAGGACTCCGTCTGCCCTCGTTCCGAAGTAGTCGTAAGTATGTACCTGTGTGAGGGAACAAAAACAATAACAGAATCCTACGTATCTCCGAGTCGGATACCGAGTCGGTACTCCATCTAGTGTCTGTCCCATGTACATGCACTCCAGCCAACCCCGGTCCATGGGCGTATCATATCATATCATATCGTCACATTGGGAATGCCACTATCCCACCAACTCCGTAAACCAGTCCCTTCCCTGCTTCCATACCCACCGACAATCCCAGAAGATCGGATGTGGGGATTGCTGGAACAGGCAAGGTCGGGGTTGGCAGTATTGGGCATATGTGCTGGTGATAAGCCCGGAATGACGCAAGACAAACGCGAGTGGGAACTTGTTGCGATGGCTGCAGCAGGGGCAATTCCGGGGTGGTTGGACGAGGCCAAGAGACAGAAAAAAAAAAAAAAAAAACATTCGATAGGATTCGATGGAACCTTAGACGGTAGGGAAATGAAAATCAGGGGAGGAAAAAAAAAGGGAAGAGGGTCCGGTGGATTCTACCCAAGACCCTACCTACGAGACAAGAAAGCCGTATCAGGACTATCGTACGAAGGACGGGAACGCCAACCCCTACGGCGTAAACCTCACCCAAAGCCGAGAGTCCCAGAATCCCAGGCGGATTAGTCCGGACTCCATGAAGGAGAGCCAAGAGGCGCTAGAGTCAGCCTTGTCCCCGCACTGTCCAGGAGCCAAGCATTGGCATAAGGACCAGCGACAATCAGCAGCCCTACCAAGATTCCTGTACGTATGGCCCCCCCGGTGGCCCGACCGGGTCTGTCCTTCTAGCCTTCGTTCCACGGTGACTTGGCGGGCGGTGTCATTGGCTGGTTCCGGGTGGAGTTCGTGGCCTCGACGGGCTTCTGCTGCTGCGGTTCGACGATGATGGCGCATAATAATGACACTGTTGTCGGATTTCCGGTTCGGGTCAAATCGTTTTCTTTTTTTGTTTTTCTTTCTTGTCGGGTTCAAAGAAACAGGGAGAAGGGAAAGGCCGGAAGATGGGAGACACAGGAGGGCAAGCACATGTTTGTCAATCCCACGCGGACTCCCCTTCCCTTCCCCGTCTGTCCCCAACGCGACACCGCCCACCCTCGTAGAAACCGGCCAATGCATGGAAAATTCTCTCATGCATCAAGGGTGATCCTGGGGATGGGGCGCAAAACTGAAGGATGGAGGGGGAGGGGGAAAGGCGGGGATTAGAAGAAACTGCAACCAAATCAAATCACATCACTGGACTCCCATCGGAACTAGACTCACGGCGCCAAACAAAAGCACCGCTCCGACTTCCACGCCGACCAGATCGGTGCTCGGCCGATCACCCGCCATTTCGAATTGGGGCTGGTCCTAGGGCCCAGGGACACGCCAGGTTCTACTCGTTTCGTTTCCGGAAACGAAACACGAGCCCATGCCGCCGTATTCCGGAGCCCGATTGCAGACGAAAAAGCAAAAAGTCGACAGGTCCAATGAGATAGGGCAGCCGTTGGGTCGGATAAGTCGGCTAAGACCGGGCGATGATAGCAGCAGAAACCAAACGGCCGCAGACTCAGACCAGACTAGTGGATCAACCGCCAGGACGCCCAGGCCATTCAGGAGGCGCGACGGGTTGCATTTAGGGTTGTGAGTGGCTCTCAGACCCCTCCCTCCTGCTGCGCGCCAAGAGACACCAACCCTCCAGGCAGTCCGAAGGCGGGAAAGTCCCCAAGAGCCGCCAAGGCTCTTCCGGGCGCGGGAGCCTTGGCGCTCCCGCTGGAGATGCAGGGTGCGGTGGCCAATCACGGCCTGTCGCCACCCCTCGGTTCGCGTATTCAGCGTTGCCGCCGAGCCTAAGCCGAGTCTCACGTGGCGGGCGGCCGGTCGTCTGCGTCATACCCGTCAACCATGTACATTCCCAGCATCGTCGCCTCCGTGGTCCAAGGTTCGATGCCAAGAAGGTTGTGCCATGCGTCCCTGTGATTGGCATGCCGACGCTGGGTGAGAATGGAGAGATTCGAATTGGCATGCCCGCCAAGAGTATGACTTTGCCTTCGCGTCATCCGGCGACTTTGAGTTAAATAGGCCATGGTTTCCCCCGACCTTCTGAAAGGTGGAAGTTTAAAACAGTAGGATCTACATTTCCAACCCGGTGTGTCTCTTTCGCAGGTTCGTGTATGGACTCACATTCTCTTGAGGACACAATCTATATGGAGCCACCCTAAGAGATCAAAGCTTCATTAGTAGATCCAAACTTCGACACAATACACACCCTCCCCCCTCTTTCACTCCCTCCCATCTCATCTTACCTATCTCACCACCCTCCCGCTTCGCTCCATCTGAGACACACAGAAGATGGCCCGCGACGAAAAGGATCAGTCGCTGGGTGCGACTGAGCAACCGCTCTCCAAACCCGCCCACGCCCTCACATACGAAGACGTCCTCCGGGAACTTTCCGTCAACTCGGAGGAAGGTCTAACCAATGCCGAAGTCAAGCAACGCCTGAGCAAATATGGCCCCAACGAATTGGAAGGTGGCGAAGGCGTTTCGATGGTGAAAATCGTTATTCGACAGATTGCCAACGCAATGATGCTGGTGAGTATCCATGCCTTTTCCTCCCGTCAATGCTTGACATGCGCTAATACTCAATCGCCTCGTAGGTCCTTATCATTGCCATGGCCGTCAGTTTCGGTATCCGATCGTGGATCGAAGGTGGTGTCATTGCCGCCGTCATCGGTCTCAATATCGTCGTAGGTGTATACCAGGATTATGCGGCGGAGAAAACAATGGACTCGTTGCGATCCCTGAGTTCCCCCACGGGAGTTGCCACGCGAGACGGAAAGACAGCCACGGTGCCTGCTTCGGAGATTGTTCCCGGAGATATGATTGAACTCAAAGTGGGCGATACCGTCCCCGCCGACGTTAGGTATGAATCCTCGCCTGAGCAAAGAAAATGGCTAGACGCTAACCTGTTCGCTGCTAGACTCGTGGACGCGATGAACTTTGAAACCGACGAGGCTCTCTTGACCGGAGAGTCTTTGCCCGTGCAGAAGGAGGTTGACTCTGTATTTGACGACGACACCGGTCCCGGAGACCGCCTGAACATCGCCTACAGCTCATCCACAGTCACTCGAGGCCGCGCCCGTGGTGTGGTTGTCGGTACCGGAATGCGAACTGAAATCGGAGCCATCGCCGCGGCTCTTCGTGCTAACGACTCCAAGAGAAGACCGGTGAAGCGTGGCCCCGAGGGAGAAACGAAGAAGCGTTGGTACGTGCAGGCATGGACCCTCACCTGCACGGATGCCGTCGGTCGTTTTCTGGGCATCAACGTCGGAACTCCCCTGCAGCGCAAACTCTCGAAGCTGGCGCTCCTGCTCTTTGCCATTGCCGTGGTTCTCGCCATCATTGTCGAGGGTGCCAACGAAATGCGCAACGACAAGGAAGTCATCATCTATGCAGTGGCAACAGGCCTGGCCATGATTCCTGCCTGTCTCGTGGTGGTCTTGACCATTACCATGGCGGTAGGAACCAAGCAAATGGTTGAAAGAAATGTCATTGTTCGAAAGCTTGACTCTCTGGAAGCACTTGGCGCTGTGTCTAACATTTGCTCAGACAAAACCGGAACCCTTACCCAAGGGCGCATGGTTGCCAGAAGGGCCTGGATCCCGTCCATGGGTACCTACTCCGTGGGAGCGTCTAGCGACCCATTCAACCCCTACGAGGGTGATCTGAGCTTGCTCTCTGACCCCCCTGTGAAGCTTGACCGTGAGACCCTCGGAGAGCCGACCCAGGCCGAGGAGTTGTTGAAGGACAACAAAGCGTTGGAGGAGTACCTCAACGTTGCATCCATGGCTAACCTTGCCCACGTGCACAAGTCTGATGCCGACGAGTGGCAGGCCCGTGGTGAGCCCACCGACATTGCCATCCAGGTTTTCGCATCCCGCTTCAACTGGGGCCGTGATCGCTGGACCAAGGGCGAGAAGGCTCTCTGGCACCAGAAGGCTGAGTATCCCTTCGATTCTACCGTCAAGAAGATGTCTGTTATTTTCGCCAGCCAAGATCGCGAGATGATCTTCACCAAAGGTGCCGTGGAACGTGTCATTGAATCTTGCTCGTCCATTGTCTGGACCGCCGGCTCTGAGCCTGTTCCCCTGGATGGGAATATCAAGGAGGAGATCTTGCAGAACATGGAAGCGCTTGCGAAGGAGGGTCTTCGAGTTCTTTGCCTTGCCTGCCGGGAAAACCCCCTGCCTGTGAAGGGCGACGAAGTGCCCCCTCGTGAAGAAGTCGAAAAGGAGCTCACCTTCTGCGGACTGATCGGTCTTTATGACCCCCCTCGCCCTGAAACTGCCGGTGCTATTGAAGAGTGTTATCGTGCTGGTATTTCGGTCCACATGGTGACTGGTGACCACCCCGGTACTGCGCGCGCGATCGCTGCCCAGGTTGGCATTATTCCCGCCGATATGCACCGTCTGTCCAAGGATGTTGCCGATGCCATGGTCATGACTGCCAGCCAGTTTGACAAGCTGACCGAAGACGAAATTGATGACCTGCCCACGCTCCCCCTGGTGATTGCTCGTTGCGCCCCCAACACCAAGGTCCGTATGATCGACGCGCTGCACCGCCGAGGAAAGTATGCGGCGATGACCGGTGATGGTGTCAATGACTCGCCGTCTTTGAAGCGCGCCGATGTTGGTATTGCCATGGGTCAGGCTGGATCTGACGTAGCCAAGGATGCTTCCGAACTGGTTTTGACTGACGATAACTTTGCCTCTATTATCAATGGAATTGAGGAGGGTCGCCGCATTTTCGATAACATTCAGAAATTCGTCCTGCATTTGTTGGCGGAAAACGTTGGCCTGGCCCTCACCCTGCTCATTGGTCTTGTATTCAAGGATGGAAACGGACAATCGGTCTTCCCCATTGCTCCTGTAGAAATCTTGTGGATCATCATGATTACCTCTGGTCTTCCTGATATGGGATTGGGAATGGAAATTGCTGCGCCGGATATTATGAACCGCCCCCCTCAGAGTGTAAGTTTTTATTTCCCGCATATTCGCTGCTTGATGATCATCGCTAATACCATCGATAGAAACAAGGTATCTTCACCTGGGAAGTCATTGTGGACACCCTCGTTTATGGCGTTTGGATGGCGGCTCTTTGCCTGGCCTCTTTCTCCCTCGTGATGTTCGGATGGGGCGACGGCGACCTCGCCAGCGGTTGCAACAGCAATGCTTCGGACGAATGTACCACTGTGTACCGTGCTCGTGCGACCACCTTCGTCTGCATGACCTGGTTCGCGCTCTTCCTCGCTTGGGAGCAGATCAACATGCGTCGTAGTTTCTTCCGTATGCAGCCCGACTCGGACCGATACTTCACCCAGTGGATGTTCGATGTCTGGCGCAACAAGTTCCTCTTCTTCGGTATCATGATCGGCTTCGTGACCACCTTCCCCATTCTTTACATCCCTGTCATCAACACCGTGGTGTTCAAACACAAGCCTATCTCCTGGGAATGGGGTGTCGTGATCGTGGAAGCGATCCTCTTCTTCCTAGGCGTTGAAACTTGGAAGTGGGCCAAGCGTATCTACTTCCGACGTCAGGAGCGTCTCGGCAAGGGCAAAGAAGAGCGAAAGCTGCCCGGTGATTTCAGCCGCTATCCCACGATGAGCCGATCGGACACTCAGGCCACGGACATGAAGGTCGAGCATTCCATGGTTTAGTCGGACCTGGATGCCCGGGCGTTGTCACGAATGCCTAGGATACGAGTTATCTTTTTCAAAAGTCTGCTGATCCCAGGAAACCTACCAGAACAGAAGGATCAGGATGACTGCACATCAAGCAGAGCAGTCACGATCCTTTTTCGCAGCGCGAAACCCCACGCGACTGTTGATGATCACCAACGGCTGGCCTTTCCTGGTATGACATGGTGATGAATTTTCGCTCGCACATATTTCGGAATGATTGATTGGATATGTTCGATATTTGCATGTAATGAGATCATAGCATATAGAATTGATGGATTTCTTTGACTGTATCTTCCTTGACTGGTGATGCGTAGACTTGCACTTCCTATTGTTCAACGGGGTCTAGAGGAGGCCTTATATAGCTTCAACAAAACTGCAATTGAGGGGTAACGGGCAGCTAACACCTGTTAACACGTAATTCCAAGCATTCTGTTACACTGAAGATTGTATCTGCCTATTCTGTTTGCCACCAGGATTGGTATGCCCGAAGAGAGGGTGGAGAGATACGGACTTCTCGCCGGTGACGAGCGGAGGACACTAGGTTCTCTGCCGGACTGCCTAATTTGGACCGGACGGGAGGAGTGAATGATAGACGATAGTTTGTTAAGTCTAAGAAGATTGAGATTGTTCAAAGAGTGAAGGGAGATGGAGGATGAGTTCGTGGATGGAGAGGAAACGGGGAGAGGGGCGGAGAACTGGGCGGAGAACACTCGACTATCCCTCCTCGCAGAGTAAGAGCCAACACACCATCATGTGACGGCCGTTTAGGCAACGCTCTTGACTTTTCTTGAGTAACGCAAGGGGGCAGAAAAGTGGAAAGATGTACTGCGTAGAGATGCCACTTCGGCGCCAAGGGATGTCCAAGAAGCGCGGAATCAGTCGGGTCGAATCAAATCTACGCGGGGGCAGCACGGTCATACGGTGAATCTTGCCGATCGCATTGCTTCTATTGGATCGTAATAATGCCTCATCTCGGACTGACTCATCGCTCGGCGGAGTAAACAAACAAAAAGTGCGGGGAACACGCTATCTACGACGTGGTCGCTGCGGCCGGCGCAGGCGACACACTTTCCGGAGTGGATTCCACTGCCGGTTGCGAGACCTCGTCACCCTTTTCGAAGCTGCGCATGGGGTAGTATCCCCACTTCTCGAACATGACCCGGTCCTCATCCCATCCGTTGCAGTCGGTCGTCAGCATCTTCTCGCCCGTGAAGACGGCATTGGCGCCGGCATTGAAGCAGGCAACCTGCTGCTCCTCGGTCAGGGCAATGCGACCGGCGGCCAGACGCACGATGGTGGCAGGAAGGACGATACGGGCCGTGGCAATAGTTCGCAGAAGCTTATCGAAGGGGATCATCTTGCGATCTCCGAGAGGGGTACCGGGGATGGGGACGAGAGCGTTGACGGGGAAGGATTCGGGGTGCGAAGGCAAAGAAGAAACGGTGTGGATCAGACCGATACGGTCGGTGTCGGCCTCGCCCAGACCCAAAATACCACCGGAGCAGACGTTGATTCCGGCGTCGCGGACATGGGACAGGGTCTTCAGTCGCTCATCGTACGATCGAGTGGTGATGATGGTCGGGTAGAATTCGCGAGAAGTGTCGAGGTTATGGTTGTAGGCCGTCAAACCGGCATCCTTCAGCTCCTTGGCCTGGTTCTCGTCGATCATGCCCAGCGTCACGCAGACCTCCATGCCCATCTCGCGCACACCCGACACCATCTGCTTGACATTCTTGAGACTGGTCTTGCGGCCGCGCATGTCACGCCAGGCGGCACCCATGCAGAAACGGGTACTCCCGTTCGCCTTGGCGTTTCGGGCAGCCTTCAGCACTTCGTCGACGGGACTCATTTTCGTGGCTTTCAATCCGGTGTCGTAGCGCGACGACTGAGCGCAGTACGAACAGTCCTCACTGCAGCCGCCCGTCTTGATGTTCATCAAGGTGCACATCTGGATGGCGGAAGGGTCATGAAAGCGTCGGTGAACCGCAGCCTACATTTACTCGTTAGATCGATGCACGGGGAGGCTAGAGAGAACGGGAGCACCCACAGCGGCATAGGTAAGCTGGTTCAACGGGGTCTGGTAGATTTGCTGGACATCCTCGCGGGTCCAATTGGTGCGCGGAACGGTGGCCCCGGTGGCCTCCTGCAAAGCAATTGGGATTCTGCTGTTCAGGGAGGCGGCACTAGGGGCTTGCTGGACAGTACCGTAGGATCTCTTTAGGAGGGTCCGGGGTAGGGACCGCGGGAGAGGAAGCGACATGATCGCGGTGTGGATGCGTCGAGACAGTGATCACCAACGTAACAAATGGAATGAGGGGGGAAGAGCGAAAGAAAGAGTGATAAGACGTCGAGGCGGAAAACAAATCAAGCACCTCGGGAAATGAACAGATCGAATGGAGAGGAGGGGAAGTGGGCGCACACACAGGCAGTGACTGGCAGCAATTGATGGATTACTCACGGGTGGGGGAAGAGAGAGGGCGAGAGAACGAGGCGGGCCGCCGCCAAAGCTAAAGCGGGTATAGCACCAGTCACGGACAAGATAATCCAAATAACATTGCTGTGGCTCCTCTCCCCCTCGTCGGGAAGAACGCAGTGCCGTCATCGTGGGGAGGGTGTTTCGCAGCCTTGTTGACCCCAACGCCCGTTCAACCCGTGTGGTGTCGAGCATATCCACCCCGAGGGAACGTCATCGCGGGCGGACATCAATCGGATTCAGGAATGACCGATCGAGGATGGGAAAAGCGATCACGTTGAGAGCGCGGGAGATCAATTCAACGGAGATCCTCAACTGGAGGAATGGCTGGTACCTGAAGCGTGGCCGGCCAAGACGCCGGGCCAAAGTCTGAGGTTGTGAGCGGCGTGCAGATCGGGAGAGCATTCAACACTATCGCGTCTCCACTGACTGCCGGGAGTTGAGAACCTGAGATGACCGGACCAAAGGAACTGATGCATCTGGAATAATCATGGAGTGGGTTACGGAGTACGGAGTAGGACTGAGGAGTTTGAAGAGGAAACAGCAAAACCAACCAAATGAACCAAACCAGCCAAATCAACCAAATCCACCAAACGAAGCAAAGTAAACAAAATAAACAAAAGAAACAAAAAATCAGATAAACACAGTGGGCGGCTGACTCATACTTTGTACGCCCTGTGATTGGCTGCCGAGACTCTCCTCGGGCTGCCGGTGAACGGGGCAGAGTGTTCCTGACTCTCTGGCATCCTGATTTTCTACTGCAACTCTCTGGGATTTCGCTTAATTGTGCGATTCTCAGATGACTTCCGATAAAGGGCTGGCGTGCCTGGTCCCTGCAACCATGAAATCATCAATCGTCCGATCGACACTCGATTGACGGAAATATTGTTCTTGGCTACGGAGAACTAGCCGCTAGAGGTTCCCGGTAAAGCAACGAAAATCGAGCCTACCGTTTAGCCGGAGGACCCCGCGCCCTGTGTCTACGATACCTACGCTGGTGTCCACGTCTTGGGCCGACAATAGCCTTCTTTCCTTATCGTCTCGCCGAGCGAGAACCGAACGATTCCATGAACCTATTCCCCACGCAGGGCCTCGGGCGATGGTTCCCGGGGATGAATATCTAGAACACGTCATATCGGTCTCTTGAATAAATCGTTATATTGTCTTGATTACGTGTCGTTAAATCAACGCCTCCCGCAAGATGGCTTCTACCTCGCCCAGTGTCTCGGGTTTCGAAGTCACGCTCGACATGAGATAAAGGACGTTGCCGAGAACTCTGGAATGCACGGCGAATGTCGGACCGCCGGCCGCCAGTCTCTCCTGAAGGCCTCGAGCTGCCGTTGACGTGTAGCCTGCGCGGTGGGGACGTCACATGTTAGCCGGCTGGGATCGGCCACAATCGAGCACGAAGATGGGGATTGTTTCGACTTACCTCCTCCGTGGAGATCTTTCAAGGAGATGCTCAGAACGGTTCCCACGGAAAACACCCCGTCCACGCTAGCTGCATGCGATAGATCGTGCACTAGCCGGTGAGACCACACGCTCCAGACCTCGGGGCACTTCCCGCCGCTGGATGTTTCGCGACCAACGGGCTCCGGTACACGCCAGTCCGCGCGGTACTCGTCCCAGGACCCACTGGTTTCCATCTTCATCATGGTCTGCAGGGAATCCACGGCCACTTGGCAGCCGACGGCGTGGGCAGTGTAGCTGTGTCCATGCAGCAGGGCATCACTCTTCTCCGGGCTCGAAAAGGCCTGGAAGATCTCCCGACTGGCCATTGTGGTGCAGAGCGGGATGAGTCCGCCGGTGAGAAGTTTGGCGTTGACTGCGATGTCGGCGTCGATGTTCAAGAAGGAGGCCGAAGATTTGCGGCCAAGACGGTAAAGCCCGGTGAAGACCTCGTCGAGGATGATCGGCAGGCCAGACCATGACGTCGCCGTCTGTGCTGCGCGGGTTGTAGACGCGAACAAGTCAGGGTGATCGCGGACAACGTCGGCAAGACAACGCTGGAAGAGAGGATCGCTGAGTTTGTTAGGCGACTGATCTTAGTCCCGGGGTATGATCGGGGCTTACCAAAATAGCATTCCTCCAGCACCCAGAATGACAGGCTCCATGATCAAAGAGCCAAGTTTCATTCCTTTGTCACGGACCAATGTCTCGATGGTACTCTTAATGTATTGCTTGTAGCGTTGCCCGGCATCCGATCGCACCCGTTCTTCAACGTCGAAAACGGCGTTCAGGGACGGAAGCTCCAGATCGGGACCCAGTGAATCGTTGAGCTCTGCTGGCATTTCGATCTTCCAAACACCCTGGGACATTTTTACCTGGGGGAAGTCAAACCAATATCCGCGGCCACGGTACCACTCGACCTTCTGGTTAAAGGTGGAGGGCTCTGAACAGTCCATCACACCGATGGTGTCGCCATGGTAGCTGCCTTTGAGCCCCAGGATGCTAATCTGCTCTTTGCTGGCATCCCATCCGTACCGGTCGCATGCCGCTCGCAGTCCCATCTTCACGGCCACCTCCATGCCCGTACTGCCATTGTCCGTGTAGAAAACCTTCTTGAGACGCGGGTTGTCAATTGACTGGATCAGTAACTCCGCCAGCGACAGCGCTGGTTCATGGATATTCCCGGGGAACATCACATGCCCATACCGTCCCGCGGCGTAAGCCGCCGACAAGGATAGATCGGGGTTGCCATGCCCTAAACCCTGCGTCCACCACGACGCAGAACCATCGAATGTGGCTTGAAGCTTACCTTCCTGGCCTGCCCCATCGCCCTTCGAGAATGTCTGGAAATAATCCCCGTAGGCGGAGTCAATTGGGGTGATATCCTTAGGGGCCATGCCATGATGCTGCGTGAACGGGTACCAAATGGTGTCATGCGCACGGCTGGCCATGGCCTCTAACCGATCAAGTCTCTCGGTGTTCTTGGCAGTCAACTGATCCAGGAGACCCTCGATGTCCGTAGTCTGCGCTACACGGCCGTAGTATGTGGCCATGGCTTCCTCATCTCGCGCTAAAGATTCGGCGTCCAGTGACGTCGGCTTGGAAGGAGGGGGAGTCAGCGGAACCAACGGAATGCTCTTTTTCTGAAAGTACGCATTCAGATATTCGTGGTTCTGGTAGTAATCGTCGCGGAACAGTAAGACGGAGTGGATATCGTAGCCTCGCAGCAACAGCGACTCATAGGCCGAGATCGACGAAGAAATTCCCCCAAGACGAGAATCCGCAATCAGCACGATAGGCAGACGGAGTGGTCGATACAGATCTGCCTGGGAGTTGCCATTGGGTCCTGGCGAGTGAACACCGCCCGCGGTCTCTACCAGCGCAAAGTTCACATCGCTGCCAGCCCAGCCGGAGAGAGTCTTGTGAACCGAGCTGATGATCTCATCATCCCGGGGGATCTAACAAAAGTGAGCATTCTGCCCGCTTTGATCCACGAGAGGGGCCATCATACCGTGGAATTCTTCTGCTGAGCCGCAATATGTGGGCTGACCGGTTCATCAAATTGGTAAAGACACTTAGTCGATACCCCAGCCGCGTAGCGTTGCATATGTCTACAATCCTTGTCAATAGACGAAATTTCTGCGCAGACAGGCCCACTTACCGGTCGTCCGCATCGTCCAATGCACCCGTCGAGACAGGTTTTAGGAATGCTGCTTTTCCCGGCGATTTCTGACGCTGGACGGCATTACACAGAATCGTCGAGACGATGGTCTTGCCTACGTCAGTGTTGGCGCCGTAGACCTGATGAGCGCGCAATGAACGCCAGAGGGCAGCTCCCACGGGGGCCATGGCCGTTCAGCTGGGACGGAATGAAATGGACGAGCAATCAGGAATTGGCAGGATGTTCAATGGTTTCTATTAGTAGTTAGTTGTACTCCGTCGCAGTCGCAGCAGGAGTATGGAACTAAGAATAGGAATCCGTCCGAGGGAAACCATGGCTGACCGAGGCTCATTGGGAGCCCGCCACGCCAGGCACTCAGGCAGCCAGCGCCTCCCCAACGGTCATTTTTTTTTTTTTTTTTTTTTTATTATTTTTGATTTTTTTTTTTTTCTTCTCTCTCTTCCCCGTTCCTGACGACGCTCCGCCGTGGGTCTCAATGTCTTTTCAACGCCCCCGACTAGATCACACTAGGGCCTCAGGGATAGCCGAAATGACCAAAATAAGCCACCACTGAACTGTGCCCTGCTGCTTCCTGTGCCGGCAACCGATCCACTCTGCTCATGTTCGACGTGAAAATCCCGGGCTCCACGTCCCGGTGTGATGGGTGGTGATAATGGCAGTGCCCCCCTCTGGACTGCAGCCGCTATGTTGGTTTCATCATTTTATGAAGTGTGCGTCTTCGATCATTTCCCTTTTCTTCTCCCGGTCGTGGAATGCCCCCTCGAGATCGTCCCTATTCCCCGCACCAACAATCCCCGCCGGCTAGTATAGTAAACAAATGGATCGTTCCTCGCCCAAGTGTTTACGTGAGTCATTGCGACAGGCTCTACGGCGCAGAGAGCTCAAGGCGGCTCGACGAAAACTCACTGTGCTGCCCCAATCGTCAGTAGACTTTTCATCCAATGACTTTCTATCGTTGTCCACGTCCTCGGCATATCGCAATCGTCTGCTAGAGCACCTCCGGCAAGCTCCTCCGTTGTATCCATTCGCCAGCGGAGGGTCACGGCTGTTGGACGGTAACTCCACCTATGCCGAGGACCTGGAGAACTTCATCGCCGAGTTCCACGGAGCGCCGAAAGGCCTTCTGTTTAACTCGGGATTCGACGCCAATGTCGGCGTGATGTCTTCCATTCCGCAGCCGGGGGATCTGATCGTGTATGATGAACTCATCCACGCCAGTGCCCGAGAAGGCATGCGTTTATCGCGAGCGGGAAAGCGGGTTCAATTCTCTCATAGCTCGCCTGAAAGCTTTGAGGAGGTGCTGCGGTCTCAGATTGAGAGCGACCCGTTGATTCAGGACGGGTCGCGCAATGTATTCATTGCCGTAGAATCCATCTACAGCATGGATGGGGACATTGCACCGATTCAAGAGTTTGTGCAGATCGTGGACCGACTGCTGACTTCTGGCAACGGATACTTCATCGTGGATGAAGCACATGCCACGGGGGCATTTGGCCCTCGGGGGGCTGGCGTTGTTCAGGATATGGGCCTGGAGGATCGCATGTTCATACGGGTGCATACATTTGGCAAGGCTTTAGCTAGCCATGGAGGTAAGCTACTGATGCCGCGTGATCGAGGATCAAGAGCTAACTTGTCAGCCATTGTACTCTGCTGCGCGGACACCCGAGACTACTTGATCAATTACGCACGGAGTTTGATCTACACCACTGCATTGGGATTTCCATTCCTCGCTTCCATCCGCACAGCCTACGAGCTTTTATCCGAAGGAGAGACCCAGCATGTAAGTCATAAATTGTGCCTGAAAGAGAAGATTGTCTAACATCTCCCAGCTCCAGGACAAGCTGCAAGAATTAATCCTGTATCTTCGCAACCGACTCCGAGAGCTCGACTCCTGGGACCCGTCGATCTTTGAGGTGGACCATTTCCCCAGCTCGCCGATATTCTCGCTGCGCAGTCCCCTGCCGCGTGAACTGGCCGCGGTATGCCAGCGCAGTGGATTCGTGGTGCGAGCCATCATGCCGCCCACCATTCCTGCCGGCAAGGAGCGCGTGCGGGTGTGTTTGCATGCTGGCAATACCATACAGGAGATTGACGGGCTCGTTCGGACGATCGAGTTTTGGTTAAATCAAACAACGGATAAAAAGGCTGCTCGACTGTGATATTAGAGGTTAAAATGGTTGTTGCTTGTATTCAGAATAGAGTATAAAAGTTCTCCAAATTGTATTAACTAAACTTGAATCAAAGAAAGCAAAGATAACTGAATGCTAGCACCTACGCTCCTCTTAAACATTTTCGCATATAGAATCAATAAACCCAGTCAACCCTACAAGTCGGACAAGTCGGCCAGGTCGGATGACTGTCTGCATACCGCAACGTATCAATCCACCGATGCAAGCACTCCTTATGATAATTCGTGCCGCAACCCGCCTTGCACCAGATCCACTGCCCGAAATCATACTCCGCCGAGAGAGTCCTGGATGGCTTGACGTCCTCTGTTACCTTTTCCTTCGCGGTCACTGCCCCACGGCCCTTCCCCTTCACCACCGTCTTGTGAGCATCGGATTGAGACGCAGCCGTGTATTCAACATTCACCACATCTACCGAGGGACTAAATACCTCCCAGCAGACCCCACAGGATCCCTGCACGGGGAGGTTCGGAAGGAGGTGGTTCGGATCTAGACCGTATAGCTTCGCAATGTCATCCCGGGAGAGGGGACGATGGGGATTCGTTTCCTTTTGCTTTTGCTCTTTCTCTTTCTCTTTCCGGGTCCCTGATGCTGGCTTCGATCGTCGAGAGGTCAGATGTAGACGAGAGAAGAGCGACGAGGCGCTTTTATCTCCCTTACTTCCATTTCCATCCTCCCCTCCACTTGCAATGTCATTCCCATCTTCTTTTCCGGAGCCAGAATTGCCACTGTGGTAAGACAACGTCGACTGCGAGGAAGCCAAACTAGCAGTCGACGGAGCCGTCAAAGTCTCCGCAGACCCCCCTGCCACGGTAGCGGTCTGGACATCACTTCTATCCTCTCCCTCGTCAGCCGCATGGCCATTACCAATCCCTCTCTCCCTCTCCGCAACCCCCATATCCCTCCAAACCCCCATCCCCTCCCAATAATACCTCTTCCCCGTCGTCCCCTTCACCGCCATAACCCTCTTCCACCAAATCCTCAGCAGATCCTGCACCTGGCCCTGGTCCCTTTCACAGAGCACCAACGGCGCCAACTGCTCCAAGCAGACGCGCAGCGGCGCATAATGCTGGAAAAGGGGCGCGCCCGTCTCGAGGACCTGCGCGGCGCGGGCCCTATTCGTGCTGCTGAGCAGGCCGGGGCAGTTACCCTGGTGGTGGCGACGCGGGGCGCAAGCGCCCGATTTGCATGTCCCGTTGCAGTAGGGGATATTGGATGGGTCGCAGCGGAGGAGTTGGGGGAGGGGAGGCGGTGGGGAGACGCGGATGTTTAGTTTGGGCATGGACATTTTGGTATGGACTGGTGCTGGTTGGCTGGGCTGGGCTGGTTTGTGATGTTGTTTTTCTGGTTCTTTTTTGGGGGAGGCTGTGGGGATTGGATTTGGGAGTGTATGTGTGTGGGCAAGGGAGAGCGTTGGGAAGAGGAGGGGAGATGGGATGATGTCCATGGAACGGAGGGGCTCTGGCGATGGGGTTTACGAGATGAGATGGCAGAGACATGGATGGGATCATGATGATGACTGCGGACTATTAATATAAGGTTGCGAGAGGAACGAGATATAAGGTTGGTTTACGAACCATGGATTCTGGGCGAGGCTATACTGGTGGAATTCATGGAAGGTTTCTGGACTATAAAAAGAACTTCCGTTTGACAGGTTACTTTTAGCTCTGCTCTAGGAAGGGCTGTTTTTCATACGATGGATCGATGGACTACTTTGGTTCAGAATGTCCAGATTGTATTGCTGACCATTGATTTGGAGCCTGAGGTTCTCTGCCAAAGGGGATGACGTCACTAATATAAGCCTGAGGGGTCAGGCATTCACATGCAGATGTCCGGTTCTACTCCTCCTTTGCCCCTCCATCTCTTCTGGATAATCAATCGGTCGGTCAATTCAAGCATTGGAAGATATACGGAGCTGCATTCAATCAGTATCTCATCAATAAACTATCCTCTTCATCCCAATTCTCACATAAACCGCAGATTCGTCGTTTCCCCACTCCTGACCAAACAACAACACCGTCAACACCATCAAAGCCCATTCAACCCAACAATGGAAGAAGACATCCTCATTGTCGGCGCCGGCATCTTCGGCGTAAGCACAGCCTACCATCTCGCTCTCCATGCCTCCAACCCCTCCCGCATCACGCTCCTTGACCGCGCCGCCGCTCCATCCTCCGTCGCCGCATCCACCGACATCAACAAGATCATCCGCGCAGACTACTCCAACCCGCTATACATGGACCTAGGCTTCGAAGCCATCGAAGCCTGGAAGAACCTCCCGTTTTTCCGCGATGCCGGAGTCTATCACCAAAGCGGGTGGATCGCCATGGACGAGAAGCACAGCGACGTGCCGACGCGCATCAGGGAGAACTTCCGCGCCAGCGGTCGCGAGGACGTCATTGAGGATTTGACAGAGGAGGAGGTGCGCAGAAGATGGAGCGTGCTTGCTCAGACGGATTGTGCGCCGTTTGGGTCTTATTATTATAATCCCTCGGCGGGGTGGGCTGATGCGGGAAAGGCGTTGCAAGTCATGGCACAGGAGACGGTTAAGCTTGGGGTTAATTATCAGGTGGGGGAGGCGAGGAGGGTAGTATGGGGAGATGGTCGGGTTGAGGGCGTTGGGACTGAGATGGGTCGCGTCTTTAGAGCTGACAAGGTTCTGCTGGCGACAGGAGCCTGGACGAGTCAATTGATGTCGTCGGTGGAAGATGAACTGGGATTATTGGAGGCTGAGCGAGTAGAGAGTCAGATCTCTGCTACCGGGGTTTCTGTTGCTCATTTCCAGCTGTCGGAGGCTGAGAAGGAGGTATATAGCCAGCTTCCGGTTTTCGTATATGGAGGGCTAGGTATGTGGGCGGTGATTATCTTCTGTTCAGAAGTCAGAGCTAATGGTCACAGGCGAGGTGATTCCCCCGACCGAGTCCGGGGTTCTCAAGTTCACCTTCTCGACTTCATTTAAAAACACCGTCCAGACTCCATCAGGCCATAAGATCTCGGTGCCATCGATCCAAAGCCAATGGGAAGTTCCGAAGAAGCTTCAAGAGAGTTCGATACCACAGATTCGTGCCAGAATTCCGCAAATCCTGGAAAACGACCGACGGCCTGATTACTACCGGCTTTGCTGGGACTCGATATCATCAGATCAGCATCCTCGCATCACCAGACATCCCGATTCAAAACTCTCAAATCTCTATCTTGCGGTCGGTGGTTCATTTCACTGCTATAAGTTCCTGCCTACCATTGGAAAATACGTAGTGAATGTCCTGAACGGAGTCACCAACGGGGCGCAGCAAGACGAGGCCTGGGTGTGGAAACAGTCTCAGAGAAGTGAGAGAGGAGTACATGAGTCGCTTGTTCCGAAAAATGAGCTCCAGGACTTTTCATGAATTTGACTAGGAACAACTGATGAAAAATGCCACTTACAAACAGTTCTCTGGGCTTGATGCTCAATTAGCACAGTTCAAATCGAATATTCAACTTTGACGCATACGAGGAAATTTCCCGTTAACAATCTAATAGATCGGAGACTTCCAGCAACCAGCGGGGTTTCCTGGTTTGCACCCTCTCGTTGCTGTTACATTTAAAGGCATGGTATGTTGTTCCTCTCGTTCATTCTTTGCCCTACCCATTTCTCCCCGTCTCATCTGCTCGATAAGAATCAATAAATCATTAACCAAATTCCTCTTTCCATTTCTCTTTTCTAAACCTTTGTGCCTCTGCTTATTTCCTAAACCCTTTGTTCCTCCTTCCTTGCGGTAGCGTGAATCACCTTTCATTGTTGCCTCTGATAACCGTCAACCTTTTCCCAACAAACAGTATGCGCAGAACACACTTCTACTGTAGCATATGCGGGGGGCCTCTCAAAAATGAAAACCTACGTGGGAGGACATCCGTTATTCTGAGGAATGAGAACGCGGTCTTAGGGTCAAAAGACGACACTTGTGATTGCAATGGTGCCGCGCAAGTTCCCAGGGGTCATACCTGTCAAGTCCACGAAAGCGTACACAGCTGGCGCTGTAACATTCTGAATGGATATGATGCATTTGTCCTGAGCGAAGACCAAATCCAGGTAAGCAATGCATTCCACGAAACAGCGAATAATGGATTGCTGATATCAGACTGGTGCCTGTCAGTGGTTGCGGCATGGGCGCATGATATGCGCTGAAACAGCGACGCTAAACTCTGAGCCAGGAGATGAGTGCCACGACCCTGGATATTTTGTTACCAGAGAAGTGAGTCGCCTTGAGTGTCGGGAAATGAGCAGAGTTAAGTTAATCATTTTTTCACAGGGTGAGTTCGACTACGACAGAGGGCTAACAACCAGAGACATTCCCGACAAAGTCGGGTTCCCTGTTCACGAGTCATGTTGGAACATCCTGAATACAGTGCAAAAATATGTCATATCCGATTTACGCAAAATCGACCTTCGGGAGCTCTTCTGTGACTTGACACGCAGTACTTATATCTATACAACTAACCCGTGTTTCATCGGTTCAAGCGAAACAGATCCCTGGTTTTGTGCTGCTTACTCTGATGCAGCACAATTTCAGTATGACGCGGAATGGGATCCTGTGAAAGCATACGAGGTGAGTTGCAACCCTGAAAAATCTTGCAGATGTTGATAATGGTCTGATTATTTGGATAGTGGCTTGTTGCCGACCCTTCGGTCATTGATTTTGAGTTGTTCGTTTCGGAGTGTTTCGGCATAGAGCACAATGGGATCAACGGGCTGATAATGACAAGCCTGGTATCGTCAGCGAACAGCGACCCGCTTGGGGTCTTGCCGACAGAAATATGCTGCACGATTCTCGAGCTACTCCCATCGAAGGACGTTTTCAGGTTGGCCGTCGCAAGCCCGACAGTGAAGTCGATTGCGACTCATATGCCAAGAGGTTTTTGGAAATCGCGGCTGCAGTCTGAAATGCCTTGGCTCCTACCAGTGTGGCCGGAGTTGAATCGGGCCCTCGACAATGCCACTCAACCGGTTCAATACAAGAAGCTTCTAAGGCACCTGAAGCAGCAATCTATCGAATGGCAGAAGCCCGAACGATTGTACGACGACTATTTCAATCAAGGGAAAAGGATTGGTCTTCAAAACCTCCGTAGAGTTTGGGAATGTTGTGAATCAATCCTGGAACGCGTGGAAGCGAATTGCGTCGTGGCTAGGGTTGAAAGAAATCGGGTCTCGCCGGAGCTCAGGTCGCGTACGTTCCAAGAAGTTGTTACGATACGCGAGTCCGAGGTGAGATATTGGTGGCAGTCGGAAGTTTTCTTCGTTCCGAAGATCGACCAGTCGCCTGAAGTATGCTACGTTACGGCCTATTTCCAACCAGACAGCGTAGCCATCGCTGGTATCGAATTTTCACTTTGCGGAGAAAGCTCTGGTCGGCTTCTCGGTAGCCGATCCCCCTCACTGCAAAGTGCTCCTTTTCCTTCCAGGACCAAAACCCGCGGTTTCGTGCTGTGCCTCGGTCCAGCATCGGATGCGTTCAATTCCAACCACCGGGATGTCATTTGTGGACTGGGTATCCTCACCGACGACAGCCCTTCTGAACCCCGCATCAAACTTGGCTCCTGGACTGGTAACGACGTAGTGCAAGTGTTCCGGATCGAAGGGCTGGATTCAATCCATCAGCGTTTGAAGAACCATAGCGTAGTCGGAATCAGTGGACACTTTGATGTGGGTTTCCCTCCCTGCCGCCCCCTGACTATATTCCTTTCTGATACGCTAACAAGCAACAGATTTACGGAATGGCTGGCTTCGGAATCATTGTCGCAGACCTTTCGGAAGGCGCGACAAACAGCAGAGCCAATGTGACTCCACCACCGTTCGGAAACAGTGAAATGTACTATAGGTGGCTAGTACACTATCCATCAAGACCCGGACAGTTCGTCGAGAAGACACATTTCCCCCCTCTTCGAAGACCTGCGACAGTTGCCCTATCCTACCTTAGAGGTAACTTGGACAGTGTTTGTAGACCTGAGCCGAAGGAACATCACTGAAATTATAGCGCATTTCGAGCTCATATCTCAGCAGATCTGTCGAAAGCTTGAGTTCACGTTTAGCGATGGAAGTCACCAGGTGGTATCTGGCGGCGAGTTTACCGACAGCGCATGGCTCGAGCAGTGCTCGGTGACCTTTAAGCAGGACGAGAAAGTCATCGGCGGCGAGCTTTTTCCAAGTAGCATGTGGCAAGACCAAAGGCTTCGTGTAAGTGCGCATGGATCACGACAGTATCTTTGGCATTTCAGGACTAACCTTGGAATTGCAGTTCTACACTAATTACAATCGCAGCCTACATCTCGGACGCGAATGTGATACGAGCCAGAGTAACCAGGAGCTGACGTGGAAATGCCCGGATGACGCATCCGTAGTTGGGCTGTATTTCCGCGTCAAGTATTCTCATCTCACCGACCTTCAACCGGTGCTGGGACGGAAGGTTTCTGAAATCGACTGAGCAGTGGAATGATGTTACTTAATCACCTGGGTGTGTTGTTTTCTCTCATTTGTTCATTTCAAGCAGCCCGAGGGTGCCTTTTCATAGCTCATGTACGTGATCAATCCAGATAGTTCAACCCTGCAAGATTGCAGCTAGTAGGCATAATACAACGCAGACTCATCGTTCATCTGACGAATCTTCCGATTATCCCGAATCAACCAGAACCTCATAATCCAAGCACAGGCTGCACAAGCCACCGAGAAAGCCGCACTCGACGACATGGCAATCGTATACCGGGGTTCATCAGACGACGGCCACAAATACTAGCCAAGGATTAACCCATCAAGTTCATCCAGCACCAGACAGGGATGTTCAACTCACCGGCGTCCAAATAAACGACACATTCGCAGTCGTATTCACAATCGCCAGCGCCGACGCCTTCTTCTCCTTCGTCTGCCCACACGTACTCGACACCCACCCCAGCACAATACTATTCACCGCATACGTGCCAATCGCAAACACGACCATCGCGAAATACCTCGCCCCGGTATTCAGCGTCGCGCAGCCCAGCACAAACCCGAAGATCGCAATCGCCTTGGCCACCGTAATATGCCAGGTGCGCTCATTATACTTGCCTGAACTCCACGACCAGCCCACCGAAATCAACCCAGCAATCAAATACGGTGGACACGTCAACACGAGCGTAATGGTCGTGTTAAAGCCCAACGTCTCGACCGCCGTGGGGAAGAAATTCTTAAACCCGTTCGCCGCAAGATGCATATGCTGCATGAACGCGAAGAGCCAGAGCCGCGGGTCCCTCGCCGCCTCTTTCAATCCCGCAAAGGTGCTGGACTGGACGCGGGCGCCGACAGTGTCGGCGAGGATGCGGGCGTGCGCGAGCTCGCGCTCTTCGGGCGTCAACCACCGCGTCTTCAGCGGGTCGTCGGGGAGGGTGAAGATGGAGAACACGGCCACCACGAAGGTCACGGCACCCTGGAGGATGAAGAGCCATTGCCAGCCAGTGATGCCGGCGAGGTCGTCCATGCCGTGAAAGATGCCGGCGGCGATGAGGCCGGCGAAGGCGGTGGCGAGGATGTTGCCGGTGTAGAGGATGGAGATGCGTGTGGCGATTTCTTTGCGCGTGTAGAAGATGGACAGCATGTAGAGAGCGCCGGGGTAGTAGGGGGCCTCTATTTGTTGTTAGGAGGGCGGAAAGGTCTAGCAGGACGAGGGATACCAAATCTGGTGAGGTAGGGCTTAGAGATGGGTAAGGGACATACCGGATACTCCGAGGAAGAATCGCACGAGAAGTAGGCCTTTGAAGTCTTTTGCTAACGCGGTCAAGGCACTCACGACGGCCCAGAGGGCCATGAAGCCGGCCATGTAGAGGGATGGCCGCACCCGAGTGAGGATCATATCTATATGCCTTAGACACGGCCATCAAAGACAACAACATCTCCAACGATCAAAGGAAAAAGAAAACATACTACTCGGCACCTGCCCCAACAAATACCCCACGAACAAAATCGACACGCAAGTCTGATACTGCGACGACGACAGCCCCAGGTCCTCTTCCAGATCATTCAACCGCGCCAGGGCAATCGCGTTCCGGTCGAGATAGTTCAACCAGTACATGACCCACAGCGTCGGCATGATCCAGATATCGAGTTTCCGCACCAGGCTGATCTCCACGGGGTCGGTTTTCTTCTGAGCGCCCGAGTAGTCCCCGCCGGCGCGGGAGAGGACGCCGGCCTCGTCGCGGGCCAGCTTCTTGTTGTTCTCTTCATCGATGGTGAATTCGCGGTGCAGCGTGTCGGGCTTGTCGTCTTCTGTGGTTGGGTCTGCGTTGGGGAATTTAGGCTTGTGGGTGGACATTGTCAGGAGATGGATAAGACACAAGAAGGAAAGGAGAGAAGAGTAGGAGAGAAGGATAGGAGATGAGAGTGATTCTGACTATCGAAGACCAGGAAACAGGGGGAGCATTTATACCCAATACCATCCCCTACCCCTACCCCAGACCAGCTCATCTCATCACATCCATAGCATGCCACGCAGCATGAAAGACCCCGACATCACGGAGAAACGCACCCCGCATCACAACCCCGGATCAGCACTCTCGCCCCCGTCAGATCCACAGCGGGGAGATGATGGAGCGCGAGATGACAGCTGCATCAGGATCCACGCGTCTGGGATCCTGATTAGGATGACTGGTCGATGGCCCATTCGCCTGTCCAACCTCCACTCCGTAAACGCCCGGACCAAGACCTCAGATTGACGGTCTCCAATCTCCAATAACCCTCGACGATAATATACCGCATACAAGACCACAAGAGAGCGCTACCCCCGAGAAAGAACAAGAAGACGCCCAGAGCGCCAACCCAGACTGCCAACGCGCCTTCTCCTCCTTCGCGGCGCCACGAGATGGACCAAGCCTGCTGTCTTACCGACCGCAGGAGACCAGGACTGCAAAGGAGGAGAGAGAAAAGAAGGAAGGAAGAAAGGATAAGAAAAGTGGTGTCAAACCAAGATGTCACGCCATATTGCACCTCTTGCGATGCGTTTCCAATCCAATACCGGGGTGGGATCACGCACGCCAGAAGTCAAATAAGCCCGCGCCAGTAGCTGCCATCCCATTACTATTGCCTATTACTTGAACTTCCTAGACATTACCCCAGACTCAATCCAGAGTCCACCTTCCAAGCTTTGCACAGCCTCCCCCATAGCCTTGGCGCAGCCTATCTAATCGTAACCGCCGTAGTCTCGGCCGTCCGAGTCCAGTTCCAAGTCCAAGCCCAGGTTACGCTGCATGCCAGTATCAGCAGCGCGCCAGCACTTCTTCCAGCTCTAGCTAGAGGGGAAGCTCCCAAGGACGGTGTGTCTCTTGGCGAGGACTTGGCGCATGGGGTAGGTCATCTCGTACTCTCCCTCCCTACCTCGAGTCCTTATCAAGGTCTTGGACAGGAAAAAGCAAACCAAACAAGACCCGACAAGCCCGCCACGCAACCGCCAACGTAGTAACCCTCTCCTAACAATAACTGAATACCCTACCATCGGGGCTGACGATCCCTCGGGATAAAAGTCTTGGGTGGTATGAGGCTTTCGACCACGCGGGTGCTGATTGGTCGGAGATGCGTATGCCCGATGGGTTTGGGGTTGCGGGCGGCGGAGATGACATGTCCGGGTGATAGATTAGGCGTCTTGGAAGGGGGGAGGGAATAGGTTTCTTGGGGAGGGAGGTCGGGGATGCCGATTTGCTTTGCTTTGGTTTGCTTTGGTTTGTCATTCTGGTCTTGGAGCTGGGGTTGGGTTTGTTGGGCTGGCTTGATTTGGTGTGCGACGTCATTCCATGTTTTCGTGCGTGTTGCTTGGGAGGTCTTTCCGCGGAGACTGATGATGCTGCTATAAGGGGAGAGTTTAAGAGGGTGGTGCTCAGATGGCCGATCAACATGAAGGCGTCTTGGGATGATGGATGTGTTGGCTGTGGTCTTGCGGTGTTTCCTTCTTTCGAACATGATGCTGGTTAAAGGATAATAAGTCTAATAGCCTCAGTGTCTGGACATAGTACTTAACACACTTTGAAACACCAATATGGAGGATTTAGTAATTGCACTCTGGAGAGGCTAGAAGCGGAACAATACCAAGATATATAGTCGTACTGCAATCCAGCTAAACACGTAGTAGTACGTCCAAGATGGCACCCATGATTGCAAACCAAGAATCTTATTCAAGCGGTCGAGATAGAAATTCCACCTGTCATCCTTGAGCCCTAGCCTTGGAGCATGAGTGCGTGGGTGAAGCAAGACTCCGTCACCTCGCGAGAAGCGCCAAGACAGTGACCGAAAGGAGCGGCCGGAGCATGCGCACCAATCAGAAGCGTCAGATAATGTGCGCTTTCCTATTCGGGACTCCCGAGCGGAATGAGTAATCAATAATGCCTGAGGCAGGAGTGAGGACCGGAGTGGAACAGCGCCAGGGCAATAATTCGTGTCTGCGGAGTAGGTTATAGATCATTGAAATTTAACTGCGGCACAGTCCAGATGCCAAACAAACTCCTCGCGTACCTAGACTGGAAGCTTGGAAAAGAGTCGACAATCAATGCCCAACCTGTAGGAAGCTGTGCTGCTTAAATGCTTCCATTGCATTTCGCACAAAGTACTCTTCTCTCCTGACGGTTCCGACACTGCTGATTGAGATTGTATTTGACACGGCAAGCGTGACATGAGAACAACCCCTCTGAGATTCATTCGGAAGGGAGAATGACGTAACTTCTAAATGGATATAGTATAGTAAGAAATATGAAGTTAAAGTATTGGACCCTGATATAACGAAAACCTAAGTCCGAAGTATACCACCAGAGCACGGAGTAATTCAGCGCCACATTTGAGAGACCTGGATAACTCAAAAAACAACGGATTGAGTCCAGTCCTAGTCAGTAGTAGTCCACTCCCTACTAAGACTACCATGTCGGGACAGCATTAGCATTCTAATCCACCAAGCCGTACACCCACAAGCCCGCAGAATAAAAGTACGCTTGAAAGTCGAGGAACATGAGGAATCATCTACTTAGACTAGAAATTGAAAAAGGCTCAATCCCAAAATAGCCCATGCTCCACCGTCCACCCCAACCCATAAAACCTACCTCGTCTAAAATAACCCATAACTCAAAGAACATGTATGCATCTCCACCACAAGGCAACAAAGATCTCCATCTCCCTAGCCTCGCCATTCAGCCCTACGCGTTATTTATCCAAATCCACAGTGCAGATGCAGCCACCTACGCTACGGCTGGCAAATACTCCGACATGCACAGACACTACCCAGTAGCCTACCCAGTCGCCTCACTACCTCCCTACATCAGCATCATCTCCACCCAAAAAACCCACCCAAGCTTTCCACAGTATGCATATACATATACCACCAGTAATTCCAAAATAGTTCGCCAATTAATATCCCGACCCAGCCCACACGTAATGCAACATGACAGCTCACGAACACGAACACCAGATAGATCCACGCATGACGTAAGAGCTCTTCTCCCTGCATATAGGGTCACCGAGAAGGCAGACGCAGATCAGATCAGATCAGAAGGTCTAGAAGGTCTGGACACTGCAGTGAGCACGACAGAGAGCAGGTTTCGATCAGCAATGACGAACGGCGATCCGCGACAACGCCACCGCGCTGACGCGTTGCGGGCATTTATTTCTATTCCGGGTTGCTGGCGAGATGCAGGTACCCGGCTGGATTGATATGTCAGATTGGATTGGTTGGTGGTTAGGAGATGTTTGCTTGTCTGTGGGAGGTTGGTTAGGAGCTCGGTTTGTATGTGAGTTTTCTGGCTACTGTCTATCTATCTATTCATCTCTCTATCGAGCCATCTAGCTAGGAGCGAGAAGGTTGTGGGAAAGTGGTAGAAGTTATGGTTGGTAGTTCTGTTTGAGAGTGGGAGTTCTGTGATAGTAGTAGCTGTCTATTGGTAGTAGGTATTTCTCTATGTGATAGTGTTAATCGAATGGAATAAACTTGGGGGTTCATTCAAAGCATCAATCCTATGTAACTGCGATATTTCTACTGGAAGTGCTAAAATGAAACCTATACCAGTAAATCTGTTCATGAATACCACAACAACAATACTACAATATACTGATGAAAGGTAAATTAACAAGCATATATTCAGTCAATAGGAATTAGAATATAGACCAAGCTATATACAAGGCTAACCACAACCAATCTACACGCTGGGCCATCCATCCGCCCACTTCAGCTGGTTCCACCCGAACTGGTACTTCTCCTTGGCCAGTCCGATGGTCTTGTCGGCGTAGTGGTAGTAGAGAACCAGACCGAGATCCTTGTCGTTGACGATTCCCCTATAGCACTATTAGCAACCTGACAGCCCAAGAAACATAGGGAAACTCACTGTCCACCAGGTCCGTAGACATTACCGTGACTTTCCAGGAGGGTGGTTCCGCCACTCTCCAGACACGACTTGCCCTGCTTATCGACCTATTCACCCATTAGCATCCATTCTCAACCCATCGCAAGCAAAAGAACATACAAAACCCCCCGTCCCACTCTCCGACCGACACACCACAACCCGATACTCATTCCCCGGCGCCGGCAAATTCGTCTCATACCCCGCCGCCTTACCCGCCGACCAGGTGAGGTAGTAATAGTCTCCGTGCTGGAACACAAACGCCGCTTCGATATTATGGTTCGCAGTGGCATTATACGCAATGTTAGTCGGCTCCTCGGAGCCCAGCTTCAGCGGCGACGCCATCGGCGCCTGGTACAGGTTGTGCCAGTAGGAGCCCCAGTTCATGTAGTCCTTGCCGTCGATCTGCACCCAGTTGGCGTCGATGGCGTTGTACGGCTTGTCTGCCGTCGAGGACAGCCCCGTCGAGCCGTGGTCGGTCCACGTGCCGACTTCCATGGACGGCGAGCTGGCGACGCCGATGACCGAGTTCTGGGACCCCAGCGTCGAGATCGAGTAGTACATGTAGTATTTTTCGTTCTCGTAGTGGACGTCGGGGGCCTGTATTGGGTCATTAGTTTGGGGTTGAGGGGATTGAGGGGTAGGGGAGGGGCATACCCAGAGGTTGTCGCTGCCGGCGTGGTCGACAGACGAGCCATTGGGCAATGCGTAGCCCACGTCGGTCCAGGGGCCTTTGATGGAATCGGCGCGGGCGATGTGCACGCCGCCGCCGGTGGCGAAGCGGAAGTACTTCCCATCGGAGACGCGCTGGTAGAGACCGGGATCGTGAGTCCAGCAGTCTCCGGAGCAGGCGCCGGGGTTGGAGTACGCGTTGGCCAGCGCCAGGAGGGGGAGGAGAGCGAGCATCTTGATGGGTATTAGAGAATTACGAAAGAGGAATTAAAAGAATAGAGAAAGAGAAGGAAGGAATGATGCTTGTCTACTGCAAACAGCTACCAGATGAGCGAGCAACAAGCCTCTTAAATACTTCTACATTCTGCTTCGAAACATTCTCGCTCCTCCATTCTCGGGCTGTCAATGCAGGAGATGGCTCTGGTTTCCGGCCGCATCGGTCACAAGCCTGAGAGAGCTTGCAGTAGATCATAGAGTGGGGGAGGGGAAAGTCAGAATTGAGAACTAAAAGAAAAAAGAAAATTCAAAAAAACGAAGCTAAAGAGTCAGGAGAGAATGCAGTAGTGGAGGGTGTCCGGACAAATTAGGGCTTCAGTCGGGACGGAAGCACCGCCAGGCACAGATCCACCCCGGTCGATAAGCGTGGAGAATGGAGAATGGAAGATGAAAGTAAGAAAGATGGACGCCCCTAGATGCATCCGGCAATTCTCCACCGGATCTAGCCCTTTTCATCGTCTTGTCGATTCTCTGTCGATACCTCCGTCCGTTATCGCAAATCTCAGGCCACGCTTGTTCCCCATCGTTGACGTGTCACGGCATGGCGTGCTTGCAGAAAGCCTTTCGGCAGACTATCCAGACCTTAATCGTCAGGGGAGACGGAGAATTATTGAGGTATTTTTGGGCTTATTGAATGATGGACCATTATTATCGTCTGACCGGAACCGTAAACACGATGATCAGCGCCGACCCGGACGATGACTCGCCCACCAGCAGAGTTCTACTAGTGGAGCAGATCCAGGACCAAGAGTTGGACATATCAGATGAAGGATGCAGTCCCTGCTCGGTCAGCGTGGATTTGAATTTTTAATTTTCCTCGCAACGCGATGTTTGCATCCTCGCAACCTCCTGGCATCTTGCATCTCGCTAGTGTCGGGCTGGGAATGTTTCGACTGCTCTTGGTAACGCCCATGTCGATCATCTGGCCAGTCCTGCGACCGTCTGGATGCATACACTTTTGCAGCGTGGGCAATCTACAGCGTCCGTTGAGGATGGTATGGTGAGCGATATCCTTGTCTACAGTCTACTACGCTGGATGTCGTTAGCTGCCATAACGCCAGACACACCATCGACCCTCCACAATGGCGTGCTGGCCGGTCGATTTAAAGATGCAAAACGACCGGGGTACAGACCGGATCGGACGAATCTATTGGAGGCGAATCCCGGCTTCATGCAGTGCGCGCTGACCAACGACGTCGCAAAGCTGCCCGACTGGCAGTGGAGCGCGCGGGCGAGTCGCCAGCGCCAGGACCCATTAATCGACCTTTAGTCCGGGCTAGTTCGATTCCCCACGACAAACAAGAGGCCATCGTCTGGCGTCTCCTCCTTGCAGCAGGGCCCCCTCAGCTTGGACCGGCCCATCCCAGATCGGGTCTTGTCGTTGGTGGCTGTGATCAAGCTCGCGGCCGCGTCCAAGGCAGACGGTTGAATGTGACCGACCGGCGCGACTGCGATCGGGCTTGGATGATGTCATGCTGGCCGTTCGGGTCGGGGTTTTTGTTCGTGGTTCCAATCATCTTCACCCCCTGGGATGCTGGTTGTCGAGGTCATGCCTGTCGGAGTCAAAGGTCACGGTGCCAGCCAGGCAGGACGAGCCCATCATGGGACTGGCGGGGGGAGAACAAGCACAAGCACAGGCACAAGCGCAGGCACAGGCACCGCGCACGAGATCGATTTCAATTTCAACTTCGGTGCTCCGGAGTCGTAGCGTCTGCACGTATCCCTATCCTATCCCCTCCGACACTGACGGGAATCCCCGAATGCGGACGAGGAGATGCGATCGGAATGAATGACTCGACGATGGCGGGGCAGACGACATGACTGCGGGGATCTCCAACATCAGATGGAATGTTCTTTGTCATGATGACTTCTTTGTCTAGATGTCGAATCACGTACTCCAGGGCGGAAGGCGAAAGGCTGGGGTTACACATCTCAGCCTCACGATCCGGTCTCCTCGCTTCTCGCTCTGCCGTGCTCGTGCTCCGTAGTTGAAAATCAAAATAATGACCAGGATGGATGACATCCCAGGCGAGCATCAGCGCATGGAGAGCCGGGGTAAAGCCCTAAACCTGGCGGACCAGTCCTAAAAAAGCACGTCATGAGGCACAAATGGGAGAAGATGACCTCACTTGCATTAGTCTGCCTTAGTCCGGCACTATGCAATATGGGTATGAGGACCAGTCAGGCAGGACGGGAAATGTAGACGGACTGGCCGCTGACATGGCACTGCAGACAGACCAACTGTCGGAGGATGAGGAGTTTATACTGGAAACATATAAAGACGAGGCTGTGGCCTGGTCGTGCTTGGCGTTGTTACTATTTGGATGTGCGGAGTGAATGCAGGGAGAAATCAGGGAATGGGAGGAAGGAAGGGCTGTGTCGGGTTGTTGGGCTGATTCTGTTGGTTGGGATTGTTATAACCATTGTGATTTAATTGTTACTGCTATTGTCGAGGGGAGTGTTGGCAGGGACGGTGTGAGATGCATGCGGTGGAGAAGGAAATACCAAGAGCTCGACGTGTCTCAACAGGACTGAGTTGGGCATACTCTGGCACGGACAAAGCAACAAGACGCCAGGACTATACAAGGTTTGAGCGTCGAGGTTACCAGAAAACCAGTCCCCGAACGAAGACCGAGACTGATAGATAATTGTATAGATCTGCGTAAATGCGAGGACTTCCACCTGACGATCTGAAACGACCCAACTAACCCTACCATGCGACAACTTCCACTCCCAGCGAACACTTCGATCCTCAGATCTACTATCTGAATGAATCCTAATAACCTCTGGCCGAACCTCGGTCCAGCGCCACGCCCCCCGCTTTTCCCCAGAGTTACGCACGGCGATCCCTGAGTAATCGCTCGGTGCAGAACGCAAAAATAACCGAGGATGGCGGTTATTCGGCTCTGCGCGGGTCTCAAAATGCGTGACCGCTGTCCGACGCTCCCGTCTGGACATTCAGACTGTAATCGCAATTATGGCTTTAGGTGAGTGAGACAGACGCGTCTCAGGCGTCGCAATTCCGGTCCAGGAGTCCACTTGCTAACCCCCCCCAGTCGCCGCATCGGTAGCAGGCGCGGCAACGGGTGCCGCATATCTTAATGCGAAGTTCCACATCACGAAAGATCTCTCGACCCTGTCGGCGCTGCGGCAGGGAGATCGGAACTATGCGACGGCCGCGGCGAAAGGGAAGGGCAATGTCTGGTTCCTGTTTGAGGATGTGGCAAGACGGCATCCGGACATGACCTGTATCTGGACGCGAGAGGCGCTGTATACTTGTCGCGGGGTCGTGACGCTGGCGGCGAGGTATGCGCAGTTTTTCCGGAGTAAGGGTGTGCAGAAGGGCGAGGTCGTGGCGTTCTATCTGCAGAACTCGGCGGATTTCTTGATCGCTTGGTTGGCGCTGCTGAGCATCGGGTGTGCGCCCGCGACGGTCAACTATAACCTCACTGGCGATGCGCTGGTGCATTGTTTGAAGATTAGCGGCGCCAGACTGTTCCTGGTGGATGAGGATGAGGGCTGCCAGGCACGGGTCGAGGAGTGCAAGACGAAGATTGACGAGCTGGGAATGGAGCGGGTGACGGTCGATGCGACGTTGGCGCAGACTCTCTCTTCGTTCCCAGCCACCGTCCCCGAGAAGGGAAAGCTGGCTCGCAACATGGCTGGTGAGTATCCGGCGATCCTGCTGTATACATCTGGTACTACTGGCATGCCCAAGGCCTGCGCATTCACTATGGCGCGACTCTATTCCGGCCTGACGTACCGACGCGGGTCTATCAACGACCGTACCGGGCCTGGAGGGGATCGCTGGTATAGTTGCATGCCGCTGTACCACGGAACATCGGCCATTGCGATGATGGTGAGTCTGGTGACGGGCGTGAGCGTGGCGCTGGGCAAGCGATTCAGCGTGCGACACTTCTGGCAGGACATTCATGACTCCGAGTCGACGGTGTTTGTCTACGTCGGTGAAGTGGCGCGCTATCTACTGGCAGCGCCGCCGTCGCCTCTGGATCGCGACCATCGCGTGCGCTGCATGTACGGCAACGGCCTGCGTCCGGACATCTGGGAGAAGTTCAGACAGCGCTTCGGCGTGGCCGAGGTGGGCGAGTTCTTCAACAGCACCGAGGGCGTCTTCGGCCTGTTCAATCACAATCGAGGGCCGTTCTCGGCTGGCAGCGTCGGCCACCACGGACTTCTTTTGAGACTGCTTCTACGCAATGTCTACGTGCCGGTGGCCATCGACCCCTATACGGGAGATGTGCTGCGCGACGAGAAGACCGGGTTTGCGGAGCGTCCGTCGCATGAGACCGGGGGTGAGATTCTGGTGAATATCCCCAACGAGGAGGCCTTCCAGGGATACTGGAAGAACCAAGACGCTACGAAGAAGAAGTATTTGCGAGATGTCTTCCGCAAGGGAGATCTGTATTATCGATCGGGAGATGCGCTGCGACGACAGTCCGACGGGCGATGGTATTTCCTCGACCGACTGGGCGATACGTTTCGCTGGAAGAGCGAGAATGTGTAAGTCTTCTGCATACAAATTTGCTCCTTCATGGAAAGATGTTAACAAGAGCAGCGCCACCGCCGAAGTCGCCGAAGTCCTGGGCCATTATCCTGGCATCCAAGAAGCCAACGTGTACGGCGTGTTGGTGCCTCATCACGAAGGACGCGCCGGCTGCGCAGCACTTCAGATCAGTCCCGAGGCGAAATCGAAATTTGACTATCGCGATCTTGCGAGCTATGCCCGCGCGAGACTCCCTAAGTACGCAGTGCCCGTCTTCCTGCGCATCGTGGAGAATCCGTCGCATATCCACAACCACAAGCAGAACAAGGTGCCACTGCGCGAAGAGGGCGTTGATCCGGAGAAGACAGGTCAGAAAGCGCCCGAGGGAGCAGAGGACCAGTTCTACTGGCTGCCTCCGGGCGAGGCGGAGTATAGGGAATTTAGGAAGGGCGATTGGGGAGGATTGGTGGATGGGAAGGCGCGGTTGTAGAGCATCTATACCTTAAACACAGCGTCTATCTGTTGATCGAACACGTCTTATTTCCTACTAGGCAGCAGATGACCTACTATTATTCTACGCGTAAAACCCTGAATTCGACCTATCACTAACAAACAACAGCATGGACGCTAGGATTAAAATCCCCGAGTCGCCAACAAGGCGACATTCCATCCCTTGTACACTCACCATGATTACCATCACCTCCATCTTGAGCATCCTTTTATTTACACCTTTCTTTACCTCGACGCCGCCAAAATGTCGATGTCGACCGGGGGACACGTGCTGGCCATCTCTGGAAACCTGGTCGCAATTCAACGACTCCATTTCCGGGCGTCTCGTGGCGACGATCCCTCTCGGCGCTCCCTGTCACGGCTCCAACTTCGACGGCTCACAATGTGCTCGACTTCGCGACGAATGGACCAGTCCTAAAATCCAGTAAGTCCTTTCTTTCTATGATATCGGTGCCATGTCTAATAGCCCAGCTATGAATCCTCCTCGTCCGTCATGGCGCCGTACTTCGCCAACGGCTCCTGCGACCCCTTCCACGCGCCTGGCACGCCCTGTACGCTGGACAACTACGTCGTCTACGCCGTTAACGTTAGCACCCCCGACCACGTCACCAAAACTCTGCAATTTGTCGCCAAACATAACATCCGCCTCGTCGTCCGCAACACGGGACATGATTATCTAGGCAAATCCACGGGCGCAGGGGCCCTGGGGCTCTGGATGCACCACCTCACCGACATTCAGATAAAAGACTATCGAGACCCATGGTACGCCGGGAAAGCCATCACGGTCGGCGCCGGGGTCATGGCCGTCGAGGCCTACTGGGCTGCAGACGCCCGGGGGCTGCAAGTCGTCGGCGGAGAGTGTCCGACCGTGGGAATCGCGGGCGGCTATACGCAGGGAGGGGGTCATTCGGCGTTATCATCGCGCCACGGGCTTGCAGCGGACCAGGTCCTGAGCTGGGAGGTGGTGACGGCGGACGGCGAGCTGGTGACTGCGACGCGCGAGCACCATTCCGATTTATACTGGGCGTTGAGTGGCGGTGGCGGAGGAACGTACGGCGTGGTCTGGTCGATGACGGCGAAGGCGTACCCCGATACGCCGGTGTCGGGGCTGAGTCTAACGTTCTCGCGGGAGGGCATTGATGCGGATTTATTCCATTATGCTGCGTCGCTGTTCTACGAGACTTTGCTGGACCTGGTCGACGCAGGCGCGATGTGCACCTGGGGCGTTGCGAATGAGTTGTTCAGGATCGACCCGCTTACCGCACCTGATATCCCCGTCGAGGAGCTGCTGCATCTCATCGAACCATTCACGGATGACTTGGAAGATCTGGGAATTGCGTATAACATGTCAGCCCGCCAGTTCCCTGGGTTCCTCGCCCAGTACCAGAGCATGATGCCGGAGGTACCCGTGGGCACACAGCAGATTGGCGGCTGGCTGGTGCCGCGCGACGTGGTCCAGGACAGCAGCGAGGAGTTCTCGGCCGCATGGCGCCGAATCGTCGAGGACGGAGCGTTTATTATCGGTGTCGGACTCAACGTGTCGAAGGCTGTCGTCGGGGACGTGGACAATGCTGTCTTGCCTGCGTGGCGGGATGCCTTGATTCATACTGCGATCTTGACCACTTGGGAAAGGGACGACAAGGAGAAGATGCGCGAACTGCAGAGGAAGATGACGGACGAGTATGTTCCAGAGTTGAGTCGATTGGCGCCAGACTCGGGGGCCTACATGAACGAGGTAAGTTTTCATGTTTTGGTCACAGTCTGATGAAGCTGACGTTAATGATACAAGGCGGATTTCCGGCAACCTGACTTTCAGAAAGCTTTCTACGGCGAGAACTATAATCGACTGCGAGAAATCAAAAAGAAGTACGACCCGAATGATCTATTCTTTGCGCCCACGGCCGTTGGTTCGGATGAGTGGACGGTGTCGGACGAGGGTCGGCTGTGTCGGGTTTAACGATCGATATTTTACTTCGAGTGACTTTAGGATGAAGGAGAGCAGAGAAAAGAATCCGTTCACATGAGTCGAAGTCTAATCGTCTGAATGCGCTGTAGAGATGATCTAATCGACTTAGTTCGAGATACCCACACACCCACACCAGCTTCACCCTCGGAGAATGGATGGGCATTAAGCTTACACGAAACCTGTCTAGTGCCTTACGCTGCGTTTATCTGAGATTGAATCGAACGACCCATGTCATATCCACTCTCGGATACATCTGGTTCGTGTCAACGCGACCGAACAGCCCCGGATCTTACTTTCCACCATCTTCACCCCTCACAGCTACCACCCAAGTCAAATGGAGAACTAGAACAAGCCACGACGGCACCTCCGACCGGACCAAAAATGTAATCGCTTTTCATTTCTAGATGGTGACCCGACCGCCTGGTTTTCTCCCGCCACAAGCTTCCCTGGCGTCCCGGACCCACGGCTCGGCAGTCTGCCAGACTCCATGACATCGACATGCACCCCCCAACCCAAGTCCGGCTGGCTGAGCCCAACACTGAGAACTAGAGCTTGTGCGGGGCCTTCAGATCACCAACAGCTGGATTGGAGCTCCAGTGGAGATCTTATATATCCTGCCGGTGATCTGCAGGTCCATCTTCTTAGCACCCTCACTCTTGCCTGCCCCAATTTGGCTTCGTTATTTGAATCCGTCGTCAAGGTCCAGTTGGACGGAATAGGCTAGACTGCTGCAATCGCCTCTTTCCTCTGCCAGCGCACGCAGCACACTGATGTCGGTGTCCTCCCTTCTCTCCGCGTCGAACACGTATGGCCTGGGTACATAACCTGCACGCCGTCGATCCCGACAGTCGCATCGACCGCGACGTCGCGATTTGTTTGGTCTTCTCGGTCCTGGCCTTTGCGGCTGTGGGCTTGAGGTTCTGGATCCGTCTGCAGACGAAACGGTGCGCCTGGGCGGATGACTTTGCGGCGCTGTCCAGTGCCGTGCTGGGGGCGGCGTATACGGGGATTGCGGTTGGTCGTGAGTTTTCCTATATTTATAACCCTTGCTAGTTAGTGTGGAAGGGGCAGAGGGGGAATTGAGGGACTGAAAGGACGAGGAGCTAAGATTGAGTAGAAACGAGATGGGGTTTAGGGACCAGCGCGGCTTATTTTCCGATTGAGAATGCGGTGCCGTTTGGGAAGGTGGGTTTGTTCCTTTCCATTCACTTTGGCTCGCTTTGGATGGGGGTTGGGTGTATTGGGCGAAGATGGCTAATGGATGGATGTAGATTCAATATGCCGGTGGCCCGGTGTATACGCTTGCGTTGCTCGGGTTCAAAGTCTCGTTGTTGTCCTCGTATCTGCGCATCGGGGGCTTTATCCAGGCGTACAAGGTGACGATCATCGTGGTGATTGTCGCCGTGGTGTGCAATCAGTTGATTTTTACGTTTTTGCTACTTTTTGCTTGTCGTCCGGTATGCTACCCTCGGGGCTGTTTGGGGAGGTGCTAATGGAAATAGATCGCAAAACAGTGGGATATGACCATCCCTGGGAAATGCATTAATACGGTCGCTTCGTACTACGGTATCTCTCCTCCTATTTCCCATTGTCTGTCCGGGATAGAAGAGACTAACTGCGCAGCCCTGGCGGGAACTAGTCTCGGCTTCGACTTGCTGATCATCGCGCTGCCGTTGCCGGTGCTGTGGGGGTTGCGATTGCGGTTGAGGCAGAGGGTTAGTATATCTATCTAGCCTATTATATTGGAACATACTAAGAGACAGATCGCCCTGCTGGTCATCTACGCCGTCGGGTTCTTCATCACCGTCATCCAAATCATCCGCATCTTCACCATCAAAGCCCTTCAGACGTACACGGACAGCGAGCCGATCGTGGTCTGGTCGAGCGTGGAGATCAGTCTTGGTGTTTGTCTCTCTATCCTCTCTTTAATCTACCTTTGTACTTCTCGAGCCCAGGAACTAAGGAAATAGGTGATCGTATCCTGTGTCCCGACTTACGGCACGTACTTCCACACGTTCGCGACCAACGTCAACGCCTACTGGCGCCGACACAGCAGCACCTTCACGTGGCGATCGGATCGGTCGAATTCCAATTCTCACGGGGATTCGAGTCGGAACTCGAAGCGGAATTCTAACGGGTCGCAGGGAACGACGACGACGACGGCTACGACCACCACGATCGGGAGTGGGTCGAGGAAGGAGAGGGAGGGGATGGTGCCGGAGATGGGCACGAGTCGGTTCGATGAGTTTAGCGAGTTTGTTTGACCAGATTACGTTGGTTTTGATATATCGCTCTGTGTGTAGATTTGTATTTTCTCTGGACGGAGTTTGTTTTGGGAAGGTGCGGCGGGCATCCCTGCCTTGTTTGGTGTGCGGCGTTTTTTACCGTTTTCTTCTTCTTCCTCCTCTTCTTCTTCTCCTCTTCTCTTCGTCTCTTCCGCTTATTCTTTCCAAAGCTTTGTCCTATATTCCCTGGGCGACTGTTGCCTTCTTCTTGCTCTTCTTTTCTTCTTTCTTTTCCTTGGCACTCCTCCCTATTTGAGACATGATGTCACACGCCAGGATATACTGCCGTGCGGACAAAACCAAAAGATACAAAGTGCAGGCCGTGTGGAAGGAGAGAGGAAAGGAGGCAGATGGCACCGCAGGGGAGGAAATGTACGATAACTAATCTGCTAATGAAATTGACGATCCATGCAAGATTACCTACACCGCTATATGATCTGTCGTTCCGCTCTCTCGTGTCTGCCGGATGTCACTTTTCCATAAACTCAGGCAGCGTGACTCCATAATCCCGGGGATAGATCTACGAGACGATCAAATCATGGAGATTTTAGGAGCTACACGGAATAAGTCCCGGATCCAAATGTAAGAGCTGACTTTGCACGATCATACCCCCGAAAACGAGGGGCTTCTCTTCCTGCACGCCGAGTCAGCCAGCAGTTGCGGTGTAACGAGCCACTGCCCTTGCATGAGTCGAGGGGTCAGATCGACCTGTCCTGGGTTGGAGCTAAAGATGAGATATGCAGTGGACTATATGTAGGGATTTAGGCCCCAGACTGGGAAGGAGCCGGGAATTGAGAGGACGTATTTTCACTCCATCAAACCTGGTTTATTGTCACCACTGGTGTTGCAAATCATGGATAGCTCGAAGGAGAATCTCAACACGACCCCCGCGTCAGCTATGCCAAGTACGTGATCAAGAGAGAAGCCTCTCACAGCCCTCTGAGTCGAATACTGACAACCCAGCCAGACGATGAATGTACCCTCCCACCTATCGCCGTTGTCGGCATGGCGCTGCGCTTACCCGGCGACACGAACAGCCCGTCGTCTTTCTGGTCCCTTCTCATGAACAAGACCGACACTTCAACCCCCATCCCATCCGATCGCTACAATATCTCGGCCTTCCACTCGCCCAACAAGCCCGGCATGGTGCGCCCCCAGCGCGGCCACTTCCTGTCTCAGGACTACGTCAATGAAGTCGACACGTCGGTCATTCAGGTGGGCATGTATGAATTCTCGCATCTGGATCCGCAGCAAACGCTACTGATGGAGGTTATCTGGGAGTGCATGGAGAGCGCGGGACAGACGGAGTGGCGTGGCAGGGAGATCGGGTGCTACGTGGGCGTGTTCGGCGAGGACTGGTATGATTTGAAGTGCAAGGAGACGGGGGAGTTGCCGAGGACGCACGCTTTTGCAACGGGCGGATTTGCCCTCTCAAATCACGTTAGCTATCAGTTTGACTTGAAGGGGCCGAGGTTTGTCTTTCCCTTCGGTTCTTTCGTCGGTAGGACATTATCCGCTAATGCGATGGATTACGGCCAGCTCCACCATCCAAACGGCCTGCTCGTCCTCTCTCACGGCCGTCCACGAAGCCTGCCAAGCGCTGTACACTCGCGGTTGCGAATCCGCCATCGTCGCCGGAACCAACATGATCGTGACGCCCACCATGACCATCACGATGTCCGACAACGGGGTTCTGTCCCCCGACGGGAGATGCAAAACGTTTGACGCCAGCGCGGACGGCTACGCGCGCGGTGAGGCCGTCAATGCCGTGTTTCTGAAACGGCTCGATGATGCGATGCGAGACGGGGATCCCATTCGCGGCGTCATCCGATCCACGGCGGCCAACTACGACGGGCACAGTGGTCGCATCTTTGCGCCGGACGTGATGAGCCAGGAGCGCTTAATTCGCCAGGCGTATCAGCGCGCCGGTATCGCGGACTTGTCGCAGACAGCCTTCGTCGAGTGTCATGGGACGGGGACGAAGGTGGGTGATGTCGTAGAGGCGATGGCAGTGGCGAGGGCGTTTCGGTCGGACGAGTTGTACCTGGGAGCGGTATGTAATCCTGCTCTTTCCAATTAGGTGAAGGTGGTAAAGTTGAACAAGGAAAGGTCAAAACGAACATCGGACATGGAGAGGGCGCGTCGGGATTGACGGGTCTGATCAAAGCGGTGTTGGCGTTGGAGCATCGCATTATTCCGCCTAACATCCATTTCGAGACCCCAAATCCAAAGGGTGAGTGTTCTTCATTCGGCTGGTTCATGGCTAATAAGCACAGTTCCGTTTGACAAGGGGCTACGCGTCCCCGTTGAGCCTGTTCCGTGGCCATCGAATCGACAGGAGCGAGTGAGCGTGAATTGCTTCGGCGTGGGGGGCTCAAATGCTCATGTATGCTGGACCACTCCGGTATTCCTATAGAATGCTAATGATATAGGCCATCGTGGAATCCGCGTCTTCATTCCAGGCTACTGAGGCTCCTTCAAGCCAAAGGGCTCGTCTGCTGGTCATGTCTGCGCAGAGTGAGGCCGCGCTCCAGCAGCGAATCGCCGATATCCAAGGATATATTGAACAAGACCCGAAGACAGTGCAAAACTTGGCGTATACCCTGGGAGTGAAGCGAGACCATCTGTCTCATCGGGCGTTCATGATCGCGAATGAAGACGGGACCTTAGAAGACCCGATTCTCTCTAAACCTGCCGCGGCTTCTTCGATTGTGTTTGCCTTCACTGGGCAGGGGACTCGGTGGCCAGGCATGGCAAAAGAGCTGATTCAATCAGCTGAGTCGTTTCATGATGACATCAGAAGCATGGACTGGATCCTAAAGACATTGCCAGACCCCCCGCACTGGAGTATAGAAGGTACGGCATGCCACCACAAGCCGGAATATCAGGGCTAACATCTCCCAGATGAGCTTCGTCAACCTGGTTCCTCCAGCGGCTCTACCAAGGCCGAGCTGTCGCAGACTCTGTGCGCCGCTGTCCAAATCGCCCTGGTCAATCTGCTCTCGCAATGGGGTATTCGCCCATCAGCCGTGGTTGGTCATTCCAGCGGAGAGATTGCGGCTGCGTACGCGGCCGGTGCGATTTCAATGAAGTCCGCCATAACCCTCGCACACTACCGTGGACAGATCGCCAAGTGTAGCACAAAGCCGGGAGGCATGTTGGTGGTTGGATTGGGGCCGGACATGGCGAAGCATTATCTTGTTGAAGGTGTGGTCATCGCGTGCGAGAACAGTCCGCAGAGTGTCAATCTATCTGGGGACAAGGATCAACTCGAGGCGGTGCTGGAGGCCATCTTAGCGGAGCACCCGGATACATTCTATAGGAGACTCCCTGTCGAGGTGGCATATCATTCACGTTTGTGCAGCCCCCTTGTCATCTCAAACCTCTCTAACATCGTCTAGCCCACATGGCAGATCTTGGACACGCCTACGAGGCCGCCATCCAACCTTACATCACGACGGCCTCGACCACCAGCAACATCCCCATGTACTCGTCCGTGACCGGAGAAGTCCTAGCTCACACCAATCTGGACGCCGCATACTGGCGATGCAACCTCGAATCGCCCGTTCTTTTCTCCTCCACTGTGAGCAACCTGCTGAACGCCCAAACGACAGACTCCGAACCGACTCTCTTCCTTGAGATCGGTGCACACCCGGCGCTCTCCTCGCCTCTTCGCCAAATCGCCTCCCATCTCAGGAAACGCATCAATCACATCGCGACTCTCCGCAAACACACCAACCAACATCTCTCCCTCCTTCAATCCGCCGGCCACCTCTATCTCGCCAACCAAACCCCTTCCTTTTCCCATCTCAACGGCCCTGGAACCACCCTGACCAACCTCCCCACATACCCTTGGGACCGTCGGAACATCAACCGGCAAGAAAGCCGACTGACGCGCAACTGGCGATTCCGCAAGCACGCGCCCCACGAACTGCTGGGCTCGCGCACGCTAGAGTCTACGGATCTCGAGCCTTCATGGCGAAATCTGCTTCGCGCGTCTGTCGTCGTCTGGCTTTCAGATCACTGTGTCCTGGGGGACGTTGTGTTTCCCGCGGCCGGGTACATCGGGATGATCGTGGAGGCGATGCGTCAAGTATCGGGCGATAGCAGGGGTTGCTGGATCCAACAGCTGGTATTTAAGACGCCATTGACGATGAGCAAGAAGGGGGGCATGACGGAGGTGGTAACCTCTTTCAAGCCGGTGCGGTATAGCGACCGCGTAGAGTCGGAGTGGTGGGAGGTGACGATTTCCTCATTTAACGGGACTGCGTGGACGAAGCATTGCATGGGACAGGTGAAGAGTGGCCAAGCACAGGAGGGGGGATGTTTGACTGCGCCGATTGAAAAGCTCCCACGGTTAGTCGCTCCCGGGGCCTGGTATCGAGCGGTTAAGAATGTCGGATTGAGGTATGGTCCACGCTTTCAGCTGCTGGAGGACATCACGGCTCATCCGGTGGAGAACATCGCGAATGCCACGATCCGTGACAGGCAAGATAACGCTGAATATCCCGTTCACCCGACGGTCATCGACCAGTGTCTGCAACTGGCCGGGCTGGCGGCATGTCGGGGCCGGACGACGCTTGTTGACGGCGTCGCCATCCCCACCTTTATTGAGAGCATGTATGTTGGCGGAGGACGAGATGGAGATTTCATGCTCGCTGAGACAAAGGGAGTGCCGGTTGCCGGGACACATTTTAAATGCGATTCGCGGCTGAAAGTGGGGGAGGAGACACTTTTGTCGGTGCAGGGGGCGGTAATCGTGCAGTTGGAGCAAGGGGGAAGAGAGGACAAGTCCCCTCTGGCGTCGCATATTGAGTGGCGACCTGATACAGATTTAGTATCAATGAAGGAGGTTATGGACTCAGAGACGAGTGAATCGAGGGATTTGGTGGATAAGCTGTCTGCGCTGTCGGTGATTCAGATCCACAGGGCGATCCAGGACGTGATCCCTGCATCCCAGTTTGAGGAATACAGGCGATGGATCGGTGAAGAAGTCGAAAGAATTGGAGAAGGTAAAGTTCTAGAGGCACCAGAATGGGCTGCACTGGATGATACAGCCCTGCAGTGTCTTCGTGACGGGCTCAGCGCGAAGTTGAAGACTCATGGGCAGGAGGAAATATCCGGTCTTAGTGCGCGTGTCGTTGAATCGTGTGCAGATATTCTGCGCGGGGCAATTGACCCGACCGAAATCCTCACACTGGAAAAGCTGCGACAGGTTCACGAGTATACAGCGTCATCGAGCCGAGTGTTTCAGCTTCTCGGTCTGATGCGCCACACAAACCCGCGGATGCGTGTTCTGGATATTGGAAGCGGCTTAGCAAGGTTGACCTCGTGTTCCCTGAATGCTCTGACGTCGGAAGAAGGACGTTGCTGGTCAAAGTATACTTGGACTGACGTATGCTCTGCCGCTGTTCAAGATGCGCAGAAGAGGCATGGCGATACAATAGAGTGCTGCGTCTTTGATATCAATCAGGACTCGTCGAAGCAAGGCTTGCAAGAATCCAGCTATGATGTTGTGATTGTGTCGGACGTGAGTTTCCTTGTAAGCTCTTATATGCGCAGGGAGCTCCAGCACTAACCGATAAAGGTACTGCGCCAAACCTCCAAACCTGTGGCTGCTCTGCAGAATATCAAGAAATTGTTGGTGCCCGGGGGCAGGATCGTTATGCAGGAGATGACTGGTATGTACCCTTTTTAGAAGTCTTGACATATACTGACAGGCCAGACACCGCGTTTATGAGTTACTTCATGGTATGTTGTGCGGACTTGCAGAGAGGAATTGGGCTAACTCTAGCAGCGACTTCTCCCGGAGTGCGAAACCAAGGAAACAACAGCTCGCTCCATGGAATGGAGATCTTGCCTTGAAGCTGCCAAGTTCATCGACATCGATATCGACACTTTTGACAAATGCTGCCGACAGCAGATCATAGCTAGAGTCCCTCAACCTTCCATCGAACCAACATCAATCGACATCCTGATCTCAGATACACCAAAGCACCCCTGGCACCAAGCTATCCAAACTACACTCTCAGCAAGAGGGTTCACCGTGAACACACGCTTCCTCAGCGATCCCATCCCCAAAGATGCCTTTGTCATATCCCTCCTAGACCTCGACAACCCCTTCTTCAAAAGCATGACAGAAACCCAACTGTCCTCCTTCCAAAGCATGCTCGCCTCCACCCCACGCATTCTTTGGATAACGCACTCGGCCCAAGTGAGATCCTCAAACCCAGACTTTGGACTCTTGCTCGGAGTCGCCCGGTGCATTCGGCAGGAGATGAGCGTTCCGTTTGCTACAGTGGAGGTGGACGAATTTACCCCGGAAGCTCTGAACGCCGTGCTGGGCGTGCAGGAGAAGCTCAGAAGACAGGTTCTTCAGGAAGAGCTGGATGCAAGAGATTACGAGTTTGCCATTCACGACGGTATCGTCCACACGGGGAGGTACCACTGGACCTCCATGACGGATATGCTGGCAGCTCGCCTGGAGCAAGACGTGCCACTAAAATTGGACATTTCACCCTACGGCGCTGTCGGGTCTCTGGGATGGGTGCCGGGCGAGACGGTGCCCTTGGGAGCAGACGATGTGGAGGTGGATATTCGATACGTCGGATTGAACTTTAGGGTTTGTTCACCGCGGTGTCACTCTTCTCATTTCCAGCAGATTAAATGCTAATGGAGGACATGATAGGATGTCATGATCTCCCTCGGTGTCATGGCCGATAAGGAGGAATTCGGGATTGAATGTAGCGGCGTCATCACCCGCACGGGCGCGAATGTCTGTCACCTGCATCTAGGCCAGAAAGTCGGCGTTCTCTATGCCGGAGTCTTTCGGTCGCGGAAGGTTGTGCCGGCGACTGCTTGCCTTGAGATTCCGGCTGCGGTGGCGCTGGATGATGCGGCAGGTATCCTGGTGGTTTTCAACACGGTGCTGTACTCCATTATGGAGGTAGGGCGGTTACAGAAAGGACAGGTAATTTTCCTGGAGAGAGTGCATGAAACAAAATCAATGATTGACGGTGAACGGTTATAGTCTATTCTAATTCACGCAGCGTGCGGTGGTGTTGGTCTCGCGGCCATCCAGCTCTGTCAGACCATAGGTGCCGAGGTATGTCATTCCTTTTGTTGTACATGGTCCGGATTTACTCACAGGTATGGCCAGATATACTGCACCGTTGGTAGTGAGAAGAAAACCCAGTATCTGATGGAAACATTTGGCATTCCGCGCCATCGCATCTTCAATTCCCGCGACGTGTCCTTCCAGTCGGATGTAATGCGCGAGACTAACGGGGTCGGAGTAGATGTTGTTCTCAACTCGCTGGGTGGACCGCTTCTACATGCGTCCTGGGAGTGTGTGGCCCAGTTCGGCAAGATGATTGAGCTGGGCAAGAGAGACTTCCTAGAGCATGGCATGCTCCGGATGGATCTGTTCGGTGGGAACCGGTCTTTCGTCGGAGTCGATTTGTTCGAACTGGCGAAGAGGCCGGGGGTGATAGCTGCGTTAGTTTCCCATCTACTCCAGTATTCAAAAGATGCCATGCTAATCACCGAGTAGGCTGCATGACCAGCTCCTCGAGCTGCTTCAAGAGGGTAAAATCCAACCCATCCGGCCGCTGAAGGTGATGCCAGCCAGCGAGGTCGAGCAGGCCTTTAGACATATGCAGCAGGGATTACACATGGGGAAGATTGTTGTACAGATGACCGAGAGATCATCTTCGTTGCAGGTTGCCAAATCCCGCCAGAAGGTCACCTTTGATCCGGACACTGCCTATCTGCTTGTGGGCGGTCTTGGGGGAATCGGCCGGTCCATCGCATTGTGGATGGTCGAGCACGGCGCAAAACACTTGATCTTTCTATCTCGCTCGGCAGGTCAATCACCAGGTGATAAGTCATTCCTGCACGAGCTTGAAATTCAAGGATGCGATGCTCGGGCCGTGAAAGGCGACGTCTCGGTTCTCACCGATGTCCAGCGTGCAGTCAATGAAAGCCCCTATCCCATTCGGGGAATGCTTCAACTATCCATGCTGACTCGCGTATGCTTCCCCTTTCTCGGTTGCCTAATGCCATGCTTATCACAATACCTAGGACCAATTTATTCGCGATCTCACGCATGCGAACTGGACAACCGCCCTCGCTGCCAAAGTTACCGGCACCTGGAACCTACACCACGCGCTAGAAGGCTCGCAGCTCTCCTTCTTCGTCCTCTGCAGCTCCATCGCCGGACTCATGGGTAGTCCGGGCCAAGTCAACTACGGAGCAGCTAATACCTTCCTCAACGCCTTCACGCAATTCCGACTTCAACAAAACTTACCCGCCTCTGTTATCAGCCTTGGTGGCGTCGACGACATCGGTTTCCTTGCGACCCAGAGTACCCGCGTCAGGGATAACATGAACGCAGCTTCTGTCCGCATGCTTCACGAGCATGAAGTTCTTGACGCCTTCGAAGTCGCCATCACCGGGCGCACAGTACCTCTTCCGTCTTTCTCCCGCACCTCTCTCATCCCGCAGGAGTTTGCCATCGGGATGAGCAGCACTAAGGCCCTCTCCGACCCGTCCGTGCGTCCTCTCTGGGCCGACGACGCGCGGTTCCTGCATTATCGCGACATAGCGACCTCAGCCTCGGACGACCAGACCCTAGCGCCCGTGAACACTCTGCGGCAGATGATTGCTGACGCGAGAGTGCGCATTGCCGGAGCGAGAAGCGCCAGCTCTGGAGTCCTGCTAAGCACTGACGCCCTGGAGGAGTTCTTCTCGAGCTCCGACCGCGCGGAGATCCGCAGGGGCGTGCTAAATGGATTCCGTTCGTTTTCGATCTTCGGCGAGGATCTGGACGACGAGGCCTTGGGTAAGGTGCAGATTGACTCGTTGCTGACGATCGAGCTGCGGAATTGGATGCGCAAGCATTTGGGCCTGGATGTGAGTATTGGGGATGTGGCTGAAGCAGGAACGTTAGGAGGGCTGGGGAATTTGATCATTAGGCATTTATTAAAGGCTTCTGTTTAAGCTACGTGGTTCCTGGAAGAACCGTTGATGGTTGCTGATGCTGCATTTGAGGTAAGTGGCATTAGCTGATGCAGTAATGAGTGAAGTTAAGGTTTTACATTTGTCTTATTCCATGACAGACTTTAGAAGACTCCGTAGGATAGATGTGTCATGAAGACGTTTTCCGGGATATTATTTCTAGCACTTTGCCTTCACACAATCAGCCACGCCTGAATGCTGGTTGCAACATAGACTCCCCTGGTCCATCTTCCAACCGGAATCCTCTGTCCAACAAACGCTGTTCTGTCATTTTGCTAGCACGCTTCATAGAAAGTCCGTCTGCATCATGCGATCTCGCGCATTGTTGCTCCTTCCTCACGTAGACCCCCGAGCGCGGTATGCCACGCAAAACCCATTTTGGCGCCAATCCGATCTAAAGTATCAGACGGCAGACCGTGGAGAAGACTGGGTGTTCAGCGGATGCTGGGAAATTGACAGGTTGTCGATATGGTTGTGACATTCGTCGAATCCGTCATCATTTTGGTTGGCAGGTTTGTCGTCATTAATAGCAGGAAATCAAATCTACCAGGCTCGCGTCATGCCTTGTCATCCGTTGTTTTCTTTTCTCCTCCCTCCTCCCGCTATCTCAACAGAATACCTCCCATCACTCGATTCAATAGACATCGGAGCCGCTCTGGTGTGGTGGGAGGCTCTTCCTGAGCTATCACCAGCGTCGGGCGCTGCTAAATCCGATGCCACAGATTGGTATAAAAACACTGCACGCCAGCGCTGCGCGGGTGCATACATGCCCGACGGCCGTGTGGGTGCCAACTAGAGCCCTAAGATGGGGCGAAGGCTTTGTTTTGTAGACTATCGTGTGGTGGCTATTATGGATTTGACCGAGGATATGGTAGCAATGCTATTGGGTCGGGTCCAGGTATAAGCGATTCCCGAACTAGTCCTTGGTAAACTTTGGACCGGGTGCACGGCACTTTGGATTGCCTCATATGTCTTTCCTAGTCCTATTGCATCAGCCAGGACTTTTCCTCGTCGCTCACTGGAGCATGCAGGGCTCTAGCCTCTGGATCGGTAATGAATAGTCAGCGAGTCGCGGAGAGATAAGCGGCTCGGTGTTTGTGGCACTGTAGGTTCAGCGGCTCCAGCAATTTAGGAACGTCGTGCAAATAGCCCGGAAAAGCAGGCCACGCGAATCCAACGTACCCAGGCGGGGAGGCAAGCTATTGGAGGCGATCAAGGTGCTATCGTCAAGAGTGTACTTTTCCTCCGCAGAAAGGCCACGCCAGAGGACAAGGCCGGCACGTCGGGATGCATGCCTATGGGAAGGGTAAGATAGGCCCTTTACCACTGTGAGTCCATGATATATTTGGGGAAATCTGTTTTTAGTTCGAAATTTCCTAAGAAAAGGCCTGGGCACCCGCGCAACCTAAGGGTGGTGAGCTTGAATGCATCTCTGAGCCTTGTAACTTGGGTCCGACTATTGCTAAGCCAGCCGGATTGATTGTTTCAATGACTTTCAGTTGCATGCTGAGTCTGAATATGCAACAAATTGCCATTGCTGAATTTGTATCGTTGGCTTGACTGTATCGTGTCAAAAGTCAACTTATTAGCGCCCCTCTTCGAATAGCTGTGAATATCTCATGATCTATGAGAGTCCACGGCTTTTTTGATATTCTGGAAGTATTCGAAGAGCTAGCTCAGTGCTTGGGCAAGTTCGTGGTCTTTTCTCAGTACTCTGGTGGAGTGACGATGCCAGCTGGGTGTTGAATCAGTGCATTGGCCCCCCTACTTCGACAAAAAGATAGGCATTGTCTGTTCACGACCAGCTTGCGAGTATACGCAGCATTCCCCGCCTTGTGCCACACTTGATGGACATCCTTTGGCTCTGGTAGTTGCTTGCCTTGTCCACCCTCAATGATCCGGCGTATGTGGTACTGGCTGTTCAGCTGGTTTTTATTCATGCGCTTCTACTGCTATCCTATTCATCGTCTTTGCTCTCATCAGAGTCCTCCCTGGGTTTCTGGTTGTTGACGGCTGTGGATGGAGAATAGCTTGAGCCATGTCCTAGTTGAATGGGTGAAGAATACGAAGATGATGAATAGTATCATCTACAGGCTTGCCCGGTATGATCCTCACAGCCTTTGTAGGTGTTCGGAGACGCGCCCCCTCACTTCTACCGGCGTGGGAATTAATTACTCCATTTCGTCATCACTCTCAGTGCCTTCAGGGGCTAGGTACGCTCATCATGTACCGATAATGTTGTATTAATCGACCCCCTCGCTGTTTCATCCTGTCACTTTAGCGGAGACCCTCGTGCTGCCAGACAGAACATCCCTTCGTTCCTTCCGTCTCACTGGCTCATTCGAAGCCATGACTTTGATCGGCAGTGGATTGAGGGAACTCAATAATGAGCATGCGTTGCTCTCTTGTTCGTCTAAAGCATCTGCTGTCCTTTCCTCTGTCCTTGTGCGAGTAAAACATTCAATTTCAGTGTGTCGGAGAATTTCTCCAAATGCTCTCTGCACGAGTCGAATACCAACGCGCATATTGGCCTGATTCTGGCGCGGGAGCTGGGGGGCAACCCTTTCGTTATTTACCTCTATACATCGAAAACATTTCATGTGCTTTGGCTCGAAAGGCACTGGCGTCCAACTCGCGTATTTGTCTGCCGAGGTGCGGTTCGCGACTCTCGGCCACGGGGCTGGTGATCAGCTCGGTCTGGTACTAGATGCTGGAGTCTAGCTTGCCTATCTGTTGAATTATTTGATGCTGTTTGGTTGGTGTGACCTCTAATAGGCCATTCTTGTATAGATGGCTGAAGAACGACGTTTTATGCTGGTCACTATTCAGAGGGTATACAGCCGGGTGATACACGGCCAGCACCGGTTAAAAGCCCGGTTGTGCTCACGGAAGGATTGTATGGTTTTGCCGTCGAGATATAGGTTAACCTCGTACTGCTTCTATAAGTCCGTAAAAGGTCTCACACGGCGCGGGCGTTGTTTAAGGACGTTTATCCTTTAGGCCCGCCAGCTGCAGCACTCGGTAGCCGAGCCTAAGCTGTATTTTCTTTATATGGCGGTCCGATGTTTAAGCCGGCTGAACTGTGGCTTTGGCATGGGCATCCATTAATACCTTTATCGACAGAAGCTCTATCACAGTGTCGTCCTGCATTAGGTTATCCTGGAGGATAGAGGGCCGCCGAACTTCATCGGTCCGCTGCTGATCTGGCGGCTCCGGTGCACATCTGGCAATCGGCCTTCTTCATGCACAATCCCAGGATTTGATGTAATCTCAGGGCTTTGCTCTCTCGTCACATATTTTTGGGGCTCCTGAACAGTGGCATTGGCACCAACTGTAAGCGCTCAGCGGGAGTGTCCGAGGCAACGTCGAGGCGCCCAGGACAGTGCGCCTCGTTGCCTTGTCAAAAGGTCTATATCTCCCCTGCCCATCCATATTCTGTACACAACCATTTATTTCGAGATATATTGTTGAGTTGAGGGAATTGAAACAGTCATATCGTCTGAGTAGACACTAGCTGGAAGGGTATGTCCCTATCGACAAACTTGCGTCTGGACTAGACCGTTTGGGCAGAACCACGCTTTCTCCTGCGACTTCTATACTACCGAGCGAGTTTCCCTTGCGGGTAATGTAAACGTGGACCTTATTTTATTCAGCAATCTCCAGAGCGAGGGTATGCAAAACTCCGAATGTTGATGACAGTGTTGGCAGGATCCGTGACTCTGTTTAACGCGGGTATGTCATATGGACGAGTATTGATGGACGAATTCGTCTCTGCCTCCCATAAGATGTGATTGATGTTCATAGTAAAATATCTAACAGTGACCCATTAGATATAACACAAGTATTTCGCCTCGATGTGACTGGGGGAACTGAGGCTCATTTCTGGTGGATGGGTAACAGCAAATCCGAATGCAGGATCCTAGTCCGAAGCAGGAGGTATCCCGATGCCTGCAGTAATTGACATGCCATGGTGAAGTTGTCCATATATCATGGTAGGATATTATGGCATCCATTTGTGGGATCTCAATATTGTGCCACGTCCACCAAGTCTTCAGATTCGACAAAAGGCATTCTATCACCGGCCCGTAACCAGTTCTAAGAAAGGGCAGTGCGTGGAGTTAGTGCATCTAGCTTTCGATGTAAATTTGTAGGGCTCGACTGTCGAAATCAGATGACTGGTGCAGGTTGTTGAACCTCATCATCCAGATTTCTCTAGCCTAGATAATAGACACGACACGGGGGTAGACCATTTATTGGGAGATTTCTCATCACCTTCTGTTGTGACTGAGATGACAGTCCTTGTGAGGTTGGTCCTGTACTCCTTAAAGTCTGTGATTTTGATTTCGGTCTGCTGGCGGATGCTAGAGTACTGTCAAATAGGAAGCACATCCATCGTATTCCGTATCTTTGTGCGTTAAATGGTATAAAAGATGAACCTGGAGAGTGTCTATGCTGGTTTTTTATGCAAGTAAGCAACTCTCAGAGCGGGTAGCAAAGTCCCCCGTCTTTGGTGGATTTTTCTAAGTCGGGACAATTTGCAGACGGTATTAAGATCAAGAAGTTGAGGTTGTTGCATCTGTAGGTCTTTCTGGTTGAGACAGTTAACCTAATAGTAGGTTTAGAATCACTCCGGACGCCATGAGGCAGGTTTCAGCTCGACTTTGCGATCAATCTAGAAGGAATCAACGGCAAGGAAACCACGTTGCGTCAGGAGGACCACAACAAAGGTGTTATAGCTGATGGCTGGCACCGGCACTCTCCTATATCGGTCCGTGAGCGAAGCCTCGACACTCCAACGTCGTCTATGGAGGGAGTTTCCTCGTTCCGCTGACTCAAGACAGGCCTTGCTGTTCGTAAGGTATGTCGACAAGCCATGGCCTCCTAAACTCATCCATCAGAGTCGTTGCACAGTTTTCCACCAATCCCAGGGACAGCCGTGGATATTTGCATCCTGATACTGGGTCACGTATTCCCAGATCCTGTCTCAATTTGCTGCATTGCAGCGTCCGCAAATACTTTGAAGTGTATCGTTTTCCACTCACGGCGAATCTGGTGAGGTACTC